CCCCCCTTCTTTTCCAAGCTTTTTTTTTTTTTTTTCAGTTTAGATTCCTGGCTTTGTATCTGTTCATGTGATCTCGCGGGATGGTGCAATAAGGTAGGAAGCGTTGTAGGCGTATATTTTCTCATAGATATGGATGGGGTCTTAAGGAGTATTTCCAAGCTTGTTAATATTCTGCTTTGTTTAGAAGAGTCTGGTGCATAGGCGGGCGAATAGATCAAATGTGATGTAATACTGATTAGATTTATCGCAATGCAATTATTCCTGTCCGTTGCAGTGAAATGAAACTTTATACTGTACTCCTGTACTCTCTGTATTAGACATGAAGCCCTTACAGCGCTAGGAGGACCCCTTTTTCATGCCCAAAATATTGGCACGCGAAGATCCACAACTCGTTTTAGTCGGTTTTTTTAATACCCTCGCTTTCTCTGAACTAGATTGATCAATTTCTCCCCACGAGCTCTTCGCTCCAAATTAGTTTCCAGCACAGCAAACGCACGCGAAATATACGCAGCGCCGGACCCGCTAATATGCGGCGTGATTTGAACGTTTGGAAGATCCCACAGCGGATCATCGGCCGGAAGGGGTTCCGGATCGGTTACATCCAGCGCAGCGCCAGAGAGAAAATAAGAAGATTTCGGTGCTGATTTGCCCGCATCCTCCTTCTCCTTTTCTTTCTCCTCCTCATCATTCCCCTCCGATGCTGATGATGATGCTGCATCTGCTTCGCTTGCTCTGCTTGGTTTATCTTCATGTTTTTCTTTGGACAGACCTTGCGGAGGTGGAGAATCTGGTGTATAAGTAGAAGAAGTAATGGCCGCTGATGAAGCGGCCTTCAGCGCATCAAATAGAGCGACTTGGTCGATGATAGGCCCGCGGCTAATGTTCGATATGAATGCGTGATGCGGGGAGCGGCCTAGGAGCTCGAATTCCTCCTTGCTTAGGAGATGCTGCGTTTGGGGGGTAAGTGGTACGCTGTAAGAAGATGATATCAGAATGGACATTCTATGTTTGTAATTTATAAAAAAAGAAAAAAAAAAAGTGGAAGAGAAAGAGAAAGACAAGGTAATGGCAAGAAGGTGAATAAAAGGGAGGATTTGACATACGAAACAAGTAAAACATCAATATCTTGCTTCAGAAAATTGTGTAAGTTTTCTTTGTCCAGTCCGCTATACCATGCGCTGGGAATAGTTCCCTCCGGGTCTCCAGTGCCCGGCACAATGAATCCGTTGTCTCGTTTGCTTTCTGGCGTACTGCGCGGGCTGGCAGTGTAGGCGATGACATCCATGCCCATTGCCTTGGCCACGCGGGCAACTACAGTGCTCCAAGAGTAGAAGGGTCAGCGGTCAGCTCAGAAGAGAGATAATTTCAACACAGTCCAAATCCAAAGAAATGAAAAATAATTAAAGGAGAGCGCATTGGAGAGGGTTGAGCTCACCCTGCCGCCCAATACTACCATATCCAAGCACACCGAGTCGTTTGCCTGCCAAATCAGCCACACTGCCGAGTGACTGCTTTGTGTTCCCATCCGGCCAGCGGTGCTCCGTCTGCCATTTCAATAGCAGTTTCTGCTTGTGGTTGTGCGCGAGAAGGGTCATGAGGACCCACTCAGCGATCTGAGGCCCATGAATGCCCGAGGAAGTTGCCAGTGGGATTTCAGAGTCCTGGTAAATGGGCGTGTTGACAATGTGGTTTATTCCAGCGGAGAAGAATTGTATGAGCTCAAGCTGGGATTGATTTTAATTTAGCCATAGGCATTCTTTTAACACAATTGGCGGTGTTCTAGGGATTCGGAAATGGGGTCTTATACTGGTATGCGTTTGTTGATCATACCTTGGGACTGTCCTCCTTGGAAGGAGGCAATGCTGAGAATGTTGCCAACACCGTCACATCGCGATATATTTCTGCATTGAATTAAATTTTAGTAAAGCCGTCATAGGGTTATTTTTCGCCATCATCTTCTCTTCTTATAGTGGCCAACCTTCGAGCACATAATAAAAACGTTGGCGGTCGTGTAGGGAAAAATGAATAGTAGAGAAGCAGATATTCTAAAGTTGTAGAAAATGTGAAATTGCATATATATTTGATGCTACAATCGACCAAAATGAAAATTCTAACATACCCTTTGGAATGTCCGTCAGCGAACGCCCCGGCCTTCGATCCCAAAATGTAATCTTCAGGTGCGGGAATCGTTGACGAATTCGCTGCAGCGCCCTCTGCACTTTCTCGTCTTCACTTTCATCCCACGGAACAATTAGTAGAAGGTGGTCTTTTTGCTCGCCGCCTCCCATGATCATATATGCCGTCGTAGAGCTCGCAGAGCACTCGCTATACGATCAGCAGTTGGAGGGATGGTCCTCTAAAACGTCATACAAGAAAAAATTGGATGGAGTCTAATGATATCAATATCAAGCAAAGCTACACAAAAGAAGATGTTTATATTTATTGGTTAGAATAGTGGGATTGACTTGGTCAGCACCATATAACGCGAGAGGAGACGTCCATCTCGTCATCGAATTATCCCCAAATGAATGTTTATCTGATCCATAGCATGAGTGGCGGGCTACTTTAGCGTGTTACAGTTATGATTGGCTGGCAAGCTATAGCTCTTATCGACAGCGCCACAGCGCGGACTACTAACCATAAAGCTATCCCGGAGCTTGAGTACTTTGAGTGAGAGTCATTGCTTCAGTGATAATATCTTTGCATAGCATGATCCTTTGATTGCCACACATAAATGTTTGGATATTTTTGAGCTCATTTAAGCATTAAATAGGTAGTAGATCAAAGGGATCGGGGGCTGCTGGAAACTATAAGCAACGTTGGCCATGAATATCCAAGCCGTATAAACCAGCAGGGTGTCGTGAAGCATCGCACTGGAGAGATAATTGTGTCTCATTGGCGTGGAATATAAAGATTTACGATGCCTATATACACATATTACACTTTTCTGTTTATGCTCTTTACTATATTGAAGAATTTGTCTTGTTGATCTCAGCCTCGCTGCGACCAAGATGATATGCTACCTCTAAACGCCGTTACCCCCGGATCACAATCAAAGGGACCACAACAGATGCATTTCAAATCAACCAAACAGACCAAAAACCAAGGCGTTTAGCCTGTCCAAATAAGCCACCCATACCATAAAAGAACGACCCATGCAACTTGCATCATGCTTGTCAAGAGTTCTCTGCCCATTCTTGAAACTTTTCCTTGTTTTTTCCGGGGAGCGGACATGCTGGATACGTCACCCAGTAAATTGGCATTGATGTTCACAACGCTCTCGGCACTGGCCGGCACAAACTTATCCATTTTCGATCCCTCATCGTCACCAAAATCCTGGTACGAATCCTTGCCATTGGTGGCCATTTGCGATAGGGGGAGTCTATAGCCGCCGGTTCTAGACTTGCCATCTCGACCTCCAGGGCTGAAACTGCGCGTTCTGACTTTTGAAGAGCGCGCGGAGAGTCCACTAGTATCATTGGAGGCTACAATAGAGGACTCGGAGCGATAGGACTTGTGCGAGTTGCCCGCTCCGGCAGCTAGCGATGTAGATCTTACTCGATACTGCTGTTGCTCTTGTTGTGCAGCAGCCTTCTCGTGTTCCGCCGAAGAAGGAGCGGGTGAGGTAAAATTGAAGGTTGACTCAGGCGCCCATGTGAATGGGAGTAGGGGCTCATCATCTTCATCGCTATCCTCGCCAGCGGCATAGGTTGCATGCACAGGGGGCCGTTTCGAGAACATAATGTAGGCCGCTCGAATCGATAACAGAGCAAAAGAGATTCCAAGCACAATTCCATAGCGCATAAAGATACCTAGCTGATCCGGTAGCAAGCATAGGTGAGTCTCGATCGTGGGGTCGCCCACGAAAGCAGCAGGCGCACCGTGGCCACTCGATCTTGTGCCTTGGGACTGACCAACTGCGTCCAGGGGGTTCCACATGCTTAGCATGAGGAAGCCTGGTTTCCGGACGCCCATCGCCCACGAGAAGGACTTGACAGTGATCTCTTTGATGCCAGCGCTACCAGGGCCACCGCCTGGCTGTGAAGGAGCTGTGAATTCGCGGTGAACGATTTCGCAGTAGTCATGATCGTCTCCAGAGAACACCAAGCCCACGTTGCCCACCTTCTCGACGACATCTTTCGATATCTCCGGGGTCAGCACATTCTGGTATTGGTAGCCGGCACGGACTGCGATGGCATTTCGATCGTCGCTCTCGAGTGGCTGAGATCCACCACTTGTCTTTGAAGGCGGCCAATGCTCTCTAAAAGGTCCGCACGGCGTACCAGGTGCGCGATAAAGGGGGATATGGGTGAGTAATACTGTTGGGAGATCAACTAAGCCCACGCCTACTGCGGGGCCCGTTCCTTCCGGCTTCACATATTCGTCAGCGTCAACAGCTGTATGTGTCTGGAGCGAGTGCTGCGGGCGTCCATTCAGTCTCCAGATTTCTTGGTCCGCAAGTCTTCGCTTCATGGCTGGTACACTATCCAAGAACTCCATCACAGGTTTCCAGAGATTCTCGGCCACGTCGGGCTGCACGCCAACCGCGGAAGGATTGGTTTGACCTAAGGCGCTCAGAGATACCGTGTCAACCGAAACAAATGAGTGATTTCCGATTACATCCACTCGGTTGCCGTCTCCAAAGTAAGCATTAAATCGATCCTTGACGGGGAGTTGAATTCCGACACCAAGTCCAAGATCGTGATTTCCAGGCAGACTGGAAATTATTTTCCGCCCTTGCTGTCCCCGGCCCGGTTTCGCTCCCCCATCTTCCCAATGGTCGAAGAATATTCGGCCAAATCGGTCATATTCGCGTAACCAGAAGCTTTCGCCATACTTCTTCCATTGTTGTTCCGGGCTCTCGCTCTTCTCGGTGCCCCATTCCCGGCCACCGTCAAAAAGATCTCCCAAAAAGAACAGGGTATCCGGGCGAAGATAAGTTTGAAGAAGTGAATAGCATCGTTGAAGGTATAGATCAGTGTAACTGACAGTCAAACTGGAAAGAGGCCACGGTCTTCCTGGGTAGGTGTGAGGATCGACCAATTGAGGGTCAGCGATGAGAGCGACATGATGCGGAGCGGATCCAGGAGGCTGTCATGTATTGTCAGCAGGGGCGACCGACATCTTGTATTATAAGATCAACCAACCCAACGTTCCCAGGAACTCCATTGGCAAGCCTGAAAACTTTCGCGAAAGACCCGTCGCTCACCCCACCAAAGCACAATGACCCAGAGGAGAACAAGAGCATTTCGTAAGCTTAAGTGTCTCCTGACATTCCATCGGTTGCGTGCTTTGCGGCTAACGCTCTGCCTGCGGTGAGCGGCTGGGAGTCCGGCCATCGTGTGCCGCAGGAAGTACTCAGATTTGCCCGTCCTCGTAAAGCAGTTAAATGTCGTGACTGATCGATCATTGGAAGGGGCTGATGATAGTAGGCATTGGAACAGACGGTCAATTTGTGGCAAGCATGGCCTCGTCGGTCATGCAATAAAAGGAGAACCTGGGATTGAGCTCCAAAAAGAAACGGGCTAGGTAATGAGAATTGAAAAATAACAAACCACCAGGGAAGAAGTAGTGACAAGACCGCAGCTTTTGATAACGAAGGTTAGCTGATCAAGGTAGTTTAATTCTTTTTTAAAACATGCTTCCAAACATTTCATACGGATTAAGACACGAGACACGCGGCGCCTCGGGAGTTCTACCCCGGGCTGCCAGGGTTTGGATGAGAACGGCTAGTTTCATCCCCCGCTTCGGTTGACACCTCTCCCCTGTCGCGAACGGCCATGCACAGAGACAATCAGGTAAGTTAGACGGTCCATTCCGTACACAAGACATCAGGCTCTATATTTGTGTTTTTCTTTTACACCACAATCAGTCATACGACGAATCAAATATCTTTTAAGTTTAGTAAGGAATAAAATATTAGATAAAATTTCGTTTCCCCCAATGCGAGCCTTGGGACGTTTTGCCGCGGATTCGAAATCAAGATTAAACTAGTGTGTAGGTCCAGCTGAACCGCGAACCTACCTAATTTTTGCGATTTGATAAAGATGAACAAAGGTCTCGCCCAAAAACCTTAAAGTGAAACTATACTACAAAACGAAAGGGACCAGGAATAGAAGAACAAGGAGGAGAAAGCAAAAGGCATTTGTTAACCTGTCTCATTGGAGAGCAAACCAGCGATTAGTGCGAGTGCTCGTCATCAGTCTCCGCACGGTCTGACTGGGGGTCGCAGCACTGGTTCCTCGCCCCACATTCGTCCGGACAGTTGAGCAAACAGGCATCGCCCTCACCATCCTGGAGACTGCCTGGCTTGCTGCCTTGCCGGCGAACAACATCGGCGTAAGATGCGCCACCGTAACCATAATTCTTATTGGTGCCATTGCCGTCGCTCCTGCCTTGGGCCATGCCATGCTCAGAATTCAAGAATTCAGGCTGAATCGTTGATGAATGGATGCCGTATTCGTGCAGACAGGTTCGGATAGCTCGAGCAATATCCATGTATTTCTCTGAACCCTCGCTCTTAACATCATAATCCACTTGGACATGGAGAGATGCAATAAGTTTGGTGTAACTGAGTTGCCACACATGGACGTGATGGCAGCTCACAATCCCTGGAAGTTGTTCAATGTCGTGCTTGATTTCTTCGACGTCGATGCCTGCCGGAACAGCCTGAAGGAGAATGCGAGAGGCTGCTTTGCACAGTGGGATGGCGGAACCAAGGATGATGCAGGTGATGACCAGGGAGATGAGTGGATCAAAGTAGTAGCGCCACGAGAACGTCGTCAACCAGATGAAAAGTGCGGAAGCAATGACACCGACATTACCCAGGGCATCACCGAGGACATGGAGAAAGACGCCTTTCATGTTGAGATCATGAGAATGGCCGCCTGACTTTTCGGGTTTCGGCTTGGTGTGCTTGTGCCCAACATGCCAAGAGGCTTGCCCATCCTGTATACCATGCTTGGAAGGCTTTGCGCTCTTGGTCCCTTGAAGCAACGGTGAGCTTTCCGTAGCCTGTGCGCTATCTTCAGCTGCCTCGTCGCACTCAGACTCAGTGGGTGTCTCCATATCAAGCTCGCGAGCCGTCCGCTGGATCTCGCTTCGGAATTCTGCTGGATGCACGCGGATATCATCCTCAGTCGCAGGTGCTCTCGACCATGACCCTCTCCCACTTCTGCCAGTCCTGCGATGACTGCCGCTTCTAGTTCTATACATTGAACCAGGTAAAGTCGACCCAGTCTCATCAGAGTTTCGGACAGTGGGACCAGACCCTGTCCCAGAGAAGCTTCTCTCGCGGCCGGAGTCACCATCTTGAGTTCGTGGCCATCCAGCAACTTGTGCATGAGGGAGTACATCTGCAACATTACCAGACTCGTCCGCAACCTGGGTTGATTCATCCGATTCGATGTGGGCACCATTTCGTCCCTCTTCGGCAGCAGCCAAACCATTGTGTTCGCCATGAGAATCTCCATGCTCGTCATGTCCCCCATGTGCATGGCCGTGATCATGGAAAAGAGCAAGTCCGAGAATGTTCGAGGCAAGGCCGGCGCATCCAACTATAAGCACCAGCTTCGGATTTGAAATTTCTTGAGGTTCGAAAAAGCGCTGGATTGCTTCCAAGAAAATCGTCAAACACAAGGCAACGAGGAATACGCCGTTCACCAAGGCACCCAGTGTCTCCGCACGTTGCCACTACAACATCATTAGCGTCCACGAAAACGCTCTTGAGCCAAATGATTCTCGAGACGTACACCATATGTATACATGCGATTGCTCTTGCGATTGGCAATTTTTACCGCCCACAATCCGACCAGTAACGATATGACATCGTTGAGCTATAGATTCGTCAATCTCAGAACACGAATACTTGACTGTCAAGATCGATTTTACCATATGAAAAGCATCGGCGATGAGGGCGAGGGAGTGGACCGTATATCCTATTTGCCGCAAACGCGTTAATCAATCAGGGCTCTGTCCCTGAGGTGATAGCCCCTGTGTATCAACTCACCAACAGTTATCTCAAGCAGGAAAAATGCCGTGTCTATGCCAAGAAGAATCCCGATTCGAGTGGATTTCGATAGGCCCATATTGAGCGTTTAAGGGAGCACGCCAGCGTGCTGAAGCAATTTGAAATTTCTGACGCGACACAGGTGACGTCGGGAACCTGGTTGAGATCGATGGGCTCGAACTACCCCCTCAATGTCTATAGCCAATTGTCTTAGGATAGTTATTGAGAAGATGCTGTGATGATTCGACTTCCAGTCAAAAGATGTTCTTTTTTCAGATTGGGGCAGCCAGAGCAGATGAACGATGAAAGCCTTGACTAATGCAAAATTGTGGTTGACGCTCTTCGCTTCAAGCCCCCGCTTCGGACAAATTCGCCCTTGGTCTTCGCCAACAATACAAGGATAGGGCAGCCTCGGCCGATACAAAGTTTCGTCCGAAACGGAATACGGGCAATTTGAATTCGATTACGTGACCTAAAGGGGAACGTGATCCTTGTAACTATTGCACAGCTCTGCCAATCTAAGATTGGTGCTCACATTGACTATCTCATGGCAGTCGGGGAAAATTCGAAACCGTCATCAACGGGGAAAGTACCCCATACTTCGTATTGCTTCTGCAGCGAACGTTCGCGCGAATCGGACCTAACTCATCAATGCATGAGCTAAGCCTTTTCTCCTTCCAGCAAGAGCGATCGGCAACCTCGGCTCCCCAAATTCGACTTTGGAAACCAACGGTGGCTTCTGAGATCGACTGTCTCCACTTCTTTAATGGATATTCAATCATACGGCTTGCTGCCTTCAGCTTCGGTGACAGTATTGTAATAAGTTATTGAGTTATCAATTTTTCTGTACATAAATTCCAAAACTATAATCCATGGTATCATATTCATGCCATTGTAAGCGTGGTTCAGACGAAATTCTACCATCCACCAGATCAACAACACGTCTAGTGCTTTCCCAACTTCGACACGTCTACTGCTACAAGAACAACGAAGACACATAAGAGTATCTAAGATGATATGCGTTAGCCGCCGAAATTTGGAGGAAATACCTTAGCATGTCTATAAGCCGAAGGCCAGTCCTATACATACCAGAGCAGTCAAAGTCCCAATGAGCTTCAACTCCCATCCGCCTACAAGGATCTTGCGTCGAACCATAGCATTCTGTTGTCTCCAGCAGCGGAATGCACCGCTGAGGACAACGACAATGGCTGATCCTAAACAAAGACAGCCTAATGGCTTGCCAAGGACGTAGTATCCAAGAACTGGGTTCGGGTCGAGGGCGTGTTGAAGACGGAAAAGCTGTGTAATAGTTACCCCAATCATGGAGAGAGCAAGAGATGTTCTCAGATAGCCTAAGAATGTACGCTCTAGTGCTATTTAGGAGGTTAGTGGGATGTTTCCAGGACGTGACTATTTGTGACGAAAATGATGGAAGGCAACTGGACGGAGAATTGCAGTAAAAAATAAAAAAAAAAAAAAAATAGCCAGAAAAAATATAAGGCGCCATACAGATGGCAAAAGTAGCAGCGCAAAATATAAACTGAACAGAGGTTGATTTTTAGAAAATGATTTTCCGGGTCTAGCATCACGAGCAGACACAGAACAGAAGGACCGTTTCCCGGGCAAGAGGTCCAGAAGGAACGGTAGGAATAAAGCTTCAATTACATCCGAAAAAAACCCAGATGTGTCACGTAGACATCCTAGAAAATCAAAAGCCAAGGTAGGTATTGAAGTATTTTAACATCTGCAACAAATTGCTCAAACAGCGGGTTTAAATGACTAGGGGATTCTAGAGCGCAGGGCGCTTTCTCAGTTGCTTAGAGACACACTCACCTAGATGGTCCCTGCAAGCATCACGAGGAACGGTTACCGCAATTTGTCGAGTCCAGAACCTCCTAACGGCAAGGGTTAAACCTGAACATGTTCGTCCTCTGGAGGCTGAGGACGCGCCATGGTCTTGATTGGTTTGTGTATTAGAGTGGGAGCGCCTTGACTGGCAGGTAAGCGCCTGGACTGGTTGTAGCTCTGTATGTTCCAGCGGAAGTTCATTGCCATGTGTCTGAGTTTTTAAGCTGTCGTGTTCCTGGGCAGGTGTATTCGTAGTTCCACTGGATGCGGTTGTTACCGGGGCCTTTGGCAGGGAGGGTTCTGCCATCGCAAGACAGGATACAAATGAAGGAAAACCAGCCACAAGTCTTTCTCCCCGCTGCACAGCAGGCCTTGAAAGTCCCAATTTAAAGCTTCAGTTGCTTTATGCTTTATGATTTCGGGAATGGCGACCAATCATTTTGTATGATTCCACCTTCAGAATGTGAGATTGGCGCTATATATGTCGCCCTTGAGCGGGCGAGGCTAATGAGCTACGGTTCTAAATCTGAAAGGGGCATATTTCGCTAAAATCATTGGTTTTATCGCGAGCGATAAGGCTTGAGCAATAAGAATGACGTTACTGAAGATAACTAGAGCAAGAATATTAAATGCTATGATCAGTCTGAAACGGCGATAAAATATCTTTATCTTAGTTGATTGAAATTATAATCACGAAATCTGATTGAACTTATTTCGGCTCATTTTCACTGTGTTTACCTACTCTTTCTTTGGGTACAGCAACGCCCTTGCTTTGTGGAAGTTTTCTTCCCCACTTTTGGCTGCCGTCGCACATTATCTACCCCACTGATTCCTTCACTGTATGATAACAGACCAGGCAGCGAAGACAGCTGCCAGCTGTAATTGAAAGACTGGAGTTCTTGATTTTTCCTTTTTAAGACCACAATTTTCAGGCCTAGTTGGATCGTTTCTGCAACTTGCAATGGCTTCCTCGAATGATAGCTTTCTCATTTGCTTTACTTGTGGCACACAGTTCGACACTACCGACAGAAATGCGCTCAAGTCCTGTAGGATTTGCGATGTAAGCAATTTTTTATGAATGAAAACGAAGAAAATGTTCTCTTGGCTCATTGTGCCAAGGCAGTGAATGCAATGGATTGTGAGGACTTGATGAACCAACCTCGTGCTAATCAACGAAGGATCCCCGGCAATTCGTTCCGCCCTCGGGGCAGAGCTTCACGACCCTAGCAGATATAAGGAAAGACCGGTACAAGAATAAAAGAGAGCAATACTCGGAGGACAATCGAATATGGTTCATATGGACAGAACCTAAGGTGAGTAACATTTTTCCCTGCTTCTTGGCGAGGTACACCTAACTTGAAGTCAATGTAATTTATTAACATTGGGTCAGTTTGCCATTGGTCAGCGTGCGATTCTGCTTCAAACTCCCTCCGGAAACGTCCTATGGGATCTCATTACTTACCTCGATGATGACACCGCTGAATTTGTATGTTCAATGACGCCCCGTTGTCGAACGGAGGCGCTTTTCACGAAGGCATGCTAATGATGGTTTTTGCCCCAAAATTAGATTGATTCCATAGGCGGTCTCAGAGCTATCGTAATTTCTCACCCCCATTACTACACTACACATGTTGAGTGGGCTCAGAGATTTCAATGTCCTGTGTATTTGGCATTGGAAGATAAAAAATGGATAAATTGCACAGAAGGCGGTCAGAAGTATCGGAGGTTCATTGATCAGCAGCGAGAAGAGATTGTTGAAGGAGTGACTGCAATAAAGACAGGAGGACATTTTGACGGAAGCATGGTAGGTTTGTGCGAGGGGCAAAATCGACTTTCGGCCCAAGGAATGGTGATAAACGTCATGCTTCAGCACTCTAACCATGATTCTACCGCAGGTCATGCATTGGGAAGATAAGCTTCTTATTGCCGACACATTCGTTACTGTCCCGGTATGTCGTTGTTGAGCATAATATGTCAAGTGTTCCTTTGGCGACTTTGAGTGACCACCTTGAATTCTAGAATCGTGCTAACCCCATTATAGTCAGCGCTCTACCACATTAACCGTGTCCCTGGAACGACGTCCTATAGCTTCATGTGGTCAATCCCAAATATGATTCCGCTTCCTCCTCTTGAGATCGAGAAAATCTGGGGAGCGCTAAAACCATTTGAGTTCAACACAACTCTCGGTGCATTCATGGGAATGAACGTGCGGGGCCGAGATGTCAAGGCGCGGGTTCTAGAGAGTATGAAGATCCAAATTAAGGCCGAAGGACATCCGGAACACGCATTCTTAAGTGAAACATGGCCCTGAGAATGGCTCATACTCTTGGATGCCGAAATTTGTTATCTAAGCTTCACAAAAGTTGCCTGACAGCATATAATCTTACTACTAATGCTTTCCTGTAGCTACGAAGTTTGGATGCTTAGGGCATCGTCGATAAAAAGGAAGTGCAAGAACTCCTGGTAAAAAGAAACCAGTGAGATATCGTTGAATCATGTCAATTAATCATGAGGCGCGAAATTGCACCTTCCCAAATTGATTTCAAAAGCGGCAAAATGCCGAGAACATTGTGACGTTATTATTTTGAACGGTCAAATTAATATTTTGTTGACAAAGTAGTGTAGACTTGGAAGTACCGGTTTCAATGCAATTTGGTTTAGTTATTAGCGGTAAATACTGGTATGTTTGCTACCCGAGGAGGTAAAATGCGGGTGGTGCCAAGGCCTGTCGCTGTAATTGAGGGATCCGAGTGCTACTCTGTGCTCATACGCATAGGTATATCGCCATAGGTTAAATACTGACTGGCATGGTGTCGTTTAGTGCTGGGGCCCCCAAAGCTCCTCGCTTTCCCTAATCACGTTTGAGTGTCACCGCCTACTTCAATCGCCGCTGGGCCATGCAAGGAGACTACTTCAAAGGGGCAAATGTGACCGATCGACCGGGATGAACGCCATGTGGTTCGTGGCCACATTGAGGCGAAAGAACTCGGTCTCGCAAGGTATCTCCCACTACTGTGTACTTCTTAGGTAGCTTGCGTGTTGGCGCACTTTTGCTACTGGAAACCCGAGTAGACTGGGCAACGCAGAAGAGAGAGATAGAGAGAGAGAGATCGACACCAAAATACATGCTGCTAAGGAGGGAAAAATCGGGGAAAGCTAGGGCCCAAAAATGGGAGCCTGCATCCCTGGTCATAGCTGGAACGCCTGGGTCTTTGAGCCGTAGTCAGCCAACATGCCTTATTCATCTTTCAAGGTCCGCTTTGCGTCACTTTGATGGCTGGTGCGTCTCCTGCTGACTTGTTTGTTTCCGGTTCAGCTGCATGCTTCCAGTACCACTGTGAAGCGGCGAGCAAAGGGCTTGTATAAATATGGCGGCGTGGGTGCCGTAGAACGTCCTCCGCTCCCACAGATCGACTGCTGCAGATTGACCGTTGTCGCATACCTTGAAGACTCGAACCCACTGAAGGCATTAAAATTCTGTGTCGAATATATTTTGACAAATAATCATGGTTGGCTTCAATTACCTCTTGCCTGCCCTGATTTTTAATGTAAGTAACCCGTTATCATCATCAGCTGATGAGACCTAACTAACCCTCCTCTGTAGCTCAAAATATGGAATACAGTGAGCTCCTTCATATGCCGTTCTGTGCGAAAATATCTTCCCTGACTTGGTCAACAGAACATCATCGGTCCGCTTGAAGAGGGTGTGACGGCCTTCAACGGCCAGTCTCGGGGTACTGTCACATCTGTGCATGGGGTAAGTATAAAATGGTCTCAGTGCCTGCCGCAGTGCAAGAGAGATGATTGACACTCAATTATTCAGTACAATACGACTGTAAATGGCACCGTCATTCACATGGACGACTTCTTCAGCCTGTACCCCGACAACAAAACCTACGCCATTAGCCCGCGCGGTCTCTTCGTCACCGAGGATGGAGTTAAGATTGGTGTTGAAGCGAGTGGTTACTTTGACAACATCCCTCATGTTCAAGCTATTTTCAACAAGGAACCCGGTGTTAACGGGACGGACTTTGGAGAGATTCCCTCTGGTAAGCATACTGGTGGTCGCTCGGGCCTCTTATTGTGCTTTGTGGCGCAGCGGGCCACTGACCGCACCTTCCTCTCCCCCTTGCTTTTCTAGAGCTCACATATTTTGTGTTTTCGCAGGGTCCGTCTGGACGTTTAAGACTGGTCACCCAAAGTATAAAGATCTCGGCGAATCGATGTTTGTAGGTAATTTCCGACTTTTCCCTGGTGACGCCGATAACTCTTCCTTCTTCAATGTCGAGTATCGATTGGCCAAAATCCTTCCGGGACCTCCCTGTAAATAGAGATTTTTTCGCTGTGTTCCTTAGAGGACTGCAAATATAGACCGCGCCTTGACTATGTCAAGCAGGACCTAGACATAAAGAATAATATAAAAGTCTAGACACTAGTCGTACAGTCAACAATGAAAATTAAATTATTCCATGTACATGTTTAGCCGCTGGGTTTACTCGTTGATTGTTGTATGTGTTCGAAACGGGACCAAGGGAGTTGAAGGTAACTGTACACTTAACGGGAATTTTGTATGACATAGTGCATTCGAATGAATATGCGTATATGCCTAACTCAGCAAAAGCTCGATTTTATCGCACAAGACCTCAAGCTAAATACATATGATATACACAGAGAGAGGCACTTTCTTACCAATACTCTATCCGTCAGTTGAAGAGGTCGATACTGTCATGTTATTTCTGACTGCTCAATACCTATATCTGACTTTGCAGGGATCGAGTCGGATTGGAAATGCCGAAGCAGAATAGTAGAATCCTCCGAACTGGGTTTGCTTGATCAAATTTCCCACCGTCAAGAGTCTGAGCTTGGACAAAAAGTAAAGACGTCTCGGACATTATCACTGATAATGCTCTGGAGATTAGGTACGTAAAGTTTCTATCAAGTCTAATATTATTTTGGGACATCTATTGACATTCTTGCTGAGGGCTAAACGCTCGTCGATACTTTTTTACATGTTATAGACCTCCATGACCTCATCGCCTTCGAAGAGCTGATACTCCGTGTATCCTTCGTTCTGAGACAGAATCATTTCCTTTGCGACAAGGTCTTGAGCGGCAGGTGTCTTTGCAAGTTCTACCCAGGCATTATAGTCATCCAGGATTTCCTGAAAAGGCGGCTTGCCAACATTAATCCGTGCTTTTGCTGCTGCAATACCGTCGGCAGGGAACTTTGCAACACGTTGAGCAAAATTGTTGACAACAGAGCTCAACTCTGAATACTCATAAGCGCCATTAATCCAATTGACAGCGGCCGCATCCTCAGCTCCTATATCTTTACCGGAGATGACATACTCCATCGCCTTTGCTCTTCCGACAAGATTGAGCAAGTATGAGATACCTCCACCACCTGGAATCATACCAAGAGCTGTTTCAAAGTTTCCAAGGAAGACGCGATCTTTGGCCGCATATCGAATATCACATTGCAGAATAAACTCGTTTCCCGCACCGCGAGCTCTACCGGCAATTTCGGCAATGAACACGATCGGCAGCGTTGCAATTGCCTCAGTCGCATTTAGAAATAGCTTCACCTGGTCAATTGGAGCAGGCACATCTGCAAATGTGAGCGAAAGTACTCCGTAATTATTGTTTCCGACAGCAAGCTTACTTGGATGTTTCAACAATGAGAATTGAGCGATGAAGAACTCGGGATTCGCACTGTCAAATATGACTACCTTCACAGAGGAATCATTCTTCAGAGAGTCGACGAATGTCGCAAGGTCTTGTACCATCGACCAGTCCATGATATTGATCGGTCCGTGGTCGAAAGTGGCCCGCACAATGTATCCGTCTTGGCTAGTCTTGATGGTACCAAAAGGCATCGTTCTGTTGACTGGCGCCGTGACATTCGTGTCGCGACGCTGTAGGCTGTGAATATTGTTTACTGGACTACCAGCAACAAAGGCAATCGAAAAGAGGAGCCAAAGCCCTGAGAGCGCATGTTGGAAACTAAACCTCATGATGGCTACCAAAGATGAAAAAGTATATTTGAAGCCGTGGTCAGTTGGCAAGACGACGAATTGGAGAAGGTCTTCTTGAAACAAATCAATCAACGCTTTTGGCCACGGAAACTTTGATGAAGTTACGGATCCAAACAAGTCCTGCTGCAACGATATTTATGCTCATTGTACTCTGGGAACTTCCTCCTCTGACCATGCTTTGCAAGCAGTGTCCAAGGGCAATGACGAAGCCCCTGCTCAATCGAGGTCAGGATGCATACCGGCTAACTACAGGAAGATTCCTGAGCTCATTGAAGCAAAGAAGGTCCAAGAACCAGGTGACCGGACTAACCCATCATAGGAGCACGAATTTGTCAAAGCTAGCCGCAGCTACTCGGGGTTTATAACGGCGTCGGACATATGTGAGGCGTGTCTGAAGAGACGTGAACATTGCTTGGATGCTTAGAAATGTCTCATAGAGAGTAGCCTGATATTACAGAACATTACAAGCTCAGATTGGATGAGACTACTCTCGCAGGAAAGCCGAATCGTTTGGGACGGCAGCATGACGTTGAGGAGGCCATCATGGCTGGTCCAGGCAAACGGAAAGCATAAAGGCCGGCGTTCTCTAGTTTTCCCTCCCCGGTCCCTCGGTCGGACCCTTACTTCCCCGTTAAGTTTAGATGGGGGTTAGTTAGGAGTTGGTTGTACCGTCGCGCTTCGGCTATCGCCTTGCAAGCTAACCTTCAGTACCTCTTGAACCAACAAATCGACCACTATTAACAATAAAAAGATGGTTACACCGACTGGATGACTGATGACTGATGTCTACTATCGTTGTACGTAATCCAGGTGAGTGGCATGTATGGTGGGGTTGGGTCGGATTAGCAGCCCTTGTTGCAGCGGCCCCGACCAACAGTCTTTCATTATCCCTGTGGACAGCTATGCTGTCGCCTGTGGGATCCGAGTGAGATGGAAGGGCCCGAAGTCTATCTAAGAATCGGACTCTTATCAAAATGATTGATCCCATTAAACATCCGAACTCTGTTCTATCAGGCAGCGTTTGCAGTATATGCAATGTCAACCGGTGGAGACTGGCCATCCAAAGCTACGGGACTGTCAGCGCAAGGGGAGCTGTTTGGACAGGTGATTTCTGCATCGAACCGGAACTTTTAGAGACACTAATTCGTCATAACACAGGGAAAACGTCAGCGGTGGTTGTCTTCTGTCTCTTGCATTTGTTGAGAACGTTATCTTGACTCTCCTTGCAGCAGTATTTGACGTACCCTAGGCGATTCGATCGAACGACGCTGAAATTGAAGGCAATATGGAGCCTACAGATACATGGACCTGATATCACGGAAATATTCCGACATTGCATCACCAAGGGGAAGATGTTATTTCTTTTTGCCGAGTTTGTCAAGTTTGCTTCTTTCTGGTCAAACTATCTCTATCCATGCTCCCTATAGACGTTGAGTTCCACGAGACTATAGCAGCAAGCATGCTCCCGATCATTATTCCTTTTTCGGTCTTTCCATCCCCGCCTCTTGAAATAGATTTGGGTCCGTCTCTCCGCTAGACCGTGGTTCTAACTCTAGTCCTCGAAACTTTTATTCAGCGTGCCCCATATACGTGGGCATGTCCACAATTGCTCGGGTCTCCTCTTGGACTTCATACCAAGACTTTTGCCCTTCAGTCACATTGACGCTATTTCTTTGGGGATAGTACCCCTCAGGGTCCACATGTCTACTGTTATTCTCTTCGGTCCAGCTCCTCCTAGACATTCTTGGAGCAAGCATATTGCCGTGCTGTTACATTGGAATGCTTACTCCGATACAGCCCCAACGAGAAAATAGCAGAGCCAACGGCCCTCTATGAGACCTCTGTGGATCGCTCTTGAAGTATATACGTCACTTGGCTCCTGGCTCACTGCCCGGCTATCGGTCTGCGGCTATGCTTCAACATGACATCCGGACGGCACAGTTGGTCCAACCACCAACGTGAACAAATCCGTCATTGGCAATGGTGCTTAGAACTGGACAACACCATTGTCGAATTATGGGATTATAATATTATTTATTCTCGTCCGTAGCAGACGGACCTTTCCCTTTCTCTTTTTCTTCTCTGATCCATTCTCTCCCTTCATGAGTTATTAAAGCATCTTAGAGCTGGAACACACGTAAATAATACTTCATAACCCCCATACCTAATCCCATTCGCCACTGTCGCAGTACAGTAATCCACTTTCTCTATCATTTTCTTTTTTTCTTGTTTGAAGATGACAAATCAGAGCGAAAAGTACAGTAAGCAAAAAGTACACATTTCAAATAAATTGTCTACAGATGAGGAAGAAGATCTCCATTTCCCCCAGGGTCGCCGGGGTGGGTTTCATGTTCCATATCCGTCAAGTTTGTCCAGTGTCCACTGACCAAACAAACCTCGGCCGGAGTCACGGAGCAACAGTCACGGAGCCCATGTCACCTTTAAGTGCTTACTCCACCACATGTCCACCACCACCATTACAGCCATCACCCTGCTTTGTTGCGATCCCGTTTACCTGGTTTCTTTTTTTTTTTTTTTCTTTTTTTTTTTTTCCTCTTTGAAGTGTCACTGCACTGCCCTGCACTGCCCTGCATACTGGCACATCCCGCACCAATCAGGAATCAGGATTGTCGGTTGGTTGGTGGGTTGGGGGCTCGGGGGCCTAGGGTACCCGAGGGGAGGGGTGGTATACCGTATACTCGCTCGGATGCATCTTGCTTCTTTCTCCGTTTGCAAAGTACTACGTACTCTGTAAGCAGAAAATCCGTCCGTGGTTTTTTGTCCTTGGATTTTAGCCCTTGTCTTTGGTCTTTGTCCTTGGTCTTTAGTCTTTTGTCCGGTGTTTGTACACACTACTATATCACGTCTTCCTTTGCGCGTTACTCGGTATAAGTTCTGTGCCTTTTTTGTTTTTCGTTTTTTGTATTGTATTGTATTTATTTATTTTTTTCTTACCTTTTTTTTTTCTTTTGGAATATATTGTTTTTATGTTTTACTACAACGGCACACATACTCGGTTTACTTCTCTTCTCTTCTCTTCTTCTCTAATTTTTTAAGGCAGAGCTGTTAGTGCTTTAAGACAAGTCACACAGTCATAGTTGTTAGTATCCAATTTTGTAAGTAGAGCCGTAACCTGTTGGTATTAATACCCGTGTCCGGGGTGTAGAGGTAAACCGTCTACTCGTAGACGGTAGGTCGTAAGGCTGTCCCGCGTCCCGCTGTCCCGGGTACCACGACTCATACTGCATATCAGTCCTCCATTGACTCTGGAGTATCTGAAGTATCTGAAGAAAGTTGGAGATTGGAGATTGGAGATTGGAGTTTGAGGATTGAGGATTGAGGATTGGAGATCGGAGGTATAGTAATGTCACCTGCATCCATATCGACATTGGTAAAGTTCCGTTCTTCTCATAGTCGAACACGGACTTCGAAGTGGGATAGTATACGCCCGAGGACTCGAAGACTCGAGGAGAAATGAATAAATACATTATTATCGATTTTACAGGAGCATTCACAGGTCCCAGCTAGACATTGGACTAGGGAGGGAACCGGTGGTCGTCTTACTGTCATGTTATTTGGGCGCATATGTTACAGAGTACATTATGCAGAAAACGCATTGGAGTTTTGGATTTGTACAGGAATATATATATGTATATATGTAATGCTCAGGTAGGAAGACATATATATAATGTACTTGGATGCGAAGACATATATATAAAACTCGGGTAGAGAAGTTGTGAGAAGAAAGAACAGGGTTTCCTCGGAGATAAACTCGGATGATGCGTCTTCTGGCTATGACAAGGAATGGGATGGAAACTATGACAAGGGAATGGGATGGTAATGGCTGAACACGCCGAGCGGGTCGTATTGCTTCTTCAGCGCCTCCAAGCGCGGGAGTTTGCGCGCAGAGTAGAGCTGCTGAGGCGTCTCGTCGCCGTGAGAATAGCTCGAATAAACCTCGAGTCCGCCCGTGCCTGCGGTTGCGGCCATTGTGGCTCGCATGCGCTGAGCGTACCCAGTAATGGCGTCATCGAGAGCTGATGTGGTGTACTTGAACTCGAGGAGTCTATTTATACGAGGTATTAGTATAGAAATATTGGGGGGCGGGCGGGCGGGGGAAGGAGACTTTTGTGGGAACAAAAATGAGGGATTCGGATGGGTATAGCAGTGATCTGGGAACAAGGGGAAAAAAGATTTTTGGTGTAAAGCAACGACAACAACAACAGCAGCAGTAGGAGGCAACGGGATACTCACGCATGAGCGATAAAGTCGCGATATGGATAGGCTGTGGTGTCATCGGGCACGGCAACGGCTGCCTGGTTTGGCAAGAGCTGGAAATCGACAGAGCTATCAATGGCTGCAGGATACTCTGTAATCATTTCTTCAAACTGCTTCAGCACGCTGACGTATGTTGGTGGATCAATGTTTATGACGCCCGCCGCCCACTGGCTGCGCCGGTTGCCCTTTTCGCAAATCGCCGGGCCAGTGAAGCCAAAGCCAGCTGTCTGGATCAACTTATTCCACGGCACCACGGTGAAGTTTTGTACTAGCGGTCCCTGGTCAACAAAGGGTTGCACGGCTGCGCGGCCAGCATCTTCGGGACCGGCGTATACGGCGTTGACAGTAATGACAGTCTATGGACATCAGTTTATTGATCACTGGCATCGAGCATTACGCGCGGTGGCAGGATATTATGACTTCCTACTGTCTTCGGGATGCGAAACTCACCTGGTTGAAATCCTTGTCCCAATTGAACAAAACAAGAGCTGAAAGCTCAGGCGGCTGGTTTGCAGCAAGGCCTTTGAGCATGGTATACATGCTCTCTGTCTTATTTGCAGCGAAGATGAAGTCTGCGTTGAAATGCTTTCCCTGTGGTACTTGATCGTAGATTTTGTAGGTTGCAGACAGAATAATCCCAAAGTTGTGACCTGCTCCGCGGATGCCCCAGAACAAGTCCGCATTTTCCGTCTCGGACGCAGTTACTACACAGCCATCTGCGAGTGCAATTCTGACAGAGAGCAGAGAGTCGAGAATCAAGCCATGCAGGCCCTGGAGTCGACCGACGCCACCTCCAAGCGTTGCTCCTATCAAGCCAACGCAGGAACATGAGCCGGTCGCTGGAGTTTAAGATGTTAATTATCAACAACAAAGTAGATACGGGGTGGATGTGGCAACTGACGCATTTCCTTGCCCGCAGCATAGAGCGCATCAATCACATCTTCAAAAATGACTGCGCCGCCGGTAGTCAACTGGTTCGCTTGGGCATCGACGTGGATTTGATTGAAGTTTTTGAGGTCAATCTCAATGCCATTCTCAATGGATGCCAGAGTCAAAGAGTAGCCATGGCGTGGTGATGATGCTAGGAAACTAATGTTGTTATGAATCGCATAATTCATCTGCGGACAGCGTGTCAGCTACCATGTTTTTTTTTTTTTTGCCAAAGAGAATCGTTGGACCATAGTCGGAAAAGCTGGCTCGTAGCATCTTATATAAAAGGGGGCAAGACGCACCGTCTCAACCACATCTTGTTCGGTTACAACCTCCACGGCTGCTTGATACGTGGGCGCGCCCAAGGTCGTCCATCGAATAGTCTGATTGACGAATTCAGGTGATCCTTTTAGAATAATTTGAGCCCCGGGCGATAATTTGGGCCCTAGTGTAGATGATATGTCGGCCCGCGGATCAAGCTCCAGCAACGGAGTTGCTTGGATAGCCACTGATCCGCAAAGCAGCACGCACAAAGTCGAAAGAAGATGGCGATAATGAGGTGAAAGCATTTTTATTTGTCAAATAACAATAATAATGAGCGTATTGCAACCCTTCGATCAGCTCCAACTGGTGCGGCCCTAAGATCCATCGCGGAACCTAGATCTTATATAATTTTCAATGTCGAAGGAACACTTTTGCCGTAGACAAGATAGTATCGTGAAATAGCCCCCACTGTGATTACTTGCCAGGGGCGTCGTCGCATATTATGCCCAGCTGACATTTGTAGTATTAGATTTTAGTAAGACCGAGTTCTGAATGTTGCAAATATCGGAGATACCCCTTGGTGGATCCGAGTGTAGTGCTGACCCATCCCGTTATACACGTTCCTGGACCCGAGTATCAGGCGGCAGAGCATACCAGGGCCAGGGGGCGTAGTCTGGGGTTGTACACTAGAATGTCGTCTCAGCCACGATTGTGTACTCGATCTTGTATGCAAAGACCAGTAGGTCAGAAGAATTTCAAGGTCGACCTGGAAGGGGCAAATATCAGACGAGGCGTTCATCGCTAGAAAGTTTAGGACACAGTGGGCGGTACTCCACCCAGCAAATGCAGCACTATGACGATCGGGGGCGGAAAAGCCATAGCCTTGCAGCAGCCCAATGCATGGCGAATCCAGCATTATTGAAGCCCACGTGCTGCGGTGAGATCAGCCTTCTTCTGCAGGCAGCACCAACGAAATGAATTGAACTAGAGACATGGCGTGTTGGTGGCTCAACCTCTTGTATGGTGATCAAATAATACGCCAATATTTCCCCTTCTCGGGGAGGGGTTGCCTGAATACATCTGGCCCGTGTCTGGCGCCATGTATTACTATGAAGAGGCGAGCTCACGGTAGAGAAGACACAAAACATACCTTATGATGAAAAAGCAACTCCACGTCCTTGAACCGAAAGTATTAAACGAACAAACCACGGCGGAGAACCTCATAACTGGAGCTAGCTGGTTATGCATTGCTCTCTGTACGCAATTGAGGTCTACAGAGTGGCCTGAGTTGCCCTAGGCTGGCTCGATTTGCATAGTAATTGCTGTCTTGGGCAGCGAGCCGAAAGCATCTCCTCTTAAACACGATCCAATACACAAGATGAGAACAGCAGAGATCATTTCACATTAAAGAACTATTAATCACATGAGTTGCTTGCCTAGGGCCACACGTCTCATCTTTAGGAATTGGTTCATCAAAGGCTGCGTGGGAATGGATATTACTGTTGATTTCACTTCTCTTTCACGGGGTTGCAAAAGGTCAATTCACCCTTTCATGGCTGGAATTTCCGCCGTGCTTGGCCCGGAGCATCTATATTCGCTCATCTACCCAAAATATCTACCGGGGTAGCGTAATTCATAGAGACATGGGGATCCAAAAGGAGAAGGGAGCGATCAGCAAACACATTGGTAATGATGATTCTGCCTATGTACGACGAATTGGTCAATAATATCTTGAGAGAAAAGTATAAAAGCATATACACAAACTGATGGATGACCTGTAGCATTTCTTCATCGGATAAGAAGTCCAAGAAACATTTGAGAAACAAACCGACGAGAAAACCTTGGCCCAAGCTATATGGTAGAGTTGTTAGCCGGAAAGAACGGCACAACGGCCTGTGAATATGTAAGCGCCACGACGATAAAACTCCGCTTTTGGAAAATCCCGAAATCAGACCATTCAAGCATTCGATAACAGGTAAAAAAGTATGTACGGCCAGGCCCATATCCGTCATCAGAACGATCCATACCAGTTGAACGCCTAGCCAGATGTTTATTTGCATTTATATCTAATAAAAGCTTCGCACCTATAGGCTCAACCGATCGAGACTGAGTCGGTCGATGCTTCGGTGCCTTTTCGCCATCCCAAGCTTGTAGAATCGCTCTTCGCCTCCTGCTGTGCGACCGCCAATGTACCACTTCTCGGCACCCAAGGCATCGCGAAAGCCCTCTGTCGAGCTATCAGATCCCCTTCGTTGCCGGCTTGCACTACCCGCAACGCTACCGTGGCTGCTTGGGCCAGGAGCGCCGGCTGATCTGGACAAGGGCGAAGTCTGCAAATGACCTGCTGCCTGCACCGCGGCAGTTGTGGCGCCGTTCGAAGACTGGCCGGCCTTTGTGGCTATCGAACGAGGAGCAGAAGCCGCATTCTGCGAGATGGCACTCGAAGCCGAAGCGTAAGTGGATTGAGACGAATTTGGCGGGCTTGAGGACGGAGTGGCAGCAGAAGCTTTTTGTATAGCCGAATGCGCACGAAAAGCGGCGAGGAAATTGGAGAAGAATGGCCGGTTGGTTGGCATTGTTGAAGCAGTTGTCGCGGTCGTCGTCGTCGTCGTCGTCGTCGTCGTCGAGAAGACTGCTGAGGGAATATAACGAGGAGAGAATAGAAAAGCGCTCGGACCTCGTGAAGACAGGACCAGGACTTCAGTATTATATTTAAGACTGCATATGGGCAAAATCCGACAAGCTGAACGGCCCACTTGTCAAAAGGCACCGTTTGTCTTCTTGAATCGCTTTGAAATATTAATCTGGGAGCAGCAATATTGAGGAGCCGTACGTCCGGAGTCCGACACCTCGGTAAGTGCGTCGGAAACACGAGGAGGGCTTAAAGCTGAACGAGAGTGACAACTCGGGTCGCAACGGAATGCGTTTTCTCGCCTTCACGAAGGGTGTGGCCGAGGTGAGATGCGGCTGTGGGAGATATGACCCTTTGTACGTCTTCCTCACTATTTCGTGGCTGCGAGAGATTCGGCCTGTTATTTATTGTCGATGGTGAGTAACTCAATGCCCAGTTGGATGATGGGTAAAGTCCAAGTGGGGAACGGAAGGAAGTGGGAGCGGGAGTATATAATAGGCGTCGTGTAATAGGTGGGTTTGTGCGTGTGGAGAATTCTCGGGAGCGGAGAGTTTTAGCTTCCACGCCTTTCCTCCTTCTGGACAATCAGTTTCCTTAAATCCACAGCCCACAACTACTCTGGTACTAAACGGCGGGTATTGAAAAATAAAGAATAAAAAAAGTATTAAAAATAAAATAAAACGGACAATGAAAAGAAAAGGGAGTGTCCATGAAGCAGGTATCACAGAAAGAATGGAATAAGAATGACTTTACTGAAAGATCTCTAGGTTGATCCATCGACTGTGCCGCTCTCTCCTCTCGACATTATAGCATCTGCACGTCATTTACACTTGTTTTTCTGCCTCGATAGGTGTTTCTGTTTTATCAAGATGATCATCTTGATGCTTCAAGTGTTACTTTCAAAGGCAGAGCTGGCCGTTCTGAATTCTATTCAATGTTGTCTTCTTCCAAAATCAATATTTCATTTGCATCTCTGAAATAGCGCTATTTAATCAGGCACTGATATTTCCATCATAAATTTCGCCAGTCATATTGCTTTTGCCTTCTGTAATCTTAATGAAAGCATCGCACTAGTTTCATCATCTCTCTCTCTCTCACTCTCATCCCATGTCGGTTGAACGCAAGCTCATAACTTTCCCACAATTCCGAAAAGTCCACCAAGCTTTGTGAGGAAGAATTGTCTGAATCGGCGAATGAACCTTCTAGATGGATGGAGAACCTTAAAGGTATCAAAAAGCGAGACCGCAAGTGTCGCAACGTTTCATTACGGATCATTACTCTTTTGAAAATCGACTGTTGCATTTGTATGCAACGTTTCATGCTAGTCTCGGCTTTGATCCTGATCTTCATGGCACAATGAGAACGCTACATAGCTTTCTCAGCTCATGCGGCTTTGCAGGAAAGATTCCAACAGAAATTCTGCAGTCTACAAATGGGTTTCATTTGAACAGACAAGAGCTCGTCACAGCCCTCAATATAAAAAGGGGGGAGATCCGTCTTGGTTGAAGCAAAAAAACGTACAAATTTTCCCAGGATTCCAATTTGTGATAATTCTATCTCCGGCTTGTCTCATCGCAATTCCAAACGGACTTGTTTTCAGCCATGTCGTTGGCAAGTCTTCGAATCAATAGTCTGTACATCGTCATGCATACAAAAGAAGTTGAATTTGCAGATATACCAGGACCTCTCCAATGGTCGATGTATTTACACCTTGATGGCAGAACCGGCGGCATGAGATATCGCATAGAATGTGCGAGAGGTAATTCTATTGCCAATCATGGTCACACAGCTGCAATACTCAAATCTATCGGCCTCATTGGACTCATTCGAATTGCCAACCTACCGGATGGTTTGGAGATTCCCAATCTCGTTGACAGCATCATGAGAGGATTTGACAGCCAGCTCAATACTCTTCAACTCGACTCAAGAACTTGGACTTTTAGATTACTTGAGCTCCTACAGCAGCCCTTATCTGGGCATACAATTCTCGTTTGCAACAATCTCGAAGCGCTAAGACAAGAGGCGGAGGCCTGGGGGAGATCAAATGTAATGGACGCTGAAAACAACATCCAGCCACGACCTATCCATGACTCTACCCATTGCAGGCTATAGGAGTCGCGCCGAGAAAGAATGTCTCAATGGGCGGTCTTCTTGTTGAACCGTACACACACTGCATATGGAAATGATTGATGGATAATGCATGCTATTGAGATTGACAGGAAAATTAGAATAAACACACATGGCTCTAGGAAGCAAATTGTACATTAAATCACCCCCAATATGAAAAGCATGTAATATTGTGGCGACCCCGGTCGTAATCCGCCTCTTTCATGTAATCTTTCGCACCCAACTCCACTATAAAATCATACCACCAAAAGGTTTTGCGCAATATTCTCATTGATGTAGTGTACTCCCAATACTCCGGATACCAACCAGCAGATTCCCAGTCGATGAAGCCTGATACATGCCCTTTGTGGACCATAATATTGTGGTGCTTTAGATCACCATGCGTGAACACGATCCTGTGGTTTATTGAGTGAAATTTCTCCGCCTTCGCTAGGCGTTCGGCATACACCTCTTCTGTCATTTCGTTTATCCATTTCGGAGCCAATAAATAATCGTTGAATTCGTTTAGAGATTCAAATGGCCCGCCAGACTCATGAGGGATACGAACACTCCGAAGGGATGTCCCAGTTACAGAGCAAACCCGGTCGCTGCCCCAAGGACTTTTCCACTTTCGCATTATACTCAGGTATTTTTTCAGATCCTGCATTATTTGGCCTCTCTCAGTGTCTTCGAGTGTATTATATACTTCACCCAGCTCCTTGCCAGGAAGACGACTCATAAGGATAGAGACAGGGGCGTGCGGCATGTGAGGATGAAAGCCGTAGCAAAGGACCAAAGGCGCGGGAAAGCCAGCAGCCCGGACAACTTGCGTAGCAAGGTATTCTTCAGCCCGCGTGCCATCGGACCACTTTATGATCAATCCAAACGGAAGGTCTATAATCCCATTATTCCATTCCACCCCGTACCACGGGCTATAATATCGGTAGGAAAACTCCTTAAGGTAATAGTGAACGTAAGCCCAAAACTTGGCGACGAGAGGATGATGTGGCTTGGGGACGGGCGGCATTGGCATATCGGGTTGCAGTCGCTCTGGACATGGCCAAGTCCACTCCGGCGAGAGGAAACGTTTAATCAGTTCAAACATTCTGGTTGCGCGTGCGAAGAAAAATGATGTGTAGTAAAGGTATATGAAGGATCTCTTGAATTTGTGAGTAATGGTATTTCATCTTCAGAGGCGCGATGGCAGTATTTATGTAAAATAATGCAGAGACGTACAACAATGGCTGCCGCGCGCCCATTCACAACCTCTTCCGGAGATAAAGTTCGAGTCCTGGGCACCCATTCCAGACTTTGTTCGAGTCGTCAACACTCAAAGTTCTGGACCATGGAGGAGTTCCTGCAACTAGTCGTCTCCCGAGCCTGTTTTCTTTGATCAAGTACGATGTGTACTTTGCGAGCGAAAGCAATCTATTGACATCTATTATCGGCTCACCATGAGGCATTCAAGGCGACAAAGGGACGGAAGCTTGTTTTCACAACTATGCAAAGCGAATCACATTTTCTTCTGCAGCTGGTTGTGAAAGACTTTGAATGTCAAGTCCTTCCAGGTGACTGTTTCCGGTAGTTATCATTCAGTCCCAAAATAGTTCTTTATGATGCAGACGCTGTTCTTCCAAAAACAGCCATCAGAACTTCAGAAGTAATATCAGTTTGTGTGGCTGAACAAAATATTAGTTGATAATGACTGACCCTTTGTCGTTCCTGACCAAACAGCGACACTAAAATGCACCACTGAATTTTTTAACTGCAACTACAAGAATGCAAATGCAGCCTAGTTATTTTTTAGTTCGAACTAGAGGTGTCAAATAACAAAAGTTTGATTGAGATTTCAACATCTCATGGTTCCAACGAGTGGATGCAGTGGGGCTGAACATGATTCAAAAGTCGTGCCATATGAACTCAAGGATAAGGATTTCCGGATTCGACCTTTTCCTTGTAAATTTTGCACTCCATTCAGTTGTTCTGGTAACCCGGACAGAATAAGTTTCGGAGCCGTAACAAAGAAACGGCTGCGGGCCACACTCGAGGCCGAACACTATGAAAAGATCGAGTTCTTTATCAAAATCAAGAACCACGTTGGCATCAATTGGATACATTGTTCATTCCTCAAAAGCCGGACATTATTCAAAGGTCTAAAGAACCGGCCACTGATATGGACCTATGGTTAGAGATAGACTCGATAAGCTAAGATCCCAAAGCGTGTAGTATTGGCACTTGTAGGGCTCACCTATGTCAACTATTCCTTGTCGTATGAAGACACTCATAATAATAGGTTTAAAACACTTGGGGGAAAAAATAATAATGGTTCAGCCCAAAGCAATAAGTTGATATCCATCTCCTGTGGCTGTGCGATCATAAATCACATGACTCAGCCACAGAGAACATGCCGACCAATCCGAGGTGGAAAGTCGCGCTTACCTAATTCACGATTTTCATTGGCCCCATAGACATTCAGCGCTTCCCATCGCAACCTTGGACAGCAGCAGAAGAGGATTCCCAATTCCAAACCTACAACCTTCACAGAGGCCATCCGTTCCTCTCTTGACCATTAGACATCATGGTATGGTTTTTGTTCTCGAAATCCCTGGTGCAATTGCTTTACTGACTGCGGCTCAATTAGTCTGCCGCCTGGAAGCCTTCTATGCCCTTCGTCCTTCGGCCTTCGTACCCGACTTACAAGTCGCCGTACGGCCCTATGTGAGTCAAGCATCTGCTCAATCTCTCTTCCTTGGCATGTTTTTGCTGACTATAAATAATAGCTACAAGGCCTCTCCTAACTTCCACGGCATCGATGCCCGCCAGGCCCTGAGATTGTACGCTGACCCCTTTCGAACCAATCCTTTCACTCTCGGCGAGATCGCAAGCTAAATTATTTTGCAGTGGTGGTACCATTGCCGCCTTTACTGGTGTCGCTGGTGTCTTCTGCCTCTACTTCTTCTCTGAGGTTCCCCGTGTGCGCAAGGACATTATGCAGGTGCGTCCAAAATGAGCAATTGCTGCTCCATTCATGCCATTGGAGAGGGGTGCTGGAAGCAGTGCAATATGCTTTGAAAACGGAGTATACTGATACCATGGTTTACAGAAAATCCCCGTGGTCGGCGACTTGTATGTCAAGGAGATTCCTGCCTCTGACAACGTATGTTCTCCGTCCCCTATCTAGCAGAGATTATGATACTGATATCACTTTTCCAGCCTTTCTAAAGGATTTTTTTCTTGCTTCTGCTGAATGTAGCATGGCGTGGTTGATGCGAGCCTAGAACGTTATATCTGGGAGCTGTTTGTCGGGCCGCTACGAGACTCTATAAGCAAATAATTGTGAATATAGACCAATTTTGTACAACGCTACCTGTATCACGAGCAAGATCAAACTGGAGAAACTTTCAACTGTGAGCCCTATTTATTTGGCTATCGTTGTCGATACCGTGCATCTTCCCGGCCCTCCAGCCATTCCACGAACCGCTATGATAGAAATCTGGATACACGCGCAACGACCGATCAAAGTGAGTGTACAGGGAGAGCGTGGAAGGGAACCATATGCAAATGCAAATTATCTCCTGAGGAAGAAGCGTCGCTAAATGCCCGTATATGTGTGAAAATCGTCAAAGCCCATCCGATGAGCTAGGCCCGCTCTTGTCTATGCCACTAGATTTAAGGACTTTGAGTTTGTGGCATATGTGTACCCCGTTCAAAGTATGTCCATTGACCTTCGGCTGGTTTTTCTTCGAGGTCTTCCCATCTGTACAGATATGAGCGCTGAGCTGGCATCATTAAGGTCATGTAGAATGGCCAATGGGACAACTTACACTCGGTTCTGGGCTATCACATCTGCAAGCTTGAGTTCACCTTCGGCGACTTCAATGACCTCTTCTATGAGGCCAGCGCCTATCTGGTTTTCAAGCTCGGCAATCCTATGGAGAGATAATATTAGAGGATGACAGTCTTACATCCAGGGGATTGGCTCGACATACTGGCTTGCTTCAAGCAGAGGCTCCGGGTCCCACTCAACCGTTTTGGACGCTTCATATTCGTCATGGGCGAGATTTTTCTGGCCTGCACGCTCGGCGCTCGTTCTCGTGCCTTCTAGTTCTGGCGGCCCTACATGCTCTCCATCCCACTCTTCCTCCCGCTCGTCCGGTGGCTCTCTCAATTCTGTGGCGACAAAGGTGCGACCATGATGGCTAATCTTTTGACTTCGACCAGCTTGCGGACCGCTTGACTTGAAGACCTCCGGGTGTGTTTCCATTTCTTTGTTGATTTTGGCTAGCCAAGTTTCATAGCCAGGTGGCTTGACACTCTCTACAATTTGCAAGCGGTGCTTCGTCAATGCTTCAGTTGATTGGCGGTACACGCAGGATTCTGGCATGCTCTGAAGCTTGTCCAGAGTCGCACTGTACAAATAGAGCAGCGTCGAGCGAGGGGTGGGGTGCGTGAAGAGCCCAGTCAGTCCTGTAGGACTGTTGGGCTCCAGGTAACGTGCCGGCTTAAGGGTGGCCAGCAGTCGCGTAGTTGCTCGCATGGTTATATCGATTTCTTGTAGATTCTTTGAAAGGAAATACCCAATTTCAAAAAAAAGGCAATTAGCTGCCAGTTGGCTTGATGGTTATTTGATGAAGCAAGTGGACTTGGTATAGATGACCAGCTTGACTGAGACGTGACGTTGACAGGTCAACGAACCCCAACTATTGGGAATAGCGGGCTGCCTTGAATATGGGGGGCACCACTTCCATACAGCGCTACAGTACCACTAAGTTACGGCTGGGGTACGGGTATACGGGGAACGACATGCCGGTAGCGCTTCGTACCGAGGACCCTCTGTCGAAAAAGCTAAGTGATGATTGGCGGGTTGAACGAGACGTGATTTGCGTTCTCGGTCGTTGCTTTTCTAGCAAAAAAAGCGACTTGCAACTTATGTCAGCGAAGGAAAAGCCAAACATGGCAAGGACGGTTGAGCTTTTCGGATGTTAGGTATCTCTACTTTTCCACTGCACCAAAATATTGAGAGATCCGATGTACCTTATTCTCCCTGTGGCACACCACCACTCCTTTCCATTCTTGGAAAAAGATCTCCCTTGGCCGCGAACGATTCCAGCTCCCCACGACGTCCAACTTGTGCATTCGCTATACGTCTTGGCCGGCAACCTTATACCCTCCTGACCTCTTGCATTTCCACACCACTTCGGCTGAAAGCTCGTCAGAAAACTTCACATTGGATTCGATGATCTTCTGACTTTCGCCCTCTAGCCCCCCAACGTCCATAACGTCGTCTGCCGCCACCTGTGTTCTTCGACTCCTGTCTTCACTCGTTACCGCGTTGTTTTGGCACCTTTCATCCGCTGGCCTTCTTCTCTATAGACATCAACCAGTCGACTGGATATTGGCTGCTCTTCAGGCTCACGACTGGCTGGAAAGCTAGAGGATACGAGTCCCAGGGACTGAAGCTGAACCGATCACAATGCGGTTCCTTCTCCCCGTTTCATTGGTTTCCCTGCTGCTGTCGCCAGTGATAGCAGCGCCACCGCCAGAATACACACCTGAAGCAACTGGTGCGGCAGCCACTGGCTCCTCTTTAAACTCGCAATCGATACGCGGCGAAGATTCTGAGGGAGCAGGAACAGTTTTCAATGGCGTCAATGTACCTCCTATGAAGGAAATCAACGGTGCGAAGTTTGACGAGGAGATTAAGGACGGCTATTGGTACGGCTTTGATAGCGCATTCCGGACATGGCATGCTGTGATAAGTGCTATAGAATGCTGACTTCTGAGTTAGGCTTGTGGATCATTATTCACCGTATTGCCATCATTGCCAAGCATTGGCTCCGATATATCAGACGCTCTACGAATTCTATTATGTGGGTGATGCCGCCGAATATATTGCGCATGCAATAGAAGCTAATTTTTTTTTTTCTAGACTTCAAATCCTGTTCCATCAGCCCCGGAACCTGCAGGTTCCTCTTCTCTAAACTCTTTTCGTCGGTACTACAAATTTAACTTTGGCAAGCTTGATTGTGTGGCATACGGAGACACTTGCGAGAAGAATGATGTCAATGCTTGGCCGACTCTGTCTATGTTCAAGGATGGCAAACTCCTCAAGGCTTTCACTGGCGTCAAAGATTTGGAAAGCCTTAGCGCTTTTGTCGAGGAGACTTTGGAGTCAATTCGGCCTGGATCTCGACCGAAAGAAGGGTTACTGTTACCAGAGGTTGGCGCTTCTCATGCTCCGAAGCAGGCAAAGCCCAAGCGCACTCCGAACCCTGCCGGCCAATCTGTCCCACTGAACGCGGAGAGCTTTCAGTCTTTGGTCACGACAACTCAGGATCCTTGGTTTGTCAAATTTTACGCTCCTTGGTGCCACCATTGTCAGGCCATGGCTCCGACGTGGGCTGAGCTTGGCATACAGATGAAGGAGAAGCTGAACATTGGCGAGGTTAATTGCGACGAGCAGAGCCGCCTGTGTAAGGATGCAAAAATTTCAGGGTTCCCCACGCTGCTATTTTTCCGGGGAGGCGAGCGTATCGAGTACGAAGGGCTTCGCGGCTTAGGCGACTTGCAGAGCTTCTCTAGCAAGGCTCTGGCCATTGGAGAAGGTGTGCGTCACGTCAATGCTGCAGAGTTTGAAGAGCTGGAGAAACAGGAGGAAGTGATCTTTGTGTACTTTTATGACCACGCCACCACCTCCGAAGATTTTGAGGCCCTTGAGCGCTTAACATTGAGCCTTATCGGCCACGCGAAGCTCGTCAAAACAGATGACCAATTGCTGGTTAACCGATTCAGGATTTCCACCTGGCCGCGCCTGCTTGTTTCTCGTCAAGGACGCCCAACATACTATAACGCCCTATCACCGCGCGACATGCGCGACTTCCGCAAGGTTTTGGACTGGATGCAATCCGTTTGGCTCCCTATCGTCCCCGAACTGACTGCCTCGAACGCTCGCGAGATTATGGATGGGCGTCTTGTGGTACTCGGTGTTCTGTCTCGCGAACGTTCTGGCGAATTCACTGCGGCGAAGCGTGAGATGACCAATGCCGCTTTGGAATGGATGGATAAGCAGACTCAAGCCTACCAGCTTGAGAAACAGGAGCTCAGGGACGCCAAGCAACTTCGAATAGAGGAGGCCGAGGACCGTAATGATCAGCGAGGCCTCCGAGCGGCAAAGAGTATCCGCATTAACATGGACGATTTTGAGCGAAAAGAGGTTGGATTTGCCTGGGTTGATGGTGTTTTCTGGGATCGCTGGGTTCGAACCACGTACGGAATCGATGTCAAGAACGGCGAACGTGTCATTATCAATGATGAAGATGTAAGTGAAATGTTGGAGCATTTTCCTTGGAATCCTCTCATCCATTGGGGAAGGACTTTTGGGCCCAGTGGTCTGCTTTCGAAATGTCTCTTTGGTCATTTATTAACACATGTGTTTTACAGAACCGACGATTCTGGGACCAGACCATTACTGGCAATTACATTGTTCCATCGCGGACTTCAATACTCGAGACACTTCCAAAAGTAGTAGCTTCTCCGCCCAAGCTTACGCCGAAATCTACTGCTGGCAAGATTGAGACCGTCTTTTACTCTGGACGAAGGCTGTCTTATGAACACCCTTTCCTCGCGCTAGGCCTCCTCATTGGCTTCGTATGTGGTCTGTCACTATGGGGCCGTCGCCGCATCCGACGCGCGCGTGGTCACGGTGGCGGGTTCTTCCACCTCGACGGCAGAGAAGGTCTTCTTGGGGTTGGCGGAAACAATGGAAAGGTGGATTAAGCTATTTTCTATTGTTTCGATTGTTTAACTTGGTTGTTTTGCTCTGTTTAATTTTCCTGGAGAGTGGATAGAGGTTCCCTTTTTTTTTCTCCTTTGCATGCGCAACTTTTACATTCTAACTACCTACCTACTTCATTCTTCTTCTACTTCTACTTCTACTTCTTCTTCCTTGTAATAGGTGTACCAAACTCTGGCCGCGCTAATTGCGCCAAATATTTTGCGTGTCTCTATTAGAAAAAGAGCTTTTTAAATTCAGTGAATATCGTCTACTATCATGTCCCATAACTTTTCAAGAAAATGAAAATACTTGTTGGTACTTGTTTGGCTATGCACCGGAACTCCAACGAGCTATTGACATAAGGTCCCGAAATTTGTATGTACAAGCAGCCATCTACTGAGCAAATAGTGCTCATTCCCCCCCCCCCCCCTTCCCCCAAAAAGCCAAGTAAAAAGTATTCGACACATTCCGAGCCACAGCCCCGGTAGAGAGAACGAATGACGGTGGAATCTGGAGATCTCTGCTTGTTATCATAGAGAGCCGTGTGCCATATTGATGCAATTTGTATGTGATCTTGGAAATCACTTTTACTTAAAGAACTTTTTGTTTCTGGAAATAGACAGCGCTCTTGGACTATTCCAGACAAAACCTCGTGAGAAACGGATAATTTGCAATGTAGATATACGGTCATGATATCCCCCTTTGTTAATTGCTGCGTTTGAGCGAAGAAAATTCCGGAAAAAAAAAATACAGAAAAATTACTTCGGCTTTTATTTTTTATTTTTATTTTATTTTTTTTTGGGATGAGGCGGAAGGAGGTATGTAGAAATGGAGGAAGGGAAAAAAAAAAAAAAAAGAAAAGTAGCGACACTTGGTTTCGATCCAAGGTCCTCCGGGTTATGAGCCCGGCGCGCTTCCGCTGCGCCATGTCGCTGTGACTTGTTGAAAGGAGTCTGCTAAACTCAGTTTGGTTCGTGTGAAACAAAACTGTCTGCCAAAATACTTTCTGGCCGAACTAACCCGACAAGGGTCGAGGACTGATAAACCCATCAGGCGGGGCAAGATAGTAACGAAGTCAACCGCCGACTTCTCGGGACAGCATGGGAGGAGCGAGTGAGTACCTAGGCAAATAGACGGAATGAATATCAAGTATGTAAAATATTACTTTCAAATCGAATCCGTGGCAATTGAGACTGGTAATTTCGAGTGAAATTTCAAAGATTGAAAGTGAAGCAGGTACGTGTAGGTAGGTAATAACGGGCTGATTTCAAGCACACGGGGGGTCCTTGTCATTAGATAGTCGCTCAACCTGTACCGTGCATCTCCATCCCCCGCCCCGGGGTCCCCCTCCTCACACCACTTGATGAACCAACCGCGGTGAAATATTTTTTTGAACAAGGGGAGCCGGAGTAAGTTCGTACAGAGTACAAGGGTACTAACAGCCTTGATATCTAAGGTATCGTCTCTACGAGTACTGAGATAGGATTGTTTCTCATTCGACGCCTATTCTCTGACACTCCTTGGTCAACCTATCTGGCCTGACCCTTCTCTCTTTTACGAATGAGTCCTTTCTGAAAGTCGAGACCATGAGTTTCCATGGAGACAATGTCCCGGTCGATGTTGAGCAGTCGAGATCTTCAGCAAGAAGAACGGCGAGCCCGATTAATAATTCAAAAACAAGTCATAAATCCACGAGGCATGTGACTGTGTATCTTACTGGTTGCGGGGTAGGTTTGGTCTTCTTTCCTCCCGTTGTAAAGATTGTTGCGAATTGTCATATTTTTTTCCTTCCTGTAACGAAGATGCTTTTTACATCCTTTGTCGTTTTTTGACTCTGGGTTCCTTGTTTCAAGTCAGCATGCAGGATGTGCAGTTGCAATGAGCCAATGACGACCCTACTCTGTCTTTTTTATATGTATGATTTCATTTCTTGATCCAGAGATCTTAAACGCAAATTTTATTGGATGAAACAGTAACAGGCCAATTTTTGGAAGATTTCTGGTCATGATTTCAAAATGCCAACATCCAAACTTGCATATGAATGAAGAAAAAATACAGCACAGTTGCTCACATTTCCATTGTTTCACAAAAGCCATTTGGCGATCTTCTGGATCGAAATCCGTCATTCGAAATCGCCTCCAAAATTCGATCAGAGTTGATCTTCACATTTGATTCGAACGACAACCAAACATCCACTTCTGGCGGCGCTCTTCACCGGCCATCCGATGCAGCTTATGCTCATGATCCGGAGCATGCTAGCACCAACAGCGCGAGCTCCTGTAACGCAGAAAACTCAACCGCCGCGAAAGATGCGAGAGATCCAAAGCACGAATACACGTACCGCGTCTCAATATGTTCTCGACCTACTCCACTTTTCGTCTCGTACGAGTACGTCCGAGAGACAGTCCCTGCAATCTGGGACGAAAGTCTAAGCGCCAAGACTATCCCTACCGGCACGAGCAGCAGTCACGGACCGGATGATCGAGAGGAAGATTGGGTTTTTATCGAGAAGAATGATATCCAAACGCACAATGCTCATGTGCATGGAAACGAAGAAGAGAAGAAGGAGGAGGGGGACCATCACCATCACGTCCCTGCATTCGACTACATAATCCACCTCGGCGCTGGTTTTCCTGGAGAATACCAGATCGAAACAATCGCCTGGTCAAAAGGCTACGGCGGACTAGACGTTGATGGGAAACCTGGACCATCTCCTGCGCGGAACCCCGAGACTGGACGACCGCTCGATGACGGAGAACGCCTGGAGACGAAATTGCCCGTTGCGGACATTGTTGAGCACGTCAAACGCCGGGCTCGAGATCAGCTCCGGGATGATGAGGACGATGACGCGATGAAGATCAAGATCAAGACATCACGCGATGCGGGCCGGTATCTATGTGAATATATCTTCTATAATTCTCTTCGTGCCGGCGTGACGCGGTTAGGACCAGAACTTGGCACGAGCAAGTCGCTCTTCGTCCATGTCCCTAGAGAATACGATGACGAGTGGATTCAACGCGGAGTGCGGGTGTTGGAGTGGATCATAGAGGGGCTAGTAACGCAGCTGGCTCGGAAAGAAGGATGCAATATGGATTAGGGATGACTTTTTTTCCCTTCTCTTTTTGTCCCTCTCTTTCTTTTTTCCCCCCCTCTTTCTCTTTTTCTTTTTTTATTATTCTTCCTGTTTTGTGATAAGCTCGTACAATAGCCTGCTAGGTCTGCCAGCGTATGCGTTTTTTTGTTTTTTTTTTTTGTTTTTGTTCTTTTTTTTTGGTTTGGGGGGGGGGGGGGGGGGGGGGGGGGGTTGTTTGTATTTTTATTTTATTTTATTTTTTATGGTTTTTGGTTTTCATGCCTTGCAATAGAGTACCATATCAAAGATCCAGCGATAGTCAACAGACACCACCGTATACCCATTTCACCCACACTGCAGCACTCTTCATCTTCTCATTCAACCTTACGCGCACTATACCAAGGCGCACTTCACAGATCGAGGATCATTCCAACTGTAATATGATAACATCCTATGCACACTCCAAGTGATCTTCTCTCTTTATCTTGCAATTCGTTCTCCAATATATATATAAACATGACCTTCTTGCCATACATAGAGCAACGACCAGTACTATATCTACTTCTAGACAGACGGACGGACGGACGGACGGACGGACGGACTGACCTGCTGTGCGATAACAAACACATTTCTTAGAACTCACAGGGAGCATACAGTCACCTGTCGCTCCAGCAAATTCGAATTGCATATGAAATGGAATTCTCAATTGCCGCAGTACAAAGGTGTGCTGTGCGCACTACAATTAATCCGAATTGCATTGACAATTGTTATCTTTCGTTCCCTCAAGCTGAGAGAATACTGGTTGTGCTTGACTCTTGACGGTTACTGGATTTTTTTTTCATAAGTCGAGTATAGTCTTTCTCCGAAAGATGCCCGTTTGATCTAAGCAGATGCGATGCAGTAATCTATAAATCTATAAGTCTATTTCCAGATGCTGTTACCGTTCACCGTTCATCGTTCACCGCTGACCCTGAACCGCTGATGTCGAAGTTTCCATCGAGCATCATAAAAGCTAAAAGGGAACGCTTTAGTCTTAAATATGATATGATATGATATGATATGAAACGGTAAAGCGTCATGTAATATGGACGGTTTAATATATAAAGTCAACAAATACGAACCACTCCCTATCTATGTGTCTTAGAGGCATTCATGCAACAATAGGATGGAAAAGCAGAAAAACTAAGCCAGATATATTCACACCATCTTTTTTTATCCAACTTGCACACCTAGAGAGTAAAAAAAAAAAAAGACAGCAATTTAAGGGGGGGGGGGGAGGGGCACAGAAAGGCTCTCCCTCTCTCATTCATGCATCGCCCTATGGCGTGCGGAAAAGGAGGGGGAAAACCCGAAAGTCGAAAACAGAAAATAGAATGGATGGGGGGAGAGAGAGATATATATATAATATCAAAGATTTGATGCTGTGATCATATTTGAAACTTTCTATCGTCAGAATAACCGGAGAGGTAAGATAAGTAAAAACGCAAGACACATAATGGTACACATTACGCTGCAATGCGAGCAGATGCTCAGCCAAGATATGCAAGACGCAAAAGCACCAATATGAGAAAGTAATATTCACAGGAGAAGGGAGAAGGAGAAAAAATAAAATAAAAAGGAAAACAGAAGAGGAAAAAAGGAAGAAAAACTCCAGTCCGCCATTCTCCGGCAATGCTAACAAGTCTAAGACATCTAAAATGCCAACTCTATAAACTTTTTTCTATGTTTGGATGGTCATGCTGAAAGGAAATCAAGATATTTATATGTTTAAAGAAGTGAGAAAGATTTTGAGCGTCATGCAACAATGTTCTTCGCTCCAATTGGCAGAACAAAGTTATGGTGCAGCAAGAAAAAAGCGGGGTAGATGGGAGAAAAAAAATTTGTTCAGGCGCCTGGTTGCATCACGGAGAGCAGAAGAATACCTACAGACCTAGAGGGACATGTCCAACACCAGGCACTGCCGTAGAAGTGGTCTGGTCGCTGATAGGCTTGTAGATAAGCTTCATATCCAGGTTGAGGTCTTCAACACCGAAGCTGTCATCAATGTTACCAACCGAGCCAACTTCCTCACCGCGCGCAGCATGGTCGGACGCAACCCAACCCTTGATCTTTTGCAGGAGACTCATCACCTGAGCCAGGCGCGTATCAGCAGGCACCTTCCAGTCAAGAGCACGGTAATTGCGAAGGATGATGCGTGCGAGCCAGTAGAAATGGACAGCATCGCGGCACAATCCTTGCCTCCATTGCCTCGGAGAGCCAACTGGATATTGAAGAGACAGATCCTCATCCCAGACTTGCTTCCACTTTTGGAGTGCCTGGTTCATGCTCTTGAGGAATTGCTGCCCGCCAGGAGATTGGGCACCCGTGGCGTATTCAATAGGTGTCTCGCGGCCACTCGTAGCAGCGCTACTAGAGGCGCTCATGCTGACCCAATCATTCTGCGGCATCGCCCTGGCAAGATTCACGTCAGACAAGCTCATCTCGCTCCAGCCAGCGAGGCCCAGGCCTTGAGAGATTTGCCTTTGACCTTGCCAGAGAAGAATGTGCAGAGCATGAATGAGAATGAACTTGGACAAGACATTCGTCGTGCGCGTCTGGAAGGCATACACAGGGCTCATCAACGCCTTGAGAGCCTGGCTCATTTCAGGCTGCTGAATACGGCGACTGCCAGTGATGTTCCTGCCTTGGGCTGTCGAGCCGTGCAACCCGAGAGCATCGGCACATTCGACAGCCGTCTTTGCCTCCCACGCAGCATCGTCCGCGGGCAATGGAAGCCGGATTTCAAAGGGGTTAAGTTGCGGCGGCATGTTGAAGTAAATGGTCAGAGACGAGTCGATGAGGAAGCATGCATACATCAGCCGAGACCGCTTCTCCTGTTCCACCCAGGCAGACCAGTCCCAGTCTGCAGTGAACCGATCGATAGGCTGGCCGATCTGATGCAGAACGCTGTAGGCCGAGCTTCCCGGGCCCGCAGGATGCAAGAAGCCAGCATCGCGCACCATTGCGACCAAAGTAGCAAGCGACTGTTTGGCAGCCTCCCGCTGAACCAGATCGCCGTGCCAGATACACATGCTCTGGAAGAGAAAGAGAGCCTGAAGTTCTTCAAACGTAAAAGGACCATTATTGCGCGAACCGGCACGGATGGCGCCGCTACCTTTGGTGGTGGGGAATACGGTGGGGAAGTGTCGTTGAATGGCTGCGCGAGTGCGCTCCATGAGGAATTTGACATCGGCGCCACTGACCTTGTCCGAGTAGACGGCACCCAGACACAAAACGCCGAGAACTAAGCCGTTGAACGCTTCGACGATGTTGAAGGTTGGCATATGCACAATGGGCCAATGCGTCTGGTAATTCGCGAAAAGCTGGACAAAGTGCTTGATGTTGTCGACGCTCAAGATGCGCCTCAGCACTCCGGTCGCCTGGTAATCATCTACAGATTGGTCTGCTCCTTCTGCTGAGAGGCAGAACCCAACAAGCCGATCAGCCTTTGCTTGCAAAGGATCATCCTGAGAAGTCTCAGGATTCCAATGTGGGAAAGTGCCTACTAGTGCTTCTGGCCCAACGCCCCCCGCCTGGTACAGGCCAGGAAAGGCGGAGTCGTGGTGTCCATCAGGGTGCCCATCAAAATGCCCATGAGCCATGCCTTGCTCAGGCTTCACATGCAAGTTTGCGTGCCCTCCAGAGGAATGGAAGAGCGGGTCCATGAAGCCGTCGTGGGAATTTCCGTGAAACATATTTGACCAGTCGAATTCATGCCCGGTACCGGAATGCGTGCCGTTGTACATATTGCTTCTGTGGTTGGCGTCCAAATTGAAGCCATGGTCAGGGGTATGGTGTCGATAGTCATAGCCGTGCGAGAAATGGCCCTGGTTGTTAGGCATGGCATAGGCTGGCATACCGTGGTCAAGGGTCGAATGATACGTTGACGGAATACCTGTCCCATGGGCTGCGTCAAAGCTAGCTCGATTTGAACCTGACGGGCCAGGACCAGTCAGACTTCGTTGATCTCTACCGTCGCCGCTGTTGGGTCGCTTGATGCCATTAGCACTGCCATTCAAAGGAGCGAGAGCAGGGTGCGGCTCGTCCAGATATTTGTTTTGATTAGGGGCAGGCAAGGTCGAGGAGACCCCGCCGATTGGGGCAGGCAGGGAATTATCATGAAAGTCATCTGCTCCGTTCAAGTTGAATTCTGGATTCTCGGAGCCAGCTGGAGCCTGTTTATTCTGTCCAGGGAGGGTCTTCTTCAAATGTGCCTGTGAATGTGAGAGATGACTAGCACCAGTTGGATTTCCTCGTCGGAGCGAGCACTTTTGAAAGTGACGCTTCAGGATATCGCTGCGCGAGAAGGTATCTTTGCAAAGAATGCACATGTACGGACGATCACCCGTGTCTGAGAGGCAAGGTCAGTGAGCAGGGGTCATGCTCAAGGGCAGAGAGAGACCAAAAAAAAAAAAAAACTTACGCCGGAGTAAATGCCTTTTAAGATGCTTTGCATGGAGGTAGGTCTTGTTGCAATGAGGGCAAGGGAATTTTCCATCCGCATCCTTGGCAGGGATTGTAGTATTCTTTCCTGAGGTAGGAGTGTTTCCACCCACTGCAGCAGCTCGTCCTGGAGCGCTCGGCAGTATGCCACGACGACCCTGAGAACCAACGACATGAGTAGGCTGTTGTTCGTGATCTGAGAGGACCGGAGTCTGCGGGAGCGAAGGCGACGGACTGTACTGGGAGGGCAACGTCAAAGGCCCCAGGCCACCGCTCGGCATCGGACGGAGGGGAACGGGCAGGCGGCCATGAGGCGGCGCAGGCGCGATAGGATGAGGTTGTGCGTGTGCCAAGGTAGCCGTCGAAGGGAGGGGCTGAGAGGTTTGATACGACGTGCTCGGTTGAAAGTAGGATCCTGTTCCCATATCCCTCAGAGACGACGACGAACCCACATGAGGGAATTGACTCGACGGGGTGCCGGGAATGGAAACATTCGGAGACTGCGCTTCCCTGGGAGTGTGCGAAGCACTGCTCGCCGAACTACTGTAGACAGAACGAGCAAAGGAAAGAGCTGCACTCTGGGGTTGCAGCGGCGGCAGCGTATGAGCAGGCAAATGAGAATGCTGAAGAGGCTGTGACTGTAGCCCACTGAGCGAGGTCAACTGCGGCAAGTGGCCAGAGGACACAGACACATCAGACCCATTTGGAGGGAAATGAACGTCCATGATGACGGATTGGGCTTTTCAATGACTTGTCGAGTAGGATCGGATGGAAGGTCTTCGCTGTCACTGTCGAGAACAAAGTTTCGACGACGATGCAAAATTTCTTGCGGGCACCCGACCAGCAGGTTCCGATGGCGGAAAAGAGACTGCGACCCTCAAGCGGAGGGGGGCCAACGACGCAAACCGACGATGTAACAACACTTCAATTGTCGACGACGATATCCTCAAAGATGATTGAGTTCGAGAGGATTGTTTGTGCTGTTCGACGGTGGCCTGTTGACGCGTGGGGATGGAGAGGCGTCGCGAGCGATGTAATGGTCCCACCGAGAGCCGCGAGGTGGAGCACTTTTGGCACCTCCAGGCGAGTCAATCAACTTTAAGGAGGGTCCTTGCACCTCCCACCTTTTCTCTGTCGTTGCGCAATGCAAAAGACAGACTAACCGTTCTTCTGGTGGACGGTGATATCGACAATGATGATGTTGGATGGTGGGGGAAAGTTAGAGGGGAACGTTGTTCTTGGATGACCTCGACGTGTCTTGGATTGTGTCTGCGCTGAGCGGAGCGAACGATTCAATGCTGCAAATTCCGGGGGTGGGCGGTGAGAAGGCAGTTTGAGGGCAACGGGCAAAAAAAAAAACGTCTTTAGGGCTTCTTTTTTTCTCCCTTTTGCCTCTTTTCGTCGTTTCTACTCTGACGGCCTTTCTCGCGGTCAGAAATGAGGAGGGTGAAGGACTACGGAAAAAAAGACACAGGCACCACGGAGAGATTGAGAATGAGCAAGAGGGCAAGCAGGCAAGAGGGATAGAAGGGCGTGGGCGACGGTGGCACACTCGAATCGAGTCGATATGGCGCCGGTCATCTCGAGATGCTAAGGTTGCTCTCGTCCACCACCCTTAACTCGGAGGGGAATCCGAACGGAGGGAGATTGGGGGAAGGGTGTGGTGAGAATTACGGTATTTGCCCGGGTGTGCCTACGAGAAAAAGTACGTGCGCGGGCGATTTGAAAGCCAGAGCCAAAAGTATTTGGCAGTTCGTTCCTGTATGGTGGGAAGGCGTCAGGTTCCGCTGGGACGGAAAAACAGAGTATGACGCTGGTGTCAGGAACAGATTTGATCGTTAGTCAAGAGAACTGCGAGAGCGAGGAGCCTCGAACCCCAATGGGATTGGTGGTGCCGAAAAGGAGAATTTGGGAAGACAGACAGCGCGCCCATTTGGCTATCGGTTTCCGCCGGCAGCCCGTAAGGAGTAACGACGCATTATTCCGGCACAAGAGAGAGCTTTTTTTTTCTCTCTCCTTTCGCATGGCACTCCAATTGGCAGCCGATGGCGACTGCTGCATCCAAGATTTTCCGATGGTCGGAGACGCCAATCAATTTGGTGACCCCCTTGAACATGGAGTTAAACTTCATCGGTAACTCTTCAGGGCAACCGGCCAGCCACTATGGCCACATCAGCCTAGGTCGTGGCGAGCTACCACGACATGAAAGGTTGACTAGCACGGTCTGGTAGGGTTTCGATGGTTCTTCGGACATGCTGTCCCTGCAGACTGGAAGGTGCAGCGGGACGGCAACTTCATCCCAGTGTCCTCGCTTGATCAGATTATCGCGCAACTGCTTGTGCCAAGACCTTAACTCCCACGACTTTGCAGCCTACGGAGTATAGTCCCGGCACCAAGAGATTTCCAAGTTGCATCGAATCCCCTCGTACCTTTTGGCTTCCGCCCGGCATTGCAAAGCCGTAGGTGGGAAAGGATCGGGAAGGATCAACATCGACCGACCCTGTCTCTAAAGTCACGAGGTACTAGGATCATCTCCCCCGTTGACAACGATCTGACCATGTTCGCTTTTTGTACAGACTTGGCCATGCATCAAACGCCTTGGACAGATTGTTACTTCCCTCTGCCATAACTGTCCTTTTTGCACACCATGCCACGCCACGCGATGCAAGAGACATTGCCATGTTGTTGCGACGTGTGTCAAAAGACCGATCGAGCATAGAATGGGAAATGACAGAAGAAGCTAAGAGCAACAGTCAAGCCGAGAATGCCTCCGATCGCATGTTTGTGCGGTAGGTGTGAGTGGTGGTAAGACCTTGTCGTGGCTGCTCTCACAGTCAAAAGGGAGGACTTCTTCCCAAGGCTCGGTTCGAACAAGACACGAATATGATTGGCTGGAAGTCTATGCGAAACTTTTTCGAAGGCCATGTGACTTGTGGCTGTCCATGCCGATCTCTTCATCGAATCTTTTTTTCGGCATCGTCAATGAGCAAAATTGTTTTCCAGAGGATTTATCCCTTTCCTCGGCGAAACTCTTGTAAATTTTCGGCGATCGCTCCGATCAAACTCGGCCATAATTATGGGCTTGACATTCTTGCTGCCTGCTTGAAGATGAGCATCGCTTACAACAAGAAGCAGCATTCGGTCTTCCTATTGCTGCGTGATGTGCTGTACGAATCTGGAGAAATGTCTGGACCACTAGCATTGAAATTCTCCGGGCACCCGTGGATTAGAGTGAAAATTCAACAGGGGACTCATCGCCCGAATTCCCGTCCGCCGGGGCCTCAATGGTTCACATAGATACGTTTCCTTTAGACCACCAGCCTAAGGAATGTAGATTCGTGCCGGTCGAAAGTAAAAGCGTCTTTGCTATTGGAAGAATTGAGGCACATCTTTTCACATCGATGATGCGATCACGTCCGAGAGTTTTCCGAGGGAAGGAAGACCCAGCTTAGGACGAGTTGCGTAGAAAGGCTCACATCTGCTCCCATGAAACAATATCACTCATCTTATCCTGTACAGGCTCAATGAAGGAGCGCAACAGAAATAAATAATTCACGCATGCCACTCACCTTGAATTCGAATCTTTTCGAAAAGACAATAGGTAATTCCTTGAAGGAAGCTCGGAAGCACAACGAAGGTTGGCCGGATTGAACCGTAACGAAAAGGGCAGGAAAGAAATCATGCTGCATAAACGCCGCTGGTTCTAGAAGCCAATAATGATGCAGGCTCAGTGCTCGGTGTCCGACCCGTAGTTGCAGGGGAGCGTCAAATAACATCACTCATAATCAAAGTCCTATAGCGTATACAATAAGCTTGCTAAGTTAGTACGTAGTAGATTCACTCTCGTCCAGCACTAACTCTCAACTGTCTTGACCGTAGCGTTGTCTCCGCGGAACGTGCCAAGAAAACTCAAGCTGTCCCACAAAGGCAATTCTAATCAGGTGGGATAACCGCCGACTTCTGTGCAGTGCTGTAGCCTTCGCCTTCCTCTTCAAGAGCAGGAGGTGCAAAATGGCGCGCCTGGTCGCATGCTGGTTGAAGTATAAACGACTCGATCGGCATCCCGATTGATTCCAGTATAGAATATACGGTGATAGATTCCACCTTCTTTGATACCGTCATTGTCGTTTTGGTCCGAGTTATTCCATAGGTCCTGCGCTTCGAGCATGGACCAATCAAAACCCTGTCCCGCGCAATATGTTGGGAAGCCATGTCCGTCCTCACTCCGTTTCTGAACGATGCATCGGATGTTCCAGGCTTGAAGCTTCTTTGGCCCATCTCCATGGGGTCGCGAGAGCCAGACACGCGCTGGGCAGAAGCACATGAAGGTGTTCCCGTCTCAATTGCTTCATCCCCTCCTTCTTTTGGTAATCCTCTCCGCATCAAACAGGAAAATGCATGTCAACATGTCCCGTGCAGTAGTAGCAGAGGACGTTTATCGACCGGGATAGCTAGATTAAATCAATCATTGGCTCACGGATCCAGAGTGCCCTTCTGATTGTGCTAAGAATGTCACATCTATCGGCAATAAGCAATGATGGCAGCTGCAAGCATAAATTATCTGTTGACTCAATCCGGCACCTGCATCGGTCTCCTAATATTGGAGACTGTCAAATTTTGGTGAATTTTTTTGCACTATAGTGCTGTGCAGCGCCTGTCTAAGGGTGACATGCTGGTAAGTAGATGATTGCTCGGTCAGACATTTGAATCTTCGCTGGAAACAGAAGGAGAGGCAAGAGACAACAACCTGACTTACTATATTTCAATTGAAGCGAAGAAATAATGCAGATATGTGGGTCAGACTACCCAGAAATCCAGATAAATGTGCGGGCATCTCCACATTATTATCGTCTTGAAAGAGTCAGTTCGCACCTATCCTGGATTTGAAACGACCTAGTAATTTCTTTGTGGAGAGCTTGTGGGGAATTACTTGGACGACATTCTTAATTGCTATCCGAATAGCGTACATGAATCTGAATCTATATATTTACCCTCTGATGGATACAAGAGCTCTTCATATGGTCAATTTAATGCTTCCTTTGTCATTTTTATAGAGTCAGTATATTTTGTGCAATACAAATCGAATTATTCAGGCATTTAAGAGAATTATGCATGTGGGCTTGAATTTATTTTCCCGGGAAGAAAAAAAAAAAAAAAAAAATAAGTGAAAATGACAATTGAGGAAATGTTTTTTTTGAAGCTGGCGCTTCAAAAATACTAGTGTGCATATAGTCTAGATTAAGTACGATAAATATTGCTAAATAACCCCATCATAGAAATTGCAAGTTTTTGGATAGAAGGAAAAAACAGAAAAAGGACAAATAAAAGGAAAATGGTTAGAAATTAATTCTGCCAATGCTGCGAAAGGCGGTGAGAATGCTGAGCCCAATGATTGGTTGAAGGCCGCACAACAACCGGACCAGGACACGAGCATTGTCAACACTGAAGCCCTGGGAGCTCACCAACCCCGGGCCAAGTCAATATGGATGAATCTCCAAGGTCCAGCAAAAGGAGAAGGCTAAGCGCAGAAGAGAAATCTTTTGCGGGAGCATCTCCGCTGAGACCACATGGGAAAGCTAGAAATGACGACCAAATAAGGCCCGCTCCTGAAAACGTCGCTGAACTAGAACAGATTACGAGGGCAATACCAGAGTCAAACGGCCACAGCGAGTATAAAGCGACTGAATCTAGGTCTAACGATGGAAACACTCAAATCGACACCATTATTGTCACATCGCAACTTGAAAATGGCAACTCTGAGCCGGTGGAAACTACCCAAATTTCCGAAATAGCCCATGCACTGAACGGGACCAGTCAAGCCCAGGACTCTCCAGCAAAACGCAAGCGCGGACGACCACGAAAGCAACTGCAATCACAGACTTCGGCAGAAAATACAAGCCAAAAAGGAACTCCCAAGAACCGCAAGGGTCAGACTGATTCACGAAGTTCGCCTGTAAATGCCAGCCCACGCCTCTCTTTGGAGCAGGGGAGCAAGGACGTTACGTCGTCGAAATTTCCGGGACAAGATGCCGAACTAGAGAATGGAGATGTCGAAGTTTCAACGCCGTCGAGGCGCCGAGAAAAGCGCAAGGCTGCTGTGGCTGCTGCACGATCTTGGAACGAATCCACCGAGAACCATAGGAACAATAGTGCTGAAGACCGAATATCTCCACATCCCAGCGAAGACGAGTCTGGGGGGGTGCATAACTACTCCGAGGAAATGTCAAAGCTACCCGCAAAAAAGCTGGTCGGGATTTTGACTCCTTCAAAGCGAAAGCACGGCACACCGAAGAAGATTGTTACATTCGGCAATGTGAACCAAGGAGACGCAGGCTTGGATTTGGGATTTAAAGACATCCCAAAGGAAACGAGGTCTACAGAGCAGCGACCTGTTGATGATGTAGCAAGTAATGATCGCCCAGCACCTTCTCCAGCGAACTTGGACCCAAGCACAATTGGCACGCCGAAAAGAAAGCGTGGAAGACCACCGAAGCGAACGGGGGAGTCAATGCTTCCTTATGCAGATGACCTGACGGTGAATGGAGTGGATTTAAGGGGCTATGACGGAATGGACCTTGATGTTGATGCAGAAAACAGCAGACTTGAGACTACCAGGTCCCTGTTTGAAGGCATAGAGGACCTCTCTGAGAAGCTTGATGTTCTCCAAAAAGTCCTCATGCAGAGGATCACTGGAAGGGGCGGTATGCGTGTGATTGGGCATGAAACAGAGTATAGGAAAGTTCATCAGCTGGTCAAGCAGACTGTCGTCGCTGGCGAGGGCAACTCCATGCTTGTCATAGGCGCAAGGGGTACTGGAAAAACAGTCCTTGTTGAGTCGGTGATATCAAGTCTGAAACGCGAGCATGACGAAGAATTTCATGTTATTCGTCTAGACGGATTCTTCCAGACGGATGACCGGCTGGCTCTCAGGGAGATTTGGAGACAACTGGGTCGAGAAATGGATGAAGAAGAAGCAATGACAAAGGTCAGTCCTTTCAAAGCGTAACAATGTCTGGTTACTTTATACTAACAAAACACGGCTGGAATAGTCGAGTAACTACGCAGATACTTTGTCTTCCTTTCTGGCGCTCTTATCTCATCCCTCTGAGCTGTCGGAGACGGAGGAAGCAGGCCAGACATCCAAGTCCGTTGTTTTCATCATCAACGAATTCGACCTCTTCGCCGCCCACCCGCGACAAACACTACTGTATAACCTTTTCGACATTGCACAATCGAGAAAGGCGCCAATTGCAGTGATTGGTGCGACTACGCGCGTGGACATCATGGAGAGTTTGGAAAAGCGAGTCAAAAGTCGTTTTAGTCACCGTTACGTGCATCTTTCTCCACCGCCAAACATTCCAGCCTTTTGGGAAATTTGCAGATATTTTCTATCCATTGAGCGGGACCAGTTGGATGAGCTTGAGCAGAATGATCGAGCCATACTTGATTCGCCAGGCGGGTTGAAATTGATTGAAGCGTGGAAAATGATGATGAATGTATGTAAGCGATATGCGCCACTTTATTCCTCCTTCTTGCTTGCATTTTGTTTTCCCATTTTCCATTCTCGCACATATATTCCAATCACCTCCTGTCATACCTAACCATCCCCACTCCCTTTCCTTTCCGCAACCAACGCTCCAACTGATACAATCTCCACAGGACTTGTATACAAACGATATCCACTTCCGCGCACACCTACATCGGATATTCTACCAATCAAAATCCATACGAGCATTTCTCAACAGCGCTCTCGTGCCAATATCCAGCATCACCACCTCCTCGCTCCCGGTGCGCGGCGTTGCCTTTATAGAGAATGACCTCTTACCACCTGATTCCAAACTGCATCTCCTTCCCGGCCTGAGCGACCTCGCCTTGTCCATGCTCATCGCCGCGGCCCGCCTCGACGTCATCCTCGACACGGACGTATGCAACTTCAACATGGCCTACGACCAGTACTGCAGTCTTGCAGCAAAGGCAAAAGTCCAGTCCTTTACTACATCGTCTTACTCCTCTCTGGCAATGTCACCGGGCGGCGGACTACGCACGGGAGCTGGGTCTGCTGCGTCCGACCATGGAACCCCATCGAGAGCCTCTCCCTACGGCACCCCATCTAGGTCTGGCTATGGAACACCGTCTACGTCCGCCCCGACAACTCCCTCGAGGTCCAATACCAATACTACTACAACTATATCAACCGCCGGAGGCACCACCGTCAAGCTCTGGCCCCGCCATCTCGCCCTCGCGGCCTGGGAAACTCTGCTCGATGTCGAACTCCTCGTCCCTGCTTCCGCCTCTGTAGGCGCCCTGGCTGCCGTCGCGGGCCGCGCGGGCCGTATGGTCCGAGTCGATGTCGCGCTTGAGGAAATCGCGCCCAGTGTCCCCGGATTGACGGGCTTGTTGGCCAAGTGGTGCCGAGAGATTTAGTTAGTGTAGTTTTATATGTTCTGTATTTTACTAGAGCGAAGGAGTCTCAAGTCGTGTAGTCTTATTTATTTCATGTGTCATCACAGTCTTGTCATTATTTGCATAGTGTTCCTACAGTGTTATATATTTAGCCTATTTGCATTTAAGCTAGTCTCATCATATATGCGTATTCTTGTCATGTAGATGGTTATTACTACCCTGTCTTTGTACTACTTGGCCTTGTTCACTTGATACATGAGCCTCATGACTTTAGTCTTAGCCTGCCTCGGTCTTCCACATGATGCTCGACGTGTATATATGCATATATCTGTATATGCCCGTCTATGGATATATATATCCCCAAGGTACTGATTCCAAGGTACTGATTGCAAGTATTGACCTCACAACATTGCATAAAGCATTGATTAAAGCATTGACCTTGAAGTATATTCCAAAGTTGACTCCAAAGTTGACTCCGAGTAGTGATTAAAGCATTGACCTTAAAGTTGATTCCAATCGATATCACTCATGTCTAGCAACCAGAAACGAATGTGTAGTAACTCGAATATGCAAACGAGTAGATGACAAAGTAGGCAGATATGAATCGACAAGTGAATAAAAAGGACTAGCCAGATATAATTGGACAAGTGAATAACTAGCTAGATATAGAACTAGTTTATAAGTAAACAAGTAAAAAGGACCTAGTCAGATATAAAGTAAATAGATAGGTAGATAAATAGCTAGATAAATGTAAGAAAAGTAAACTTGCTGCCGTTCAAACTCCCATTGTGCTTGCTTGCTTTTTATATGCGGAAGAAGGAAAAGAAAAGGGTTTATCGATAACGAGAGGTAATGATAGGACATGTAAAGACACGAGAGGTAATTGCAACAATTCAAACTCGAACGGTTCGAATACGGTACGAAATGTTTTTCTTCCTGCTCCTTTGGGACTGAGATGATTTAAAATAATAGGATGATGATGATGATGATGATGATGCCTCGTGTTATGAAACTAAACCTGAACCTGAACCTGACGCCGTAGTGAAACGCCGTGGACTGTGCAGTGATTGATGATGATTGAAGAAGTGTAGGTAGGTAGTGGTAGGTGGGTGAGAGGAAAGGAAAGGACAAGGAATAAACACAATTACTATCTCATCGCGGGTCCAGCGTCCCTGGTCCAGCCCTTTGCACGCATACTCTCTTCAATGGCCAGCCAAATCTCCTCTACGACCTCCCTGTCTCTCCATCTTCCCTGGACGCCGAAATGATTATTCCACTTGTCGACCTGGGTCTTCATGACGCCACGCCCCCAACCCTTGACAGACGAGGGCACGTCCTCGCCTCTCCAGCCGATATAGATGCCGAGGACATTTCGAAAGAGGTCCGGCGGGGAAGGCCACTTGTAAGATTTAAACTGCCAGGCCTGGCCGGTCGTGAAGACGGCGACAACACGGGACCAGTAATCGGGCTTGAACTGCTCGGGGGTATCAACCAGAATGAATCGCATGGGACGCTGCGCATCAATGGACGGAAGGAGGCGCGAAATGTGCAAGATATTCGCCGTATTCGACGACCCGGCCAGCGCAGAGTCCGCGGGGATGTACAGTCCGCTCTCGAGGAACGATTTGATGTTGCTCATCCGAAGCAGAGATGAGGCAGAGGGGGATAGGAGAATGATCGGCTCAGGGCGGCGGCCCGATCCACGCTTCGAGGGCAGCGACACGAGACTCGGCTGCGATAGACTGCCGGGTAGACCCAATGCCGCGGCGGTAGAGGATGCGATTGCCGGGTGAGTACCAGATGCGCCGGCGCCGGCTCGAGCGCTGCGGGCCCGCGCGAGAAAGGATTCGGCGGCTTTGCGAACGTGAGAGAATTCCTGGGATCAGGGAGGAGTTAGCCATAAGAGTCAGTGTGATTTAAAAAAGAAAGGCAGGATTAAGACGTACAGTCGGCTTGATTCCTCTCAGGATGGTATTTCTATCTCCCATTCTTCTCTCCCCGCGATAAATCTCCGCCAGTCTGGGGTCAATAGTCTTGACCGGCCGACCGCCTGGGCCGGCGGCAAGACTCGCGCCAGGAGCTCCGCTGGGGACGGGCGCAATTCCACCGGCTGCGCCAGATGCAACATCTGCCGAGGATCCGGCAGCGGCCGCTGCTGCAGCAGAGTCTCCGGCCAGTGGCTTGATGTATTCGCTCTCTTCGGACGCGCCTTCAAGCCAAGTGATGAGATCTAATCTTTCGACAAAGACGAGGTTGCGAACTTTGCCGCCCGCACCGCCGGATCCACCTAATTCCTCATTGAGTCGCTGCGCTGAGGCAATGTAGTCGGGAATAGCAACGTCCTTTTTCTGCCATGCAAAATAGATGCTTCGCAGGTCGACGGGCTCGCCAGACGGCACGAACCGCGTCGGCGTATCCAGCGGAAAGGCTTTGCGATCAGGCTTGGAAAAAAGTAAATGTGTAGCAGTGGCGATGCTTGGGACCGCGTCAGAGGCAGAAGCATCTGCGTCGGCCGATTTTGTGGGCACAGGCGGACTGTTGGCGGCAATCGACTGACGCAGACGAAGAAGCGGATCGGCGCTTGCTTGGTCGGTGACATTAGCCATGATGACGGGGACCTTTTTCGAGGAAAAGGGCAAGAAAGATAAGTTTGCGATTGTCTCCCTCAAAATTATTTGCGCCGCTGGCGTAGAATCCCAATTGTAATTATCTTGCAGCGTCGGCAAGCTGCTCGTTCAACATGAATGTGATGATGCTCAAGATCGAAGCTCGAAACTCAAGTCGTCAAAGCAGCTCGCTAAGAGTATACGGGAGACTTTAGAGTTGCATGACGCAGAGAGGATCACAAACACATACTACGGTTACGTATAATCCATATTGTGGTAAAATAACATGTCAACCGCAGTCGCGATAAACAAACACATAAGCCCTACTTGATTTAAAAAAAAAAAGGACCTCAGAATTTCATATCGAAGCAACCTAGGCTATTCAAACGAATTAGTTTTCCTTCGCCCGTGGTACACACAAATTCCCTTACCACCAGACTTGTGAAGGGGACTCAATGGACACAGGGGACTACCCGGAAGATGCTCCGGAACATTTAGGTCAAATTGCTTTTCCTCCTCGATGCTGTCTTCAATTTCAATACATGTCCGATACCAGTCGGGAGACGCTGGAGGTCCGGAGTCCGGCAGATTTTTTCCAACAAATGGGGCAGGTACACCTTCCTGGTCTTCGCCTGAACCCAACAATTGCCCTCCAGGATTGCTGTAGTCAAAGAAGAACCCCCGAGGCCGTTTCGCCCCACTTCGCGGCCGAGTCTCTCTAAGAGGTGGTGTGTTTACCCTGCGAGCTTCCGAAGGTAGGAATGTTGGCCCATCCGGGTCCGAGATCTCCACTTTGAAATAGTCTGTCGAATTCTTTCCACCATAGAGGGCTTCTGGATTGGGCGTATTCGAAGGCGGGTGGCCCATGATGACCTTGAGAATGGAGCTCGTGTGGGATAATGCCGGTGACCGTTGATCGGAATGGATATGACGACGATATGAGGCAGAATCTCTGGAGCTTCCCGATGGAGACGGCGCACCTGAACTTTCTGACTGCCTTCGGCCTTGCTCCTCCCCCAGCAAGCTAGCAGCTTTTTCCAAAATGTACCTCGTTGTCGATGTATTCATATTCACAGAGCTCATAGGATATCCTTGGACATAATCCAAATCAGTCTCTCCATCGGAAGGCGGAAGGCGTTCTACCTGCTGGCGGATTTTCCGTTTTGTTCTTTGGTAAAAACTCCTCTTCGACAAAGTAGATGGACCGGGTCGGCCATCCTTTGCACGCAACCGACCTCTTGATGACTGGTCAGTTTCTGATGAAGAATCTTCAGCGGTACTTCCACGTCTCACGGTAGAATCGGAGGCAGAAGACATCTCCGAAGATCGATGTCTACGAGACCTTGCGGCCCGCAACTTGTGCTCTTTTATTTGCCGCCACTCATGTGGTGCTTCCTCAAACCATACAAACCCGGGACGAGGCTCCTGTGTTGGATAGACGTCCGACTCAAGGATTTCCGTCACTCGCGGTTCGCTATCAGACAGTCTGAGCAACCGACGAGCGCGGCTGCTGATGGAGGACGCCCTTGAGCTGGCCTGCCCGGAGCAAATGGACTCGCATGATATTTTCGAAGAAAGTGCAGCAGCAGTCAAGTCTGGCGAAGAATGTGCCGGACCAGGTAACGGTCTAATGGTAGTATAAGATTTATTTCGAACCACACGCCCGGCGTTCGAAGAGCAGGGAGACCGTTGCCGGCCTGCAAACGCGACATCGGGTAAACTAGGAGAGCTCTGACGCGTTGCTATTCCAGTATTATGTGGCGAGCCTGGAGAATGCCGAGGTGATCTCTTCTTCTCGTTGTCATCTGAGCGGAGTCGTGGAGACCAGGAGAAGAACGGGGATGTTTTAAATCCGGTTGGCGTTGTATTCTTAGACATATCGCTCTCCAACGCATTCGGAAATCACTGTTTGTGATGTTTCAACAGTCAGTTTGCTCTCATTCATGAAGACAGCAACATTATTATCTTGAACTTTCTTGCAGTCATACCTTGCCCCAATTTTCCAAACAGTCTCGGCGGTGTCTCTTTGAGACCCAGATCTAAAAGAAAACGGAAACAGAGTCTCCTGAGACGTCTCAACTATCGCGACTCGAAGCAATGCTTTATGTTATGGAATCTCGAGGACTGAAATTTTTGTTTTAAGGAACCAAGGTGCGATTATCGCACTGCATGATCATAGAGATTAAGGATAGATGATGCGGGCGGCACTGCAACAAAAAGCATGGACAGCGCAAGATTTTATAAAGAACGGCATCTTCTGTCTTCCCAAACACCTGCTGGATTCTTTCTTGTCAGTTACTGTTTAGAAAAGGAAGCGTTTTTCGTAGTTGCAAGATTCGCCTTACTCCTGTCTCCACGCCCTTTCTTTCTTAATCAAAGTTATGCTCTCGAAGCAGAAGCTGAACATTCGAGACTAGAATGTCAGCTATGAGTGCCATGGCTAGAGGGATTTCAGGCGTCAGTTCCTTCCTATGCGATTTGTTTTGAAGCGGTACATTCAAAAGTATGGAGGTTTTCAAATTGGAAGGGTAGCATGAAAATCTGAAAATTTTACGCATTACGGAAGGTGCGAGGCCTTTGCCTACTTGTGAACGCTTTTTGATAAGGCGCCAAAGATCGGCCTGCACAATTTAGTGATGTGGACCATCTGTAATTAACGTGTCAATTGGGGGTTTCTCAACCGTAAAATCTTGCTTCTGGAAGTAAAAGTTGAAGGCACTTTCTGGTAGTTGTAATCCTTTTGATGCAATAATTTGATTGTGCTTTGGAATGAAACCCCCTACAGGTCTGATGCTCCCTGCGAATGAAGGCTACGAACAATGACGCTCTTCGGATATGGAGAAAATTTTACTGAATATGTTTGGCTTTGAAAAGAGCGTCATTTAGATCTAGAGAACAAGATTGGAGGCATCTTAAACTATTGAGAGGGTGTTTGCTTATCGCCTTTGAAAGCATCATGATTCAAAAGCGCGTTTTCAACCACTGGCAATAGAGGCTCGGCATATTTCCAACCAGGAGAGATTTCAATATAGCGGTGAAAATTTCCTTTTGTGTGGAGCGGATAGAATGTATTCGGATAGTGCGGAGCAGCTGATGAGGCAATTTTTGATCTTGGTTATCGTTTGTTCGGTCGGCGAGTGTACATTACGGATTCAGGGGCTCGTCCTCATTTTTATCTATTCGGGACACGTCTTGCTGCGTACGAAACAGCGATGCTGCAGAGTTAGTAGATGAGTCTGCATTTGAAAATGAGCAGATTGCATCCAGTGATAATCGAATACCAATGAGATTTCTATGGCCGAGTCACCGAATCCTTGAGGATGATGAGTGTAAGAGCGAGAAACTTTGCTCCTCTCATCGTCTACGCCTCCCGTTCTTCTTTCATTTCTACCTGTACTTCAGCGTTTCCACTGCAAGTCTCCTCAGCGATCTCGCAAAAGTTACAGAGGTCAAGGACATAAGCCTTCTTTGCCAGGGTTTGCCGCAACGTTCTGCTCGAGAGCAACCCTAGCATGCCCTAGGCATGAGAGAGAATACTTCCTTTGCAGCCCTCAAGCTGGACTTCCAAAGATGGAGGCACTTGACCATAGCAAGACTCCTTGAGGTATAGCCTTCCATGAGTGCGTAGCGCTCCTGCTTGTAGACGGGAGGATGGCCGCCCCCGACTTTCCTGTTCTCTTCCACGGTCCATCTGCGCTCACCGCTTTTCGGGTGAGAGCATTGAGAAAATTCGATGGATAGACGTCTCAGAGTTATGATTGCTCGGACGAGTTCGTATGCATTAGGGCAAGAAGATTTGACTTGACGAACATTTTTCTTGGAACAAAGGTGGAAAAGAATTTGCCGGCGTTGCAACGGATGTTACAGCCTGTAACGCCCATTCATTTAAGCTCCGGCGATTCTTCCAAAGCCAACCCTAGATTATTGCTTTCGGAGATCGCCTTGTTTGGCTCGATTCTGCTGAAAGGACCTTTGAGACATAGCCATTGTTAGTGCCAGCCACTAAGGTAAGTGACTGTGCCCACTCGGGTCAGCCAGCCTGGCCACCTCTCGCATGGCTGTTGCCTTAGAAGAAGCAGCGATGTCGGAAGCATGCTATCAAAAAATTTTCGTTCTTCCATCCGCCAATGGAAACAAGCAGAGATAGGGAAAAAACTGCATAAAGTGAGATGGCAGAGGGAGGCATGCAGCCCGTTAAAGGGGTACAAGCGGTATGTGAATAATGAAAATCAGCAAAATCTCGCGGCCATGACCAACGGAAGGGTCTGACCGCTCTTAAAATGATCGGCAACATCAACATAGTGCGTTGTTGGGAGTAAAACTAACTAGAAACGCGAGGATTCGTAACCTGAAGGTATGGGGAAACACGAGGACGAAAAATACAGTAATGATGACAATGCAGTACAGGGGAAGAGAATATTCTCCACCAGCTGGGTTGGTCGAGTGAATGCAGATCAAGCCCGCCTGCAGTGCGTCGAATATGGCCAAATAAAGTCAAGCTGCACAGAGTATGAAATAAGAAACCAGTGAGCTTGCAAACAATGTTGCGATTATCGCTGCGTCGCAGATTCATTCTACTGGGTGGACCAGGTCGGGATCTCCAGTCATCTCTCGGAATGCAGCGAAAGTTTTTCTTCTATGGATCTCGTTGGTCCCGAGGATAAAGATAATGCTTGTGTAGATCGTACAGTGCGGTACCAGCAGCTAGATGTCTATAATGCGATAGTAGGGAATAATGATAATAATAATAATGACGAAAATTATTGCATCGCGGAGTGGATTACTCTCATTGGTGACATTCTATGGGGTCTTTCCTTTTAGCGAATGGGCCGGAGGGAAAAGAATGGGGGGGGGGGGACTTTTGGCTCATCATTCCACACGTGGCGACCAGGATGTCAGAGTGGAGACCATCTTTCTTCATCTTGACATGGCTCATCGCCTCCATCTGCCAATCTTCATCATGATGCGTGATTTTGTCTTCTCATGCTGGGGATAGTTCTGAATCTAATTTTTTCCAGCATTTGAAGAACCCTGTCAAAGTGGAGCCTGTCAAGTGAGGAAAGAAAGGGGACCGAATTGATGAACGCCTCATCGAATGAGCGAAGCCCGAACGAGCGGTGAAGCGGAGCAACGAAAGTAATCGATAGCACGCCTTGTTGCACTGTCAATCCTGTAGATTCATCCGTTACTCCGAGATGATGCCGCTCTTTACCTTTTCCATTTTCGCCCTCTACAGGGAGCGATGCTAGTCGCCAATCATGCTCTTGACGCATTGTCGTACGCTCGAATGATTGAGACCTTCGGTGCAAGAGTACAGTGACGTGTACGTAGTATTTCCATTTCCTTCAATCTAGGTACGTTTAGCATAACCTGAGAACTGGAAGATGCAAGCAGGGCAATCAACAACGTAATAACCAGGCTAAGAAGAAGTCTTTTCTGGTGGAGACGGATGGGATAGCTCTTTACCTAGATAGTGCTTAATTCTGATATACCCTTAGATTGCGTTTCTAACCATCTGTTATTCTTGACCTTATTACGAGCCCAGTAGTGACAACTAGTTTGATATTTGCATGGTAAGTCGTCGGGATAGCGCCAGTGGCTGCCACGAGGCCTCCCGATCGGCGCCCACTTCCAAATCATTTTGTCGCACGATAAGCCAGCATTCTAGTGCAGATTTTGCGTTGAGGAATCAATCCACTCTCCACTCTGCATAACGCGGAATTCTAAGAGGAGATAACACGAACCCTTGGAAAGTTTAGGCGTGAACTGCTTTTGACAATTCTGAGCTCAAGAACCCGTCACTGCACTTCCTTAATCGATTGGCTAATGAGGGGTGATGACAGTCTCCTACTAGAGCTTCTTTGCCGGCTGATAAGCCAAAGTGCAACGAAAAAATCCCATTCTTCCCGCTTTCAATTTGCCTAGCGCAAGGCAAATATTTTCGAAGCGTCAGTTGAGAGAGCGACTAGCTCCATCTTATGATCTCGCTGACACACCCCACCAAATACAGTATCTACCTACGGAGTACTTTACAGTTGTTATGCTAGCTTCGTATCTTTTGTGTACGAGTCGAAGCTACTTTTCCCTTTCCAATGTGGGGAAACCACGCTGGGGTTCAATGGCCTGTGGCCCTTATGCATTCGACTGATCTACTCATGAGATGCATGGGATCATCAAAATCATCGCGACTAGCTGGGGAAAGATACTTTTTTTGGCCCTTCAAACCCTTGTTGACATAAGCGAGTAAAATTGTTTTTGAGTGTGGGTCCCTTTTAACTGTCTTGGCCCGGACCAGGTAGGTTATTGATAGTCACCTTTCGACCACGTGGCCGTGGCTTGACGTCGGTCGATGCCGCCGGTGAGAGAAGAGCCAAGAGGGAGTGAGAGAAGCATGTGGGTGGAGAAGCCATGGATGACGACGGCCTTTGGTCCCTTCGTCCCTAACCGACCTTACTCCGGTAGCTGTCAACTGAGTAAGTACGGAGGCACTTTGTACACTATGCCCTGGCGTTGGAAACCAATACCAGATTACATGGAAATAGGACGAAAAAATGAGACCGTCCACTTAGAGGATTGATCTGAATTAGTCTGTTGGAAGGATTGATCGCTAAGACAGCGAGGTGCTCAGGGTCTGGCAGAAAACAGCAAACAGCAATGATCAGCAAAATACATCAGGGAAGGCTTCCCAGATTGAGAATACGCGAAGAAGCACCAAGGAAAAAATGGAACACATTGGGAGCAGGAGCGATTTGGCGCGTCGCACCTTTGTCTGGCCCATTACAGGATCTAAACCCCTGCTCAGACTGTTATAGTCTAGTCTCGTATCGCGCAATCATGACTGATTCTTCAACCACTCCAGGACTCCCATACAGGACAGCATTACAGGTTCTCACTTCTCAGATCTGACCGAAAACTTCTTCGCCAACCCGAGACCCCCTGCCTCCGGGTTGACCACCTGTTTGATGATGATGATGCTATAGGCTCAATTCTCTTACAGTGTGCCCGGTCGAACTTGTTGCATTCTACTTCCTCTTATCTGACACAATTTGTGTTGCGTGAATTCAAGCGGCAGGCAGGTACTGAGGTATCATTGCTTTTGTCTTTCTTACTCAATTGGATATCCCTGATTCTTCTTGCTTGCGAGTAGAAGCGCCTAGCCATGGCTGCTGACTCGGGCGACATTAGAGAGCATCACGCTAGTTCACCAGGGTCTCCCATCCACACACTGCCCCTTTTGTCTGTGACTTGTGTGGTGTTGGTTCTTAACTGACTCTTGCCGAGTCTCGGCTCACAAACCGAGAGTAGTTTAGAGGGAGATTTCGGGTCAGCAAACATCCGCGGTTGCATCAGATTACCCCAACAGGGAAAGCACTAGGGAAGATGGGCTATGCTGATTGGCTACAAGAGCTTCATACCCCTGACAATTCCCCCCCCATGCTTGTTTTCTTTCGTTTCGGAGGACAAAAGTTCTCTTTGAGACGATTGGCTCTTTTGACTGCATCATCACCGTTTTCTCCCGCCTCAAACCCTCGTGCGAAGCGAACCCCCCCCCTTCCCCCTGTCGCTTTTTGCTTCTTTGCCATTTCCTGTTCTGTACTGGTATTGAGCTTGGTGGCGGGCATCTCTTGGGCCTCGTGGCAGCCACGCTCGGGCTGTGTGTGCCCGTCTCTGGTTGCAAGCACATGTTTGACCGAACCCACACCTCCCCTTCTACCTTTCAGGTTTCCTTGTTCAGTCTCCACTCAAGATACACTATTTCTTCCGTCCTGTTATTTCTGACTTGCACGTTCATCTATCTCCTCTTTCTCCACTAAGCTTGATGCTTGGAGGGTGAGGCACCCTTACTAGTTGGTGCCAAGCTTCTAACCTTGTCTCGGGTTAAGTGTTGTGTGCAGTCATGTCCTGTTCGCTCCTAATCCACTTGTCGTCGCCCGACCGACCAGGGACTAGGGGATCTCCACTACTGAAACCAAGCTGCAGGCTAAAAGCAAAAAGAAGGAGAAAGGGTGCAGGCAGTCACGACTCATGGACTGAGAGACCATGCCTAGTCCGGCCACGGTCACAAAGCGATCAAAAGACCGGCATGACACCGTGACAAGACGAGCGTTGAAGAAAGACGTGAGAGATCATAACCGCAACCATCTACTTATTTCGTGTGAATGGGTGCAAATCATATTATTTCTTCAGCAAACTCCCACATCCAAGCGAATTGTTTTGATGGTTCTGCTTTCGAATCTTTCCCCCCCACTCCTCTCTCTCTCTCTTTCAATATTGCTTCTGATCCTAGCTATTATTGCTAAACGTTCTCACCTCGTGGCGCTTGTGGCGCACCTTCCGAATTCGGCTGCAAGTCCAGGTGTTTCCCACGTGTGAGATCCGAAATCTTTTCCCGAGAGATAGCGGAACGGCCACGCTTGCCCTGTGGTTCGTCATCCCGGTTTAGCCTGTCTGGCAGCCAAAGGGACTCCGCCGGTGTTTCCAATTGTCGATCGCCAACCAAAAAGAGTGAAAGAGAGGGAGAAGGAGAAGAAAAGACGGCAAAAAAGAAAGAAAGAAGAAGCTCCGGCAGGTGGTAGCCTAGACTACGGTATCCTTGGCCCTGATACGGCCGATTCCTTCATTCTTTGGTACCGCTCGTCCCAGGTCCCCACCTGATACCAACTTTCACCTCCGTTATTCTTGTCTAGCCGTTTCCTTTTAACTCTTGGTTCATCCTTCTCTGACACACGCTTACCGGCCACCAATTCCTTAAACCCCCCACCCCTGGCGCCTCGTGGCAATCCTGACACCTCCGATCAGGGCCTTACCGGATTCTGAACCCGGTTCGCTGCCCGTGTCATCCTCAGACCGCCCACATACATGACGACCCTCACGTCCACCTCGTTCACTCCTCCCTCTCCGGCTCCCATTTCTTCTTCTCTCCCTCTGCGACATCGTCCTTCACAGGAGCGGCCGGTGTACCGATCTGCGCTGCGCTTCTCAGAACTCCTGCACAATCGATCCTCGTCGACGGCAACAGCTACTTCACCGTTTTCAACTGACCATTCCTCTGCCCCCGCCAGCTCTCTGCCGGATTCTTCGCACCCACGCTCGCTCGCCGACGTTGGCCTGGAGAAGATTACAAACGCCCTTTCTTCCTTGACCTCTCGTCCGCCGTTGCGGACATCTTCGTCGCTAGCCAGCTTCACGAGCGACACAATTGCTGAGACTGCGGAGCGCAACACGTCCGCACCCGAACCCACAAACGATAAAACCAAACGACCAGCAAGGGTATCTTACCGCAGTTCGATTATCCTCCCAAAACGTGACGGGACTGCGGAGCGAGCAACATCTCTGACGAATCCTGGCATGCCGCATCCAATCATGCCTGACGCTGAAGAGAATGCAGCAGCGGCCAATGGCCGCTCCGCCAATAACATGCACCAGTCCTCCTCCCGCCTGCTCCGTATGACGAGCGATGGACGCCCATTTATCAAGGACTTTTATGACCTCTTTGCGACCTTAATGGTCAGTTTGCCTTTGACACCGCACCGTGTGCGCTTTGCCAAGGTTGAGCACACTTTTTCCTCTGAAGAGGCCATTGCGAACCTGGGTTCGCTCAAATTCTCTCAATCCAACCGCATGCCAGACCCCAAGGACCCCTCGCGGATTGTCACGACGACAACAACAACCACCTTCTCCATGGCAAAAGATATGGCGCGGTCTATTTGCCAAAAGTTTCTTGATGGCAGGCTGATTGAGACTACGGATGGCAAGTCCAACACGACGTTTCCCCTCAAGGGCAGCGTGTGGCAGCTCTCGCCAAAGGGTATTTGCGTCGTGCAAGTCTTTTGCCAGCGGAACGGCATCACTCAGCGTCATGTGTTGGACTTGCTAGAGAGCGCGCGTAACACCATGCAGCTCCTATTCTTGGAGCGTGATCCTCGCACAGACGCATTGTCGCATGATCGTGGCACTCTCGAGGTCATCTTCCGCCGTTTTGCGGGATATGAAGCCCCCAACCTCCGCTCGAGCCAGTCCATTTCCGACTCGGACTCGCTCGAGGACTACACCACCGGACTCACGGGCGTCAAGATGACCAAGGAGCGCAAAGCTGGCGACAAGGTTGTGGAGAATTCATTTACGGGTAAAGGGGCCATGACTTGGCTCATGGATTGCTGCAGCTGTTTTGACCGCCGCGAGGCATATGACTTGTCCGACTCCTTTGTCCGCCTTGGATTAGTCTGGCCTTCGGCCGAGGACTCGTTTTATCGAAAGGAGCACCCAATGGCCACCCACTTCCAGCCCACCAAGTATGCCATTTACACTTTAACCGGCAAGGGTCAACGAGTTGCTGGCTGGATTGCCCACGATACTAATGTGCCCATGCCCGATGGCATCACGGCCAAGGGTGATAAAGCTGGTCGCGACTCGAACACTAGTCGGATGACGGTGATTCTCAATGACCCAGCTCTTCGTCTATTGTTCCGCGAGTACCTCCGAGACACGCACTGTGAAGAGAACCTGACATTTTACCAAGAAATGGTGTCATTTCTTCGAGAGCGCAAACGCGTGGCCGACGATGCGGAGACGACGCGTGAAATGCTAGCCGCAGCCTATGGTAAGCCTACATTGTCTAGTCAAATGATAATCAAGTAATTCTAATTAACAATTTTTTTTTTCCTCGCTAGGCCTCTACAATGCATTCCTCGCTCCGGGTTCGCCATGCGAATTGAACATTGATCACAGCTTGCGAAGCTCCCTTGCCAGTCGCATGACTCGGTCAGTCCAGGGCGATGAAGCCATTGCTCAATGCTTGGAAGAAATTTCATCGCTCTTTGACCAGGCGCAGCGCTCAGTCTTCAAGCTCATGGCCAGTGTGAGTCTACACCTTTGATTGATGCAAGTACCAGTTCAATGCTAATCTTATTTTTTATAGGACTCTGTGCCAAAATTCCTCCGAGACCAGAAATATGCCCCTATCCTGCGCGAGCATGACTTTGAGAATGCAGTTGCTTCCGCACTCCATCAGATTATGCCGTCTGCCGACCGGCCGCCTAGCAAGCTTTCCAAGTGAAGAAGGCCTTGCAGTTGAAGCAGCCTTTTGTGGTGCCATTTGCGGTTCAGCAATTGTCTGATCAAAGCAAGTCAATCGACCGCGCTTCGGCCTCTATGGCTTCACAGCATGGTAACTGGAGTCGCACGCGCAACATCCCGACTTTCCCACGCTATCAACACGCTCATTGACCTCACTCGTTTCCTTCTTGTCATATCCATCATCGTCATACCACCATCATTTCTCTTCGTTGCATAAGAAGCACAAAAAAGCCCCTTTTTTTCCGCATACTACATCCCCATGTAATTGATCTGATCCATCCCGCTTCCCCCCCCTTTTTTTTTGATCCGAAACATGTTACGAACACGGATGTTCACGTGTTATGCCTCTCATTTTTTTTCCTTTCTTGTATTGCATCATTCTCTATATACCTTTTTCATCATCCGGAGAGAGAGAAAAGGGAGTACAGCATTTTGGGAAAAAGGAGGGGGCACCCCACGGTACTTGGAGGGTGGTTGACGGTCTGGTGAATGTTTTTTGCCTTTTTTTTTTTTTTTTTTTTTCTTTTTTTTTTTTCTAGGTTTTTGGCTCTTACTTTTTTCTGATCCTTTGATCACTTTGGTCACTCTTCATCACTGTCCCTCGGCTTCAAGGGCTTGCATTGCATTTACATTAGGAGTTGTGTGGAGGTTCTTGCATACCAGGTTTTGGTTCAGTTTTACTTTTCTTTTGCCTCTTTCTCATTTGAGCATTTACCCTTCCCCTTTGGGACCTTTTGGCATCCGCATTGAACCTGTTTACCTTTTGCATATATTTAACCGTGTATATCTTTTGTAATCACCTCTTCTTTTTTTTTTTTCTTTTTGTCTCTTTTGTCTTTTTCTATCGCCTTTAATTCCCCCAATTTCTCATACATTTGCATATTATATTTTTTCTGTAAATAGATAATAGATATATATATAGGATGTAAAACTGTATCTTTTTAATCCTCATTTTTCATTTCAGATATTGCTCCCTTTTTTCTCATAACCTAGTTGTGTAGAACAATGCTCGTGTACCACAGGATGTATGTATCAATGTGAATTTTCATCGTTGGATGTTATATGTAGAAGGTACTCTGCATGTGATATGTGCGTGTCGATGAAATTTTTGGTTTCTATGTACATGTTTATTAACATGAGATGAATAAATGAGCAAGAGGTATTAACAAGAGAGAGAGCCAGGTTTGGCGACTAAATCAAAAGATGGTAGATCATATGAAATGGAGGGAGTAGTGGAGTAGCGGGTCTAGTTAGTTTGCTGGGTATATGAATGTACAGATATCCAAGGTAGGTATAAAGTCGAGCCGTCCAACCCAATCTAACCCAATCCAACCCAGGGCAAGACAACACGAGGAAACCCAAGGGGGACAGGCGGACAAGGTAGACTGGGTAGACGGGCAGACAGCAGATAGTAGAAAGTAGAAAGTAGACAGCAGACGACCAGACAACCAAATAGTAGACAGCAGACAACCAGACAATAGAAAGTAGGTGGTAGGTAGTAGGTAGTAGGTAGCAGAAAGAATCACCACATGAAACGCTGGACGTTGCCCGGTTCCTGGGGCCAGGCGAAGCCATTGTTCAAAAAGACGTAGCCCGTGACGGCATTGATGGCGAGGAACCAGAGCGTTTCGGCAACGAGGCACGCGACGAGCGGGACGCGGGACGACGACGACGACGGCGACGACGACGATGGATCATCAGGACGACGATGACCAGCAGCAGTACTATCCGCAGTCTTGGTGGTATTCTGGTGGGATGCAGCAGAGAAGCGGACGGATTTCTTGGAAGATGATTTGGACGTGGACTTGGAAGAGGACTTGGAAGAGGACTTGGAAGAGGACTTGGAAGAGGACTTGGAAGAGGACTTCGAAGCGGAAGTAGGAGTGGAGGAAGTAGACGGGGAAGAAACCTGCTTCGATGCCGAAACTGTTCCGTTGGGACTTTGGGGCACAAGAGTGTCAGACTCGAGGGGGACGAGAAGAGACCGCGACTCAATAGGTAAATGCAATCGCCATATAATCCACGGCAGGATAAAGTATCGCGGCTCGACGAGGGGCGCAGAGACGAGAGACAAAGTCGTTGCGGCAAGGAAGACGAGGGTGAAACTCGCGCCGTTGCCCGTGTCGGTTTTGCTCTCGACCTTGGTCTTTTTGCCTTGTTGCTTGGAGAAGACGAGTGTTCGGCCCGAGGAGGAAGAAGTGGATGAAGCGGAGGTAGTGGACCCGCCGAGAGAGCTGAGCACGGCCCAGCCGCAGAGCAAGTAGATTGGTGCAACGAGGTACTTGGTCAGCGGGTGAGCGCGGAGAAGTTTGAAGACGTAGAACATGTAGTGTCGATTATCGGCCAGCGTGAACGGATGGATGATCGTGTTGAAGTGGATAACGGATAGCATGGCGCCGGTAAACCCGAGGGTCACAAGGATACCGGGATGGCGCGTTTGGCCGTAGAGGCGAGTGACGAAGCCGGGCCGGAGCTTGCGAGGGAGGATGAGCCCGACAAAGTAGGGCCAGAGAAGAGGCAGGGAGAAGAAGGTAAAATATGGCCATATGTACAGCATCTGTGGCAGATGGATAGTCGCAATGTGGTTTGATTTGTCGCCTGTATTGTTGAGAACGTTATTGTTAATGATGACGACAGGAATAGGAGCATTGAAGAAATAGAAGGGTGGAACATGACTTACCCAGGACGACGCCGCCGTTCCAAATGACAAAGCTTGCAAAAGTCACTAGAGTGATAAAGTATGGGACCAGCGCTGGAATGATCATTTCCAGATTCGCGACAGTGGAGATGATAAGAGAGATTCCAGTCTTGATGTAATCTGCCACGAGAGAAACCGAGTGAGCTGAAGGACCCGGAAATAAACAAGAAAAATGGTCGTGCGGGGAGAGGTCTGTTTATGCGCACCTTCAAAAGTAGCAACGTCAACGGGAGGGTCATAGACACCCATTTTTCGCCAACTGGTGCTGATTACTCGACGATACGTCGGAGGCTGTTCGTGGAAATACCATGCCGGACGAAGTCTTTTCAGACTGCGCACTATCTCCAGACCGCCCAAGAACACTACTACCCAGAAAACATTCGTCTGCCTAAAAAGCAGCGAGAAGATGCAGTGGAGAATGAGATTTTTGCCTGAGGACGCGGATCTCCAGCAAGCCTTGACTATTCTCGCGAGACTCAACTGCTGAGACTCGGATGCTGCAATAACAGTCACGGGCTTCTCGAGAAAGAGCCGGTAGGCACGCAAGACGAAATATACCGACAGGACATCGGTATAAAACAAAGCCGCAAAGAAAAAGAGGACAGGGAAAAGACAGATATTCAGCACGGACAGCAACCGTTCGCCTTCATTCGAACGCGAAGCGGCACCGCCACTGCTCTTTTGGTAACGGCCGCCCTTGAGATGCCACACCAGAGCATTGACTTCATCGCGGACAAAGCAATACAGGACAGCCCCGTTCAGCCATCTTAGTGACTGGGTCGAGCATCCTCTCCAGTACTTGAGCAAGGATGACACGAGGTACAGCCCTGGCGGTGTCGTGATTTTGGGGTCCCATACACGCCAGTTACCAGCGCAGTATTCCTGCGCTTGGCGTACATGAAAGACTTCATCCTATTGTATCACGTCAAAATTGTTTCCTTTACATTGAACAAAATGAAGGAAACTCATTGTTCGAACTTACGAGGTAGGGTTCTTGCACAACATCTTGGACCGCCTTGTTCCACGTGTTTACAAGAACAACCAGAGCGAGGAAAATAAACGCAGATGCATTGGACGAGAAAAGTGACGGCGGTCTCGAGCCAGAACCGCGACTCGCGCCAAGAAAGGACACCAAGCCAGCCATTTGTCCCGCTTTATATCAATTGATATAATTTATTTTGAGCATGCCAGTTCCTGCAGAGGGTATCATCGAAACGGAATTTGCGAAACCACGTTAAAGTAAACTTGAGGTCAACCCGGATGGGACTAACTTGGCCCTTGAGGGACAAAAGCGGAAAGACGGAATATTCCCGAGATCTAATTGTCCAGTAACCCGCAGCAACCATACGCGCTGGTTTGCTTAAATGGATTTACCCGGCAACCCTAACAGTTCGCGATTGCTCCGCAAACTCCGCGTTACGGAAGTTTACCAAGAAAGCCCAAAGTGTTCGCTGAATGAAATCACTCAGTTTGTTTTTTTGGGGCGCCCTGGTTCGCTCCCAAAAATATAGAGATATAGAGAAATTATAATGGCATTGCCGCTTCCCCCAGGTCTGACTCCTCCAGAGGTAGCGTTCCTCTGCGAAATGGAGCTGGTCACGGTGGTGCCCCGCCAGAGGCTTGAAGGACTCGAATTGCTTGGCGTGAGTACAGTGCTCCCCAATATTTTGCCTGCCATCCCAGCACAGCTCTTCAGTTTTGTTCAATGGACCGTCACATACCCTACTCAGAAATTTGCAAATCCAATTATTGACGCGAGATTGCAAACAACACAGGGCACAACACCCGAGCTACGCCCACCGTATCGCGCCGTGCTGCCGCTCTGGCTTGCACTGTTACTGAAGCGCCAACGCCGCGCCAATATTCTTCCGCCGCCATGGCTACACCCTTCGTCGCTGGACACAATTCTTCGTCTCGAGACAGAAGTGCACAAGGAGACTTTCTCGCCACCGCCGCTCTTTCCGCCAAGTAACAACAACCTACACGAAACGAGGAGCGCGCCCTTCTTGCCCTCGTGCACTGCGGACGCGGCAGCAGATGCGCTGCCCTACCACTGGCTAGAAGTAGGAGAGATCCTGCTGGACGCGGCGCCGGATGACTTGGTCGAGCCGGACACTGTGCGGCGGCTGATGCGGGATCTGCGAGAAGTGCGCATGGCCAAGATGCGCGCTGGCGTGGCGGTGCTGGATGGAGGCGCCGTGGTGGGCTTGAAAGGCGTGGGGGGCATGGAGGTGAGTGAAGGACGCGCATTCATTTCTGGAGTCATTGACAATTTGAGGTAAGTTGCAATTGAAACTGGTGTTTGGATTGACACACCCACCCGGTATCCATGGCAAGGAGTAAGGAGTAGGATTATATTTATCTGATATACTTGCGTAAAACAGGAAAATCGGCGCCTCAAGAGAACAGAGCCGTCGCGAAAGAGAGGCTGAAGAAAGAGAAAACGGCTACGATGATGCCGATGAAGATGAGGATATGGGTCTCTGATGAAATGGCAAAAGGTCCATGGTTTTTGTTTATACCACTTCTTTTGAAAGATACCCCCCGTCAACGAGTGCGGACACTCTTACTTCCGCACCTCAGTTTGAATACGATGCAGAGCGTTTTGGAGCACTCTCCAGATACTCTAACGCATATTGGCCGCTCATATTTTGCATGGAAGGGGTCACGCCGTGGCGCTCAAGCTCACCCCTGTCGTGTCGGGCGTTGGTAGCTTGAAGACGGCCCATACTTCTTGCACAGCCTTTTCTTTTTGGCAGGCCAAGACCACAATGCGACTAAAAAGGCCGGGGGAAAAGAGACTTCACAAACTGAATGCCAGGTCGGGAACAAGATATGGTTTCATCTGCTCATTATATGCGGAAAAAATCTATCATGCTGGGATATAGAACCGAACCTCGCTATGCATAAAGCATCATGCGCATGCTTGCAAAGGGGCTTAGCCCTTTTAGATCGGTCGCGCAAACTCTCAATATAACACAAATTACCCACAAAGGGAAACAAAGTAGCCAACGCCTTTCAAATGCCATGCTCGTATGCGCTTTGCAGTGCTCTTCCGCGCTTGAAGACACCGGTGCTACCAATCTACCGCCCACCCGTTCTTTTCCAAGAACTCGGCGCAAGCTTCTCTGAGCGCCAAATTTGGTCGAAGATCATCAATCACTAGTGGCTCCCTTGTCAGCGGATCAGTTGGTGAGCGCTTGAGATGCTCAAGTATGGCTGAACGTTCATATGAATGACCCGTCTTTGTCACGACGGGATCGTGCATGACGGCGAATGTGATATCGTCGATAAGGTAGTCGGGGACCTCCTGCCATGTGGAATTAGCACTGATCTACGTTTAATCCGACATGCGGAATGCGGTCAGGAAGCGCAAGCAATCAACAAAATACAACATACCCTATGTGTAGATTGATCCGGATCTGCAGCTGCGAATGCGCTCCTCAAGGTCTCAATCTTGTTCCTCCAACTTTCTTCGGCATATTGCCTCTCCTCCTCAGCTTGCGCCGGACCAATCTCGCCCGTAGCGACCTGCTCTTCCAATCCTCGAATTTCTTCCTCCTTTTTCGTATTCAAACCCTCTTCGAGCTCGGTCAGAAGCTCATTACTTCTGGCAATTCGCTCCCGCTCCGACCGCTCCCACTTCTCCTTCTTCGCACGCAGCACTAAAGAGGAAATATTGCCCGCACTGGAGCTATTCGACTTTATGGCGGCGTCATAGGCTGTGAGCGCCGAGTTAAGCGCTTCATTCGGATGCTTCAAAGCTAGTTGCGCTTGCGCGAGGTAATAGTAAGCTTTCATATTCTGCGGCAAAAGCTCAATCGATTTCAAGCTGTCATTGAGCACTCCTTCCCAGTATTGAAGCTTGATGCGACTAAAGGCGCGATTCGTGAAGAGGAACGGATTCGAAGCATCTTTTTGAATTCTAGAGCAGCAGAAAGGATAATTAGGATTTGAGTCCAAATGAAACAAGGGCGCCATGCACGTACGCTTTGGTATACAGCTCTTCAGCGCCTTTGTAGTCACCCTCTTGGAAACGCCTGGAAACTGATAGTCAATATCAAATATTATACTGTTTGGAATAGAATTGCTGTTTTGACGACGAGTAGATTTATGTCACTTACTTGTTTCCCTCTTCTTTTAACTGCACTGCCCGACTTGCCATGATCTGCGTTTAGTGTTGACGACCCAGAGAGTTGGGACAGGGAGATGTAATAATGGACAGCCAGTTGAGGGCTATATTACCAATCACCCATGGCAGCCATGATGCGCCAAACAATCATGCGAGCGAGGGGCGCCTAGCCGGGGGGGGAGTGGCGGTTCCTTTGGCCCGCCGCAGAAGCTACTAGAGCATCTTTATACGGTAGACGGTGGATGTCAGTCATGTCAAATCATTGGAGCGGAACCGGGCTTCATCGCCTAAAGTATTGTTTGGAAACCCCCCCAACGATTCAGCCAATCATTTGACTCAGGATCCTGTAGGGTCACTTGTTGCGGGGAATCTCCCCAAGAATATGCACTTGACAGGATCACTTTGGGAGATCAAACGATGGTAATTTACTGGATTTTATCCATGTGAACGAGATGCAATTTTAGAACTCAAAACCATGACGCTCTCAAGGAGCTAACGCTTGATTGGGCAATTTCCTGCCCGGGGACTGTCAGAACGCCACTTTCCCCTTCAGGCTAAACCCTCTCCACAGTGTCATGTCAGCTTTGGTCACTACGCAAGCTCCGAACCGTATCTGGCAATATCGGAACATACTTACGTTTTGGGCATGGACACGACGTCGATTTTCGAATCTCGAGATCATAATTCAAGTGAAGCGTGGCCGTTTTCCGAGATAAAAGTCCCTTCAAGTGCGGAAAAGACCATGGCGCTGGAGTATCTCAATGTTCAACTCCGGATATCCGGTAACTTACAAGTGAACACGATTTCGTTGTTGCTCAAAGAGAGCTTGACATGATTGAATGATTACTCGGATGTCGACAGCAAAGCCAATGTTCAGAAAAAGAAAAAGGGCGTTGTGTACAAAAAGGTTAGAGCGGCTTTGCCGCATGATCAAAAGAATGCCATTGTTGCCTTGACTGTGCCTCATCTTCACAGGCAACAATGACGTTCGGTTTATCATCCCGGAGCTCTCGACCCTCGGAGTGGTTGATTCTCGGCCCCAGCGCAAGATATAAGTTTCAGAGTCGAAACCTCGAAAACCAAATCTCAACTCTGTTGCCTCCAATTTGCAAACACGAAGCGTCAGAACATTGGAGAGGCTGCAATTCTTCGATTTCGCGGACAAAGACCAGCACGCTACAGCCACCAAACAAGAAGCGAACATCACACCATGGTATCGCCAGGAAAAGTGGACGTTCACCACCACTTTATTCCGCCTGCCTATGAGGAAGGTGTGTTCCCTATTTCCATTTTGTTTTCTGAAACGTTAGTAGAATATTGTGCGGACATATTATTTTTCTTTCGTCCTTTGTGATTGATGCGCCCCCATAATTTTCCCAAATCCGAGCGCCATTGACTAATCGACCATCTTATACAGCACTATTTGTTTCTGGTGGGGACCCCTCAGGTTGGAAAATCCCCAAGTGGTCATTGCGCAACAGCCAAGTGCTCAATTCGCGGCTGGACACCACCACGACCATTCTTTCCATTACTGCTCCAGGCGCTGAAATCCTTCCCGATCGCGACGCGAGCCGTCGTCTTGCGCGCGAGCTGAACGAATATGCGGCGTCAATCCGCGATGCGAAACCTCGGGAATTTGGATTCTTTGCGACTTTGCCGTCTCTGCGCGACCAAGAAGGTGCCATGGCGGAGATACACTATGCGCTAACCATTCTCAAAGCGGATGGAATTTGTCTGTACACAAGCTACGGACCTCGCGCACATGAGGAGGACATTTTTCGCCCTCCAATCCTGACCAAACCCGATCCCGAAGAGTCCAAGCATTATTATCTAGGACATGCGTCTTTTCGGCCGATTTGGGAGCTTTTGTCTAGTTTTCAAGCTGTAGTATTCATTCATCCGACTCATCCTCGAGACACAACTTTGGTAAATCCTCTGCTTCCGCAGCCCATGATGGATTACCCGCACGAATCGGCTAGATCAGCCGCCGACATGATTCTGACCGGGACAAAGCGCGGTCCGGCCTCCGGATGCAAGATAATCTTGTCGCACGCTGGAGGCACCTTGCCCACACTTATCGAGCGAGTGGGCATCATGCTGCCTATCGTCTTTCCAGACGCGAGGATACCGGTTGCAAGCGCTGCTGGCGCGGTCAACGCAGAGCATGCCGAATACTCTCAAAAAGTGTCCCGCGAACAGGTTGAAGAAGATGCAAAGTCTTTTTATTTTGATCTTGCCTTGTCAGGCACGTCAAACATTCTGGATTCCTTCCTCAAATGGGCACCTCACGACCGAATCTTGTTCGGCAGTGACTACCCATATGCGCCCGCTGAATCCATTGGGCGCATGACTCAAAGTTATGAAAAGTATGGGATGAGTGATGAGCTGAGGAGAAAGATTGATAGAGCAAATGCGGAGAGGGTGTTCAGGCGATTCGAATAGGTTACCGGATAAAGCAAGAATGAATGCCGTGCCCAGTCTTCAATATGTAGTATATATCGAGCCGTATATGCGCTCGTGTTTTATAACCTGTTTGGTGTAGTGGTCCTCGTCCGACGCACATAGTTATTTCAAAGATGCCACCGTCATACGCAGAACGCAAACGATCGCGATTTCTAACACATTTCAAATAAAATAAAAACTGGTGCAATAACCTAAAAATCGGTGCATTGGTTGGTTGCTATATGGCCAAATAAATGCGTCATAAAATTGCGAACGAGATAGAAGATAGAGAAAGAGCAAACCATGGCTACACAATGATCCAGCATTGACCATATTAGAAGAAGAGTTTGCATCGCACGCCGCTAATAGAACATAAAGCAAAGGAAATATAAAAAAGGGTCGGATATTTTAAACGCCAGCCAACGACGCTAGATAAGCAAAATACTCCTATTCCGGATATCAAAGGGGATAAATATCTTTGGTTTCGTCAGAAAGTGTCGTCCCAGCATTTCATCGTCACGTATAGGTAGCAAGCAACTGCAATCCGTTGCTAGAGTAGGCTCACTCCCGCGAACTTTTGGGCCCTTGAGTTGAGTTGATACTGACAATGTTGCCAGCAAATATCCAGCGATTTAGACAGGGTGGACAGGTATGGCAACAGATGCAACGCATCTTATGCTTACCACAAGCAGAGAAGAACGTGATGCGGAGCTAATTTGGCCGCCTCATACTTTCCCTCGCACATGGCAGTGTTGAGATGCATTGCATCAGGCGTCAGAGTAGGCTGTAGAGCCGCCGGCTTTGGCCCGTTGGCTAGCTCCCTTAATGATATGACTGAGGTCACCGACAGGGATCTGGAAGGGGAAGTCGAGCGCAGCGAGCATCTGCGCGAAAAAGATGTACCATCCGCATGAGGAGACAACAAAAAGACATGCTCCTCCGGCCTGCATGGTCAAAGAGAGAGTAGAGTTAGCCAATTGAGCCTGGTGGATCGAGATAAATGACAGCAAAATGGTTCGGCGGTACAAAATTCTAGGGATGGTTCTCCAGATAAACGGATACTTACAGTCTGAATATGACCTGCCAAAGCGACGTTCCCATTTGCGACTTGCCAAAAGGCTGCAGCCAGAAGAGCGAAGCCCGGAGTCAGGAATAGAAAGATGAGGAAGAAGACAATGTTAGTCCTCAATGCGCAGATAAGAAAGACAAAGCTCAAGAGAGCCATAAAGAGGAGAAAGAATGCTGTATCGTAAGATGAAGCGTTAATTACCTAGTTCACCATAGAAATCTGAATAGAGCCTTACCAAAGCTGGCATTGAAAGAGGCAGCGTTCAAACCTGCTGCCGGGTTGGACGTATCTGGTGAGTATGCCCCATACGCGTTGAACGATGGTTGGAGAGTTGCGCCATAAGTAAGCCAAAAGCCACCTGGGGCCGAGTTAAAAAATCTGAGCATTTGGAAGGCTTGGATATAATCAGAGGGGATCTCACCATAAGAGCAGAAGACAACGAAAGGGAAAGTATTTCCGAGGATAAATTCGAGAACACCACCAATAAGCATGCAAACTCCGCCGAAGAAAAAATATGAACCGCTAAACAGCAATTGTTAGGCTTGGATCCGGATGCTTATAAAAAAGGGAAGCAAGGTTTGCCTACATTCCAGCAGCACCGAAACCACCTGAGCCTCTCCATCCCATAAGCTCGCACGAGAGGGGTGTCAATGACAGAACAAATCCTACAAGAGCCCTGGATATCATGTCAGCGTAGCTCCTGTAGTTCTCTATGACTAAGGCCCAGACGGGTACTTACAGTGGTGTGGGATTACCAAAGGTCTTTCGAAGATCACCCTTGACTATTTGACATTAGCAATTACGACCAAGCTAATGGTCTGGACGGAAACATCCGTACCTGCGGTTGCTGGGGAGAGATATATCTTCTCGAAGAGTTCTGGAGAGATGCTGAAGCTTCGTGCGGTGGGGACCCGCCCGAGACCTGTATCGCTGGTGGCATCGTGCGCAGCAATGGGGTCGCCCTCATTCGAGTGGTGCGAACACACGCCCGTCTGCGAGTAATCCTTTTCCAAAGGCTGGCCATTAGGATCTCCGCGAGTGACCGACATGCCGGAACGAGGCTAATGAGGGATGAAAGAAGGAAAAGTGTAGATCCAACGGGGATGCAACTGAGGTCGAATGTGAGCTGCAATGGCACCGATGAGAAGGATGTAAAGTGGAGGATTGCAAACGAGAAAGAAGAAAGAAAGAAAGAATTCAAGGAGAGACGTAATATTTATAGGATACACAGTTGAGATAGAGAAAGCAGAACAGTCGACAAGAAGAGTTCGTATGCGCACAAGCAGCTTTGAATGGTTGTTGGAAGAACGAGCGGAAAGCAGCATTATAAACGTGATATATCACAACGTCCTACGACGAGGACCAGGATCCATCATCAATCATAGTTCTGTCCGGTCCAATGGCTAGGCTAGACCGTATTTGGGAGGAAATTTTTCATTTAAACCCTAAGGGTAATATTGCATACAGATGAGAGGTGCCAATTTCATTGTGCACAGAACAGCCTCCTAGACGCCCGCTCCTGTACGCGATGAATAAGGGGGCTTGGGACCATCTCGTCGTTTTCAAACTAGAGAGAAAAAGAGATAAATAATTTCATCTTGTCAACGCTTCTCGAGGTGGCGTCCATGTATGTACGTGCGAAGCTACGTGGATGGAGGTAAGGTCCTGAGTGACCAGGCAAGGGTAGGAACCGCACAGATTGCACAGAAAGGTAGGTAGGTAAGTACATTGCAGCATAGTAGCTTTGCGAGTCGAGACTTGAGCGCTCGACCGCCCAATTCCTCATGGGCCCGAGAGCGTGAGCTGGTCCGGAGAAAAGGGACAGGAGTAAATGAGGTTGAGAGGGCCCTGGTCGTGGCGGTTTGGGCTTGACTTTGACTGACAAAGCTCGCCGGTGATCCGGAAACCGAACTTGAATGGCCATACGGTCCTAACTTAGTGAGCTTTCACTTAAGCTATAGTTGGTCCCGCTAACCCCGTTTCTGCTCAGCCGAAGCGAACGCGGGGAAAGACGTGGGCACCCCAGGCACAGAGATAGAGTGGAGATATCCAGATACAATAGTTACTCCCCAGCTCAGCCTAATCGACTGTCGGTTCCAAGTATCTTCCGTTATGACTCGCAATAAATCATCTGCGTTTGGGTCATTGCTCCCCTCAAACCGTTACTTCAAGCCCAGTTTCACTAAGAACACTTTGACACATAGTTAGATCCGGTGTCATAATCTGTGTCGCAGATGAAAATGATCATCACATGATTGTAATTGTTCCTTCGCGACACCGCCATATTTAAGAAACAATTGCGCATAAAATCTTGAGATCCTCGCATCAAGGCAAGGCCTCAATGCATTGCAGCGGCAGAACAATTTGATAAAGCATCTTTTCTCAAATCGCTTCGCTTTTAGATGCTTTGGCGAGACTTGGACTTGGCACGATTGGTGAGACTGCACATGCTCCGACCGGCCTCGAGCATGGTGCTCTCCTCGCACCATCGCCTCATCCCTGCAGGAAACCCCTGAACGGTAGCACAGGACAAAAACGACGGGTCGGGTCAACGGAGAGCGGGCTTTCCCCAATCATCTTGCTCTCCCCACGGCACCATCCGTGTATCTCAGACTGACCGACAGATCATGATCCGTTCGACATGCAGCAGCTCCTTCGCTCTGATCTGTAGGGACTAAGACAGCTCGCCTAGTATTGCTGCTCGACGACGCCGCGATACCACGCCAACTACGGAGTACACGACATGACGGCACAGGTACACACCTATCTGCGAAATTCCCGGACAGCGGGCATAATAGCACGCAAACAGCCGATGGCCGTGTCACAGTCTTGTTTGCTTCGCAGTGGCCAGAAAGGCTTCTCTTCTCTCAAAGACATATGGCGCGACTTTGATTCGAATCCTGTCGGATGTGTAAGTTTAAGACCTGGCAGATCTCACTTATGCGCACCGCCTTTTCTGGCTGTCTCTTCCCTTGGTGCAGAAGAGCAAGTGTCTCTTGGATGCAGCAATATTGTATAGTCGCCCAATTTTCTGCAAAGCATCAACGGTCCCTATCGTACTTGTGCAGCGCATACTCGTTTAGCCTTCAAGGCGTTCGTCATGCTCTCGAAAGCTGGCGCTGAAGACGATTGTGATATATGTATCTCCTGTTGTATTGATCGTACTTTCCGCCTTCACTGTAATAGGACTTGGACATTGTCAGAAATATTTGAGAAAATATTCCCAGCAACAAATTTTCGAAAGAGTTTCTGAAGAGCGTTAATAACTTCTGGACTTGTACATCAGGGTAGAAGTGAGGACCTTTTGGTTTGAAAAGAGGGCTGGCCAACACTGGCTGTCTGTATCTCACCGACATCGCTTGAGTCGAACGATATTTGTGGCACCAGAAACCTGTCAAGCGCAGAAGCGCCTGTTTCCATCGGCACGAGAGTCTTCTGTCCACCAGCTTACCGTAGTTGGCCACAATCCCCACCACGCACCGACAATTCCCAATAATGGGAATTAAGCTCGCTAGTAATCCTAGTCTGAATGAAGCCCAAAAGAAATTCAATATTCGGGTGGCGATGAAGAAATGAGATATCGCAGTAAGGGGGAGGTGAATGATTTGCTAAACGCATAGGCGGCAGGTTGCTTCGTTCTCCCTCGCATTCGGTTTCTTCATCCCATTGATACTGTGATTGCGAGTTTCGCCACGATCAAGCCAAACACTTACTGGCCAATACAGCGGTTTTTTCGTGCAAATTGTGAAAATTGTCTAGGAATGATGTCGGGCTGTCCGACGCGTACCGTTAAAATGAAGCTCTAGGTATAATTGACTTTCGTCATTATCTGCAAGGGTCGCAAGTGGCGATTGAAGTTGATGGAATCCGGATGCTACAGCAGTTGGCCATCACTCCAATTTAAACAGATGAACACGTATCGGTAGATTCAATAACAGGCCGAATAGACACAACAATTATATGTGGCGGATTTTTGAGGCGCAGTGATATGCTCTTTCATTAGTCCAGTCTGACGGAGGATAGGCACGTAGCTGCATCATCTCAAGTACCTGTAATTTGGTCAAGGAAAACAGGAAGAGTGAAGGGAATTTTGTTCATTTAGGATACGATTTCTTCACACTCACCCACTGTTCTGTCTCCGTATCCAATATCGATCTGCTTTGACATTCCGCCTTATTGAGTAGAAACTCAATTTATCGGCTGCAGTACTTGCCGTATCAGCAGTTTAAGAGCATGTTCAACAAACCATGGCGAGTCGGAGATTAGTGTGTGTTGAGGGAAATGCTCGGCGTAACATGAGGCGATCAAATTCTACGAAGCGACATCATCTGAGACATTCCAAGTAGGATTGGCTTTTTGTACCGTACGCCAGTTACTTGGGTTAACCGACAGTAAGTGGTTCCATGTCTTGGTGCTACCAGAGATCTCAGCGCTTGCAATTTTTGATCCAATTTCTATAAAAAAGAGAAGATATTATGAGCGTGTTGTTCCTGATATTTTTCAAGCAGCACTTCTTCGATTAAGGTGTACACTAAATCATTAGCTGCCGAGAGGAACTAGCCCGACCCAGTTCAGCTATATTGGGATTAGGAAGCACCTGTACGTTAGCGACTGGCTAGCAGTCTGATCTGTGCCGATGCTGCTAAGCTCGTCAGATTCAGTGTCTACCCTCACCGTTTTCATCAATCCTTGAACATAAGCTTGGTCAAAAACCCATCAAATCATTGCTTGCAATCTGAGACATTGGTAAATGACATTACACGCAGCGTTTTACTGGGAAATGATTCCGAGCAAAGTGATCTTGCAAGCCTGCCTCTGTGACACTTCAAGCCCCGCCATCACTGCTCGGGTTTCCGTCGTCCCTTACCCTAGATCGTATATCTACGAGATCTACTAATTGAAAACACATTCTTGCGACTCCAGCCACAGTGAGAGGATGGATAACTGACACCTAACAAGGTACAGCTCTCTGGAATAATGATGTTCCATCCCAAGAGAGAACGCTAGTATCGCCATTATCTACGAAAAAGTAGAGACACTGGCTCTACCAATGAGACTGAAAGATGGAAGGTAATAGCTTGTGCAGTATTGGAATCTGATCAACTGTTCCATTATTGTCCATAAATTCGACAATTTTTACTCTGCGGTCATCTCTTTTCTGTCGTTGACTCTTCTTTGCGTTGGTCTGTTGTATCAATTGCGTGTGTTTTGCATTGCGTCATTCGATATAAGCAATGTGGCTGCTTATATAACGTGCATTATTCTTCACTTCTTCTTTTCTTTTCCTGGAAGGCAACTCCTATCAAGTGCAGCGATGCTCTACCCTACTTAACCTCTCCGCGGGATACCTGTGACTGCTTTATTGCGGTATACATTTCTTGGCCCATCTCTGCTCGAATGGGCCAATTATTCTATGCTTGCCTTTCCTGAACCGCAAATTCTTCTCTTCATGATTCAATTTTTCAGACCATCTATTTCTATACGGTGGTTCTGCACGGCCTTGATGGCGCGATGAGTGCTCTTCAAGGCGAAGGCAACATTGGGACTACTATCTCTGATATATTCATGCAGCGACCTCCGGATACCATTACAGCCATATTACCATGTTATGAGGGTGGACTGGCCCTAAAAATTCTCAAGTTTAGTTCCAACAAGCTCAGCTCGCTGTCGGCCGGACGAGACCATCCGAACCTATATCAAGGTCACAAAATAACCCTAGTTAGGTCTGGAGATGTCGAACTGGAGGCCAGACTGCGGAACGTGATTGACCAGACCAGCGGATAACCCGCTTGAAAGATTCTTTTGGCTTCAATACTGATAATCATTCTCGAAAAGCCCGCGCCAAACACGAATCCAGGTGTTGGTGGAGGCATCCGGACTGGTGTTTTCCCGTGCTCATTGCATGCAAAGGAATAATTTATACGCCATCCTCATAATATTTCGCCGCAAGAAATTTTTTACACGTCTTTAAACTACTCTTTACTTTCTCTTGTTGTAAAGGATCCGGCATTTTTGAGCAGAGGACCAGGCCTTCATCCAAAACCGATCAAGCGTCTTCCCTTCTCGCCTCGAGAATGTACCTGAAGGGCATTACCTTTATCGATACATATCGCAACTTCTTCACTCTCAGCAGACATAAAAAACAACTAATCTAACCAAGATTTTTGACTATGGCTTTTTCGAGCTCCGATCAAAGGACATCTAGGTTTGTCCCCTAATCGTCTCATCACATATGCCACGAAGTATGCCTCGTTTTCACCTCGGAATACACCAGATATATTTGTTTTGATCAGGAAATAGTCGGATCAAATTTACCATCTTCACTTAAGAGATCTATTTCCGTTTTGCTCAATTCTCCTTCAATAAAGCTTCGCATCGCCGCCTCTTCTTCCTCAGTTAAATAGTACCACTACCGCTGCGGCTGAATATCTCTTCCCTTTCAACAACTTGACAATTATGATCTGATCATTTCAGCCACCAAGCACATATAGCTGATTATCATTCGAGCTCCATACAGGCTTTACTGTGTGAAAGGCGTAAGCATCTCTCATCATCTTATACCTCTGGCCCCATTCAGTATATCTTAGATCTATTGAGGAGCTCACCTGATTTTACGACTTGTACCACGAGATACATTCTTACTGTCTCACTGCTATCTTCTTTCCCTCACATCATCCTTCTTCTTACGTTCACCTCCAGCTGCTCATCTCATACCGACCAGCTTGTTTCTATCAGACCACACTTTCACAGTCACACTACAGCTGACTCTACTTTCACCAAGTGGGAGATCATTTTTAATGATCATCACTGCTTACCTACATCTTAAACCTGTCTCACTGCACCTTTGATCTCCAAGATTCTTTGCCCCAAAGGTCTAGACTTCTTCCGTTCAATAACCCAGGCCCTTTATTTACTTTACTTGCTCATCCCCCTTCTCAAACGACTCTTCATCGTCAAACACAGAAGCACAGCTACTTCAAACATACCTCCCATTTATCTTGGATTCTTTATTTACATCCAGATACCTTCTCTATTTTCTTCTATCGACGATTTGAACTCAGTTCGCTTGTCAAGCTTTCCTAGAATTCTACCACACCGTAAGACTCTGGCTCTTCAATTCCAACTTACCTTTGTACTCCAGTCCCGCAAGATATTTGCACTCTCCAATCATTCGACAAACTTTCAGGCCATTCAATTTCTCCAGTTTCATATCAAGCATCGCTTTTTCCCGTGTCTCTTTTGATTTAATTCTTCCCTCCTAACTTGACTATTCTTGTTCTCTCGACTGAATCTATCCTTAGCTGCAGCTCGAGCACTTACGAGTTGCACATATTGCGTATACAGTTTCGAAAATGCAGCGTTCTCTACGGTCGCGTTCACGTTCCCCTCAAGAGGGGCGACGCCATCAGGATGCTCGAAGACGAACTCCTGAGAAGCAGAAAGGCTTGACAAATGAGCCCGTGCCCGGAAAAGGCCGACTTTTGAATATTGCCAATAAGCCCACCAAGGGCACCAAAGGAAGTCAAATCAGCATTTTCACAAACCACTTTGATGTTCTCTCTCTTCCTATAATCGCAATTTATCATTATGAGGTAAGTCTGGCAGGCGTACGGCCTAGAAAACTTAGCTAAATTCTCTGGGTAGTTCACTTTTGAATCATCCTCATCTTTGGGAGAGGGGAAAGTCTTCTCGCAGAGAGTCTCGCAGGTTCTCTCTCATCCAATTTTTACAGATTTCGTGGGTCAAGAATTTGCCTCCGACGGTATGACGCTTTTCATGTTATGCCGATCATTGCTGAAATTCTTTCAGGCGTGAGTCTTGGATTTTCTCCGAAAAAGTTTATTCCGGTTGGACAAGAAAGGTCCACCACAATAGATCTTCCATCCAAGCGTGACAAACCTTTTCCAGTCAATGTCACTATTCGGAACAAAGGAAAAGTCAATATAAAAGCTCTCGCTGAATTTTTGATCTCGGGGAAAGTTGACCTAGACCCCACGACTAACCCGGATCTGCAAATCCCGTTGAAATGGCTCCAAGTCCTTTTCAGACACGATCCTGCAAGTAGATTTCTTGCAAAGCCAAAAGGGTCTGCCTTTTTTACGCGAGCTCACGGGACGACCCTGAGCCTCAAGAGCTCGGCGGGTATTTTGGAGGCTGCGAAGGGGATCTTCCAATCCCTCCAGGTGAGGTTTGGTCGATTAACCGTAAATGTCGATACGGCAAATGCGGTGTTGTGGGCTTCTAATAGAAATTTACTCGAAGTTGCCTGTGCAATAACTGGCATTGAAAGCCGCACCTCGCTTGAAAGGGCGGCAACGAAAGATGTTGAAGATATTCACGAAGCCTTGCAACCGCTTTCTGGAATTGTATTCAAAGTCAGACATGGTACCGAAAATAACCAGTCGAAATCTCGCAAAGTCATTAGTATTGGCAAGACCAATGCCCACAATACCAAATTCATGAAGAATCTGCCGAATGGACAGACTGAGGAAGTCAGTGTCTTTAGGTAAGTGGTTCTTTCCAAAGCAGGAAGTTAATAAGTCTTCTAACGTACCTTGATAGACACATGGTCGACAAATACAAAATAACACTTAGATATCCTGGATTGCCGCTATTAGTCACGAAATCTGGGATGTTTCCCATGGAACTTTGTTACTCGGTTGACGTGCGTATTACCCTTGAGCAGGCGGCAAGTTGAGTCTGATATTGATCCGGTCACTTAGGCCCAATTCTATAAAGATGTTTTGGAAGGACAACACAACGCAGAGTTCATCAAATGGGCTACTGCTCCTGCTTTCGCTCGAAAGTCTGCTATTCAGAAGAACGTCGAAGTCCTTCAATGGAATTCGCAGCAAATACTCAAACAAAGCGGAATCGCAGTATCTGAAAAGCTAATGGAATTAAAAGCCAGAGTATTGCCTGCACCACTTCCGTGTTACGGTACAGGAACCGATCCTCGTCCCAATGAGACCGGTCGATGGAATTTGAGAGGCAAAAAGCTATTGAAGGTAAGGGCTCATTCGGCTCAGACTAGTTTTAAGATGTTTTAACAACTTCTCCTTCAGCCCTGCAAAATCGAATCGTGGGGAATGGTGTTTTTCCCGGGTCAGAACGCTGGAGGTTCCATTCAGACTTTTGGGGATGCACTCTGTTATGCCTTGGCCGGCGCCGGGATAAGTCTTCCACGCCGAGCGCCAGAAACCCTTCTTGGCAATCCCCATGGGGAAATCGAGAAGATTTGCGTGGATATCATGTCCAAAGCATCGCACGCCTTTCAAAAGATGCCAAATATTCTAATCTTTGTTCTCCCGAGCCGCAGCGAGCGACTCTACCGAGCTCTCAAAAACATCTGCGAGGCAAAGTTGGGCATTGCATCACAGGGTGAGAAATATTATAGTGATAGTGTGACTGTCCTTCCGCTAACACTTGTGTAGTGCTTTGCTGGGACAAAGCCGGCCGTCCTCGGGGACAGGACCAATATCTCGCAAATGTAGCCATCAAAGTCAATGTCAAACTCAATGGTATAAATCATGAGCTCAAAGAGGAAATTTTCCTAAAGAAGCGGACCATGCTGATGGGAGCTGACGTCTCGCACCCTTTCCCCGCCCAATTGCGCAAGAATCCACCACCTCCCTCGTTTTCTGCTCTTGTTGCCACATACGACAAGGCCTGCAGCGCGTATACGGCAATCGCAAGCTGCCAAGAAGCAACCACGCAAATGATATCGGATTTTAGACGAATGGCCCAAGAGGTACTCGAAAGGTATAAACAGAAGAATAATAACCTCCTCCCGGAGCAGATTTTCTTTTTCCGCGATGGGCTCTCCGAGTCCGAGTTTGCACAGATAATGGCCGACGAAGCCCAGCCGTTGATTGGTAAGTTGCAATCCTTCCATCGCTCCTACATGATTACCTCTATATACCTCTTTCTACATCTGGCTATAAGTGCTGCATCATCCCGTTCATTCAAGCGCTCATCCTAAACGCCATACAGACCTATGCAAAGAGTATGCACCTCGCGCACCGAAAATAACAGTCATCGTTGCTATAAAGCGCCATCACACGCGCATTTTCCCCGGAACCAATGTCCGAGGCGACAAAAACGGAAACGTCATGCCGGGGACCGTCCTGGAAAACTCTTCCGGTCACGACATTTGTGGGTTTCCCAGATCAATTACCACATTTGGAGACTACGGCTGATATATATATATTACGTGTGCAGTCCTAGTTGCCCATCCTGGCCTACAAGGCACCGTCAGGCCCACGAGATATATAGTCCTGAAAGACGAAAACAATCTCGCCGCCGATCAGTTCCAGCGCCTCGTCAACAATTTATGCTGGTCCTATGCTCGAGCCACTACGGCAGTATCCCTAGGTATGTCGATTCAGCAGCTGTGCCATATAGTCGGGCAGGACACTTTTTTTCCTTTTTCTGACTGTTACGAATCAGTCCCACCAGTTTTTTACGCAGACCAGGTTTGCTCTCGGGCGAAGATGCATGTTCGGAGAATGGAAAATGGCACGCTCGTCCTTGCGCCTCCGCAGGGGAACGTCAAATATAGCATGGTATGTTTTGCCACCCACCCCCACGTTAATTGTGATACTTTGCTCAATATGGGGTACAAATGGATGCTGACAATGTTAAAAGTACTGGCAGTGATTACGTCTGATAGTGCGCCGATTCCTCTGCATTTTTTTTTTCTTCCACATATCTTCCGTTCTCATACTGGGTTTCTCGATACGGAAATGTATCCCAATTGCCTCACATTGTTTCTCACAGCAAGCTCCTGCCTTGTTTCCTGTTTAGTTTGGAGCTTCTTTCCAGCTGATTACCTTTTTGGTTTTTTTTTTTTTTTTTTTTTTGCTTTAATTATTTTAAATTTCTCTTTTACATTCTCTCCATTTTCCCACTTTACTCTCCCGCATCTAGTAATTCTCAAACTCCAGACCAGATCATACATTCACCCGTTATTCCTTCTTATGATCCCTCTATACGGATCGAGGCTCTTTCTCTTTTAGGCAACAAATCAGGCGTCCAATTTTTCTTTTTGTTTTCACTTCGTCAGGATCAGATTTCCTCTTTAAGTACGAGAGAAATTAAAAGAAAAGGTCTCTATTGTGCAACTGACTCTGTTCCTCCTGCGCCTTTGCGGTGCGGCGATAGATTGGCTCTCCGTAATGACTCCCCATAATGACTTCCATTAACGTAGGATAGCCCAATAAGGAAATCCCCGAAAGGGGAAAAAGGGAAATAAAAAAATGGGGGGAAATTGCAAAAGCGAGATGGAGATAGAAACCCAGCTTAAAGAGGCAATTTTATGTACAGTACATGATCCACAAATCTACGAGGCTATAACTTGATAAGATATGCTTTCATCCGACGAAAATAAAAAAAAAATAAATAAAAAAAAGTAAAGAGATAAAAAGATAAAAAAAATTAATAAGGATCCCACTCCAGTCGTCGCTCTAATGCAAAAGATTCAAAAGGCAGGCCACGCCAAACCTTTTGGCCGGCTTCCTCCTTGAAAAACTCCGGCTGGAAACTGACATGGGACCAGCCGTGGATGAGGCGGCGCCAGTAACACGTTTCCGCGGCGGGCGTGAGGTAGCGGTATCTGAAGGTGTTGACACTGTTCGTGGCAATACGCTCTGCCTCTTCATCGTGTGCCTGGAGCCACTCAATCTGTTCACTGAGGCGCTCGTAGTCGCGATCGACCTGGACGTAATTCTGGTCGGGGCCCTTGGCGCGCATCAGGGGATGATGGTGCTGGATCCAGTCCATTTCATGGGCAACGATGACGCTCTTGCAGCTCTGCAGGTACTTGAGACGTCCGGAATACGAGTTTCCTTCTGTGTGCGCGAGGTACTTGTACTGGCAATGCTCCGGCATGGACTTGAGATCGTTGCTCACGCTGTCCTTGTCCTTCCAGTTCAGTGCCTTGACGTCGGCCCATGGCTTGTCGCGAGCAGCTTCAATCAGTTTCTCGCGCAGCTTCAGCCCCATGGTCGCTCCGCGCCAGAGCAGCTTGTCGACTTTGTTGCCCCACGACCATTTGTTTTCGGTGAGCGCCGCTTTCATTTGCACTTCGCGCATCGTCCCCACTTTGGTTTCTGGCCATGACCAGTATCCGAAATCGGGCATCAGCCATATATGCGCGTCTGCTTCCTGCCGCGCGTACCCCCACAACGGGACGGGCTCGAAGATGCGATCGTCCGTGTTGAATGCGAATTCGATGTTGGGCAGAGGCTCCGGCGAGGAGACAATGGCACGGTGCAGGGCGTGCAGAGTCGCTAGTTCGCGAGAGTATATCTTGCCTTGGGTCGCAATCATATAGAGCTGTGTTCCCCCGCGGGAAATGGTTAGCCTTCTTTGTGTGACTGCTAAGATGGAGGCGTGGTGACAAGAGCCGTCCCAATTAAAACTTACCTCTTGGTCATAAATCATGGCGCGGACGTAGCCATTCTTTGGAGTAATTGCGTCAACGTCTGCCACTGAGATGCTTCGATGCTGCCATTCCTTCACTGCTCTGTCGACCTCTGTGAACAATCCGGGGAAGGCCTGCTCGCATTGTGCAGAATCGAGTAGGAGATTGTTCCTGTCTCGCTCATAGTCCCATGTTCCATTGAATAAATCCTTTTTATTCTGGACGTCACTGTTGCCGCTCCATTGAGATGAGGAGGATAATGGTGTTGTAGATGCGCTGCTGCCGGATGCAGGATGGTACCAGACGAAGATGACAATGGTAAGGAATACGCAAGTAAGGAGAATTGTCGAACGGCGATTGCTCAATGTTGCTTTGAGTAGGTCATTGTACATGCGACGAACATTGCTCGAGACTGGCATTATCACGAGAGAAGGAAATTACCCAGGGTACCCCGACTCGACATGAGATGCGGGTGTATGATTATTGTTGACACTTGAAGATTCCAGGTGCCAGGGTGCTCTTCTCTCGCCCGCAAACGCAAGGCGGTAATGCTATCCGCACCCGGCGCTTACGAGTCGCACATTGTACCACCGACGATCAGTTGGCTTAGGTAAGCAAGGTTTATGCGGAGAAATTACTTGGGCGTACGAGGAACTACAGTCAAATGGGACAATTGCAGTGTAAAAATGATTCAATGTAGGGAGACGATTCTGAAAAGCTTCTATATTATGATAAAAATGAGACAATACATCGGTTGCTGCGTATCCCAGCATCTAATGAATAAACGAATCCATTGAGCCACCCTTGCTCAGTTTAAGCTTGCCCTAGGCGACTTCACAACAGCGTCTGCTTACAGGTGAGACGTATCCATGCAGTCAACCAGGAGAACCAGTGCTGGATCAAATCACGACCATGGAGCTGCATTTGTAGAGATGAGGTCTATGTATACAAGAAAATGCAAAGTCGTGGCGCACAAGCGTGCATACATATTTGTACTCAATATCTTTTGTTCATCCAAGGGTTTCTATGGTATATTGCGCTGTGGTGTTGTGACAAGGATTCTAGGTAGTGCTCAGTTGTCAAGGCGGGGACTTTACCTTTAAAAAGATAACAAATCAAGCAAAAAGAAAAATAAAATAAAAAAATCAGGAGCCGGACCAAGACAACAAAACCAAAAGATTTAGGGGAAAAAAAAAAAAAAAAAAAAAAAAAAAAAAAAAAAAAAAAAAAAAAAAAAAAAAAAAAAAAAAAGAAACATGCAACAGCGGGGATTCGCTGGTCGTCACCGACCCAACTACTAGTCCGCCGATCTGAGGCTTATGTATGGCAGAGCGGACGGGATGCCCAGTTCTCCTCAGTCTATGGTCGCATGTACCAGAACAACATAGAAATAAGGTTATTATACCAAGTCCTATTCACCCTTCACTTCTACCAAGAATGTCAAATGCAAAAGAACAAAAGAGCAAAATGAGGGAGAAAGAAAAGAAGAAGATTAACCACAGAGCGTACGGCTTTGGTCACCTGCTCAGCTTTCGCCCCTAGGGATGATGCAATCCGGCGGCTGATCAGTAAGCCAATGAAAACGGCCCAGGGATACTACGTAAAGCCACAATTAATCAGAAGACAATCTGACTCTCCCAAAGGGATGGTGCAAACAGAAGTTGGATAGGGTCAGCCAATACGGGATTTTGAGAAGCTGCAACGGTCGCTAGCAGAGAGAGGCGTGGGGTGAGTGCGACAAAGAGTCAGAGGAGTACCCCGGCATTATGATTCAGATGGGCAAAAGCATATCCGGCATTTTGGAAAGGGGTGGTTGAAGAAAGCGGAATATCGATACACAGTATATATACATCGAATATGCATACCTGTGCGTCAATTGTGGAGGAGAAGCGTGGGATGTCAACGCCGGTAATGGATGCACAGGTGACAGGTGCCTCGTGACCTCCTCCCGGTGGACAAGTGTCTGAGCAAAAGCTGTTTCAAAATGCTGTGGCCCGGCATAAGCTGTTGACACCATTTCCGTAACCTCATGATGATTCTTGTCCGATGTGGTCTGGAAAATGGGCTGCTGGTGATCCTGCAGGCCCCGGTCTCTCGTCAGCACGATGACTGTATTCCGATTGTCTTCTGTAGGTACAGGTAGTTCTTTGTTATATTTTTGATAAAAATTCAACATCTAAGATTAGTATTTTGTCGCATGGGAAAGTAACTTAAATTTCCAAAGTAGACCTAGGTACGTTGCATTGGTTGATTTGACCGGGGCTGCCAAGGGACAATAATGATACATGAGATAAGAACACGTCTAGGATGCTGGGCGTCCTTTCATGTTGGAACGAGGAAGCGATGCTGCATTTGCCCTTGTCAGATGAAGTCAGCAGCACTATATTGTACCGAATGTAATTTTCATCGCGTGGTCTGTCAAGGATGAAAGCTGCAGCAAGTAGGGATGGGCTATCTGATCGGGCCCTCTTTCTCATTTGCTATCCGATGCCAAAAGCCATGTGTAGAGAGATGCTCCTCTGTGTGGAGACGGTACAGCGATACAGTACTGTATCGTGAAGCTCGATACGAGACGTAACGATGGGACGTCCGAGATCCATCGGTCCCCAAAATCTCCATCGACGTCGGATACCGGGAAGGGCCCTTGTAGGTTCCTTGTATATACTGATACTACTCTATTGATACTTTAACAAAATTATCATCCACACAAGAATCCACATTTACCACAAAAAGCAGTCAGCTTTGTGAGAGATGGCTGATACGAATCCACGAGGCAAATATACTAAGGTACATATTGCCTTGAAGTCATAAGCGAGGACACAGAATTAGGCAATGGCATGTTATAATAGCATCAGGGATATTTGGCCGTGTTGTGAAAATACGGTTACAGACCGGATGGACGGATATAAAATCAATAGTACGTACTCAATAGTAAGGACTAGGGAAAAAATGGGAGAGAGAGGGAGGGGTGGTTGCGGGTTCCGACATACCGCCGGACATTATTAGTCTCGTCAATCTGTCAGTGACAGGTGCAAGACTGGGGGATTCAATCTGGGCGGACCACTCAGAGTGGAGAACTCTGGAGAGGATTTCACGTTGGAGTCAGGCATCATACCAGGATACCAGACTACAGTACAAGCCCCATATTTATGCCGGGGTGCCCCTTTCCCAACGTAAACTATCGGGCCGGTCGGAGAAATGGCTTGGACGAGCTTGGCTCACCAAGTACAGAGCTGCAGCGAACCGGCAAACAGGCTGCATACCAAGCATTTGGTATTGATGACGATCATCAGGAGCCCTTGCAGCATTAAACAAGATATTTCAAAATAAAAGAGTTAGCAGGAGATAACTTGGTATCCGAATGTCGAAAAATGATGGAACTAAAGAGAGATCCGTCTCTTCCTCCCAGCGCCTCGGCCACAAAAAAAAACCTCTCAGGGTAATGGATGATGCACAAAGTTGTGCCCATGGCACGGAAGAAATATCCGGAGAGACTTCCCCATTATTATTTAGCAAATATTCAGGAACGGGAAAAGCGTCTCGGGCTGGGGCACGAGGGGAAGAAGCAGGAGGGGGGAGGAGTACTCCGTAGTGGAGAGAGTGACAGCAAACCCATCTCTTGGGACCAAAAAAGGAAATTCACGACTGGGGGCTAATCGGCCCTTAAGGTACCTCCCCTGCAGTCCTTGTACCAAGCAGAATAACGTAAGGTAATTTTTCTGCGCCTACCGTCTCGGCTGCAAAAATCGCCTCATTGTCCAGATTTGACGTGTAGCACTACGCAGCTTATTGAACGATACAGCCAAACCACCGGAACCAAAAGTACTGGTTACTCGATTTAGTCAGAACTTTTCACGATTTTACCTGTAATTTGTACTACTCATCTCCACGGAAATTCGTACTTTGATGTCTTCTATCAATCTCGTCAACTGGCATTAGAAGCCCCCCAGATAGGCCGGGTGCCGATTTACTCCGACCGGAAAAAAAAAGAACAAAATTGCATAGCACAAAAGAGCCGAACCTCCGACTTGGGCCATTTGTCACCATCCCCATCCAGACCGAAGTCTAGAGACCTCTCTCTTTCATAATATTTCGCCCAGTGGGTCAAAGACACCACAAAAAAATCAGGACATCTCCACTCGTCCGACCATGTTAATGCAGTGCCATGACATACTAGGCGCGCACGAAAGATTCGCCGCCACCGACTGCTCCAGCTCATTTGATGGTTTTACTACGGAAGTACTCCGTACTCCGTATTGTACTCAACATTGAGCCGTCGTCGGTTTGACACTGCGGCGGTTTCCTTACGCAGTATTCCCAGTAGCTTTGGACATTGAGGTTCCCCCCCGCCATTGATGCCCTACTCAGCGCCCAGACGCAGTCTGCCTCTATTGTCTAGTGATACCGGACATTGCACAGTACAGACCATTTCACCGTCAATTTGAAACGACATGTTTGGGGGCTAGACTCTCTTTTTGATGCCTCTGGAATTTTTGATCGTTCAGGAGGCTTGTAAATCTCGCCGTGAATATTCGATCAACCTAGATCTTGTTTCTTCTAAGACATCGCAGCTTCTCCAGCAAGGGTGGAGAGTGACCCCATGTTACTGTTGTACCCCAGATTCCTCACACATAGGCGAGGTTGAATGCATCTGAAACTGCTGATACCTCAAACTCACATGATTGATGCTCACCCTCAGTTTCCTATACGAGATACCGGCATAGACTTTCCTGGCTTGGACTTCGTCTGACACATTCGTCATCTCACCTTTCTGCATAGCTGACACCCATATCAGACGCAGTCTTGTATCAAATCAAATATTAGGCTACAAGTCTGTATGCGTATCCGTATGTGTGAAATGAGCATTTGAAAATACCAAAGTTAAGCGTCTGGACCCTGACCTGTGCTACGACGCCAATACACTTGGGAGATCTTGTCCTTAGCTGGGAGACTCTACGACGACGAAAAAGAAAGGTCTAGATATCTATTCTCCGGAAGTGCTACGAGTCGTTCGTCCATGACACTTCTCCAGTTGCGCCTTCGGCCAGGTGAAGGCGGAGAGTGGATCCTTTTCATCATCACGACGGTCGGCGTGAGCGATGAATCCCCAGCATCTGGATCTTCATTGTGGAGAGCGCATCTTTGACCACTCAGGTTACAGTACCTCGAAGCCCACCAGATGGTGCCGCCGCCACAATCGAGGACTGGCCCACTACCAACTCCTTTTCACCAGCCTTATCGCAGACGCCTCAAGAGGTCAATATCTCTTCCTACATCTCTGGCATTGTAAATCACTGCGTAGGGAAGGTACAAATATTAGTACCGCATCGCACCGATAAGCAGAACAACATCGCCCAATGGGAAGGGTCGCCTACTTGCTCAAAACCCAGATTCATGGCTGCCTACCGCCGTCGCCTATCGGCATCCATTTTTACAATTTAAGGGTGCTTGCAGCTCAATTGGAATTCTTCATCCTGTGTCGTCATCACTTCGTAGGTAGACCGGCATTGTATAGACGTGTAAGCTGGGTGTCTCGGCGAAAGAATTTTTTTTGGTCACTAGTAGTACGTTTAGTAGCACACGCAGCATTGATAATAATATCGGCAGATTCCATCATTCCCAAAATTTTCAATAGTAACTCAATCCACCCAGGCTTTTCCCCACTAGAGCCGGCACTTCTCCGGACTGGATCCTCTCTGGACACATCTGGGCATGTGGATTCCCCAGTCCGGTTACTCCGTTCTACTGTTATCCTCTCCTCTGCTAGGTGTCGACAGTTAAATCTGGGCGAGAGACATTACTACGGCCAGCACCATTGGCTCGGCATCACTGCGTCCCTGCGTCTTCGCCAAGATTTACAGTTTTGGGGGGGGGGGAGGCGCTCCATTCCGTCACAGGTTCAGTCAGGATGAGACGTCTCAGAGAGAGTTTAGGGATCTTCTAAGTACAGTTAAGGATCGCACCTTGCATCCTAACCCAGTGCGCGTTTCTTGTTACAGTGTATGGAGTAATTGTTGTTTCGACAAGGAGACAGCTGTGTGCTCAGGGGGGAGGGGGATCAAAGACAAGAGACAACGTGGATTAACTAACAGCGTGTAGTGGCTAGAAGTAATTGCAGTAGTACGTGCCAGTATGGAGTAACTCCGTAGTCGCTTTGGGGGGGGAAAAGGGAGGGAAGTGGCCGTGGGAATTACTCCAGTGGGCGAAGGGAGGTACCTTGTTCATTCCGACTGCGCCGAGTCCCGCGCCAGACGGAGAGACCGCCGCTCCGTAATAGTGCGTCTAAGGCCTATCACGGTCAGACAGCCGGACACTCAGGCACCTTTCCTCATTTCTTTCTCTCTCCCCCTCGTCTCCCGTCGTGTCTGTCTCCAGGTACTCGCGGTACTTACGATGCCGTACCGGGGGTCGCTACGCTATGGACAGTTAGACTTTGGCGCTAAGTCTGGGCTGACCGCTATGCTCTTCCCATCTTTGCCTTCTCTTTGGTCTCTTCTCAACCCAGGCGAAACCTTTTTTGCTTTCACCATCGGGCCACTCCCTTAGCAAAGAGGAAAAAGCCCCCCCCACCAATTTCCCCTACAGTCACTAATGTACCGCACCGTACCTATTGGAGTTTCCCCAGCACTACAGAAGAGAGAGAGGCCGCGCCCCATACCATTCTTTCTCTTTACACCACATGCAAGTCGCAACCACCCCTCCCCTCCTACTCCACTTCCACACTCCACTCAACCCATTTCGGCTGTGCGCTGCTCCCATCTAGTCAGTTCCCGCAGATTGCGAAAGATTGCGAACGCCCTTTTTCCGGGCGATCTTCGTGGCTTGTCCATTTTGAACTGATCAAATCTTTTTTCTCTTCTCGCTCGCCCCCCCGTGTACTCATCCATCTTTTTCGCTAGTCGACCCCCTTTGGGCCGTGGTACCGCCACGAACCTCCGACCGCCCAAAAGGAACGTTCCCCACGTTTTCCCCTTCAGCTACTACCCGTCACCTCCCACCACCACACCATCTCATTTGACTACAGAAACTGTATCTTTTTTTCTCGGCACGCATCTCCCCTCGCCCTTTCACCCTACTACGTACTGCCCCGTACTACTGCTCCTTCGCCTTCCCGCTGCCAACTCTCTTTCGTGCGAGACACCGCGCGATATAAGTTTTCCCACAACCCACCTGCCTCTCCCCCTTTCTCTTTTTCGATCTTCTCCCTCCCCCACCAAGCCAAACCTTGACATCCCCCTCAAAAAGTCCACAACTCCACAATTTATTTCTCTTCTCCATAATCTTCTTCACCACCACCACCACTCATCCATCACCGTCACCCGGTCAATTGAAATATATTGCCCGCTGCTCTCCTTGAACGCTGCGAGCGGCAGTCACATGCAACGATCCACGTCCGCAGTAGATTTCTCAAATCTGCTGAACCCCCAGCCTTCCTTCGAGCCGCGACCCCAGACGTCGTCTTCTCCTTCCTCGCCCACCTATCGGGGCGATCATCAGATGGCTTCTGCCGCCGTCGGTATCTTACCTCCCCTTGTCGGTGGTGCTGTTCAGCCCCAGCCGACGGAGGACCACCGACAGGACCTGCCTCGTCCTTACAAGTGTCCTCTCTGCGACAAGGCCTTTCACCGCCTCGAGCATCAGACAAGACACATCCGAACTCATACTGGCGAGAAGCCTCACGCCTGCCAGTTCCCCGGATGCACAAAACGATTCTCTCGCTCAGACGAGCTTACTCGGCATTCGAGGATACACAATAACCCCAACTCACGGAGAAGTAACAAGTCTCAGCATGTAGCAGCCGCAGCGGCTGCTGCTGCTACCGGCGGTCTTCATGATGCGGCTGCCATGTCATCCATGATGCCTCCTCCGCCCAAGAGCATTTCTCGGAGCGCTCCTCAGTCGAGAGTGGAGTCTCCCAACGTTTCTCCTCCTCACTCCTACGCCACCTTTGCTGCTCCGCCGCCTTCGGGATTCAACCTCTACTCGAGAAGTAATGGCAGCAGTCCCAGCGGTCTCCACCACAACCCGCTTGACATTAACCTCCTTGCCACTGCTGCCTCTCAAGTGGAGCGAGAGACACAGCCCATGTCGCAGTACTCGCAAAGACATGCCCACTTCCCTTACAGCTACTCGACGAGTCGGCTGCCGTCGTTGGCTTCGTATGCTTACTCGCAGTCCATGTCTCGCTCGCACTCGCACGATGACGATGACCCATATGCGCACATTCGCACGAAAAAGTCGCGCCCGAATTCTCCCATTTCGACGGCTCCCTCATCTCCGACTTTCTCGCACGACTCGTGCTCGCCGACTCCCGACCACACTCCTCTGGCAACTCCTGCGCACTCGCCTCGCTTGAGACCTCACACGCTCTCCGAGATGCACTTGCCTGGCATTCGTCATTTATCGCTCCACCACACACCGGCTCTTGCTCCCATGGAGCCCGCAGCTGATGGCATGCCTGCATTCAGTTCGCCGCTTGGTCCCCTTCCTCGCGCTTCGGGCCTGAGAATCAGCGAAATCATGTCGAAACCCGATGGTGCCCAGCGCAAACTGCCAGTCCCGCAGGTGCCCAAGGTGGCTGTTCAGGACATGCTGAACACTAATAGCGGGTTTACCTCTGGCACGTCTTCGACGACGGGCTCAGTGGCTGGTGGTGACTTGGCGGAGCGATTTTAAAAAAAAAACGGGAAACCCAAGCGGTGCATTTTTAATTCTTCTCTTTGCACATCCCATTCCACTCTTCTTCTCTACATCGGGCGACTTCGCCATTTAGAATCCAACATTTCTGGTCCTTGAGAGGTTCAGGCTTCAAAAGTCTCGTGCCAAAATCATCCGGAGTTATCTGGCGTATGATGGCCTTGAACAGGAGCCTCTTGGAGGCCTATTCCTCAGCATTGACGAGTTCATTTTACATAATTGTTTTAAGGTTTTGCTGTTATTCAACATTGTGCTTTTTCTTATCCTGAAATCATGGGCGGCGCATTAGACGGGGGCTATGAATGAGGAAACGGAGGGCCATCTCCTTGTCATGAATTTTTAGTTGATTTGGTTCTTTAGCGATATCACATTAGACCATTGTCAAAGTTTTCTTCTTTTATCTTTCCTAATTCGCATGGTCATATTCTGTCCATCCCATATATCATCTCTGCAATTCTCGATTTCTTCTCTGCATAAACCCTCTCAGCTCATAGATTTAAACGGCAGAGTTCAGTTTACACATACAATTATAAAATACGAGACTCTCCTGCTCTACGCAGCCCGACTTAATCAACTAATCCAACCTAATTTAAAAGCTTCTTAAATTTTTACTTTTTGACTTTGTACTCTTTTGGTTTATGATTTGCAACGGTGCGTCGTCATCGTTCTCATCATCGTTGTGAGCGCTCGTTGTTGTTGGTATTGTTATCTACAGTACAAAGTACCCCGATTTGTATGCCTGGGGTACAAACTGGTTGGTTGCTCCTTCGGCACCGACGGCGGCACTGCCAAATTGATCGATCAACCCACATTCCGTAAGTGATCAGCATCCCGCACTCCCGCAATCCCGCATATCCTGCATTTTCTTACACGCACGCACACACACCACACCTCTTCGGTTGCCGGCAAGTTTTTCTGTGGGCAGGTGGGGAGAAAGGGTGACAGGGTCAGGGAAGGGAGACGAGAGACGAGAGACGAGTAGAAGAGGGTATGTGGGGTTATGGTGAAATGTGTATACCCTGACACTGGCTGCCAGATGACGACCTAGGTCCAATTGCGGATTCGCTGTGTTGGAAAGGCTGCATACAATCCTATGAATGACGCTGCTAAGATTCTCTTCCCCTGTCACTCACTTGTAGCAACAGCACGTTGGTGCAAGGTCTCGAATCTGTTTCGAGCGATTTCGGTATCTCTTGGCTAATGAGCCAGTGGCTGTCCTTTTCTTTCGCTCGTCCGGTCCCGCGTTGATCCCCTCCGACACGCATCCTGAAAAAGTAAAGCGACCCACGAGAGAGAAAACATGCCCAGTCTCTAAGGATGGATGAATACATGCGGCCAAACTGAGGCCAAGCTCAAACGGTCATCCGAGCCATGGCTTTGTCTCTTGTTCCTCGATTCCTTCTGCCCGAATTTAGTTGGCCGGATCGCCTGAGGCCTCTCGTCACCGTCCAAATTTCGCAAGTTCCTCAACAAGCTGGCTAGTGGTCCATCGGTTTTTGGGGCTTCATTCACTGGCGTTTGAGAAGTTTCTCGCTTCATTTATGTGAATGGACAGGGGTCCCTTATGACAATTAGATTGCCCCGCTTCCGTTTGGGACTGGTCTTGAAATGGTCAGACGGCACTTGACTTGAGGAAGTTGAGGCGATGCAAATTGGTCGAGCAGCTGGTTTGCCAGTCCTCCGAGTGATTTGCGGTGGAGAACACCCTGAATCCCCACACGCACCAATCTCGACTCTTATGACGCGTGTTGCAGGGAAAGAAATGGGTGTCGTTTAGGAGACCCTACACAACGACCGAAAGGAAAATATTTTCCAGGAATTGAAGACTTACTTGCATTCAATCCGAGAGTGGCCAAATTCAAAGGGTGGAGATCGCATCTGCTCCATCCCTGGTACAGCGATCATGAGTGTTCCTGTTCCAATGGACAGAATTGGCCCCTGGGAGAATGAACATGGCTTCAACGGCTATCTGATCAGAGCTGCATATGCAGGCATCTTTCCCTCAGAGAATGCCTACCAAGAAGTGCGCACGCGGGCAGAGAGAATATACACAATATATGCCACACCAAGTGATTTTTACTCATGGCGATCTCAAGATTCACACTATCATTGTGCACAGAGGACATATCACCAAATTCCTGGACTGGGAATCTGCAGGTTGGTGTCCAGAGTACTGGGAATTTACCACTGCTACGAGATACTTGCCAGAGCATTACCAGTGGTTCAATTACGTATGACGACTTGGTGGCGAAAATTACATGGCGGAGCTAGACTGCGAAAGGCTCTCACATCACTGACGAGTCTTTCATATGTTTGGCAGTGTTGAAAAGACACTAAACAAAAAGAAAAGAAAGGGCCAAAAAAAAAGCAAAAAAGGCCTTTGAATCTGGTAAGCTCTACTGATGCGTGCACTGCGGGGCACAGGTAGACATTGTCTATTACTCCATATTTCGACCGGCCATTGTGGGGTTTGCGGAGAAAAACGGGGAGACTAAGAGATAGTTGTGTACTGACGGAAGTGGTGCGATGTCGGCTGATCGACAACGTGCAATACTATACGGAATGGCGACAAGCAATAAGAACGAGACTGGGGAAGGTTGAATTGGGGTAGAACCCTGGTGGATATCGACCGGGCGCATAGATGACAACGATGAAATGGCACTAGAGTTTCAGCGAATATTCCATGATCAGACAAGGGTAGGTCATAGCTAGAAGATGCATGTAGATGTGAACTAGACAGGGTCGTCAAGGGTAAGAAAAATAAATTAACACGATACGAGAGCTGACGAATAGTTTGTTAAGATCATCGCAAGTGATTGCAGGGATGTACGCCAGCATTGGATATTTAGTGGGCTGCTGTAGACCTGAATTGGGTTCCACTGCCGCACTGATGCAATTGACGAGAATGAGAATGATGAAGCAGATTAGACGATGACGATGATGACGAAGGCCGCTGTGGGCCAAAAAGATCACTCCTCAGCGGTGTCCGAAATACTGCGACAGGCCAAGACAATTTTACTCTGTGCAATGCTTTTTGCACCATGATGTGGACGATACTATTTGCTGTCTGCCAGCGACAAAGGCAAGACAATTCTGTCATGATGGTCCTCATCAACGGCTCCATTATAATATTTTCATGGCCTGCATTACTCTGTCACTGTGCTTCTCGTGACTACAACCTCCTTTCTTTTTCCCTATACTCCGCCCGTTCATTGCCGGTAAAGGACCGACGTGCCGATTCGCCGACCGACCGATCCAACTGCCTGAAGTCGCTCCGGTGATAATAGAACGGTGGTAAATATCCTCTCTTTACTGAGCTACACCAGGTCAAGGACTGAATGACTCGTCATGATCCTAGGCAGAGCAATTCGTTTCAGGAACATGTTGCGGGAGAGGAGCAACACTCCTTCCTAAACAAGTATTTTATGCGTGCCCTACAGTTATTGTCAATACTTTCATACAAGGAATCCGCCCTGTTTGCAGCCTGACCCATTTACAATTCATTAGTTACGCTACTAAAATTTGACATTCGAAGTCGTTGACTCAATTCGTTGGGCACTGGCTAACCTGGCCAGGCCTTACCTCAAAGCCACATTGTGCTCTTGACGAAGAACTGTTTCTATACCTTGCGATCAGGCTAGACAGTATGGAACCGAGATATCCCCCCGCCTGGAGAATGAGATATCCTTGCTGCCCTGGTCGGTGGGCGGTCCGAAGTTCAACCACTTGATTAGTTTCAGGGCCGAGAACTCGATTTGGTATCTTCCAACATGCCGTGTCCCGTTTCCCGTTCTCCGCTCCCCGTTCCGTTTTCTTCCTCGAACCCCCCAGGGGGCTGTTATCTTTTTATCTCTCATCGTTTTTATTATTTTCGTGATTCTCAGGCCATTTGATTCCTTTCATTCTCAGACAATCCTCTTGAATTTGGATCTGGTTCTCGCTCAACTCCATCCCCCACAAAAAAGGGTCCTTTTTGGACTCGGTTCTTCTCCCCCACAGAAGATTTGGTCATAATTTCCCCATTGGGAACAGCCCGCCAGCGAATCTGGGGTTCTGGGGTTTGGCGTACTATGCCTGAGCTCGTTTGATTTTCCCCGGCTTTACATTAACCAATATGCCCCTCTCATATTCCTAGTCATTGTCCCGATTTTTATTTTTCTCTCGCCTTTCTTTCTCATAATTTGCTCGCAGCTCGTTCAACATTTTTTTTCCCCCGCGGACGGGATGAAGCGTATCGCTCAGATATCTATCTGCGGCCTGCCGATACGACAGTCCGGCTCGTTTTCGAATCTAATTATTCTCGGGCAGGCCGCAGCTCGATTTCAGACCAGGCCCTCAACCCGTCCTTTCACCACTATACTTTGGCACCGTTTTCCGCCTCCAACCCCTGATTATACCTGATATGGCCAAGGTCTTTTGTGTTAGATTTGACAAGGTTCGCAACACGAATTGCACCTTTTTTTATGCACCCCGCGCCGCGCGGCGCCCTCGTTCCCTTTTCGGTTCCCAACTATGTGCTCCCGCCGTCGCGCCACGGCAGGTATGTGGTAATGGTAACCGTACACCGGTAAGCTGATGGAAGATTTTAATTATACCATAGATTGATCGTTTTCGGATCATAAGTATCCTGTTCTTTGTTCTGGTGGCGTATCCCAGGCCTGATGTACCGTCGCGCTTTGCACAGCAGGTACGTAGTTCACATGTAAATGTTCCAGCCCTCTGCGAGTCTGCATAATTGTGTCAATATTTGCCTGCAGAGTACCGGAGTACTTTGTGTTTCTAATATTGCTGTATTTTTATTCGAAGCTCCAATCATTATCGAGTAGTGGTGAATGCGCTTTTGGACTCTTGGATCATACAATGTACTCTTTTTGACTGTGGGTATTAATTAGAACGCCATCACAAGAGATAATCTTTGTCTGGTCAGAATTTCCTATTCTTGATTTGATCTTTTCGAAGATACTTGTTCATACCGTGCGACATATATCTCTTCTTATCCTCCCTTCCTCTCCTTTCGCCCCCTCTCCTCTTATCTTCGATCTTTTCTTTCTAGTTTGTCTTGACTCTTACATTTTTAGTCGCTACGCTTTCGTCTTGACCCTTGAATATACTCCACTATTCGAGAGTGACACGTAAAAAAAAAAAAACCTTTTTGTAAGCCCTAAAAAGGGTAAACCGTAAACTATAAACTACCTTAGGAAGGTACCTACCTAGGTATGTCACTTATCCCGCAAAAGTTAAAACCAGTTTAACTTTTCTTTCTAAAGTTGAAAGCTCCCGCTACCCCGCTGCCCCCGGCTTTCCCCATGTCTCATGTCTCATGTCTCATATCTCATATCTCAAATGTCCCAAAAGCCCCATTGGCCCTAAAAGTCTAAAGGGATATATCATATACGATTATGACTTGATACTGACTGATAAGGAGGAAAGCTTAAAAATTTCATCATTTCATATAACATAACGTAATTTGTGTTTGATAAACAGTTAACCTTCTGAGTCCTGACCAATCTACGGGGGGCTCTCACTCCGTTTCTGTTACGTAGTAGGCTTTTTTTTTTTTTCCTTTCTTTTTTATACACTCTGTATGTTACCTTGAGTTTAAGTAACAACTTCCAACTTCCAACTTACCGCAACGTAGTACACAGTCCTCGAATCCCGGCTGAAGCAAAAGCACTAAAGCACTAAAGCACTGAAGCAGAAGCAGAAGCAGAAGCAGAAGCAGGTTACGGTTTTGAGTCTATGAGTCTTTTGGGAATCTATTATGAACTTTTCTACGGAGTAGTCACCGAATTTCATAAACTTATTTCGCGTTTCGGTCGCACCACTTTCGACGTAGGGTCCCCCCCACTATATGTGTGGGGGAAATATACCGCGGTCTGCTTTCAGAGTTGGCACTGTGGCTGTTTTGGATCGGTGACACGGTCGGTGCTGTTCGATGGACCACGTGGACGATAAAGATGGCGGTACCTTTGCAAAGAGGGATGTACAAGTATTAATGTATTGATGATGATGATGATGATGATGATGCAAGTGGCTCTTTTTTTCTTTTTAAAAAAAAGAAAAACCGGTTTTATAGGTAAGGTAAGGTAAGGCAGTTCCAGAATTTATACTCAACTCCAACTCCCCTAACAGGTGTGGAAGTATGAGAGTATAATTAAATCAATACCGATTACCCATACCAATACCAAGTATAATTCCAAGTTCACGCTGTTATCTTGCACAGCGACACAGCAGCACAGCAGCACAACATACAGTTACTTGTAGGATTTATACCTCCCACTTGTGCAAAAGTACTCTGTTACTTTGTACCTATAACCTCCCCACTAAAGGTACCTTACGCTATGGTACCTAGTTAATAGGTAATTTGGGTGCTCCATAGACTATAGTATTCTGAACCTAGGTACGGAGTAGGTAGGTAGGAAGATACTTTATATAATCAAGAATCTGAGGTTCAAGGTAATACAGACAAATCTCTTCAAGTTGAAACAAAGGAGGACCAGGTAATCTAACTGACTTAGCAATACTGCTCCAACCACCCTTTCAAGTCACCAATCGTGGGACAGTCGAGGAACAACGAGCTCTTCACATCAAGTTGCAGTTGGCTTCTGAACTTCTCCGCAAGAACAAGCGACATCAATGAGTCAACTCCTATCTGTACAAATGTTGTCTCGTCCGCAACCTCGGAAACTTCAAGGCCAGTCTCACGTGCAATAAGAGAAACAGCTTCGCCAACGACGCCAGTCTCAGCCTCGACGGGCACCGACTTTGCTACCACCGCGGACTCGGTCTTAATCGCCTGCGGTGGCGGCGGCGACGACGACGACGACGACGACGACGACGGAGGCGTCACTTTAACTACCTTATCGACGGAAGCAGGGGGAACAGCTGGCTCAACTCCTACGGATGGAGGAGGTGTTGGGGAGGCGTGAGCGGAAACACTCTCCTCACTGGGCGAGAAGAATTGACCCATCAGGATGCGGGAAATTCGTTTAAACTTGATCTGGCCTAGCATACCGACAATAACATTGTCACGAAGAATGTAGACATCTCCCGCATGCATGTTGGCGTTGGCAGTAGGCAACATGTGAACGTAACTGCGATACTTTGCCGATGGCGAAAGGGGTTCAATGAGACGGGAGGTCCCAAATCCTGGAGTGACATAAAAGTAATCCTTAGTGTTCAAGACGTCACTAGCATTCATAATGAAACCGGCCAAGTGGCAGACCGGATCGATCCAATGAGGTGGCGTGTGCCAGTTGCCGTGTGTCTCTGGTATCAAGGTGATATCGGCATAAGCTTCGTACCCATTCAGAACGACCGAGTCCATGCCACGATACTTGTCGGCATAGTCGACCACATTCTTGAACAGACTATACGTCAGATTCTTGGAAATCTTGTTGCAGGCGCCTGTGCTTGCCATCTGACCTAGAGCCTCGATGCGGCCTGTAACAAGGTGGGTGAGGCGGTCCCATTCGTTTCGCCAATCTGCGGCCTCTTCAAAGTACATCTTAGCTGTTGCGAAAGGTACTTGGTCGCTATTGCCGTTTCCTTCAAGCTGGGACCATGCGAGCGTCATTGTGCGGGACGATATATTCAGATTGCACTCGAGAGCGATAAGTTGAGAACGACTGGAGACCTTCTTGGCAACGATAGCATGAAGGACTTCCATATCGGCTAGATTCATGTGAACCTGTTTACATGCGGGGCTCATCCGCTTGAAAAGATACTCTCCAGCAGTGTAGGCCATGTCGCACCAAATTGACTTTGGAATGAGACAGTTAGCGGGGATTGAGAAAAAGGAGGAAGGAGGTAATTTACGTACCGAAGTGGCAACGCCATGATGGTTCATAGCATGTCCCTTTATCGAAGAAAGGAAGTCAGGATGCATCACGTCGGATACGGTCTTCAGCTGTCCAGTAGTGGAAGTAATCTCTTCTAGGGTAATCTGATGGACAGATGAAGTCCGAAGATTCGACGCGCTGTGCATATCAAATGCACCCTTTGATTTATTCTGGCCGTACTTCAAGAGCGCCTTGTCAAGTGTCCAGGTTCCGATATACTGAATCCAGTAGTTCTTCACATTCCAGTGGTAGTGGGGGAGGTTGAGAAGGATATGAGAAGACTCATATGGCGCGTAATACTCATTCCATGATATAGGTACACCGCTAGTATGCAAAGATGCAAGAGCCTTTGCAATGGTCGTGAAGTTATCTTCGTTCTTCTTCAGTGATGGCAAAGTCGTTGTGTGATGGATATGCTTCGTAATGAAAGAAGCACAAATAGGCTGCGGTCCAACCTCAACCCAGATTGTTTGAGAGTCAATAATGCCCATCGCTTGGGCTGCATCAAGAGCACCAACAAAGTCCACAGGCTCGCGTGACGCACGACGTAGGTACGCGGCATTGATTGTCTTTCCGTCAAACACGCACGCGCCCAGGAGAGGTGAGATGACGGGAAGCCTCGGAGGCTTGAAAGAAACACCCTTGGCCATCTGCTCGAAGGAATCTAGCATTGGGTCCATCTGTTTCGTGTGGAATGCAAAAGGCAAATGCAGTGGAGTGCACTTTAGTCCGCTGGCTTCAAGGTGTTGACGGACTTCCTCGATGTCCTCGCGATTACCACTGATCACCGTGTCGGAATGGCCATTGCGACAGGATACTTCGTATTTGCCGTCTTCTCCGATGAGCTTCTGAATCTGGTCTACACTTGCCAGAACAGACAACATCAGATGAGTCCCAGCCTCGCATGTGCTCATTGTGTAGGATGCTCGTTGTCCCACGAGTAGGATCGCATCGGCCGCAGAGATCACGTCAGCAGCTACCAAAGCGCTGTATTCGCCCAAACTGTGTCCGATGACCGCGTTGGGTTGAATGCCCAGAAATGTCCAGAGCCTTGACAGAGCAATTTCCACGACAAGGATACTCAACTGGGTCATCAGAGGAGAGAATGTTGATCCGTCGATTTCATTTATGACAGGGATGATTGATTGGTATCCAAAGCGTTGGACCAGTTGATCCAGCTGCAGAATTTGCGTACGGTAGTAAGGGAATTGCTCAAAAAGCTGGGCGCCAATCCCCTCGTAGAAGGCTCCTTGTCCGGTAAAAGTGAATGCAACCGAGGGTGCATCAAGAGGGACGGGGCGCAGGTCAGATACGCTTTCCACCGCATTCTCCAGAAACCGGCGAAGTTGATCGGTGTTAGATACTGCAGTGGCTACTCGGAAATTGTGATGAATTCGTCGAGCGCAGGTTGTGTAAGCCAAATCGCCAATGCTCGTAGCGGGGTTCTTCTCGACATATGACAACAGGTCTTCGATGTTGCCTTTCAGAGATGCTTTGCTCTTGGCGGACACCGTCACCACATGCGTTGACCGAGGGTCAACACCAGTAACTTGACGCGCAGGAGCATCTTCAAGAAGGACCGTTGTATTACCACCGTGAGCACCGAAGCTGTTGACGACAGCAAAACGTCTTGATCCTTTCTTCCTTGGGTAAGGGGTCTCCTCCATGGCGAGCCCGACGTTACGCTTGTCCAGGTACTTGCCGATAGCAGGATTGATCTCAGTCTTGATGCCGATATGTGGAGGAATCTCATCCTTCTGGTAGACCAAAAGCATCTTCAGCAAAGATGCGATACCTGCAGCAGCCTCGCCGTGACCGATATTTGACTTGACAGCACCAAGAAGAAGGGACTGATCGGCACGGCGCCGTGATGATAGAGGAGCAAACACATCGCAGACAGACTCGCATTCGACTGTATCACCAGCCTGGGTGCCAGTTCCGTGTAGTTCAATAAAGCTGACATCGAGAGGATTAATCGCAGCAGCACGCATGACTTGATTGTAGTTATCTTTCTGGGCGCCTGCGTGAGGGTGAGTGATCGAGATCGCCTTAGCGGAATGGTTGGTAGCCGCAGCAAGTATAACACCCAGAATGTTGTCATTATCATCCTCAGCATCCTCGAGTCGCTTGAGGACCACTGAACCGACGCCATCAGCCCGACAGTAACCATCCGCATTCTGGTCCCAAACCTTGCACTGGCCAGTCTTAGACAAGAAATGGGCATTGCACAAGCCAGCGTAGTTGTCAGGATCGGTAATTACGTTTAGTCCACCAGCAACGATCGTGTCGGCTTCACCGGCCCACAGTGCCGAGCAACCAGCTTGAACAGCCGCTAGGCCACTGGAACAAGCAGTATCGAGGTTGATACTGGGGCCAGAAAACCCAAAGAAGTAGTTGATACGACCGTTGGCAAAGGCACGAACGCCACCAGGAACTGCATACGTCCCCAAATTCTGACTGGCATTCAATTCACGCCAGTCATCACTTGCCTGTCCGTAATATGCTCCAACACGCTTGCAGTTGGTCGAAGACGTCCGATTCGGAGAATATCCAGCCATTTCCAACGCTTCGTAAGCCGTTACCAAAGCAAGACGCTGCATTGGGTCGGTTTGCTCAGCCTCCTTGGGGGACATGTTAAAGAACCCCGCATCAAAAAGTCCAGGGCTATCAATAAAATTACCGAATGGTGTTTGGGTTGCATTCTCTGTTTTACCAGTCGGGTCGTAATGAGTCTCTAGGTCAAATCGATCCGCAGGTACCCGCGTATGGGTGTCGCGACCCTCGTCCAAGATTTTCCAGAACAACTCGGTATCATCCGCGCCGCCGGGCATCCGACATGCCATTCCAACAATGGCCACTTTGGAATCTTTGAAATTTCGGGGCTGGCGAGGGCCAAAGTCTTCCGTAATCCAGTCAAGCATGTCCTGCCGCTTTATACCCACTTGGGGTAGTTGTTGTTCAATAGCGGAAATAATGCCATTCGCGACAAGTGTTGGGCGGAAGCAATTCACTTGTAGGATCAGGAAATGGCACTTCGTGATGCCGTCCAAAATTCCGGCAGTGACTTTGTCCACAAAGATTGACCCTGTGAGAAGCTCGGCGCAGATCTCCTCGTAGAGGAAGCCCGACAGTAGTGAGTTGAAGGGCTTCCCTGTCTGGGAAGAGATCAAGGGAATCTGAACCCGCTTGTTGCGGAGGATCTTCGGGTCAGGCTTGCTGATTACATCCCAAATGGTCTCTTTGTTGTAGAGATGGGGTGCATGGCACATGCCTTCATACACTGGCAGTGGGAGGTGTTTAGAATGTCGAAGAATTTGCGAACGCAAGAAAATCTCCTTCAGCCGGGAAGGCGGCCCGCTGACACTGACAGAGGTCTTATCCACGGCACTCAGAAAGATTTTGGTGAGCTCGGTATTGCCCTGAATAGGTTCAATTGTGTGTCAGCCTGGACAAATGATGCCTCAACTAGATCTTTGAACACTCACACTACTGGTATTATAGCGATCGATCTCAGGCTGAATCTCCTCAGCGGACAGGCCGGTCACAACATAAGCCCAACTCTGAGGAGGCGCATTGGGATCCCGGACTTCAATCTTCCGAGAAATCTCATCGATGTAGAGGCCGAGCCGGAAAGCAACTCGAACACTCTCGGCGCCGGTGGTTGCGAGTTGATGGAGATCCTTTGAGAGGGAGACGGCAGCGCCGGCGAGCAGTCCAATGCTCAACCCGGCTAGAACCGTATTTTGCGCGTTTAGATCATAATCGATGTGTCGACCTTCATAGTGACTGGAGAGTACTATTTAGCTTACTGCTCGGTTCTGTTTGGTTTCCTCATTAACTTACCCAATGATCATGCCAACTTGAAGCGCACACAGAAAGGCGCTTTCCATCGACGCCCCCAACGGACCAAGACGGAACTGACCACCATCGACCAGGGTGAAAAGTGTCTCAAAGGGTGGAACGAGTTCTCTTAGACTTTGCGGTAAATGGTTTGTCTCTTCTTTCAAGACACGTGCGCAATTTTCCAGAAACGTAGCCAACAATGTGAATCGCCTATCTTTGCTGTGTCTGTGCAGACGACGGAAGAGGTCTTTGAGGTCATCGTTTGGGAAATCGTTGCTGAAGTATATAAGGTTTGTTGTGAGATCTTCAGGGTTAAAGTTGTTGATCGAGTCATTCAATGACTCGGACGCCGATGAGGGTGTTTCCATGATGAATAGGGCTCGGTTGAATCCAAAATTTTCCTTTTTTTTTCTAATGCGAATGGAGAATGGACATTGGACAGAATTCAAGAGGTCAATGAGCAGATGTGAAGAGAGAAAAATTGTTTGAAAAGTCAAGAGGGCGACGGTGGGTTTTCAGCACTAATGAGGGCGAGATTCACATGGCCGTTCTGTAATTGAGCTCGGAATGCCCTCATCTCCAGCAGCTTATCTACTGACAAGCCTCATAACTCAGCCTAAGCGGAATATGGTTTACTAAGTGGATCAAGAGTGAGAGAAACACATGGCACTGCCATGATGACAGTGGACATCGTGCCGACATGCCCTGTGGATGCAACACGACGTGCTTGACACGGAACACCGAGTGACTGACACTATGACTGTCCATCCGTGTGTTGATGCTAGTGAACTGTTTCATTTCAGAGAAAGAACCTTCATCCAAAAATTCGGAGTCCTGGATTCTGGTTGGAGGATACATGTATTGTACGTTGAAGTGTAAAAGATGTCTCGTTTGTCAGACGACGTCTCTAAGCGGTTCAACCTATCGAACTGGATCTAAATTTGATTATACCTCGGCTCTTACCTCCAACCCATTTGAGAGCTTCAGGCCTGGACTCTATTTTCTTCCAATTATTATGAGACAGAAAGACGTCGTTTTTTAGTTCATTCTTCATGTAGCCTAACAACGTGGGCATCCGTGGGTCTCGGTATGAAACCCACTTTAGTCTCATTGTCCCAGATGTATTAACGGCCTTTAGTTATCTTCAAGACTAATTGCCAAACTTAGGCATGTCAGAGAGGCGGATCGAAACTCAACACTTGGTTAAGAATTTGATTTGCAGAGTAATTAGCTAAGCTTTCCGTTCCTGCAGTTAGGCGAGGATGTTGTAGGTATTTGCATCGTCAATAATTGATCCCCGAGTCTCATGAGATGGCGAGAAGTAATCAAGGAAATTAGGCTATCTACAGGCAAATCCATAGAGATAATTTTTCTCCTCAACGTTGTCAATAGAGAATGATCAATGGACTATTGGCAGCCCGTGTTTCCAGTAAGGTGCCAAAACTTCTGCCGTATCCAGAATGGTCTGCTTGTAGGTCTTGAAGGTCAATCCAACATGCTTCTGCACCTTTCTGGAGTCGAATCGCACACCGTCTTCATCAAATGTCCAGTCCTTGTTGTAACGCAGGAACTCGTCTCCATTGGGAATCATATGCGCACGCTCTGGATAGGCCTCTTTGAGGATGTCATACATAGCCTTCTGCGGTCCATGTCCCGCGACAACAAGATATCGCTGTCCATCTGCGATCTGAGGGTTCTCTGTACACCACAAGTAGATCTTGGCCAGATCACGAATATCCGAGTATGGAGCAGCTCCAGCAATATTCGCAATATGGCTCTGGGGACCAGGCAAGTCCAGACCCCTGAGAGCATTCAAGACTGACTTGCAGGTTGAAGGGATCTCAGATTCGCTCTCCGGGAGGACAATGGGTGGACCAGTCGCAATGGAACCGCAGATAGAAGCGATAGCAAATGGAGCCTTAACAAGATGATTAATCGAAACATACAATGCCCTATGGAAGGAAGTGTATTTACCTTGCTTTCGTAAAGGGACCACACGTACTTCTCCGCTTTGATTTTCGCGACGGGGTAGGATGTGAAGATGGAGACGTTATCCCCATCTCTCTCGACAATCTCTGGATGAACGACATTCCAACTGTCATCATCGTACACGTGCGGGGCCTTCGCACCTGGCTTGATGCAGGCTGCTGCAGAAGAGGTAAAGACAAATATTTCCAGCTGATCTCCAGCATAGTTCAGAGCGGAGTTGAGCAAGTTCCGCGTTCCAGCAATTGTAGGCTCGATCAACTGGGTCGATGCCTTACTGATTTCCGGGCTGATCACAGGAGCCGCCATGTGAATGATCGCAGAGACCCCTATAGTAAATCAGTTCTAGCCCGCAGCTTGCGTGGATTTGACTATTCAAAAGCATGATGTTTCATATACCTTTGACGGCTTCGTCGAAGGCATGTACCTCGCTGATGTCGGGCACAATGGAAATTTCGATTTGGGATTGATATTGATTCCATGGGCCCTCAAGCAAGGCTTTGACTCTCTCGTGAGAGCGACAGGTCCCGCGGAGGATGTGACCGGCTTGCAAGACGGCTGTTCCAGTATTGGAGGCCAGGTATCCATTGATACCGGTGATCAAGATGATTTTGGGAGACATTGTTGACAGCTTGATGGTAGAAGACCTTTGCAATTGATGACCGGATTCTGGATAGAGATGACGTTTAATCGGAAAGACCAGAAAGATAAAAAAAAAAGGAGAGGGAAGGATGGCTTAAATTAGTTTCCGAATCCTGTGGACTGGGTTTTTCTTTTCAAGTTGCTGGCCTAGAGCCAGCGTGTAACGCTTGAATACTTGGATACACTGTTACATGACATGATTGAAAACACATCATAAATTCCACCTTCGTCTTTGAGCACATTTCAATTTGATCATGAAGAATAAGGAAAAGAAAGGAATACTACGACTCAATTACTCAAACTAGAGGATTGACAAACCACCTCTTACAGCCCCGTTGGAAATGAAAGCCAACCATCCCATCCTGAGCCAATTTTAATAAGACCTCATTCATGTATGGCTCCAGCGCCAGCCTGCTCACATCTTTTGTGACATTACCGTAGACTATACCGACAATTTCCTGGATAGAGACGCTGCATTTGCCCCCATTTCCCCCTTCCATTTGGGTATCCTTGATTTGTTTCAATGCTCCAAGTATCTGTCTTTCCCGTCGCATCTGTTGAGATTTATACTGCTTCAATTTGATGGGAAGGTTTGTTATGACATCACCATGGGCAGGATAGCCAATGCAACACAGCTGCTCTTCCATAATTCCAAGGGATGAGGTATACAGTCTGAGATCCTCGACGACTGTATAGCCATGTCCTAACACATTGTCACCTGTGAACAACGCATTTTCTTCCTCGAGCACGAAACACATATGGTCGTTGGCATGACCCGGTGTAAACACCGCCCTGACCGTGGCTCCTTTAACTTCGAAGACTTGTCCATCATCAATCGGCAATTGACCCAGGTCCGGATTATTCTTGTAGACTTTGGATGAGAGCTCCGGGTACCGTTTGATCAAATCGGGTACACCACCCGTGTGATCCCAGTGCCAGTGTGTAAGAAGCACGTATTTGATGCTGAAGCCGCCTACTTTCAAAACGGACGAGATGAAATCAATCCATTCTGGTTCGCCTTGGGCGGTGTCGATGAGGATTTTTTCTTTCCCACTTCCGACGAGATAGGTGTTCGTTCCTTGCAATTGGAACTTCAACTCAGCCCGTAGAGGTCAGCATGCTGTAGTGGCTCGACTGGATTGTATCGAGCAATAAAATGGAAACCAGACGATACTCACCTTGCCAGGATTGGCTCCCAGTACTCTCGTGACCAAAGGAGCGATTTCCTCCACATCTGTTAAGACTGGCAAATTCGCTTCTTGACTGGCGAGATAGTCGTGGAAAATTTTCTCATTCAAAATGGCCAAAGTCATGTTGACTGACGAGGAAATTTTCATTTGCTACTAGTTGAAAATACTGGGAGAGTTTCTCATACTTAAACCATCTGCTGAAACCTAGAGTCCGCTCTTCTTCGTGTTCAGCACGGAGTGTCTAAGCCACTGCTTGCTTATCCCAATTGGTGATGAAATGGAATGACAAAAGCGGGGCTCAACTGTCAGGACTATTTCCTGTAGATTCTTACCTGTTACTCGCTGACGGGATCGAGCTCTAAGCCTAAAAAATTCTCCCAGCGTAAGGTACGGCGTAGCCTAGCTGTGGTGCATTCAACCCACAAGCCGATAATTTGCATGGAGGATGTGGAGAATCACCCTTAATAAAGCGAGCACGATGAGTGCTTTATAAAACGAAATTCCGGATTTTAATATCATAAATCATTACTTCGCCGGTCTTTCGTTTCCTCGGGCCAAAATCCTCGACATGGATCAGAAACTCGCTGGGGTGCAAACTTCTGCCGCGGCCAAGCGTGGTGCTGCCTGCTATGAGTCGTGGATCATGTATATCTACGACTTCTTCGTTTTGGGGTTTATCAACAGCTTTGCCTGGCGTTGCCCAACCAACAAGCACCTCTTGCCGTTATTCAAAAATAATATTCGTACCACCCACCTCGATATCGGTGTCGGCACCGGCTATTATCTGAAAAACTCCAATGTCGCCCCCTCAGTCCAGTTGACTCTCTCCGACCTGAGCCCAAATGCTATTCGCGTGGCAAAGCTTCGATCTGGACGTCACGATGCTACAGAAATACTCTGGGACGTGACTCAGCCTTTCCCGCTTTCCGAGGGAAAGTATGACAAGTTTGATTCGGTTTCCATGTTCTATGTTCTCCACTGCGTGCCTGGGCCGGTAAAGAACAAGGTCGTTGTGTTTGAGAATTTGAAAAGTTGTATGACCGTGGATGGCGTTTTGACTGGGGCCACCGTCTTGGGAAAAGGTATCGAGGACAATTTCCTGGGCAGACGTATCCGCGCTCATTGCGTGGCCAACGGAGTGTTTGACAATGTGGACGATGATGCAGAGACGTTTATTAATGCTCTGCGCAGTAACTTTCATGAAGTCGAGGTGGAGCTTATTGGGGTATCTTTAGTTTTCAAAGCCATGAGACCCAGGTCGGACTGAGAGTTCAATCTTACATTTCAGTATATCAGGAGCCTCAAAGGTCCCATTTGTATGGACGTTCAGATTTGTGTATAGGATTCCTGCCAATTAAGTAGACACAATAGGCAAGCTAGTGGAGTGTGGGATTGAATAACAAGACTTGCCTCGTATTTTGGTCATTACAATGTTGTATGAATTGTACAGCTAAGCTGTCAAGTACTCACAGATAGTCAGTCTCTGGGTTCGAAAGAGCAAACCAATGGACTGTAGGTAGCACACTAATCAGAAATCAAGGGAAACGAGTACTGTTGAATTGTCTAAGATAACAGGAAGCAAGAAGCAAGGAAAATAGTGATGACTGCCACCGGCCTCATCATTCTGCCCAGGGGAATCACCATGCGATGTAAAGCCCGAACATTTGCCAAGTAAGTTTCAATATTTTGTCAGTCAGTGTCCACAAGCTGGGGGGTTTTCGATCTTTAAAAAATAAAAAATAAAATTTTGGGAAGCGGTTTCACACCTAGTATGCTGCGCATTCCCTATCAGTCCACCATATCTCGCTGATTGTGCTCGTCGTCAAGCACTGGAGTCTTCTCGGATTGAAGACCCTGAGTGGCAACCAAAGCCTGATTTAAGTCGTAGGCTTTTGTGAAGAGACTGAGCAGAAGCCCGACTGCGGAAACGCCACAGCAGACTGCCCACACAATCCTCAAACTGTCCGTGTACGCTTCCTGCAAATGCAGTTTCTGCATTCCAATCGGCATCCTCTTGATAATTTGTACAAGTCCAGATGAGTCAGCACTATATTCGCCAGCCAACGAAGTGAACTCGGGGTCCTTCAGCAGGTTTTGGTACATGCGGTTCTGGAATACGGCACCGCCAATAGCAACACCAAGGGCCTGGCCAAGGGCACGAAAGAAACTAAACATTGCCACTGCAACAGCTAGATTTTCGTTTGTGGCAGACGCTTGCACGGCGAAACCCAAAGACGGGAACAAGAACCCTAGCCCGATTCCTGTCACCAAATTGAGGAATATCCATCCGGGCACGCTAGTTGTCACCTTGATCAAGCAAAGGATACCACAGCCAACAGTAGCCAATGTCCATCCCACCCAAATTGCCCAGCGGTAACTCCCAGTTTTGGAAGATATGATTCCTACCGCCATAGCGCTGGGTGCAACGGTAAATGTCTCCGGGAAAAGAGCGACACCGGACAGAATCGGGCTGTAACCCTTGACCGCCTCATAGTAAAGCGGCAGGTAATATAAGGTGCACCAGAGAACGAGGCCTTGAAGAGTGCTCCCAATGAAAGAAACAGTCGCCGTTCGATTTTTAAAGATCGATGGAGGAATCACTGGATCCTCAGCAAAGCGATATTCGTAGTAGCCGAAGAAGCAGGTTCCGACAAAGCCAATAACAAGCGGCACAAGAGTGTGCCACGAGCTCCACGGATAAGACACTCCACCCCAGGTAAGAGGAATCAAAAACGAGGCCATACCGGCAACAAACAGGATTGTACCGATATAGTCCACCCGGCGGAGCTTTTCTGTCAGCGAAGATGGGGCCAGGTTCAGCTTCATGAAGGCCAATATCAGCACTACGCCGACTCCGATAAAAGGAAAATTGATGTAGAAGATCCAGCGCTGTTATCCTTCATTTAGTAAACAATCGAAGCTTTGCCCAGGGAGACGCGAAGAAACGAACCCACGTAACGTTTTGAGAGAAAGCGCCGCCCAGGATGGGTCCAGTAACGGAGCCAACGGCCCACATACCGCTAAAGACACCAAAATACTGGCCGCGGTGCCTCAGAGGTACGATATCAGTCACCACGACTTCAGTCAAGGCGATAATACCTCCACCTCCAACACCTTGAATGGAACGACCGACCAAAAGGAGGGTAAAGTCATCACATACGCCTGATATGATTGCACCTGCCAGGAAAAGGGCAATTGCAACCAAGATGATGGGACGCCGGCCAAATATATTGGAAAATGATGCAAAGCTAGGTTGGAATACTATTTTCAAGGTAAGCCGGAGTTCACCCAAAAGTATGGCAAACTTTCGCACCTGCCGAGGAGAGAAGAAATGAAGTTCCACTCCAGAATGCTTCAATCGCGGTTCCATTTAGATCTTTGGAAATAATCTGACGCATGTTAGAAAGGGTTTCTTGAGTATTCATTCTCAGTACAGTCTTGCGTACCGGCAGAGCGACAGATATGGATGTACCGTCAAGCGCCGCCATTAAAGTTAAGACAGCAAGAATGACAAAGATCAACATGCCCCGAGTGCCCAATGAAAAGTTTGAATCGAGCCCCTGGGCAGATCTAGTTGATACGCATGGGCTCAAGGCTTCAGTGCGAATATCAGGGGCATTCTCAGGGATCACAATATTATTACCTTTGGTGGTTCTGTCTGCCATGGCACCGACCAGCGAGGCTTGAGGCTATGGAAGAACGGTGCCACCTTTTTCCTGTGTCTGACAATGTCGTATGTTAATCTTTGAAAGTTCGTACAGGATGGAACAGTCGCCAAGATTTTCAGGTGAAGTTATGACCTTGGTTCGAAGTGCGTTCTGGAGAAGCTCACAAATTGGGAAGAGAGTCCCATCTGTTAAAAGAAAACTTGGGCGGGAAAAGAGAGTCATCGCATCCTTCGCACAAATAGAAGAAACGTTTCAAAATTCAGTCCTCGCTTTAGCTATTCATAAGGGACCCCATGTAACAGAGTTCATGCCCATGAAATTGTTGTGGGTTATCCGTACTTGGGGCAGATCCCTAAAGCCCGTAATAAGTTAATACACAGACAGGTAAGGTCCTCACAGGGGCCCACCGTGTTCTAACCCATTATTTTCATGCACATGCATGGTGCAGTACCAGTAGTGCTAACGAAGATCCACATCTGAATTCTCTCCGTGCTAAGAACGCCGTCCTTGTACGTCGTAACCCTGTGGCTGCTGCGAGATGTCAGGAAATACATAGATAGAATATATCTAGTAGAAGCAAAAGTCGAAAAGACAGAGCATTGAATCGATATCAGTAATCTCTTTCATCGCCAGCAATTCTCAACATTGTCACATCTTGCATTATTTATTCAAAAATAGAAGAATGTCGATTCCCCAAGAGACCAGCGTTTTGGTGGTGGGTGGTGGCCCGGCAGGCTCCTATGCGGCGTCGGTGCTGGCGCGTGAAGGGATCAGCACTGTGCTGTTGGAGGCCGATGTCTTTCCACGGTGGGTCCAACCGATGGCGGCCCGAAGGCTGGAAACCCCACCGGACTTAGCTAAGCAAAACTTAGATACCACATTGGCGAGAGTATGCTTCCGTCAATGCGTCACTTCCTCCGCTTTATCGATCTGGACGAGACCTTTGTAAACCATGGATTCGTGCAAAAGGTGGAGTCTGCGCTGTTCAAGCTGTCGAGAATCTATTGAGTTGAGGACTGATATTCCAGCGCAATGTGCAATAGAAAGGTGCTGCCTTCAAACTCAATTCGTTCCCCGAGGCTTGTAAGTGGTACCGGCTGCCTGCTCTCCTAATTCCAAAGCTTATGCTTTAAACCAGACACCGATTTTGTGGCCGCGGGTGGCCCTGATGCCTATGCCTGGAATGTCGATCGTGCTGAAGCGGATAACCTGATGTTCCAACATGCCCGCCAATGTGGTGCAAAGGCCTTTGATGGTGTCAAGGTTTCGTCGATTGAATTCAAACCCTTGGGTGAACTCGACGGTGAGAGTGACTCGCAACTTCCCAACCCCGGACGCCCTGTCTCTGCCCAGTGGTTGCGCAAGGATGGAACCTCTGGGACCATAAATTTTGAGTATCTCATTGACGCCAGTGGTCGTGCTGGCTTGGTGAGCACCAAGTACTACAAGAATCGCAAGTATAACCAGGGGTTGAAGAATATTGCCAACTGGGGCTATTGGGAGAATGCAAAGGTGCATGCTCCTGGAACTCAGAGAGAAGGCCAGCCTTTCTTTGAGGCATTGCAGGGTACGTGTTCATTGTCTTATTGCTCCATCTCCCCTTGCTACTATCTGTTCCGGGAGCTGACTTTACATTCTTTGGACTCAGATGCCAGTGGTTGGGTTTGGACAATCCCTCTGCACAACAATAGAACGTCTGTGGGTGTCGTTATGAACCAGGCTACTGCTGCCACCAAGAAGAAGGCCATGGAGGACGCATCGACCGGGCGCTTTTACCTCGATACTCTGAAGTCCACCCCCGAAACATGGGACCTCGTCTCTGATGCAAATCTCGTGTCTGAGGTTAAATCAGCTTCCGATTGGTCATACAGCGCCTCGACCTATGCGACCCCATATATCCGCATTGCAGGCGACGCAGGGTGCTTTATTGATCCCTATTTCTCCTCTGGTGTCCATCTGGCTCTCGCCTCTGGTCTCTCGGCTGCCACTACCATCTGTGCGGCCAAGAGGGGTCAGTTAAAGGAAGTTGATGCCGCCAAGTGGCATTCCAGCAAGGTCGGAACGGGTTATACTCGCTTCCTAGTCGTCGTCATGAGTGCTCTGAAGCAGATCACAGTACCAGAGGAACCGGTCATCGGCGACTGGGATGAGCAGAGCTTCGACCAAGCTTTCTCCATGTTCAAGCCCAGTAAGCTTGCCCCTCTAATTTGAATCTGCGGAATGTTTTCTAACTCCATGCCCTCTAGTCATCCAAGGTACTGCAGATGTGACGAACAACCTCACCGCAGCCGAAATCTCCCAAACCATTGACTTCTGCATGAAGGCTTTCTATCCGGCCCCTCGGGAGCAGCGAGAGGTGATTTTCGACAAGCTATCCAATGGCTCTTCTGCTGGCGGTAATCCGAAAAAGTCGGCACTGCTTGAGCAGACTCTTTCGGCAGATGAGCAACGTATTCTGACAACCATGAGGGCCAGGAATGCCATCCGAACCGAGGATTTGATCCACATCGATAATTTCAGTGTTGATATTATCGATGGAATGGTTCCTCACTTGAAGCACGGTGACCTAGGCCTCATTGATGTGGCACACACTCAGATCAAGCCTCCCACTGCTGACACCAAGCAAGCGGTCTCTATCTTCTCTTACTAAGAAAATAGCTTGGTCTGGAGAGGTTGACGAGTATTATCCATGAGACCTCACGTGGCATGGTTTAGTAGGCCATTTTCTTTGACCCGTCGGTACTTTTGGGCGTTTTGTTAAATTTCTTACTCAATTGAGGAAAGCTTCTTAACTGTGTTCCCTTGCCTCAAACACCTTAGATATTGAGCATCCGGCTCGGAGGGTCTGTATCCTCCAGATATAGATATGTTTTGGCGACGCACACGATGGAGCAACTTGAACGTCTCGCGTAATAAATTTTAGCTTGTACAGTGCGCCTTTAAAGAAGAAGGGAAGGATCCACGAGCTTTCTACGCTGCACCGGTCTGCCTATTCTATATTCATGTTAGGTTTTTCCCGCGCATACCCCTTCACGTGGCCGCTGCTATATCTACTCGCTGCAGTACTTTACAATCAATTGCACTTTTTCATTACTCGTTCCCTACATCGCATACTTGGTACACTGTATAAATTATATTCCATCAGCAAGCTATGTCCGCCGGATGCTAAATGGGGCGATTCAAATTAGATCTCAGTTATCGAAGTAGGTGAGTTTTCCCACCTGAAAATGCAGCGCTTTTTTATTGCCTCATACTTGCAGTCGCTGTTTCAGGTTTCTACGGTTACTTCCAGTCAACTTGGTGAAGAAGCCCCCCTCCTTGGGCAAGATTCCCGCACCGACCCAGCGCGCCAAATATACGTATATCGAGAACAGTGATTGATTCAGGTCGCTCATTATTTTGTCTACTGTGAATATCGAAGCTGAAGATCAAAATCGAGAAAGCAAAACCGAAACGGGTCAGAACTTGTGAACCTTGCCTGAGGGGTAACCAAGTTCCTCCAAAGCGCCCTTCTGAGTCGAAAGCCAGCCCTTATGTCCGAGTATAGAGGCCTCCATAGGTGGAGGTCCACAGAGGAAAATTTTCGTCGCCTGGCCATCTTTGGCGCCAATCAATTCTGTCCGCAACAATTCCTTCGTCACTTTACCCTCGCGGAATGGCGATCCCTCGGCAGGATTTGAAACCGTGTAGACAACCTTAAAACGGTCGGGAAACCCTTTTTCGAAGGCATCCAATTCGTCTTTCAGGACTAGGTCTTTGTCCGAGTTGACGCCGAATATCAACTTGATATTGGTCCGATCTTCGGGGTTTTTCAGAATTCCTTGAATCAGTTGAAACATGGGCGTAATGCCAGCGCCACCTGCGATGAGGTTGACCGACTCAAACTCATTGGGTGTCCATTTGAAGCCATTCATAGGAGCGCGAATGTTCAGCGTGTCGCCAGGCTTGAGAGAATGCAGATAGGAGCTTGCTCTCCCATTAGGGTACTTCTTAACCAGCAGTTCAATGTAGCCAGGCTCAGCTGAACCGGAAGGTCAGCGATTTCGAGGTAGAGAACCATTTTAGAAGCATGCAATTGTTCACTGACCGAAATTATTAATTGGGGTATAGGGTCGAATCACTGGGAGCCAACCATTTGCGGGCTTATGGAATGTCAGAATGAATGCTAGAGGATGGATCAGCCATACGGTTCGTTTGCTACTTTGTAAATGAAGCTGGAAATTAAAAACGCTGAGATGAATCAAGCATGCCTGCGGAAAGCCGGGGATCTTACAAGTCAATCCCAGACCAGCGTTGGAATTCGGGTCTGGGAGTTGGAAGCGAAGACGTTTTGTGTTGTCATTCACTTGCTGGGAGCTCTCCAGGCGCAAAGTCAGAAAGCCCATGCTTCCACCAGGACCAAAGCCTGGTCTTTGCCTGCCCATTGCCTCGCAGGGCTTTGTCGATTCCACAAAGGTTTCGCTACGGAGCTCGGAGACAATCCCATAGACGCCAACTGCAACGATAGCTGCAGCGGTTTTCCATGGGAATACGTGTGGATTTGACATTCTGGCGATAATATTTGGGAAGAGGGGCGAAGGAGAAACAGAAGTGACAGAGGGAATGGCTCTCTGAAAAGTGGCCATGCCATTTTATCCTCGACATGTGGGCCAGGGGACACGCCTTTGAACGCCTTTACAGGGCCTCCCTAGTAGTTATTGGTGCGTACAGATACTGTACAAGCCCCGTCAGACCGACCTACCGATGACTTCGGGCGTTACGGTAAGGCTCGTGAGATTGGTTACTTGTAGGGAGAATATTTCAAAACGGCGAGAGGAGTCGGATCAAAATCGATCAACCGTATTATTTTGGGGCCCTGATCTAATCCCATTTGGGCTCCGTGTTTCGCACGGAGTTGGTGGTAACTTGCCGACTTTTGCTCTTCTCACGGAGCTATGTTACCATGCAAAACTCTTATCCCTTCTATCGACATTGAGCGACAGGTCCAGACGAATATATCATGTAGATGAATTCTCTATACAAGGCGTAATTCGGCCATATCGATACAGCGCGCAGACAAAGTGAAAACCAAATAAACCACGGGGGCACACAGCGATGTCCACAGCCATTCAGAAAGTGATTCTGTTGACCGGGGCCACGGGCTTTATCGGCTTTCAAACACTCCTCGATGCCCTGCAGGCTGGGTTTCAAGTGCGATGCGTGGTCCGCAGTGAGGCTAAAGGACAGGCTCTCTTGTCCAAGCCAGCATTGCAATCGTACCTGCTCGCCGACAATGTCCCAGCCCCGCGCGTAGCAATTGTTGTCGTGCCAGACCAGGCGGCCCCACAGGCGTTCCACCAAGCTATCGTTGGGATCAAGTATGTAATCCATGTCGCATCGCCTCTCCCGCCCACTCAGCCAGGCCATCTCGATGCCGAGGCCGATTTTCTCGTCCCTGCCAGACGGGGAACCCTCGAAATCCTGGAAGCGGCGGCAATAGCCCCCTCGGTCGAACGTGTCGTTATCACCAGTTCGGTAGTGGCCTTTGTATCGCCGAAGATCTTCATGGGGCTGGAGCGCGCAGATCCAACGCATCCATTCACTCCCACCAGCCGCGTGCCACTGATGAGCCCGCCTTTCCCGCACGCGGGGATCGCCTATATAGCCTCCAAAGTGGCGTCTCTTGAGGCGACCGAGACGTGGATGAGAAACCACAAGCCGCAATTTAGCGTCGTCAATATCCATCCATCCTGGGTCATGGGCAGAGCGGAGTGTCTGGGGAAGGATCAAGATGGCTTGTTCAATACCACCAACCGGCTGGTCCTCAATACGATTGTCAAGGGCCAAGCATCACCGTTTCCCAAGATGATGCGGGCGGTTGTAGATGTCCATGATGTGGCCCGCCTACAAGTCGAGTCGTTACAAAAAGCAGATATCGTGGGATCGGGGGAATGTCGGAGTTTCATTGCAAGCATACCAGGTGCTTATGAGGAAATTCCAAGCATTATTCAGAAACGATTTCCTGAGGAGATTCGCAACGGTCGCATTACTATCTTGGGCGAGCAGGCGTCATTTCCTCTTCCGATTGATTCATCTGACACCGAAGTGACTTTCGGGTGGAAATTCAGGGGACTGGAGCGAATCGTCACCGATCTAATCTCACAATACATCGATCTTCAATAATAGAGCTATAATTACTACGGCTTTGCCCCTTGGCGGTTTGACAAATGAAATTCCTCAAACTAAAGACTATGAAAATCATATTATTATTTTTTTTTTTTCGGTCTTAAATTGTATTGTCATGCCAGGACCATTTCCCATTGTTGTTATATAGCCTTAAATCCGTCAGTTAATTATGATGGAATGGAGGAAGTGAAGGGGAGGTAAGGAATGTCAGCTATCTCACCAACTGTTTCCGTACTATAGCTTTAAAAACTAACTAAAGCTAGGCGGGGTATTTTAGTGCTGTAGAGCTAAATCGTTGGTCAAGCCAGTCCTCCAGGCTATAGGCCATCTGTTGTGTCGGGGCCTGGGGCCTCTACTGCCAACAACAACAACAACAACAACAACCACCACCATCACAATACTGTAGGTGCATGGTGGGGAAAAGTCGGGGTTTGTGGGTAAACGGGGTGGGGGGTTATTTAGGAATTATTACATGCTTATTTTATTAATGCGTGTGGAATTGCAGCCTCACGCTAAAGCAGGTTGACTAGCTTTGAAGCGGGCGAACGATGGGCGCCACGGGTCGGCCCATGCGAGGGACCAGGCCGAACGGTGGTACGATTCCCGAGGTCAAAAACAAAAATCGCTCACTAGAGAGGTTTAGCAACCCCTAATTCACGATTAGTAGCTACTCTAAAATGACCTCCTATTGTTTCGAATGAGGTTGTTAAGAATGAATGATACTATTTGTCTGTTATAATACTAGTATTACAATTCGTAGGCCGTCATTTACATTTTCGGGGAGGGGAGAAGGTCATGCAGTGATATTGTGGTATTGCCTTAAAGGATTTAGTCCTCATGCATAGTCTAATAATCGAGATCTGAAATGTAAGATTTGGAAAAAAAAATAATGCAATTCGAGATTGAAAATATTAGAGAGGGCTCAGCAGCCATTACGTTGTATGTTAACAATAAATTTCAAGTCGTCTACACATCCCAGAGGGTCCCTTTACCAGGGTTCCATATAGTTAGTTAGGCCAATCGTTTAGCAGCTTGACCTAGGAAGCCACACAGGGAGAGTGGGATCAGACCCTTTGAGGAGGTCGCGCGACTAATGCATGAATCCATGCAAATGCTAGGGAAATAGCTTTTTACTATGCCGATGCTAAGTGCTCCAACTACAGCCCCAGAGTGGGAGACAGAGTGCCGAGTCCGTCCTTCTCGCGGATCAACCTTTGTGGGGATTCTCGCTTGACTAAAGCTGGCATACGGAGTAAGTACCTACCTAGCTACGGAGTATCTTTGGGCCAAAGCGAGTCTCGCTTTCAGTCCATTTTCTGTCAGAATTTACAGAGTAACGTTAGTTTTGGTCAAGTGAGCTGTATTCAAGATACCTTAGTAATCCCCGTTCCAGTTTAGTAATGAAACGAGGTACCAGTAAGCGCACTTTCTGGGCTGGAGTATTCTCTGCTTCTTTCCGATTGACTTGACAGCTCTAACGATAATTCAAATTTCTATTGCCTAATCTATACTGGAGAGGATTGCCCGGCACGGAAAAAAACAGAAGGGGGGTATTCAAAAAGAGTTGAAAAAGTTAGGTCATGCATTACAAGCATCAGTCATACATCGAGATCAATGCCAGCGTAATGGAATGGATTAGCAAGTAGGTCGTCGGGCAATGGAAGGATCGGATCATGACGATCGGTGTTCGACGCCTCGAGATATGGGGAAACAGGAGTCATGTTTCTCGTGTTCAGGTCCATGAGGATGTGGTCAGATCGGGCACCCCTATTCGAAAGGTCAGCCTCAATTCAACTTGACGACTATCGTGGGGAAAATGTACGTTTCCGCTGGGGGTCCGCGAAGTCGGAGAAATTCGGCATAGTCAAACACCTTGTAATCGTTGGCAGCCAAAGCCTCCCACTGCGGTTGCTTTTCTGCAACGATCTGTGCAAAGCTCATTTGAAAATGTTCCCGAATGACAGGAAAGTGGGCAATCTTGAGCATGCTGTCAAGGCTGCAGGAATTGCCGAGCAAGAAAAGAGCAAAGGACCGCACGGCTGTACTGTATCCCTCTAGAATACCAAAAACAAGCTTTGCCGCCTTACGGCCATCGCTAGCCCAGTCCTTGGCCTTTCCTGGGTGTTTCAGAAGCTCCGACATCTGACGGTTTACCTGCAAACAAAATATCCAATGTGAGAACCCATCCGCAACGAAAATGACAACAACAACAACAAAGGAAGGAAAATCGAACCTTTTTCGCAGCAAGAACTGGCGAAACTCGTTCCTCTTTGATGATTCTCTCCTCTTCTCTTTTGAAAATTTCCCAGCTAAGCAGACCGTAAATAAAACCCAACGTATTGGAGACATTTCCAAGCCGACTTAGAGCTCGCGCAAATTGCACGCTCGACATTCCATGTAGTGGTACTGTAAGATATGAACCATTGTATAAGCCGTCGACCTGTGCATTGTGCTCCGCCATTGCTGGAGTAGGTTGGTTGCAAATAGCAGACAGTTGATTCTGGAGTCTCGTCATTCGCTTAGAGCTCCAGTCGGGGCAGTTATGTTTGGTTGTTGCATGAGAGCAGCAGTGCTGAACTGACCCAGAGGTTCGGTGTGCGTTTACGGATTGAGAAGCGTATACAAGCGAGTTTGCTATTGACGTAGCCATCGGAGACGCTTCCAAAGTGGGAACCCATTGAGAATTCCCTGGCTGCAATTGCATATTTGAATAGGGCCCTTGTTCGCAAGAAGGTGGCTCCAAATTGCTGCCGAAATAGCCATCCATCAGGCTCGTCGTAGAATCTGGGGTCATGAGGTAGGGTGATGCACTGGTTGTTGCTGTTGTTGTCGAGAGTGACAGTTGGTTGGAAACATCCAAGTCAAAATTTATATCCTCCAAGCAGCCAATCGTCTCCTCCATTTCCAGCAAAGTATCGACCCACTTCCGAAGAGTTACTCTGTCAGGAAGCGGTTGCTGGACAACAATCTCTCCATTTTCAATAAATGCCGACAATATTGTACCGTCAGGCTGCAATGTAAAAGAGAGCCCACGAGGAGTTGGCCGTGCCATGACTTGTCCGATACGTGTCTTCCGAATAATCTTGATTCGTTCGCGATCTTCTCTGGACTTGAAATTAAAAAAAAAAAAAAAAAAAAAAAATAGCTACCCACAACATGTGTTTCCTTTCCATTTTAAAGCCCAGCCACCGCGACATCTCACCAGAAGAAGCCTGGCTCTGCCAAGGTCGTCCCCTGAGCCTCAATTGACTGAGCCGGAGAGGTCAGGCAATCTATCGTTGGCGCCTGCCTGCAGATGTATGAGTAGCATCCTTGTTCAGGTTGGCCAGGGCTGCTCTACTCGTAGCAAATCCAAAATGATTGGCGGCCTGACATCCTTGTCGATTTTCACAGCCAGAATGGACCTATTCCGTACAGGGTTCTCGCGTACCAGTAATTTGGCAATGCCTTACACACTATTTCTTAATTGTATGGTTGGTTGATGTGGCGGACCCTCTCGGGTCCATTACGGAGCCCTCGGAATAGAGGGGTTCGTTCGGGCCCGTTTCGGACGAAGGGAGTAGTGTGTTCAATTCCATTTCCTTCGCTTAACTATTCGTTAGCCCAGGGTAGCTGGTTGATGCTGCCCCGTGACTAATGCTGCGCCGCAAATGGCCTTATACGATACAGCGAAATAGCTGCCCGGCAGCTCCAAAGAAGTAAATAAGGAATTGCAAGCATGGTACTCTTGATCATGTTTCCTGGGTGATTGGACCACGCTCCATTGCTTCTGCTGCATGTGCATTGGCGGCTTCGTTTTCTGTAATTATCTCATCTTCATCGACCCATCCGTAGTCCTCGTCAGAGCCCATGTCTCCATCTTCGGACTGGCTATCAGCAATCTCATCGTGCTTTCTTTTTTGTGACCCACTTGGGATATCTGGGGGCGCCGTGTCAGGTAGAGCAAGATTCGTCTCGATTTCGTGGATGCCGTCCTGCGCCTGTCAGCTCGAACAATTCTTTTTTTTTTCTTTCTTTCCCGGGCTATCAGTTCCATACCTGCTTAATCACAAATGGGACGGCCTTGAGCGCAAAGACCTCGTCGCGAGGCACTGTCCGCGCTATTTTTTGGACACCAGCATATCGGATGCCCTGCATACGATGGCCATCTCCATCTTCACTTTGGATTGTACCCCAGTCGCGAATCAAGACAATACGGCTCCAGATACCGACATCCCAATTATTGCCTCCGAGCATTGAAACGAGCCTGGCACTGCCTTCAAACCTCAGTCTAGTTGTTGTCTGATTGACAAGCAAGACGGCAACATTTCGGAGTGCAGCTAATTTAGACAATCTAGAGATCAAATCGCCCATGACTGCAAAACGGCGCCCAGAAGCCCATTGTCGCGCTTCAACCTCCTTTTTCGGTTTCGGAGTTCCATCCTTGTTTGTCGGCACCCGTTCATTGCCTGATCGAGGGAATGAGATATCAAAGAGCGTTGACACACAGTCGATTACAATCAACCCTGAGCCTTCAGATGGAAATGAGCCGGTCGGGTGCATGAGCAAGGCAAACAAGTGAGCGAGCCTCGGCGCTTTCCAGTACTCGAATCGTTCCAGCATATTATCCATTTCCGAGCCGTATAGTGCGGAGGGTAGATGTTCTGATGCTGGGACATGTCTTGAAAGGATCTGTCTGAACCGCGGCCCGTGCAATTTCGATGAAGTATCTGCAGAAGAACGTAAGATTTACGATTTCGTCTCGCGATCTGGCGGCAAGCCCGTGTAGACCAAATCGCTCTGGTCATCGTACCATACACTAACCTATCCAACTGACACGGTCTCCTGAACGAAGGGCATCCGTAGCTACTTGCGTACTATTGGTGATCAGTCAGCCAGGTGCATCTCATGTAATACATATATATATTCAGATCCGAATGCTGAAAATGTTGACAAATTGAAAATGTCTACGTACGCAAATGTTGTCTTTCCCACTCCCGGCGGCCCATATATCTCTGTGACCTGTCCCCGCGAGATGCCTCTCGCAAGCGGCACCTGCAGATGGTGGTATACATGCCCGCCACCCTGAAGAGCAGCGTCGAGCGAAGGTAAACCGGTAGAAATTGCCCTAGATTTCGGCGCTGTTCTGTCCTGCAGTGCTTGCGAGGCCGAGATTGTCGGGAGCCGATCTAATAAAATGTCAACCGATGCATCCTGGAGCAATAACTGCGATTGAGAACCTACGCGCCGAAGGGGGAGAGTAGTTTGAAATGTCCTGATTCTCCATCTCGGCAGAGGTAATCATGTCGGAAGGATCATTTATACAACGGCAGGACACGGAGTAACGGGCAGCTTTTCCGCATAGTTTACCGCATTGTAACTTGTTGAGATTCCCTACTCAAGACCAAAACAAATTCTGAGCAAAGTCAATACATTTGGGAAGAAATTGTTGGAAAACACGCGTTGCTTGCTGTTCAATAGATAGTCATAATATCGCTGTCGCGTTTAGAGCGGTGTTTCGCGCGGCAACGCGATCTGGCGGTAGTTAATTATCAGACTTAGCCTTATCCGCGATTAGTCAGGGCCGACATCATTGCAGCTCTCGTTCCCTACGATAAGAGTTGACCGGACGCCCTTTGACAAGAATTGCCCCAGTCATGGTTCAATGTCAAATTTACAGCGGGGCAGAGATTAATTTTCCCTACTAATACCGCAGAGCAGACGCAATTGCTAGGAATACTTCTCTGTAGAGGCAATTCACGTGGTAGGTCCGTGGTTTTTTACACACGCCCTGCCTTGTCGCATCCGCTACCGTCAGTCATCATGATTGCGCAACTGCTTAGAAGCATACCGCGATACGAGCTTTCAACGGAAAAGTTCCTTCTAGTTGTCTTCATCGTCGCGACTGCGCCTATCATCGTCTTATTTGCATTCGAATCTTCCCAGCGAAGAGGACAAAAGCTCCAGCCGCGAGGATGTCGAAAACTAGGCCTCCGAGCGAAGAGCAATATCGCAGACGAATATAACAGCGAGTACGGCAAAGCGCAGGAACCGGGCCAGGACAAAAATGGCGTCGAGCGCTGGAGAGTCAAGAGTCTCTGGATATACCCGATCAAAAGCTGTCGAGGAGTCGAACTCAATCGTGGCACGGTGGTCAGCACGGGAATGCAATATGATAGACAATTCTGCTTTGCGTTGTGGAAAGAGCGGCCGGCACAAAGTTCGTCTGTTGCTGCTGCTGCTGCTGCCGCTGCCGCTGCTACAGCTTCTGAGCCAAACGATAATATAGACTCCAAAAAAGGCGGGAAAGAAAAGGAAATGTACTGGAAATTCATCACGCAACGCGACCACCCGCTGCTTGCGCTCGTCGAGACTGAAGTCTGGGTACCAGACCCGGCATCGCCGGGCTATTCGCTCAAAGCACAAGACGTACAGGGCGGCGGCGTGCTGGTGATCAAGTTCCCCGGAAAGAGGTACGGCATCATTGGAACGCTGTTGGATTCCCTTTTCGGCGCTCCCCAGGAATCGTTCAGAGTCCCACTAGATCCGACTGCAGAGCAAATCAAAGCAAGAGGATTCACGAGGGATAATATGACTGTTTGGAAGGACTCGCCGCTTTCTCTAAAGCTCAATGGAGTTGTCCCGCGTGAGTTTGGCCAGTTTCTCCGGCTCAGCGAGACGGAGTCTCTTTCCCTGTTCCGCGTAGACAAGGAGCATTATAGAGAAGTATTCAAGTGCGCACCGCGCGCCGATGATTTGGGGTACCAGCCCATTACTGGCTTTGCTGATTCTGTATGTACTCCGGTGAAGGCTTTACTAGTTTCATTCATTCGCTATTCGTTATACTTGCTGACATTCTAAGTATCCCCTACACATCCAAAACCTCGCCAGTGTACGAGACGTTGGAGAGCGTGTCAAGTCTCAAGTCCCTAATCTTAGTGTCCTTCGTTTCCGACCAAACATTATTGGTAGGTTGTTCATTATGCCTCTGTTCCTTGTATACGTCCTTCTCTTTACTATGCGTCCCTTTTCTCTACTATTCGTCCCTTTCTTTAATACGTCCCTCTTCTTTACTCTCCTGGCATGATAACCACAGGCTAACAACCCATTGCAGTTACCGGCCCCGAAGCCTACGCCGAAGACTCGTGGAAGAAGCTTCGCATCGGCCAAGACGTCTTCCATGTATCTTGCCGCACGACACGTTGTAAGCTGCCGAACAACGACCCCGACACTGGCGTCAAGAACAAAGTCGAACCAGATCGCACGCTGCGTGCCTATCGATGCATTGACGAGGGGTCGCCGAAGCATGCTTGTTTGGGAATGATGATGGTTGCTTCGTCTCAGTGTAAGTCCCTCCCAATCGCCTCTCTCTCTCTCTCTCTCTCTCTCTCTCTCTCTCTCTCTCTCTCTCTCTCTCTCTCATTTACAATCAACCCTCTCTCCCCTATCCCTTTCTCTTGTTGCCTACTACCCTTTCTGTTCCTTTTATCTATAATTTTCTTTTCCTTTTTGTGTGTTAAGGGTGGTCGTGATTTTCCAACCCATTTCAAATGTGGTGTATATGGTATACTGTATACAAGTGAGCTAACTACTATATTCCAAAAAGTGAGCACCGTCAAGGTCGGCGACAAATTAGATGTCCTAGAAACAGGAGACCATTTCTACTTGTAATTCATTCATGATACCCGTAACCCGCTGTAACTAGACACATGGCCTACCGTCTACATATTTAGAGGTCAGGTATATATATTTACTATTTAGTAATTTCAAAAGTAGTCTACGCTATCAATTAGAAAGTTATAGATTTGAAAGCCCAAGGCACGCATATAAGAATTGACATTTTAAAATTCTTCAAATTTATCCATATCTCTTTTTTTTATTCTTGTTCTTAGTCTTATAATCATTTCTTGTTTATATTCTTGTTTTTATTATTTTGTTTTCGTTTTCGTTTTGGTTTTTGTTTCTTGTTCTTATTTCTCATTTTTATTCACTGTTTTCCTGTTTTTATTTCTTATTTCCCTCGTATTTTCGTGCCTTTATTTTTCCTTCTCATTTTTCTAGTATTTTTCTTGTTTTTTATGCTCATTCCCATTTCCATTTCCATCTTTTGCAACCCTTTCAGTCCCCCCCCCTTCAAAAACACTTAACACTTGGGAAACTGCGGGTTTTGATATATGTATTTTTCCATTTCCAATTTCCTCTTGCTGGCACATGAGGTCGCTGACAGCGTGGCACTCATATTTCGATCTAATATAAATCTATACCGTGTACCATGTCTGTCTGTCTGTTCGAAAGATAGCTGATTCGTTGATGTTAACCCTCCCCTTCGCCTTCGTCTTCGTCTTCGCCTGTCGTGTGTCCATGTCGTATCCTCTAACCCTCTCGTCGCCCCAGGGCCATGGAGCCATAGACCCTCTAAATCCGCGAGCTCGATACTCGTACTCCGTACACTGGTGACCCTCATCCCTATACGACCTACGCCCACTCACCATCTTTATATCCACTTTACCTACATTAGGTATATGAATAGCGGGCCTGGGGGTCTAACTGCGCTACCGGACAGGGCTCGGGTTTTAACGAGTCAATGATATCAAGATACCGTGCTAGCGAGTTAGTCGACATGTCAAAACCCGAATATCGTACAAAGGTACTTGGCTTTGAGCTTGAATTTGTACGCGGATGCTGTTTCGGCGTTTAACAACAACAATGTGCCCAGGGCAAATTACCTTCAAACTACTTTATAGGCCCGCGCGACTTTCTGAACGCACACAAAGTACACACATAAACGTTACAGTAAATCTACCCAAGGTAGACACGGACAATGAATTGACTGTCAAAACCCGAAAGGCGAAAAAATAGATTACTTGTAGAATTACTCCTACCCCTAGGACTAAACAATCTACCACTACTGCTACTACCACTGCGACTGCGACTGCTATTGCCACTGGAATTGCCAAACAATGTATTACCGCAAAAAAATGTAGTACACGAATGGAAATAAACATAAATAGAGATGCCCATCCCAATACCAAATCCCAATACAATACCTAATACCAACACCAAATCCCAATACATCATACATCATACATCATACACAAGACTAAATTCGCAGTATCCAATACAAAATCCAAGAAGCAACACGCAGTACCAATCAGTACCAATCAGTACCACCTACCTGGAAAGCAAAAGGGGCCCCGGCATACGGCATACGGCATACTTCATAGTATAGGATACAGAGGTAGTCAATCCGGAGGAGTCAAGACAAAAGTACAATCCATTCGGACGAAATGGGTCTACATGCAGGACAAAAAGAACAAAATGTACAAAAGGGACTAGGACAAGATGGACAAAAAGAAAAAGGACAAACGACAATGCATCGCGTATCCGACTCCTTTGATGGCTCCGACAGCTCGGCATCTTCTTTGGAAGAGGGGCGTCTAGATACAAATCTAGCTCCAGATCCAGAGGAAAATCCAGATCAATATCCACAATCGGCGCATCGTGGGCAAGATGCACAAATACAGGGCGGTATTCCTACTCAAGCACAAGTACATTCGTCTCGTCCTGGTGGAGATGCGAGTGATATAAGTGACATAAGTGAAGGTGAAGATGGGACGGAGGAGGAGAAGGGTCGGGAGGAAAATGGGAATACTTCTACCGCCAGTCAGACAGGAGAGGAGAAGGAGAAGGGCGGAATGCCGAGTAAAGACCCGAATTTGGTACGCAATTTTCCAGAACCGTGTTATTCTTGTATGAAAAGGAAGGAAGCAGAAAACAACTTCCGCATGCCCTATTCCTGGAATGCTTCGCTTTTTGATATCATATTGTGTTCGCACGTTTTGAGTATTATCACACCGTCTATTGACAGTGTTGTCAATACTACGAAATGCAGCAACCAAATGATAATCTTTACTCAATTATATATGTTACCCAAGAGACTAATACATTACAACGAGCAGGTAACATGGTCCAGCCCATCCGACCCTGGCAACCCGCAAAACTGGTCACTTGGTCAAAAATGGGCAGTAACGTTCGTCGTCTCCCTGTACACATTCATCTCCCCCGTCTCGTCGTCCATGATTGCGCCTGCGCTGGGCAAACTTTCTGCAGACCTGGGGATCCATTCCGAGACCGAGGCGGCATTGTGCATGTCCATCTTCGTACTGGCTTATGCCATTGGCCCGCTGGTGCTTGGTCCGCTATCCGAGGTGTTTGGCAGAGTGTACGTCTTGCATGCGAGTAATGCGTTTTATCTGGCCTGGAATCTGGGATGCGGGTTTGCGACGAACAAGGGGGAGATGATAGCGTTCCGCTTTCTGAGTGGATTAGGCGGGAGTGCGCCACTGGCTGTTGGTGGAGGTGTATTAGGGTACGTCAAAACCTGCAAGCAAGCAAGCATGCAAGCCGTGGTTGCAGTACTTTTCTTTCAGAGCATGCGACTGATTTGTTTGAATTGACGCGCAAACAGAGATTGTTGGTCCCGCTCCGAGCGCGGCAAAGCAATGGGAATTTACGCTCTTGCGCCGCTTCTCGGGCCAGTTGTTGGTCCGATAGCGGGCGGGTTCATTGCAGAAAAGGTAACATGGAAGTGGGTATTCTGGGCGACTAGTATTGTTGCAGGAGTGGTGCAAATTATTGGACTGTGGTTCCTGCGAGAGACCTACGCTCCGGTCCTTCTCAAGACACGGGCAGCACGACTGCGCAGAGAGACGGGCAATGGAGGACTCTACACAGCATTCGACTCGGAAAAGAAATTGGCCAAGGTGCTCGGATCAGCAATGATAAGACCGTTTCGACTTCTCGCCACCCAGCCCATTATTCAACTCATTGCCATTTACATGGCGTATCTTTTTGGGACAGTCTATCTCATCTTGTCAACTTTCCCTCGCGTATGGCAAGACGTATATGGGGAGAATGTTGGCATTGCTGGTCTCAACTACCTCTCTCTGGGCATAGGCGCTTATGTTGGTGCCCAGAGTGCCGCCCAGTTAAATGACCGCATCTATCGAAGGTTATGTCGCCGCGGCACCGGCAACGATGTTGAGAATTCTGCGCCTGACGCACAAAGCAAAGGTATCGCTAGTGAATCAAAGTCCTCGACCAAAACGTCCGGAGTGATGAACTCCTCAACCTCACCAACAACAAAAGCAATCGGCATCCCGCCCGGAAAACCCGAATACCGCGTCCCTTTAATGTTTGTCGCCTCTGCACTTATTCCGATAGGCCTCTTCTGGTACGGCTGGTCGGTCGAATCACGTCTTCACTGGATCATGCCAAACATTGGCGTCTTCATCTTGTTCGTGGGAACTATGGTCTGTCTGCAATGTATGCAGACGTATATTCTTGACAGCTATACTCTGTTCGCAGCAAGTGGGATAGCTGCCGCTGTTGTGTTGAGGAGTCTCGCGGGGTTTGCATTCCCCTTATTTGCACCCAGCCTATATGCTGCACTGGGCGACGGCTGGGGAAATAGCGTACTAGCGTTCATCAGTATTGGGGTGGGAATTCCGGCGCCTTGGATATTCTGGTTTTGGGGTGAAAAGTTGCGGTCCGTATCCAGGTTTGCTGCTGGATAAATGGACTTGCTGCACCCCTATAGAAGCGGTCTAGAGAGTTCATTTTACTGTCCCATCTCATTATACACACCCCTCTCAGCATCGTTAGAAAATAAAAGATCATGAACAAAATCTTCCCAGGGCGTCCATGCGGGATCAGTCAAGGTTTGCTGAGGAATCTCCGTGGCCACGCTATCGTTGTAATTTGGCTCGTAAGCGATATCATGATCATAGCCGCCAGCAAGCGCGTTTCCAGTTGGAATGAACGAATCTCCCGTCATAAATGACTGCATTGGAATGGCGTCTGTTGTATGAAGAGAAGGCATGGCCGAGGTGAAGCGTGCTGTGCCAGGATCCATATCGATCTGAGGTTCCATCCAAGGATCATCAAAGTCAGTGGATATAGGTGGAAGATCCGATCTAGTCGACGAGGATGCGCTTCCCATTTCCATCGTACAGGCTGTTTCCGGGCGAGTCTGATCACGACCGATAGGGTTTTGTATCTGCCCGGCACCTTCTTGTTCAGAGCCCTCTCCCAGAACCTGTTTCACCTTCTCCCGTGTCCGCGACATGAGTCTCTTCAGTGGTCGCCAGATCCTTCCTTCCCTGGATGTTAAAATGGTCTCCCTGTAATGCTCAAATGATGCCTCAATCAAAGGCCAAGCGCGCCTCAGCAGTATAATGTCTTTACAGACGTAGCTTTCTGCAATCGCAATAGCAAGGACAGGCCATCCTATGGTCACATGCCATCTAAACGCCTCACCTCGAGGGTCTGTTCGTATAATCGCTAACTTTTCTAAGACCACAGCAGCTAGTTGCAGACAATGAGAGCTCCCTTGCACCCGTGGAGGGGCTCCGCTGCCGCCCCGATGCAATGGACGTAGAGCAGCAAGTTTCATTAATGCGATAGTGCATCGCGAGCCGTGCCAAGCCGACCAAGCATAGCAACTGGTGTTGGGGTCACAATTCTGAAGTAAAGCCATTGTTTCTTGCTCAAAAGCATTCGCGTACCGCTGGCGAGCCTCCCAATTGAATTCACCAACATTGCCTGAACCCTCTGTGTGTTCCACTATGTCGGGAGTGCTCTCAAAGTTCAATAGACGGCCATAAAACTGAGCATGGTATCGCACCAAAGCATGTGTCATGTCTGTGAGATCATTCCTATCAGGAAGTTCTATCATCGTGGACTCTGGTCCAAATTCTGCGTCGTTGATGTTTCGGGGCAAGGAAGGTCGGGGAGAGTTCAGGCTGACGAGAGGCTCCGAGGCCTGTTCAAACGAGGTCTGGGCATCTACCTGACATAGCGTGTACCACAATCGTTTCCGCATCTGCTGTTCGAAAAAGGATTCAGATGGTCGATGGTCGTCCATCTGGAGGCGCAGGGCGCGTGCTATTCGGAAGGCAACAGGAAGGAGTGTCCATGCTGCACGACTATGGCCCTGCCGGCGAAAACCGGCCTGTACCAGTTGTCAGCACGTCACTAGAATTCTTCACTAAAAGATGACCGGGACAATCGAAATAAAAACCGAAAGTAGGCAGATTTACCAAGTACAACACAAAAGACTGGAGAACAGTGATATCCTTGGTAATGATTAAGCCTGCTCGTTCAAGCGCCGCCTCGCAGGCCTTCCGATATTCATCGGCGAGGATATTCTTCTCCGCTTTAAGCAAAGAGATGCATTGCTCCTCAGTCATGCTAATGATCGCCACGTAGCAAACGGCTGATCTGAGAGCTTCGGAAGAAGGGTGACGTTCCGTATAATCCAGATATCGTTCTCCATTACGCATAAACCTGCATAAGGACGGTCGATGAAGGATCTTAAGAATCGGATCCACATGTCGTAAATAGATTCCACAAAGAAGACTTTGAACATCTTGGGACAGCGGCAGATCCAAAATTGGAGTCTTAGGGCTTTGTTCAGACTCGGCATCCCTCGCTGTAATGCCAATAGCTGCACTACCAACGCCATAGTCGTCCTGATCCTCATCTTCTGAGTCCTCAGAGCTTAAAGCTATGACATCACGTAATCCACGAATCTAACAAATGTCAGAATTAAAGATTGGCACAGAAAACAAACCGCAAATGAGGTCGAGTTGTAATCACCTCATTAACAAGATCGCCCCAGAATTCCTTTGCCATTAAGCTTCCATCTCCAGTTTTCCCCATACTTTGTGGTGCGGTCAACTTGGGAAACCCGCTGCCATTTGAGCTTCCTTCGCCAGGGGGAGATGGTGTTGATGTCATATTCACATCCTAGTTCTCGCAATGAACATTATTTCCGTGTGATCATTTGACTGAACAGATGCAAATACCTGATCAATTGATGGAGTGATGACTGGGGTTGAGGATGCTCCGAGGGATTCCCGGCTCATCACAAAAGCCTCCAATCTATCGAGGCGATCTCGCAAGTCATCATTTCTCGACACCTTCTGAACGTGACGCCCTCTCGGCCTCCTCTTGCGGTAAACAGGAATACACGACACCCCGGTTTTCGTACAATTGGTACACGGACTGAGTTTATCGCATTTGACCTTGCGTTCGCGACATAGCTCGCAACTGAGCTGTGGTATTTTATTTCCTTTGCGCATGATCGAATGCGAGCCTGACTGGCAGTCCATGGTTGGACGAGAGCAAAGAAAGACGAGAGTGGCAACTATGTAATGTGAAAAGACGGCTTAAGCATTCAGCTATACAATGAGCAAGAGCTAAGAATTAAGGCATCACCGATACCCTTGTCATCAAGGGTTCAAAACGAAAAGTGTAGCGTCAAAGAGATCATGTAGATGTGCTGCAAATGTATCTAAAACCCAGTCATTTCATTCAATGATCGTAATGATTCACCAGCACTCGAAATTAATCCGGACATCAAAAGCAGGTCCGAGGGCTCCTTCCGCTAGAATGATCCACTCACTCGGTTCGACTGCAGGTACAAGAGAGTCAGTTCCATGGGAGCCTTGATAAGCGAGATCGCATCTCACTTAGCTGAAGGATGCCCTAAATAGTTATGGACGACGGCCAAATCATTTGGGATATTCGAGCTGTCAATTTCCCAATGATGTCATTATGTTCATCATCGTAGTTATAATACCGCCGTTGCGCTTTCACGGAGCATATATAGAAACGAGTCAAGCAAGACAGATCTAGAAACAAAAGATCGAAGTTTTCCATTTGAACTGTACAAATAAAAAGCTTCATGTGTACAGAAGACAGTCATCTCTAGATATACGCATGGCCATAGCCTAACCAATCAACTGAAACCTTCTTTAGAGATTTTCATCACAGGTTATATGCTCAGTTTCGCGGGTGGGAATAAATACAAATAAATTTTCGAGGCCTTCATTGGACAAATGGCAACGCTAATTATTGAAAATTCGGGGAATCATGTTGAAGGGCAAAAAAGACAGTCATAAGATGAGCGGGTGCATAAGGCCTTTAGGGCTCTCATGTGTGGCTAATTTGAAGAAGATCGAGGCATCATGGCCAGATATCGTGGAAAGAAACAGGTCAACTTGCATTGAGATCATCCGTTCTTGACGGGCTCAATCTCACTATGCGAGTGGTTCTGATCGGAATGCTGATCCAGATCTCGGCCTTGGTCTTCGAGGTCTTTCGGGTGTCGACGAATTTTCGCCCATTCTTCAGTGTCGGCCACATCCTCAGCGTGAGCCTCAAGGGAGGGCAATTCATCCACCTCAATCTCCTCCTTGAGGATTAAATTGAGAATAATGGCAGAAAAAGCGGTGATGGCGAACCCAGTTTCCATAACAAGCACGATAGCATTGAAGAATCCCTGCTTGGCATGGTTGCCACCCTTGTACGTAAAAACATGACTAAACCAACTGAGGGAGAGAAAGTCAGCAGGCTGGCAGTAAAAGTGGCGACAAGGAATAACTTACTTAGGAACCAAGGTGGCGCCGAAGCCTAGTGACAGGCAGACCGTGAAGATGAAACGGGTGCGACGAGTAAATGGCACGGTAGAAATGATGCGGAGACCAGAGGCAACGACGGAGCTGAAGAGGAAAGTTGTCATGCCGCCAAGGACGGGCGAAGGAATAGAGGTCAGAGCAGCGGCAAATTTGGAAAAGATGCCCATGACAATGAGAAAGAAGCAACAGGCGTATCCAGCTTTACGGTTCGCACAACGAGTCAGAGCAATGACACCGTTGTTCTGCGCAAAGGTTGACATGGGACCCAAGGTGCAGAGACCCGCCAAAAGACCATTCAATCCATCGGCCAGAATGCCACCTTGGATACGGGAGTCGAAGATCTTGCCGTCAACTTCAAGTCGAGAAACGTCGCAGGTAGCAGTAATGTCACCAATGGCTTCCATCATTAAGACAATGTATACTGCCAGCATGGGCAGCACTATAGGACCGTAAACTGTGAGCGGGAAAGTACGGACCCAAATGAACGAAGCCACGGGAGCAGCATCAATACTTGAGTGACTGAAGTATCCACACGCAGCGGCAACGATGCAACCCACAAGCAAGCCAATAATGACCGCGCAGGATTTCATGATTGGTGAACCGAACCGCTCACAGATGATAATGGTTACGAGAACCAAGAATCCAAGACCGATGAATTCGGCGCTACCCCAAGGAAGCGCATGCGGCGCACCCACCGATGGGCAGAGGGCGTAAGGACCCTGGGGATTGGAGTAGCACAATCCGCTTCCACCAGCCCAATCTTCGAAGCCGGATTGCACAAGCGAGACACCAATGAGCAAGACAGTGGGACCAGTGACGAGAGGAGGAAAAAGCCTCTTCAGCAGCTTCGGGGGCATGAAAGAGAGAAGCATTTCCAGCAGCGAGCAGACAATGCAAGTGCCGATCAGGGCGCCATATCCCTGGCGGCAAGGTAGCCGGGTCCCGTCGCTGGCAGTAGGGCAGAAACCGGTTTCATACATTAGGTTGAATCCTCCGGAGGCGACGGACAGAAGAGCAAAAGAAGTGCCGACGCTGTTCAGAGTATCACGTCAACATTACAGTGCGACATTCGTAAAGAGAGCATGACATACACTGATATAAGCCCAGTTCCGATATAATATGGAGTGCGCCAGATATGGAATCGAGTTATTTGAACCGCAGAGAGAATACCGCACACAATCAATGATGTGGAAACTAGATACTGAGAATCTTGTTCGTCGAGATAGGCAAATCCTTGGCCAGAAATGATGATGTTCGGAGTGATCACACCGGCCAACATAGCCAATGCATGTTGAAGACCAAGCAACAGCGCAAGTAGAACCGGCATGCTATCATTGAGGCCGAAGAAAGGAGCTGCTCTTCTCTCTCTTTTCAGAAAAGGGATATTCGGGCGAAAGAGGAACCCGTAATCGTAGTCGCCGATTAGACCATCCCTGAGGACAATTAGCAAGATATGCGCATTGGCCGCACCAGAGCCGTTCTATTATTTACTTTGTGGTAAACGCGCGTACCAGACGTCGCGCCTTGTCTCCAAAATTCCTCCTGCGACCCATGTCAGGCCCAATCTGATCTGGTCCCTCAGACATCTTCCTAGAACTTGGCGAGATTGTCAAATAATTGACGATCTGAAGGGTACGGTAAAAACTCCAGGAATAGTTGAAATCCGAAATATCAGGCAATGGCAATCATAGATATAGGAAGATATGCCGTCCAATGCTTGAGCGGCTGATAATGCACACTGGCGTCAGAGATCGAGGATCTTCCAACCCTAACGCGAACGCGGGTCACCAAGGGCGAATCAGAAGAAGCAAAAGGTTAAATGTCAATCTGATCGAGCTTCAACCCTGCCAAAAGCTAATGGTAAAGAGATAATAAGAAACCAGCTATGAGCTCAAGAGCACACGAAGCAAAACAGACAGCATCCTCTTTTATAGAATATACGGCGCCGAAATAAATTTCAAGGGTGGTATACGTGAACGCGATATGTAATTTTGATAAGTTTTGTGGAGGTAGCCGACGGAACTACGCCGTTCTCGGAGCCCAGATCCACTGGCAATGATTATATTCGACCCAGGAAAACACGAGCTTGAACCGAGACAGAATACTCGTAATACCGAGGATCGAAGCCATCTGGAAGAGTTCGACCAATTGTTCTTTGCATGGAAATCTCAGAGGGTTTGACGGCTGTCGCCGCACTGATAAGGCTCTTCTCTTTTGGGACTACTCCATGTGCCTTCCCGCGCGCTACCCCCAGCAAGGGCGCATGGATGATTCAGCATCCCTCGGTCACCTCCGATGACTTTCTTTCAGAGAGATAAGAAGAATGTCCGAGGGGTTCCAATAAACCACTGGGATGAAGGTACACTTCAGATTTCTTATCACGAATTGCACGACCCTCTCAGGTCCTTTTGCATCCAGACTTGCGGCTGTATATTTTCTTCCTCAAACCCTCCGCAATGTAGTCTCGAGAACATGCGCTCTGTGGGGATCCTCATGGCTCGGCCCGGGATCCGCAGCCAAAATTGACGTTGGGTTTATCACCTCGATCGGTCTTCGGCGCGAATTTGATTTTGCAGATGTAGCTGATCATGAAACTGTTTCCAATGATCTATTCAACGCCGTTGTGGTATGAACATTCTGTGCCTTCCCCGTCAGCAATGTCTAGCCAGGGCTGCAGAAGGACATGGTGTCTGTATCGAAATGAGGTAAATATTTATCCAACACCAAAATCTTCTCGGCGAGTTCTTTCAGAAATGACGTCAGCACAGTTACTCTCTTCATGTAGTCAGTGATACAGAGGAGCACGCTCGTACATTCCCAATCTACCATTCTCGATGCCACAAGCTAACAGCTGGAGGCAAGGGCTGCTAAGTCAGTTTTGTTGCGATAGAGATGCAACACATGAACAAGACGAACATTGCGAGTTTCTTTTGGAAGCCTTCCAAGATATGGTCATGTCCGTACCTTCATCAGCTGCATCACAATCTAAAGGGCGACGAGGTCAAGGTTGAGATAAGGTTATTTGGATGTTCAGGGTCTGGCCTAGACTATATATTATAGATTTTAGAGCAAACAATATAAAGGGACAAGCTCAAATCTGATCACCAGTTGGTCACGGCACTTGGACCTTATGTTGCGTAAGAAAATCATGGTGTTGTTGGGGAAAGTAATAAGCGTCGGATGAGAGGTCTCCTCATCCGACCTTGCCCCATTCATTCTCTACCGATTTGTTAAGAGAGGTCTGTCGATACCATTACTCCCGTCTCATGCGGGTGGATAATCTCTCTTTTGCATGGTCTATAGATTGCGCTTAGGTCTGCGCCTTTCTCGAGCTGTGGACTTTGGAGGGCAAAATTAAAGTCGCGATTCGAGTTTTTCAAACACACCAACACATTTATGACTTGTAATTCTTGGAGTAGTTCTAGTCATATCATTTATTTTTGTTTTACCAAGGTAATTTAGCCATTTGACAGAGTACATTTCCGTGGTACTTCAACTTTTCGTGGACTATGGTAGGAGGGGTAACGTACAATTCAGGTACAGTTCTTAACCTCATGTCTGCATTTTCACGTGACTTTATGATCAGATAAGATTAAAAAAAAATACAACCAATGGTTCTTCGAGGAACAGTCAGCAGACAGCAGTTGAGCCGGTTAATAAAAGATGCTATTCAATTAGCTGAGAATTCAGCTAACCCTGCTACCTAGAATGAAACAATGACGATCGTTATTGCTATCATGTGGGGATAATTCACATGACTGAACTTTATGAAGTTGCACCACTTGTGACCTGCCGGAGAACAGAGTTCCGGGTCGGCGCTTGTTGGGAACGACTGCTCTTGGTCTCAGCATGTCCCACCTCGAGGAATAGGTGGGAAGTACGAAAGTGCTTGGAGAGGTACATGGAACGTACTCGGTCGGCGTCGCGCCACCTTTGCTCACATGGAGACAACACTAGAAGCGAGGAAGTAGCTCTACCAAAAATTTTAGTACCGACAATACCGTAAAACTTGCTCAGAGCGGCGGCCGGGAGTTTTGGGAAAAGGTGGGGTCGGAAGTGGTTGGGGCCAGAATGGGCCAAAGGAAGAGTCGACGAAGGCACCCGAGAACCCAGAAAGACCCTTGCTGCGTTTAACGCCACACGCCTTGTAGCGCCCGGTCGGCTCTGATCTACAACCCTGGTTCGAAAGGTGGATGAAGGGCTTCCAGGGCGCAAAAACGTCGAATTGGAGAAAAGGTACAGCAAAGCCTCAGACAGCAGCAATTTCCCATAGATGAATACATTCTTTTGCAGCAAATGATTTTTCCCCGATAAAATGGGAAATTAAGACGTCGAAATCATCTGAATGGAAGAAAGATTCTTGTGTGCTTACGGATCCCGCTGATCCATCGATAGAAGGAAGACTATCAATGGCTGGAAAAAAAAAAAAATCAAAAAAAGCAAGTGGTGAGATCGGGATCCGAAGACTCTTGAGACCCTCGTGAGGTTTGCTTCTTTGCCCTTCTCTATCGAAAGCACGCTTACCACATTTAGTAACGAGCTGAGATCACCTTCGTCATGGCAGGCTGAGCAGATGCAGGGCCCTGAAGTACATGATTGGATCGCTTGTTGCCCAGATGGGAAGGGAAGACGTTGGGTCTCAACAGAAAATGTTACATCCCCAGCAGAGCCCCTTGGAAAGTTCTGTGAGAGGAAGCTCCCAAAGCTTCACTACAGTAGATTAGTTTCTCCTGGCTTCTCGCCCGCCCCAAATGCTACAGTGTATATCGTTGCTTCCCCAGTTTTTGGCGGACAAGCTCCAATGGAATCTTTCGTAGGAATGTGGCCACGCTGCTGACCTTTTCCCAACTCGGGCCAGAAAACTGACGACGACTCACACCACGCTGCTCTTCCATTCGTCCTTGTGTGCTTTTGGTGTTTGACACCAGCTCGTCTTTCTTTTGGTCCGTCTGCTTCACCTCGGCTGCCCATTCTTCGTTCACCGGCCAGGCGAAACCCAACCCCCGATCCCCACTCACACCGCCCAAAGCCTCTTCTCTTTTTAAAACCTCCCACGCTTCTCCTTCTTTTCTTTCCACCAGCCCCTCTACGTTCGCCTCAACCCCTCTCGTTCTTTTCCCTTCATCAGTCGGTGAACTGCCTTTCACCTTTTGTGCATCTGCACTCTCTCTCGCCATGGGTGCCGCAACCCAGGACACCAAGGGCTCAAGCATGGCTAAGACCACTGAGCCCAACCGGAACAAGAGATATGATCCTGCCAAGCCTCATATCACCGAGACTCCTTTGACCCGATCCAATTGGTACAAACACGTCAACTGGCTTAATGTCACTTTGATCATCGGAGTTCCTCTTTATGGCTGCATCCAGGCTCTCTGGACTCCTTTGCAATGGAAGACTGCCGCCTTTGCGGTTCTCTATTACTTTTGGACCGGTCTTGGTATCACCGCAGGTGAGACGAAATTGATGGATACAACTGGAGGACGATGAGACGATGGCTAACTCCTACCGCAGGCTATCACCGTCTCTGGGCACACACTTCGTACAAGGCTCGCCTGCCTCTTCAGATCTTCCTCGCTGCCGTGGGTGGCGGTGCCGTCGAAGGTTCGATTCGATGGTGGTCCCGCGACCACCGTGCTCATCACCGCTACACCGACACCGAGAAGGACCCCTACTCAGTTCGCAAGGGTCTCATGTACTCTCACATTGGATGGATGGTGATGAAGCAGAACCCCAAGCGCATTGGTCGCACCGACATCTCTGACCTCAATGACGACCCGGTTGTCGTTTGGCAACACCGCCACTACCTCAAGGTCGTTATCTTCATGGGTCTGATTTTCCCCATGCTTGTTACCGGCCTCGGATGGAACGACTGGAAGGGTGGCTTCGTGTACGCTGGCATCCTCCGTATCTTCTTTGTTCAACAGGCTACCTTCTGCGTCAACTCCTTGGCCCACTGGTTGGGAGACCAGCCTTTTGATGACCGCAATTCTCCTCGCGACCACATCCTGACTGCCTTCGTCACCCTTGGAGAAGGCTACCACAATTTCCACCACGAGTTCCCGTCTGACTATCGAAACGCCATCAGATGGTTCCAGTATGACCCCACCAAGTGGTCCATCTGGGCGTGGAAGCAGCTTGGTCTTGCGTATGATCTCAAGCAGTTCCGTCAGAATGAAATTGACAAGGGCCGGGTTCAGCAAATGCAGAAGAAACTTGATCAGGCGCGCGCCAAGTTGGACTGGGGTATTCCTTTGGATCAACTTCCGGTCATGGAATGGGACGACTACCAGGAGCAGGCCAAGAATGGCCGCGGCCTCATCGCTGTTGCTGGTGTCGTCCATGATGTCACCGACTTCATCAAAGACCACCCCGGTGGTCGAGCCATGATCAACTCGGGAATTGGCAAGGACGCTACCGCCATGTTCAACGGTGGTGTATACCTGCATTCCAATGCTGCACACAACCTCCTGTCGACTATGCGCATTGGAGTAATTCGTGGCGGATGTGAAGTTGAGATCTGGAAACGTGCTCAGCGGGAGAATAAGGATGTTCGCTATGTCAAGGACAGCAATGGACATGCCATTGTCCGTTCAGGTGATCAGGTCACCCGCGTTGTTGAGCCCGTCGTCACTGCTGGCGCTGCATAGATTCTCCCGGATCCCATTTTAACGGTTGACTGAAATCGGGGGGCTTCATTGGCCAGGAGATGGTCGTGCTCAAAGTGCTCTGGCCATAATTACTAGATCTTCTCGTCTCCTTTTTCCGTTGCTGGCGCCCAGGTTGGTTTCTTTTCTTTTTGGTTGGGGTATGGGACTAGGTGCGGGGGCCCGCATCATTCTTTACTGTGTATTTAGAGCGTTTCTCTTCTTTCGGATCATGTCGCTCTATAGATTCGCCAGAACCTATCAGATCGGTGTATCCACAATTTCATAAAGCATATTATTTCAAACTACAATTCTTATGTTCACCAAAATGGAGAATTTTGAAACGACGAAATTTTGCCGCACATAGAAATAACTTCTTGGTGATAATGCAGCGTTTCTCGCTACGACCCTGTGATTTTCCTTGGTTTTGAATGACGTAGCGATTGGCAATCAATGATAAGATAATAAAATTTAGATCATAAAGCAATGTGTACAAGTATGCTCGAGAAGACTGCTCAAATCTTATATCATCAAAGAGCTCGATAAAGATCATTCAAAGAAGAATCCCACTCGATCCTGTGGGTGATTGAGATTTCTCACCGCTTTGATACCTTTCGTGCGGCGTACTATAGGACCAAAGTGAGAGGGTCGATGAGCCTAGTACAAAAATGGAAGCATTATGAGCCCTGAAGTCGCCTCGAATGCGCTTGACTAAGTTGCCGCTCCCCCCAAAAGTGTAATTGGGGGAAGAGGATTTCCCGCCCGGGCTGATTGTCGGCTAAACCTCGAACGGTAGTACAGCAACGCACAGTTGTGACGGAAGGGTTGCTCGGTTTCCGGTGCGGAGCGAAGCCAGTCTGCTCCGTATACTCTGCAAACATTGCAGAGAAGAACGAGCCATTCTTTGCCCGCCGACGCTTGAGCTTCGGCATATTCTTTGATTGAATATCTGAGATTGCCTTAAATCACAAGGCTCTCCCTTCGAACCCAGTAAGTATTGCGGCTCTCCGTGGAACGTCTTGGTATGCTGGGCTTGGTCTTGGGAAGGGTCGCGCTGCGGTTTCCATTGCAAACCCCCTCGTCAAGAATCTCAGATCCACAACTCTATAATCCCTTAATACGCTACTGTCGTCGACACACCGTTTGCTAATCTTCTGAACTGCAGCATAGGTTTGACCTTGCCATCCACGATCGACTTGTTCCCCATATTCCCTCAGGATGGCACCACCTCGTGTGAGGCCTGCCCCAGATGACTCGCGATCCGAAGCTTCAAGTACAAAAGAAAGAGTCGGTACTTCGTCAGGTCAGAAGGGCCGTCGCAACCCTATGTCTTCCTTAGCTGCCAGCACGTTAGCAAAAGATACAGCTGCTTTTGCCAATACTGCCACTGGGGTACCAGTAGGTACCGCAGCTCCCGAGTTGACAGGAGTAAGATACACTTTCATGGACAGTTATGAATACGGTTCTGTTGTTATACGCAGACTCGCTCTAATTCGTTCTTTCTCTTCAGTTACACTGGCCAGCGGTCGATAGAACAATGCTTCATGCCTACAGATACGCTTATCGCCTCAAGACCCCGTCTTCGTTTGCATCGCACGGAAACCAGATTATCCTTTCAAATCCTGGTATTGGGCGCTACTCACCAACAATGGCTCGCAACAAAGAAAGGAGACGGGTCAGCAGGGAGCAATTAAGTACGGCTGTGCGAAAGAATTTTAATAGTCTTGGTATACAGGAATCAGAGGTCGTTGTGGATTTCCTTTACAAGGTTAGGTGGCAAGGTGAGTCTGCATACCTGCACACTGGCGCTTCGAATATACTGAAGAAAGACGCCTTAGACAAGAGTTTCCGGATGAGGTTTGCCCCAACACGGCCAAGATAAATCAGTGCTTCTTCAACTAAGAGTACTGCTCTTTGGGATTTAATTGCGGGAGTTTCGGTTGGATTCACGAAGGAATGATCAATTTCAGGCGCACTCTTGATTCTAGGAGATTGAGCATATCATGGCGCAGAACGATACCGGTTGAAGGCTGTAGTCCTTCCAAAGGGTGGTTTATGATATTGTATCCTGTATGATGAGACCTGCACATATGATACCGCTAGAATTTCTTTTCTCTTTCTTCACTGCTGTTGATTCGTAAAGAATTTCAATTACCTGGAACTGCACACGCTGCTATATGAGATTTCATCCTAAAAATTGATTCTTCCATTTGGTACAATCCTCTACTAAGAAGTTGCGTAAATATCGGAGATTTGTTCTTCCGATGAGCTTGGCTCTTCCGAGCGCATGACTAAGCAAATTGACCAATCATATACGAGAGAATCGGCATCGCTTTGGCAAAAGGGAAGAGACTAGAGGATACGCGAACTTTTTCCCTGGTGGAATACTTCCATCATCGTCACATAGCCGGCTATTCGCTGCTTCTCTCCTTCATTTTCTCATTCATCTTCGCCAGGTTGCCTTTTGTTGCTCAGCTTCCATTGGCCCGGTCCGGGCCTTCAATACCTTCGGACAATGAGCGCAGCAGTTTCAAATTTCCCGCTAAAAGTCGTATCGCCAGTTCGTGGCCTGTGTACAAGGCCGCGGATAGGCGGCGGACAGGGAATCAGAGGGACGACACGGGCAGGAGACTTTCGGAGCTTCCGTAGCCACGCACCACGATGCCGGCCAACTCTGAAAAGCTGGCACGCCATTTGCAAGGGCAATCAGGCAAGGGTAGGTACCTTTATAATCAAATATAATCATAGCTTCGATATCAATGAATTTCAAGCTAACGTGCGTTAGACATTCCATGCCTCTTCCGCTACATATGCTTCCAAAAACCCCTATGATGTCCTTGGGTTGAATAAAAACGCTTCGCCTGCGGATATAAAGAAGGCATATTATGGTATGGCCAAAAAATACCACCCCGACACCAACAAAGAGCCAGATGCGAAAGAAAAGTTTACCGAGGCACAATCCGCATACGAGGTTTTGTCTGATCCTAAGAAGAGAGAGGCCTTTGACCAATATGGATCTTCCGCATTCGATGGTAGTGGTGGATTTGATCCGTCCGGGGGCGCTGGCTACAATCCTTTCGCTGGTGCGCAAGGCGCAGGCGGTTTCTCTGGGTTTGGCGGTGGCTTCGGTGGATTTGGAGCCGACATTAATTTTGAGGATCTCTTCAGTGCATTTAGTGGTGGAGCGAGAAGAAGAGGCTCGCGGGCCAACCCTTTCATGCAAGAAGAAATATTAGTTGGTGACAATATTGAAGTACAGGCCAATATTTCTTTCATGGATGCTGCGAAAGGAATGAGCAAAGACATACCTGTTACTCCTTTGGTCGAATGCAAGACATGCACCGGTAGTGGCTTGAAGAAGGGAACAAAGAGATCCGAATGTAAGCGGTGTGGAGGCACTGGAACTCGAGTCCATTTCATGCAGGGTGGTTTCCAAATGGCCAGCACCTGTGATGCTTGTGGTGGACAAGGTGTTGTCATTCCTCGGGGAAGCGAATGTGGCACTTGTTCGGGCAACGGAGTGGTTCGCGAGAGGAGAACTGTCAATATTGATATCCCTGGTGGAGTTGAGGATGGTATGAGACTACGTGTTTCCGGTGAGGGTGATGCCCCGCCTACTGGCCTTTCCGGTGACCCCAAGGCACGATCGAGAAAAGGTGATCTCTTCGTCTTCATCCGAGTTGCGCCCGACCCGCAGTTCAAGCGTTCTGGATCCGATGTCTTGTATACTGCTACAATCCCGCTTACAACTGCCGTTCTTGGCGGTGAGATTAAGATTCCGACGTTGGATGGAGACGTTAAGGTCAAGGTGGGCACTGGAACTGGAACGGGAGACAAGATCACTCTGAGTGGCATGGGCATGCGACGTCTCGGCAGCCGCAAGGGCGTTAATGGCGATTTGAAGGTTGAGTTCAAGGTGGCCATGCCCAAATCTCTGAGCGCAAACCAGCGTACTATCGTGGAGATGTTGGCCGACGAGATGGGTGACAAGAATGCCAGACGCATCATGAACTTTGGCAGCAGTGGAAAAAACACCAGCAACGAGCCGTGAGTAAAAATTTTTTGACAACAATCCGGGCTTAAGCATTCTATGGGACTAACTTGGGGGTCCCAGCGCTTCCTCTTCTTCCACAACCCCACCTTCGCCACCTTCAGACAAGGACGGAGTTGATTCTTCTCCTTCACATAAAAGCCAAGGGTTTCTGAAGTCGGCATGGAATCGACTGACGAAGCACGACGAAAGTAAAAAGACATCGGATCAGTCCAGTGAGGATGACCCATCAAAGAAGTCCTCTGGTTCGGGGTAGCTTCCGACTTCCCCTGCGCAAGCTCGTCACTTTATTTTCTCTTATCCTCACCCAGACGAGCATCTTTCGACATGATGTTTCCTCATCTTCTCTGTACTACTACCATACATGGGTCTCTATTTTTGCGTGTGTGCGTTGTATGCCATTCAGCGTGGCAATGGTCAGCGGCGTCCTTGGGTTTCGGATTCCCCGCTTGAAGCAAATACGCATCAGATCTCTGGCGCAGAGAATCATTTCTCGCTGCATATTTTTAGGTGTTTCCATACATTTTTCTTTTCTTTGCCCCGCAATTGTAATCCTTTTCTTGTGTATATTATGTATATAAGTCAAAGTTGTGGCATTTAGAAGCGATCGGAAAAGAGCACACCTCCCAACTCAATATCAATACTTGTTCATTTCTTGTCCCAGGTCATGGACAGGCCAATTTATTTATCTCGGTTAAGGCAATACGAAGGGGAATATTATCCGCAAGCAAAGATTATAATGATGTCAAGCAACTGAATGTTCTGGATATTCCATATTTCGTGACCCAGTTCTTCCTTTACCACTGGCTCGTAGTAATGATATCACAAAGTGATAACCTGTACATGCAACGGGGCATCTTTCGTTTATCATGTTTGGTGTTTCCCTTCCGTACCTTAAGTGGCAAGTCATTATATGCGGGCTACCTCGGCCCGTTCCTCTATCACTGGTCGCTCTTGAGCTAATTAACTAGACTGTAAGCTTACCCAAACTCCGCGTGGTATGTACGCCTCTTCTATAAAGTTACCCAATCGAAGCTTACCACCAGAACTTGGTCTCGAGGCACCGTGCATTACTGAATCGACATATCTCTAGTGATTGGCATGAGGAACTGGTGCCATATGTACTACAATCACATTTTATCACCGCACGTCTCAATAGTGGTACCATCCCAATCACGTTCATTTTTTGGCCTCTGGCACCAATCATATGTCGTTATTGGTCGGCAGAGGTGCGCAGAGACGTGAAGAATCACCTCAGCTATCTCCCCCTTTTATTCTAACTTCTTCATAGTGGCTTATTCGAGAATCCTTCAGGGGAAGTGATAAACTACAGTTTCTGTACTATGCATGATAGTTGGGCACCTTTTTTATGTTTTACTAGGTTTTAACAACATTTACACTCATCGACGGGATGGGGAAATGTTGGTATGTAGAGGCACAGCATGCAGGCTAGGAAACCAACGGTTCCAACGGGTCGGTTGTGCTAGGATTGGGGGTGTATTGTATATCGCCAAGCACCCACTTGCTGAGACGTCCGTCTGAAAGGCAATAATAAGTGGCTTGAACAACCATTTCGTGTGCAAGTAGCCATACTTTGACGATGTTGTACTTTGGTGTTCGATATTCACAATGTCTGCGTTTTTTTGGGCAGGCATGGCAGCTTTTCAGTTGGGCTTATATTACACTAACCACCTGATGCATCTACTTACATCTATGAATGTCCATTCTATTGAAGTTGCTTACACGCTTCGTATACCCCTGTCTTTTGCGGCCATCTCTCCATTTATTCTCACTCTTGCTGTCCACGCTCTGTCCATAGTGTAATCCAGTTAGGCATTAAGATGCTGTTTTCAAGTAGCTAGGACTGGAAGTGTTAGTGACTGGGCCTTCTTGGCATGACAAGACTGGCGATTTTCCATGGATAATATTGCCCATTATTATTACCGTCATCGTTACAATCAAAACGAATATTGCTGTAGGGTTGTGTGATCCTCCAAGCTAGCTTGTCAAGCTATTTTCACGTTTCAAGTTCATCAAACGAAGCACTGAGCAACAACTGGTCCACGCAGTCGCCAGCTCCGAATCCGAACCAACCAACCTCGACCATCTCCAAAACCCCCTAAAGCTTGCCCGGCGAATCGTCGCCGTCGCCGCCACACAGCAGATCATACCTAATGCTGTATCACGCCGGTCGGTACTCCGTGTACTTTTTGTGAGGCCATCAGTATTGTTTGTTAGGAAAAGTTGCATTTGCATCTTACCATCACCGAGAAGAGAGACTCGCGAGTCTGCAAAGCGTCAACCTTAAAACCGCTGAGATCATTCCCGCTCGCCTGCCGATCCCGCACCGGAGCATCCCGTCGTGGGGCCGCGATTGTGCCACCGTTTACTCCAACTGCCGCCGGCCGTCGCCACGTTCGTGAGGAAGGTTTTTCGTGATTTACAGACTCACAAAGGTCATATCTGTCACAGTCATTTTCACGGCCACTAGGAAGCAGCATAGAACGAGCGAACCAGGCAAGCGGGGCACTTCCGAACGGGTTCCCCGGCCGCAAGCAGCACGATGGTTCACTCACCAATGATCTCCAGCCCACTGAAGCAAACAAACGAGATTGACTGGATTATCCCTCTCAAGGGCTACATTCGACAAACCTATGGCGACGATCCTGAAAGATATGCGGAAGAATGCGCCACTTTGAACCGGCTGCGCCAGGACATGCGAGGCGCGGGGAAGGATAGTGCCTCAGGAAGGGATCTCCTATACCGATATTACGGGCAGTTAGAGCTCCTAGATCTCCGATTCCCCGTCGATGAGAACCATATCAAGATTTCGTTCACTTGGTAAGAGTCTGGGTTGGGCCTGCAAGACACAGGCAACAGTTTCGTCTTTGGCTGGACGGTTAGCTAATCACACCAATCGTGGTCTGCCAGGTTTGACGCATTTACGCACAAGGCAACATCACAGTACTCCCTCGCCTATGAGAAGGCCTCAATCATCTTCAACATCTCAGCAGTCTTATCCTGTCATGCCGCTCATCAAAATCGTTCTGAAGACGCTGGTCTGAAAACCGCCTACCATTCGTTTCAAGCATCTGCTGGCATGTTCACTTACATCAACGAAAACTTCCTCCATGCTCCGTCCACTGACCTGAGCCGGGATACGGTCAAGACGCTTATCAGTATTATGTTGGCGCAGGCACAAGAGGTGTTTCTCGAAAAGCAGATCATGGATGACAAGAAGGTTGGACTGCTTGCCAAACTTGCAAGTCAAGCAAGCTTTCTGTACTGGCAGTCGGTAGAAGGTGTCCAGGAGAATGTCAATAAGGCCATATTTGAGAAGGTTTGGCTACTTCTCACTCAGGTACGTCAACCCCAAATCCGAACCCCAACGAATTTACAGAATGGCACATATCCTACTCCCTACAACGGACAACCAGCGCCGCCTTTAGGGAACCTCTTGCACAAATCCGCCTTCCCGGCCCTTTCCATTATCCAACTCTAAATATGCATGAAATGGGCTAGCTGACTTCTTTCTTTTGGCACAGATCAAGGCAAATCACCTGGCATCGGTTGCACAATACTATCAAGCAATTGCGGATAATGACGCAAACTCACACGGCACCGCCATCTCCAGACTACAGGTGGCTGAACGGTATTCCCGGGATGCGCAGAAGATGGCAAATTCTTTTCCCTCTTCAACACCAACCAATTCGAACCTCAGCTCCGAGACTGGTCCGGTCCTCGTTGATATTATAAAAAGACATCTGAGCATCGTTCAAGAAAGGCTCAATGAGTTTATCAAGGACAATGACTATATCTACCATCAGGTCATTCCGGCTGAAGCTTCTCTGACTGTCATCCCAAAGCTTCCAGCGGCCAAAGCAATTCCAGTGAGCGAGCTCTACCAGGGTCAGGATATTCAACGTATCATTGGACCGGACATCTTCCAGAAAATTGTGCCCATGTCCGTCACAGAGTCGGCCAGCTTGTATGACGAAGAAAAGGCAAAATTAATACGAGCGGAAACCGAGCGGGTTGAGGTAGCCAATAGCGAGATGGCAACCAGCCTTGACTATCTCAAACTGCCAGAAAGTTTGAATGTGCTCAAAGGCGGCTCAAGGCCCGATGCTGCGGTGGATGACGAATTCCGACATTGGTGCTCGGAGTTGGCAGGGCATGAGCCTTTTGGTCGTGCTTTCGACCAACTCAAAGCCGATCGTGCGAGTATCCTGGATTTACTCGACCAGTGTGCGAAACAAATGGACATGGAGGAGAGCGTTTGCGAGAAGATGCGTTCCAAATATGGCGCCGATTGGACGCAGCAACCCAGCTCTAGGCTGACGTCTACCCTCCGCAACGATCTTCGTAGCTATCGGTGCGCAATTGACGAGGCGAATGCAAGTGACATGCAGCTTATGAGCACGTTCCGTCAATATGAATCCGACTTCGAGGAGATGCGCTCGGCCGGTGAGACTGATGAGGCAGATGTTCTCTTTCAAAGAGCTATGATAGTTGCCGGAGGCAGTCGTAAAGGAAGGAATGGTGTCGGCAGCCCGCTGTCATCTCAGGCAGAGGGTAATCTTCTCGATGAGGATTACGGCGAGACCAGCGTCTCTGTAGCAGACCAGATCGCCAAGGTAGAGGACCTCTTAAAGCGGCTGAATCTTATCAAACGAGAGAGGACGCAGGTGTTAAAAGACCTCAAGGATAAGGCAAGTGCTTTCCTTTCTCCGGTACTGAACAGCCTCAAAAAGCTCGACTGTTGACATGCTCTAGGTTCGGGAGGACGACATCTCAAATGTGCTAATCCTTAACAAGAAGTCAATTCCGACTCACGAAACGCAGCTCTTCCAGGCCGAATTAGAAAAGTTCCGACCTCACCAAAATAGATTGCTGCAAGCAAGTCATAAACAATCCCTGCTTATGAAGGAGCTCACCAAGGCTTACGGTGAGCTTTTGCAAGATCGGCGTGTGCAATCGGAGCAGACCAAGCATGAAGGCGTTATAAGACAAAGGACTTCTGTTATGACGAAATACAAGCGAATCTATTTAGCTTTCAATGATCTTATTTCTGGGCTTCTGCGCGCGCAGAGCTTTTATTCTGAGATGAAAGAGAGCGTCGACAGCCTGAGTCAAAACGTCGAGACGTTTGTCAACAATCGCAGGTCTGAAGGAGGCCAGCTTCTAAGTCAGATTGAGCGGGATCGTGCGACCGCCGCCAGTGGACAAGCTGATCGGGAACGGGAAAGAATGCGAGACTTGATGGATCGAATGTCAATGGACCCGTCTTCATCAACCTCACCCGTCAGTGGCCCTCCCGCACCCCCTCGACCTGGCTCATCTCGCACCCCTACTACTCAGTCATCATCATATCAAAGCCATAACCGTGCGGCTGTCGCGCCCTCACCACCACTGTCCCCTCGCTATCCTCCAAGCACCTCCACTCCGAACCAATATACATCACCAATATCACATTCAGCGGCCCCGAACGGCTCGACCCCAGTTACTGCCCACCCTGGCTTTTCTGCAACGCCGGCGGAGAGTTACCACAGATTACAACAACATGCTGCGCCTGGAAGAGATGCCTACAGTCACCGTCCGCCGCCCCTCTCTTTGTCCCAAGAAGCCACTGGCGCAGGTACATACAACCCCAGCAACTACCCGCAAATGTCGCCCCCTGCGACTCAGCAATACTTCACGCCCTCTCAGTATGGGTATCAACCATCTCCACACCATCCGCCTAAACAGTACATGCCTCCGGGTTACGTGCCACCGCCACCTCCGCCTGGGCCTCCGCCGGCCGTCAGCTCTCCTCATCAAAACTATCCTCCCGCGGCCACTAGCCATTATCCTACGGGATCAGCAAGCTATTCCCATTTACAGTCTCCTCCAACCAGTCAAGCGCAGGCTCAAGGTCAAAATGATCCGTATGCCGCGCTCAACGCTTGGAGGTAAGCGTGCGGTGAATAGCGAAATATATTATGCTCCAGATGAACCTACATTTATGTGGAAATGGATCTCTAGGAAGATTGAAGTCGAAGAAGGGAGTATCTCGGAATCGGAAACTAACTCCTTGACTTTTCCATCTCCACCTCTTTCATGTCTCAACAATGCATTTCAATGTTGTCAAGGTGCCATCAAGGATTTTATGTGCACCGGTACTACATTTCCTTGCTTTTCATAGTTCATTTGGCGTGCTCTTCGTCTCATCTTTCATCTATATGCATTTTTCAGTATCTATTTCGACTTTTTTTCTCAAGTATGGTTCTGCATCGTCTACGATCAGAGCTCGGTGGCAAATTCCATGTCCAGATTCTCTCGCGTCAATGGATGATGCGAATCAATGATCAACACCCTGCCTGGGATAGATGTCTTTGATACTCCACTGATCCCGTTGACTTGATCCATGCCGCTGCTGACGTAATATCCCTATATACCCGTTGAAGTAAAGCGTTTAAAGGTGCTGTCCCCTCGATGTCATAACTATAAAGTTTCACACTACCTTACCCGGCGTGTCATTTCCTATTCGGGATGTTCCTTGAGCTTCTTCCTGGGTCTCTGCTCGCCGAGATAGGCTGTCACCGCGTTCTCCGACATTGCTTTTGCGGGATTACTCCGTCGAGGGACTTGGGTTCTTTGCGTTGGAACCTTGCGCCATTCTCTAATTACGCTCGTATAATCTCAATTTACTTTACCTACTTTTCCACTCTTTTCGCACCCTCCAAAAAGGCGCTGAGGGATCTCGTCATTCTCGGTTTCGAACCGATCCCGCATCTGTGCTTTAGTCATCCACATCTTCAACGTCGTGCTGACCGTCGCAGCTGCGCTCTTTCTTATCCATTGGTGGCAACTCTTGGGGGAAGCAGATAGAGCATAGAAGGTAGGTTTACTCGCTCCCTTTTCATCTATTGGATTTGTTCATCGTGGGCCTGAACCTTACCGGGTTGTAAGCCTTCCCGCTTGACGTTGGGGATTTTAGACGTTGAGCTCCTGCATACGAACCTTCCGATATGACATCTTGAAACGCAAGCCTGATTGCATGTCTTTAGCTTGCACATAACTAACAGTCAAATAAGGTCTCTACAATCTCCACTGCTTTTATTCGCGGACGCTGCAGCTGTATTGCGGCGCGCCAATAACTATACGTCTCGAGCATGTTTTCCAGCCAAGCTTCGGCATGCAGGACGGCTGTACGAAATGCCCAACCAAATGTCCGACAAAGTAGACGTTTTCTACAATTTCGGTCAGGGAGCACACTCTCTGCGTCTCGATACGCTTCGTCACGTCAGCTGAAGGGCGCTCCTAACCACCCAGCAAAATCCCAATCGAGTCCCGTTTTCGTTTCCTCAGTATTCGTTAATCCTTCGCGCCGCGTTCTTGCGCCGACATCTCTTGGTAGCTCCTTCTCCTTCTCAACTGCGCCTATACGACGGAAAGAACGGCCGCCGCCCAATTCGTCGGAGTCGGAAGAGAAGGGAGAGGAAGGTGATAAAGAGGGCGAAAGAAAGGAAACAAATATTCAGGACCCTGCAGCTGGTGAACAGAAGATACAAGGCAAAAGCAAAAATTCCGACTCTGCAGCGCCAGCGTCTGGATCAGCTTCAGGAAGCGGCGCTGATGGGCGGGGAAGTAGCGCTGGGGGCAGCGGAGGTGACTCTGGCTCTGGCTCTGGTGGCAGCGGTGGAGAAGGCACCAGCAAGAAGAGTCGCAAGTCATCACCAGAGAAGTCCCTTCAGAAACCAACAGTACCAGATGTCTACCCTCAAGTCATGGCAATCCCGATAGCCAAACGCCCGCTGTTCCCTGGGTTCTACAAAGCAGTCACAATTCGGGACCCCAATGTCTCCGCGGCCATCCAAGAAATGATGAAGAGAGGCCAACCATATATTGGAGCTTTCTTGTTCAAAGACGAGAATGCAGACCAAGACGTTATTGAAAAAATGGACGATGTCCACGATGTTGGAGTCTTTGCTCAGATCACAAGCGCATTTCCCGTTCATGGCGAAGAGAACAGCTTGACAGCTGTCTTATACCCTCATCGTCGAATAAAGATGTCAGCTTTGATTCCTCCGGAGAAGAAATCGGATAAAAAGGCAGAGGACGTCTCTGTACCGGAGCCAATCACCGGTCAGGCAGACGAAGACAAGAAGGGCGATGTAGTGGCAAGCTTTGAGGAGGGAAGTGTTGAACAGTCCGCGCGTGATGTATTGCACTACGAGCCAACTTCGTTCCTGCGGAAGTATCCCGTCAGCTTGGTCAACGTGGAGAATCTGACCGAGGAGGATCACGACAAGAAGAGCGCCGCCATTCGAGCATACACCAGCGAGATTGTGAACGTTTTTAAAGAGGTTGCAAACCTCAACCCTCTCTTCCGGGACCAAATCTCTACATTCTCCATGAGCCAGTCCGCTGGTAATGTTATCGACGAGCCAGCAAAATTGGCTGACTTCGCAGCAGCAGTATCTGCCGGTGAAATCAATGAGCTCCAAGACGTTCTCGAGACACTTGACGTCGAGTCCCGTCTAGCAAAAGCTCTTGTTGTTTTGAAGAAGGAACTTATGAACGCTCAACTCCAGTCTAAGATTTCAAAGGATGTTGAAGCTAAAATCCAGAAACGACAGCGGGAATATTGGCTAATGGAGCAAATGAAGGGCATTAGACGGGAACTGGGTATTGAGAGCGATGGCAAGGATAAGTTGGTGGAGAAATTTAAGGAGAAAGCTGAGAAGCTTGCCATGCCGGAAGCCGTCAAAAAGGTGTTTGAGGAGGAGCTCAACAAGTTGGCTCACCTCGAGCCTGCTGCATCCGAATTCAACGTCACGCGGAATTACCTCGACTGGCTGACACAGATCCCCTGGGGTCAGAGAAGCGCAGAGAACTTTGGCATAAAAAATGCGATGAAAGTTCTGGACGAGGACCACTATGGACTCAAGGACGTCAAAGATAGAATTTTGGAGTTCATTGCTGTGGGCAAGTTGCGTGGCACCGTGGAAGGCAAAATTCTCTGCTTCGTCGGCCCGCCTGGTGTTGGAAAGACGAGCATTGGCAAGTCCATTGCTCGTGCTCTCAATCGACAATATTACAGATTCAGCGTTGGTGGACTGACCGATGTTGCGGAGATCAAAGGTCACCGTCGCACCTATGTTGGTGCATTACCAGGTCGAATCATCCAGGCACTCAAAAAGTGCCAGACGGAGAATCCTCTCATCTTGATTGATGAGGTTGATAAGATTGGTAGAGGGCATCAAGGCGATCCCGCATCTGCTCTACTCGAGCTCCTTGACCCCGAGCAGAATTCTTCCTTCTTGGACCACTACATGGATGTGCCGGTTGACCTTTCTAAGGTCCTTTTTGTTTGCACAGCAAACATGACCGACACCATTCCTCGACCGCTGCTTGATCGAATGGAGATGATTGAGTTGTCTGGTTACGTCGCTGACGAGAAGATGGCCATTGCGCAGAGATATCTAGCTCCTGCAGCCAAAGAGCTCAGCGGCTTGAAAGAAGTGGATGTGAATTTGGAAGAGGATGCTATCACGGAACTTATCAAGTCGTACTGCCGTGAAAGCGGTGTGCGAAACCTGAAGAAGCAGATTGAGAAGGTCTACCGCAAATCAGCATTGAAGATTGTCCAGGACCTAGGCGAAGACGTCTTCTCTGAGGAGAAGGCTCTTACCGATGAAGGCAAGGCCGCTCAAGAAGAAGCGAAGAAGGACAATACCGATGTCAAAGACACGCCGCTTGATATGGAAAAGGAAACTACCGAGCAGCCTCGTGTCAGTCTTAAGGTCCCTGAATCAGTCCATCTCGACATTACAAAGGAGAATCTGAAGGACTTCGTTGGCCCTCCTGTTTTCACAGCCGACCGGCTTTATGACGTTACTCCGCCTGGTGTTGCCATGGGCCTGGCATGGACCCAAATGGGCGGTGCCGCCCTCTATGTCGAGTCTATTCTCGAGAGTGCACTAACCTCGTCGTCGCACCCGAGTTTGGAGCGCACTGGCAATCTCCAAAACGTTATGAAAGAGTCTACTTCCATTGCCTACTCTTTCGCCAAGTCTGTGGTGGCCAGAGAATTTCCTGAGAACAAATTCTTTGAGAAGGCCAAGCTTCACTTGCACTGCCCCGAGGGAGCAGTGCAGAAGGATGGTGCGTTTGTAGATCACCCTTGATTCATCTTGATTCTGATATTGACTCATTTCCTTTCTGATGCAGGTCCATCTGCGGGTATCACCATGGCTACCGCACTACTCTCCTTGGCGCTTGATTACCCAATTGACCCAACAATTGCTATGACGGGAGAACTCACTGTCACCGGCAAAGTATTGCGCATCGGTGGTCTCCGTGAGAAGACAGTTGCCGCGCGTCGCGCTGGTGCCAAAACAATCATTTTCCCCGCTGATAACCTTTCTGACTGGTTGGAGCTGCCAGAAGTACGTGACTTTTCCCTATCCCTGCACTGCATTTAGGAAAGATCGCCGAGTAAGAGTACTGACGAAGGAGCAGAATATCAAAGAAGGCGTGGAAGGCAAACCGGCAAATTGGTACTCGGACGTTTTTGACCTGGTCTTCCGCGACCTCGATCGTGTGCACGCTCAGAATGCGTGGAGAGACCAGCTGGCCAAATCGGAGGAAGCAGAGAAGCATGAGAAATCGGAGAAATAAAGCCGGTTGCACTCGCCTTTCGACGACGCAGATTGTTGGTTCTTTTACCCTTCATCCCCTTTAAGGAATCATGGCTTTACATCACAAGAGGAATGTGAGATTTTCCTGCACTTCATTTGCAAGAAACTTTCATCTTCATATGAGTTACACATACCCGTTGATGATATTGCTTATTGACGGTCGATTTTGAGACCGCTGTTTGGTCTATTCGCATTCTGCGTGGGCTACTCATTAGACATGGCGTTGGTTCTGGATTGTGGGCTTTGGATATATGAAGCTTGATGTTGTTTTGTTGATATTGAGCGGTCGCAATACGCGTGTCCCTTTACTGATGCAGTTATTTGGCGGAAGATTGGAGAACAGCCGCGGGTTCAGGTAGATGATTGTCCCGGCACGGAACACAAGTTTCCTGGCCTGCCAGTGCCCTGGCTCTCGCAGGTCCACGGATGTCCTTCACAAGCTGTTTAGCCTTTTCTCGACATGCACTGTTCGTTCTTCCCTTTCATGCGATGCCGGGACTGGCTGCCTTTGAGATAGGCAATTGCCGTGGGATTGACGGGCTCACTCGGAACACGACTGCTGAAAACGGTGCTTCGAGATGACAGCAGTCTATTTGTTCTTGGCAATTTATCTATCCGGCCTGAAATTTTCTTGTATATTTTCCTACCTTGCCCGCATCACTTCTATTCTCTTGCTTGTTACGTCTCCACTCTTTGCTTTCTGGTCATTTTCGTTTTATTTCTGACCCTGTACAGCTCATGGCAACTCATAAAGTCAATATTTATATTGTAAATAGTCGCGTGGCGGGAGCTTGCCCATTGACCTTGGTGGCTCTACCCTGACATAGTAAACACAAGAGATAGGATTAATTAGATACTATACCTGGAGTTTACATACATTTTGTTTTGGTTGATGTCTGTTACAAGCCCTTCATTTTGCTTATTTTCTGCACGTACTCACATTTATTGAGGATACATGACTAATTTCACTGATATACATTTGCCGACTGTCCTGGCTGGAGTGGTAACAGCACAGCCTTCTGGCGATCTTCAGCGTGGCGTTGGGATGACTACTCCGTACTATCCTGTCACCCAACTCTACGGTTCTGGCTGGGAAGCCGAGCTGAGAGAGCGGCAACTAAGCTGATCTCGGTCACTAAAATACAGCTGTACGGGTTGACGGGCTCGGCAGGCTCGGTACCGAGCTTAACGATACGACGGGTTCCTCTAGCGAGGGATAGGCTGAGGGGTTAATACGTAACCGCCAGAAAGACTTTGGTAGCGAAGGAGTCAAACCACGATCAAACGTCTCAAATCTCCAAACTGGTACGAGGCCGATTGTTGCATGATTCATTCAGAATGCATCTGAGAAATGACAGAAGAGATTGAGATGAACGATTCATTGATCCGATAAGGTTTCATTAGATATTTATCCACTAAGGCATCTTGAGATACTCTCACGGACAAGACTGCTAAATACGTGGTTGGGTCGAAACTCCACGGGCCAAGCTTACCTGGTAGCCTGGCACCCCCCTGCAGATGAGTTTAGGCAGCTAGAGCGATTGGTGCCACGAAATCAAAATTACCTACAACACTGAACTCACCTGCTGGAGCGGCCAGGACAGAAATACTGTGAGAAGCGCAGAACAGTGGTAAGGCACTGCCATATACAGCATATACAGACACTTTTGGGCTGTTGATATGATTTGTCTGCCTGAATAGGTCAATGCATTGGAATACTCATTAGGCTTTCGCTGCTTGTGACCAAGTGATGATGCATGGTTTGGCCGGGCCTCATTTTGGGCCGCGGCTGCTTGAGGCTGGGGGACCCTTGGAGATGCCCTTTGTGACTCCTATTGGAGGGCGGATGGGGCTTGGGTTTCGTCAGTAATGGCCTGGGCAGCATGGAAACGTTATTTACAGCCTGCAAGTGCACTGCCCCTTGAGACAACTAATGATGTGGGAAGCATGGCATCAAAGTAACAACCATTGATGGCAGCAAATGGCGACGCTACGCATGGATGACATTAATCTCCTCAGTATCATCATATACTCAATTTCTGAACATATCATTGTGGCCTTGGGGAAATGAAAGGTTCAATAGAATATGTTGCTGTGCTGTGGGTTGTTACTGATTGGGATGAGGCATCAAGGGTGTCTGTGACGTGCACTGCAGCTGCATGAAAAGTGGCAGAGGCGGCACAACATGAGGCACATTCATATGATGCTGCCTCTTGAAGGAGAGATGGGGGAGCAAGAGAAGAAGAGATATTCAAAGGAGGAAAAGAGAGTCCCGAGCCAGTTGATTAATTAATCGAGTCAGTATTTTGCCTCTTCAACGCCGCCCGGTGGACTGAAGCATTGAAACGGACTTTTTTTTTGCGCCTATGACGGCGTGAGGGCTTTGAACTGGGGTTCGGCAGCTGGACGTGACTACTGTTATAGTTTGCCGTTTAGGTCTGCCAGCTCACAAAGGTCATGTTGATCGTAAGCTAAGGAAAGCCATCGATTAGTGAGAATGATGAGAGCTGAAGAGCACCATCTGTTGCTCCCTGATCGACTCTTTTTAACGTCCAGATTCCTCCATTGTTGTGTGTTTTGATTGTAAATATCCCGAGCTTATAAGTTATTACTTCCCACTACCCAATTAGGCCGCGGGCAGAAAAGGCAAAAAAAAAGTCCGACCACCACCATCTGCCGTCAACCCAACGAAGACCCTGCTCATTTCACCCGTTTTCTCTATCATTCAATTCCCTCCCTCCTTTTCACCGCACCCTTACACCTCATTCATCGCGTTCCAATTCTATTTGCCCACTTGAAAATGGAGGCCCCGTGAAGCGCATCCAAACATTACAGTGAACGCATAGCACGAGATGCAGTGACTTGATCGTGACTCAGATGGGTCGCACACCTTCATTTTACGCCTAAAACCAACGTACAAGCGGACGCCTACCTGCATGGTGCATGATACCTTTCTTTGAGTGACTGGAAAAATAGAGGACACAGAGAAACAGACAGACCTGGTCCCAGTCCTCCCCCTCCGAACTTCTCTTGTCCATTGCCTTCTGCAAGTGTGCCGGTGCTTTTCTTTTTCCTTTCCCTGCCTCTCACCGTTCAGGCCTCCAGCAAGCCTTGCTTTTCGCGCAGACGGTATTTTTGGCTCCTACATTTACCGTTACGCCGGAGCCTTCTGCTAAGGCTGAAGTGCAGCAATATTCTTACGATATTACCAAGCTGAATCCCCTGTTCAACCCCCCTGTGTGCTTACATCTTATAATCTGCAAGCGTCAAATTTGATTGGTTTTGGTGGGATGAGCGCGAGGGGAGAGGAAAAGGCTTCATCGAACCAGGCTATTCAGCGTTCCTCGTTCACGAATTCGTTAAAGGGCGACGATCGATCAACGACCGAGGAGTGGTCTTGGAGCAAAGCTCCGCTTGTGTCACCGACGCGCGACCCCGCCCCTCTACCATCCTCCAGATCACCACGTTGACCTTGACCGGGAGGCGAGCCTGGCATTTAGCAACACGGACAACAAACGAATAATTGACAATTGGGTTTCCCGTCAGCCGGTGTTTCTTGGACCCTTTGCATATCCGGCTGCATTTTCTGACGAGCAAGAACGCCTTAGCACCTAAAAGAATATTTCCTACGTTGTCAGCTCTAGTTCGGCATTCGGCTGGGCCCCTCGGGAGAGGAGGAGGGACCTCCATAGGAGCCCCATATTGAAACGAAGTGCGGCCAAATGGCGGACCCGATAGCGGGTCCATCGGAGCGACCAACATCAAAGGGAAGCGAGTATGGTGTCGAATCCAGACAGACTGTATGGGATCGTTTCGGCTTCAGGCGATTAGGCTTTTGGTTTGGAAAGGAAGGCCAACACGACGATGGCGATGGCGACGACGACCACCATCATCATCATCATCACCGTGATGCTCGGGATTTCATGTCCGACCATGATGCTCAAGGGATCGAGGGCACATCGCCACCTTCGCCTCATGGGCGCAACCGTCGTCGATCGCGCAAAGTGGTCCCCGGCCTGCCGCGCCCAGGAACCTTTAAGCGCCAGAATTCGGAGCGACGTGAAAGGCTATTGCCCGTAGAACCGCATCTCATCGAGCGCAGGTCTGCATCTGCAGATCGCCGAAGAGCAAGAAGCGCCCACCGTTCAAGCTCTGTGCCCCCCGCAGACGTTCCACCATCATCTCCACCTGCCGATGAAAACGACACAACTACTGTTCCGCTGGACAATTCAACAGCGAATCGACCTGGGGATGAAGTAGAGAAGTCTCCCGTCAGTGAGGTTGTTGAAGTTGATCCAGGATGTGAGGACCACGAGGGTTTGCATATTCAGCCCGAAGCAACACCCCAGGCTCAGGCTTCTCCATCTAGTCCTATTCTCTCAGAAACACGACTGGACCCCCACGCACCACCTATACAGTCGGGAGTTGGCGAATCATCATCACCACCGCAGCAGCATGACGATCGCCTCGCGGATTCTCAATTTGACGAGTTAATAGCGACGGAGCTCGAAGAGAGATGGATTCTCAACCTCAGCATGCATTTTCGTGATCGATCCGATCGAGAGAAATTCTTTGTCACGTACGCCGAAACGCCAACCAAATGGCGACGTTTGACTGTATCATGCGATTACCGACATGCGCCGGAAAATTCACTAGAGAGCGATCTCAAGGCACTGCGTTATCAACGGGACAAGAGCGCGAGAATCTACGAGTCTATTCGAGAGTCTCTGCCAGATATAGAATTCTACGATACAGTGACGAATTTAAAACTGCAGACAAGCGATGATCGTCTGCACGTACATGTCACGGAGGACGTCAATGAAATTATTCAATTTCCGCCGCTTTCTGCTGTTGCGCATTTAAAATGCGAAAAGTTTCCCGAGAGTTCCATTCGATTTGACTCCCATCTTTCAGGGTTCGTGTACAAGGTCGCTGTGGACGGCCGGGTGCTGATAAAAAAGGAGCTTCCTGGACCGGACACCGTTGACGAATTCTTGTATGAGATAAATGCTTTGGATGCACTCACGGGATCCCAAAGCGTAATTAATTTTGGTGGCATTGTCGTGGATGACCTGCATCAATGTGTCAAGGGATTGTTAATCAGTCTTGCCGATCAAGGCGCCCTGGTCGATCTCATTTACGATCTCAAGGGACATATTCCGTGGCGGAGGCGCGAGAGATGGGCCAGGCAGATTGTCCAGGGACTCTCGGAAATTCACGAGGGCGGGTTTGTGCAAGGGGATTTTACATTGTCAAATATTGTAATTGATGGAGAGGATAATGCCAAGATTATTGACATCAATCGAAGAGGCTGTCCGATTGGATGGGAGCCTCCGGAGCTGTCGGCACTAATCAAGAGTGGACAACGGATATCAATGTATATTGGTGTCAAATCAGATCTTTTCCAGCTGGGTATGGTTCTATGGGCGCTGGCCACCGAGGATGATGAGCCGGAGAGACACGCACGGCCGCTCGTATTCGAGCATGCCGACGATATTCCGTCGTATTACCGTGAGCTGGTCTCATTGTGTCTTAGTGACTCTCCCCGAGATAGAGTGTCCGCTAAGGATCTCTTGCGCATATTTCCTTCTTCATCCGGCCGTGACTCAGATCCGCCGCGGAGGATAGTTCGACGCACCAGCTTTCCGGAGCTGCTGGACCAAAAGGAGGCGATGTCTTTGGCGAACAAGGAAGATCGTGATATTGAAAACGCTGTGAGCTTTGCGCCAACTTCTTACGGAAATGAAGAGGGATTTCCCAGAGCGGAATCCTATGAACGACATTCGGTTGGAAACAGGTCGCCTGGCTATTGTCACGATGGCTATTCGGACAGCCTGAGCTCCTGGGATGATGGACATAGACGAGGCCGGTCGCCAGGTGGCAACGTTAGTCACGTTGACCATGACATCAACTCTACTTCCGGGTGTTCCAAAAATGAGGCTGGCGAAGAGGCCCAAATAATATCAATTTCACCTTCAGACGAGAAGCAGTGGGAAGAGGTGGATATTGGAGGTCATCCATATCTGATCCGTCGAGATACATTCAAGGCCGCAACGACCAACCTCAACGAGCACGGAGAAGATGGCCCCAATCTGCCACCAGCAGAAGATTTGGAAAAGACGGAAGTGTCTGAAGGTCTCGAGGCAGAGAAGACTAGAGATTTGGATATCTCTGTGGGGCACTCTGATATTGAGCCGGCCGAGCCGAATCGGAAAGGAGATAAGTGTTTGGAAAGGAATGAGATAGATTCTCAAGAAAAAGCCTCACTGGCTGATCATGACGGTGGCCTTGAATGCATGCCCGCGGAGGGTGCGCCGAAAGCGATTTCTGCGATGGGGGAGCATGCTAGCGGAGTAGAGGATGATACATTTTCGGCATTACCAAAAGCTCCAGCTGAGCAAAGAAGTGATCATTCTGAACGAGTTGCAGATTCTCTGACAGACGCAACGGCCGAGCCCCTGGACGTACGACAAGTTCCTCTGCCAAGCCAGACAGGGACAGAAGACGATACCTTGGTCGCTTCTATCGATTTGAATGAGAGGACGCAGGTAGGCCAAGGAGAATATGCTAGCCAAAGGGGTGACGACACTGTGCACAAAGTTCCGTCCAAAGATCGTCTCCCGCAGCAGGAGACCATTAGGTCCAGGACAGATCAGTCAGGAAAACCAGCTCTATCGGATCAGCACTCAACAGCAACCGGTCTGTTAGAGACGTCTGTTGGGTCTGAGTGCACAAAGTATATCCCTCCGAGCGGACTAGATTCTAAGACTGGTCCATCCCAAACCCTCTACAGCACGTCCAACGGTCCTTTGGCTACTCCTCATATCGAGGACACCCCTGGAGCATGGCCAGAAACGCCAGCTGACACATTCGATTCCCGCCCCCTGGCGCCACAATCTACGCAAGAATCAGTACCACCATCATCTCTTCCAGTCAAAACGCCCATAATACCAAATCAGACAGATCCCGCTTTCAACGAAGATCCAAAAACGACAGCAGCAAATGTCTCCAGTACATCAGGCCCCCCGCCCATTCCAGACTATAAACCTGTGCCAGAGACACAAGTTGTTGATACGACCTCATCATCGGCAGCAGCGGCAGCAGCAGCAGCAGCATGTCCGTTGGCTTCGGAGAATAGCCCCCCACCAAAACAACCCCCTGCTGAACTCTCGCAGCAATCACATGCTATCAGCGCAGGTCCATTGACGGGCGATTTGGCTGGTATCGGATCACACGCGTGTCGTCTGGACGTGTGATTTTTCTTTTCCTTTTTTTTTTCGTTTTCTTTCCCCTTCCCTTTCCCTTTCTCTTTTCTTTTTTCTCTTTTCCTTTTTCCAATTTCCTTTTTTTTTTGGCTGGATAGATGACGATATATGTCCTTAAATTATCCTTTCTCTCTCTCTCTCTCTCTCTCTCTCTCTCTCTCTCTCTCTCTCTCTCTCTCTCTCTCTCTCTCTTTTCCTTTTTTTGCATCACTAGGCTGGGAACTGAGCATTGAGCATTGAGTCAGCGTTTTGCATATATATATATCACATTACGAATATAATAATAACAGCAACAACAATACCGTTGCTTGCTGCTCTGGGGATTTTGCACAATATTATTCATTTAACAAAATCAGCCTATTTGCGTAAATTCAAATTTTCAAAAAACGATCCTTTTAAATTTCGAACCCCAGATTCTTTGAAACTTTTCTATTTACTTTTTTTAAGTTAGTTATGTTGTTGCCGCATCCAACCCCCCGGCATGAAGGAAGTCTGGTAGGGTTGTCACAGGTAGACCGCAGACTTTCTCAAATAATTATCATTCTTATTCTTGTTCTTTTCTTTTTTGGGGGGGGGGGGGGGCCGTAGGGGTTTAACCCCCTCCCTTTACATTACACCAGTATGCGTTTTGCTTAAATGTACTGAAGGGAAAAAAATAACAATTAACTAGTATTTTCTACTTGGATGTACATGCACGTAGGCAAGTAGAAAAGAGGACGAAAAAAAGCAAGCAGGTATGCACGAAAGCAAGTAAACAAGCAATGATAAAACCTGGTATCGCTACTAAATTAAATTAAAAACATAATCTAGATTCATCCCGCTCGACGGCACTAAAGTTACAAAGGGTACAGCATACGAAAAATTATTTCGGGTGTATTTCATCAAATTCCTGCCTCAAACCATTAGGCCCAGCCCACGAGTCCAAGAGCCGACGAGCCGACGAGCCGACGAGCCGACGACTCTACAGAGTACACGAGTCCAATAAGCCTTGAGCGAGCATGTCCACACCGTGACACCGCAATACTCAGATCCCAGCAGCCCAGCAACCCGTCATCATAGTCTCATAGTCATCATCTTCTGTATGTTCTCAACAGGTCGAGTTTTTTTAAATACAAGGTAGGTAGTAATTGGTGTTTCTTCACTGCTAAGTACCTTCACCTTCGACTTTGCTGGCTTCTGCTGTCTTATCTTCTGGCGTTGATTCCGAGATTGCGGGTGGCTCGGATTGTTCGGCCGCTGGCTCTTTTGGTTCGGGATGAGAAGTAGAAGAAGAAGTAGGATGAGGTGTTTCTTCGGGCGCGGTGGACTCGGTGGGCTCGGTGTTATTGGCGGAAGAAGAAGAAAGAGAGGGGACGGACTGCTCGGTATGCTCTGCGATTTCGGGCGCAGAGGTCGTCGGAGGTGCGGTTGCGGCCGCGGCCGAGGTTGAGTTGGAAATGTCCTTCTCGGGTCCATCTTCCGCAGTGCTGGAGGATGACGAAAGGTCGTTGTCTGGCTCTTCGGCGGGAGCTGGTTTTGTATTTGATTCGTGAGGCTCGTTTGAGGTAGCGGCAGGCAAAGAAGTAGAAGATGAAGATGAGGCCTGGTTCGCTGAGTGTTGCGAGGTAGGCGCGTTGGTGGTTTCAGTGGAGACTTCGGGTTCAGGGCCAGGCTTGGGATCAGAGTCTTCTGCTGCTGATGATGATGGTTGATTTGATGGGATTGCGTCGTGGCTCTTGGCTTCCTCCTCTGCCAGCGGCTCGGCCGATCTGTCCTCTGTGGATGACGATGGCTCTGCTTGTTCCTCGGGAGTCGATTCGGAAGTTACTTCGACCGATGGTGCTTCGGATTGCTCCGATTTCTGGGTATCGGTTGGTTTGCCATCATCATCACCACCATCCTGCTCAGTGGATGCTGTTGGCGGTGCGGATTCTGTAGGTTCTTCTGTAGATTCGGCCTCTGGCCTTTCATCAAATGGCTGGTTTTTCGCAGGATCTTCAGCCTTGTCCGTGGACCCTTCCTGTCCGCTCTGCAACTCGACTGGCTCGCCATGAGCAGGGAAGGGCTCTATTCCCTCGTTTCGCTTTTCGTCCTCGTCCTCTTCAACGACGGTCATTACTGCCGATCCGGTTGAGGGTGTAGGTTTGTGTCTTCTGGTAGCAGTTGTTGCTGTAGGCGTGACTCCTCCACTTGTAGTAGATCCCGGCGCCAATCTCGCGGTATCCGTCCCGAGGTCCTTTTCCCGCTTCCTTCCTTTGCCCTTTTCTTTTTCGGGGGTTGTTGGTTCTTGTTGTCGCGAGTGTTCTCTTCGACTGAAAACAACCGGCGTTTGGAGAGGCTGGTCTAGCCGCACATCCTCTGCTTCCAGTTCCTGATCAACATGCTCCGCTTCAGCGGGGATGGTATAGTTATCCTCGGGGATCAGATTATACGCGTCGCTCACAGTCTTGAAAAAGACATACAATCCCTCGTTGCCTTCGACTTGCCAGAAGACATGGCGGTGCTGAAACCACGCATGGGCAAAGATCCTGTACAGTCTACGGAAAATATTAGTCAGTTGCCGCACCCCCTGCTGTGTCCCACCACCAGACTCGGAGCCCAGTGTTAGTCGACTGGGGAAATGCTTTGGAGAGGTGAGAATGTTGCCAGCCCAGTCCAGCGTGTGGCAGCAATAGTCGATTGCACAACAAGATTTTGGCGGGTCATGTACGGCACAGAGATATTGCCATTCTGACGCGCGCATCTCGGGGCACGTTTGTGCTGAGCATGATGGGGTATCGCTGAAGAGGTTGATGATTATGGTATTGATGCGCATTGTCAAAAACCGACAAAGTTCGTATAGCCATAGTGACCGGTCAATATTCGACGGCGGTTCAGCAAGGATCTGGGCCAATGATCGCGTAATGGGAACCGTGTGGTCGAGGTTAGGCGGGTGCGTGAGATTGTAGTGTAGTGCTTTCAAATGCTCTTGTAATTGGAATGGCGAGTCCAGCTACTCATTTCCTGTCAGTCACATTCGAAAATAAAACTTGCAATATGAGAATAAACGGTTCATATCAAGTTGCGCAAACGCATTGCTTTATGGAAAAGACTGGGCGACTTACGTCTTGTAGGGGAATTAACGGAGGACCGGAAGTCATGTCCGCTGCCTTTGTACCCGGACGGATCCGTCGCGTTGCTACTGCATCTGCCTTGGCCGCCGACCTTTCATCCATCAGGGCCGGATCAGCGGTGGGCGATTTGGGTCCGATCTGGTCCTCTGTGAAAGGCGGAGGGCTGGGGAGCCGCGGTGAGCTCGGCGAGACAGCATGAGGTCTACTCATGATGGCAGTTCTACCCTAAAAGACAAGTCGAACCAGAACAGTCAAAGAACACAGCGCAGAGTTTGCGCTTGAATTGTCAATCAGCTGCTCCCGGGCGGGTGATTGTGGTATCGAAATAGGGTGAGCTCTTCCCTGAGACTGTCAACAACATGGAGACGGCGGCTAGCTACCGGGACCGGAGAATAGTTACTCCGCGTATATATAATCCACCAAAGCCATTTCTTACATGGAAGAATTCTAGTCCCATATTCAGCCATTCAAAGAGATTTATCGGAACGAAAGTCAGTTTCGGTTCCATTATAACTATGGATATTGATGATGAAGCACCTCCGCTGTTGGTGGGCGCTGATGGCGCTGCGGCGGATCAAACCGATGCGCTCAACGCCGAGCTCGAAGATATGAGCGTGGCAAAGGTCCCCATTACCATTGTTACAGGTATGTTTAGATCTGGTGAACAAATAATTCATACGCATATTATGTTTTCTACTTGTGTTTTCATTTCATGCATGTTATATGCTCGTTTTTTTGTGCTTTGACATTTAGTAATATTATCATGGCTAACTCCTCACAAGGATATCTCGGAGCTGGTAAAACTACTCTTCTTAATTACATATTAAAAGAAGAGCATGGGAAAAAAGTGGCAGTCATTTTAAATGGTCAGTACTAACCTTTCCCTTAAGATTATAAATATTTCGAGCCCTGCTAACTTTGGATCCAGAATTCGGAGATTGTCAGTACCTTGCGACTACTGCACTTAAGCCTTCTCAGTATTTTCTGGAACTAACTTATTTCCAGCGGCCGATATTGAAAAGTCCCTGACCGTCAACAAAGACGGGCAACAGGTAGAGGAATGGCTTGAACTAAACAATGGTTGCATATGCTGTTCTGTCAAGTGCGTCTCCATATGCATTCCTACATTTCCTGCATGCATTTCTCTCGTCTTAATCGTTTTTCGGATGCATGCAGTTGGCTTTGATCGAAGTCTTTTAAAATTTCATCCCTTTTCTAATAAATCACAGAGATTCCGGAGTTAACGCCATTGAGTCTCTCATGGACAAACGCGGTCTCTTCGACTATATCCTTCTCGAGACCACCGGACTAGCGGATCCCGGAAACATTGCGCCTCTCTTCTGGGTCGACACCGGTCTAGGCAGCACCATCTACCTCGACGGCATTGTCACTGTTGTCGATGCCAAGAATATGCTTGCTACGCTTGACGACCCTACAACGAGCTCCACAACAGCTTCTCCATCAACCGCTCAGCCGTCGACTGCTCATCTTCAAATCTCCCATGCGGACGTCATTGTCCTCAACAAGACCGACTTGGTCTCACCGGAAGAGCTCTCCGCTCTTGAAGCACGCTTGCGCTCTATTAACGGCCTTGCTAAGATCCACAAGACACAGCACAGCCGCGTGCCGCAGCTAGAAGGCGTGCTACTAGATTTACACGCCTATGACGACGTCAGTGTCGAGGCCTTGTCTGAGGCAGCTGCTCAGTCACCCAAAAGTTCTCTTGATAAGGTTAGTATCAATATCCGTATTTCAACCGCGCCTCATTTCTATCCGTTTCAGCGAGGTATCGGCCTGGCTTGTATCACATCTGCCTTTCTATCCTTCCTTTCTACCGGTCAAAGGACAGCCCCTGCCGGGCAAGGACAGGAAGGGAAGGGAAAGGAAAGGGAAGAATTTAGACGCTAATGGTTTGACTACGCAGACAATAAGCACACTCACTCTCCCTCTTCCACCTCTCACTCCCCAGCAGATTTCACGACTAGATACCTGGCTACAACGCATTCTCTGGGATAATCAGCTTCCCTTGCCTACCGAGGGCATTCGTGACCCTCTTTGCGCGGAAGCAACCGCCGCTGCGAACACCAGAAGCGCAGCTAATGCCATATATTGTCCTCCGGGCGAAATACCTGGCTTAGTACCAGCATCTTCCTCAACGGACCCAACGAATCCAACGTCAGCTCTCTCGCGGGCCCAGTTGTCGCACGAAAGCCCTGCCTTGTCAGCCGTAGAGTTCGATATCCATCGCCTCAAAGGTCTCGTTATTCCTCAGGAGAAGACATCATCAACATCATCATCATCTACGTCAAAGATTAAAATTATTCAAGGCGTGCGGGAAGTCTTTGAGATTTTCGATGTAGATGATGCGGAGCGTACGCAGGCACGACATGCTTCGACCGTGTCACATGTTCATGATGGGAAAGAATCTGAAAGCATCTCTCGAGAAGGGAAATTGGTTCTCATAGGGCGAGGTCTGGGAGATAGACAACAATGGGAGAGGAGTCTGCGGGCAAGTCTCTTGTTGCAGTAGATGTATTCATGGCATTAGTCGATAAAGAACTTGCTCGTCAGAAAACAAATCGGCATGGATCAGCAGCTGTTCAATTTTTCGTGTTTTGGTTTGTAGTCATATCGGAAGCCAGCAAAATGACTGCCAGCATGCACCTTTCTGTCCAAATTTGTAAGGCTTTGTCGTCTGATGGCTTAATGCTTTTTTTCTTCAGAACCCCGCGAGAACCCCCACAGCCAGCACTAATCTGTAGATGTTATGTTCCAATCACCAAAATCCGGTCCAAAAACCAAATCTGTTCAAGGCATAAAAAATAGGCAAAATAGGCAAAAAGTAAATATTTGAGGGAGAAAAAAAGAATGGAATGCTCGCACTCAGATTCGAACTGAGGACCTCATCATAACCTAGCGTATATACTAGTGATGCGCGCTACCAACTACGCCATGCGAGCGGGTAGAGGGCTTTCCATTTTCAGAAGGCGTTGTTCGGAAGTTTCGAAATTACAATATATATATCTGCATTTAGTGTGTGTGAAAATATTTTTCAAAAGTGATGGATCTCATTGTTCCGGAGATCTACAGGGGTTATACCTCCGTCGATCGTCACAAAAGTCCGGAACGGTCCCGCACATGGATGGTGGAACGGCCGGAATAGCCCACCCAACTCATTGATTGCCCTCATTACTGCTTCCCAGGATAACTAACTATTGCTATCACCAAATCAACCCTGAAAAAGGGTGTGAAGACTTTTATTTCGCCAACATGTGGCTCTGTGTGGCCACTAAGACTACATATATTACGGAATTGGCTTTCTATAATACCACCCGCGAAAACCCTGCTTCACGGCAAACATTTAGCAAGGGCATTCAAATGCTGAAGGATCGTACAAGAGCACATGCTTTATGCACGAGTCAAGCCCCGTAGCGTCTACCCCCTTGGAAAACATAAAGCACATCTAGTCGAGCACTGATCTAAAAGCATTGAGTCCGCATCACAACTTGTTGTCAGACAAACTGGACATGTGCGTACGCAGCACCGGGAGATCCACGGGTAAATGGGCAAAATACTCGTACCCCAGAGTAAAGAGGTGTAGAGATTGCTCCGGTGCTTCCTCGTCGAAGTGATACGTTTGCTCCACTCCGGGTTATCATTAGGCTCATGCCGACCAATGCGTTACCCCACTATTGGCAACCGTCCTAAAAGGCGAATTCTTGTTGCGTAACAGCGTCAACCATTGAGTTCAACGAAAGTGAAAATGGGCTTTTGCTCGCGCTCAACCACGTCATACTTTTCAAGTATAGTGTCCCACGAAAAATAATTTCAGAGTGTAATTTCTGTCAGTAATGGGATGCCATATAAGGAAAGCTGGCTCCCGTTAAGTCGCTACCACCATCAACTTGATGACTGGGTGATTAACAAAGTGCTGCCAGGGCTATGAAATGATGTTGTGACGATGCGTCACTTACTTGTTGTGATCTGTGCAATAATAGGGTACTGCAATCATAATATTGTACCGAGCAAGGCGCTATCAGCAGAAGCGCCCCCCACGCCAATGTCTCAAAATGGTGCACTGTACCGTTTGATCCGACCCACTGACTAGTTATCCGATGATGTGCGTAACCAGTGCTGAGTTGTGTTGCTGCCTCAACCTGGTAAGTGTCTCCCTTGTGGCCGTGGATCCATGAATCCAGCGCCATGGCACAAGCCCGTGCATCGCTCCGCCGCGGAATTAGAGAATTGTTGAAGACCATCAAGAAGAAATTGCTATTGAGACCTCTTTCCTCTCTTGCGCATGCGACACCAAAATCCAGCTAGGTCAGTGTTTTACATCAAGTAACTTCAGGTGTAAAATAGCGGAACCTGGAAAACGCTTCCGTTCTGGGCCCCTGGCCCAGCTGCATGCATCAACGGGACGCAGGTATCCTTCCTGCTTGATGGGACAACACACGATCGACCCATAAGTCGCGTTATGGACAGAGTGGCGTTTCATATCTTGCAAGCATTGTAACGCCCGGCAAATAACAATGAGATCCCAGGAGCCAGCTAATAGAACTCAAAATAAGCCGGATAGCCAGTAGTTAATTAATTGAAGTAAGCGACTGCGTAAAGGACATTCAATCTTTCTTTGTCAAAAGTACGCCGAAGATACAGTGCCGCAAGATAGGTTTAGTATAGTGTTTCGGAAAAGAAAATGATAACAGTCAATCGCAATAACAACATGACTAAAGGATTTCCACTGGGAGAAGACTTACTGCGATAGACTGACAAGATGAGGGAAGGACTCCCGCCTCCATGTCACTGGGTCGGGGAAAGACGGTCAAGCATCTCTGGAGTAACTCGCTTCCGTCGGAATATAGGAAGCTTCGGAACGCACCCCTTGATGTGAAGAAAAAGGGGGGGAAAAGAAAAAAAAAAAATAAAATAAAAAAGGAGGCCAGAGGAAAGCCGCGAATGCCACCCTACGTACTGAAGTCATTCCTGTCTCAAAGGAAGCAGTAGATACAGGTTGTGGATTCTGCATGGAATAGACAGGATTAGCAGTGTCACTAACAGGAGAGGGTCAGTACTTTCCATGGTACAGTATCAGGACCCGCCGCGTGGCCAGAAACATGCCTTATTTAGGGCCATTTTCGGTCCAATATCACGGATAGCTTGGAGGACAACGGTGGTTTCCACTTTGATGCCAGTAGCAAGAAATCAAGAAGAGGGAATCTCCCATCGGGATAGGCTTCCTTCCCAGATCAACAATGGTCATGCCAAAGAGCCTGCTTCATTGAAACCGTTTTTTCCGCTCGGGAGTCCGTCCGAAGCTGGTTCGGATTATCGCCTCGTCGGATTGTTCAGATTATAGCCCCATGCACCCCTCCTTGCCCCTCGTCTCCCGCATAACCGTTTCGCTCGCCCTGTTTCAATTGCAAAGGCTTCTCACAGGTGGGTCAGAAAGGAACAACAAATTGATCAACGAAATAATATCCCTAGCCCTCCCATGATTACAGCATCGTGCATGACTCGGGAGCTTCAAACGCCATTGCTAGGGTTCCAAGATCCGGGCACTCGTACGCTAACGGATCAGAGCGGTCCTTCTGCGGCCAATGAATTAGTAGTTTAGTACCCAATTCCTCTTTGGTGACTCCCCGCAGCTGCTTGAGAAGAGAAAAGAGAAGGATATTCCCACACCTGTGTCACCCCGCCCTTGTTGATGTCCCAAGTCAGTTATTGCTGCCTACCGAGTTAAGAAAATTTTGTAGGAACAAAATGTCTGCACCTGAGAGAGGAACCGAGTATGGACAATTTCGCACGCTGAATGGGGAAAGAAACCATATACCGAGACTGATGGTCAATTCCCAGAGACCCAGAAGCTGAAACGAAATCCCTCGACAGTGAATACCTGAAAACAGTTACAATCCATAACCGGGTATTTCAGCAACACTCAATCGAGAACGGCATCTATTTGGCACCAGTCGATGAGGTATCGTTCCTGACATGTGGTTCTTTTCAAGCCTTCTCTTTACGGGGAGCCTTGCATTATATAGGATGGCTGAGATTTCGGTAGGATGAGGTTGAAAGACTTAATCTCCAACATAATGTGTTGAATTCCACATTTGACGGGCGATTAATCTTCCCACCTGTTCAGAAGCCGAGGAGAATCCTAGACTGTGGATATGGCTCAGGGTCCTGGGCCTCCGAAGTCGCAGAGCAACACCCAGACTGTGAGGTATAATCACCGCATCACAAATCGACGCCCCATACTAATTGAAAGTATAGGTAACAGGAATCGATATATCTCCTCAGATGAGGCCAGATGACACTCCGGAAAATCTGTGGCTTCAGGTGAGCAATTCCATCAATTCCAAGTTTTGTGTGCGACAAATGGTCATATTGGAATCGCTTTTTGGTATCTCCGGCTCGTACGAATAAAATAATAATAAGATACGCACCTCCTTTTTCAAGCGCTGGAGGCGGATTCTGCACTGTTTAAAAAAGTCACGGGAATGCCATAGCAGAAAATGCGGCAATGGTCCTGCTCATATCACCGTCACATCAGTGAGCTGACAAAAATCCACTCAAAGCTTGACGACCTAAACCAGCCCTTCACTTTCCGAACCAACACTTTCGATTTGATACATTCGCGGCTTGTTGCCAACGGTATATATAAGAACCGCTGGCCCACGTATTTGCGTGATATTGTGAGGTGGGTATGCGGTGTTGGGAATGCCTTAGCTTATATCTTGTCGAATTGTACTGTGTCTAATTATTGCAGAGCGCTCAAGCCCGGTGGATGGTTGCAGATGGTAGAAATTTATTATCAATGCCAGTCAGACAACGGCTCCCTCACCGAGCACCATGCCCTCCGCCAATGGAGCACAAAATATCTAGCTGCCCATGAGACCACGAAAGACCTTCGGGTGCCGCTGCGACTAAATGCATTGATGCATCATGCTGGACTGGTGGAAGTTGAAAGCAGAATGATTCCTTGGCCGCTTTGTGGATGGTCAAAAGGTATGACCTTTTCCAGGTAGCATAGTGTCAGGGACGACTGAAGATTGATTAACAAAACTGATTGCCGGGAATGAAAAGATCCTCGAGAGCGAACAATTGGCGAGATGAATCGCGAAAACATTGATGGCATGCTCAGCTCAATTGCACTATTTTCTTTCACATCCAAACTGCGCATGTCTGAGGCGGAGGCATCCACATTGATCGAACGTGCTCGAAAGGAGGCCAAGGATCCATCCCTAAAGGCGTATTTTCCTTTGTAAGCATAAATTCAATGCCTCATCATGACTCTGAAGCTTACCGAAAATCCAGGTACGTCTGCATTGGAAGAAAGCCAAACAGTTGAGAATACTACAAAATCTAAGCTTGGAAAAATCGAGAGACCTTTGAGTGTATTTTGGATCTCTGGATGTAATGCGTCGTGAGTAGCTGGCCATTTGTGCTCGCCGTTCGGGACGCAAGGGAGTTCGCCCAACCAGTATATGCACGTCGAAATTATAGCAGTGGAGATTGAGCTGGCTAATGGGGGATTGGTTTCGATCAAAAGTCCCAGGAAACTGCTCATGATTAGCAAAGAGCTCCAGTTTCAGTACAAAATTTCAGACCTAATAGAACGCATCAATATTCGATAGAAATTCTAATACAGTTCGGTTGCTCAGTTAACCTCCAATTTATCATTCTTTCCACGGTACCGACTTGCCCATATTTGGCGTCATCTTCCGTTAAAACGAATTCGTCGAAGAATAAACACGCAGAGCGAACCATCTACTCTGATGTTTTTATTGCCTCCCACGCCCAGGGACAAGACAGTTAAGAGCCGAGACCGACAAGCTATGTCAGGCCCACTGACGTATTTTCAGTACGTAATTATGTTTCATTCATCCGACAAATGCAATTTGGAATAACACGACCAGGAATCGTCGTGATATAGAATCACGGTAAAGACAATAAAACAAATATAAGGCCTTCAGAGAACGGGTGCGGACTGGCTTTGATGTGTCAATTACGCTTGATCAAAGCAGGTTGGGAAACGAGGGGAGGCAAGGACCCTTTCGTATTGCAGGCTGCTGAATGAATTATGAAGACGGTAAGCAATGCTACGGAGATAAGGTCTGAAAGACTAAGAGAAGCGGCCCGTCCGATGGGTTCCCCTGATTCGATGTTGCTTTCCCGTGCGTGGAGAGTCTTAGGCTGCGGACCAGATCTCGCATCACGTTGCGTGCAGATCATCAGCGTGGCCGCGAAGACAGAAATCAGGGATACCAAGGAACTACCCAATACTGTCATTCCTCGCATCAATGGCATGTGGGCAGGACCGGTGCTTGTCAGGTAGGTCGCGACCACCCAACAAGGAACAAAAAAGTGCCCACTATCCTCAACTAAAGTACTGGTTTCTAGCCCCCAAATAATAATGACAAGCCGTGTCTGGCCGTCAGGCCACCTATGTCAACGACAAGCCAGAAGAAATATTTAGCCATTTTATACCAGCTTCGAGCGAAATCAACTTAAATAACAACGCAACTAATTTTATTTGGCGGCTGCCTTATTAGTCTGACCCTAAAGGATTGGGGAAATGGAGATCCGTCTCTATTAGGGCTAACCGCTAACAACCAACAAATGAACATGCAAGGAAGAGTCCGAGATTTGTCACCTTGGCATGCTACATTTCGAAGGATTTCGAAAACAGCTATTTAAGAGAAAGAATTAAATGGTCTGCAACAGTCAGTTGTACGGAGAAGTCGCCTCGTCCCTGCGAGAAAAGAGCAGACAGCATATAAACACAACTCCTTTTATAGAGTGGTCAACAGGGAATAGTGAACCGGGGCGGGACCGACGCGGACGGGCTCAGCGCGAAGTGCCGGGGAACGCGGAAACCACGCATCGATCGTGCATCACGTTACCTCTTCGAGCATCACCGCCCTGACCAGCGGGGCGACTCCCCTGAATCTCAGTTCCCTTCAGGATTCCCTCGCCAAAAAAATTTAGAGGTGCATCAAGCAATTATCATTGCGGTCAATGCCTAATTTACAACGTCTTTTATTTACGGGCTGGCCTTATTTGGCGGTTCCATTAAATTCTCAGTTTGCGCCAAATTTTGGTCTCACGATCAATTCCCACATGACTGACTGGAAGGGGTGCAGAGTCTATTTCGGAAATGCTATTACACATGGGAAAGTTTATATCGGGAATCCAGATTCTCGACTAGCAACTTTTACGGCTAAGCACCCCACTAAAAGGTATAGTTATTAATGCTCCCATGTGCGTTCTAAATCAACAGCGAGAAAAGTCGAAATCTCCATACATTTGCGGAGTGAAATTTGGTCTATTGTCAATACCGCTCTTTACAAATTTCTATCATACTGATAGAATCCAAAATTGAATTCTAACGGCAAAGCAGATAAGGAAGCTATAGTCGCTACCAAATGGAAACTAGGGGGCTGTCGACTATGAGCCAGCTTTTGTTGATTATCAACAATACGCACACATCAGAATGAGCCTGACTGATATTTGAACACGCCACTATAACAAGCTTGATGAGTCAGACGCGATGTCAAGTAAATTGAAAAATTCATGAATTGACCACTACACTTCAGGACAAAGTTTCCATTCGCTCTTCTCGGAGCTGGCGTCCATTACGAGAGTCTAACTATCAGTACAGCGGAATGGGTTGCATTTCACCGTTTGGGGCATATTTAGTGCCTTTCGCTCATTCTATTATCTTAAGCAATGGCGGTCATAAACCCCGAAGATAATTGCATTGCTGATATAAAGCGCAAAATATCAGTGTGATGAGACGTTGAAAACGGGAAGTTTCCAATATGTAAACCCACATGATGGCACTTCCAGGGGAACCTGTTGTGAGCCTGATGAGCAAGACGGCTTACGATCATTTCGCCTTATGACAGGTGGAAGACGGAGTCTTGTACGCCTGAGAAGGGTGAAGAAGTTACGAAATAAGCTGCCTCGAGGGAATTCCGCCGATATTGGGGGCGATTTACAGAATCGTACTGGAAGAAAATACTTGTTTTGGCGGACTTTGCCTTTGCGTTTCACAGCACGATCAGAAATCGCAATGAATGCATCGGCCAACATCTATGACTATCGATTTGGATTTGCGACGGCATCCTGCTTCTTGAATTCCTACAAGACTGGTATTTCATAAATGTACCATGATCAGATGACCTTTCCCTTGATATTAGCATACGATAAATTTTTCATTTGGAACCGTCACTTGTATAAAAGGACGGTTTCAAAGCTCAAGGGTGCCAGATAACGCAATCCTGTGAATATATACGAGTATCTGAGTGACGGGAGATCAAAAAGATCAGTAATTCTGCTTGACTTCGTCACTTCTCAGAAGTGGCAATGACAAAGCCATTCCAGCTTCAAGACCGAATTGTCGAGATGTCATTTCGGTATCCTAGAAAAATTTTGGGCTCTAGGCACTCTGACATATTTGCGAGTGCGAAACCTGCACAGTGAACAACAGATCAGATAAAAATAACGTTGTAACGAAAACATGGATAGATTCTATCTTGGTGTTTCCTGGTGTTTGAATCGGACTCATGAGTTCGCTTACCTAAAGCGGACTAGTCTATATCGGCCCCCATAGTTTTCCTTCTGCCACCGCCTTCTATCATTGCATTTTAGGAATTTCCCACATCGTATTGCAAAGCAAAACGCAGTAAAGATGCCGTCCACACACAAATTAGAGAAGCCGTGGGATACGGATGATATCGATAAATGGAAGGTGTGTTATTTTAGTCCCACAAGTCTCTTTCGAGTTCCGGTGAAAATACAGGAGCAAATGAATCCTTTGAGACTCGTCCTACTAATTCTTCATCCTGCATTAGATCGAAGAGTTCAAGCCCGAAGATAATGCCGCGGGAACATTCACTGAGGAATCATCATTTGCGACACTATTTCCTAAATACCGCGAAGTCTATCTCAAGGAAGCATGGCCGATGATCACTCGGGCACTCGAGAAGCAAGGAATTGCCTGCACGCTCGACTTGGTTGAGGGTTGCATGACAGTGAAAACGACTCGAAAGACTTATGACCCGGCCGCTATCCTGAAAGCTCGAGATCTCATCAAACTGCTTGCTCGAAGTGTTCCAGCTCCACAGGTACGACTGCACACTGGGCGTTCGCCCTTCTTTTTCAAAATCAAGTCTTCTTCGGCTGCTTCGATAGAGGCATCATGTGTTAGGATTGCCGAGACTGTACAATGCCAACTGACAATGTTTTTTATTCAACAGGCAGTTAAGATTCTCGAGGACGGCGTCGCCGCCGATGTTATCAAGATCCGCAGCCTTGTTCGCAACAAGGAACGTTTCGTGAAGCGACGGCAACGTATCCTTGGTCCCAACGGATCCACACTCAAGGCTCTCGAGCTGCTCACCGAGACCTATATTCTGGTCCAAGGTAACACGGTCAGTGCGATGGGACCATTCAAGGGCCTTAAAGAACTGCGACGTATTGTGGAAGACTGCATGGCCAACATCCACCCCATCTACCATATCAAGGAGCTCATGATCAAGCGAGAACTGGCAAAGGACCCGGAGCTCGTGAATGAGAGCTGGGATCGGTTCCTGCCGCACTTTAAGAAGCGGAACCTGTCGAAGCGCCGGACACCCTTCAAGGTCACCGACAAGGCGAAGAAGGTGTACACGCCCTTCCCGCCACCCCAGGAGAAGAGCAAGGTCGACCTGCAGATCGAATCGGGCGAGTACTTCCTCAGCAAGCAGGCCAAGGAGCGTGCAGTACGGGAGCAGCGGGAAGAGCAACAGCGCGGAAAGGCAATCGAGAGGCAAAAGGAGCGGGCAAAGGAGTTTGTCCCTCCCAAGGAAGACGCCGCTGGAGAGAAGAAGAAGCGCAAGCGAAAAGAAGAGGATGGCGAAGTCAAGGACAAGAAGAAGAAGAAGTCAAAGAAGCACAAGGAGTCGGAAGCTTCTTCGGACGAGTAATCTCTTTCTCTTCGTCTCTCGAGTTGCCCATTCACTCTTGTTGTTTTTGTTGGCGTATGATTCAAAAGTTGACGTTTGGCCTAATGTGATCTCTTCTTTTCGCTCTACTCTGTTTCTTGGTTCTTTCAGTAATTTGCTTTTTTATCTCCCTTTGTATCATACCTAGGGCGCATTCTTTTGTTCCGGGAGGGTTCTTGCACATCTTCAGGCGCCTGGCTTGCATACTGATTAAAATGTAACTCTTATATGAAATTTGCAGTGCTTTGCTTCTATTCACGCCTTGATCTTTATCATCAAGGATCAGGTGTTACCAGAATGAATCAAATGACTTGAAAAAAACACAGTGCCAACTGGACCTTGAAATTCCCAAAAAAAAAAGGTGAGGAAAGGAACAACGCCATGGATATCTCGCATATACATGCAAATAAAATAAACGCGGGGAAAAAAAGAAGAAAAAAAGAAAAGAAAACCCCTATCTCGGCCAGCGTGACATGCAATTCTTTGTAAACTTTACCAATTGTGCTAATCCATGCACAGAAGAAGTTGGAGAAGAAAACAGAAACATCAAGGAAGAACACGAACAAGATAACGAAGGACAGACGTTACGTCGCACTGGCCCCGCCACCATCCGTCGCGGCACTAAGCCGCGCACATAACCCGAGAAGGACCACCGTCTCGGTGGCAGCATAGTAGTTGAGCGCGTCCAAAAGGATCTTCAAATGGCGACTAAAGTTGTCTTCGTACTTGACGAGAATATCCATGAGCTTGTCGATGCGGTGTGGATCATATGTTGGCGCGTTATTGGCATTGAGGTTGGCGTTTGTGTTGTTGTTATTATTATTGGCATGAGAATGAGCGGCGGATGATCCGGGCCTGGAGGACGAAGAAGAGAGGGCGGGAGAAGAACCGGCGCAGAGATCTGGGTCGGCGCTGACGAGGCTGCGCGAGAGATAGGCGGTGTAAGTGGCAAACATGGTGCATGTGGTCATGACTTTGGAGTGGATCTGCAATGGGTTTTGGGATTAGAGTCAGTCGTGCTGAGATAAGTTTGAAGAGGGGATGAAGCAGAGGGTTTTGCTGAGAGACATCGAGGGATAGAAAGGGCAGGGATGGGTTGAGAAAAGATGGAACAAGCAAAAAAAAAGGGCAATGCAATGGGAAAGAAGCAAAAAAAAAAAAAATGGAGATGATAAAATGAGATATGAGCAATTGAGAAATTGAGAAATGATAAAATAAGAAAAGGAGAATAAAAAGACACATACCTTTAAGAGTTTAGAGTTTGTGAGCATGCACTCCTTCAAGCACGTATCCAAGAAATCAACATGATCCTGCATCAGCTCGTCTACGGTGCGCGTGGGCTGTTTGACTAGAGCGGCGCCATTACGGCTGCCGGTATTACCGTTGCTGCCAAACGTCGACGCAGATCCAGGCTCTCTGCCGTCGTCTAGTCGAGCCATGAGGCTCTGCCAATTCGGCTCAATGACCTCGGCGGTACTAAAGTACAATAATTGCTGGACGAAGACGAGCATTCTCGCGCGGAGGGTCCAGGCACGTCTCTTCCATCGCTCGAGTCGGGGATTCGAGCTTTTATGTTTCCAGCTGCGATCCATGTTATGGTCGATCCAGCAATTGACTAGTAGTGCTTCTAAGTGGCGAAGGGAAAGGAGATAGCGAAAAAGAAGCTGGTAGCGTAGGACGGTCTTGCGACTGATGACAAGTGATAGGGGAAAGGGCACAGAGTAATCGAGTTCGAGAGCGCTGAATCCGGTATTGTTCTTGTCTTCGTCGGCAGAGAGCGCCGCGGGGGCTTGGTAACTGTCGAGTCCGCCACCGGGAGCGTCTTGATCGATGCCGGACACGCTGACGACGCGCATGAGCCATTTCGTCAGAGAGACCTCGTTCATTTGCACTTTGACATCCTCTTTGAATGGATCCTGCGCGGCCACGCTGCCTGGTTGGCGGAGTACGAGATCTAGCAATGACTGGAGTTTGCCGACGTTGACGCCCCTTGCGGGCTTTTTGAGCTCCGATGCGCCCAGTTCGAGGAAGTAAGAGAAGAAATCGGATCGGTCGAGGAAGAAGTAGTGCTTTAGAGAGCGCAGGCGGGCTGGAAGAGCGTGGGTCGTTAGGAGCAGGTTGAGTAGGGAAGCGTTGGCATAGGCGTATGCGGCATTGACGTTTTCGAGAAACCTGAACAAGCAGTCAGCAGTGAAAAGAGAGAATCAAAGATTGAAAGGATGGGGGCATGATTTACCTTGGGTCATCAAACGTTTTTGGAATGTCTTTGACTTCCTTGCTAATGTCTACCCCGCCGCATTCTCTTACCACGTTCAGGTATTTCCCTGCCAGTAGCACCTTTTCCTTGGCACTCTCTAATTGTGGAGGAATGTCCTGCTCGCGGATTGTGTATCGCTTTTCCCAATACTCATCTGTATAATCTTCCTCGAGTTTCTCTCGACGTATGCTCTTTTGCTCGCGAATTAGAAACTCTCCGTGGGGATCTCGGATGCCGCCACGGTGTAGCCATTCATTGAGCATATCCATATACGGGCGGCTTGCCTCCCTCAGCAGAGTCGTCAGCAGATCGCGTGCCGCGGGGTCTCCCGACATGGAGGCAAGCCGCTTCGTCAAAAGGCCTAACACACCGCCTCCTTTGCATATCTTCTTTCCCGGTATATTCCCAGGACCTAGGTCCCCTCCTTCTCGCAAGGACTCAAGAACCCTCTCAACATCATCAAACTCGTCGCTTGAGTCTTCTAGATCTTCTTCTAGAAGGGAGTTCTTTCGCAGTATCTCATGTGCGACAGAGTAGAGCTCAGAAAGCACACGGCTTGTTGGTAGGACATATAGATGGAGCTGATGGAGTGTGAAATTCTGGTTTGTGAAAATTTGATGCTCTATCTGCGCCACGAGAATCAGGTAATCTTTCAAAATCTTTCGAATAGCCGCACATAAAGCATGGTTGACAGCGCCAAACTCCTCTCTGCTCTGCACATCCACGAAGGCTTCGATGGCGGAATAATGTGTTGCCATCTTTAACATTGTAGTCGTCAAGTCCCGTAGCGACGGGTCCAGTCCCGACAATATTCGAAATTCTGGACCGGCCAAGCGATCCTTATCTTCGGAAGGATTATAGTTGTTGGCGAAGCGAATATACTGTCCTTCGAAACCCATGAAAACAAAAGTGAGGTCCTCTAGCATGGCGCTTTCTTGCGCCGCAAGAGAGAGTTGGTTCAGATGTGGTGGCTGCAATGACTGAGGCGCATCGGAGGCAAGAGGAGCAATGGTTATTCGAGGCGCTAAAGGAGCGGTTGTATGTGGTATGAGTGAGACCTGCGGATTCCAAGGATCTAGAGAAGACAAATAAACAGTCAGCAATTGAATGAATAAACACAGCGAATCATACCAAAAATGGAGGCAGCGAGTGTTGTAAAAGGCACAATATCAATGTGAAACCAACCTTGCGATCCCTCATAATCCCTTTTCCCAGCACCAAAACTATTTGGAGCTGCTCGATGACTTGTCCCCGGCCTGCTCCTGTCTTTTTCCCTTTTCTTGTCCGGTCGATAGGACGCATCGTCAAAGCTTTTGACAGGGCTTCGCGTCCGCATGATCAGGCTTTCCTTCTTGAAGACATTTATTCTTTCTGCGCGCCGTTCTCGGGAGGAATTACTTCCTCCGTCGACCGATCTATACGGACCGGACACTGCCCGTCTCGGCGACGTACTACCCTTTGGCGACCTCGGTTTGCGCAGCGCAGGCGCATCCCACTCGTCGTTGTCGTCGTCATTGTCAATGTCACGGCCAGACATTGCTCTCGGCCTGGCACTGCTGGGTAGGTGGGGCACCGTCATGCGCCGTTCGCCATGTGTATTTGAGCTTCGGGCATTATTTGAAGAAGACGACATGACTGCTGCCGCGGCCAGTTCGGCATTGAATCATGCGTCGTCGACAGCCTTACAGTTTCTGCCGTCGTGTCAGGCGTCGTCAATAATAAATGTCGTTGGAGTATAAACTTATGCGCGAATGGAGAGGGCGCGTCGTGTAGTAACGTTGGGCGTGTTTAGAGGGTGCCAAATACGGAAAAGGCCGAGCTTCACCAAATCGTAGGGTAATCACTAGTGCAACCTTGCGTATGCTCACTGCTTGCCTGGGGGCATCATAGCACTAAGATGTTCCAGTTGGTCTAGCTATTCTCCCCAGATATTACAGCTTCATTCTTCCGCCCTACAATCATTTTCAACTGTGCTTAGTGGAACAAAGGCACCTTGACTCAGGGCATCATACATCGATTCTTACATTGGGCGCATCTCCTAACCCTTCCTCGCTCAACTCAACACCACACTCCCCGAAACCTCATAGACAACCGCCAAGATGTTCATTGCACGGTCAGAATATGGTAAGGCCCTCCGGTTCCACTTTGGAAGACACGGTCCTGGTGAATAAGAAGCTAATTGTGGGATCACTTGTACAGATCGTGGTATCAAGTAAGGCGTCCATGCAAACAACCAACCCTCTTAGGACCATCCAAACTGACGTGGTACTCCAGCACTTTCTCGCCCGAGGGGCGTCTCTTCCAAGTCGAATATTCTCTTGAAGCCATCAAGCTAGGCTCGACCGCGATAGGAGTACGTCACACGCTTCTACATCTTACCCGCCTCACCAATCTACCCTCTAGACGCTACAGACTCTACTGTCGTGTCCCGGATTTATTCAAATACAAGACCAATAGCTGACACCGAGATTTGGTATACATATAGGTAGCTACAGGAGAAGGCGTGATCCTCGGCGTGGAGAAGCGAGTAACATCGACGCTGCTAGAGACGAGCTCAGTGGAAAAGATTGTCGAGATTGACAGACACATTGGCTGTGCGATGAGTGGACTGCAAGCCGATGCGCGAAGCATGATTGAGCACGCGCGAGTAGAATCCCAGAACCACGCATTCAACTACAACGAGCCCCTGCGAGTGGAGAGCTGCACACAAGCCATTTGCGACTTGGCACTGCGATTCGGCGAGGGAGCCGATGGCGAGGAGAGCATCATGAGTCGGCCCTTTGGTGTCGCTCTACTCATTGCCGGATTCGACGAAGATGGTCCTCAGCTGTATGTGCAATTCCCCGTTTCCCTGGCACCTCTTTTCCTCTCCCTTCAGATCTAAGGGTATATTCCGACTAATACTGCGATAGCTATCACGCCGAACCATCAGGTACATTCTACAGATACGACGCCAAAGCAATCGGGTCCGGATCCGAGGGCGCCCAAGCCGAGCTGCAAAACGAGTACCACAAGTCCCTGACACTTCCCGAGGCCGAGACCCTTGTCCTCAAGACCCTGAAGCAGGTCATGGAGGAGAAGCTCGACGCCAAGAACGTCCAGCTTGCGAGCGTCACAAAGGAAAAGGGCTTCCGGATCTACACGGACGAGGAAATGGCCGATTGCGTCGGCCGATTGCCGACAAACTAATTAAGCTGGCAAACTCGCGCGCGTTAGGCTCAGTCGAGTCCAGTTCCAGTTCCGTCAGCGCTGTCAGCGCCGCCAGCGAAAATGACCACATCTTTACATGTTTGTAGCAGAATAGAATTCAAAGAAATAAGATGCAATCCTCTTTTTCTCTCTCGCTTTTTCTGACTTTATTGTATGTGTGACTATAGTATAACAAGGCTTTGATGTCCGTGGGTATTACACTACATGTTTGTTACGTCTGTGGCTATGATGTTACACGGCACGGTCCACACGACAAGTTTCACTGTAAAACCATGGGACAAAACCCCAATGCAACGGTGTTGATCAATAAAATGGCAAGTCTGTATACAAGCGTGAAAATACAGATCGAATAGTCAGATAGTACCCTTCGTTATCAAGAGCTATTCATTCCAAGGAGACAAGGTCAAAAACCAAAGACCTATGAGTGAGAAATTGAGAGATTGAATCATTGAGATTGTATAGAATTGAGAATTTGAGAATTACAAGCTCAAGAGCAAAAAATCAAGCAATTCGGTTTTCAGATTTCGAATTTCAGATTTCAAATAACTGGCTAGAACGCTACATGTAATTTGGTTATCCTTTGCAGAAAGTGGGTGTCGCCCCAACAAAACGAAGATATAGTGAAGGGAGAAAGTAAAAATGATGAGCATTTCCCGCCAAATTGATGCCAAAAAAAAATTTAAAAAAAAAGAAAAGAAAAGAAAAGGATACACGCTTTCGAAATGACGTGACATGTACCTTTCAGAACAATATGTCGAGACGCAATCAAGAAGAAGCTGACGACAACAACGACATCGACAATGGAGGAACAAGAAGAAGGGAAAGGAAAAACGGAGAAAGAAGAGGAAGATGACGAGAGACAAAAGACAATGAACAGGGCAAAAAAAAAAAAAAAAAGAAAGAAAGAAAGAAAAAGAAAAAGCAAAAGCAAAAGGCCATATATGTCATGACGCATCACATCTGAGAAACAAAAACCAAAAAGGGTCCCTGTAAAGACGATGAATTCAGAGATAAAACAGAGAGGGAAATCAAGGGAAATGGACGGGGAAAGAAGAAAAAGGGAAAAAAAAAAAGATAGGTTATACCATGGCAGAACAAGTAGAAACAGAAATGCAACGACAATACCCCGCAGTCAACCAACAATTTGCAGATGTTGAGATGTTGAAAAAGGATGATATGAGGTATATGCCATATCAGATGCAAAAAAAGTAATGTAAGACCGTTAGATGGACCCTGTTTGATCATGTATGCCGAGGATATACTCCGATTCCAACCCATAAAACGAAAAAGAAAATAAGGTGAGGATATGCAGATTGCGCGTCAGATGAAGCAAAAATGCATGAGCGCCGTGCTGGCGGATAGCGACAAAAGAAACATGAGGATATTATATAAGTCAGACGACACCCCACAGACACGGGGATCAGCAAAGGTTTACGAGATCGAATGACCCAGTCCAGTAACGGGCATCACTCAATTTCACCCTTCAACTTCTTTCCAGCAATGCTCAACAGCCTTGCCCCTTCGTGGAGCAGCTCCCATCTAGTTTTTTGATACATGTCGCTGAGCAGCATCAGCATTCCAATGCATGAATTTCGATCACGTATATGGGCAAGGTCGTCGGGGGACCTGACTCCGCCCACGCGCCTCAGGAAGCCGCGCATGTCGCGGACTTTGAGCTCGGTGGTGCTCAAGTCTGGCAGTTGACCGGGCTGTACTCTTCCATCAAGAGCAAATCCATAGGACCAGACAATCAAGGCAGAATAATACAATACCCAGGGCCGATTGAGCAAGAAATCGTCGCGCGCAGAATAATCAAACGTCTCGGGTGCCGATGCTGCCTTTGCGGGTCCAATATGCGGATTCTCTTCCGGCAAAAGCACTTGTCTGAGGAAACGTAGGGCATAAAACGTGGCATCACGAGCTCGTGCCGATGGTGCCCAATTTTCTCGCATTCGTCGCTGCGCGGCGTGATAGTCGACTTTTGTTATACTCCGACCAAGCAGGCGTGTTGCGCCGGCAAATATTTGGCAATCGACAGTGTCAACATGCATAGCCATGTGTGCAAGGTGATGTAATACGGTTCGACCCTCATAGACATTTTCCTCGTCAAGCCCGTTGGAATAGTGATACGGCGTAGAGACTCCGTCGGGTTGTGAGACGAGTAAATCATCAAAATCCCGCTTCCAAAAGTCAAATGCCCGAGTCAATGCGCCACGCCACTTGTCTCGTCCGCCCAATGCTTGTGTGACGCCGAGAGAGCTTACTTGGAGGTCTCGCTGGTTCATGTGCCAACTCACGCTGAGCAAGCCGGCCATGAGAATAGTGCGACCAAAAGAGTTTGTTCGCACAGGCTGACCGTTGAGTGTCTTTTTCAGACCCTCGAGAAAAGTCAATGGCTTGACGCCATTGGCGTGGAGACTAGCTTCGACGCGTCCCACTTCGGCGCTGCTCGTGGCGGACCAGAGGGCTTCGTCGCAGGGTAGAGGCAGTCGCATTTCGTGGGCGACCATGACCGCGGAATGCCCAAACATGGTTGCATGCGTCGAGTCAATGACAAATGCAACAAATGCCGCCCTTCGAGTAGCCTCATTGGCAATCCACTGGCTCCACCATTCCTCTGGCGTGGTTACGGATGGTGCACCAGAAACAGAGCCGCTGTTGCTACGGCTCTTGTCGTCACGGACGCTAGGCGGCGAATCGAGCGGCGATCTTCCAATCAGGGAACTGCCTCTTCGCATAAGTGTGATGGTTGTTGCATGATGGATATGAGCGCGCTCGTGAAGCATCCGAGTCGAGTACATCTTTTCATAGAGCTCCAGTAAGAGCAGCGTCTGAAATATCCATAATTTTGCTGGTGGTCGAAAGTCGGCGTCGCTAAACACCTCCCATCGTAAATGCCATGCGAGAAAATTAGCAAGCTCAGCGCAGGCTGTTGTCATATCATATCCGTGCATCTTGTCCAAGCAAGAGGCTCCAATTGCGATAATTGCAATAAGCAACAAGTTTGGAGTCCGATCGGCCACAAAGGTTGGTTTGTGGAGGATCGGAAGTTGTGGGTGGAAATGGTACCAGTACGAGCTAATGTAAGTCTGCATCATATGCAAGCTCAGAATATGGTTATCTTGATCGCGGTCCCCGTCCAGCAAAGTTTCCTTTTGTTTTCCAAAAGGCTCTTGGCCGGTCTCATTAAACCGCATTTGAATGAGATCCAGTATTTCTTGCCTCTTTTCCTCTGACAAGACAGACTCCGGCAGATTTGTGTCCAGAATAGAGGTGACGGTCATGGGATGCTGAGGAGGTAGCGGTGGTGGGTACATGCCACCCATCGGAATACCGCTGCTGTAATAGCTGCTTTGAAACTGCATGCCAGACGGGTCAAATGCGCCTGGGTACCCAGTCGGATCCAGAGTCTGTACTTGTGGAGGAGATCCAGCGTTGCCAAAAGGCGGCGGGTCAAATAGCCAGCAAGCAAAATTATCGCCAAGACTGAACGGCGATCGGACGTATCCTTCACCAAACATGGGAACTGAAAAAGCTGCCATTTGATCCAAGAGGCTTGCATCAGTCACCGCTCCGGCTGCAGCCCTCATGGCATTGTCGAGTTCAGCAGTGGTGTTCGCTGGGGGAGAAGTTTTGAAAGGAGCTTCGGAGGCCACCGAAGAGACTGCCTGGGCTGTCATGGTGGCTATCGGATGGGTGGGCGGTGGAAGCGAGGAAAACGTGGAAAGATTATGCTGCGGCACATAGGGGCGTTGGAGTCCAAATGCAGCGTTGCTCATCCCTGTCATATTGGAAGTGTGGTTATATCCCAAGGTGGAGACGGATGAGGTGACATTCATCGATGGTGAGAATTGCAGATTGTCTCCGCACGTAGTCTCCACGTACGTTGGTGCCGCTGAAGTCCCCGGAGGCATGGAATGTGCTGGAGAGTTTGGAGAGACTCGCTGATTGGCATCGATGCCGGTCATGCTTGGGCGGCGCTCAAAATGTGTATGATTCGGCGCACTTGGAGACGATGCCTGCAATTCCCGTAGACTGGTCTGGGGTCGGTAACTGCTATCGCTATTTGAGCGGCCTAGCGGACCGCCTTGACTCCGCGAGTGCAAATGTTCGACTCCAGCCTGTGGGGAAGTGGAAGCGATTGAGGCGCGTGCCGGGGATGAAGTTGATGGGTGAGGACCATGGCTCCCCGGCGATGCGGCCACCCTGTTGCTATTCAGAAACGTCTCGCTCCGAGCCCGGAGCAGATCCGGGGAAGATAGGGCCTGGACCTGCGGTTGTGCTGAAGAAGGCGTCGACGCGGATCCAGTTAAAGGCACTGTATTAGCCATCGGTGTTATAGTGTGTAGAGGTGCATCTTTCCGTTGCAGGTGAGAGCCTCGGGCGGTGTGGCGCTCTTTATGACGGGCACAGAGGTCCTGACGGACAAAGGAACGAGTGCAGTCGGGGAAATCGCAATAGAAGATCTGTTTTGGTGTATCTGGAAATGTGAACTGTTAGCAGCAGCAGCAGGGTGAGTAGTCAAATTGGGAAAACATACGGTTTAGCTGGTGTCTATATAGATGCTCGGCGCGAGTATAGCTTTTATCGCATCCTTCGTGGGGACAATCAAACTTCTTGTCCTGGTCTCGTCGGCTCCTTCGTCGCTTCTTGGAGGGGCCACCACCAGCAGATGCCGCGTGATCGTCTGTAGGACTCCATGCATCTTCGCGACTTTCGGCCGGGTCATCGTCCTGGCTACGTGGCCGAGTCCTCTGGGATTGTGAGGCCTGCAGCGAGCTTCTCGGGCCGGCGAGGTCGGCGTAGCTGGGTGGTAAGTTTGCCAAATCGGTGCTCATTCCGGGTCCAACACCAAGGCCCACGCGTATTGGTGTTGCCGCCTGTAGGCTCATAATCTAATCGTGTGCCCTTGATTGCCCCCTTGGCCACGTCCTTTTGTCCTGTACACCATACAGTGAGCCAAGCCCCACCAACTGTCCGGCTTCTTCACCGCGCCAAGCCAATCAAAGGCAGATTTTCCAGACAAATCGGACTCGACAGTTTCGCTAAGATTGTCAATCGTAGGTGTCGTATCTGGCGTGCCGTAAGTGGCTGCCCAGGTGAACGCCGTGGGAATGATCGTTGCATGAACCACGACGAGATTCTTTCGTCTCAATGGACAGAAATCAGAGTTGCGAAATGTATAAATGCGGCAGCGAGGATATATAGTTTATATGGATTTTAATCGAGAAGCGGTAGAAGGCACTCAAATGGTGTCTCGAGGTGGGAAGGCGTCTGCGGCCGAAGTTGAGCTGGGAGTAGTCCAATGCAGCGAATAAACCGAAGGGTGTCAATTTGAACCCCTCTTCTGGTCTCCTGCGGTCTAATCTTCCGATCAAAAGTGTAAGAGAAGCAATGCCACGCTTTCTATTTCTTCGTGTAAATGTCTCGTGTGAGCAAGAGAGGAGTGTAATGACGATGCCCACCCGCCGGCCAACGATCAAGTTGACAATGTCGTGGTCAGACTCGTAGAGGTCAAACCTGGCGCACGGCACCGTGCACGGGATCCCTGGACAAGAAATTCGAATAATAAAAGGCAAGGTTACCGTCGATGGTGAAAGGGTAAAGACCCGTTGCAACGAGTGGGGCCTGGACGACTCGACGATGGTTGTCCAACGGTCGGAAGGGGTTGCTCAGAGCAGCAACAAGTCCGGGGACTCGTAAACAAGGATCCAAGGTTGAGATGTGTAAACAGATATCACACTATCAAAATTCGAGTTGGCACGAAAATAGAAAACATCAAAAAATTAAAATAATAATAAAATTTTAATTAGTTTCGTCGATGCGTGTATCGCGGTGATCGTCGACGATTAGGACCGACAACCCCAGCTGAGCGGTCGTGGTGGCACAAGTGCAGAAAGATGCGCGCGAAAAGTGTGGAGAAAGGGCCGGCTGGGCGCGCGTGGGGGAAGGAAAGGGAAAATGAAATTGCTGGTTAAGAGATGGGGGGGGGGGAAAGAAAGAAAAGGGAAAAGTATCGACAGTTCGAAGGGGGGAAAGAGCGCGGGCTCTTAGTACTTGCGACGACGACAACCACCACTACCTCCACCACCATCACTACCTAGATAACTAGATGAGTTCAAGAACTGGGCGGGCTGATTAAGGATGCCTGAGGGGGCGGCAAAGAGCGGAAAAGAAAAAATAAACCCAAAGGAGATGATAGGGCATTATTTGCACGGCAGGGAACAATGGTCATCGTCATCGTCATCACCATCAGATGCAACATCATCATCATCCTTCAACCATACTCGTCGTAGTGATGACTGCCTGCCTACTCAGTCTAGCAGTGAGACATTTACACACGGTCACTCTACCTAGAAGGAACCTAGGCGCCCATAGCTGATACGTGCGGCACTTGCTTGTTTATCCGAGCGGCGAGTAGATCTGTTTCCCTGGTGCCCTCGGTGGCCCTTGTTGAGTTCGTCTCGGGGATCACCAGACTGCTACTGGTCTCTTCCTTTATATTACTATTACTACTACTTTGTAGTTCGGTACGTATAAGTCCAGCTCCAGCTTTTCTTTCCAGTGGGGATAACTTAGCTCAGGGCATGCTTTTCGGCTCCCTGTGGCTTGCCTATCGTGGGTTGGCGCCGAGCTGGACCGTAACGACAGGTCTTGGCTGGTCGTGCTAGGGCCTTTTTCGACTCTGGGCCCAGATCCTAACGAAACCCTGGCTGTCACGTTCAAGGATAACTTCATTTGGCCAGATTGAGAGGGGATTTGAATCTTGTACCATCAGGATCTCGTCACTAGCCACATGTAATTTGATCATGTCCAAGCCATCATTCTGGGAAAAGAAATGAAAGGTGAGTAGAGATGAAAAAGTCGGTTGAGCACGTTCGTCGAGACACCTGCATGTTCCAGACGTGGACGAGCAACGGCTTGTCAGACAAACATGTGCGAGCAGCGTCAGTACATCTGTCATTCTCCAACTGGGTTTAATCTCGGTCATCATTTTGATTTCTGTTGATGAGAGTGTAACACAAGTATCATATGGACCTCAACTGTAGGTACAATCATGTCTACCTACTTTCCTACCTTCTTACCTCAAAAGTAAAGCCATACTATATGCAATCAGGACAATGGCATTGTTTCGCGTGCTTAGGCCTACCTTATGCTGAAGACCTTGAAACTTTGAGCAGCGTTGCCGTACTCCACTTTTGACAATCACCTTGTGCAGAACGAGAGCGAACAATACGCAGTTCTGTGGTAACTATATTCTGTAAGGACAAGCACTAATCTCTTCCGCCCCCTCGGTCCCAAGGGGGGAATATACCAGCCCTGTAACTTAACCCCGGTCTACCGGCTCTCTTGGCAAAAGGAACAAAAGAATTGTACTTTTTCGGCATATAACTTGACTCGTACGTAGTAAGTTGTAACTGAATTTCATGCAGCCAGCCCTTTTTGGAAACTCGTTCCTCTACCTAAGGTACCTATACCTAACCTCCAAGCAAGGCGAGTACCGGAGTACTATACTGTCCTGTGTATTAAATGTGTACCCGGGTATAACAGCACAGCATATTTTGTACTCGGTACGTAGTGCCCTCTTACTCCGGTAGGTGAGATTTGTGGCCTGTGGCGCTGGATTATTTCGCGCTCAGTTTGTTCATTTCAGAGGGTCCAAGCGTAACTTACCTCTGTACGTAGTATGCTCAATGACATATTAGCAACCCTTTCAGCCGCAATGATACCCTTGAAAAATATAGTCTTTTTATTATTATTTAATTTTTATCTATTCTTTTCTTCTTTTCTTTTGTCTCTTGTCTTCTGTCTTCTGTCTTCTCTCATCTGTCTTCTTCTTTATTTTTTAAAAATTCAATATCTCATTTGTTAATATTTCATGTTTATCATTTCTTTTCCTTTTCCTTTTCCTTTCCTTTCCCCCCCTTTTTTTTCCTTTCTTTCTTTTTCTTTTGTTTGTTTTGGAGTACAACCGTCATCAGCCAAACAACTCAATCCTCCATGAGCGAATCAGTAAACAGTAAATAAAGTAAAATATCCACCGTCGTATGCAGCTATATCCTCCGACGCAAAGATGTGCTCCGTAAAGCACCAACAGTACGCTGTACTCCTTTGTCGGACCTGTCAAAGTCTAAGCTCGAAAACGTGTAGTAACGTACCTATAAGTCATACCTATATTTTAGTGGCCTCCCGCGTCTCCGAGCCGTAATCTGCTTCCGGCAGACCGCAGGTCTTTTCATAAGGAACGGAAACAACTCCGTAATGTTTATGTTTACACAGGATAAGACGAAATTACTCGACCAAGTATGTGCACGGAATGAATCTCTGGGCACCGCTGGATGTCGCCGAGCTCCGTGGTAGACTGTAACACAACTAGGTACGTAAGGTACTATACTAGGTGTGTAACTCAGGAAATGTAAGCCACACGTTGACAAGGAGGCTCGGGGAAATTCGCAATCAAGGGATTCCGTCAGGATTTGCACCTGCTATTATAGTGATTATCAGTTATAGTATAAGACAAGCAAGGATTAATATAATGCACACGTCAGGCTGAAAAGGGCAGAGACAAAGCCGCAGGCCGCGACCCGCGAATATCCGGCAAGCGAATCGTTACTCTGTACTGCCAGAATTCTACTTCGAGCTCCTTGGTCATCACTGTCTATCGACTTTGTCACGTGGGATGTATGCATGCAAGAGGAACTCAAGATACAAATCAATACACGATGAGATTGGGTGAACTGTCTGCCCATTACCCCACCGGGGAGTAAGTTGTTTGGTGCTTCAGTCCTGAGCTAAGAAGCCGGCCAAAGACAAGGTATCCGGCCCGGCTTCTAGCACACGTCTAGTTGATATGACGCTCTAGATACAAAGGTATCAAGAAAGTTGAAAAACAAAGAACAACACAATAAATTAAAATAAAACTTTTCATAGAGACGCATTTGTCCTGTCCCTCCTTTTGATGTTAAAATCCCGCTGCGCCCGTCAGTTCATGAGATCGTTGAAGGGTCTCTTCATTTGTTTCGCAAAACGCCAGTGTTGAAGACTCTTGCTAGAAAATTCCCGTGAGGGAAAATCGGTTTTCCTCCGCAACCCACTAAAATATAAAGGGACAAAAAAAAAAGAAAGCAAATGATCTGTCATACGCAGAACTATGCAAATGCGCCAACGAAATCCTCCTCATCGTCAAAGTTGTTGTTGTTGTTGCTTGCTGCTGTTGTCGTCATCGTCCTAGTTGAATAGATTGTTGAAAACAAGACATCAATGGATATACGCTGGAGATATTAAACAAAGGAATAATAAGCCACTGCGAAGGAGAGCTTGGGCAGCTAAAAGGCCTCGAGATATATGTATAACGGCTGAGAAGGGTGGAGCGGAGGGGACAAAGATTTTTTTTTAGTTTGGTGCCTGAGCATGACCGTTAGTGGTGCCATTGACGTGGACACCATTGACGGCCGGCGCGGGCTCGGAACCGTTGACAAGAACATCCTTCAGGGACTTGTCGTCTGCGACAATCTCCGGTGCGGAAAAAGGCACGTCGAAGTCGGGCACCTCGAGACCATCGAAGAGAGGGTGGATACCTCGGGGCTCATGGAAGTCATTGTGGACAATGTTAACAAGGTACCAAGTGTCCATCATAGAGCCGATGAGGTGTCGGCTCGGGCTGGATGCCGAGTGACACCGCGCCCAGTCGTAGCCGAGGCGGAACGCCTCATCCTTCCAAGCCAGGAAACTAATGGTCTCTACAATGGTAGGTTGAATAATCTCCTGGCCGGGGAAAACACCCCAGGTGACGGCATTGGGGCCATCGCTTGGTGCATTGGTCTTGAGCTCACCATCCTTGTTAACGGCGTAGTAGGTCAAGTCAGGGTTCCGCTCGATGCGAGTAATCACCTCACTGATGAGCTCAGGCGAGATGAAGAGCTCGAGGTATGCTTTCTGGTAGACGTAACCATTCTTTGGACCCCATCCGTAGACCGGGTGCGAAGACTTGACACCGTTCACAGCAGGCTGCGAATTGACGGTGAGAAGACCACGGCGATTAAGATCCACTAGATCATCGCGCAGGATATCAGCTTCGCCTGTGATAGGCGTCTCGCTCCAGGGTAGGGCATTCAATCGCTTTTCGAGATAGCTAACAAAAACCTCGGAAATATCCCGGAGAGTCTTCGGTTGACCCCAGAGCTTAATGTTCTGCTCGTTTGTCCCCTTCAGCCCGATGTCGTAAGCATCCAGCTCGCCGAAAGCAGGCGAGCGGGAGTCGCCCCAACGGCCATTGGGGAACTCGTCCCAATCTTGCGTGCGCACAACATAGGAGGCGTTGCGATTCCGCCAGAAAATTGGCCGAACATTTTCTTCGCGGCGTTTCAAACCAAGAGATGGCCGCCACGGCAAAGCCTTGGTAGACTGAGGAATGAGGTCCAGCTCCTCGAGAACCATACGCGTCGCTTGCGCCAAATTCATGGTGTAACTAAAATCCGATTAGTATGCTACTGGCAGGGATAGGTATAACCTTTTTTTCTATTTGCAGAGACTTACAAGTGCAGGTGCAAGATACCCGCTTCCAGCAACCGTCTGCACATCTCGGCAATCAATCCCTTACCAACCTCACGGACAGCAGCGTCATCGTTCTTCACCGGTTCCAGCGCTGCAGTCCAGCTCTCAGGGACGTGACATTTTGTCCAGTTGGCTCGTCGAAGGAAGGCAGCATGCGTATGGATGGGCATGATACCGGGAATGATAGGAATATCAATGCCTCTGGCACGACATTTGGATACCCAGTCCAGGAAGATATCAACATCGTAAAACATCTGGGTGACGATAAAGGTACCACCGGCATCCACCTTTTCCTTGAGATGGTCCATCAAGAGCTCGAGGTCATCCTGGTCCTCACACCCCTCGGGGTAGCCCGCCACACCGATATCGAAGTGGTCGCCGTACTGCTCCTTGATGTACTTGACCAGATCCTTGGCATAACGGAAGCCGCCAGCCGTAGCCTCCCACTTCTCTTTTTCTCTCGGGGGGTCTCCACGCAGAGCCAGGATATTGGTGCAACCAGCCTTGTAAGCCTCCTTTAGAGCCTCATCCACCTTAGAGCGCGGCATATCGGTGCATGTCAAGTGCATGCAAGTCTCCAAACCGTAAACGGACTGCGCAACATTGACCATTTCGCATGTCAGATGGGAGAGGCGTCCACCAGCGCCCCATGTAACGTCAATGAAAGAGGGTCCCAGGTCGTGCATACGATCCATACCTAGAGCGCAGAGAGTCAGTCTTCCATGGTCTGCCTTAAAAGTTGACCAGTCATCAAATCGGTGTTGAAGACGAAGGGAAGGGACGTACGATCGTAGAGATTTTGCACACCCTGTCATTGCGAAAGTCAATATAGTCCCATATATAATACGTTAGAGCATCCGTTCATACCTGCGCTGTCTTCGGAGGGAAAAACTCAAAAGAGAACCTCGGTGTGCCCGCCTTTTGGGCTTCCGCCAGCTTCTTACTGATATGCATTATGTCGATTGTATACTAATATGAATCCCTGAAAGCAGATGTAGAGAGGAAGAAAAAGAAGCTTGGGGACCAAGCTTGCTGTACAAGTGGGCCGGTTTAGATGACTAGCTATACTGGTCACCGTCTTGATGAATTGGGCCTCGTAACTGCGTATACTGCAGACGAGACGTGGAGTTGAACGCTTTCAAGCAGTGGATGCACAGAATTGTGTCCGTTGTAGCCGTCGAGGGGTTGATATGCAAATTACAAGCGCAGCGTCATCCAAGTCGCTCTAGAGCCACTGAAGCAAGCCGGCACAAAAGAAGATCCGAGTAAGGGTCTCAGTGATATTTTCGACCCTCAACTATCCGAAATATCGAGCTCGAGCCCAGCGATCAGCGAGCGGTCGAAACATACGCCAGGGTAATAAAAAGGAGAGATTGGCCAGATCAATAGAAGTATTAAAGCGGAGGGGCAGCGGGGGGGGGAGACGCAAATTGCAGTTGACTCCCTAAGAGATTCAGTTAGGTGGGGATCGGTTAGTCCCGTTCAATGATGCGCTGTCGGCCTCCGGGTGCCCTGCAGCAAAAAGAGAGTTCTCGGTCGGCCCTTTTCTGCTAGGAAGTTCAGCAAACACATCTCGTACCGTGTCTTGATCTCATATACAAATTAAAATTCAGAGTTAATAATGAATTAAGCTGCCTGATGAAATGCGTATTAAATGTCTAGTTAGTCATTCCAAATCATTGAGCTACAGCAGACGTGCGCACGTCGGTGTTCAAAACTTTCATGATCGGACTTCGCCAATCAGCATCCCCGATTCTCGGAGCCTGCCAAAACACACATTTCTTCAACAGCTTCATCCTCTGCATGAGCATCTGTACATGACAATTTAGCTATCTGACCAGTGATTGAAAATATATATATAGAGAGAGAGAGCTCTTCCGGAACTGATTACAGTTCAAGTCGAGCTGGTTTCCTTCTTCAACTCGATAATGAAATTTCTAATGCCTAAACTACTCGGCCATTAAACATATTCCCCGCTGCAATAATAAACCCCCTGACAAAAGCAGAAAAGAGAAAAACGAAAAAACTGCTAACTTTCCTGACCATAAGAACCTGATCTTCCTCGCTAGAGACACAACCCCCAAGCTAGAAGCTCTCCAATCAATTCAAGTCATTGGCAGAGAAAGGAAGCTTGAAAGGCGCGAGCAATTTACAAGCAAATATGCTCATCCACTGCTCTAACGGAAAGGGTTTAGCGCGGGGTCGACCCAGAGGGGTCCCCACTACTGCCGGGTTCTGCCAGTGAGAGTCCAGTATAACCAGAGAGAAAAGAAACTCTTGATAGAGTTATCCTAGCAGGAAATACTTCTAATCGGTCCAGAATTCTTTTGGCCAGTACATAAAGGCAGCCCGCGGATATATACAAGAAGCTCTTCAACTGTCCCTTGGAGCTATCGAGTGATTCCATTTCAATTCAATTAAAACCTCATTTTACACGCTCCACTCTACATCATGGCCGTCTCGTCTTCTCAACTTCCCGCCTACAAGACCGCTTTCCTGAACTCGTGCCTCTCCGCACAGATTCTCAAGCTCGGCAGTTTCACGCTCAAGTCCGGACGTCAATCCCCATACTTTTTCAATGCCGGTCTTTTCCACCGCGCTGACCTTCTCCTGACCATCAGCGATGCGTACGCCCAGACCATCGCCGCAGCCCGCTCATCCGGAGAGTTGGGCGAATTCGATGTTCTCTTCGGCCCCGCATACAAGGGCATTCCTCTTGCTACTGCTACAGTCGGCCGTCTTGCCGAGGTTGACAGGGCCCAGTTCGGCTCTTTGAGCTACAGCTTCAACCGCAAGGAGGCCAAGACTCATGGCGAGGGAGGCAACATTGTTGGCGCCCCACTGAAAGGCAAGCGAGTCGTGGTGGTAGACGACGTAATTACTGCTGGCACAGCTATTCGGGAGGCCATGGACATTATCGCCAAGGAGGGCGCAATCCTCGTGGGCATCATCGTCGCTCTGGATCGAATGGAGCGGATGCCCGACCCCAGAGGTGAGAAGGAAGGTCAGGAGCTCGATGCGAATGCTCCGAGAATGAGTGCCATTGGTCAGGTGCGCAAGGAGTATGGTGTGCCAGTCATGTCGATTTTGACACTGGACGACATCATCGAGGGCCTGAATGGCGTCGGCACGGACGAGGACGTGAATCGCCTCGAGGAGTACCGCAGACGTTACCGGGCAAGCGATTGAATTAATGATACCATGTGTGGGGGTGGAGCCCAAGGAGAGCGGATACCAAAATGAAGACCGACTTTGACAATAAAAGGTGTGGATAATAACCAAGCGTTCTTATCGCTCGTACGCCGAGTTACACCTGTATCAATATAGGATGCGTAAATATACCAAGAAAACTTTTTTGAGATCTAGCAGCTTAGATTAGACATAAGGGACGAATATCTAACATGATTCGTCTCAACAACTCAAATTGAAATGACCAACGCCAATGAAATGAACTTCTACAAAGGATTTCAATGCCCCAACAATCCATACGTCAACGCCAAATCTACAGAAGACGACGACACCCGTGTGATCGAGACGAGAATGAAGAGGTTAGTGCAGTCGACACAATAATATTTTGTAATTTAACGACGCTGGGTCTTGCCCATACCACGCTTGCCAGCGAACTGAAACAATGTTAGCGAATGAAATTGCGAATCTCCAGAGAGAGATTTAAGAATGGTACTTACCAAGTGCTTGGGCAGAGAGACAGTCTGGTGGCGATCGGCCTCACCAGCCCGAGCCATACGGTTCATCTTCTTTTGACCGAGTTTGGCCAATCTTTCGGCCTTGCTACGGGCCGTCTCGTCTGTCACACCGTCCTCTCTCCGGTTCGTCTGGCTACGAGCTCGGCTCTTGGCACGCAGGAGAGCTGCATCGCGGCCGCTGGCGGGAGCGTCCATATCCATCATGTCCGTATCACCATCGCCTGAGCTGCGAACTGCACTACGACCGCGAGACTGAGATCGTGCACGAGCAGACAGACCAGATGTGTCCAATCCAAGAGAGTCCAAGTGGTCCTCCATTTCGGACAGCTTTTTGCTCTTGGCGCTGCGGGGAATGACGGCCCGGTTCTTGAGCGATTTCCGCATTTTGGCTTCATTTCGAATCAGTTGTCGTTTTTCGCGAATAAGCTCAGCCTTGGTGCGGATATCAGCATCCTCAACGTCCTCAATTTCCTCCTCGGAATTGTAGAAGCCATCCGCCTCAAGCTTCTCTTCCTCCTCCTCAAGCGCCGCAAGCCTGGCCTCAATCTCGGGGTCGACAAAGTCATAGACGTTCTTGCCTTCGAACACCTCGGGGACAGTATCGTGCTTCCACTCATCGTTCTCAAGCATGTATTTCTTCTTGAGGTCGATGTTGTAGACACCAGCACCACCTTCCTCCTCCTCGATATCCCGCTCGAGTCTGGGGCGGTCGGGATCATTCTTGTCGTACTTCGTCAAGCCCTTGATCGCATCAGGAACAAAAGTCTCACGCTGCACTCCGCCCAGAGGCTGTGCGACATGGATACGAGCCAAAACATCACCGAGCCTTCCTCCGATAGCACCAGAAGTGTTGGCGCCTGACTTCAGCTTCTGAGACACACGATCGGCAATGAGGCGGTCACAGACGGCATTTCGGACATCCATCACTCCCTCAGCTGTGGTGCAAGAAAGTTGTAAGAGCTCGACATCCCCAGGCTTGAGCAGTGCTTGGAGTTCTTGCTGCAGCTCGGGTTCGAGGTCCTCTGGACGAGTGACATCAATTTTATTGATAACGACAAAAACGAGCTTGTTAGCAAACAGAGGCTTGATGCTGTTGAAAAGTTGGATCTGAGCAGACACAGAGTAACCACACTGTTCAGAAAGATCCATGAAGTAAAGAATTGCGGATCGCAGATGCGCAATGGCTGTGATCGACTGCATTTCGATCGTGTTCATCTCCTCAAGGGGATGGTCAAGGATTCCGGGGGTATCAATGGCTTGAAAGCGAAGGTATTTGTAGTCGAAATGGCCGACGAAAAGACTCTTAGTGGTGAAAGCGTATGGCTGGACGTCGACGTCGGCTCTGGTGACACTCTTCAAGAAACTAGACTTTCCCACGTTTGGGTATCCACAAATGAGCAGAGTTCGCGTGTTGGGGTCAATAGCAGGAAGACGGCCAAGATGTTGTCGCACTTGCTCGAGATAGAGCAAAGGGTCCTTCAAGCGTTTGCAAAGCGTTGCCATACGACCCAGAGCGGCACGCTTAAGCTGTTTGCACTGGAAAAGGGACTGCGCATATTTGATAAGGCGGACATAATCTCTAGAGATGGTCTCAATGAGATGCTTTGCAGTAGATAATTGCCCAAGAGCAATGCGGAAGTGGTCGGCGTCATAAAGGGTGTTCAGGAGATCCTTGTCTAATGAGGAAAATTGCCATTAGCTACTTATCGACCTAGAAAAAGTTCCTAGGATATCAAACGACCATAAAAGAAAGTCGCACGACATATACAGAAATAATTAATGAATGGGGTCCTTACGGAAAGGATGAATGTCCTGAAGACGAGGGAATCCTTCAAGAATCAAGGAGAGCTTCTCACAGAAGGTCTCTTGAGTAAACTTGACTTTTCGGGTGTAGAAGTCTGCAGTCATCCAGTTAGAAAATTATGGACTATTCAAATAGTTTGAAAGGTAGACATACTCCTGATACGACTTATTTTAAACCCCGATCGAATCTGGGTAGGCAGCCGACGCTGAGTCCGGCTGAGGACAATGTCCAAGAATTCGGCGTTCGATGGCACCGGAGGGATGTCTTTCCACGTCTGCGACGAGAAATCAGTATACTTGCTTGCACCGAATCTGTTTAAATATGCGTATCACATACTGTCTTCATTTTGGAAACGGTCGCCGAATGTGGTTGTGAAGACACAGCAGACCTGAAGGATCGAGCCAAGTACTGTCAGAGAGGTGGTGGCCAAAAATTTGGGCGGTGAAAAAGTTCGCGAAGATATTCGCTTATCGCGCTAAATCTTGCCTATCACATCGACCCTGGGGCCGCACTTGGCCGACGGGGTAAACCAAGTACCGAAGCGAAGGTCTGGAACTTTTAAGTTCATGTCGCAGGGAAGAGATCGACATTACAAGAAGAGAATTTAATGGGTTGATGAACCCGAATATTATGTACAACTCTACTATAAGCGTCGTCTGTCAACGCTTTGAAATGGGTAGTTTGGTTCAGTCAGACAAAGCGAAACGAGAAGTGGCCCTGTTGGGCCACGCCTGGCATTCCCAGAGCTCACACGCTCGAAGGTGTCGAGGAGTCAAATTCCAAAGTCTATGAATGGCGTAAGAAGGAGAGATATGAAAATTAGAGCTTTGACGGACATACCATATCATTCCAGTTCCCCCCATATTTTTGCGCTTCGCTTCGGCCGCTATTCTTGAACCCGCAACTCTCGTAGAATGGGATCAGATGATCGCGGCAGAGAAGTGCCATTCTATCGGCCGCGCCACTATGTTGCATACGTTGAACGTAGGACTTGACAATGACCTTCCCAAGACCTTTGCGCTGATATTCCGGAAGAACAGCGAGGGCATGGATAGCTACTGTCCTTGCTTCACTAATATGACCAATCTGAGAATCTTCTTGTCCGGGCGTATCCCAGTTAGGAGGAAGCATCATGGATTCGTCGGTAACCACTGGGGAGTTTAATCTAGCACCGAGAGCATGCGCTAGCAAAACAGCCTTTTTTTCCGGCTGCTCCGAAAATTCTGACTTGCCGGCCTCGCTCGTCGCTGCTTGACGGGCAGCTGAATCAGGCCCTGCCGTGGTGAAGAGCCCTAACGAGAGCTCGGGACATTTGGTCAATCGATAGACGATCTGATAAAGTTAGGCACGAAGACATCCGAGATCAGCGCGTAAAAGGCAATCAATTGCATGCGAGAGGAATATTTGACCCTCGCCACGATGGCGCGCGGACGGTCTTGAGCTAGACTTCATCCGTAAGGCATGGAACATGTTGGAGACATAGTGCAATCAAACGAAGCTCTTATGAGAGGCTCTTGAATGAGTAACGTTTTGAGAATTGATAGAAACAAAAACGAGAAAACAAACGCGGCGAAATCCAATAAGAAATTCTGTGGCAAATTACCTTGTCTCTTGGAGTCCGCTCATTCTCCGAGAAGGCGGCCGTCTCGAGTTTGACACCTGGATTTGACAATGTTACACAGAGAACGTCAAATTGGAGCCCAACTCTCCCGAGTGGTGAGGTGTAAGGAAGGAACATACAGCTGTCGACATCGGCCAGGGTAAGCGGCCGCACGTAAGGGTGCAGATTATTTCTCTCGTTTGCCTTCAGCAGACTTTCGGGCAGTCCCTCTGTAGGATCTTCCGATGGTTTATCGACGCCAGAGTCATCTTTAGAAGATTCGTTGATATCGTTCAATCCAAGAGCCTTGAGAGGCCTGCTTCCGAGGTGGCTCGTCAGCGGGAGCACACCTTCCGGCAGGCTTGATCGAAAGTCTCTTGGCATTATGCTTTGTCGGGATTGAAAAAAGTAACGATTTGCACACAAGCAAATTGGAAAGAATGGCGACAATGAGATTTCAGTACAAATTACTATACTGGATTAAGAATCATCAATAATTTGGCCAATTAATTCATGGAAGTTGTTGATAAATGAATTTGATATGGCTAGTGGCGGCTCTCATTTATCTCGAGACTTAGTCATACATGGATCAGGTTAAGAATGAACGGGGAAGCTAAGGCAGATGGATCATCGGAGGGGAGCAACGTTCCGGGGGACACGGTGAAGGGGTGGAGATGAGGTGAGTGCAGTACGAGTATGGTCACGTAACGCATGACCTTCCACCGCTTCTCCTACAGTCCGAGGATCTGGCCATATCCTCTCAAGATCCCTCGATTCCCAGTGGAGCTGTACTAATCTCCCGTTTATGCTTCTTTGACGACCCTTGTCAAGGCTTGCTTGCATCTCATCCGAGGGATCCTTCCCTCGTCTGGTCCCAGTAGCACACAGTACGACAGTAGCATGTACTTCTGACGCCAGACCGTTTCAAACTTTGATCACGTGAGACGGTGGCGCTAACTCAAGGATCTACCGGCTATTCTCAAAAGAGCCTCCCTTGCCCGAATTTGAGCCCCTGTAAGGGCTTTCGGGGCGAGATTTGCAAGGACGCGGTTTGGGTGCGGTTTGCCATAGAATAGGACCTTAGGTATTTTTGGTAGTAACACAGCTTAACCTGCTCCATAATCTCCACTGTAAGTAGTTAAGGCATTCTGTCGTACCTACCTAACCTGAGGTGTTACCTCAATACAGATCGTAGACAGTACAGGATAAATGACTACGCGCAATCACAGGACGCGATACTATATGAGTGAGATGGATCATGGACGACACATAAGCCGTCACTCGTCATCACCACTTTAAGTGTTCGTCCATGGCAGCTGGACTAGCAATTAAAAGCATTCCATTTCTAGTTGGCACAAGAAGATCTTTCACCCCCAATACCCGTTGGGTTTAATGGGCACCTCGGCAGCTGCATCCATGGATGAGCGTCCAAAGTAAAAAGCAAACACAAAATCACAATATTATTACCTGGTGCTGCACCGAATCGGGTATCCATCCACGTGGAGCTCATGTGCCAAACTCGCCCCCAAGGGAGAGTATCGCCTTCAATAGCCTGCCTGGTCACTCCCTGGTTCCCACGCAGTGAGCGTGGCAGGTTTCACAGCGTGCGTTGATTCTCGCTCCAGCCTCAAATCATCTCATGGGCATCTTTCCCCGGCGCCATTGCTGCCACACAACTTGAAACTTCCACATCCCACATCCCACCTTCCACTTTCCATTTCCATCTTCTTATACCCATCTATATCTTAGGCAGCTCCGTGCCGTGCCGTCTTGCATCCTCAGCAATCCTTGAACTTGACCGCCTCTCCTCCCTCGTTCGCTGCTCGTCTTGTTCGCCCGATTTCCCCTCTTACCTTAACGCTTGGGCGTTAAGGCTCTTTTGGACAACGGTTATGGTTAAGGGCCCTTGACTGGCGGACCGCTGTGCGGCCCCGGCTCGCTTGCTTCCACCAGCTTCCAGACCCAACGGCGATGCGTAAGCCACGTTTGTGAAAGTTGCCTGCGCCGTTCATTCGGTCTGCCTGGTGGAGAAGCTGCGAACCCAGCAAGGAAGCAAACAAGCAAGCAAGCTATAGTAGTGACCTCGTAACTCAACCATTGACTGACCGACCCCCGTTCAGGGTAGGTGACGTGACTTGAGACGCTCTCAGCTCGGAGTGTGCTCCTGAGAGCAACGACTCATTAGAACGTTTACTCTCGGACGTCTCCCCCCACGACCGTGCCCAGGACGAAAGAAGTTGTTGTTCATCTTCACCGTCTAATCCCAACTTCGTCATTTTCGGTTGCTTCTCTTACCACCATACATCCTCTATCGTTGAATGTCCCCTCTCGGTTCCGCCTAAACGGGGTATCATCAATAGGCTACCCATTTGAACCACTCTCCACTTACCGCCCTCTTCAACTCTTGTCGCTCAACATGTGAGTAGGCCCTCGGCTCCCCGCTGCAAGTTCAATGAACTGATCAAAATTCGTAAAGGCGTGTTACCGTATCTATTACCGCGCCAAGCGATGCCCTGGAGCAGGACTTACTGACCTTGGACCTGCCCGCCAGTATGACGGTTGCTGACCTCAAGGCTCTCATCCAAAGTGAAACCAACTTGTCAAATTCCTCACAACAACTCTTTCATAACGGACAGCTCCTATCCGATGATACCAAAACCCTCGAAGAAGTGGGAATTGGAGATGGAGAAATGCTGGCCATGCATGTGAGAAATCGTACGCCCGGAGGGGCCGGAGGGGCCGGAGGGGCCGCTGCTCGTGGTCGTGCCGCCGCGGGAGCCGGCCCGTCTGCTGGAAGGCGGACACAACAGGGTCCCGATCCGGAATTGATCCGATTGCAAATTTTGGGTGATCCGAATATGCGGACCGAGTTACGAAATCAAAACCCAGAGCTAGCACAAGCTGTGGAAAACCCTGAGCGATTTCGTGAGATGTGGTACGGTTTACAGAGGCAACAGGCGGAAGCCGAGATGAATAGACAGAGAGAGATTGCCTTGCTAAACGACGATCCATTCAACGTAGAAGCGCAGGCAAAGATTGAAGAGATGATTCGGCAGGAGCAAGTTATGGAGAATTTACAAAGTGCACTTGAGCACAACCCGGAAGGTAAGGAAATTCAAAATTGAAGATTACGAACTTTGAGCGGCTGACAGCGCAATTTGAAGCATTTGGAAAGGTTCATATGCTGTATATTGATGTCGAAGTCAACGGTCATCATGTCAAAGCCTTTGTCGATTCTGGCGCCCAGGCCACCATCATGTCCCCATCCTGCGCTGAGAAATGTGGCATAATGCGCCTAGTTGATAAGCGCTTCGCTGGCGTTGCTCGGGGTGTGGGAACCGCTCAGATTCTCGGTCGTGTCCATGCTGCCCCAATCAAGATAGGAACCCTCTTCTTGCCCTCCAGCTTCACCGTCATGGAAGGTAAAGACGTTGAGCTCCTTCTTGGACTGGACATGTTGAAAAGACATCAGGCATGCATCGACCTTCGCCAGAACAAGCTTATAATTCAAGACGTGGAAGTTCCCTTCCTTGGTGAAGCAGATATCCCCAAATTCGAGGAAGAGCATCTCCTCAATGAACCCACTGTTGAAGGACCCGGTGGAGCCAAGCTCGGCGGGCGATCTGGCGCAGTGGTTGAGCCTGGTTCATCAGCTCCGGCTTCTGGCGCCTCTGAATCCTCCAATTTTCGAGGTCCCGGTCGCACATTAAGTGAGGCTTCATCAAGTGGCCCTCAATCATCTCAGACTACTCCCGCCGCCCCGAGCAGCCAACCTGGCCTCAGTCAACGCACAAGTTCTTTCCCGCCTGAGTCGATTGCGCAACTGCAACAACTGGGCTTCTCTAGAGAAGATGCCATTGCCGCATTGGAAGCTGCGGGAGGAAACTTGGAGTTCGCAGCAGGGCTGCTATGGGAACGATAATTTCACGAGTCACGCATCTAATTAATTCATTGCATTTAAGCGGCGTAGAAAGGTTGCATGCATTTTATACGCGCTTTTGTTTGCGTGCCTAATCTGAATTTCTGTCAAGGCCCGCCGTCGTCATTAGGCAGTTGACCCAATGCGCCCTCCTTTGCCTCAATGGGTTTGTCAGATCACTTGATTCACTTCGATCCATTTATCCAGTGCATTTAAACCCATAATTTACTTCAGATATCTTCTGTCACACCTTGTCTTTTTGTTGCTAAATCTAATCCACACTCTAGATTATCTAGAAGACTGGATTCTCAAAGAAATGAATAATTTGCCGACGACTGACCAGGAAAAATAGGAAATGATGCAATAAGGGAAAAAAAGATGCTCTGAGAGACAATGCTTTGGTAAGCGAGGGATCATAGCTAGATCCACTACCTCAATTTATAAACACATGGCTTCAGGACGGTCTTCTCTTCATCGAGAGTCGGACCGCCAAGCGCGTCGGCATCGATGAATTTTGGCTTCTGCTTCTTGGCTTGTGCTCCGGCATCGTCTGCACCTGGTTTTGGAACGCATTTTCCTCTTACTGGGGTCGCAGCTTTAACAAAATGCATCTTGACAAACATTTTGTTACTGAGATCGACCGCAGTGGAATCCTGTTGAAGAACGAAGCCTCTCTTCCGTAAGACCTCGATGAATGCGGAGACATCTGTCTCTTGCTTGGGTAAATTCCCTCCATCAATTTCGACAAATGCTTCACGCTCTGTTTCAGGATCAATGTCATCGCCTTCAGCAGCATTGCCTTTCTTGTTCTTTTGTTTACCCGCGGCCTGCTTTTTCTGTCTGTGGCCGACGCTGTGTTCAACAACACGACCAGCTTTGCCTACACGACCGAAACGGCTTTTGATTTCGGCTACCCAGAGTTCACCTCTCCAGTGAAGGATTCGGTAGGCTTCTTCGACAAAGTCGATCCAATTGGTGCCCATGAGGGCCAAGCAAAAGATGGCCACATTAACACTACCGTCCTTGAGCGGAAGGTTGGCCATGTCTGCTTTTGTTACCAGTGGACTGGGACTTTGCAGATCAAAGCTGCTGATTTCAAGCTTCAGCTTCTTTGCTGCAGCCTTGTCCGATGTAAACATCTGCGCTAAACGCGCATCGCCGCATCCGAGGTCTGCTACTCTGCATATACCGTCGGTACGGGGCAATGATTGGACCGCTCCCGCTACATCTTTACTGCTTCCACCACGGCCACCGTGATGTTTGTCTCGTCCTTTGCCTCCGTGGAACTTTATAGCCCCTCGTGTCTTCAGCGTCTCGATATATCCGTCAACCGGATTCTCGGGCCACACTTCGACTTGCTTCCTGAAACCTTCGTGATATTCGTTGAACATTTCAGGATTTTGGGAGAAGACATCGAGCGCATTCGCCGAAGGTGTTGTATAGAGCGTCTCGTTGAGATAACGGAAACGCGCAGATATGAGCTTCTCACGCATCTTGGCCTGCAGGGGCGTGAGTTTCACATTGGGCGCAGGTGGTGCGACGGGCTGAGCTGCCGGAGTAGGACCCGACGATGCGGACGAGGGCGGGTGCAGTGTTTCTGATTGTGCTTCCTGCACATTTTTCTCATGCTGTGCTTTATTCTTCTTCTCTTGCTTCTTCCCTTTCAGTTTGTCCAGTTTCTTGCGCTTGTTGGTCTTTTCTTCGCCGCCGATCTCGTGGGTTTGGGGGGTCGCATTTTTCGGCTGGCTGGGTTTATTTGCCTTTTCTGGTACCTTTCCTTCAATGACCTGATCCCATAGCTCCCCTATGTTCTTGTCTGTCACATTGACACCTCCGGTCGCTCCCTGTCCTCTCTTCCGCTTCTTCGACGCCTTGGATATACCACCTTCACTGTTTTTGTTCGCCTCAGTGATTGTGGGCTTTGGAGTTTCTGGCTTGGTCTGCGTTTTAAGCTCGGTGGAGGATACCGACCAGCCTGGAACAGCAAACATGATTGACAAGATCTTCGCCGTTCAGGTCCTCTGTCTTGAATAGCAAGAGCAGTCCTCAAAACACTTTTTGTGGTAAGACCGCTTCTCAAGAAAGTTTTAGGTCGCGGCACTTGCCTTTGAACACGGCTGTGGCAGATATGCCTTTCCGTATTAAACGCACACGCTCTCTTCCAGGAAAACGGGTACGAGAGGGCCTCCGTAGAGAGTCGAGGCAGAATGCCTGAATCATCTTCTCGGTAGGTTCCGTACGGAGATTTTTCGGATTAGTTAACGTTCAGTGTTGCCCCCGACGAAAGTTGGGCTGGTTGGTTGTCGAACCCTGAGCTACTCCGTAGCTCACAAACTCTCTTTACTCCTAGAGGCTTACTCTGTCCAAATTGCATCAAAGCGGTCCTACTCGTACGTACTCCGATAAGTAACGTGAAGACAAGTTCTTCTATCTGATTTTGCCTTATATCAAGCTTTGACCACTTGCTGTCCCCTAGCATTATAAGTGAGAAAGGAGGACTTTTCATTGATTCGTTGTATGTTTGATGGTAACCCTCTACTCTGAGCTAGCGTTCTTAATTATTCTGCTTGCAGATTTCTTGGTTTTTTTTTTTTTTCTGCATGGCTCCATTTGCTTGGTACGGCCATCAAGTTGTGCCGCACCCCGGTTCCGAGCCTTGTGAACGAAATGATGAGTTCCCGCCTGGCGCAACTACAGCCGACTAGCTTGGGCAACAAAATTTAGCAGCTTTTACGGAATTGCCGCCCCTTGGAGGCTGCAACACTCCCATTCCTTGATAAGAGATGATGATGGGTTCTGAAATATGACGCTGCGCTTGAGAGCTGTTGCTCACATCATCAGTCCATAAACTTGATCTTTTGCCAAAGATGAAAGCGGGCTCGAAAACTCAGCACCCTGGTTGGCTCATACAATTTTGGTTGCTGAGATTATGTGTGCTTTACCCTACGATCCTGAGAAGCTGAGATGCAATACATCGGTCGTGTCACATGGCTTTCTCGTGCATCCATTTTTCCGGCCACAGCCATGATGGCTGGCTGAAAATGCTCGAGCTACCTGCAGCGATTAACGCTGTAATGCATTCGATTGAGTCTTGCCTATGTGGATTCAGGGGTGTTTTGATACGTGCAATCAGTTGGCCTTTCCACCGTTGGCACAAGAAGCGACCCGAAAAGAATGGCTGAACATATTGCGCCCAAATTTTTATGACATCTTTTCAATTTGTGTCGCTGTCCGCTGGGTCGGATTCATGGTCGAGGTGGAAATGTTGCAGGCTCGTGCATGACTGGTACCATGAGCTCTGGGACAGATGTGAGCGACATGGCCAGGATGAAGCTACTGCAATTTTAGCTGCAACGCACCCGCCCCCCTTTTCATTCCTTCTCCGATTCGGACGTTACGATCCGATGCTTGGAATATGCTATAATCAGTGATTGACGTTGTGTGCGCGCCCTTTGTCGACCAGTGCTGCATGCTGTCCAGGGTCTCTTGAGAATGTCCTGTATTTACACACGGACGGTGGCATCTTTGTCATGGCATCTATTTCACTCCCCTAACTTACCTACCTACCTAGGAGTATTCTGGTTATGCGAGGCCGGAGCTACATGTTCATATTCTTTTCTCGTTCCTCACTATCGGTACAACCTCCGCCTCCGCGTAGTTACTGGACTTTGGTACGTAATTAGGCCGCCAGAAACCCCTTGCACCAACCCGGGACTGTGATCCCGGCCATCCCTGCAAGCGGTGCTGACCTGGAGATCGTTGCATCAATGTCCTATGTCGAAAGCCAAAAATTAAATTGGAAGAGTTCATTTCTATTATTTGGGACCCGACAGTGATGCAATTTTGCGCAGGGACTATGGATGGGAAGCTTGGCGCCCCCACGTTCGGGCTGGTCAGTCTAACAATGAAATAATAATGTAATTATTACTGTCGTGGGTCGCAGCGAAAGAACCCACTCAGTCTACCAATTACAGTGGGTGGGTAATCTCATGCGATTCTGGCTCCGTATACGGAGTATTGAACGGACTGGCTACTAGTCAGGAATGACTGGAGTCTGTTTTTTGGGGGTGAGGAATTGGTCATGTTCTCCCGGCTCTTCAGTCAAGATCGTCATGACACTAATATTACGGAAGATGCCAGGGCCAGGGGATGATTATCGGGAACAACTCTTGAGATGGCTGCAGTCAGCCCGATTTTGCGCACACTCTCCACTCCAGTGGTACTACTCTGACCTAAATTATTATCTCATGGTCGCTCGTGCACCATTGTGTCGACTTCGGACGTCCCGAGTAGGTGAGTTGACAAGACTCTTTTGCCCCCCTTTTCCTCATGGATTTACGATACGGTAGTTGCTGCAATTCGCTGCAGAAGGCGGAGCCCCTTGCCCCCGTTGGGGGCTTTTTCATCTACTCCGTACGTACTGTACTTGGCTAACCCTACTATTGTACACTAACGCTCTCTCAAGCTTCCTGCCGTCACAACCCGCCGGTTGCACTAAAGTTACCTGAAGAGGTGCAGGCTAAGGGTCGTCTTTCAACGGCTTGATCCCACTAAACTTAGCGGGGATAACAGTTTAGAACCACCAAGGCCGAACCGTAGCGTCCGAACGAGCACGGGCCGCGCAGCATAGATCAGAGAGCGGATACTTTATTATCTAAATTCCCATTGTTACTGCTCTTAAACGTGGGGACGGTCCATTCTTAAATGACAGCAGGAGCCGATCTGAATGGGTCAACTGCAAGATCTGTTCCCACCTTGCTGGCCGAATATATGGTCGACAAGTGATTTCTCACAGGGCACCCTGCCCAATGCTCCAGTGACGTCTAGTCATCTCAATTGCAATCGGGCTTCATTCGATATACTACTCATGTTTAAGGTTGTGGTGACTCCTAAACATCTATTGCAGAGACGATGCCGGAGATTGCAAGATCCACAGCTCCGGAGGCGACTGGGTTGAAGGAGGACGAGGAGTCCTCTCCTCAAGCAAAGGCGGAGCCTTCTCCTCCGAACCGGGACGCGGAATCGCTTCCAAATCCCAAAGCGTCACGAAAGCGAACGAAAACTGGATGTTTAAGTAAGTTTCGCCCAATCTAATAATTCGAGATTCGCGCGAGCTCACTGACCAATTGTAGCGTGTCGCAAACGTCGTATAAAATGTGGGGAGGAGAGGCCTACTTGCAAGAATTGCATCAAGTCCAAACGGTCTTGTGAAGGCTACAATCCTCGAGTAATTTTCAAAGATCCATTGAGTGCAATACGGACACCAGGAAATGCTTATCAAAGTAACTCACTCAACCTTCCCCGGCTGGATCGATCTTCAACCTCGAGTTCATCCAATGCTGGTCATTCTCGCGGTCAACCGACAACTGCTCCGACGAATCCTCTTCCCGCAATTGCTCCGCGGCCCGTCCCTCAGTACGATCCGCATCTCTCAACGTTCTCTTCCCTCGCAGCGCTTCAAAGTGCACCTGTATCGTTTCCTGCGCCCACCCATTCACGAAATGACAGCATTCCCGCCGTCCCAGAGAATTTGCAGGCACAAACATCGCCTTTTTTTCATGCAAGAGCGCCGGCAGAATTCCAACAGTTGGCCAGCCACATGCCATCGTCATTCCTCTTAGGTCGAGACGCAATATATCCTGCAGAGCCGTCATCGGGGGATTACACCGAGCTCGTTAGCCAAGCCCACCCGGCATCTTTTTCACAATTTGTGCCAGGGGTTGGAAATTCACCCGGAATCGAAACAGCAGTTGAGGTTGCCGGCAACCTTCAGGGTGCTTCGGTGGCAGAGTATCAACCGTCACCATCCTGGAGAACAGCAACGAGCCATGAAGTCGAAGGTTCAGGGACTACTCAATGGCCTTCAACGACTGAGGAGGCTTGGCAATCTGGGCCCTCTCAAGTCATCGGCACAGGATCTCACAATGGTAAGTGAGCCCCAGAAAAAAATGGGTTGTCCATGTTGTCACTTGCCGAACCCCAATGTATGAAAGTGCTTCGACTCGGCTTCTCCCTCAGATAATTGGACTATAGTGTTGTCGGCTCGTGTTGTTTCTGCTCCATTAGTTGCGCATATTTTCAACTCGTTCGTCATACTAACCTGTCAATCGAAGCAGTTCCTTCAGTGCCGTTAGGGACACCACTCGACCAACATTTGAAAATGCCGCACAGCGGAGACCCCCCCATCAAAGCAGATTCCGCAGATATTGGCGGATACTTCTTGGGGTATAAAGAAGAAGAAAAGTATTCGGATATTGAAACGGACGATTTAGGCGAGGACGATGTCATGCAGACAGACAGCGAAGTTGCGGTAGAGGACCAAAATACAGGTCTTATTCGTGCGCTTCATGCAACCCAGGATGAAAAGCTGATGCGTTCGTTCACCTCCTTTCTGAATGAACCTAACATTCTTTCCACCTACCGCCCGTCAATGATCGCAACGCCGCTGCTGGATCCGAAAACGGCTAGAATTTTTTGTCATTTTATTACGGCTACGGGCCCAAGCCTGTCCATATTCGAGAGACATCCGATGAATCCATCAGTGATTCTCACTGGTGCACCAGTTCCCCATGCTCAACAGAGCCTTTGGACCTATGTTCTCCCTGTTATGGCCCTCCATCACCAAGCGCTTTTACATGCTATGCTCGCACTGGCAAGTTTACACATTTCTCGGCTTCAAAACACGTCATCTACGCCCTCCTTAAAGCATTATCACTATGCATTGCGCAGAGTGGGACGATGCGTCGCGAGTCACTCTCAACGGCTGGAAATTGCAACTCTGGCTGCAACATTACTCCTTGGTTTTTATGAGGTCATGACAGCTGAACATACAAAGTGGAATAGCCACCTTTCGGGTGCGAAACAGCTCATTGCGGAGCTAAATCTAGCTGAAAAATCTAAAAGACTGCGTGGAATGAAGCGCGAAGCAGCAGCAACGATTAAACAAGCGCAGGATGCTTATTTTGCCGGTGATCCAACCTCACTGTCAAACCTTCACATGATGGGGCTTAACCCGCTCGCAAACGCTTTTCGGCCAGAGGATGATATAGATGAGAAGCTTATTAGCAAGCTTATGGGCCGACAGTTTCGTTATGACTATTATGGACGCGTCATAGACGGCGAGCTTGGAGGCGTCGCGGGTGCGCCTAAGCCGCCACTGAGTCCTCAAGATATTGAGAATTTCAAGACCCAACAGGATCTCTTTTGGTGGTATTGCAAGCAAGATGTCTATCAAAGCGTGTTGAGCGGCAATGCTCTACTGTAAGTCCAAATGCCATTGACTGAAACGACGACTAAAGCATCATTAACTGTGTGCAGACTGGACTACGACCGTTGGGCGGACTGTACTCCACGAGCCCCTATCGGCAGGCTGAACGCTGTGTACGGCACTGTTGACCATTTGGTTTTACTCTTAGGTCGCATAGCCACCTTTGCATGCAATGACCTTCGGCGGAAAAGGAGGGTGATAAAAGCGAACGGGGGTGTTTGGAGACCGCCAAAAAAATTCCAAGCTGGGCCTACCAATGCTGCGGCAACAAATCAAAATCCATTACGCTCGCAGAACACTGCTCAGCAGAATCCCATGGATTCTCAAGGGGCCGAGGACACGCAATCCGTTAGAAAGAGGCCCTTGACTGGACCTAATCCCTCTACTGCCCCTCCACAGGGATTTCCATCGGGCGCTTCCTCCGCTGGGCCAGGCGGACCCCCTCCGATGGGAATCAAAATGCCATCGATGTATGGAATGGTACCTAGTGAGGGGCCTCCAGACATGCCTAGTGCATTTACAGCTACAACATTAAATCCTCGCACATCCTCATCGTCGTCCTCATCATCAACTACGCTACCACACGGAACTTCCACTACAGATACAACCAGCAGTCTCCCAAATAGCGGTGCTTCGAGCCGCCCGCACCACATTTCTACAGTTGACGACATCGAGCTAGAGGCGGCTACTGTAGAGGCGGAAGAGGAGTGGAGTCAAATAAACGATGCGATAAACACTTTCGAAGAGTCTCTTGGATCAGAATATCAACCTCTCTCACCCGAATATATGCAACCTACATCTACGCCTTTTGGCCCTGCGATCTACTATCGCACCTACTCGATGGCATGCATGTGGGCTCTCTTCTACACTGCGCGCATCATTGCTGCGCGGGTTCAACCGAGCATGCCACCCGCTGCCATGGTAGCCGCTGGGATCGCAGCTCGCGACACAGCCCAGCTCGCAAACCTCATTGGCCGTATTGCCGCCGGTATACGGCCAACTCCACCCTCACAGCCTTTGAATCCATCGCTCGGCGCTGCGCTCGTCGAGATCTCCCTTCCACTCTTCTTTGGTGGTATTCAATACATCGATCCCGCTCAACGAAATTGGGTAATTGCCCGACTCATGGACGTCACACGCCGCACAGGCTGGAGATCATCGGCCGCCATTGCCGCCGGCTGTGAAGCTGCATGGGTACGAGCTGCCGAAGCCGGTCGTGGCCCGCCGTATCACCGCCGAACTGATCCCCTCATGGACGAGACTCGAGTGGCCGCCAATCGCGTGCCACAGAATGCTGCCCAGTCTGATCATTCTGCCAGGTCCACTGGAGATGAAGCGAAAGCTGGAGATGTCCATGCGCAATTGAATAATCTTGACAGAAGATTCGTCACAGTCAATTCTCAGGCGAGATTACATTACGCTTTGGGTTTACTGTCAGTTGAAGAAGACATTGCTCGGTTGGATATCAACTGAATTTCCAACGTCCCGGGGTGCCATTGCGATGATGGGAAGCTTCGAGCGTTGCCCGCAAAACAGCAGAACTTTTGTTATAACACCACATCATTACCCCTCACGCCCTGCATGATCTCACCTCTTTTTAACATATCATCTTTCTTGGAAAAAGCCTTGCCATTTCTTGGATAAACGCAAACGCATCATCAGCGGTATTTCAGCGTTGCAATTTCCCCCTTTCTTCGTAGGAATATACCATTTGCAGCGGCAGAACCCTATCAATTGGCTTCCGTTTCAATCCCTTAATTATCCATCCTTGTGAAACTTATGAAAATCGAAGTACACAAGCCGCCCAATTTGTCTTGTGAAATGTAGCAAGATCGAACCAATCAACTCTTTATCATATCCGCCAATATGGAATCATCAAGCAATAGTTTTCAGAAGAGTACGCCGTGTGAGCAAGGGTTTTGGGTGAAAGTGCAAGTGAAAATGGGTGTTTCCTGAGACCCGTAGTAAAGGAGAGAAAGCGAACTTTTTGAGCAGAAACCCGCACTATAATCATGATAACAACCACTTTTACCACCTTCGCTCGCGATACTTCATACTTCCTCTTCCCTTGAATTTGATTTCCCCAGATGTTGATCCTGCAGGAGTCATCGCTGGGCCAGATAACCTGCCGCCATCACTTGCCCTGGCATAATTACCACTGCCACCTGAGCGGCCGGTAGTATTATTACCGAACCATCGATCATGATATCGGCTACGGCCTCCTTGAGGGTCTCGAGGTCCTCGAGGATAGTCTCGTGCGTCATTGTAGTTGTGCCTTTCATCGGGCCGTCCAGTGCTCTCAGCGTCCGGCATCTGCTCATCTTCATTCCCACCATGATCATCATATTCGCGCTCGATAACGCCCTCGTAGCGGCCCTCGGCAGCTTCACCACGCTCACGCAGACTTTCTTCATGGTGGAGGAGTTCTTCGTCTAGCCGTTCTCGCTCGAATTCGTGTTCGTCAAAATGTCGTCGTCGACGGCCGTGGCGACCGCGGGACCGAGAGCCGCGGCGTCGGAGATGAGGCGAGCGAGACGAAGAGCGTGGAGAGCGTGAGCGCGAAGGTGAAGAGCTGCGGCGACGAGCACTGCGAACGCGGTAACGTTCGTGCCTGCGCTCGCGGTCGCGATCGCTGTCGTGTTTATGTAAAAGCTTTTCTTTAGCGCGGGAGGATCGATGGTGGTGGTCGCGTTTTGAGCTGCGATTATAAGTCCGGTCTCCTGCTCCTTTTTGCCCTTCTTGTGCTAGTTTTAAACTGCGGGCATGAATGGGAGAGAGTTTTGAAGGACTGCGGCTGCTACCCTGATCAGGGACTGATGTTTCTCGGCCTGACGGAACGAATGTGGATGATACATCTGTCGTTTCGGCCTGAATGAGTGCGGATGAGGAGCGTTGACGAGGTCGACCGCGCAATGTTGAATCCAGGGCGTCGTCGCTTCGGCGGCGTGATTCGTGTGTCTTGTCCTCGTCCTGTTTAGATATAGTACGAGAAGGAGATGAAGAACGGGAATTGGACCCCGAATTTTGATTCCCGCGTTCTTGTTCGTGGGTTTGTCTATGGCCATTGTGGTGGCTCTCGGAGTGGTGATGACGATGTCTATCACGGCGAGGCGGTGTTTGAGACCCAGACCCCGGAGAGCTGCGTGAAGGCGACCGCGATGGTGTCCGTCTGCGCCGCTTTCGCCCACGACGGAGCTCTTCCTTTTCTGTGCCTGTGTCCATTTGGTCTTCTTGAGCAGATGCTCGGCTGGGGGCCGGTGCAGAGGCAATATTGCCCTTCGTGCGTCGTTCCAATTCTCCACAACTTGCTACCAAAACATCCTCATATGGTCTGTCGTTCTTGTCGACAGAAACTTTGGCCATGCGCTCAAGAGTTTGCTGGCCGGCCACAAGTTGCCCGAAGACAGTATGCTTCGTATTCAGGTGAGGGCACGGTACTAGTGTTATGAAGAATCTGTGAATTGCAAAGTGAATACGTTAGCACCTTATGAGATTCAATAGAGAGGCCATTTTGAGCTGGGTTGCAAGTCATGCCCGCTGAAGGTGAATCGTGATGTCCAAAAAAGCTCCCACCAAAAATAGTATACTTACTGACTGGTATTTGTATTTTTGCCGCGGTTGGCCATGCATATGAGACCCTCGCGGTCAATCTCGCGCCATCCAATATTCTCATCCTCGAATTCACCGCTATATATTGATTGACCACCGGTGCCATCTCCCTTTGTTATATCCCCGCCCTGGATCATAAATTCATCGATGATTCGGTGAAACGGTGAGAGCCGATACGACAGTGGCGGGTTCGAGCTGGTGCATAACGCACGGAAGCTAGAGACACAATACACAATTAGCTGTCATATAATTGAGATCACCGAAAGAATGTATGACGTTCTGGTCATTTGAAGCAAGCTTACTTCTCACATGTCTTGGGAGCTTTGTCGACAAAGAGCTCGATGACTAGTCGTCCTGCAGGTTCGGTGCCGATTTGTATATCCATAAAAACTCGTGGCCTAACAATTGCCACGGACGCCATGCTGACAAGTATCAACTTGTTCGCAGCGGGACACACTTACTGTGGGATTGTTGTTTGTGCATGGGGTAGAAAAGATGGAATGCTGGAGAGCTTGGGCCTGGGGGAACCACCTCCATCGGTGAAAGTCGGCGCCGATGGCTTCAAAGCTAATCGAACACCCCGCGATAGTAGCGAGGGTCCGAGGAGGTGTAGTGGTAAAGCAAAACGCATATTTCAAAGAAGCACTTTGACAAAGCAATTTATTTGATCTATTTGACTTTGTTATTTAATAATTTGTGACTCTAAATTTATGCATGGTCATTGACACGTTACATGCCGTGATCTACTTCGTCGTCTGCCGAATCTGTAGCATTTCGAGGTTCTCTGGCCTTGCTCGCATGTGTAGGCGGTCGGACAATCTATTAAGCTCTGTCCATCTTATAGAATACTATATCTAGTATTGAGCTTGTAAATGCGTGCATGGATGGGTCAAGGTAAAGCAATTCACAAAGCTTTCTTAGCCTCGCGCTCTTGCTTTTTCAGGGCCCGCTTGCGAATGCTCTCGTGCATAGCTTTGTTCTGGCCAAGAGCAACGTGGTTCATAGTTCCCACAAATGTTGACAGAGCCCAGTGCATCAAACCATGGCTCCAGTAAGGGGTTGAAGTGTAAGCAATTCCTTGAGCACCCCCGCTTCTTCCAATCTTCGCCAGTGTCGTCTTGACGAAGTTTCTCGGATTCGGAATTGCCAAGCTCGGTCGGCGAATCTTAGACATAGCGGAAGTAACAAGATAGCTGATGACAAGCTCAACCTGAACACCATGCGGTTTCAGTTCGGCGCCTAGAGCGGTTGACCATTGCTGCAAGAACGCCTTGCTGCCAGAGTAGGTCGCAAGCAGAGGAGTTGGCAGGAGACCACCAAAGGAACCCATGGTCAGAATAAGTCCCCGTCCACGTTGTGCCATTCCAGGGGCAACAATCTGGGTTACGCGTAGAGTACCAATGCAATTGACCGCAATGATATCGTTCAATTCTTGTTTGGGAGTCAAGATGAAAGGCACAGGCATTTCGTGGCTTTTGCCGACATTGTTGACGAGAACAGCAACATCAAGGCCATCCACCAATGCCTTTAGCTTCGAATAATCCTCGTCGAGATTCTTCGTAAAGTCCATGGTTAAGATCTTTGTCTGAATGGCTGAGCCGGCATATTTGGTCTGGATCTCCTGCGCGAGAGCTTCAAGCTTGGACTGGGTCCGAGAAATAAGAACAATGTTGAAGCCCTTCTGGGCCAACTGGATGGCATACTCTTTGCCAATACCGTCGGAAGCACCGGTGACAATGGCCCATGAGCCCTTTCTACCGAATTTACGGAGCTGACCAGGAATAATTAGGCACATGGAAGCTTTGATCAAAGACACTGGGTGCTTACCGAGGTGCCGCTCAGCACAAACAAACTTAATAGAGCTCTAGCATAGCTCACAACCTTTGCAAGGAGGTATAAGCCACCAACTCCGGCAAGAATAGTCGTCAATGTGCAAGCCATGATGGCGGGGTGCGGATTCGCTGTTGACTCGTTGGAAATGTTGGGGTCTATTGTCTGGGGAAAGGAGCAGCTTAGCGACGGACAAAGTTACAGAGATTTCATAAGATGTGCACAATTTGTGAACTTATGTGCATAAATTTCGCCTGATGGGATGTTTGGATTAATATCGGGCGATTGAAAGCTCACCAACAATCATCATTGTAGCTTAGAAGCATATTTTGCATTTTCTCCTTCAGCATTTCTCTTTGGTGCAACTCTCTTAGTTCTCCTAATCAAGCATGTCGGCCTATCTGCCTCCACATACTGGCCTCTTGCCGAAATGGCTTCTGCTGGTACTTCACCATTGGAGCTTTAATTGCCTGGAAGTTTGCGAACTGACAACGAAACTGCTCACAGATCTCGGTCGTATCCGTCGCTAATAGTGTCCAAACCTATCTTACACTCAATTACACACAAAAGGTCTACGAAGGATCGCCAAAAACTGGCTCAAAAAGTCCAGTGACGCCGCTTTCTGCTCGTACGTTTGGTACATGGACGTTCCTTTCTAGCATCATCCGTCTGTGGGCGGCATATAACATAGACAATCCCCAAGTCTATCAACTCGCCTTGTGGACCTTCGGAGTGGCTCTCGGTCATTTTAGCAGTGAGTGGCTTGTCTACGGTACTGCGAAATGGGGCAAGGGTCTCGCAGGACCCGCATTTGTTAGCACTGGCACCTTGCTCTGGATGGTTTCTCAGTGGAGCTATTATGTGCAGTAGTAAATTTATTGGAGAGGAGAATAAAACTCAAATAGGCCTGCAGATCAGTCCGTTCAAGCAACCAGACAAACCATAGTCATTCAATTAAATGTTACCTGCGCTATCTTCTAACCTCTGACACCAACATCAACTATGGACGACATCTCAATCATATAAAGGCCAGACCCTGCTCTAGTACAATCCAGACCGCTCTCATTCTCTCGTTTCACTCCAGCTTTGATCTGTAAAGCGCACCACCTGCGTTGCGTAACCTTGCAGCTGCTTGTTCGGGTGTGATGTCGCGCTGGGGTTCGGCCATCATTTCGTATCTGAGGGTGTCACAGTCAGTGGATGACTATCGAGACCAATTTATGTTGAAGAACAAATTCTTACCCAACGAGAAACTTCCTAACAGTGGCGCTCCGCAGGAGGGGCGGGTAGAAATGCATGTGGAAGTGGCTAGATTCAATCTCCTCTACGGTGCCATCTAATGGCGCCTGGTGAATACCCATGCCTGATGAATTAATTAGGACCGCCCATTCTCTGTATATGTATTTCCTTTGAATTCTGCGATACTCACTGTACGGGAAATGTGTTTCAAAGAGATTATCGTATCTCCGAGTGACTTCCGAGATAGCCTCGGCCAGATCTTGTCTTTCTTGCTCGTCGAGGTCTAGCAGGCATCTCTTGTGCTCTTTGCTCAAAATCATGACTTCAAATGGCCAGACTGCCCACCATGGACACAATGCCAGGAATGTGCCATTCTCAAATACGATTCGCTCCTTCTTTCTAGACTCTAGCTGCGCATAGTCTCTGAGCATATGTTGACCGTTATTCTCCTTGCGATATTTTTGCAATTGTACCAATTCCAGGCCAGGCTCTTCTGGGAGACCGGTGGTGACCCAAACCTGTCCGTGTGGATGCGGATTCGAGCAGCCCATGGCGGCGCCTTTGTTCTCAAAGATTTGCATGTAGCGGTACTGGGCATTGGGAGCGGCGAGATCGCCATCGTGTGTTTGTGGTGGCAGGGAGGTGGGCCCAGCAACCGCGGCAAGTGGAGAGTTGGGTGAGATGTGCGCCGCATAGAGCTTCGTCCACGTCTGTATCACGGGTATTATTTCGACCGGCTTGAGGTCGGCAAGCGTGAGATTGTGCGCTGGCGAAAAGGTAATAACGTAGCATTTTCCCGTCACAGGCTCAACTCGAAGGAGTGTCGATTCCACTATTCATAAGCATTGGTCAATTAATGGTCGTACATTCAAAATAAGTGTGCAAAACCAAGCAAGCGGTCTCCGGGAGCAAGACATACCTTTATCCACATTCTCCGGGTGGTATTCAGCTTGTTCTTCTTTGACTGCGCTGTAATCATTGACGAAGACAAATGTGCTTTCATATTTCGGATTCACATCCCCTTGTGCGCGCTTGTTTCCAGGACATAGATAGCACTAAAGAGACAATGGGTGAGCAAATCAATTGTCTTATTCCTCATGGATATAATTTCAGTTGTCGCATACTGAAGAGTCATATAGAGGCAGCGTTGTCTTTGATGCAGCTTCTTGTTGGCCCCTAGATTATTTTTCGCACGGTGAGTTGTCGTCGCATATTTCATGTGATGAAGCCATCCCATGTACTTACTGCCAGGGACGCTTTGTCCGGTGCGGCGAGACCAAGATCCAACTCCCTCTCAACGGATTGTATCGCCGATGAGAAATATCGTCCAGTACAGCATCAGGCATAGTGTGCAATGGATGTGAAACGAGTTTTGCGCTATTTACGTGAGGTATGGACACGGTTAAAAAAGCAATTAGACCGCAGAGATCAATCAACTACTCTAGAGACGCGATTAAAGCGCAATTTGTATGAAGTCCGTCCAAGCAGCGGGGACGTTCTCCTCACTCAACCCCGGAATCTGTTAACGTGGGGCTTGTCATAAATCGGTTCAAAGTGTGACCGAAGGGTGGGGAAATATCACTACACTAGGTAAATTTCCCCAGATTTTACGGAGGATTGTGGGCTAGGTTGATAAGGGCAGCTCCAATGTTCTATACCAGCTGTATCCGCGATAGTTTGGGTAGGTAGGGAGCGACACAAAAAGAGCAGTCAATCCGCCGCCCGCAAACATCAACGTGGGGTGGAGAGAGAATGAGGTCAATCATCATCAATTCAGGTCTATCCAGATTTTATTCCATTTTGACGAGGCATAAATTGTTAGGTCTAACTAATGCAAGTTAACTATGCAAACGTACCCGATAGAGCAAGCCATGAAGGAACGGGCCGAGATGAAGGCCGGCCAGAGAGAGCTTCTTCTGCAACTTGACGTAGGAGACCATTGGGATACTTTGATCTTTGTCTTCAAGCAAGCTATACAAAGGTATTGATTGGTATCCCCGGATTATGTCTGTAACCGCCTATTTGCTTGACTGGGTCTGGCACGAGGATATTCCGGGTCTTGTCCTTTCCAGTCTTCTTTTTTTCCCGCACGGCGATTCCTTCCGAGAAATTTCCGTTCGGAATCAAAAAAGATCAGCTTATGAACCTTAAGATCAGCTTATCTTTGCTAATGCTTGCGTCTATTTGCGGAAATTTAATTCTCCCCTATTTCTTTTATTTTATAAAATAGAATGGTAGTTCGCTCATGATGAATTGATTTTTGTTCTGCTGCTAAAAACTTGCAAAACCTCATGAACATGGACATGGACATGCTCATGACAGACGCCGGCGCCCCAGCCACAGTGGGGCTCTACGCACTTCCGACGGAGGTGGGTCATTCCTTCCCCATACGTGTCTTACCAATGTTTCCATTGGGGAATCCGCTGTCCAGCACCCGCAATGAGAAAGAACGCGGAGTATTGCTAGCTGAAGGATTGCTGACGGGCGGGCACATTTGCCAATTTCGGGCAGATACTTATTCAGATCCTGGCAACTTTCCCTACACGTTCACTACTGCCGCTCGCCGCAATCTCTCGACGTTTCTATGACCTTGTGCTGAGCATCGTCTATCATCGTCTAGTCTTGGCTGCATCGTTGCGAGGCCATTCACTCGTGCTAGAATGCTACCATCCGGCAAAAAAGCTTGAGGAGCCCTCACTTCCATGTGATTATCTCGACAGCAATGGCTTCAATGTCAAGGCAGGTCAAGAAAGCCATGTCTACTACGGCAAGGCAGATGCTGGTCGATTGGCCAAGCTCACGGGGCTGTATTCGCGATTCCGTCCAAAACAGCCTGAAATAGAGCGAACACGCGCTCGGCATCCGGCTGTTGATGTCCCCGGCCATCCAGGCACCAGCACGGCCTTCCCTCCCTTGGTGATTCGTCAACCGTCGGGTAAAGGAGAGCTCGTTTCGCAAACCGTCAGCCTCGATGCCGATGAATATTTTACGCAACTCTGCACCAAGACGCTGCTTGTCAAGGCCGGTCAGCCTTCTAGTATTTTTCTCAACTTTGTGGAGGTCACAGACAGCGTAGTCCGGTTGCGACGAGATTGGCTTGCCAAACAGGCAGCCTTGACTGCCGAAGAAGAGAAACGAAAATCCCGCAAAAAGGCCGATGAGCGCATCCTATGGATTGATAGAAAGAAGCACGTTGGTATTAGACTTAAGGTACAGGAAAGTACGGAGCGCTCTCAACCCCTATTGGGCCATCAGGATGAAGAGATACCTGTCACATACACCATTGAGTTTGAAGGTGAGTGAAAGGAAATAGCCACACTTGTGTGTCGATCCTTAGTAGGCTGACCTCATCATTCTTAGAACTCCTTGTGCGGACTGCGCACTTGTCGGTCATGCTCGAGCAAGCTCTTGTGCGCCAGGAGAATCCGTCTCAAAAAGCAATCGTGTTTGGATTTTTCCACTGAGCTTCGGCTTCGCAGCCACTATCCACTGCGACTGCATTTGCTCTCTAGTTCTTTTTTCGGTTCATGATATATCCTGAGCATTGTCGAATTTGATGTCTTGGTCATGGCATAGAGCGCATAAAATACGGAGTTGGGTCGATAGAATAGGGATCGATAAATCTTGAAGTAAATGGGTTTTAGCGGGGTTTCGGTATTCTCTCTTAATGATTTTAGAGCAGTATTGGTTCGGATATTCCTAATGCCATATATTTCTCCAGCAGCATTGAAGTCAGCACACTCTGACTTCCTTGTCCCCCCCTTCCCTTTTGTGATGCAGGATGATAAATCACTGCAAGAAGAAAATGTCCAGGCCCTCTAGGGGACTCTTTCGACCGTTTTAATTGCAAAATGCGCTTCCTCAGGCTAACGTGCCCTTTACAATTTTGGCTACTTCCGCCTTCTCCACTGGTTTCCCGTCGAGCTCGCCCCCGGGACCAACTAGTCGCTTCAATACGCTTCCCATATCGGTTCGAGCTCCTTCTTCCTTGAGCTTTTCGATAACTTGGTTTACGGCGGCTCGAATCTCCTCCTCACCAACAGTCTGGATTCCGCCAGCATAGCTCTCCAGGATAGCTATCTGTGCATCCTCTTTTTCTTTCAGATCAGCTCTATTAGCCTCGAGGAAATCCTGGGCAGCTGCCTTGGATGCCGCGGCTCTCTTGCGTAATAGAGAGAGGAGCTGAATGTCGGTCTTATAGGGATTTGAAGTCTTGGCCGCATTGGTGACCTCCGCGAGGAGAGCTCGTAAGACGTTCAGCCGCGTCGTGTCTTTCGCACGCATAGCATCCTTCAGATCAGTGCGAAATTTGGCTAGCAAAGGAGGCACTTGAGGAGTGTTCGGCGCAGTCGCATAAGTACGCAGGTAAGGCGTGGCCATGAAGCGCAAAGGACGAGAAGTCACCGCTCGCAGGGTCGGGCATGCGGTCAATGGGCGAGAAAGCATGATTGGTTTCTATAGCAAACAAAATAATCGAAACGTGAATTGATTGAATATAACAAGGTCCGCTTTTGCAGTCCAATTGATTTGCTATTGTCTCTCTTAAGAGATTTTGAAGATGAGAATAGTTTGGATAATCAAAACTGGGAAGATCTGGGATGGTGCTGTTCCTGGCTAAGCCGGGGGTCTAAGCAACTTTGTACTTCACAGGTCTCGCCAAAACTTCCCTGTTGGTCTGTGTACCTGCGGCCGCTACGGTTGGACCTTTTGGTTGCTACTGGATTCTGTTGGTTATGATTTATTTCTACTCTTGATCTTCCATCTCTTTTTTCGCGTTGGCGTCCACCTTTCAACCGCTGTCGCCACGGCCATCTGTTTGTTGCAATTCCCAGTAGCTGCTCGAGCTTTGAGAGGGCTTGTGTTCGTTTCGGCTACGAAAAAGGATTGCGCCGCCTCGAGCGAGTGTCAGAGGCGTTAATTCCAAGGTCTCATCGACATCAAACCTCTAGCTTCAACCGCAATCCGAATGTTGAAGCATGGCTTTCCAGCCGCAAACCCCCCAACGGCCTCTACCGGGCGCGTTTCTGTCAACACCGGCTTTGAATAAGCTCAATCCGACCATCGCTCCCATACCTGGACCCGTTGCCTCGACTGGTTTATCAACGCTCGCAGGAAACGATGCGCGACAGGCAAAGCCTAGCCTGCCGGCACAGCAGCCCTTGGTAGCTGCGAGTAAGAGTGCAGCAGAGTCTTTGAAGCCGATAGATCGAGCGTCTCGCACCATAAATGATACGCTCGCGGCGGAAAGAAGATATCCGGAGCTGGACAGTTATGTCGGCCGTACGTCTCTTCGTGTTTTGTTTGAAAAGTCATGCAACTAATCATACCTCCCAGAGGGCATTTCGTCCGACTATGATCTGCCAGTATCTCCTGCCTGGGCTCCTTTTCAAAAAGTCAAGATCTATGATATTCCTGATAAGATTTTCGAGCAGTACAATCAGGCGCAGGTTTCAACGACAATGGGCCTCTTCGCCGAGATCAATCACGCTTGGATCACGATTGATAATGCACTGTACCTGTGGGATTACACCATTCCGGACGCTGACCTGATTGGATACGAAGATCAGGCAAATAGTATAACCAGCGTTAAACTGTGTGTGCCTCGGGCGGGTGTATTTATCCCCAGCATTACGCATGTGCTAGTTGTCGCTACCACGGCCGAGATATTCATGGTTGGCGTTTCCGCTCAAACATCCCCTGCCGGAACGAAGACTGTAGCTTTGTATCAAACAAACATGTCAGTTCCAATTCGCGGGCTAGAGATCAACGTCATTGAAGCGTCGCCTGCTACAGGAAGAGTTTTTTTTGCTGGAAGGGATGACAATGACGTCTACGAATTCACCTATCAGCAAGAGGAAAAATGGTTCAAAAATCGTTGCGCTAAAGTGAACCATACTAGCAAGGGTTTCGCAGCCCTGACTCCTAGTTTCTCATTGGGCGCTTTTAGCCAGAAGGCTCTTCAGGAGCACGTTGTTCAGATTGTTGTGGATGACACAAGAAATCTTCTCTACACCCTGTCCTCCAGCTCCACTATCCGGACCTTTCATATGCGGCCCAACAACGGCTTGGATCTAGTCATCAGTCGCAGTCTTGCAAGCATATTTTCGAACATTGGCCACATGGTATCCCGCTCAGAGCTTCTGGTTCCAGGAACCAAAATTGTTTCCATCAGCCCCATCTCGGCAACGGAAGGCACGAAGCTGCACCTGATGGCTACGACCTCGACCGGCTGTCGCATCTTTTTGAGCGCCACTTCATCGTATGGGTGGTCAGCTGGGGAATCCACGGGAGCTCCAACAAGCATGCAAGTGCAGCATGTTAAATTTCCGCCGCCAGAGATGGGGCCGCCGCCGGACATGGGTGTGACATTTCAACAGTATCAGCAGGCGGCAGCCCCCTTGGCCCCCTATCCAGGGGCTGTGACCGTTGATACGCAGTCCAAGACTTTGAAGACCACTCGAACCGCAGCTAGATTTGCCCCTGGATACTTCTTCTGTTTCGTCGACCGCGATCCTCTCTCTGATGCGGACATGCTCTTTATGTCGTCTCCCGACTCTGGGCGCATAGCACGGCCGCAAGAGCCAACCCAGCTTACGAGATACTCTGAATTTGGCACTTGGCTCAATCTCGGAAGCCGTGCCGAAGACGTCGGGTTAACGACCCCGCCTTTCGCCGCAGCTTCAACACCAATTGGTTTCGGGAATGAGTTGGCCGTTCAGTTTGACGAACCTGTCCCGGAAATTGCAATTCTAACGAATACTGGGATTCACACCATCCGTCGCAGGCGCCTGGTGGATATTTTTGCTGCTACAATTCGCTATGGAGGTGGAGACGAAGGTCTTGAAGGGGAATTGAAGAAATTCATTCGGATGTATGGCAGAGGCGAAACCATTGCCACTGCTTTAGCTGTTGCATGTGGCCAAGGTTTGGATATTTCTTCCGACGCAAGAGTGTCCAATATTACAGAACCAGAGGTGCTTGAGTACGCTCGTAAAGCTTTCATCGAGTTCGGTGGAAAACCCATCTTGAATGAAAATTCTGTTTTGGACCAGGCAGTCCCTGCTATTGACAACGTTCGACCCTCACCAAGACATGAAGGCCTCGCACTTTACATTTCAAGGCTGGTACGATCTATTTGGAAGGCTCCCATTATGAAAGAAGCAACTACTCCGACTGGTGGCTTCACAGTCAAACCCACAATTAGTCTTTCAAAGGTGCAGGGAATACAACGGGACTTGACTCAAGTACAGGAGTTTCTAAGCTCTAATAGGAGTTTTATTGATGGGCTGGCAGGTCCTGAGGCTCTTGGTCAGGCTCGCACGAAACAGGAGGAAATTTCTCTTCAAGCCGAGCATCGTGCTTTGCATTCGCTCGTTGTATTAATCTCTGATATCATTGAAGGCATCTCATTTGTCCTTGTTCTTTTCGATGAGCGCGTCGAAGAGATTGTCCTCTCTTTGGCCGATAGTGCCCGACAGCAAGTTCGTCAGATGACTTACGAAGGACTTTTCTCCACCAGTGCAGGAAAGGATCTTGCAAAGGAATTGGTCAAGGCCATTGTGAACAGAAATATTGCAAGTGGGTCTAATGTGGACACGGTGGCTGAAGCCTTGCGACGGCGGTGTGGAAGCTTTTGCAGTGCCGACGACGTCGTCATTTTCAAGGCGCAGGAGCAGCAGAAGAAGGCATCCGAAGCCGGAGCGAATACGGAAACTGGCAGGAACCTTTTGAATGAGAGCTTGCGTCTATTCACCCAGGTTGCTGCCAGCCTTTCAATGGAACACCTTCAGAGCGCCGTGCAGCAATTCACTGCAATGGATTTCTATGCAGGTAAGAGGTTTGGAGAAAACAATATTTGGGTCATTGCTGACTTCACAAGGCGCTATCCAACTCGTTCTTGATGTGGCTCAAGAAGCTGACAGGGGGAACCGTGCATTAGCCTGGATCGCTGATGGCCGACCAGAACTGGTAAATAAAACACATTCTTTCCAACCGAATTGCCTCTAATTTTGTACAGGATCCCCGGAAAGCAGCATTCGACGCACGCAAAGGATGCTACAATCTGATCCATCAGATCATTGCCGCTGTTGATAAGGCATCGAGCCAAGCCCCAGAGATGATCGATGGACATTACACTCTCACAGCTAAACGCAGAAATGAGGCATACACCGTGATCAACAACTCCACGGACGAAGTCTTCCAGACGGACCTCTATGACTGGTACTTTTCGGAGGGTTGGACCGAACGTCTACTCGAAGTGCAATCTCCCTTTATCATCACTTACCTTCAGCGGAAATCACCCGATGATGTGAAACACGCCGATCTGCTCTGGAAATATTTCGCTCGTGTAGACCGGCTCTACGATGCTGCTACTGTGCAGGTTCAGCTTGCCAAAAGCGGGTTTGCTCTGGATCTTGCTGCCAGAATTGAGTACCTTAGCAGAGCCAAAGCAAACGCGTCGACATATACAACTGGAATTGGCAGACAATCTCGGCAGTCTTTGCTTCACGAAGTGTCGGACTTGCTTGATGTCGCCAATATTCAGGATGATATCTTGCAAAGACTGAAAGGAGATGCTCGTGTATCTCCTGAGCGGAGGCCAGAGATCTTGAAAGACCTGAACGGTCAAGTCCTTGGTCTTACTGATGTGCGTATCCTCTCTCAGCCTTCGCTACTTTTTCCCTCCACTAATCTGTGATTGCTGTCAGCTTTATAACGTCTATGCCGATCAAGCCGGTTATCACGACATTTGTCTGTTGATATATCAAGCTGCAGATCACAGAAATCCCGCTGATATCATTTCTACTTGGCAAAATCTGGTGACTGCAACTCATCAGAACACCGTTGAGCAAGGCGATGCGCAACCCTATGAAGCTGTGGCAGAATGCGTCCGCCGACTTGGATTACGGCTCAACCTCTCTGACAGCACGTTTCCCATTTGTAAGATCCCAACATACTTGTCCAATGATATAAGATCAAGACTGACCATACTAGCTGACCTCCTACCAATGCTTGAAAAGTACGCTTTTGAGTTTCAGCGAGGTGTCGGCCCGTCCAGCTGGATCGTCGATTCGTTTTTGGACCTCAAGGTTCCTTATGAGACTCTGTTTTCTGTTCTCGAGGGCATGTTTTATAACGACGAAGCGCCTTTTCAGGGACGTAATCGACGGTACATTGCTAACGATTTGTTCTATGTGATCAAGCGATCGTATTTGGAAAGCGGTCGAAGCGGCGGTCCTATCTTCGGCGATGATACACATGCTATCTCAATCTCCCAGACACTTCTAGCGCTTCAGCAGAGTGGAATGGATGAGCAAAGGTCAGAAGAGTGTCAGGCGCTGCGCTTTAAGATTGAGCAGTTGCTCCGATGAAGGTCCAATGAAGTGTATGATTCCTTTGGGGGTTTTGGAGTTCTGCGTCATTTGAAAAGCTTGGGCATAGCATTTTATATTTCCATTTCTTGTTCTTTGTATTACTCAGAGAAACAAATTTTTGTAGTGTAGAGCTTATGAGCGACTGCCGCCAGTAGATATCACGTCAAATGGGATAATCATGATAGCCATGAGTTTTGTGTTTCCATACATGCCACATCACGTGCCTTCACGCTACAAATTAGCTTTCCACACTCCGATGGTTTGAATAAATGGTTGATGGTGCAAAGAAAGCAAAACAATAAGAACCACCTGCAACATAAAAAACGATTCATCAAAATGGCGGTACCTCTAGCCTCACGAAAGTGCGATTTGCTTTATCTTTTGTTCTTTGCAATTCACATTCCAATCATGTTCCGTACGTTGTGTCTTTTCAGCACCCTTTGAGCTGCAATTTCCAGGAAGGATTCTTGTAAACATTGGAGTCTAATGGCACCAGTTGTCGACTTGGCCCCATTTTATCCTGATTCTTTCAGACCGCAAGTTATTACAGCCATCCGAGAGTGGTACATAAAGACCTATCGTGACCAATTCTTTTCATCTCCACCTGCATGGTTCAACGCATATCTTTTGCTCGAAGCCCTTTATCATTTGCCCTTGAGCATATGGGCTATCGGGGCCCTCAAACGAGGTTCGTCGACTCTGTATTGATGTGGGTTTTCGGAACTTGGCGATTGTGCTCTAATCTTATGGTTTTAGATGACCCTAAAATTCCTCTCCATCTGCTGATATTTGCCCTGGAGGCTGGCATGACCACTATGACTTGCATAGGTATGTTCTAATTTAAAAACCCTTGATGGGAGATTCTCGAATTGCTAATCATACTTTCCTTTATCAAGCGGACTATTTGAGCTGGGATATTTCGCGTCAGGAGAAGATTGATTTGGGATTTCTTTACGTGCCGTATTTGGCATTAGGTAAGTCCCGATTTACATTGGCGTCGTCAGCTTTCCCTACGTGGCAGCGTATAATTGACAACGATAATAATAGCTGTCTTCATGGGCATTGATATGTTTTGCCGGCTCAATTCCCAAATAAACAGCCGTGTGCAAAAGGACAAGAAGCAGGTGTAGAATATAAAGGCTACGGATTAAGTATCGTGTCGAGGAAGGGAAAGCATAATACCTAGGTAGGTAGCTAGATGATTGTATGAAAACTGGAATAGATGCGGAAGGCATTAGTTTGCGGAGCGTAGAAAGGGAAGGAGAATTGTGTGTAGAGAGGTTCGTGAGGATTTGAACATATTCATAACTCGCATTGCGTCGACAGCACATGTTTTGGTGAAATAATCCATGTTTTGGGCTATCGTTGCAGGTGCTTGTTGGCGGTGGGGTTCGAGTGACGATCAGAGCTCTATCAACACTAGTGACAGTGGCTGGCCAATAGTCATGCGCGTCACCACGACATCTCGGGTCCGCACGAGACAAGCGTGGTGTCCAGACCCCTCGATTCACCGCCAAAGCTGCAATAACTTTGCCCTTCAGTGCTTGACTTTGTTGCTTCTCGACTTCTCATTTTTTCGAATACATACTTCAAATCGTTCATCCTTATCATGGAGGAAATAGCTCCTGAGTATGACGTCGTAGTGCTGGGCACCGGTACGTATTACCTTCCATTGGAGCTCTAGTATTACTGGTATCGCTGTAACTCACCAAACCCCACAGGCTTGACGGAATGCGTACTTTCTGGGTAGGATAGCCCAAGCTCTTCTTGAATTCTCTGGATATTGTTATTAAGGCTTTCATTACAGCGTTCTCAGTGTCAAGGGAAAGAAGGTCCTACACATTGATCGCAATGATCACTACGGAGGGTTAGTTGTCTCGAGCCTCTTTCGGGCGCTACAACGCTAATAGGTGTCTCCAGTGAGGCCGCTTCTGTCAACATTGAAGCTGTTAGTTTTCTGCACCCGCTCGAATGCTGTTGTCTTGCTGATCCAAATTAGCTCTTTAAAAAGTACGGAAACTATAATGCTGGTGAGGAGCCATGGAAGAAATACGGCCGAGTGAACGATTGGAACATAGATCTCATCCCGAAGCTACTCATGTCGAATGGAGAACTTACAAATATCCTCGTCTCGACCGATGTGACACGATATCTCGAGTTCAAGCAAATTGCGGGAAGCTATGTTCAACAGGGCAACGGTCCCAAAGCTACCGTCGCCAAAGTCCCATCGGACGCTGGAGAGGCGCTTCGGTCGCCTTTGATGGGTATCTTCGAGAAGAGACGGGCTAAGAAATTTTTTGAATGGGTTGGCAACTTCAAGGAGGATGACCCTGTAACTCATAACGGTCGGTCGATCCATCTTCGCTCAGTGCTTGGTAACTAATCCCTGAAGCAGGTCTGAACCTGAACACTTGCACGATGAAGGAGGTGTACGACAAATTTGGCCTGGAGGCCACAACGCGAGACTTCATTGGACACTCTATGGCTCTGTACTTGACCGACGAGTATATCAACGAAAAGGGCGCGGCCAAGGAAGCCGTAATCCGTATCCGACTCTATGCTAACTCAATGGCACGGTACGGGAAGTCGCCTTACATCTACCCCCTCTACGGCTTGGGAGAGCTGCCGCAAGGATTTGCACGTCTGTCCGCCATCTACGGTGGTACATATATGCTCAATACCTCGATTGACGAGATTTTATACGACGGTACCAAAGCCTCCGGCATCCGAGCAACCATGAAGGAACGTGGCGAAGAGGGCGATGGCATGAAGTTCACGACGAAGGCGAAGAAGATTATCGGAGATCCTTCTTACTTCCCCGGCAAGGTCCAAGTGGTTGGCCATGTGCTGAGAGCAATTTGCATTCTGAACCATCCCGTTACCAGCACAGACAACAGCGACTCTGCTCAGATCATCATTCCGCAGTCACAGGTGGGCCGAAAGAATGGTAAGAAACCGATTTCTATACATTGAGTCTTTTCAACTAATCATACAGATATCTACATCGCTGTTGTCTCCTCTGCGCACAACGTCTGCCCCCGTGGATACTACATTGCAATCGTCTCGACCATTGCCGAAAGGACCAGTAACCACCATGTCGAGCTTCAGGCTGGATTTGACCGGCTGGGTAAGGTCGAGGAGATGTTCTTGGGCCCTCCCATTCCGCTCTACGAGCCTTTGGAAAGTGGCGTCAATGATAACATCTTCATCTCCAAGAGCTACGATGCGACCAGCCATTTCGAGACCACAACCGGTATGCTCTGCTCATTTCTATTGGCTTCTCGCCTCTGTCGATTCTAACATTTTTTCTTCTTCTTAGATGACGTCAAGGATATTTATCGTCGTGCCGAGGGGCAGGAGCTGGTTGTTGAAGGCCTGCGGGAAGGTCAAAATCTGGTTGGTGAGGAATAAGCATAGGGACAAAGCCAGGCGTCTTTACTTCAGTGATACATAATCTTCGTTTCAGAACAATTGGAACACATTCCATGATTGATAAGTGAGAACATGATTCAATTTTGCGTTGTTTTCCAAGCAGATAGACACCTGTGTCATAATATTTAAGTTTCAATCTTCAGAGAGACTTTTCGCCCACGTGGGCTACTCGTGATACCTTTCAACGATCAAGCGATAAGATCTTGACGTGTTAGTATTTGAGTTATCGCGGAGATCGCCGGTTAGCGGGGACAAAGTGTGTTGACGAGTAAACAAACCCGCCGCGTTTCTCCTCCAACATTGCAAACTGGCTGTCGGTCGGATAATGTCAACATGAGGGTGGTAGAAGTTATTATCGATGTAAGATCTAGAGATTCCTATGCATTCTAGTCGGCTGACGATGCTCTGTAGGGTTTCAAGTCGTACGCGACGCGTACCGTCATTTCTGGATGGTGAGTGGATTTTCTTTGAGCATGATATTGGTTTTCCCTCAACCTTCGCATGGCGATGCATTGGCAGCAGTCTATACCCGGCCCAAATCATTGTCATATGCAGGACAATCGGAAAGACGCGATTGCTCCTTTAAAGGAAATTTGCGCAATGATTGCAACCGTGCAATATCAATTAGAGCAGATGGTTGTCTGACAACAACTAGGGACGAGAGCTTCAATTCCATTACCGGTCTCAACGGAAGTGGAAAGTCCAACATTCTCGATTCGATATGTTTTGTCCTCGGTATTACGAACATGTCCACTGTGAGGGCGCAGAACTTGCAGGTAGGTTAGACCGGGTAGAGCGATCACGTTCCCTCCAGAAGCAAATTTTGAAGTGCATTGGAGCGATGCTTTTCTAATACCACTTCCAGGATCTCATCTACAAACGAGGCCAAGCAGGCGTAACGAAAGCCAGTGTGACAATAGTTTTTGACAATCGCGACACAAGTAGAAGTCCGATCGGTTTCGAGGAATACGCCCAAATATCTGTTACTCGCCAAATCGTCCTGGGTGGTACGAGCAAATATCTAATCAACGGTCATCGAGCGCAACAGCAGACTGTGCAGAACCTATTTCAGTCAGTGCAGCTCAACATCAACAACCCGAACTTCTTAATTATGCAAGGTCGCATCACCAAGGTTCTTAATATGAAACCTGTGGAGATTCTCGCAATGATTGAAGAGGCTGCGGGCACGAGAATGTTCGAGGACCGGAGAGATAAGGCGTTCAAAACAATGGCAAAGAAGGAAATGAAAGTCCAAGAGATTACAGAACTTCTGAAGGAAGAGATTGAACCGAAGCTTGAGAAACTTCGGACGGAAAAACGGGCATTCTTGGACTTTCAGCAGACACAAAGCGATCTCGAACGCTTGACAAGGCTGGTTGTTGCGCATGATTATATCAGGAACAAGGATAAGCTAAGTCATTCTGCGAATGAGCTTGATGCCAAAAAGCTGCGTGCGAGATCCCTTGAAGAATCCGCTGCTCGACTTAAAAATGAGATTTCCTTGCTTGAAGAGGATGTCAGGCGGGTCAAGGCGGCCAGAGACAAGGAACTCCGGAAGGGAGGGAAATTTCAGGCTCTTGAAGACGAGGTCAAGGCTGCCTCTCATGAAATGGTACGGTTGACGACCGTGCTCGAGCTAAAGAAATCTAGTGTCTCCGAAGAATTGGAGAGGCGGAAGAGCGTCGAAGCCACAGTCAAAGAAATCGAGGCTCAGCTGAAAGAAAAGACCAAGGTCTACGAAAAGCTCCAGGCTCAATACGACGCGGCGAAGGACGAACTCTCGAAACAGACGGATGAGGTCGAGAAGAAAGAAGAACTACTGCAGACTTTGCAAATCGGTGTAGCATCCAAGGAGGGCCAAGAAAGCGGATATCAAGGACAGTTGCAGAAGGCCAGAGACAGTCTTAGCTCCGCGACCACCGAGCAGGAACAGGCGAAACTGAAAATAACACATCTCCAAAAGCGCATCAAGGAAGAAGAGCCGCGTGCGCACAAAGCTAAGGAGCAAAATTCCGGTTTGCTGAAAGAACTGCAAGGTTTGCAAGCCTATGCCAAGAAGCTAGAGGCAGAACTCAGTCGACTCGGGTTTGAGCATGGAGCCGAAGAAAAATTGCATCAGCAAGAAAAGACTTTGCAGCAGAAGATCCGTGAATTGCGCGAGCAATCGGAGGCTATGAAGAGAAAGGTCTCCAATATCGACTTCACCTACCAAGATCCCGTTCCTGGATTTGACCGCAGTAAAGTCAAGGGCTTGATAGCCCAGCTATTTTCACTCGACAAGGACAAAACGATCGCCAGTACAGCGCTTGAGATTTGCGCCGGCGGTAGATTGTACAACGTGGTGGTTGATAGCGCAGAAACTGGTACTCAGCTCCTGCAAAATGGCAAACTTAGAAAGAGAGTTACGATCATCCCGCTCAATAAGATTTCTGCATTCAAAGCTTCGGCGGAGGTAAGTCTGGGATGATCATGTTACAGGCTAGCTGGTGTTGACGTTGAAGTAGAGAATTGGCGCCGCTCAAAACATTGCTCCCGGAAAAGTCCATTTGGCATTGTCACTCATAGGTTATGATGAGGAGATCCAAGCCGCCATGGATTATGTATTTGGCTCTACACTAATCTGCGCAGATGCAGACACCGCAAAGCGCGTGACATTTGACCCATCCGTGAGGCTGAAGAGCGTAACCCTCGAGGGAGATGTCTACGACCCGTCTGGAACCCTTTCTGGAGGGAGTGCTGCCAGTTCTGCTGGTGTGCTCGTTGTTCTGCAGAAGGTCAACGAGATTAATAAAGAGTTGGCAGCTCACGAAAATGCGCTAGCTGAGCTTCATGCTATGATGGTGAGGGAGAAGAAACGGATTGATGCCGCTCGGAAAACACAGCAGGAGCTCGATCTCAAAACCCACGAGATTAGGCTGACGGAGGAACAAATCAATGGCAACTCTTCATCATCTGTGGGTTTACTGCTTGCAGGATATCGCGTGGAGTTCAACATGGCTGACACCCATATAGATTATTCAAGCAGTTGAAGAAATGAAACAGAACGTCGAGCAGCTCAAGAAGGATATTGTTGAAGCTAAGGCACGGCAGGAACAGTCAGCACAGGAGATCAAAATCATTGAACGCGACATGAAAGAGTTCAGTAGCAACAGGGACGACAAACTGGCCGAACTGCAGAATTCGCTTGAGAAGCTGAAGAGAAGTCTGAGCAAAAATTCGGCGACAGTGAAAGCCCTGCAAAAGGAGCTGCAGAATTCGCGGCTCGAAGCTGAACAAGCCGGTGGTGATCTTGCGGCAGCGAAGGAACAGCTTGAAGAGGTGGATGCAACTCTGAACGCGCAGCAGGAGGAGACGAAAGGGCTCTTGCAACAACAAGCGCAAGTCAAGGTAAATTTCAAGCCTCCCTGATGTGTCGCAAACTTTGCTTGAGCCTGCAAGACGCTAATTGTTTACCTGGACAGGACGCGCATGACATTGCACAGGCCCGACTGGATGACGAGCGGACTAAACTCTCTGGATTTGACGAAGAGCTTCGTTCTCTTGAGGACGCCTCTCGGACCAAGGCCTCCCGCATTACTGAGGAGGGCCTTGAGATGCAGAAGCTTGGTCATCAGATCGAAAAATTCCAGAAGGAACAACAAGCCGCATCGCAGCTAGTTGCCCAAATGGAAAGTGAGCATGAGTGGATACCTGATGAGAAAGACAGTTTTGGCCGTTCTGGAACGCCATATGACTTCCACTCTCAGAACATTGCCGAGTGTAAATCATCGCTGCGGAATCTGACCGAACGCTTCCAAGGCATGAAAAAGAAGATCAATCCAAAGGTCATGAACATGATTGACAGCGTCGAGAAGAAAGAGATCGCACTGAAGAACATGATGAAGACGGTTATTCGTGACAAGCGTAAGATCGAAGAAACTATCAGCAGTCTCGACGAGTACAAGAAAAAGGCTCTCCACAAGACCTGGACCAAAGTGAATGCGGATTTCGGACAGATTTTTGCAGAATTGTTACCCGGCAGCTTTGCCAAACTCGATCCTCCCGAGAACAAGACCATTTCTGATGGCCTCGAAGTCAAGGTCCAGCTTGGCAAAGTCTGGAAGCAGAGTTTGACTGAATTGAGTGGTGGTCAACGGTATGTTCTTTTGCCCCTTGGAACTTGAACCTATGGATTGTTTTCGCCTTTGGCATGCTCAACATCAAGTGCATTGACTGACTTGAAAAATGTTATATAGGTCCCTGATTGCCCTCTCTCTCATCATGGCCCTCCTCCAATTCAAGCCTGCCCCCATGTACATTCTCGACGAAGTGGACGCCGCCCTCGATCTCTCGCATACCCAGAACATTGGCCGCCTGATCAAGACCCGCTTCAGGGGCTCTCAATTCATCGTTGTTAGTCTGAAAGACGGCATGTTCCAGAACGCCAACCGCATCTTTAGAACTCGTTTCAGCGAAGGCACGAGTATCGTGCAAGCTCTCACTCCCGCGGATATGAAGTAGGCGGTTTTTTTGGTGGTGCGACATATTTCGGTGCAATTAGTTCAATGAGCGAAAAGAAAATGCGCAACAGCATGTGGTATCTCCCTTTAAGTGTGAAACGTGGTTTGAGGAGTAGTCTTGCCTGCGAGAAGGTTCGTTGGCTGTTGGGTTTCTGGTAGAACGGAAAGGCTTTGGACGGGTTGGCTATTGTTTAGGACCAGGGGACTAAGTGTCGGATTTGGCGTCATACTTCACTTTACTTTGACTTTTCTCGGTGCATGTCGTTCTTCTTCTCTTCTTTAATGCGGCGCCCGATATTCTTGTCTGGATTTGGTATATAAGGAAGTTCTCAGGAGTATACTGTATATCATTTTTGGCAATGCAAGATATTTTTTACCTCGTCAACATCTTCGATCAAGTTATCATCTTGTCCTAACGAGTTGTCCCACAGTATAAAGTGTGTTTATTCGCGTTAATTTGTATTAAAATGCACTATTTGGAAAGTAGCCCCGGATAGTGACATGAGGTTGAACTATTTTCCCTAGTATTTGTTCTAGACCGACACCCCAATTGAGAGATTACCAGACACGCATACCATAATTAATATATATGTATATATATGTATATAAGGTATATATATCTTGAAGATAGGTTGCCTGGGACTCGGAGGAGCGGAGAGGGTGATAAAAATATGAAGGGAAAGACCAAAAAAAACATGCGACAGCGGGGATTCGCTGGTCGTCACCGACCCAACTACTAGTCCACCGATCTGAGGCTTATGTATGGCAGAGCGGACGGGATGCCCAGTTCTCCTCAGTCTATGGTCGCATGTACCAGAAGCTTTCAGTATCAAAATCTATATACCTCCATTTCAGGGGACTTTTCTGCCGGCATTTGTTCCTCCTCGCTCGCCGTGGCTCGGTGGTCTCCATGCGTGGTAACCTAACCAGGTCAGTACCTCGGACGAGGCCAGGGCGCCATAAATGGCTTTATATGAATCGACAGAAGAAAAAATATAGAGAGTAGATATGACACGTAAGATCTAGATGAATGCAATATTATATCTGCGTAATTTTGGTGGTGATATGTTGTTATGAACGGGTGAGATGGCAAATTGAATCGCAATAATAGAAAATATATAAAAATGAAAGATTTTGAAAAAAAAAAAAAAAAAAAAAAAAAAAAAAAAAAAAAAAAAAATTTTAAAAAAAAAAAAAAAAAAAAAAAAAAAGAGAGAACAAGAATAAGAGGAGGAAGAGGAAATAAAGATTAATGAAAAGAAATAATAAATGAATATTTTTTTTTAGAGTTTCAAACTGGAGATGAGATGCGGCAAACGAGCTTCTGGTTGTGGTTCGTGGTTTCGCTCCCAAACGTCAGTCAAAAATTCGATATAGAAAATTTACTCTAGAAGTCAAGAATAATTTCATCCAAGCATCCCGAGTCACAGTCACTTGAATATACATGCATTATTTATACAAATGGTGAAAAAATTCCTTTTGAGCTCACAGGTTGGTTATTTTGAATTATTACAGGTCTTCATATTCATAGTTCAATTTGCAATCTCCCATAGACAATGTGAAAAACTAGTCAAGAAAGCAGTATCCATGTTGATAAGCTTTGCATGCCTTCTAGGATCTTTTGACATCTCCAGCACTGTTGGACACAGTCAGTCTATACAAAGCATGCAAGATAACTTAGTCTGTTTTGCCTGAAGAAATGGTGACCAAGATCTTATCGCTCTAGTGAATCTTATCAGACGACCACGTATTATTGTCATCGCTTCCAGAGCGTCCGCGGGCTAATTGTCAACTGAATCCTCCAGCACCAAGTCGTGCATGTGCTTCCCCAATTCTCTACCAGGAAGTCCCTTTGTCTCTGCCTGGTGTGAGGCTATCCTCTGAAGATAGATTTGATCTGTCTTCGTTCACCACATAACCTGCACGTCAATCGTTTCGTGCAGCTGTTTCCCTACCGCAACCCCGCGATCCTCTGACGCCCAATTAATCTCGCGCTCTCCAGTCGCTCACTATGGCGGAGCAGACGCTCAGCATCCCTCAATTGATAGCTGTCGGGCTCATTGGATTCTTTCTCATTCGCTGGCTCTTCTTCTCTCCCTCCAGCAATGCCGGCAATCGCAATGCTCAAGCGTCAGGAGCGAGACAGACGGCCGCTCGTCGCGTAGATCCTCAGCAGGTCGAACAAGTGGCACAAATGTTCCCACAAGCTTCTCGGAGGGATATCCAATGGGACTTGCAACGAAACGGTGGTAGCGTAGCCGCCACCGTGGAGAGAGTGCTGAGCGGCAGATTGGAAATGGTATGAATCATCCCTTCTCTTCCGTTTCATTGATCGCCAGTCGTTCACATACCCTATGTCGTATTGAGCTTGGCAGAGCCAGTCTGTGTGTAATTTGTTCTAATGAAATACTATTGAATAGGCCCCGCCGTCCTTCCAGCCGCTGAATTTGACACCCAGTCCTGTTGCAATAGCCACAACGACCTCCCGAACCTCAACACCGCATAAAGCCAAATATCCGGACCTTATCACCAGATACAATCTAGGCTCGCGAGTGAAAGCAACAGAGGCTGCGGCATCATCTACTTCACCGGCACCGGCTTCCAAGCAGGGATGGTCGCAGAATAAAACTGAGCGCCAGTCATTGATGCAACAGCGAAAAGAGGAGATGATTCTCGCGGCGCGCCGGAAAATGGAGGACAAGGACAAGCAGAAGGCGCCGTAATTTTCAGTCTTATCTACTTCCATCTGAAAACAGATGTTTTCAGAACTTTGGCGTTTACTTCCTCTATTGGATTTTCCTCCTTCCCTCCGACTTATTCCCTGCTCCGGCCTTTGGGATAGAATGGCAACTGCATCGCACCCAGGCGCATCTTTTTCATTGTTCTTAGCACTATATGGCGATGGCGGTTATTGTGCTTTTCGTCCTTTTCTCGTCTGTGGTTTACAGTATCTTTGTGCGCTTAGACTTGTACAATCAAGGCCTCACGGTAACGCTGTGCAGATTTACAGCACAGGTCCGGTCGAAAATAGGCAATTGTAAATTCTCAATCCATGGTTAAAATGCTACAATTTCGAGGTTATACTCGCATCAAAAGCAGAGGTGCAGTGTCCGCGTAATGCGAAGAAATGATGTAGGTACAGCCAAGTTAAGTATTTGTCTTGCTCTACCACTCGGCCTGGCAAATATTCTCTTTTAGGTAGAAGACGAAGACGATGTGAACCAGAATGACATGTTTATCACGATGCAGGCGTCAACGCGTTCAATACTTCGTAGTTCCAGTGGATATTGACATAGGTAGTTTACTGCATAATCATTGGGTAAGAGTGGATGTAGCGCCCGCCCAAGAAGGGTCCCCCAACAAACTCACTCCGTAGCGGCGAAAGAGAGAACTTGCTCGTTCCTGTTACGTCAGCTGAGCTGACAAGCTACCCCTTCACACTGTAGCTCAGCAACCCGAGGTCTCCGACCACCAGGACCCCTCTCAACCCCACCAATTTGGCGTGGTCCCGGCGCATGCAAAGGCCGGTCCCGCCCCACGAGCCCAAGAGTTAACAAGTCAGGTCACGCCTAGATCTAGTTTCCCGCAACACGACGGAAAGTCACCATCTTTCTTCAATATACCTATCTCAATAACCTTGAAGGATTATTTGTAAGTTGCTGTCTTTCCTCCCAATATTTCCCTATTTCCAACGCCGTGGTGTCTTGTATTTTGTGTCTGAACTGAAAGCTTATACTTTACGTTTCTACCAGAATAACATAACATTTTTTTTCATACATTATGGCGCAGAGCCCCGAGTTCGAGCTGGCCGTTAAGCAGGTCAAGCAGCTGACGAAGCCGCTGGGTCCCGAGGACATGAAGAGAGTAAGCTTCACCTTATTTTTCGGCGCCTTGGTGTAGCTCTCTCCCGCACTCGAAGGAGAAGCGAGTTTGCATAAATTAGCTTCCACGAGGAAAAAGAGAAGAGCGGCACACGGCGTATTTTGTGAATGCGCGCAAGGTCTATTCTTGGTCCTAGCTGAGGCTGACATGAAGCTTCCGTTTGTGTACAGTTATATGGTCTCTACAAGCAGGCTACCCAGCCTCAGACTCTCGATGAGTTCTACGCCAACGTGAAGAAGCCGGAGGGCATGTTCAACTTCAAGGTAAATCGCTTTTCCTACTACTACTGCCATCTTTTTTCGAGGAGGAATAGATTGCAGGTCGCTCCATTTGAGCTACTAGAGCGAGGATTTCTATATGCAGAATGAAGCAAACCCCTTCGTGGAGATCGTTCCAGCAAGATACTGATGTGGCTTTTCAATTCATAGGAGAAGGGCAAGTACGCCGGATGGGAGCAGGCCGTGAAGGATGCCCCCACTGGTGAGGAGGCTCAGAAGCTCTACATTGAGTTCGTTGAGTCCCTCAAGGAGAAGTACGCCTTCGACCCCAACAAGGAGCCCGAGTCCGTCAAGTCTTAAGCTCGTAATCCATACTGGACTGCAATCAGCGCGCAAGACCTCTAGTTGCGTGTCGGTGTGGAAAGCACTAGACATAGAGCAAAGAAATCTATAGCATATATTTTGGGCCTACACGCCGACCGGCTCTTGTTCTCATTAAGCATTAAATATAAGATTTTTAACGTTGCCCAGAGGCAGCCAAGTATCTCCCCAATTTGGCTTACGTTATGTCTTACTTCAGTCAAGCTCTAAGCTCATGCAAACGGCTTCAGATCAATAATCCGCTGGTTTCCATTTAGTCGTAGCTTACGTTGTAACTCCTTCCCATCCAGTCCGGCTCGGCGTAGCTTGAGGTGGCACACCAAGGCATATCAATAGGCCGATACGGCACGAGAGGAAGGTTGTAAGGCATCCTGAAACCAATGACGTTAGTATCCTTACTTTGCGACACGCTCTTCTCATCAGAGGACAAGAATTCATTGACCGTGTCCAAATTGGGGGCGTCCTGCTTGAAGACTGGAACCATAATGCTTGTCCCGCTCTCCGATCCCTGGTCAGATGAAGAGCTCGATGGCGACTGGCTGAAGAGCTCCGGCCAAACAACGACACCGATCTCCCAACTGCAGATACGCACTTCGCCTGTGGCGTTTATTGCACTGCCCCACGCTTGCGTGGACATGTTCGCAGAGGTTATCATTGCCCAGTCGATTTGTTTGGCACTGGAGTCAGAGAAGCGGATATAAGTTTTGATATGGGGCGCGGCTCTCCTCCTACCAGCATCTCGAACAAGTTCCGGATTACTACGCGAGAGATGATCTCCATCGCCTGCCCAATGTGATAAATACGGTTTCATGTAAGCTACCTGCTTTGCTTGTGCGGCAGTTTGGATCTTCATATGAATAGACGAGCCCGACTGGTAGCCGTCCAGGGATCGTCTAATTTCATCGGCAGTGGGAAATATAACTGAAAACTTTGGCTTCCGCGAACGCTGGTCTTTAGTCCGGGGGCCTGTCGTTGCTAGGGTAGGGAAAAAAGTCTCTTTGAGATATCGGTCTGTTTGACCGAGGCTGGCAATAGAAGATACCTGATCCAGAGTAAGTCTTCAGATATGTCAAATTGATAAGTATGAATTGGATCTTTACCTGCACAATAATATGAGGAGGACCTGAGTCATTGCTCCTGCTCGAGACAGGCACATGTTTCAGGACCCTCTCTAGACCGGGCCATCCCCAGAGCGGTTCATCTTTCGAGTCAATCTGTGCCGGCTTTTGCTTGCAAGGTGTACTTGCAACCAATGCGGCTTTCACTCCACTAAAATCGTATTTGCCCAGTTGTGCAGTCAAAGATCCGGTCTTTGCTTTGCCATATGCACGGAGGTAAGCCAGCAAATCATTCTTGAATCTGACCCCGCTACCAATCTGGCCTGAGGAGCTAGTAGAGTTCTCTTTTGCTGCATGTCCAGGAAACAAGGGTAACAAAGGTGAGCGCCAGACGGCTTGGCACATGTTTGTCCAATCCTGCGGGATCATATTTGCCGTATGAATGACAACCCTGCCGAAAATTAACCACCGGAATCCCCTTCACCACTGCTATAACGGCGCTCTTACTGTGCACAATCATCATGTCTGAGCAGTATCATCATTTTGGAATGATGTGTACCAAATGGCTCAGGCATATAAGCAGTAATTAGTCTCAGATTCTTATACTGCTTTGCAGATTCCTACCGAGCAGATCACCACGTCAGCTACGGAGTTACACACAGCTTGTCTCTTGATGTTATTAAACGGGGAAAAGAAAAAAAGTTTACCTCCAACATGACTCTATGATGATCTTCTTTCTTCCATGATCCATGCATGACCCTGACTTGTACCAGGTGCCCTATGTCTTCATCAAAGGAGCCCCTAAAACCATTAACGACCTTTCCTCCGCCCAAACCTAATACCTTTAGGGAAGAAAAACGTACATGAGAAAATCAAGATCAAATAGATAATTGAATTGCCAGCATTCTTTTATCAGAGGGTCACCGAGAATGTCCTTGAGTTGGACCGTATCGATATTGTTCTGGGCAGAAAGATCCCGGATCCGACTAAGTTGTATCGGCGAAGGAACTATCTTCATATTCGTATTCCCACCGGCATCTGCATTTTCAGATGCTTTCGCAGGAATACTCTGGGATCGACATTCCGAGCCATTTCTTGAAGACGATGGAGGGCTAATAGAGCGCTCTAGAGAAAATAGCAATTGTCCTTTGCGAGGTTCTCTTGGTAAGTCGCTGTCATTTGCTTCAGAGGTGCCTTGATGCTGATGCTGATGCTGGTGATGTTCAACAGTCGTAGTGGTTCCATTTCCAGCGGCTTGTGCCGTCACCGTATCAAGACGCCGCCTTTTTGCGGCGGGCAGCCCATCCATGTTCCCCTACTGCACGTAGTAGTAAGGGGAGTTTAGAAGAGCTCGACGCTTGCAAGTTCAGCGGGGCATGCATGCATTCATGGAAAGTTATTGCAGAGGTACTTCCGTCACGTCATTGTGCTAGAGACATACTCAAGAGTGTCTGCATATAAGAACATGTGTTTGTCTAATTTCAGGATTTGCTTTCAGGATAACCTTTATAAATATGAAATGCAGTGGCTGTAGTGAGTGAGAACGTTGTGGAAGAGTACATTCGTTCACATCCCATCATATATGATTTTATGCCGCAATATAGTATCAAGTGGTCGGTTAGCTCAGTTGGTTAGAGCGTGGTGCTAATACCTAACGGTTCCTTACTCAGTAAGGGAAAGTTAACGCCAAGGTCGCGGGTTCGACCCCCGTACTGACCATCTAAACATATCTTTTTGCCAACCGTTTGCGCCTCAAACCCACCAGAAAGCTTTGCTGCGGTTGTTTGATAGGATCCTGAGTTTCTTTTTGCTACCTCTCTCTTCTATCACTTGCGGACTCTTTAATTTGCCTTCTTTTCTCAATGACTACCTTGGATTTGGGACTTCCGGGTAATTATCCAATTTAGTGAACCTCTCTAAGGCAGAGATCCAAATTGTTCATCACCTAGTTTTGGGGTGCGGTTCCGTTGGCCCAACCGAATCTGCTTCGCGGTTGCACTTTACTATTTGCTAAGGAAGACTAGGAGCCAGATTCATATAGAGAACAGCAGAAATTATCAATCACCATAGCACTGACAGAAGACAGAGTCGAGTTCATTGTTCTTTGGCAAGAGCAGCAAATGTTCTTGTATTGCGGCGATTCCCCCGGCTCCACGGTTTGACTAAGTAGTTATGAAACAAGCATTTTCCACGATTTCCCTTACGAAAGTGTTAATCCGCAAATGAAACTCCGACGACCATAAGCCACACTGAGACCGAGTGCATGATCTTCCATTAAGCAGCAGATGAAAAAAATCAAACGAAAACCGTGGGAATAGAGAGGTGTGTGTGTCTTTGCAATATCAAGCGTCGGAACGATACCACAGCTAGGGGTTGGTCATATTTCCTAGAGGGCGAATATTGCGCGAATCGAGACTATCGTAATGAAGAATAAATTCGCGCTAACTTAATGTCAGATAATCCTGATCAATCAAAAAAAAGTCAAGAAATACTTACTCTTGTTCTTTGCCACGTATTAGGATCGAAGAAGATGTAGAAACCGCGCTCTTCATTGGGGCCAAGCGGAACTGGCTCATAATTCATATCTTTTGTAAGCCATTGCTTTTGTTCTTTATGATATCTCCAATTCCGGTTGGTGCTACGGATATTCAGTGATTCAGGTATTTTTAAAAAAGAATTTCGGAAAGCTTAGCAACTTACAGCTCGCCAGCAGCTACTTCTTGCATGATATCCTTTGGCATGCTATAGAAAATGTAGAATAATGTCTCATCGGAGAAGCTCGTCACCTTTGATTGTAGTGGGTGGACGTTTTGGACAGAATAGCACGCCGGAACGGTGAACTCAGGCTCAATTGGTCTTGAACCGGCCTCTGCAAATGGCGAAGCGAAGGTGTGGTATAAGGGGTTGTTGCTAAAGACGATCAGTACCCAGAAGGGATGCGGTAGCTTGGCTTCAAAACATACTCTGGCTGATTCAAATCAAGCCCCAACGCTGTCAGGTCTTGCCCAACAGTCAGAGAAGCAAGGTCTTCACTCTCATGCCGGATCATCCCTAGCAGCCCCGGAAGGCCGTATCTATCGAGTTCACTCATCTGCACCAGCTGCATTCGTTGCGGTGTTGGAGCCGATCCTGGCGAATCAACAAGATCTCTTCCAAAGCTCTGTGGCTGCTGCTGAATCGACTGAGCCTGCCGTGTCTGCTGATCGAGCAAGGCATTCTGTTTTTGAGCCACTTGTGATTGTATCGATGACTGGGGATTGGAGAAGAGCGAAGCGCTGTTGCCATTCTGCATATGCCTGAGGTTGTTCTGTGCGGAAATTCAGTATCATTCAAAATGGAGCCGTCGTCCACTATTACATACCGTCTTATCCTGCTCGAATGACGCATTTTGTCCCTGGCGAAGATCAATCGGCGATCGGGCAGCTATAGACATGATTAGCATATTTACATTTAAACAAAATAAGGCAAGGGAAAGGTCCTATGTATCCCGATAAGAAGGCGCATTATATTTCATGTCTCATTTTCATGAGATCAGGTTAACTCATAACCATAGCTCACCTTGTGGATTCGAGGGAAAGCCTGGGGCACTAGCTGGACCACCAAATGCCGCATTCTGCATCAAGCCAGCTCGCCTATCTTGGCCAATTTCAGTGGTTCCATTCCGCCCAAGTGGTGGAAATTCATCAATGCTTCCTGTTTGCGGCTGACTTGAACCCGACAGTTGACCTATTCCGCCTTGGCCACCAAAACGATAGTCATCTAGACGACCTGAAAGTTGCGAGCCTGTGGAAAGTGCGTCATCCTGCTGCGGCGGCGGCTGTGGTTGCGTTGGCTGCGATTGCGGTTGCTGTTGCTGCGGCGGTTGCGCTTGTTGTTGAGTTTGCTGCTGACGAGCCTGTGATGAGGAGGCTTGAACATTGCTTTGCGGTTGCGGCCGTTGAACGGGAGTGTGTTGAGAAGCTCTTTGTGTCGCGTTTGCCCATACAGCTTGCGCTGAGGGATTCTGGTGTTGAGGCTGCGATCCGGAAAGAGAAGGGAATTCGCTGAGAGACGATATGTCCAAGGTTAGTCCGTCGCTCTTCCTATTCCTTTTCTGCGTTTTCCTGTTCCGTGGGCTCGCCATGACGACAGAATCCGCCAAAGTACTTACGAAAGATCCAAAGGAGTTGCAGGTTGCGAGGCTCCAAGTGTTTGGGCAAAAGTTGTCATCGCAGCGCTAGTCGGTCGCGACTGAGGATTAGGAAGACCAGGCGCTCCTCCCAAGGGAACTCCAAACCCCCAATTTGATCCACTTCCTAAACCAAGCGAATATCTCCCATCAGCTAATCTGGAGGGTCGCGGTTTCCAAAAGGATGTCCGTACCTATCTTGCCGTTTGGCAATCTCCCTGTCGCTAGTGGCGCAGTTCTATTGGGAAGAGGTTGCTGATTCGGAAAGCCGGGTATGCCCCGTAGCGGTTGAGGTCCAGGTCCTAAGGTGCGTATTTCAGTTAGTTTTATATACTTGAAGCCTGTACAATTTCATGCCAGTGGTTGAAGAATGTATAGAATTGTAACTTTGAGAGTTGGTCTTGCCAGATCTTTGGAGCACGTCAAAGGAATTGTTTCCATGACAAGGGTTCCTGAATCGTGCAGCAAGAGCAGCTGTAGCTCTCTCTAAGAAACATAAATCCGCGTTTATGCGTGGGCGGACAGTGCCATGTCTGGAAGAGCGAAATTGCGAAAGGATCACAAACCTGGACGATTCATGGTGGGCGTTCGGGAAGGTGCAATGGAGAGAAGTTGCAAGCTGAAGGGACCGTGATCAGCTTTGAGGGAAATGGAAAGTTCGATGAACGTGCCAAGCTGGAGTGAATTGCTTCCCGTGCGTGAAGCCACAATCGATCTGCATCTACAGTTACTAGTCGAGATTCGGCATCTCAACTACGGAGCCTCACTTATCTTTCATCGGCATATTCCGCTACGTCGTCGATTAGAGGGTATCCTTTCACATGTGACCGTGATATCTTCTTGCGCAGCAGCTCGAGGTTTGGAATAGTAAATATTCTGTTTGAACGTCATGAAGTCATTTGATCTATCCGTATAATTGTAATCTCAGGCATCACCATCTATTTGTAGTTCAATTCATACAGAAATTTGAATATCTTGAGCTGACTTTCTTGATTCCCCTTTCCTGTGAATTAGGTCGCGAAGGGTTTGGATATTTCCAGTAAGAAGTTGAGCTTCTTGGTCCTTTATTCTTCAGTGTGGATTTAATCTTTTTGTGGTATCATCTTCAATGTATGCTTCACTACTTGTTAGCGTTTGATACCAAAGCAGGTACCCGTAACTTAGGATCGAAATCGAACTTTGAGGAAAATACCAATTGGAAGGCAGTCAGGGATCTTCCTTCAAACAACCGATAGATGATGAACAAGCATATTTCCAGTGGCTCTATGTAAGGCTGTTCGTACTCATTGACTTGCTAGATCTACCCGTAGGACCTTTTCTAATTCATCCTGATTCTCAAATTTTAGCACTGAGCAATGCCAGGGTCCCCAATTTTTGAGGCCTTGACACAACAACTCCTAATCAACTAGCATTAAACTATAACAGTATGATTGTAGAAAGCCTGAGATAACATTAACAAATTCCGTCGTTGGAAAGAACTATGTGATGGCCGCAGGACCAGTGGCATGAAAGGCGGAAGTGGTACCTTCCGCTATGGACGAATGTGGTACCCGTAATCACGTGACCCTAAATTTGTCCTGCATCTTGACTTCTCTGAAATCTCAAGATACAGACAGCGTCGGGCTCAATTCTCCGCACCATGTCAATTTCCTCCGTCGGCCGATGGGCGCGGTCTTCGCGATCGTCATACATCCTCGAAACACCCCCAACTTTCCTCGTTCCGTCGCTATGGAAATCTGCACCGGCTGCCCGGAACTTCTCAACTTCGCCGTCGCGATCTCTACCACGCGACTATAATCGTAACCGCGGTGTTTCTGCAATTCGCGGCACTGGTCCTCGTCAGCCATTATCTGTTTCCAAGGAACCTTTGCCGGAGCCAGTTCTTGATTCGAAATTGAGGTCTAAAGTCCAAGTGGATGAGAATCATGGGCTCTGGGGTTTCTTCAACAAGCAGCGTACAACCTTGAGCACGCCGGAGGACGAATATTCCCATGGTTCGTTATTTTTTCCTTAGGGCCCTTGCAGGTGGCACTCTAAGATTCTATTCCGGATCACTAACTTTCGTTATCAGGACGTTCTTGGTCGGTCGAAGAGCTGCGCTCGAAGTCATGGGAAGACCTTCATAGCTTGTGGTGGGTCTGTGTTAAGGAGCGGAATCGAATTGCCACAGAAACCTTTGAGCGAAACAGACTCAAGGCCGGCTATGGAGATTTTGAGGCTTCCGACAGGGACACGACTGTAAGATCCCCTTCGCCCCATGCTTCTACGGACTAGTTTGATGCCTTTCGCCTTACATTTTGGATGCGAACTAAAGGAAAACACAAAGGTCCGTCGAACACAACGCGCTGTCAAACATGTACTCACTGAGCGTTGGTACGCTTGGGAAGCTGCTCGGAAATTAGCCAAGACCGATGAAGAGATTGACCTGAACAGCCCAGGTCAGATTTATCTCCCTCGGGATTTTGAGGTAATGTCATGCTGTTGTGCATCACAGGCATCAGGTTGCTAATGTTTTATAGGAGGATGTACCTGAGGAGGAGGAACTGCGGGATGTTGGGTCGAAGGAGCCGACGACTACGAAAGAACGGAGAGATGCAGACAAGGTCACCGTATAGGCGCCAGTTGATTTGGTTCTGTTTCCCTCTTTTCTCGAAATCGATGTGCATGGTCTCGACAGAGGGCACCTGAAGCCACTTAATCTGCATTTGTTTCTGTCGGGATACTTGCAATCGTTGTGTTTATAGATTAACCTGTACTTTGTAGATTATTTGCTCAGGGTCTCGCAATATAGGGCTGTGAAGTTTCTGGGCAGAAAATATTCCTGCCCTGAGTTGCAATCAAAATCAATTTCTCAAACTTGCTTTATTGGATTTTTTAATTGAGGAAAAGTCATAATGATTTCATTTTAAAAAAGGGTCTCTGGAATTTTTCTTGACGGAGGGAAAGCTCTAAACAAAATGCCTCTTTTCGATGCGATCTCCGGAGCTTTACGGGTTTATCATGCCAATTTTGGAGGTTCAGCTGACTCTCGATCAATTATTCCAAAGAGTGGAACCTGTCCTTCAGCCTGAACTTCTATGTGGAGTAAAATTAGAGCAATCACACTCACCAGAATTTCCAGAGCCAATTGAGTCTTTATGAGGACTATCTAAGCCTGCTCTCGAAAATTTGCACGATTCATATTGATCTTAAGAGTCTGCGATATCAACTTAGCAGGTCGGTTAGCTCAGTTGGTTAGAGCGTGGTGCTAATACCTAGTTAATGGTCTCTTACTCAGTAAGGGAAAGTTAACGCCAAGGTCGCGGGTTCGACCCCCGTACTGACCATCGCATTTATTTTTTGATATCAATATCCCCTGAGGGGGATCAAAAGTGGTTGGTTTTTTTTTTGACCCTGAGGTTCCAGTAATATGGATGGGCGTGAGAGTTCCGATGACCTGAGCGGACCATGAAAGTGCCAACATCAGTCCAAAGACACAACATTTCTAATTAAAAGCACATTTCCACTCTGCCAGTGACAAATTACTGCTTGAGGGCATTGCTTGAGTGGAAATCAGTTGTGCGTTTTAATTTTCGAGGAAAAATATTTGGCATTTTACCTACTGTCTGTCATGTCACAGGAGTAACTGAAGGTGCCCAAGCCATGATTACGAAAAGTTGTGCTCTACATGGGCCAGGCAATGAACGAGTAATTTATTTGGCACAGCGACTCCTTTTGATGGAGCAGCATCCATGCAAGCCTGTTGGCAGCCACCCAGCGGCGTTGTGCAAGCAGCCTAGTCTATTTTGAATGATGGGTTAGGATTGCACTTGAAGAGAGGACATAGAGCTCCTTAGTTATCTGTGGTTGAGCAAAGAAGACCGCCCAGTCTACGTCATCAAACATGAATACTTAAGCGTCGCACATGATTCGAAGCTACGACGGAACAAAACAAGCCTGGGAGGGTAAGGAAGTCTGTCGCGTGGGTGCGAAAGAGAGGTTACAGTTCTTCCATGAGCGAAAGGTGACTGTGACGCAGACCCTGAATTGTTTCGTGTACCAGATTCGATTGATGCTCGAGAGAGATTTTGCTGTCATTCTACTCGTTCGACGTGGGCCCCAGGTGGCCCCCTCGCATCCCTTGGGCCCGGATGGGAACGAGGCAGCAATCCACCCCACCCAATAATTCCGTCCCGTATGACGCTGTCCCTTCAGCCTCCCCAAGCCTGCTTCGCTGCCCATGATGACCACCAATGACTTGTGAATGCTTATGACTTGCCTTTGACCCCTTATTTTCTAATCCACTTGCCCACCTCGTCCATCCTACCATCTTTTACATTTCGGACAGTCACTTCTTTCTCTGGCGATTTTATAGCAATTTAATCTTTGTCTCTCTACCGAGGACGAGCTGTCACCGCTGTTGTCATATATATACCATCACCCCCCACCAAGGCCCCCCTCACCCACTAATTGAGTCTGGCTCGGGTATTATTATTCACCACGCGATACACTAGAAGGGACCTGCCAACTCTTAGGCCACCCGCTGTCATCCGTGGTTACTCTTCACCTTCAGCTTTGGTTTCCCGCTCGCTCGCTCCCTACGAGACAATACGATAACATTGTGCGCGGGCACGCACAACATGGCCTACCGGAAGTCGACAGGTAACCTCGCCTTTGCCGAGGAAGACAGACCTGTTTATCAACGATGGGATCCGGAACGTTTCATGCGCGAGCGCGATCTTTTCGAGAGAAGCCGTAACCCACCCCGGGAATTAGTCTTGGGCAGGCGTCGTGGAGACTCGATCGATGACCGGTCTGGTGGCAGAGGAACCCGTTTCGAGGAGCATGACCGTATTGTTGAAGAAGATCGTCCGGGTCGTGGTCGTCGCAAGTCAATCTACTATGAGGATGACCGTATCAGCTTTGAAAGCCCCCCGCCTCCCCCTTCTCGTGGTGCTCTGGCCCCTTATCGCGGAGCCCGTCATGAGCCAATAGCCGAAAAATATGGCCGCCCCATGCGACGAGGACCTGCACCGCCGTCGCGACCACAATTCGTTCGGCGGCAGTCTTCGCTCGATACCTTTGACCGTCGACCGATGCCGCGGTATGGTGACCGTGAGCGTGAGCGAGAGGAGTATCTTCCCCCTCTGGATACACCAATTCCACTTCCCAGACGCCGGCGGTCGCCCCCGATTGCATACGAAGAGAGGGACTATGAGGAGATTAGGGTACCGGATCCAGAATATTATGCCGAGGAGGATTTTCGAGAGTTCCGCGAGCGGGACAAGAGCCGTCACAGGAGTCGAAGCCGCTTTGCCGTCAAGGAGGGCAGAGCGACTGAAGAGGAACCAGAACGGGAGTTTCCCCGCCGCGGCAAGACCAGAATGCCAAAGCGGCTGGTTAGCAAGCGGGCCATTCTCGAGTTGGGATATCCTTTTGAGGAAGAGGTTCGAGTCCTGCTGTATTTAGGTCACAATGTATGAAGCTAATTTTCTGCAGGAGGAAACCATTGTCATCTTGAAAGCCCTCGGTAAAGAACACATCGACGAGGTCATCAAAGTCAGCGAGGAAATGCGCGATAGTAAGAGAAACCCTTTGAAAATTATTTAGCACAAGAACCTAACCTCTTGAAACAAGCTCGCACGACATACAAGATTGAGGATCATAAGGACATAGATCATCATCGTATGCTTGAAGCCCCCCAACCCGAACTCGTCGAGACAAAAGTTGTCACGGAGACTGTCGCCGCTCCCCCACCACCGCCACCTGCTCCGCAACCTCAACCACAGCCTGTGCAGATCATTCAGCCTCCTCCGCCTCCGCCTCAAATTGTACATGCTCAACCACCACCGGAATGGGACGAAGGCAGCGATCACCATCGCCACCATTCCCGCCACCGCTCCCGCCACCACTCGCGCTCACATTCTCGAGCTCGTTCAGTAGACGAGAGAGAAATTGTGCGAATCAGGGAATCATCTGATGCCATCGCCGGTCCCATGGGGGCTTTGGTACTTGCTGATCGTCACAAGGGTGAGCGCAGCATCGATGCGGAAATCAGAGCGCTTGAAGCTGAGAAGAAAGCCCTCAAATTGGAGAGGGAGGCACAAAGGCTGCGAGATGGAGAGGTTGAAATTGTGCGAGAAAGTCGTCCAGTTCGCATTGAGAAAGATCGTAAGGGTAGGTTGAGCCTGGTTCGTTGAGTTATTAAGCAAGAGCTAGCCCTGATAATCTTGGGGTAGCACCGAGTTCTGGCCTCGTCAGGGCCATGTTGACGACTCTTACTTGAGCTGCAATTGTCATTTCATCCCATTGAACTCTGCATATCAAGGGCCAAGGCCAATCCGGCAAAGGCTTCTGTTTGTGCCAAGCCTCCCCGGCGTGGGGTTGCAACCTTGGGCCGTGGTTCTTGATGAAGAATTAATAAACGATCACTTTTATCAAGGATGGGACAAAGGGAGAGGCGCTTTTCGCTATTTCGAAATCTTTTTATTTCCAATAATTTTGCGAATTATGTCATGATTCATTTTGCAAGTTTCATGAATCAATATTGAAATGTTGTTTGACACGGAGGATTCTAATTCGACCGTTGCATACGGTCCAATGATACCAGCCCGACCAAGCATAATTTCCCGGACAAACTTGGTTCACATTTAGTTCAGATAGCGAATGACGACGTCATGAAATTGAAAATAATCAATCATAAATTTGAGAACATTAGATATTCTGACGTCTTTCCTGGGGTGATTCTTGTTAGGCGTACGACCAAGTGGTATGGCTGAGTCTTCGACCGCCAACTCTGACAGTTTCATGTGAAGACGACGAAACGCACGGACCACTACAGATTCGAGCTCCCCTGGGGAAGGAACGGACCGCGCCCATTTTATCTGCAACGCGTACATGTTCGAGGGCGAGCCACTTGAGATTATTCTAAAAAGCTCCCAAGGGGGTCAGAGGTCAAAAGCATAAAGCTCAAGATCATGCCAATCTGTATTGAGTGTCGATATCCGGTCAACCAGTTATACAGCACCTACAGCAAGGCCGACGACCGCAGCCTTGGAAAGGGTGTCCGATTGACGCAATGTCCGCGGTGCAAGCGGTTTGCAGACAAGTACGTCGAGCATGACTTTGTTGTGCTCTTTATAGATCTAGTCTTGATTAAGCCACAGGTGAGTCTATCCCATGGACTTTTGCGCGCTTTCCATAGCTGTCGCTGATTCCTAATGCTTGAATGATTTCTAGGTCTACAGACATCTTCTCTTCAATAGATTAGGACGAGAAGATGATCGACTAGATGTATGTCTTCTCTCCCTTTCACTTATGACCCCTGATTCGTTGGGCTGCCCAAAGTCTACGCCTGCAAAATCCGGCAATCCCAGAAAATGCGGGGGAAAAATTGGCTAACAGAAATTCGGTTTCCCAACTTCGCAGCCATCCATTATCCGTCTCGGCATTCTTCTTCTCCTCTTCGACGTCTACTTGACCTGGGCACGAATCGAGAAACAATCACCCATTGTGCCGCCCGCTGGCGCAGCTCCAACTCCCTCATCCTACGAGACCCCCGAGGCAGCGGCGGCGGCAGCTGCTGCTGCTGCGACGACTGTGCCGTTTCTCGCCGAACAATCAATTGTGCTACAATACCTGTTCTTCTTGTTCCTCTGCCTGACTGAATTCCTCACGTTCCATTTCACCATCCGCCTGCTCAGCACATATGTGCTGCGCTATCTACGTCCGAACTCCGTGAGCACCGCGCTCCTCGTGTCGTCTTGCACAAAGCTGTTCCCGATCTTGATGGTAATTTGGGAATACGATATCCCGGCTGCAGCAAAAAGTGTCGGGTGGGCGGTCGTTGTCAATAATATCGAGGCCTTGAAAATACTGCTCGACTGCGGGTACCTGATTGCGGCGGGCCTCACGGCCGCGGGAGCTGCGAGCAGGCTGCTTGTGGGCTGGACGATATTGAGGGCGGCTGGACTCGATGGCGTGGGAATGGGCTCCTTTATGGGCTGGCGAAGCTTTGCCGCCCTGTGGTCAAATATAAAGAACTGGGAAGACTTGGCTACGAGGATCGGGCTGGGATGAACTAAATGTTTGATGTCTGATGTGTTTTTTTGGGGGGAAACTGGAGATCACCCCTTTTTCAGAAGGCATTAGCAGTCTGGGATGGCTTCAGTTGTGCCTGCCACTTAGCGGGTATGCCTCAAAGTGCCATCCTTCTGGCACAAGGCCGCGGAAAAAACCTGATTCTAGATTCGCCTGTCCCGTCGAACAGGTTAATCACCCGATACAGCAGTTGCGGTCGGAAATTTCAAGCCGCCTACCTGTTTACATACTTGCATGACGCATGTACTAGCAGAGCAAATCTCAGGGCGCATCCTGCCGACTTTAATTTTAAGGCGCGCTGAATGCGGAAAACCGAGTCCTAGCATCAGCCGGCTCACCAAGAGGATTTCTCCTCAGCTGCCCTTGGATATTGCGACCGCCTTGCTGAATTCACGAAGGCTGTTAGAATCGCAGCTTCACTGCGGGAAGATGCAAGAGAAATCTCTCATATTGACAAACGCTCAATATACTGTACAAGTAAGCATATACAGAACATAGGAAGAAGAATGTAGAACGAATATAACTAAAGATGGCGGTATGAGTAAGCCGCAAGCATGAAGGATATTTCAAAAAGAGCCATTAATCTTGGGCCCAACAACGCCGTAGAATCTTGCAAGTCTGGTTGGAATCTGAAGTAGCAAAAATAAAGAAATTAAGGCAGTCGCAGTTCTGACTTCTGAACGACCTGCTATTCTTGTTGAACAATGCAGAAAAGTCGACATGTCCGGGGAACTTCGACCGTAGAGCCGCTTCGAAACAAACTATACAGCCTCGACCGCTCGGTACAAACCAATGATGTGATATTAGCCGCAAAGATGGCTTGAAATCAAGTTCTACTGGCCGGCTGTGCTTTAAGTGATGGATAAGGAGCACATAATGCGACCAGAAAACCAATCCGTATCATCACTCATATCCCGATCCCAGTGTTTCTGACTGTCTTGAACCGACATTCCGTCAACACACGGCCGATAGAGTCGCAGGAAAGAGGTACGCCGAGTTCAATGGGCATATTCTGGTCGCAAATCGGCTCGTTTTGGGTTGATAAGGGGATGCCACTGCGCGAAAAAGGTGATTGCTGTCCGAAGGTGAATCATACCATTAGCTTCTAGAGTAATTGACGATTGAGAGCCCGATGTTTCGCCACATATAACTTACCCCACATCAAGTAACAGCTTGCGAAAGAGAGGATGAGTGTGCTTCGCCAGACCCTGTAATGCAAGTCTTGTTAGTTTGATACCCCAAAGAACTTGTTATATTATTGAATGCAGACGAGGTGAGATGCGCAGTGTCTGAGGAATCATAATTGCACATGCAGATAGTTGCGGATATGCTCTAGGGTTTCAATGTATAGGCGCAGGCTTTATAAGTGCAACTGCGCGGTTCAGCAGATCCCAGGGCAAGCTAGGATCCGACGAGCAAGAGGGAGGGGCAGCTATGACGAGATTGATAAAGGAGAGAAAGTGTAGAATCGCGAAATCAGCGGAGCAAAGGGAGGACGACGTACGTTTGGTTTTCTCCCTTGGGAGAAGCAAACCATGCGACGGCACAGATGACGACGGTCACGATGAGTCCGACGAGGATACTCCAACTGTTGTAGAAAGTGCGCGGTCAGTATCGTGGATAGTTTGAACTTTGGCTGCATAAGAATTGCTGTGGCATAGAGGCAGAGAGCTTACCCGTTTGCCATGATGATACTTGTTTGCAAAGAAAGTAATCTCCTTGGAAGATAATATGGCTGAGACAGTAAAATGACTGTCCGTCGTGGCCTGCGGTCTACGGTACGAGCGACGGAGTATGAGTGCTCAGTGGAATAGCTCAAGGTTCCGATATGATCGTGTGTTGGGTTACCCGGCGAACTACCTGGTTTTATCTATGCACCCGGGCGCCGTCCCGATATAACTTCATAAAACTTCGTGTCCAAAGGGCATTCAAGATGATTTGGAAACTTCAAATAAATTACTAATATTATATCACACCAATTTCAAGAGATTCGCCGAACGACAGCGAAGAGGAATTTGGATGGATCACTACGGATAACTTAATTCTCATACTTGAGGCCAGCTTCCATTCTCACAGCGCCATAAATGCCGGCAATGTCTCCCTTCGAGTCCGTGTGTTTCTGGGCTACCGCAAGATGCTCATCGGCGACCTCCACAGCTCGCAATCTACAACCAGATGACTCCGCCAATTCCAATGCATGACCGGCATCCTTTCGGGCCAAATCTACATAAAATAAGGGCTAGATGAATGTTGATCAGCCAGTCAAATAAAATCAACGGAAGACGAAGATATCACTTACCTCCTTTTTATAATAAGCTCCACCTTTCATTCTTTCAGAGTAAGCAGTATAGGGCCCTGGAAACAATAATTCCACAAATTTATGCAGATTATCAACTCCCAGACCTGTCTTCTCAGCAAGCGTATGCCCTTCCGACAGAGCCTCAATCATCTGTAGGATGAAGGTGTTGCCGGTGACCTTCAATAAGGATGCTTTTCCTTGAGACTCGCCTGACAAATCAATCACTGCCCGTCCCATAACTCCAGTGGTATACGGCTTGACTTTTTCAACTTCCGCAGGTGGCCCTGCCAACACGAAAATAAGTTGGCCAGCTTCTGCTATGGGTGCTGCCCCGAATACTGCTCAAATGCATTAGTGATTTAAAAAGCCCGAGGTAAGGGGTTAAATCTCAGCCTCACCTGGGGATGCAACAAATCCGGCACCCTGTTCCACAATAGCTTTTGCCAACTGCTCTGTAGTCTCAGGGTGCACAGTTGAGCAGTCCACGAAAAGCTTGCCCTTCACTTGGCTCTGAAGAGCCGTTTCAATGGTCTCGTTGAGGGCTTTGTCATCGCCGACGCATGTAAATATAATATCAGACTTTGATACCGCCTCCGTGATAGAGGAAGCGACAGCTGATTTTCCCGCTGGGAGTAGCCCGGAGAGCTCCTCAGCACGTTGCTTTGTACGGTTAAAAAGAATGAGGGGCTGGCTCAGGTTTCCTTTGGCGACGAGGTTCTTGCACATGCCCTGCTCCGCAAAAAAATTAACGATGATACCCCAAACATGCACCGAGTCTCAGAGAGAGGGAGGGAGCAAATCAAGCTACGGAATAATATAGGAAGTCAAAAAAAAAAAAAAAAATTAGAGGCAAACGAAAGAATTGCATACCCGCCCCAAATTTCCCACACCAATCCATGCTAATCTGGTGGACATTTTGTAACGCTGTATTGTTGTTCACTTGACTGACCGTCGATACTAAGAAAAAATTACTTCGATGATTGATGCAATAAGAGAAGACGGTCCTTGAGAGATGGATTTTTTATGGAGGTAGGTCTTCTTATTTAAGCGTTGTGATTTGACTTCTTCATGTTTTGACAACAGTCATAACGTTAATCCGCATTGTGCCTGTATAGTATGATAATCTCCGAAGCTCCGATCAGAGTCAGAGTCGGTCAAAGGCGTGGCAGTGTGCAAACGCTGTGAATGAATCATTTAAGGTACCTCTTTGGCGGCAATCTAAAGGTCACTAATGCTTATCGAAGCAAATAGTGGCGGGCAATCTGCGGGAGGTGCGGATAATGCGGAAATCCAGACACTCAATTCACACTATCAGGTAAAGTTACCTGTAGCCTACGTTGAATTTCAGGGTTCATGGGTCCCCGCATTAGTAAATATGCTCTTTTCTGTCATGCCCTAGGGTTTCAGGGATTTCGAAAAGAAAGTCGCAAGGGAAAATCAGATAAACAATTTGTGAATTGCACTGGTACATGATAGGCTACGTATCGGTGATCAATGAAAACAGGTTATACTGCCAAACACAGGCCTATTGCGAATTTATATCCAAATTTTTTAAAGCTTAACACTATAATAAATTTCTCTTGAGTTGATTTAACAATTTTCCAATCTTTTGACCCGAGTTCCACCAAACGATTGCACAGAAGCGTAGTGTACGAATCGATTGTTGACTGCCTCGTTCGTTCCCTCAACAAATCTGATCAGGCTTAAGATGTGGCTGAAGGCAAGGGAACTGTGATGGTCGTGGTTCCATTGGGCGTAAACTCAACGAAGCTCCCAGAGGAGCATATGCCGTTGTAATATACATTTGCATCTGCAACGTGGATTTTAGCATAATGTATCCCGGAAAGTATCCCTGAAACGCCTTACAGCTAATGTCTCTATAAGAACAACCCGAGGCGCAGCAAGTAGGGATCTTGCTGTCGGAAGCACAGATAGATGAAGCTTCCGGCGTCCCAAGATAAGGTTCGAGGCACTGGTACTAGATAGGAAGATCCCCAGTCAGTCGTACGATGGGATTTGAGGTGCGTTGATGTCATACAAGACAGGGAGGAGGCGGAACCATGTTCGTCAATTGAGCGCCTGCAAGGTGGGCCATGAGGCCAGCAACAGTTGCCAGAGAAAGAATAAAAGTCTTCATTGTGGATTTTTTTTCAAAAAGCAACTTCGCTGCTACTCAATTGGATTTTGAGAGATGATTTTGGTCTGCTGAATCAAGTCAATGAGAAGCTTCACTGATTTATATACACGTCTTGCACCCTCCAGATAGTATGAGGGAGTATTGTTGTGCTCATTCATGGCTCCAAATTAAGACCGCCAGGGCCAGAATAACACATTCCATGGTCGAGATTCCACTAGAATCGTCTGCCAATTCAATTGAGCAAAGAATACGAGAAACGATGGCTGGCTGAAAGGCTATGCCTCCAATCATTAGGCCCCTGATGGTTGAAGGTTTCCTTTTTTCCCATGCACGGCGGGGTTGCCTTGTCCCAACAACATGAGGGGGCTGAACGTGTGTCAGTTAAATGGAGGTCTTATTTCCTTGGTTATATGGAGCTGTTGTATCACCCCCCTTTCAAGGAGGAACGGATTCGCAAAGACAAATTGGCTAGTATTGGGACCTTGTACGATGAGAATGGGCCTCTGTACAGGGACGGCAGTGAACGGACGTCGATCCCACGCGATTCAAGCGTTCCCGTAGAGCAGCCACAGTGCAAGTCTGCCTATTGCCATAGTGTTGTGACGGTTCCAAATGAGGTAATGCCCCCAACCTGGACAGGAGGACCTGCAGGTCGCCACCAGAAGTTTTGGCGAGTAGCATCGCTCAATACACGAGCTGCTCCTGTAGGACCAAAGTAACTCAACGGTTCAAAGCGCAGCTTAACACGTGTTAGACGGGGGCAAGATCCGGATAATTGCCTCTGAAAAGCAATGACGCCAAAGAGGACCGAGCCAGATTTCGTAGACCAGAGAGCTCCCTTTGCATGCTCCCAAGCTTAGCATCGCATAAGAGCATTGCATGACGTGAGGAACGTGGAAAGTCAGCACAGGGCGCGGATTCGAGACCAATATTATGCGGGGACAGGCCTGAGGTGGTAGGGGGTAAAAAAGCATCGTTGTACTCCGTATGCACAGCGGCTCGACTGCGACTGGAACCTTCACACCGCTTCAAGCCTCGAATATTTTCGAGCGATGTTACCAAGGCTGAGTTCGATTGCCTGTCACCGTCATCATAATCATCATAATCATCATCATCATTATCCTCATCCCGGCCGCATAACGATCAAAGAATCTTGGACCCCAAAAGACTGCCCCCAACGCCGATAGCCGCTCGTATATGGATGCGAAAGTCGAATGTTACGGTCCTGCGTCCGAGGTCCTACCCGGAAGGTTCGGAAGACCAGGCACAGAAGCGGTTCGTTCAATTACACATTTGTTGTCTCGCATTTCGGGCTTGGCAAAAATAATTGTGGGAAAGTACGTAGTATACACAAAATGCCAGAGTACGGCGCCGGAGGTGGGGCAGGTTGGGCGATGATGCATATATGTACTGTGTACATAATAATTATGATAACAAGATGAACACAGTACATACAGCGATTCTGTAACAGAGTACTCCGTAACGCAAATTACTTGCATGCTCTATATTTACCTTGAGATCTGTAAATCAAAACGGAAATGAGAAAAAATGAAAGTGAATGACTATCTCATGGTATGGGACAGTGCCTCACCTACCAACAGACTTTCCAACGTATAAGCTTTGTCTCCGTAATTGATGCTACACAGGTAGCCAACTAGCTAAGCATACAAGCCTTGTCACCGTCCTTCCGACGTATTTCTTAGGTAAGGTAGCTAGAAATATCCTGTAATAGAACAACCCTTATCTTTACAGCTATTGTTCAGTCAGGCTGTATAAAACTAGGCAGGATGAACTAATATGATATTGTAATCCTGATGGCCATTGAGAATGATGGAGATTTGTGTACGGCGTATAATACAGAACACCTATTTTTGGAAACCCTTACAAATTGTAGATTAAGATCCATGACAGAAATACGGAGGGTGTCTTTACACAAAACATAGCCATCTACCTAGTACCTTGGTTATTCATCTCTGCTACTGCGTAGTGCTTTTATGTTGCTGTCCAATCTCTGGCTTTCTTCCGTTTACTTCCGCTACAGTCAGATTTGTGTACCGCCAAATTTGCATAATTAGCCGAGCATAACTACTTACTCCCCCTCGTACCTAGGCAACGTTCAGGGCATCCGAAGTTTACCCCCGGGACAGGAAAGGATGATGTTGTGCAGATGAACTAAGCCAATAAGAAAAATCAAGCGAGCCAAGGTGATACGCTAATTGGACGAAAATCGACGATCCCCCTTTTTACCCTTGTTGCGGGTGCCTTGAAAAGGGTTCCGAACCCTCGATCTAATCTGCCCAGGGACCGACGCCGTCCGGAGGCTCAGTGCCTGGTTCCGTAGCGGAAAAGGGGTTTCGTTTTCTCCGGAGGACCAGATTTCCGGTTGAGAATATCTTTTATATCGCTCATGAGAATCGATGATCCGATCGATCTGGCTATGAGATGGGAACCGTCTGTCCTATAGATAGAGCATGAGGAAGGCAGAGAGGAATGCGTAATCCAACCAGCGGAGTCGGACTCGTGGACTCCCCGTTGTCGGCGATTTCCATTCTCGTGACAATGATTGTAAACACAACTGGAGGTCAACCACGGTAGGAAGAGATGCCCGAACACTTCACCAAGTTTTGAAAGGTTTCCTGTCCTGTTTGTCCTGCCCGTTGAGCCATTTTTCTCTTTTGTTTCCTTGTTCAGCGTATAGAACGGCTTACGTATAGGCGCTTTAAACCCCCTGATGTCTTCCTATGGGCCGTCAATGAGCAACCGGCTGCAATTATACGAGTAGAACCGTCCCGTCTCCCCGATGGGAAGAATACCCCTGGCACGTGGTGACGCACTCAGAGAGGGAGATTAGGGCTTAGCTGTTGATCTCCGAGATATTTCAAGGGGCTCTCCACACAGGGTCCACTTTCATCTCCCCTCGGTCTCTCCTAGATCAGGAACCCTCTCCTGACTTTCCCTATTTTGTTCCGCTTGACTGTCGATCCAAAAAACCGTCTTCTTGTCTGTCAATGCCTCCCCGCTTCTCAAACCCAATGATCGCCGTTTCTGTTACGTTTCAACCTGTTGGTTTCCGTCTCGCTTGACAACATGACATTGACCTGCGTCATTGAAACTTTGCACTCTGCCCGAACGTCACTGGATGCCATGTTCGTGTGGGTGGGCCGCATTGGGTATAAGGATCCATCATTCACCCTTCTGAGAATGGACTGTTCACCCCTCATCACTCGTTCTTTCAAAGGATTATCTTGTATAATCTTTCCTTCGTTGTCAAAATGAAATACGTTCTCGCTCCTCTCGTTTTTGGACTTGGTGCCTCAGCCGCCGCCTTGAAGCGCGCCGATCAGTGCTGCTTCACCCTGACGGCCTCGGGCGGTAAAAACGGCACCGTCGGCCAGCTGAGCGATGGCCAGAACCGCATTGGTGGCCCTTATTCCCCTGCCAACTACTGCCTCGACAACGGTGGTATCACGGACAGCAACCACCGTGGATGCATCTTGACCCCTCCCACCACTCAGTTCCAATGTGACGAGGGTGCTAAGCCCACTGGTGGCTTCGCTGTCGGCAGCAACGGCCAGCTCACCCACGATGGCAGCCAGAAGTTCTATGCCTGCGGCACTGGTGACAATGGCGCATACAACATCTACACCTCGCCTGTCGAGAACCAGAAGGACTGCACTGAGATCTCTTTGACCGCCAGCGGCTGCGGTGCGCAGGGCAACACCACTTCTTCGGCTCCCACTCAGGCTTCTACTCCTGCCTCGAGCGCCTCTTCGATCGTTTCGTCTGCCAGCAGCAGCAGCAGCATCCAGACTTCTCCCGCTCCTTCTCAACCTGCTAGCTCCCAGCCTGCCGGTTCTCAACCCCCGAGCGGGCCCTCCACTTCTACCATCTATTCCACTTCAGTTGTAACTATCACCAGCTGCGGCCCCGAAGTCACCAGCTGCCCTGCTGGCTCGGCTCCTGGTCCCAGTTCGAGCGTGCCTGTGACCGAGAGCTCCGTGCCCCAGTCTTCTGCTCCTACTGGTCAGCCCAGCTCTGCCCCTAGCCAAGCTCCTTCAAGCTCTGCCCCGGCTTCTGTTCCCCAGAGCTCTGTCCCTGCGTCTAGCCAGGCTCCCTCGAGCTCCGCTCCTGTCTCTGTTCCCCAGAGCTCTGTCCCTGCGTCCAGCCAAGCTCCTTCAAGCTCTGCCCCGGCTTCTGTCCCTCAGAGCTCTGCTCCCGCATCTAGCCAGGCTCCCTCGAGCTCTGCTCCCGCCTCTGTCCCTCAGAGCTCTGCTCCGGCATCCACTCCTTCCAGCCAGGCCAGCACTGCGCAGAGCTCTACCCCCGCTCCTTCATCCACTCAGCCCAGTTCCACCCAGCCTCAGAGCTCTTCCACGGTGCCCACCTCTTCAGCGCCCTCTAGCTCTGGCAGCGGCTGCCCGACCGACCTGAATGGCAACTACCAGTACCCTCACCTGATCGTGTACACCTCCAACAAGGACCAGAACAAGGCCTCCGGAACCCAGTACAACGGCGAGGTCAACTCTGAGATCTCTACCATCTTCAACTTTGACATCCCTCAATCCTACGAGGGCAAGACTTGCTCGCTCATGTTCCTCTTCCCTCAGCAGAGCCAGCTTGAGACCTCCAGCTACAACTTCACCGGCTCTGGAAGCATCGACTTTGCTCAGCTGAGCAGCCCCGCCACCCAGTCCACCACCTATGCCAACGCCCCTGGCGTGCAGACCGACTTTGGCGCCAAGAACGTCAGCCCTGGCAACAGCTACCCCATTACTTCCTTCCCTTGCCCGGCTGGCCAGGCTCTTACTTACGAGGCCAAGCTCGCTAGCGGCGACCTCTCTCTCAGCTACTTCGAGGACTGGAACCCCAGCCCCATTGGTCTCTTCATCCGCCAGTGCTAAATCGCTCATTCGGCGACTTAAACACACGAGACGCGGTTTCTTCACTCATTCGATACCATGAACGCACTTTGGTCTTCGCTTTCGTTAAACAAACTGCTCTCCTTTCTTTTTTTTCTTTTTCCCTTTCTATTGAGCTTCCGAACGGATGCTCATAATGATTACTATGTATCAATACGAGAAACTTTTTTCTCGGACGAGTTTCCTTGGGAAATTTTTATTCCTTAATCAAATAAAAGGTGTTCCTCAGGCTGGGAATATGGCAAATAGGGAACCGGGCCTGGTGCAATAAATTGGAATATCTACGCAATAGTAAATACTAATTTTACTACAATTTTATCACAAAATCAATTATCGATTTCATAATTATTATTTTCATTTTCATTTATTGTATTTTTCTACTTGCCGGTTTGTCAATACCTCAATACAATACCCTCTGGTCTGGTCCCCAAAAAGCTCTTCAATGTTTTCCCACTTTGACCTGCGTTTTGTGTGTTGTGTGTGGTGTGTGCGTGGGGACTTGGCGCGCGCGGGTCGCGGGTCGGAGTAATTTTTGGGGTCCCTTGCCGTCGTACTGCCTACCTTAGGTACCTTACGCAAGTCTCGTTACGTGTACCTACCCCACCGCCAGCCCGCAGTTTCTCAACAGTCACAGACCCTCACAACATTTAACCCGTGCTGTAAGTTAACTACCTATAGCAGGGGTCCCTTTTTCCGCGCCAACGCGCCGCTTTGGCTTCTCCCGCCTGGGGCTAGTAAAATACTAGGGAGGCATGCGCGGACCCTTTTGACCTACAGTAGGTATGGTAGATTATCTTATAGCCGCGCTAGGTGGGCACCGTGCCTGCGGCCTGCCTTGACTACCTTGCTGTAACGACACAAAGAAAAGAAGAAAAAAAAGAAAAAGAAAAGAAAAGGCACATTTGATAAATGAAGCAATTGGCAGCCGATTCAAGAATAATGTGTAGAGGGATCGTATGCAGATGTCTAAGGTATGGCGTTCCACGGAACTAATTACTTGGTAGGTAATGTACCGGCTACAGTCACTCACCACATCCGCAATGTCACAAAGTAGGCGTGGTAAGGTAATCGGAAAGAAAAAGCAATCACATTATTGTGGAAGATAGCAAAGCCAGTCGCTCGGTGTTTTTCCGGTTTCATGAAATACTTTTAGAAAAAAAAAGGAAAAATAGAAAATAAATGAGTATGAATAAAATAAAGTAAAAATAAAAAGTAACGCTGAACATGCTTTTCATCTGCAGAAATATTTACGCGTCATGCAGAATATTCATGGACCATTCCAGTTAACAATTCCAGCATTAAAGCATGCTATGGTAACATATGAGTAGAGTGCAGACGGGCAAGGAAGAACAGACACCCCTCATTAGAACTTCCATGAAGTATTGATGTTTACTTTCCAAGTTGTGGGGGAGCTCCATTGGGGCGTAATGGCGGCCCACGACCCGCGTTCTATGGCATTGCGATGAAGCCTGTGCCGCTGGCTTGCGTCTTGAAAAGCAAAGATGCGGAAAATTAACGAATGCACAACTAAATGGCCCCCACAGTCCGAGCTGCTCGTCAGACTTGAAGGAAAAAGAAAAAAGAAAGGGGGCGATTCAGTGTCCGTCGTTACATGTGTAGGCATGCTGGAAGCAATGCTACCATTCCATTGCGTGGGATCCGTGCAGGAGAGAAAGAGAGAGAGAGAGAGAGAGAGAGAGAGAGAGAGAGAGAGAGAGAGCGCCACATAGAGCGAGCATGGTGGGATCGCAAAAGAAATTGATTGTGAACGGGAAAATCAGAAAGCTGTGGTGTTACAATACAACATGCTCTCTTGTGGCGGCGGTCGGATATTGCGTCGCAAAAAGCATGGTTATCCCTTGTGCGAATGACAGCACAAGCCAAAATACCCACAGAGGGACGGGATACTCGAAAGTTCAGTCCTCGTCCAGCGCATCAAGCCAAGCGGCTTGAGCACCCGGGTCAGCTTGTCGAGCGTTGAGAAGAGACGCAAAAGCGTAAATCTGGCGGCGCCGACTTTTCACAACATCGCTCGAGTAATATGAGCTGGCTTGCGCCTCATTTAAGAAACTGTTGCAACACGTCATCGGATATACCACGACTCGCCTGGGTTAAGTGATTGGGGGGCTTTTTCTTCTCTTTTCGTCCGCCCTATTCCGGATCATGGAGAAGGTCCTGGACTCCTTCCCAGACTTGGCCGCCACATTTCTTGGCTCTCTGGAAGGCGAGCCGTGCCTTGCCCAGCTCTCTTTGTCTTTTAGCCAGATTGTTCTCCCGTTCTCTGCGATGGTCTTGAAGGCTCGGCTTGAATGCCATAGTTTCCGCATCATTGTCATCCTCATGATCGTCAGATTCTGGAAATTGCTCACTTGGCAAATCTAGTACGTATAAGTCGGCCATTCTCAGCGCGACCATCCCTCGAAGTTGCCATAGAGAAGAAGTATCTGAATATGGCGGAGATAAAAGAAGCTCCTCTAGGCGAGTAACAAGCTCCTCATATCTTCTCAGACAAGAAATCACCATTTCTCGGCTTATTGACTGATCTGAGGTATCTTTGTCGTCTACTCTTCCTTCGTCATATTCGTCGTCGTCGTTTTTCCATTCTTCTCGGTGGAGCCTTTGTGTCGATTTGAATGGCTCCTCGATTTGGAATACCCAAAGTCCAAACATTGCTGGGTAAAAGTCGATTGAGCTGACGGAATGTGGTCTTTGTTTACGAAAAGGGTGCTGGAGAATGAGCCGCTCATAGTATTCTCTGGCTTGGTCGAATCCAGCAGAGCTGAAGAAGTGCTGCACTGCATCAGCTTCGTCGTTTGGATCGGAAGAATGTAGAGTCTCGTCTGCATTGTGTGTAGACTCGTTAGAGTTCTTTGCGGAGATCTGCATTGGTTTCCGAAATAGTATTTCTGCCCCCAGCCCCCATCTGCCTTGAGCTCTAATATCAATCTCATCTCCTCGAAGCTCCATACGAAGCAGCATGCCCCATGCTCTTCCAGCGCGCACAAAATCTCCCTCGAGTAAGCACCGGTGCATAATTGCAATAAGCACGGCTAAATGACGCCTGCGCAGTCTGGTTCCAGGCTGCAATACAGCGTCTGGAACGACCTTGGCAGAGGATGTGTTGGCCACATATAGCGGCGGATTCAAGGCCGCCAAGTCTTCTTGAATATTGTCTTCAGCATTGCCGACGTTTGATGGTGCAGGCCCATGGGGAAAGCCACCTCCAGGGAGATCGTCTTCGTACGAGTGACCAGCGAGACGATATTGGCTGGCATCAGCGGCAGAGAGATGTGCACTTGAGGCCGCCGTAGATAATGCTCTTGTGCCATCTTTCCCCAAAGGCTCGCCATCCGCATCACTTTCGTCGCTCTGACGTCCATCATCACCATCCTCCTCATCAGAGGCGCCTCTGGCGTCTCTTTTCCGTTTCTTGAGTTTCTTCAACTGATGTGTCCTGAACGTTTCAGGATGCTGTACACCAGTCAGGGGCAATGCAAACAGCGATGGTGCCATTGCTTCATTTGTGGAGGTAGATTAATAATATATCAATGATTCTTGATGTTCGCGTAGACTCAGTAATAGGTCACATGTGACGCAAACTGCTGTGCTACTAAGCCAAGAAAAACAAGATACAAATAAGCAAAACGGCTGGATCTGGCTTCTTCTTTTTTTTCCCAAGTTAAGCTATGGGGAGTTGAGGCGGCTGGTCGGATCTAAAAGTGGACAACCCCTCCGTGAACAGCCGGGTCAATGTCCGGGCATCAGAGAAGAACTACTGCTTCACAGGTAGAGGAAAAAGCGCTCGAAATTTTACAGATCCCATTGAAAGACACTTTGAAATGACTCAGTCTTAAATCTTCAATATGTAAAGCGAGTGGCGTCGATACCTTTGTTCAGTGCCTTTTCTCGTGGAATTATTAAAGACGATTATGTTGCTGAGAAGGGGATTTTGCATGTGCGGATGAAGATATCATTACGTTTGGAGTTTTAAACCAAGCGCGTAGGAAGAGCCGGATAGGGCCAGAGCGGTCCAATCGTCGGCGTTACACCATCACTCTTTCCGTACACTCTTTGATAAGACAAACTGTAGCCCTTTCGTCAGGCATTTTGCATCTACTCTACCACTTGAAACCTTGAGCATTTTTCTAAGAAGCTTCCGTAGAAATAATCTGCTCTAAAGGCTCTTGCGCTGGTTGCGCATCTGTAATTCATCGCTCTCCTTTGGGCTCACTCCCTTTAATGCTAATGCTATTGCTCTACGTCTTTGTTGTGTCGGACAGACAGTAGAGCCTCCCCGGAGGACCTTGGCTGAGTGAGAGATAATTCCCTTGGTTGTTCACACCCGCAGACTCATCTCACGTAAACTCAAGTCCATCTTCCCCATCAACGCCGCACATTTCTCCCTCTTGTTGTAACTTGTCGCTGTTCAGAGACAGCTTGCACATTGCAAATCGTTGTTGGATAAAAATAATTTGCGTCCACAGTGCTTTCTGAGTTCTCCCCGTCGGTGTTCCTTTTCGGGCTTGTCCTCAGTGAAGTACATCATCAGTCTACTCTTCTTTACCGCCCCCGCCTTACGTTGGGCTTCCGTCTCCAAGCCAACATCGCTTTAGGTGCCTTTCAACGCTCACGCGTCTCTGCTCTGGTCAGTCATTTAGCGTGATTTATAGGTTGTTTCTTCGATCCTGGAGACGTTCGGCCCAGTGACTCAGCTGGGACCGTCTTCCTGCGATCCCAAACTTTGAAGCCTGCCTTGTGTTCTGCAGATGTGACCCTCTTGGAGCTCCTGTTGCTGACTTTCACAGTCTCTCTTTCTCAGTGTTTTAACGGAGTTTCACGGTTTTCATTTGAACTTGCACTGCCAACCTGAAATTATTGTTCGGTGGCGTCCTTGGACACATGATGGTCTTCCCAGGCTAAAGATCATCACAACTAGCAGAACAAAGAATCGACAAAAGATCGCAGACAACAGGCGCGATGGGACAGGCTTCTTCCTCACAACGCGAGGACTTGCTGCGAAGGGCCTCCCGGCTGGACGCCAGCTCAACTCGTGACAGGGACATGGAGGGAAATGATATCAGTAGAAGAGCCACCCATCAGTCGTCAGGGATACATTCAAGCTGGAATGGATCTAGACGTGAATACGCAGACTCTGCCATGGACTCAGATGTTGGAGCAGTGATGGAAAGCTGGAGGAACGAGCGACCGGCCTCGCCTTCGGGAACAGAACAGAACGCCGAACTTTTATCCCTCCCGTCTTTCATGGCCTCTCCCTCGTCTCCCATGGAGGACGTGGAGATGCCTGATGCCGATAACATATCCTCTCCAAATCCATCTATCGCTGCTCGAAGCTCCTATCTTTCCCGTTTGTCAGACAGGGTCGCACCTCGTTACCTTGGTTTGTCCCGAGACGATACAGACACTGGCCGACAACGAACAATACGAAGAAGATTGTCTGAAAGACTCAGCTTTTCGCCACAAAATCAGGAGCAGCCAGTGGAATCGAGTCGCAGGCTTCCGCCCTTGTCCTCCTTGTCCTCTCGCGTTTCTTCGTCCCCCTTGTTGAGAAGACGCCGACAACCCACTCCTGGTGCTAGAGTTCCTTCCGCCAGCCCAGGGCCTCTCGAAACTCTTTCACCTTGGAGAGGTAGCTCACACCCTCCTGATTTCAGTTCCTCCGCGAATGAAGTGCCCTCTTCCATAAATAGAGCTTCCAGAAGATCATCGCGTCTTATGAGGCTGCGGGAAACTTTGTCGATGCCCTTTCCGACACTGTTCCCTAGTAGCAACACCACAGCCTCTCGTGGAACCGGAAGCAACAATGGGTTGGCACCACCGAGGTTCGGTTCTAACGAGCATTCCCTCTCGCCAGTACCACAATTACCCCTGCCAGATTTTGAGCTGGACGACGCCGGTGGGCTTTTACGCGATCCTCTGTTCCAGACGCCAGAAGAAGACCACACATTTGCTGCACCCGATGATCAGGAAAGTGGACCGACCAGGAATGAACGAGAGATTCGAAGCCTGCCGGAAGTCCTGCGCCGAAGACGTTCTCGAGCCCGACCAGGAGAGGATCAAGCCGCCATGCTGACAAGACTCCTTTCTGTTGCTGCTGCGGCGACCGCCGCATCTCTTATGGGTCATCGCGATCGCAATGTTCTCAATGCCCAAGGGATCAATGCTGAAGGCGCTGAAGGCAGTTTCGAAGAGTTTTTGCAAGACATTCAGAATGGAAGGTTGACTTCTGCACTGCGAAATAGCGGTTCCGATTCCCCCGGCCGTGCAGACGGACCTTCTCCGGACATACCCCCTACCCCTTTCAATTTCATTCGCATGTTCCGCTTTCCTAGTGTCACTGGCACGCAAGGCAGTAATAGAGCACCCACGGCGGGACAAAACGCACCGGCGAACTTTGGTCCGCAGGATCAGCAGAATGGGCAAGCAGGGTCTGAGAATGGGAATGGAGATGGGAGACAGAATGCCGGCATGGTACCCGTCATCATTGTTGGCATTCGATCCGTCCTTCCTGGGCCCGAGGAGGGAAACATGACGCCTCCCTTTATGGACACCTTATCAGAGTTGACAGCGCCGGCGAGACCACAAAGGCCGGAGAACGACGGCGACGTGCCAAGACGGTCCGATGGCAGATCAATATTCGGACATCGCCGACGGGCTTCCATGGGTGGCTTAGGAACATTCCCCTCAAATTATGACAGCCAGCGCTCTCCCGAACCTCGTCGGCCGAGATCAGGTGCGAGGCCGGGTGATCCATTTACATCGTCACCCCCGCCACTGTCGTCGGACACCACTACGGGCTCCGGACGGTCATCAACTTTTGATACTGAAGACGGTCATACCTCTTCAAGAAGTCGCCTTCTGAGCAGACGCTCTTCTACCCCGGCAGCAAGTTTGGCCCATAACCCCTCTCCATCGCGACAGATTGGATCCACGGAAGCTTTGAATCAAACCCGGTCTGACGATGGTGCGCAAAGTCCCCACTCTGGATCAACAACAGCGCGCCAGCGTGGTCTCGGCGATTCTGATCATGTCCGCCACCGTGAACTGGGCTCTGGAGCTACACGGCGAAATGGGGTAGTTGAACCTGACAGCGGTCGAGGGCCCGAAAGTCCGAGAAGCTGGATCATTTACGTACTTGGAGGTAGCTATCCGGAGGGGCATCCGATTCTCACGACGCCTAGTTTATTCACCGATGTAAGCCTTTTCAAGCTTTAGTTAACATTCTTCATACCCGTCACTCTCAGCCTCCAGGGGGCAACGATCAAAATATTTCCTGAGTGAGCTCTAACAACTTTACAGAATCCCACCTACGAGGACATGCTTATGCTCTCATCCCTGCTCGGGCCAGCGAAGCCGCCTGTTGCTAGTAGAGAAGCTGTGGCTTCTGCACCAGGAGTTTATCGGGTTGCAAATGATGCGGGCTTGTTGGTTGCAGTATCGGTCAATGGCACCGACAGGATTGAGATCGCGCCTGGAGAAAGATGTCTTGTGTGCTTGTGTGATTACGAGGCGAATGAAGAATTACGGCAATTGACCAAATGCAGCCATCTTTACCATAAGGAATGCATTGATCAGGTAAGTCATTCCTACCTAGGTAAAATGACCGAAGGACGCACTGTTAACTCTGTCTCCTCGACAGTGGCTGACAACTGGACGAAATTCCTGTCCTCTGTGTCGTGGACAAGGCGTCGAGGACTCGCTCTCCTCTGCCCAAGCCGGACAGTCACAACCGGTTGTGCCAACGAGCCAACCGTCTTCAACTTAAAGCGACATAGCATCGATGACTGAATTGCCATGATTCCAATATCGACAGGGTTCTTTCAATGCGCTTCGACATTACAATTATGATATGGATTCAACTACTCAATCCTCGGCGAACAGAGGTTCACATTCTCACTATCTTACGAAATTCTCTTCGGTCTGTCCAACTTTTCAGCTGGCGTAAGGAAGATATATTGTGTTCTCCAACTTCGTCGAGGTCTACTATTTCTATGCGGCGATCGACGATCAAGGTTTTCCCGTCGATTTATTACTCTTTTTTACCATTCAACGGTGTGGGTTTCGGAGTTCTTCTTTATTATTTCGTGTGGCGCCAGGGAATTTGAATGGACCGGAGGCCATGGCGAACCGTCCTTTACTGGTAGATACGCCCATCAGTTAAATATTCTGAGCGAACTTAGGTACAAAGATTCAGTGCATTAAATAGCCACATTCAGTGTTTCATACTACTTTGTGTTTAATGATCCATGGTTACTCGTTGTAAACCATGGCAGAACAATGCGAATAATTGCTTTATAAAAGATTTGAAAATTTTAGGGTTATGGCCGGGTCTTTTGAGTCTCTACGAAAAAAACCCTTGTTTCCGGCAAAGGTTCAGTTCTGTAAATGAATGAAGAGGCTATCATGAATCTAACCAAACATTGTGGCCATTGGATTTTCTGAAGGCTCTTCAGTGTAGGTAAGCGTACCTATGAGAATGGTGCGGGTGCGTTACAGAGCCTGCTCAGCCGATGCGATTCCTTTGATTGCGTATCGCAAGTTACGGTAGCCTTCAAACCGGTACTCTCTGGCAACACTCATTCTCGTCACTGCTTCACGCAAGCCACACTTGATTATGAGCATGATATGTTATAAGTTTCTTGGGGTTCTCAAGGAACTCATCAAGATGCAGATACGGGATACAGACGTGGAAAGGCCTGAGACATCATGCACTGGGGTCGAAGCACAACATCGGGACAGTCGGGACGCAGGGATGGAGCATTGTCGGCCCCGATAAAAACTGGGGCCCATAGTTGGGAAGAGGTCTCCCTCCGTCTTGTATTCGCCAAAACCCATCGGACCATATCCCCGTCTTGGTCCCTACAAAGCAGACTACTGCAATAATGTCAACACACGGCATCCCCGAGGCTGCTACAGACAGCACAACAGATCGATGCCGCAGCATCAAGGCCGGCAGATGATCAACCACCTATTCATGGAAAATTTTGATACTGAGCTATCTGAAAATCCACAACCCTATTTGGCTAGTAAGATATTCCGTACACTATACTGTATTATGACTGCGTCCTGACTACTTGTATGGTTTTGAGCCTTGTAAGTATGGCCTGAGCGTCTCATCGATATACCGGAGTACCTTTCTCTCACTAATGTTCGAGGAAGATGAAGGGGCTTGACATGAAACAACGTTGATTCGCCTATTCCCTTGACATCCGAATCTTATCGATGATATTTTGAATCTATCTGTTGCTTGCCTGAGAGCTGCAGCTATGACAGAAGCTGTTCAAGCATGTCTGAACCCTCTGCATTGCCGGCATGAACGGCAGCATGTTGATTTCTTCTACATTATTCTCTAAGCGCGGAGACTCGATAAGATTCTACACCCTATTCGTATACAGCCACTTTGAATTTGCTAGATGAGTCAGTGCCATGGATCGTTGATATGCAAAGTCGATGCAGGGTGGGGTGGTTGCTTTTGAGTGCCTTAATGCATTTCAAGTGTTGCGCCCATTCTCCATCCAGTGCTGGTGTACGCAGATCGAGAAGTGCCACTAACAAGCCTCAGCATCAGATAAAAAGAAAAGTGCCAAGGGCGGAGGAGGCGTGAGAAACAAACAAGCCACCCAAAACGCACAGCCTAGTGGGACTAGGGATGTGGTCCAGGTCCACTGCGCTCATCGCTGACGGCACGATGCACATTATCAACCACTCTCTATGAGTAAAACCATGGAAAGTTCAGGGTGTCTGCCTAGCCATGGTCCATCAGTTCTCTTACCATAGGTGCAGGGTCTACTAAAGGGCACCAGAGGGGCAAAGGCACTAAGGATCAAGTGTAGTGCTACCACCAAGCCACTTCCTGCGGTTTTAAGTGATCGTCCGCACCGAGCATGTGCACATCAGGTGAAGAGCTCATCGACCCCTGGCAAGTCTTGTGCAAACCACCATCAACGCAGTGGAGCAAAGAAAAAGGGAACCCAAATTCTTCTCCTTATTGGCTGTCGCGCAAAAGACTTGACCTTTGATTCTGTGGACTCATTGATGGATACTTAAGCGGAAGTTCCCGTGGCTTGAAGACTAAGAGGTAAGCCGCTCCAAGATTGTTGCAGCTACGCCCGCCTTGAGGCCAACATGCGACTGAAGCTTCAGCACGGACATAAGACGATTCATTCGTTAGGGCCGCATAACCATTGACCAGCTAGCTTCGAATCGTGCCAAATCCAATGTTGAAGTACCGTCCCGCACCTTTTCACCGGCCGACAATTATACTTCTGGGTTCTTCCTATTATTTTACAACTTCTCAGTGTCCTTGTCCAGAAAAGAAGGACGAAAGTGTTGCAGGTGGTAAAGTGCATGGGGTGGTGACGCTGGCCGAAACACCCGTTCCATCCTCAAACGTTGCCATGGTTGAAGACTTGAAAATGCGACCCCGGGAAACCAGGTCGCCGCTCCACGTCGTCATGATAGGCCGCTCACCTCTTCCCTGTTGACTTTTTCTTTTTCCACGAGCTGGAACAGCCCATAGCTGGCCCTGGCAAAGGGACGCACAGCACAAGTTGACCAGTACCTTCCACATTCTTACAGCATGACAATTAGTCAAGCGGGGCTACGGCCGTTAGTTGGCTAAAAGACATAGTTACTCGACTAGCACAATCTCTTAGCAATGTTATTTTTGAGCATCTAGGTGGTTAGCCCGTGCCAATCAAATCCGCTTCTCGGAGCAAAGCAATTGCAAATGCCCCATTTCAATTAATTCCGACTACCGTGGCACGTTGCCACGAGGCTACCGTCGCTCTGCCTGGCCCGCTGCATTACAGCGGGTTCCAGGGACCAGGATGAAAGCGCGGTGAGTTGAGTGATTTAGGGTCCACCAGGATTCCCAGGACCAGGGCGTAGGACTTGACTGCATGAACATTTAAAAGAACAGCGGCGATGTGGAGACGCGTCTTTCTTGATGAAACTCCATGGGTATTTGCTCTCTCAAGCCAAATAAGTGTTGATGTCCAATGCTTAAAAATGGGATCGGACACAGCCACTGTTGTGCTTCGACAGAGTTTAACCTGATTTGATGCTTTCGATCAAACCAGGATCATGCCATTGTAGTTTGAAAGCTAGACCCTCTTACTGCATGACAGTGTGAAATACGCACCCCACATTGCAGACGGACTGCTCTTCGGCGCAGGCGGTGGGACTGGGGATCCCCCCTTGCTCGTCCGCCAGCCATCGGTGTCATGCTCACCATCATGGAATCAATATACCTCCGTACTCCATCTGACTGCGACACTCACCGACCGACCGACCGGCCGACTGTTTTGTTGTTTGAGGGGTTGAAATCTACAGAGGATGCGTATGTTGCACACCGTCGCCCGTCTCTTTGGGCATAAGAGTTCAATCATGTTGGTCCAGCAAAGCTTTATACATGTTGATGGAGTACCCACAGCCGCTATAGCTTGACTATTGATTTTTCTACGGTATCGGCCCTTTGCATTTCTGAGGGCCATCGCCCAGAATGAGCTGTGATATAAGCTACTCACTCAGCTTAGAAACCTCCTTACAGTGATTGCTCTCCAGTAACGTATGGCATATGACGGATGCCACTTTGTTTGGGCGGCCGAGTTGCGTAGTTGCCGGAGAAGGCAGTGAAAGAGAAATGAAACAGGCAAGGTTTTTAGCCCCTCTTCAGTAGTAATACGTTTGAAAAGAAACTCCCGAACAAGACATAGTTGGAAATTCAGATGACGGGAGAGGCAGGAAGTCTTGACTCTAAAGGGACCCCTCTCTATCAAACAAGGGGCATCTTCAACCAACCCTTTACCCGTCTCGATCTAGTCTTAGCTCTCCGTTTTAAGTGCAGATGCTGGGGTCATCCTTCAACTAAAGTAGAGTAGAATCAGATCCCTAGCACCCAAAGCTCCAGGTCCCACGATTTATCCAAGGGAAGGAGAAAAAAATCACCCAATTGCGCTCCTAGTCATCGTTTCGCATTGACTCCAAAACGCTACCATTCTGCGCTGCAAATCTTTCCCCGTATGATGCGCATTGCCAGATTCGACACTTTATCGACGTGACGAGTCTCCTCCTCAGTGTTAAGTGATATATATCTTCCAGACGTGCTCGACCACAGACATTCGACATGAGATGACGAGCCTGCCTCGGCACTGGATTCTTATCTTGAGCTTGAACCCGCGCCGTTTGCCCCGTAAACTGCTATCCAGTGCATGATGAGTGGATTCCTTCCGCCGTCCTCCTCGTCGCAGACTGGCGATGACCCTTCACTCTTTAACGATCCTCGAGCGATTAGTGGCGAAGCTATTGCAGATTTCAACTCGCAGTCATTTACTCCTACACTTCCACAGGCCTGGGATCCTTCACAAGCTCATCTCCAGCAGCCCGTTCCTGTGACATTCGAGCACGCTTCCAAAGATACAAGCAAAGGCAAACGCAAGCAGTCCGGCACAGAACATATAAAACATCGCCGGACAAGGAGTGGGTGTTATACTTGCAGAAGCAGGAGGGTCAAGGTTCGCTAGAGTCTCTCCATTCACACAAGTTTGCCAGCATCCATTCCCCCACTAACGATTCATGTTTGCAGTGTGACGAGACGCATCCTAGGTGTGAGAGTAAGTTTCTCTCATTAGCACGCCTGCAGACTCGGGCAAACCACTCACAATGTTTGTATAGGGTGTCGAAAAGGCGGTCGCGAATGCGTATACCCCGAAAACGTAGCAGGGTCCAAAGCACCTGGTAGTACTACCACGAAATCAACACATAGCAAGCCCACCTCCATTCCTGAGGAAGGTTCCTCTCCGGATAGTTCAGATGAACAAGACAAAGAAACATTGCTCGTGGACCTCGAGGAAGCACACTCTTCAATAGAGGCCCTGGGATCATCTTTGCCTTCTGGAAGCAAGCATACGGTATCACGTGCGTCCGATAAAGATCCATCTGTCCATACACAACAACAAACGGGATTTACAGATACGCCGGAGTTATCCCCTTCCCATCAGGAGGGGAGTCCAACGCCTTCTACAGACGGCTCGGCCTCGTACACGGGTTCTCGGTCAAGTACATCTCGCACCCCAGCCAAACATAGCGCAAGCTCGCCAGACACTTCAGAGACCAGCAACGTCAGCCATTCAAGATGGCCGCATCTCCGCCCAGACCTTCAGTATTATTTGGAATACTCCAGAAGCTGCCTGAGCCACCATCATTATTCATTTAAGCATGACACGGGCAATTGGATGCGCACCACTTTCCTTGACATTGCTTCCAAGAACGAACCTTTGCTATACGCTGTGGTCGGATTTTCGGCGTTTCAGCACACTTTGCAACAGCCAAATGGCCGGATACAAGACTTCCTTGGGTACTACAACAAATCCGTGTCCCTCCTCCGAATGTCCCTCCAACGGAACCAAAAGCATACCACTGCCACGTTGTTGACCATTTTGCAATTAGCTACGGTAGAGGTATGTTACATGACGAAATACCAGACGTTTTTGATTTTCTCTTCTTATTCATTAAATTTCTAAGAAAAAAAAAAAAATTGCGAAAGCTGATCTTTGTTTCTATGCAGGAGTTCCTTGGTGACTGGGTCAACCTCTTAGGCCATCAAAAGGCCGCATATGAGATATTGACGAAGCTATATAATCCCCAGACGATCTTGCAGAGTGATACGCAGCGGCGGATTCTCAACTGGTATGCTCGCTTCGATCTCTTCGCTGGGCTGATGTCTGGATATGGGACTGTCCTCGGCCGGGAATGGTTTTTTTCTATTCAACAATTCTTCCTGCAACAAAGCCAGCAAGATCCAAACGATATTGATTCCAAGATTGAGGAAAAATTGGCCAGTTCGCGTCTTTTGGCCACTGACATGGCACAACTCTTTGCCAGTAAAGCTAGAGAGACTGTGACACATGATGAGTTTCTGCAGGGCCACGAGCAGCTCTCACAGAGGTTCATGTCATGGCGGGATAACATCGACCCTGCGCTGGTTAACCCTGAATTCCTTGTTAACGAATTCAAGGACTCTCCACCTCTAGATCCGGATGACATAGTCAACCCATACCTCCCGGGTATCCTTTATCATGGTCCATTGTGGACAATGAATTTTGCGTTTCTGGACTGGTATGCTATCTGGCTGATGTTTAAATATCAGACCATATTGCACCTGCAGCTTCCACCATCTCAGGAGCTTGGAATGCTTGCCATGACAATGTGCCAATTATTTGAAGCTATCGAATTATATCCCCACAAGCCCCCGGGAGCAATGATCACTGCACAAGCAAGCCTGGGCATTGCTTCACTGTTCTTACCAAAGGATGACCGCCATACAATGTGGTGCCGCCGAAAACTAGCAGTAATTGAATCTACGGGGTACGTGAGCTGAACTCTTTTTGCGAGTAATTCTATTCTGCCTCCAAGACAGCTGTTTTGCCGTCATCATCGTCATCATCATCCCTACATTATATCTTTGATTTTCAGACTTTCAAATCGCTAACCTCTGTGTAGGTGGATCTATCCTCAGACTTTTCGCAACAGAATGTCTACATTGTGGTCCGAACCTGATGTTGACCACTGGTGGCTCCCCAACGACGAAGGCTATTCAGATATCCTCCGATCCATTCGTGCCTTTGTCCAAGACAGAACAGCCAAGCCGAAAGACCATTCCAGTGAAGACGTCAGAGACATCAAGGCCATTTTCGGCAAGATGCAAGTCCACAGTAACCCCGGCAGCCCTTCGGACGAACGAATGTCAACCATCTCAAGTAATAGCGCTACAATGCCTTCTACATCTCCTTCCGCTTCAAATGTTGATACGTGAGGCGATCTTTGACAGCGATGCCATGAGCGTTCGGCGCTATTTCACCAACTCGTGGCTTCGTATCGCTTTTAGACTCTGGGCGGGGATATTCCTTTTTTGTTCCCCCTCTATTTCACGACTTCGCCCCTTACCGTGACTTTTAATGCAGTCGGCGCCGTGTATGCTTATTCTTCTATACATTTCCGCACGAAGCAACATGTCGGATCCTTGTCCTGAAGTCGTTTTTCTTGTCCTTTCTTTTCTTTCCCTTTTCTTTTTTTTTTCGAATATATAATCTTTATCCTCTTTATCTTCTTTTCTTTTTTTCGCTCCTTCCCATTTCCTACCTCTCTCGGCTCTACATCTCCAACTACGTCCTCCTATTCTTCTCCATTCATCTTCCCTTTGATTTTGTTTATTCTTAACATCCACCATCTCACTCTCCCCACTTTCAACCCTCACTCATCCCATCTCATTTCCTTTTTTCCCCCTCTTCTCTAACGTACAAAAGACCCCGAGTTCGTATTTTCTTTCTTTTCTTCTTCTTCTTCTTCTTCTTTTCAAGATACCTCCCTTGCAATGCTGTCCTCGGGCTCCTCCTCTTCTCTCTCTGTTCCCCCCAATTCCTTTCTCTGTCTCTTTCCGTTCTTTCCAAAGGAGTGGACAAATCTGTACATATATATATCCCTCTTTTCCCTGATGACAGATCCAATTATCCAATTATCATGGGGCGCTCCTGGTGCCACTTGTTTTATTTTTTTAAATTTTACACACCCACTCTATGGGTACAACGTTACAAGGATATCGTAGTAGTATCATATTTTATGCAAAGCGACAAGAAGGTCAAAAAGGGGACAAGCTATCTTCCACATCAAAACTGGAGGGGAGTGTTAATGATGTTAGTCAGTTACGTTGGTAACTATTCCACGATTAGACAAGTCTCACTGTAGTCATGGACGGTATCTGAGAATTTGCATTGTCGAAAAAAAGCACTGAATGCGTAATGTGAATTTAGATAATAGAATCTCCTCAACTAAAGACACAAGATGGTAAAATAACGACACATCCGTGAATCCTCCGAGAAACAACAAATTCAATGGGAAGGGGGAAGGAGCATGGTATTTTAAAATTGGTAAAAAGTTTAAAAAGGTAAACTGGACAAACAATATCACCGGACAAAGTGAGGGAACGGCCGGAGCCCTCGGGCGATGCGACCACGAGAAGTCAGAGTCAGAGCCGGGTTGTTGCTCTTGTTAATGTTGTTTTTCCAGAAAGTCATTCTAGGCGCCCTCGCGGATCTTGCGATAGCTAGCCTATTGAAATAAGTCAATTCGCAATTCATTCGAGCCGGGAGATTGTTATATCTGATGAACAGGAAACGGTGCGCCAAAAAACAAAATAGTGTGCTAGACTTATTCAGCAAAGGATTCGTGACGACCCACCTCCTGCTCAACTTGGAGGCCATCAACCACGGGCGCGAGCTCGCTCAAGATCTCATATGCTTTCTTGTGATATTCGAGCTGCGCGGCGATCAAGTCGGCAAGGTTTCGAAGAGGTTCCGGAGTGTCGAGGACCTAAGAATAAAAAGAAATAAAGTTCGTTAGAGATACGTGACTTGGGGTAGGAAGGGCAAACTGCATCTCTCAAGCAGAGACAGTTTGATTCAGCAATGGCTACTCACATTCTTCATCACGCCAACAGCCTCCTCGGTCTGGCCAACGAACTCGTCCTCGGCTTGCTCAATCTCAACGCGCTGCTCCTCGGTCATGTGTTCCTCGTCATGCTCATCACCCCTTGCCTGACCCGGGAGGGAAAAGGCCGCGCCGCCATGCTTGGCCTTTGCCTTGGCCGCATCGAGCATCAGTCTCGAGTTCTCAACGCCCTTCCTTGCTCTGGTTGCAAAGTTGATGTTGGTGTTCAGGGTGGTGCTCCATGCAGCCAGGAAACGGCTTTGGATCTGAGCATCCTGCGCTAGCCTGGCCTCGCCGACCTTCTCGCAAGCCAGAGCGTATTTCTCAAGTGCAATGGCAAGAGGATCCTCGCCGGCGCCGGCGCTGTTGCGCTGGATGAGCTGGGAACTCGCAAGGGAAGCTCTGCCAATGGCGTGGTTGAATGTCTTTGGTTGAGGCTTCGCAGTTGGCGGGGCCGTGAAAGCAGCTTGAGCCTCGGCCGGCGTAGTCGCATTGGACAAGAGGTGCACTTTCTCGGTGATGGTGCGGCCAAGATCGTTGAAAGACTCACGAATGTTCGGAGGGTAGTCATAAGCTTCGTTTGAATACTGCGAGCTACATTGCATAAAAGAAGATATCAGTCAGTGATATATCCTAGGAGTTTATGGATCTCTGCCTCCTCGGAACAGAAAGTGTAGAATGTCCCAAGCACCTGCTTGGAAGGGATCGAGATGGGGAAAAATAAAGCTCTCATGCTTGGCTTTGCTTACGTGACTTGGAGCATCTTCTGGTGAACCTGCTTCAGCGCATCCACACGCTTCTCGAGCTCAATGTAGTCGGGCGGCAGCTCGGTCTAATTGGCGGTGCATGTGTCAGCTTTCTGGACGGTTCCGAAACAAGGCGTACGGACGATTCAGGTTGTGAATCCAAGGGACGGGAATACGATAACAAGGGTGATGTGACCGACCTTATCCTCGACCTGCCCAAGCTGCTCCTTCACATATTGCTGAGTTCTGGTCGCAAAGGGAGAAAAGGTGGCACTGCGAAAGAGCTTGAGATTAGTGGAGAGCGACACTATCAGAGGGCAGTGTTCTATGAGCGACGCACGAGAAATTCTTGCCGAAAGCCTGAACCTTATCCATATTGAATTGATTTGCTGATGTCTCACAGTAGTAAAGCAGAAACGGGGGATGATATTTTATCGTGTAATGTAGACAGGTAACGTTAACAATCAATTTGGGCAGTCTAGGTGGTGAGCGGTGGGTTTACTGGTGGTACGGAAGGTTACCGAGGGGATCAGGCAGGGGAGCTGTGACGCCTTGTGGCTGTCTCAGGGCCCTTCGGCCTCCTAATAACCTGGCGACCTTTTCCCGACAACCCTTTTGTTATGTTTGGCTTTATCCCGCAGATCCCAATGCTTGTTGGCTGGGGTCAGTACACAAGGTACCGCTGCGACCGGGAGTATCCACCACCACCCCGAGCGTCCAGTCATCCACGTAGGCCGATGTACCACAGTGAAAGCCCAGTGGAAGCCCTGTGAAGTGAACAGCATCTGAACAGGCAGCAATGTTCATATAAATGAATGGGGCACAATACACCTCTAACTACATGATTTTCTACTCCAGCCATTTCTTCTATTCCACCATCGCAAAGGAAAATAGAAATGAAGGAACGTACCTAAGGTAGCTAGCATGCTTCTACACAATAGGTAATGTCTCATGTGACTCGTATGCAAGAGGAAGGCACTGCATGCAGGTTTCCTTCATGCAGAATTTATGCAGAATTTATGCTTTCAAAATATTTGATACAGAAATCAGAAGTCTACTGTTGGTAAATTATTCACATGGTTTGAGATCATTCTGCAAGGACATTTCTGATAATGCGTCAAAACATAGGCTAAAAGTAGCGAGGAAAGCCTGGCATGTGGCTGCGACCATATCATTAGAGCTTTCAGACTCCGCGGCGGAACTTCAATTGTACATGAGCCTCAGTATGATGAAAAGTGATAGTATTGGAGCAAAAATGCTACAAAATACAAATGATTGCACCTGAGTAACTAACTAAACAAATACCAGCCAATGCATCTTTGGGACAAAGCAGGCTGGAAAGGATCATATGCAACCGGAACAGAACTTGAACGCAGCAGAAAATGCAGAGCGCAAAAGATATTGTGTCAATCAACTTGCATGACTTTGATGCCCTACATTGAAGTTTTTTGAAATAGAGAAAGAACGTGCAATGCTTTGACGGAGAAGGAAGCTGCCATTGAACAAGCGGCGCGCTTAGTCGACGACGCCCGGGTCCTGAACGGAGCGGGTGTATGAATAGCTCTGGCTGACGGAGTAATAGTCGGATCCCGAGTATTGCCCAACGTTTGTGCTATAGCTCTTGTCCCAGGGTTGGGTGTAGAGAGAACAGTAGGTGCCCAGTGCTTTGCCGTTCTTCGACAGGACGTACGCATTGAAGAAATTCTATTCGACGGCACATCAGTAAGGATCAATAAATGTGGTCATTGGGAAACTTACGCAAGGCTTGTAGCTACCACCAGTAGCGTGAGTACGATCATAATCCTCCGTTGCGTCACAGGCGGCAGCACACTGGCCGGCATTGAAGGCACCCCGGAAAAATTTCACGCCAATATAAGTATCAACCTGAGCTCCTGTGGTGGGGTCGGTATACAGGGGTGCAGCGATGGCACCTCCTAGCTCCGTCGGACCATCATAGCCGCTATATGGTGGTGGTGCCTTCTTTTTGTTGTACCCTAGAATACAATTCAGAAAAAGTCCCATGATTCAGGAATACCGGTAATAAGCAATTAAAACTCACCATTGGACCCAGCAATCACAACCTGGAACTGGTCACGGTATCCGCCCATATTTGAGGCCGATTGTGCCGTGACGTGAGATCCCCAAAGTGTGCATTTGATGTTGGTAAAGCTCGGGGGATTGGGGCAGGCGTCTGCAGGATTCACAGAAGGATCCCTTTCGAAATAAATGTTGAAGCCATAACATGAGTCTGCAGCGTCACAGAGTTGCTGGCATTGAAGCGGGTCATAACTCTGGAGAGTATACAGACCGAGGTAAGAGGGTAAGCTGACACTGCCCTGCAGATTTGAGAAAACATTGTTATAGCCGTTGGGGGTCGGCGCATTAACTGCAGCCAATGCAAACACGGTGTTTGTAATGAAAGCATCTGTGGTATCGGAGGTGGGTTTCGGTCCGTAACTAACAGCAAAATCAATAAGTAAATCATTTACAGTCATGGAGACTAATCTTACCCGTCAGGTTGCGGAGCGCAGTCGTCATTCACTCCGTCTCTTTCAAAGAGGCCAAATTCCCATCGTTTAGCTAACGGGCTAGCAGTGACAGCCGCGGCAGCCGACTGCGAAGCAGTGGTTGGATTGTAACTGGCAAGGTCAGTATCTGGGCCGGAGAGAAGCGTCTTCGTTCTGCTTACGTGACAGGCTGCTCAACGGCAGTAATGGGTGGACCGGTGACCGTAGCCGACGGTGCAGAGTCCACAGCGTCGAAGTCAATGTCCTGCGGATGAGGTGCCGCTCGGGCGAGTCCGTGCAAGAGGGCAGCGGCGATGAGAGCTTTCCGCATGTTTGATGAAGTAGAGATGATATAGAGAAGTTTTTGCTCTGTTTAGATTTGTTGCCGGAGCTGGTGATGGAGGAGGAATGGAGACGAATTCTGGGAGGGAGATTCACAGTCTTTATATAGACAATTGGGGCCCAATATCGGCCGCAGCATGTCCATTGATCTCCACAAGTTTATTGCAGCTCAATATTGGCACGCCAAGTGAATTGGAGGACGAAAGGTCTAAGCCGGCAATTGATGAACGCCGATGGCTTTCTCGACGCCATTCAGCTCCAGAGCAGGCGCTGCTGCAAGCCCTCAAGAAGAAGATGGGGACCCGAAAACGAGGTGCAGCGCATCGTGCATGCCTTTTGGTCGATTCTAGACTGCATCCACAAGGCAGTAAGCATCAGGGACAAGCTGAAGAGGAAAATGAGGAGCATGGATCGGTGAGAAGCCACGGCTTGAGGCCCAACTCACATCAGACCATGCTCCAGGGTACCACTCAGGCCATGCAATTTTGGGCTACCCCACGGGGAAATGCTTTCCAGAGAAGCCAAAAGAAACAGCATTGGCGCCATTTTTCATATTAGTGGGTGTGGTTGACCAGGGTACGAGGCACCTCTCTGTTATTTGCGAGGGCCGGAGCTAGCTCGCATCTCAAAAGAAAAGACAGTTGGATATGCGGAAGATGGACCAATGTGAATATTCGCGCTGTATTCTGAATTGAATTGTCGTTATGACCCATCACAGAGAGTGGAGCCTTTGGTCGTTCAACACCACCGGCACAAGCATTACCCAGGAATTTGCGGATAGATTGAGCGCCTTTGCTTCCGTCGTGGGTCCTGCGTGACTGTTCATCGAGTATCACGATAATCAAGGCTGGTAGTTTGTCTCGTGGGTCAGGGGCTGAAGGCATGAGCTTGAACCAAAGTGTTTAGGGCAGAGCAGTAAACAAGCCATACCCCTGTCGATGCTTCAACGCTACTTCCCATTTTGGACCGCAGTGACCCATGTGCTGGCCCTCGAATTCCTATTTGAGCCTTTTGCGGGGGATCGCAGCCGGCTAGAGTGCGGCCGTGCGAGTTCCGCCGAAGAAGTTATGCGTGTTCGTGGCCAGGGTGCACGGTTGAAGCAGCATACACGAAAGTCATTGCAGCGAACTACCAGCAAGGACAGACGGGGTTTCCTGAACCTGGGCTGCAGGCACGGGCAATCCACAAGAGAGGCCGCTGGTCGGTAATTCATATCATGCCTTCGCAGTAAGATGACGCCGCTGTGCTGGACGAATCATACCATGCGTCAGTTATGGATGAACTCAGGTTGATTTCTCGAATCTCGTGTTCTATGCAGATACGTTGCTTGCGCATTGTGATTCTGTCGGCCAGTATGATAATAATAGATTGACATCGTGTTCTTCTCACCGAACAAAGGCCCAACCACAATAACCTGGCCGTCCTCTGCAGCGTATTATGCGGTGCATGTACGTAATTTCCTTGGCAATCTCGACAAAACGGTGCTTGAGACAGGGCTCATCTTGAGAGGAAATATTCAGCTTGCGTAGCCGGAGCATGGAACTCGGGGTTGATCATCTCCATTTAGCCAATCACTTTGCGGCGTGGTTCGCGGCATCCGACCATTATACTATGGAGACGGCCAAAGGCACGTTGTTTTGGTGCGTGGGGTCGTACGCCCGTTGCAGCTTAGGCAAGCCTGACTATGCATCCAGGTCGGCGCCGGTGGAATCAGAAGGGCTTCAATCAGACTATCCGCTAAACTCAATGGCGGATTAGCTTGCTAGGTACACAGACATGAGCATCTTGTCCCTTTCTCCGAGCTGAGCTCTTCTTGGCTTGATCCCACTCGAGACAACGACACGGGCGCCAGGAGAGAAAAGTCATTGGTGTCAAATCTGTGAGCAGCTGTCAAAAATACGGGAGATCTTCCTTTGTCTCTACCCTTGGCCGCAATAAAAGCATGCGAGGGGTGGATAAGTCCCCTGGGGTCCATGTTGTTCGCGTGTTGAACCCGTATGACGTTAGGCCTGTCGGTAAGGGTTGGCCCGAAGAACCAGAAATAGAAGTCCACTGTACCTTTACTCACGGCAAATTGATCTCAGTTACGTCGTACGGATTACGAGAGGTCTTTGCTTATACGGAGTACGGCTCATGGACAGGGTCTTACTTTGTTTTTGATGCTTACTCCATTGGCGTGCAAAATCCTTGTTGACCCTGTCATTTTCACTCAAGACTCTATGCAGGTATCATTTGCAATTTAGAAAAGAAGCGGGGCGCCAGGCACACAGCAGTTAGGTAGCCTACGTCCAGAGGTCGTAGACACGGAATTGCAAGCGACCACAGAACAAAGCGTTACCTTGGTGAGCACCAGGAATCCCCTCCCGCCACTTAACTAGCCAGGGCGCTTGCGAATCTAGGTAACTTTCCCCGTCCCAGGGGCACGATGACCGTAAGGTGAGGCTCACGCTGAGATTGATAATAACATTACCCTGTCCACCAAATGATCGGCTACAGTTGGTTGTGGGCCAGCCACAATAATGCCCGATGTGCTGATTTGCTGGAGATCAGCTTTGCCCAGTAATATCGCCCGACCTGGTCTAGTTACGGCGAAGCAGTTATTTACAATCTTGGCAGGCCGCTTTTGCGCGCTCATGACAATTTATCGCATTACCGGAAAGAGACCAAAAAGAGACGGTGTCATGGCAACATGGCTGCTTGAGGCGGAGACGCAGGCGGTCAAGATAATGCTGCCTCAAGCCATAACCATCCACGTGAACGTAGTTTGCGATAATCGCATCCGAAAAACCTCGCCGGCTCAAAGGGCTGGGTGTGCTCTGCTGAAAAGGTAGCTAAGTGTGGCGGATCTAGAGCATGAAAGAGCAGCCTCCACCGGGGCTCTTCAGGTGCTCAAGAATCGCCTGTCTGGTGCGCCACAAGGCCGGTCGTTCGCTGGCGGAGAGTAACGTGACTCTGAGTCCCGTAAGTCAGTGATGATGATGAAGAAGATGTGGAGACTGAGGGGGAAAACGTCCGAGCTCTACAGTAGTACGTACAGTTCAACTTTGATTTGGGCCCTTAAATCGGTCTAGTGTCGGTTGTCAGGAACCCGAGACTGGGGTTCCGAGGTTCCCACGCGATCCAAAATATAGACCGCGCTTGATAGCTCTCGGTCAGCTCCGAGCAACCCTTGGATGGATTCTTCTCTCATTATTAGGGTCCTTGCTCACGAAAAGAGCTCGCTTGGAGAATCTGAAGGCGGTATGACCTTTTATGCATCGTATGCTTCAAGGTTAGGCTAGCTGATATACGCCCAGCGAGTTGGTGCTGTACAACAGAAGCCGGGATCTAGTGAGACTTGGGCTGCGGATATCGCGAGATGTTCGAGCAGGAAAAGTTGTCAAGCTTCGCTGTCAGTTTCTTTGCCACCGCAGCTGAACTTAGACATTAGCTTTACATTCATCCCTCTGACTACGCTCTCGTTTATTCAGTCTTAAAAATGCCGCTCGGGTTACGGGTTGTCCGCATACTCTAGTAGACAGTACACAAAAGCATCAAGGACCGTATGCAAGTGGCGAGACAGACATGTTTGCCTTCAACTGCACCCCGCAATCAGAAACCTTCAATCAAATCATGATGAATTGATGTTATACAGAAAGTGCTATTTAAGTCTGAAAACAAGGATGTCCAAAGTAAAATTTCTGTAAGTCAAACATCGTCGGTGAAAATATAATTGGTAAATAAGTTAGTGTACGTAAGACAGCATAAATTTGAATGCAATGCATATCCAGCATTACTGAGAGGCCGCCCTACCGCGGCTACTGGCCAGAGACGGATTGATTGGTTGCCCATGGTCACCTGCGCCGTGACCTACACTCGGTAGGCTCGACATGCCTTTTCTACCGTGAATTTAGAGAAAAGGTTACGATAAGTTTGAAGCGCCTAATAAATGAATTGCGAGATTGAGAAACCTACAGGCAAGCATTTCAAGAGATTAAGATATATGTTTCCAAGTTCATACATACTGTACGTTTACTCCAACCAATCTCTATCGACCCTTTTCCCTCTAATGGTTTTCTGCGCCCGCTTCACCGCCCAAACAAAACCCAATTTCTAAGTTAACAAATGATTCTGAAAAATTGAAACATCCTTTCAATCCCCCAGAACGACCCAAGTATTCAAGGGACCAGTGCTGATAAGATCCATAGCGGAAATTCCAATTATCATTAGACAGCTTCAGTCTCTCACAAGATGGGGAGAAAGTCAGTTGATCTCTCCTAAGTTGATGTACCGGAGCGCATGCTGCAAAATGGTTTTCGTTGTACGGTGTTGAATGCAGTTCTATGGCATTACACACCGGAAGCACGCGGAGATTCACCGATTGATCAACTCGCGGCCAAAAAGAGCAATCACCCCATTGTCACCCACCACAACCATCCACTCTCCGCCGACACTCCATGCGATCTGTCGGGCTGCGAAGCTGACTTTTGGTACCACAATGGAAGAATGTGCCTCAATTACGTTGAAGGGGTCAGAGATGTCGTACTTTCGAGCTGCGGCAGCAGGACTGGCAGCAGGGATTGCCGACTGTCCGTCATTGCTACCTGGCACGATGCTACTTGACGTAGTGGATGCTATGCTCGTTTCCCGTTGAATGCCAGGCGGTCTTCTGCCTCGCTTTATTGGAAGGCGAAATGGAACATCGCCATTAGGATTATATACTTCGAAGCGCTTCAAATCCCAGAAATATACCTTACTATTGGTGTTGCCAATGGACAAGACCGGGTGCATCCCTGGGCTGTCAAAAAATCCGAAGCGCATGTAAAAGAGCTCCGTCTGAGGCGCTTCAAACTGCAAAAGACGTTGGTATCCTTCTCCAAAGGCGGATTTCGTCTCCCGAAAATCATGACTCGTTGGAGCCGTTTCTGGATTCGGAAACGGTTTTCCGGAGGAAAATCCATCAATTTTCCAAAGCACAATTTTCCCCTCTTGGGCAGATTTCGAGAGGATTAAATCATCGAAAAATCGAATACTATCCTCACCAATCAGACTCTCAACGTGTCGCTTCTCTCCTCGGGGTTTTTGTTACTCACCAATCGACATAGTCAGAATGGATTGCCATTGTAGAGAAATGCGGGTAGTGTAAGATAGTTGTTTTATCGCTGCCAGCGTTCTTACTAGGCAGCTCCGGTAGGGCCCACTGGTACCGAAATAAGCCTCGAAGGAAATCAAACATCTTGATGGCGACCTACTAAATTGATTATACAGTCCATTCCTCCAGATACGAGGTAACGTCCGGTATGATGAAACGCCTTCGCTCTATTAATAAGGTGATGTATAATGGGAATAAAGCAAAGCGAATCAACTCACAATTGTCAAAACGCCTTCCTTATGTCCCTCGCCCGCACATATTACATTGCAAGGGTTGGATTGGTGATTCGAGTCCAAACTCCAGATTCGTATAGAATGGTCCATTGATGCGGAGGCTAGAATTGAAGGGGAAGAAGGGGATACCGCAAGATCTTCAATTTCCTGGCGGACATGAGTGTCGAGCTATTGAACGGCAAGCCGCCGCAACGAACTTACATTTCCATGGCCTATTAATGTCTTTGCAGAGTTACAAGACGATCGAAGGGAATTTATTTTTAACGCAGCAGAGGATCACTTACTTGGACAAGCTGTCCGGTTTTGACATTAATCACTTTGACTTTTGGACTGGTCCCGGCCACGCAGACCAAAGGCTCCCCTGTCTCAAGATCGCGGCTCCAGACACAGCTGTTGAGGCCAGCATATTGCTAAAAGACAACATGTCAGCAAGAACAAGTGTTTCGAGATGGGCTAAGCTTACATCTTCGTCTCGAAACCATTGGAGTATTTCCGCCCCCTTTTGTTTTCCAGGCAGGGGACGACAAATGATTGTCTTCGACATTAGCGTTGGCATAACCACCTACTTCTAGCATAGAACGTAGCTCACCTCACGACCGCCAGTTACAGCAAAAATGGGGTCAATTCCGGGTGCAGTATATGGATAAAATGCTACTCCATAAAATGGTGCTGCGGCGCTTGGTCAAAAGGGTTCCCGAAGAAGGAAAAGATCGAATCCTTTGGCTGGGGTTGAGCTTACTTTTAATGTCGGAGCCTTGACCATTGGGATACAGGTTAGCATTGGATTTGACAAGAGGAGAGCTTGCGGGGATCATGGTACACCTAGCCGGAGAGTAGACCTAAGTTGGGGGAGGTCCCATTCATTGGGAGACATTTTGAAAGTGCACCTCTTTATGTCGCCCAAAGAGACTTATCAATTTCAGAATATGAATTATGCCACAGATGTTGGCCTTCATTTGATCCGGACCGACTGACTTTTCTAAGATTCCATGACACACATCTCCTGATTCTTGGTCTAAGATTAAATCATCCCAGGGTACAGAGACAACCAAACCCACGCATACTTTGGATAATTTGCACGTATTTTTCTTGTCATTCAGATAGAATTGTCCATGATCACCCTGCTTTCCCTCTTTATGAGAATGGATTAACGTGTTGGTTGCAGTCAACAAACTGCTAACAAGGACGCGTTCTGATTGGCGTTGAAGATTCTCGTCTGTACGGAAGGCCATGCGACCTTGTGATGCAGCTCGCTTGGACAGAAAGATTATCTGCACCAGATTTCTGCCGCCTGCTACGGCACAATGTCACCCAAAACTGTAAATCAAATTTTTACTGTATTCAGGCCATAGTACTGCTCTTGCATTGATTGTACAGTTCATGAAAAAGTGTTCTGGGGCATTTTTTGCAATGTAGAACCATCTACGTAGTGAATCCCTCCAAACAACATCTAAGAGTTGAACCCTCTATCGGAGTACGTCGACCCTACAACGTTAAATCTAGGCGGTGGCAGTATGACGCAACCGACTTGCAACTAGCTACGTCACGAGACGACTAAATACAATCTCCAGTTCACCCCGTGTCGGGATTGGGTAATTTGCGGGAGAAGAGGCACTCTTACTCGGACTGGAACTGCCCTTATATATCAAATATCAATGCCAGGAATGATCCAACAAACGCCAATTTCTCATATTTCCGGACCAATTTTGGAGAGGCTCACAAGTGTGCGCATGGAGCTGACCACTTTTCTTGTTCTTCGTACCCGTAGATCGTCGATCTGACAAGAAAGGGAACTCTGTCAACCTTGAAACGGGCCTTGTAATTGGTAGTCGCACTTATGCCGGGTTGGTGCCCTTTTCCTCAGTCGGATGGTCGTGCAGGTGCCTCCAACCTTTGCGCCCTCGCTCCCCAGTGGATGATCGCCTTCCGCGTAGTATTATTCTTTTTTGTACGTAGGTGCATTGAGTTACAGCCGTTTTAAGTGGAGCAAGAGTGAGCACCAGGTTCGAGCTTTTGCGAAGGGCCGAGCTCTGCAGTCTCGCTATTGGTTTTGCTTGGTCACAATTGTTCGGGAGGAACGTCGTAGCTGCGCACGCATACCCACCTTCCTTCAACCCCTTGCCCAATTTCCACTGCTTAGCGGATTTTTTGTCTGCACATTCAGCTCTCTGCAGTATCAACACTCTACCAGCGAATCGCAAGCTTGCGGTCTTTCCCCCCGAGCAACGGCCCGGTTTCTTAGGGCGGGTGGAACGCAATGATATTTCCCAAATCTGATGACTGACTGCCCGCCAACAGCAGCTTTGTCTCACGAGATCGCGATTGAAGTCGAACTTTAACGCTTCTACGGTCTCATCTGAGCGGGGCTCTTCTGCCCGGATTACTTAGCACCGCTTGACCCGTTCATCCTCTCCTGGCCAGCACTTTTCTATCCATTGTTTGTCAAAAAAACCCAACTTGCTTAACCTCTTCAGCTAGGGGCATTCGAACCCCACTTCAGAGCTTTGTGTGGAGCAACCTGCAGTATCTGATTCTCGTTTTGTACATACTACTGTACTCCACGAAGGAAGTCAACCAGCTCAGAATCTGCTGCACAACTTTCAGCGATTGCAACATCTTCTTCCTTGTGAAGACAGTCTGAAATCTAGTCTCAACCTCAACAGCTCCATTTCGCCCACACAGGAGCCAGACGAAGCGTTTTCTGAGAAATTATACAGAGTACCGGGGCTTCAATCACGATAAAATGGAGTCGACTTTTATCACTATCCATGGTAATTTTCCGTCAACCTTTTGCTTTGCTGTTCCCCCGTCACTGACTTGTTGCCTTTCTTTCAAGATCTTTCTCGCGATGCACGCATCCTTTACGCTTCTGACTCGATCGCGGACATACTCGGTTACTCGCCTCAGGAGGCGACAGGAAAGTCTTGCTGGGAATACTTCCACCCTGAGGAGATACCTTTTGCAAGGGAGGTTCACGGGCGAGGAGTAAAGCTTGACAAGGCCGCTGTCTTGGCCTATTGCCAGATCAAGAATAAAGATGGACAGTGGGTAGGATGTGAATGCTGTTTTACCATTGCGTATGATGTCCTGGTGGCTTGCACAAGCATATATCGCCACGGAGCGAAGAGTGAAAGTAAGTTTATGATATGGCGCCCCAAAATCTCGCTCTGAGAAGGAGTTTCGATGAATCCACTGATGTTGCAAGCGTCATACTAAAACCACTCATTAGAGCGAGCTGTAGAGGCTCCTATCATCAGGCGCATGTTCTCATCTTCTCCGAAAGATCCTCGCTATCATATGCTTACGCATCTGTCTACCAAATTCTCAAAGCAATCAAACACACTGTCTCACGAGCCTCGCGCTACTTTGTTTTTGAACAGATTCACCCGCACTCTGACTATAATGTATGTCTCTAACGCGGTTGCCAGCGTTTTGGGAATATCCGCGGAAGAAATGCGGGGGAAAAGCTTTTATTATTGTATACAAGAACGCTGCTTGCGCGAGGCAATTAAATGCTTGGAAAGTGCCAAAGCAAATGACTCGATCGCATATCTTCGTTTCTGGTTTAGAGACCCTCGCGAGGAAACACATGCGGATGACGACACGAGCATGGAAGAAACATCCAGCAATCAAAGTAGCGAGGACGAAGAAGGTGGTGTCCACCTGGAAGACCATCTCAATGGTGGCGAAAGAAGGCGACCACCATATCCTGCCACTTTGGGACGACGCGACCTAGGATCGTCTAGCGACAGCACAGAAGCAGGCAGCCGTATAAGCAGCACAAGTACCTCGGTGCAGTCCCATTCCCTGTCATCGGGAAATAGCACAGATCTAGAAGGCGCCTCTGGAGCTACCGTCTTCGATCAGACAGGAGTTCCACAGTCATCTACCTCCTCTCTGCCTGCTTCCTCAGGCGAAACCACCGACTCGAGTGGTCGGCGTGCTGGGGACATCGAACTTGAAGCCGTGGTGTCTTGCACTTCTGATGGGTTGGTGGTAATTCTGCGCCGAGCTAGGCCGGCTATTCCTGACCCCGTACGTCCGTCGGCACCTAACCCCTTCGCCAACGGCCTCTTTGCTTCTCCATGGACTGCCGAGCCTATTTTACCGTCGTACGTTCCGCAGCCGCAGCAAGCCGCGCCCAATATGTTCGTCCCAGCTTTCGGCCCGAATGCTGTTGATTCCCAAGGTGTCACCCATCATTACGGATCCGCGACCGAAGATCTCATGAACTCGATCAGGGAGATTGCCGTCTTTGCTTGGGCATTGACTGGTATTAACGGCTGTTTAACTGAATACACTCGCGGTAAACCCACGGGTTTCTCCCAACCGCCTGATGGCTTTCCTGTCTGGGTTCCCGACCAGACTGCAAGTGAACGGATTCCCGGTTTCTATCCACAATATGCAGACAATACCGCAGGAGGTTACCCACCTACGGCTCCTTACGGAAACAATGCAGTAAACAGATGGGCGCATGGTAATCAAGGCAACGTGCAATCAACCTATCCTTTTGGGGTAACAGACCAATCCCAATCCTTCAACCCCACCGGTTCTGGCTATAGCTATGATTCCGCCAATCAAAGACGGGGTCATCATCCACCCTGAACTCGTCCAGGCACTTGAAGTCCTGGGCTCTTTTATTTCCTCAACATATGATGACAATGGTCAAACTCAAACAATGATCGCCTCCAGCTCGACTGCAGTACTTGGGTTGAGTGGAGCAGTATCACTCGAGTCGCATATTACGCCATCGATCAACGGGTGCCAGAACCGCCACACAAATCGCAGTTTACAGAGTAAGATTTGTCAACGCCTCTCCCATGGCATCCAAAGCAAGTAGTTCTTTCCGTAACTTCTCCTTCGCCAGCACATCGCCTGCAAGCGAACTCTTCGCCCTCGTCTTCTTGGCCGCGGCATTCGTGGCATTGAACGCTCTGCAACACGGTGCCATAGCCTTCACATATACCACACTGAGGATGATAGCGGCCGGCGCCATCACAGCGACCGCATACTTGCAAAAGTCAGTGTCTCGCCTTGTGTGATGCAAAGCGAATATCAAGCGGGAAGAGAACATCGTAGGGATAGGGTCATGGCTCCTACTTACGAGGCATTTATAAGTCCGGCCTGATATGTCGAATAGGACTTAGATACAGCGACAATTTGTGGAAAGTGTATAAATTTGATTTTTTTTTTTTTTTTTGGTTGTCAATATCCCACGTCAAGAGGATCAGTAAATCAGGTTTGGCCGAGAATTTGTTACTGAAGACTATGGAAATATATACTCTCCTCGAAAGGGAACAACTTTATTATATTACATTTGCATGTTCTGTATTCCGATATATCATTTGTACTACCAGATATCGTGGCTGATATCTATTCGCTACTTAAATTTATATGTCCGGTTGCTATCAGCTTTATCAACCTGTCCAGCGGTGAGGGGCACACAATAGTTCCACAAGCTGGTAATAATTGACACTGGAATAACGTAATGTCCTTCGTAGCGCCGCAGTGGCCTAGCTTCTCGCGCTCCTCGACGCTTAAAAGAGATTAGCTCTAGCTCGCAATGCTTGACAGATCTGGCAGCACCATGATATGCATGATGCCTGATAGCAACTCAGCACCCTCCACTAAGCATTATCTAAGATGGCATGGAGCTCTTTCATCATAGCAATATTACATCCTGAACCCTTCGCTCCTTGTCTACGATCAGCCTGAGCTGTCTTCCCTGCTCCCCCATGAACACGCCCTTGCGGAGAGTATCCGTGAACAGCTCGTATGCAGGGTAATCTGGATTTTTTTTTTTAAGAATTTAGTCAGATGTTTTTCGATAGTTGTATAAATCACATTTGACCATGCTCATAATCGTGTGCTGTTGACTTACAGCCATCGACAAATTTAATGACTTCTTCGTCCGTCATCCCAACGCCTTTTGATAATCGAAGCGCGGCTTCTTGCTGAAGCCTCCAGTCATACACGAATCGCGTGTCGGTAGCGTCCCTGGTGTCTAAAGTTAGCAATACGTCCGGAGAGGTGAACTGATAACTTGAGATTTACAAATGGATCAGAGCATCTAGCTGACTTAGAGGATCAAAATGTTAGCTTTGGTATATGGCTGAATGTGGTTTATTCGTTTCCAAACTAACTCTGTCAGATGGTCGTAATCTTTGAGCCTTTCATTGACAAACTCTAGATTATTAAGTTGATGTTTTCCCAATGTGCCTTGGCCCTCATTTTTGGCCGCTCGACGAACGGCGTCCTCCCACTTGGCCTTCAGCTCGCTGCTGGGGATTGCGCGAAAAGCAACACACCAGCCTTCGAAAATGATCACTTGCACAGGGTTTTCACCTGCTCTATTTACTTGGGCCCAAGTACTCGGATCGGTGCGATCTCCTTGTCCATCAAACGCAGACTTGTCATAGGAAGGGATTTTGGTAAATTTCTGTTCTGCTAGTGCTTGAAAAGTACTCTGGGCTAGTACAAGATCGTGGGTCCCCGGCTCGCCACGATGTTGGATCAGTGGATTTTGAGGATGGTGACGAGCTAATTCCAGCTGCTCTTCATGTGGAAGGTAGAAATCATCGATAGATAGAACGACTGTGGGCAGGTTGTATGGAGGGGACCTAAGCGTCGAACATAAAGCAGACACCTTGAATTTGCCAATGAATTACACGGTCAGTCAAGATAAATGCTTGATCATTTAAGAGAAACAATGCTGATCTAGGCCAAGCAAAATTTTCTGTTGCAAAAGCAAACAGTCCATCATCATGCTTTACATGCAAGAAACATAGCACAAAAAAGACAAATATTGGGACGGGTGCATGACATTGAACGAGGCTGAATTTGGCCGGTTTGCGAATCGTTGAGAATGAATCAACCGCTGGTCCAGCTATGAGGATCGCAACCCGCTAGCTTTTTTGTATTTACCTACCAAGGTAGTTTTCCCCACTCCTTGAATCCCGTTGATACCTACAAAGAATGGTGGGGGATGTTGATCTCCGCCATACTTTCTCTGGTGAAGCTTCAGCCGCTCGAGGATGAAGGGGATGCAGTGGGGTGATTTGTCATCGACAAAAGGAGACATCAAGATAAGCCTGTGGCGCAAGAGCTAAAGGGTACAGGAAACACTTATTTGTTCGAAATGTGAACAAAGTGTAAGTTACTTGTAACTCCAATGAGTAATTGCAATTCTGTGTGATGAGTTTGAGAGATCAAACCTGCCTCGGGCGGTGGAACATCGGGACAAGTCCGAATAAGTCCGAGCTCGTGACGTACAGCTGCCGGTTTGGCCAAGAGATTCATCCATTTACTTTTAGTAGCGACAACCTGAACTCAACCCGTCCAAGCACTAAAAACAAAAGTACTGAGAACTTCCAATCCTCCCACCCCTGACACTTGGCCCGGATTGGCGTTCGTTCGGCTTTTACCCCACGTTTTCATGTGACGAATGCTTTGGCTTTCATTTCATGTCGCCATTACCTCGCATAGACCTTCGTTCGGTTGTTTATGCCTTATGTTACCAACTTACAAAACCTTGCACGTTCAATCTGGTTAAAAGCCAAATAATTGCCAGCAAGAAAGTGAGAGGGAGAGAGAGAGAGAGAGAGAGAGAGAACAAAGATCACAAATAAATTACATGCTTATTTATTATTTTCTATTGAATAAGGTTTCCCTTGTAAAGACCCTCTCCTTCAATAGCCGGCGCCGCCTCGGCTTCTGCGAACGGAGTGAGTTTCGACCCTGGATAGTAGTGCAAGGTCCAATAAGCCGAGGTTCACTTTCGCGGGCTCGACACTCTTGATCCATTATACACCTAGCTTTGGCTGACCTCACCTCTTCTTTCTAAGCTTTCCAACAGCTGATAATACTTCGCTTTTTCTTCATCAATGCATTTTTGTATTCTCTGAGACCTTGCTCTGAAGCTGTACTCTATGTAACATCTTTCCAATATGTCTGAACTACGTTTCGACAACCAGACAGTCGTCGTGACCGGAGCAGGCGGTGGCCTTGGTAAAGCTTATGCTACCTTCTTTGCGTCGCGAGGGGCAAATGTCGTTGTTAATGATCTAGGCGGCTCCTTCAAAGGTGAGGGAACGTCGAACAAGGTGCGTATCTAAAAATATTTTGCTCATTCCTAAGTGTCCGTGAATTTCGAGCTACAAACTTTTGGTCAAATTATGCACTAATACAGCTCAAATTTCCAAGGCCGCCGATGTCGTCGTTGAAGAAATCAAGGCAGCAGGAGGTAAAGCAGTGGCAAACTACGACAGCGTGGAGAATGGGGAGAAGATTATCGAGACTGCCATCCAGGCCTTTGGCCGGGTAGACATTCTTCTAAATAATGCTGGCATCTTGAGGGATGTCAGCTTCAAGAACATGAAGGATGCAGACTGGGATCTGATTATGAAGGTGCACGTGAAAGGCGCCTATAAGGTAGATCCAGAGAGCCCATGACATCGCAGAGATTTTAAATGTCTAATTTGTTGCTATAGTGTGCACGAGCAGCATGGCCGTACTTTCGGAAGCAGAAATACGGCAGAGTTATAAATACTGCATCTGCAGCGGGACTTTTTGGAGGCTTCGGACAAGCAAATTATGCAGGTCAGCTTTTTCTCCAATTTTCATCGCGAGTTCTATGCTAAGCAGAAACTGTAGCTGCCAAGCTTGCACAAGTTGGCTTTACGGAGACTCTGGCAAAGGAGGGCCTGAAATATAACATCTTAGTGAATGTGATTGCGCCCATAGGTAAGCATTTCCTTTCTCCATAGACATCTTTGCCTGGAAGAAAATCAAAATCAGATCCCTTGAGCTCTTTAATGTCTGAATCCAGCTTATCGAGGTCAAAGAAAGATAATTGGGAAATACTAACGCTTTCAAAAGCTGCTAGCCGCATGACTGAGACTGTCATGCCTCCAGACGTTCTGGAGAGTCTGAAACCAGATTGGGTGGTTCCGCTCGTCGCCGTACTCGTACACTCATCGAATGAAATCGAGACCGGGTCCATTTTTGAAGTTGGCGGTGGTCATGTTGCCAAGATTCGATGGGAGCGTGCCAAGGGCGCCTTACTCAAGACCGATTCAACGCTCACCCCTGGAGCTATCCTCAAGCGCTGGAAGGACGTTAATGACTTCTCAGAACCAGAGCACCCGCAAGGGACAGCCAACTTTATGGAGAAGCTAGAAGAAGGGTTGAAGCTCTCCAGCAATGATCCTGGTGAGACGCTGGACTTTAAGGGAAAGGTGGCACTTATTACTGGTGCCGGTGGAGGGTGAGTACCTGAAGGTTCCTATTGATATGCGCTCTACTGATTCATACCTAAAGTCTTGGTCGCTCCTATGCACTTTTATTCGCTAAACTTGGAGCTTCCGTCGTGGTAAATGATCTTGTCAATCCAGATACCGTCGTGCAAGAAATTAAGAAGCTGGGAGGAAAGGCTGTTGCAAGCAAAGCTTCTGCCGAAGATGGCGAAGTCGTTGTCAAAGCCGCTATCGATGCGTTTGGGCGCATTGACATCTTGGTCAATAATGCCGGGATTCTTCGCGACAAGGCATTTGCCAACATGGACGAGAAACTGTGGGATCAGGTCGTTGCCGTTCACCTTCGAGGCACATACAAGGCTACCAAGGCTGCCTGGCCCTACTTTTTGAAACAAAAGTATGGCAGAGTCATCAACACGACTAGCACCAGTGGCATCTACGGCAATTTTGGTCAGGCAAACTATGCCGCAGCGGTGAGTCGATTTCCCAGTATGGTCAAATCTGGAAAAAATTGCTAATATCGGTTTCTCTACAGAAAGCGGGCATTTTGGGCTTCTCTCGCACCTTGGCTCGTGAAGGCGCAAAATACAACATCTATGTAAACACGATTGCACCGAACGCAGGCACGAATATGACTCGGACAGTCATGCCTGAAGAAATGGTTCAGGCCCTCAAGCCAGACTATGTTGCGCCACTTGTGGTACTCCTTGCCTCTGACAAGGTTCCCCCTCCGCCGACAGGTGGGCTTTTTGAGGTGGGAAGTGGCTTCGTTGCCAAGACAAGGTGGCAGCGCAGTGGCGGACACGGCTTCCCGATAGATGTGAAGCTCACTCCCGAGGCTGTTCTAGAACAGTGGACGCGCATTATTAACTTCGACGACGGCCGTGCCGACCATCCCGAGGACCCTCAAGATGGACTGAAGAGTATCATGGCGAATTTTGAAAATCGTAGCAATGGCGGTCAACAAGATTCTGAGAATGAATTCATCAAGAATATTGAAGCAGCCAAGAAAGCCGATGCAGAAGGCACTGAATTTGACTACGACGACCGTGATGTCATTCTCTATAGTGAGTTTCACTGAGCTTCATTGGGCCATTGTTCCTTTCTTTATATTTAAAGCCATGAAGGCCTCATGCTAATACTAAACTTGTACAGACCTCGGTCTTGGAGCCAAGCGTACCGAGTTGCCGCTTGTCTTTGAAGGAGACGAGAACTTCCAGGTGCTCCCAAGCTTCGGTGTTATCCCAGCGTTTGGAACGAAGGCATCATACAACTATGATGACATTGTACCAAACTTTTCTCCCATGATGCTCTTACACGGTGAACAATTTCTTGAGATTCGCAAATTTCCGATTCCCACTTCCGCCTCCCTCGTCTCTTACGCCAAGCTTGTCGATGTTATCGATAAAGGCAATGCCGCCATTGTAGTTTCTGGGATTACCACAAAAGATAAGAATACCGGCGAAGACGTCTTCTACAACGAGTTCACCACATTCATCCGTGGGTCTGGTGGGTTTGGTGGACCAAAAAAGGGCATCGACCGGGGGCCTGCGACGGCAAATTACAAGCCGCCACAGCGGAATCCAGATGTCGTTGTCGAGGAGAAGACTGTCGAGGAACAAGCAGCATTGTATCGTCTGAGTGGCGACCGCAACCCGTTGCATATCGACCCAGAATTCTCCAAGGTCGGAGGTTTCAAAACTCCCATTCTGCACGGTCTCTGCACATTTGGCATTTCAGCCAAACACCTCTTCCTGAAGTTTGGCCCGTACCGAAATATCAAAGTTCGCTTTGCCGGGACAGTGCTGCCAGGCCAGACTCTGCGCACAGAAATGTGGAAGGAGGGAAACAAGGTCGTTTTCCAGACCAGAGTTGTCGAGACGGGCAAGATCTGCATTGCCGGAGCGGGAGCAGAATTAGTAACTGATAAGGGAAAGCTTTGAATGATGCATTGATTGGGTTGTTGCGTGCCATATATAAACAAAAACCGCCGCAGGACGGTTGAAGCTGGGCATATATGCTATTGAAAGAGATTGATAAGGTATTCAAGTTGATGTACCCTTTGTTTGCTTTGCTTTTTTGGGGTTAGCAATTTGGTAGGTAAATCTCGAATACCATTCTCTCTTTTTCGAGATGATCAACATGCGCAACCTAAAATCATTGTGATTAAGCGTTTCCATTGTCTCGCACAATGTAGTACCCATCGAGTCCACATTGAACCCTAATGGCGAAAGTTCGTGCGCTGTGTAATGTAGACAAAAGGTGGGGCATCCGACGGTACGCCTACACACTGTACTGTCTCAATCATCTGGCTCGTCCTTTATAATCACCGCCGAGTCATCCCCATGACCGTTATCCCCGCCCACGGTTCCCGCGACAACTGACTTCCCTTGTGCCCGTCTTGACGACGACCCGACTGCGTTCCTCTCAATATCAAGTACTTGAATCAGCGTGCCTCTGGCCGGTCTGACTTCTTCTGCAGCAATGATCGTCTCGATTCCCGCGGGTGTCAGTTCGTCTTCGGGGCCCCAGGGCAGGGAATCGATATCAATGTCGAGATTCAAGAGACAACGCAAGATGACCGATGCGCCAGCCTTGCTCAGGACAAGATTCGCCTCTTTGCAGCGTTCCGAGCAAACGCACTCGACGCAGCCATCTTGGCAATGGCACGCCGCGACGCGATCACAGGCCTGATGTAAAAGCAGATCGACAAACTCGAATGCCTTTGTAGAAATCCCTGAGCCTGCGGCGCCGCCCTTGGCATCGTAAAAGGTCAGTCGGGCCGGACGTTTGCGCGAGGTTTCGCGGCGCGCGAATTCCTTGAGGGCGTTTTTGCATTCTGTGCGGACGTCGCCGGGCATGCTGATGACGAAATTGGGCATGAGAGAAAGCAGGGCGTGTTCGGCGGCATGAATGGCCGCGGCGGCATTGAGGCGACGGGAGGCAAGAATCTCGAGTGCTTTGGAGGGCACGTCGAGCCAGAATCCCTTGGACAGGATCTCGACGGGGGGGTTGTCGACCTGGACGGCGTCAAGAATGCGGCGGCGTTTGTCGACCTTGAAGAAACCAAAGACGACCATGCGGACTTTGATGCTGCCGTAGAAGGCGCGGGAGAGGGAGTCTGGGATGCGCCGAATGGCTTCGGTCTCAATGGGGTCGACGTCGGTGTAGTCGCGTTGCTGGGTGGTCCAGTCGATGTTGGCGCGCTCGACGCGGGCCAGGCGCGAGTCAATGGAGAATTCCTTGACAATGTATGTCTGGCCTTGGTGGAGATAGACGCCACCTTCGTAGATGGTGAAAAAGGCCCGAGACGGTTCGACTTCTTCGAGCACGACGTTGCGGTTGTTGGTGATGTCGACGACGGCGAAGTGCCCGTCTTCTGTGTCGCGGATGGCGACGAACCGCGACGGATGTGGACGGAATCGTTCATGGCAGTGGTAAAACCCCAGAGGGTCTTTGACCAGGCGGTCCTGCGCGAGCTCAGGGAGGTTTTCACCGAAATAGATTTGGTCCTCGTCTGGGCGAATTGGCATCTCGTATGCAGCGCACTGAAGATGTCCTTCGAGTACGAGCGTGTTTTGTAGATCGACTCCCAGTTCACAGTTGGGCTTGGTGAATATCTCATCTGGGTTCTCCATGTAGTACTGATCTGTGGGGAAACAGTCGCCGAGCAGCACGGACAAGGAGTCTTTGTTACGTCGTCCAGCTCGGCCACTCTGCTGGCGCAGGTTGGAGATGCTGTATGGAAACCCTACGGTAATTACGGCGTCGAGAGAGCCAATGTCGATACCGAGCTCGAGGGCGTTTGTCGCTATGATGCCGAGCAGTTTGCCTTCGAACATTTCTTTCTCGATCTGCCTTCGATCTTGTGGTGTGTAGCCGCCTCTGTAGCCCATCACGCGCGCCATGACTTCTGGTCGCTCGAGTGCCCTCAGCTCGGACTTGACAGCGCCTACGAGCACTTCGCATTGTTTGCGAACGCGACAAAAAGCAATGACCCTTACGCCTCTCAATATAAGTTGACAGAATAGTTTGGCGGACTCCACCATGGCATCCCCCCGGCCCGAGGAGGGATCAGCTGGGTCCTTGAATGGAGTGTTCCAGCATAGAAATTCCTTTCGACCAGAAGGCGAACCATCAAAATCAATTAGTTCAACGTCATCCACGCCGAAGATGGTATTCATGTGTTCCTCCGGATTGGCAACCGTGGCTGAACATGAAATGAATTTTACATGGTGGTTTCCAACCGCGGCGCATATTCGTCGAAGTCTTCTCATAATGAAGGCAACGTGGGACCCAAAGAGACCGTTGTATACGTGAAGCTCGTCGACAACGACGTATTTGAGATTCTTGAGAAAAGTTCTCCATGACTCTTCTTGGGGCAGAATTGTTATATGTAACATGTCCGGATTGGTGAAGATGATTCTTGCTTCATCTCTTATGCGATTCCTGTCTTGCATGGGTGTATCGCCATCAAAGGTCTCGACAACGAGATTCTCCAACCCAGGCATGAGGCTCATCAACTCTTTCAAGCTTCTTCGTTGATCTTGAGCCAAAGCTTTTGTCGGGAAGATGTACATTGCTCTAGTATTGAGATCTTGCTCTAGTTCGTGCAAAACTGGAATCTGATAGATGAGAGATTTCCCTGAACTCGTAGAGGTGGATACAATAACATGGCGTCCATGATACAGATGGTTTATTGCTTCCGCTTGGTGTGAATAGAGTTGCGTGATCTCTCGAGTATTGTACAGCGCGTTGACCAATGTCTGCGACAATTGAAATTCTAGTTCGCCATGAACAGGAGGTTGGGGGTCAAATACTCGATGCCCATCAGGGACTATCTGACCAGTGTACCACTCTAGTGACTTGATTTCTTTAATGATGTCTGCTATGGAGGCTCGTTCCTCTGGTATCCTAGCGGGCAGTTTTGCGTAGGCTTGCCTTGCAGGAGTTGCGCTCCGCTCCTTTGAAATGACAGGAATATAGTCACTCAGCTCTTCTTCCAGACGGGATACTGGATCAACCCCATCTGCAGCAGATTGGTTGAGGAAAGCGTTAACCGCAGAGGTAAACTTGGTATTCCTCTTGTCAATCATCTTCATCATCTGCGCTTGACTGTAGACGGGCATCTTCAATCTCTCCTCTCGAAGTTTCCTGACTGGATTCACAGGCTTCCCTGTTTTTGGCTGCAGGACCTGACGCTTGAGATCGCCATCAATGAATTCGAAGAAGAGTACTTCCCTTCCTCTCCTTTCTCTAGCACCATTGTGACTACCCTCATCTGGCGTCTCCAGCGGGGCAAAATGGTCCACTTGTCGAACTTTAGTTCCAGACCCTTCCACAAGGACATCCAAGCTTGCCTCGTCCACGTAGGAGAAATTTATCGCGTTAGGGACCAGAGCCTTGATCTGACCAATGTCCGCTATTATCAAAGGTCGTTTTACGTGGCTTTCGACAGCTGACTTGATGTTGTCAAAGGTTGTTGCCAAGTGTTTTCTCGTACAACAAAATGTATAGACCAGGTTCAATGCTTTGTGGATCTGTCCAAGCTTTGTGAAATGTTCTGGCCATGGGACATTACTATTGACGAAGTTCGACGAATCTTGGCGGACCAGCGCCGGTGTGGAGTCTGAAGCTGATTTCCCCGAGCGGCGGGACTTCTTTCCACCATCATGAGTCTTGGTAGGTACTGTCTGAGTTGTCGTCGATGGATTTTCACTGGCGGGATCGGTGGGAGTTCCATTTTCCAGTTCGGAGGCTTTTCGCTTCCCTTTTCTGACGACTTTATTAGAGACCGTTGCCGCCCGCAGCTTGGTCATCTCGCAAACGAGAAAACTCTTTCGAGCATAAACATCAGGATCTATGGTTTGAGCCTTGGATATTGCCCCTAAGCTTGCGTGCTGCCTCCTGGCGTATGGATAGGATGTTCACGTCAAAGTAGAGGCGCGTCGATTCGCGCATCCATTCGCGAGCCCGTCAACAGTCATGTCGTCATAATTTGACATGGGTTCAAAAAAAAGACAGCGTCTTAATCTGTTATAATAAATGGCATTTTTCCCCTGACATCTCCGCAATTATCAGAATTACATTTTATATTTACCAATCTAAAGGGTTTGTATCAATGTTTGGAGCTGAAATTTATTTATTTTTACTCATAGTGCCCCGAAGCGGCTGCGAAACGCCAGTGTCATGCAATGGAACTTATTAATGCTTCTATTTGTTTCTGCCTTTTTGAGATCTAATCATTTCTGCTATACACGGTGGCATTTACTCAAAGCTCGAGATGCATTTAGGCCAGTTCTCCTTCTGTAAAATATGCCTTTTGAAGAAATGTACGATTCAAGATGGCTGTAAGATTTGAGTCGGGCAGAGGAACGAGGTTTGAAACATTTCCCGGCACCCTACAGTCAGGCTCTTATCCGTAAATTTCCAAACAACCACGGCTTCCCAGTGCCACAGAAATGACTGGGCTTCTTTAACGCCAGTAAGACAATGGCGATTGGGGTATCAATCTCGAGCACCTCCCCGAAAACTCATCACCCGGCACTTACAGCGTCTTCTGCACTTCCAAGATCTTTTCCCGCAATTCCGAAGCTATCTCATCAGATTTGGCCTAGAATAGTACTAGAATTAGTTGCCGAATTCCGAAGGTATTGCAAAAGCAGTCGGAAAGACATACCTTCAATTGTAATGGGACCGGCTTCCCATCAAGAAGTTCAAACAGTGTTAGGCTCTTTCCCTTTCCGCCAAGCTTCATATCCTTAATTGGGACATTGAGGATGACCTTGTGAACAAAATCCGAACGCATAACGAGTCGTGCGGGGGGCGATTCTTTGTCAGACTCTTCATCAGTCTGCGGTACATTGACCTTCAAAACACCGAGACCTCTCTCTTTCCATTCTTTGTTGGTAAACGCGTAAAGCTTGCATCTGCAAGAAAAGGCGGTGTGTTCGCCCTCCTCACCAGTTTCCACTATGGAAATTGAACGTTAGTATCTCTTTGAATGCTGCTCATGTACTCAGATAATTATGAAGGTTATCTTACCGGCTTGCGGTCGGAAAGGCTTATCCTCCTTGTCCTTGGCATCTTCTGAGCCGCCTGGCGTGTCTTCATCGTTGCCATTTGCCTCTGCTTCTTCCTCTTCCTCGTCATCTGGCGGCGCTCCAAAGGGCTTGGCGGGCTTATCACTTATTCCAATAACGCCAGGGCCATCATGGGAAGCGAAGCTCTTCAGTCCACCACCTCCAAAGCTCGATCCAAAGCCCGTTCCGAGCTTTCCAAACCCAGAGGCAGACGAACCGAAACCACTGCCGAAAGATGTACCTGATTGTGAAGCATTACCAGCGCCGGAGTTCAGAGTAGCGAAGGGGCTTGCCTTGCCCGATGATGCAGCCAATGTTCCAAACGGAGAAGCCGCTGAACTAGCAAGGGCACCAAAACCAGAAGCCGCGAACTTTTCTGCGGAAGTCTCAGCTTTGTCGGTCTGGACATTTCCTCCTGAGCTGGAAGCACCTCCAAGTGAAGGTGATTTTTTGGCGGCAAGAGCGCCGAACGGTGAAATGGCGGAGGTATTCGAAAACCCGCTGCCGGGTGGTATCTGCATCACACGGAGCTTATCAATGCCATGCCATCGAGGTATCGCTTTTCAAAGGGCCTCTGATACCCTACCTTTGTCTCGGTTGATTTCGCCTTCTCTGGCTCTTGCGACGTATCGCGATGTCGTTTCTTCTCGGGCTCATCATTAGCTGCTCTTCCCGGCCGACTCTCTTCAACGACCTCGTTAGTCTCGACAAGAACCTTTTCCTCAGTTCCTGGTTGTCCCGCCGCTTTGACCGAGTCTTTGTCGAACTGCTCTCTGCTCCTCTTTCTTTTAGGAACCGGTACATCTATTGCGGGACCTTCTAGCTGGCTGGGAGCGGTTCCTGCATAACTTGATTTAGCTTTTGCACCTTTCTCTACGTTTTCGAAGCATCAAACCTTCCGTCCCGTTGCCTTCTGCCGAGGCCCTAACGTCCTTTGAGGCGCTACGCTCCTGATCTGGCGCCTCATTTTGCATATCCCTAGATCTCTTTCTTGTGCGGCGCTCTTCTTTTTCTGCCGTAGCCTCTCCACTTTGCGCGGCCTCCGCTTCCAGGTCGTCGAATGATCGCTTCTTCGTCGACCTTCCTCGCTCGCCTCCCTCCTCCTGTCGCAGTTCCGAGGAGGCAGGCTTCTCTCCTTCAGCAGAGCTTTCAGGTGGCAGATCCGGATTGGGGCCTGACGCAATGGATGTCTTCTTGAACTTTTCGCGAACAGGGCGTTCGCCTGCGTCGCTATCCCCCACCGAACCGGCATCGTTCGTTATGTCCCCATCGTGAGTTGCTTCCATTCGGGGTGACCGGTTCGCTTCGTCGGCGAGATCGATATTTGCGCTGTGATGTTTCGGTGAGGCAGCCATTTCTGATTGGAACAGTGCCTAGGGAGATGCCAGTCAACCCCCGCAGTACAATATATGCGATATGCGAATTTTTGCACCTTCGAGAAGACTAACAGGCGCGTCGGAAGATTGAATGGAAGCAGGGCGGTTTGAAAAGTCGAAGTCGACTGACAGTATGGCGAGGCGATCACTCTTGGTATTCTGCACAACGTGCGTTGTAACAACAGCGGCGCAGCGAGGTGTCAGAGTACGTTGCTGTCAAGGCGAGAAGGCAAAGAGACGCAAAGGAAGCGAGCCAGTGCAACGAAGCTGCTGCCGGCCAAGGGTTCACACGTCCCAGATGAGCGTAGCAGCGGGGTGCGGTAACCACAATGCGATAAGGTGGCTGTTGGTCAAGGAGCCCCAGGGTGGTGTTTTGCGTATTATCGGCGGGTGTTGGAGGGGACCAATGTTGTGTTTTGAGTGGGTAGTGGGCAAGAAGGACGGTCTACCGCAGTAACTTACCCTTGTGACTTGGCGGCACCAAAGCAGTCGAATTGGGGAATTGCGGTTGCGCCTGCCAACATTTACCGAGACCGAGTTGTATCGGCTAATGATGATACGTCAGACAAACAGCTTGTACTTTCGTGATTCCACCATGGCTATTTGTAAAGATCCGAACAGTCCATTTCAAAAGGCGATTGGGCCATCTATGAAACGCCGACTTGGGAATTGTTTCGGAAATTTTGAAGACTAAGAACGTGTCACATTCGGTTACCAGAACTATTCAAATGGTGCAGCTGACTTGAAGAAGACGTATGCGCTGAGAGCTTGCATTTAGCTGATACGAGATATATTATCATCAGACAACCGTTTGCTTCAAAAGATGTATTTCAAGCTGAAGAGCAAATTAACGCTCATACTTTTCTTGGTATAGTTGATAAGATGATTGTCCACGAAGCAGCGGTCCATGTAAAATAGATGCCGAGCATGTGAACGAACTAAAATATGCATAAACTGGAGAAGAGCTACTGGTCCGAGATGGGGCATTCCTTGGAAGCCCCATTGAAACACGAAAAGAAATGCCACAGCTTCGCGGAGGTCAGACAACGAGCATAGCACTAGCTAATAAAGCAAAGGCAGCCGAGGCCCACGTAGAAGACGAGTAACGGGTAGACGGCAATGCCTACACGGTTTCGAACTACCCCGGAGCCGCCAAGAATGCTGACACCGGCAGCCAGAGACCATAAGACGAGAACAATATACACTGGTATTCTCGCAATGGTAATGAGGTGGAGCGCGCTCAGCATTGCAGCAATCACCAGTGGAAATAGCGTATAGCCAATGATGCACACGGACTGGAAGAACGAGCTAGAGCAGGAAATGTCAGTCAACAGGTATCTTTCCCCGAATCAGAGTTACAGTGTCATACATGTTGCCGCCGAGGAGCTTGATCTGAAGCGTCACGACAGCTTCACCTATCCAGACCATGGCAAACACTCCGGAGAACACCAGCGACTTTTGTTCCTTCGACGCAGTCATGGACAATAGCAAGCTAAGTAACAAGCAAAATACGAGGGGACCCCTTTCAAGCACAGTTAGCAACCAAGCCAATACTCCTAAACGCTCCCAACAGCATTTGCTCAGTAAGTGGTAAGATCTTACCATAGATCCCAGTCCCGGAGGCCCTCACTCATGCCACCTTGAAGCACAACATCGGCGTCTGGCCATCTGCCAGCAAGCCCTCTAACACCACCTGCTAAGCTGCCTCCTTCTCCTCTCTCTGCGCCGCCGATGCCACCGCCTCTCTGCAATAAACCCCCGAGGAGATATTTCGGCCAAAGCACCTGTCTCATCTTCTCCCAAACGGCTAATAGATCTCGTGATAAAGTCTGCCATACACTTTCGTCTATTGTGTTTGTAGGTGCGCGACGGTCTTCGCCCGGGATCGACGATGTTAAGTAAGATTGAGAGATTGGGCCGTTGGAGGACGATTGAATGTTGCCAGTCAATGGCTCACGGTCAGATGACGTTGGAGGAGCGAGCGGGTCATCCAAATCATTCAAGCCAGCTGGGGCATGCAAGAGTTAGTTATTTGATCTTGAAATAAAGGCCAGAGCTTGTTACCATCATCTGGATCAATGAGGTCCTCCTCAATAGAGTTGCGGTTGTAGTGCTCATATGGATTCGCTGATGCGCTTTCCATAATTGCGGTTGCGGATTAAAAAGTGGAATAATTATTATCAGAGGTCTAAGTACGGTAGATGGTAATTAAAAGAATGAGAAAAGAAAACTCTCCGATCGCAATTACGATCTCATTAAGGAACTGTTTGTGAGGCACAAAAGTCTGTTGTCGGTGGAACAGCTCAGTAAATGCACTACCGTATCCTTAACAGCTTCACTGCTTCACAAGGGCCGAGCTGCGCGTCCTTGGGAAGGGTCGCCCACCTTACGTATTACGGAGGGACAATATACCGATACGGCGGGTACGATATACCATTTACGCTGTTAATATCTCAACCGTAGCAGGCAACAGCGTCAACATATGGAGTTACACGGCTTCAAATATTCAATTGTAAATGATGGATTGGACATAAAATTACTGGTCTCGAAGTTGCACATTCTTGTGTCTTTTAAAGTTCAATCTCATGACTTGGAATCCTGAGTCTCCTTAAAATGAAGCTTGGAGTAAATTTTCGAGAAATATATATTCGCGAATAAACCATAAATAGATATTACGCTCAAAAATATTATTATCGCGTGAGATGTAAATAAAAGAAATCTGGCAATTAAAACCCCTAATTTATAATTGTCTGCTTGAGTTTTATCGAAGGGTGGAATTATTCTCTAAATTGGCCGTCGATTGGGCCTGATTGACCGGCACCGTATTGACATCACGCGTCACTCCAAGTGAAGCTCGCGACCTACGTAAAGGCAGCCCTTACTTGCCTCAATACAATGAACGCAATGGCCAGCCTCTCAACCTTCGTCAGAGGACGAACACAGCTACCTGCACCGCCAAAGCCAGACGGAAACTCACGGCCAGAGACGCCTCTGTTTTCCAGTCGCCGATACTCTGGGAGTCGAGCCGACGCAGACGCCCCGGCCAGCAATCCCCAACCTCCAGTATCGATATGGCATGCCCGCAGGCTTGGCAGTATAACCAGCCCAAACCTAAGCCGCAGCTCGACCACAGAGCGAATATACCCTGCTGAAGTCGAGCAAAATGGCAAAGATATCGACACGACGTCGTGGGATGAGCGTAACCGCAACCTTCCTTCAGCCTGGGACACCGATGCCGAAGGGATTGACGACACGGTGAGCGAGCTACAAATTTCTACCAGCGGGCAAGTCCAAAACGAGCAAAATCTACAAAATGGTGTTGCGCACGAAGACGATATCAAAGAGGAAGAGGACGATGCGCACGTCCAAACTTGGCCTGAAGGGCTCCAGCCAGCACATGAAGAGACATTGACTGAAAGAAACGCGGACGACTACCACTCTGAGCAACCTTATGACGAATTCGGACCAGTGAATGACCACAACGCCGAGACCGAGATACCCGCCGACCAATTCTCAGAACTCATGCAGCAGGCTGCAAATATGAATGCCATGATGAACGCGCAAGAGGCGATGGGGTCTTCCCGTTTTGGGCAATCCAATTCAAACTTCTACTCCAAAAACAACAAAAGAAGCACAAACCAGTCACTGTATGAGCAAAACCGACCATACAGCCCTCAAGAATCGTATCCGCCTACTACACCAGGCGGATCAGACGACGAGGTAGAGCTCGTGAGTGCAACCCTGCCAGAAAACACGGCAGAATATCAAAAACACACTGCTCCGCAATGGACACCTCGGAAACGACAAGATGCACCTGGCACTGCGCAGAAGGTTTACTCCACCCCGAAACTACTCTACGACAGACAAAGACAGCGTGGAATTCCCAGAAACGACCAATCCCCACAGCCACGGTCAAAGGCACAATCCGCACAAGTTGCCGGCAGGCGAGGAGGCGGCGCAAACAGCCCTTTCGAGAGGCCTTCAAGTGCCAGTCTCCCTCTTCGAGGTCCAATTCCAAAACCGCAACGAAACCACCACCGCGCGGGTTCCATAACTCCGGATCAGCATCTGCCACAATCCGCCGACAGCGCCTCAATGGACGCTAGCGCGGAAAGCGGAGCGGATGATACGCTTCAAAGCCTCACGAGCCGCGCCGATACAGAAGTCGAGGAGGTGAAAGAGTCATTGGATTATGATCCGTCCCGATTCTCTGAGATGGATTATTCCGAACTCAGAGACCAGCCGTTCGACTCGGATCCAAATGCACCTCCGTCAGTGTTCCCTCCCGAAATGGAAGCGCAAGCTCTTTCTGAACGAATCAATCTCGTCATTGCCCGACCACGCGAACAGCAACGTAGATTTTTCTCCTCCCTCACCATTGATGAGTGGGAAGACTGTGGCGATCTATTCGTTGAGCGGTTCGGCGAGCTGATTGCTAAAATGAAGGACACCCGAAGAGCGAAGCGCAAGGCGCTCGCGGCTTTTGAGGATGACATTGCCGTGCGAGAAGAAACGGTCAAGAACAAGAAGATTAGCATTGATGAAGCCCTTCAAAATATGCGCAGAGGCGGCCAGGACGTCTTGCGGGGAAATGGAAAGGGATGACTGAGCGGACGGGCATGCATTAACCATTTTTTTTTGACTGCAGATTAATTGCTCAGCGTTTATAGCAAGTGGCATTTTTCTTTTCCAATTGTATTATGTAGCTCATTGCTGTAATTAAACCTAAACAAAGAGCTCTATGAATAGCAGAAGAAGAAGAAGAAGCAAGATACACCGCATATGTCGTAAAGCTTAAAGAACTATTAGAAAGAAATTCTGCTTTGGATACCTTCGTATTGTGATGTAGCAAGCAGAAAAAACGAAGAAATGAAACGCTGCCAGACACGGCCACACTTTGAGCGGCTTCTTGTTGAAACGAAGACACTATGCAATTTGACATCCGCTTCCAATTCCAATTCCGCTTCGCAACTTATAATTGCCCGATTTTACGCCTTTGATCCTGAAAGAGGGGGGATGAAACGCCAAGAAAAGAACAAATGTGAGAAATATGAGTAGAGAAGGCAAGATTAAAAAACCAAGATTAATGTACTGGAAGATATTAAAAAATTATACCAGAGAAAAGCTGTAAGTGTCATTCAAAGAACAAGTCCACAATTGAATCAAAGATGTCCTGTCGTGCAGGAACTTTCCAGTTGAAGAGGAAGGCCCATATCCTACTCAAACTGCCGGCAGAAGACGAGGAATGCGGAAACTGGAGACCTTGGCGAATACTAGTCGGTGAACCATGAGCGGAAGCATTTTGCGCGGCCTGCTGTTCCCACCATTGTTTCTCCGCAAGTTCCCCTGCACGACGAACAGCGACCTCTTCATCCTCGCAACGATACAGGTCACATTTCACACACTCCACGCAAGGATGGCCTGGATTTGGCCGAAAGTGTTCGCAGAAATGGCGGTAGCCTTCGCGGGCGACGTCGCGCCGACAGACGTAACACATCTGATAGCCGCATACGCAAGTTAATTTGTTGCAGCCGGTACTCTTGACAAAGGATAGGTTGCAGCGCGGACAGGTGCGCTTGACAGCCTCTGCCATGGCGCGCTCAATGGTGCTCCGAAGCGCTTGTTTTTCAGATTCATAACAAACATGAATGTCTCGCCATTCCTTTTGGCATGTGAGGCAGGAAGATCGACGGCAGATGGGATTCTTGCAGGTGAACTTTAGACCGTAGCGAGCGCGACGTAACCGCGTCAGAGAGTTGCAGAGGGCAGTTGTAAAACGCACTTGGAAAGGAGGAAGATAAGGTAAGATGAAGATAGCCATGATCAACAGGGGAATGAGGAACGGAATCGTGCCAGTAGCAAAGAAAAACAACAAGCACGTCGCAAGCGATAGTAGACCCTTGCGCTTAAACCGCCATGCTTGCTTGTTGGGGCCCAGATAAATATCGTCCACCTCAGCGTAGACGCAAAATGGGCATCTTACGAGAGGCAAGTCGCTCTTGGTCAAGCCGTCGTTCATGATCCTCTCCTCCATCTTCCGCCAGAGCTCTTTCCCGTTTCTCTCATCCGCAAGAGCGCGTTTCACCGACGGCTGCGGAATTGAACCGCTGCAGGTGCTTTCTCCTGAAGAAACAGAAGCTATGCATCTGAGCGTGATGCTTTGGTGGTTGACGTTGGATATCCAACCCTGCCCAAAAAGGGCTTCGCTCACAGTGTACCTGAGGCACCTGAAGCAAATAAAGTGTCCGCCAGAGTCACAAGCAGATAGTTGCTCAAATGCCGTTGGCATAAAGCAACACTCACAATCCTGCATTGCATCGTATTGCTCGGCTTCCTTGTTGTTTAGCTCAGTAGCTAAGGTTCGGTCTCGATCCTCCTGCTCCTCTCGCTGCTGCCGGAGCACCGGAGCTATAAGACTGTCAAACAGCTCCCGATTCAATTCGGAGCTCTCGGTGCTTTTCAAGACAGGCACAGATCGTCCTTTCTGGCCATCAACTGGCCGCATGACGATCAATGGGTGATCCTCGACGCTCGAAGGGACAGTTATCTTCCTCCTCGACAGGAACCTGCTAAGAGCGAAGCGCCAGGACTTCGCAGCCAAGGCTGATAACACGGGTCTCGTAAGCGTGTAGGAATGATTATGTTCCGCCAGAACTGCATTGATAGTAGAATGACTGAGACCCTTGAACTCCTGGTAGAAAGCATTTTTGACGGCCGTCCTATAGGCCTCACTCCGGAAGCGTTCCTCGACCGGCAATGCGGTTCCTTGGGATGGCGAATTTGCTCGTGTGCTGACGGATGAACGGGCTTCCTCATTTCCAGCAACGCGCCATCGTCCACGCACCCATTTGTCTTTGTGCTTTAAAAGCGTCTCAGTGACTACATGTAGTCTGCTTTCTTCGTCAAAGCTGCCTAGCATTTCCCTGAACACCTCCGCCTGGATATCAGGGAATATAGCTGCAAGCGTAAGGAGAGATTCGTTGAGAATGCGAAGGTTAGCATCTTCAGGAATAAGTGTCAAGGAACTAGACAAGATTGTCGCCTGCGTATCTTGTTGAGGACTGAGTGATGCCAAGGAGGCACTCTTTGCTGAGCTTCGACTGTGATCGCCGCCGCCCCGTAGAGGCAGCCAAGACGGAAGAGTCGCCATGCAGGTAAAAGGGCCGTCCAGGCGGATTTAAAAAATTATAAAGGTATTAGAACCGTTTGTAATACGGCAAAGCCCAGTAAGAGCCTCCCATGATCCTGGTTCCTAATCTTTCGGAAGAATCGATCCGATTCAGAGGACTAATATTTGTTTTGGCACATGCCACTTCACTCCATCCGAGTCGTTCGCGAAGGGGCGGCATTTAGCGTCATCAGTTATCCGTCACACAGAACGGATACTTGTTTGTGATTTATTTAGTATAATTAAAAGAAATTACTAACAACCAAGGCTCAATGGTCTAGTGGTATGATTGTCGCTTCGGGTTTGGCTGTTGCCACCTGGTTATCCCAGATAATCCAAATGTGACAGGCCCCGGGTTCGAATCCCGGTTGAGCCCCATTACCTTTTTTTTTTTTAATCAAAATTTTGAAGCTATCACCGCTCTCAGCTTTTCAGTAAAATGAAAAAGATACGGCCCCGCCGCGTATCACCTTTCCTTCTTATTTGTTCTCTACGTAGAAAATTCACTTGTTAACTTGATGCACGTATACTTGATTGATGCTCGATAGCTCTCAGATTTGTGCTCCGGCCCAAACATTTGTCAATAGAGATCAATAAATAAGTCCAATTCAGTGATTCAAGAGTGGATTTCTACCAGTCTGGTGAAAATATACAATTACAAACAAGTTGTGCTATGACTACTTACACAGGGGGAGATCTCAAAAAAGCAACAAATAGACGGACAAAAGCAAGTCAGAAAAAAAAAGGACACAAACACAATCATAGCCTTGGAAAAGTGCAGCCGTTCCATCGTGCCATACCACAGATCAACTATCTAGACTGATTTCATTCCCAAACTCAGACAAGCCGTTTCCAAGCCAACCTTCGTGACCAAATGACTATCCTTTGCGGTTTCGCAGGCTGACGTGACAGACTGACGTGAGCAAGTCCGGAGACTCAAAACATCCAAGAAGAGTCTCACAACTTTACTGGCCGGCTTTGGCATAAGCTTGGTCAATGAGCTTCTTGTATCTATCGAGGATGCCTCGTCGGTTCAACTTTTGCGCCGATGTGACAAGATTCTGTAGAAACGGTAGTTGTCAGCGATAAGTCTGTTGCAAGTTAGGGATTAGATGCACTTACGTTTTGAGGTGTCCATTCCTCGTCGACGAGAACGACTCCGTCAATGATCTCGATTCCAGAGAGACCGCCCTTCCTTCCTGCGGCCTGCAGCTCCTTGAGCACGATGCCCTGGAGTTTCTCGTTGTGGGACAGATCCTCAAGGCCATGGCCCTGGATCCCATGGTCAGACGCTATTGACTTGAGAGCAGCCTCGTTGGGCACAATGATCGCAATCGGCTTAGATTTGTCCTGCGCAGCATAAACGCAGATGTTGGCGACAACGCTATTGGCGCGGTACAGGGACTCGAGCTACAGCAGAAAGTCAGTAAAGCTACGGGATGGAGCAACAGGAGCATGGAACATTACCTTTTCCAGAGCAATGTACTCTCCGTTAAGGGTCTTTACGAGGTTCTTCTTCCGATCGACGATTCTCAAATGGCCATTGTGGTCAAACTCGCCAATATCACCGGTCTTGAACCAACCATCAGATGTGATTGAATCTTCCGTCTCCTTCGGATTGTTCACGTAGCCTTCCGTGACGCTAGGACCACGAATCCAAATCTCACCCTGTGGCGGGTTGTTTGTGGCAAAATATCCAGCGTCGGGGAAATCGACCAGCTTGACTTCAACGCAAGCAGGCGGCTCACCCAGGGCGTTATCAGACCACGCCAAGGGATCCATGAGAGCACCCATACTACAAAAGTTAGTATATCTGATACATATCTTCACCAGTGTAGTGGAACTCACGCATTAGTTTCTGTAAGACCGTAACCAATGATCAATGGGGAGATGGCCATTGAGATGAAGCGCTGGGTGTCACGAGCGATCGGGCCACCTCCGCTCAGACAAATGCGCAATCTCCCGCCTGTAGCTTCCTTGACCTTCTTGAATACAACGGTATCGAGAATCCCGGAACCCGGTAGCCCTGTGGACATCAAGAAGCCCTTTGCCGCCAGGGCGCCCCAGAACAGATTCTTTGTAATGGCGCTACCTTGGTTTACTTTGGCAATAACTCCCTTTTTGACCGACTCCCACACGGCCGGAACGCCCACGAGAATGGTAGGTCTGAATTCACGAATGTCACCCTTGCAGTTGCGCACAGAGGCATCTGTGAGAGTCCTAGGGTTTCCGTAACCCATAACCCCGCCCCAGTACAGACAAGAGTTTTCGAATACGAATTCAAGAATGTGGGCGAGGGGTAGGTAAGTAAGCAAGGCATCGCCAGGGCCGATGTGGGGTCCGACAATAACATTCACACCGGCGACTAATGGAAGGTCAGATGCAAGTCGTAGAGAAACACGTTTGGGGGAGGGGGAGGTTCACTCACTGGCAGCGATGACGTTTCTGTGCTTCAGAGGAACGCCCTTGGGCTTTCCGGTTGAGCCAGAGGTGTACATGACGCAGCATAAGTCCTCGGGTTGTGGAGGAACAGGGTCAACAGGGTTGCTTTCGCCCAACTGCCGCAGCTCCTCAAAGCTCAGGACGGTGAGATAGTCGTGCTCTTGCTTGAGCTTGTCGATGTCACCTTGCTTGACATCACCATCGGAATTGTAAATGACATACTTGACGTCCTTTGCTTCCTTCAACGGGTTGATAAGCTTCGGAAGCAGATGCGGGTCGAGGAAAATGGCGGTTGCATTGGTCTCAATGAGGGAATGAGTAAGACCTTCCTCACCGAGCGTGTCGTAAGCAGTTACAATGGGAATCGACTGAGTAACGGAACCTAAAGTCGATCAGCATGAGAATTTTGCAATGAAAGGGTATCTCAAAATGATTCAACTAACCATGTGCTGTGGCAAGCCACTGGGCGCTAAACACTTTTGATTAGTCCAAAGTTGCCAGACAGCCAACGAAAGGATCCTTACCTTGTAGCCGCAAAGATTTGAACCTTGTCTTGGGTAGAAGACAGCCCAAGCTTCCTGAAGCCAGAACCAATTTGAGCAGTGAGCTTCTCATACTCGATGAAACTCTTGTACTCGTAGCCGCTGAGCTCAAAGTAGCTCCATTCCTTTTCTACTTCTTGTTCCTTTCCATCAACCATTTTCTTAATATTCTTCTTTTCTTTATGCGTCTTGATTATTTTCCGGGACCCGATGGCCTTGGCGTTGCCGAACTTCTCGGCGCTGCGCTTGATGAGATCATAGATGGTCGCAACGCCCTCTTCAGGGCGACTGACGAGTTGATCCCTCGCCCGGGCATTGCGACGGGGAATTGTCTCGCCTTTGACAGGCTCATAGCCAGGAGCTTCCACCGAAAAGGGCGGATGCCTCACAAGCCTCGGGTGGAACTGGGCTTTTGTCGACATTGATACGTTTGTTAATAAGCTGCGTTCCCAAAACAGGCCAAAACGGCACCTAGCGATACAAAATATAAGATATAATCAAATCAAATCGATACAGCTAGCCAAACAGCTTCAATCAGTCCTCCGTGAGGGATAGTGCGAGAAAGTATGTAAAGTTTAGAGGGGAACGACAGTTGTCGCGAAGGAATGACGGAAGAACAAAATGGTTGAGCTGTGTCGTCTGGATGGGGGTAGTGGAGTGGTTCGCGAGCTTCTAAGCAGGCCTCAGACTACTGAGAATCAGAGACGTCAGGCCGTCAAGGGTACCAGCAACCTACTCCGTACACTGTTGTCAATGTGTTGCCGGATCGGCTCTTAACTAAAACCGTTGTTGTTAGGCGACCGGCATGTGCCCGGTCAAAGCACTCGATTCGGTTGATCCCCCAGTAATAACCAGGACACGTCTGATATTACGACGGCAGAGGAGTATAATCCAAGTCTATTTCAGAACGTTTCTACAGAAAACCAGCGCACCAGTTACCTTGCGTACCATGGGAGACGCTATCTGGGCGGCAAACATACCTAACCTCGGAAAGGTATGTACTGCTTGACGATGACCGTCACGAGTCTATGGAAAAATACCATTCAGAAACTAATTGCCTACGGAAGTAGAACCTTGCTGCCTAAATCTCACCTGGTCAATTTGTAATCCTATTATACCTCTTGAAAAGAATCGTGAGTAGGACAAACTGTTCATTATTATGACAGACCCAATCATAGTGATGATGTAGGCGAGCCGAGTCCCTTGCAGTGCCCAGTCGCTGAGCCAATACAGTGCCACAGTGGCATCAAGCCACGTCAAAGCCCAGGTCACTGCCCCGCCAGGTCGTGTCCTGAAGTATTGCGCTTAGGTGTGATGGGGCATAATATCAGGGATGCAAGGTATTCACCCAGGCAGGCTTCAAATATGGTTTCGAAAAGCTGCTGTTGACGATTCAGAAAATCAGATGCAGCAGTTACACGCAAATGACGTTTGAGTGTGCTGTAGCTGAATAGTTGATTAACTGTCTATTAGTTAAACTCCCGAGCTAAGCTTTGGTTCACTCTCCACTCTTGATTAGAGCAGACTACTGGACTACACTACTTTAGGCTACGTTCTAGACATTGTTAGTGGAGCTCACAGACTTCAGTTGAAGCTTTTATCATCGTCGTGCTTAATTGTAATAAAATATCAAAAAGATTTCGCTCGAGAGAATAAAGTAATTTCGTTCCCTGCTAGACTCATATCATTTTGTCTTCCGAATGGCCATAGACACCTTGCTGTCCCGCCTGGGCGCTCAATGGGAGGATCCGGATGAAGGTGGAGTTGCATCTTCAGAAAATTATCGAGTAAAAGTCGAACAGAATAAATGCTAATGCTCTTGCGGCTTGAGCAGAGTCGTTCTTTCTCTTTTCGCATCCGATCCCGTCACAAAATCTTGGATTTGTCGATCCAGATGCATCAAGCTTAGAACTTACTGTTGCTGGCCGAGATCTCACAATTCTTCAGTCGCCAACAATTCTCTCATCGAATCGTAGTGGAGGAACAACCGGTGCAGGTAGGCAAGCTCTCCCAGGTCCCATAGGAGTTATGGGATAGATCAAATTCAATGCTGATAAGCAACCGCATTCTCTAGTGGTGTGGAAAATTTCCCCTTTGTTCGCCGACTGGATTGCCTCTCCCCAGAATATATTATTCCAGACATCACTTCTTGATGCGAAATCCAATGTCCTGGAGTTAGGGTGCGGCATCTCCGGCGTGGTCGGTCTGGCTCTTGCCCCCTTCATTGGAACATACGTTGCCACTGATCAGGCTTACGTCCTCAAACTTCTCAATCAGAATATTGAAGAGAATACGGAAGCCTCATCTCGCCCGACAAAAGCCCCTAAAAAGCGTCCCCAACCGAAGCCGTCGAAACACTCCGTTAGCCCAAGAGATTCCAAGACACCTCAAAAGAAGGTCAAGACAATGTCCTTGGACTGGGAGCTTGATGAATTCTCTGGACTATCTGAAATACTAGGTCAATCAAATCCTAACGCTCTTGACTCGGACCAGCGCACAGGTCTCGATGCCGTTATTGCCTGCGATTGCATCTACAATGAAGCCCTTGTCGAGCCTTTGGTGCGTACTTGTGCTGAAGTCTGCAGCTTGAGGCAGGACGGCTCCACTCTTGCCCCCACACTATGCATTGTGGCACAACAGCTACGCTCACCTGACGTCTTTGAGGCATGGGCAGCTTGCTTTGACCGCTATTTCAATGTTTGGCGCGTACCTGACGAACTGCTCACAGACGGTCTAAAAATGGGTTCAGGATATGTAGTACATCTGGGCATCCTTATAAGATGAAGACTGAAACTGCAACGCTTGGAGATCTTTGGTTTGACGCGGTGATAGTCATTGGTATACCTGACGTAAGAACATCTTTCCTGGATGGTTGGGATTTGGGACGCGTCCTCGTAAAATTTTGCTCTTTGTTTTAAACCATAATTGTGACATTAATGCTAAAGGACAAGGCAACCCGAAGATATCCAGCTTCGTCGGAAACAGGACTCCGCGAAAGACCATGCAAATACACACGCATAGACCCAGCGCGCTTTCCTTTCAACAAAGGTGCCTTGCTATCGTCGAATGAAAAGGAGCCGGAATACTGGTCTTGATCAGCATTAAAAGCCTCTTGGGGCTTGTACATAAATTCGAAACAGCATCGATGTTGGCTGGAGTCCAGATTTCCAGAATATCTCTCTAGCCCTCGCAAGCATGGACGAGTTCCTCATAGAAAGTGTTGTTGAACCGTACACACTTCAAATAATGGAATGAGAAATGGAAGGTCATCCTGTTATGTTCTTCCTGGAGGAGGGTTAGCCAGTCAAGGTTACTGAAATGAGATGAATTACATACGCCCGACATGATGGCTAACACGTCTGTGTTTGACATGTTCTTCACCGCCGAGTGAGTGCCGCAGAGTCCTGCGTCAAGTATGTAATCTTGGGCAGCAGTCTTGTCATTCTTGATGCGGCTGGTCCAGTAAGTCCTCTCTGGCTCGCCCACAAGGTGGTCCGCTGTCCGATGAGCCATCTTCTCCGGTTTCTTTGCAAGGCTATAATGACCTGCATACACCACCAAATTTTCGGTATCCTGTTTGAGAAAAACTGCAAATACCTTCTTAAGGTCGAAGGTTACCAGCGGTGCCCATGGGACTGTCATGGCACAATGCTGAGCCGGTTTAGTTGGCACAAAAGGGTGGATCTTCGGGTCAATCACCCAATATTCATCGCAGTCAACGACTTGATTTTCTTTCTTTGAGGCGGGGATTTTGTTGTATATTTTGGCTGGATGACCGCCGATGAAGTCGCAGAGTTGCTTTCGAGTGAACAGCTCCAACGACGCAAAGTCGTCACCCTTGATTGCAGTAGGGGACAGATCGTCAACCTCAGGAAGCGTTTTGAGGAAAGGCAGTGAAGGTCCATTGCTGGGACTGTCTCGGCTGAGAACTGTCTCTTGAGTGCCAATCTCCCCTCCACCGGCGTGCAGGTGGCTGGCGTCGATGGTCTCTTCAGGCTCCTCCTCTTCGTCTGACGAGTCATCAATGACCGAACCTATCCAGCCTCCGGGTGGAGCAGACGTCCGAACTGAGTCTCGCGACTTGACTGGCTGGTTCCTTTTCTCCACTTGTCGTTCAAGTCGGGTGACTGCATGCTCAGGTTTAACAGTCTCGCCGTATTTGATCAAGACCAGCACCTCGGGAACATCGATCCGATGGATGACTTTGTTATGGTCGATGAATTGCTTCACCGACTCGAAGTGGATTTGGTGGCATCGGGAGCAGACAAGGTGCACAAATCTTTCTCCACGCCTGTCCCAAAAGACGTTGATATTAAATCGATCGACCGCAATGGGATATCCTTTGGTCAGAATCCCGCCAGACGCCGATGGACCAGCAGCCACGCCAGAAATTTGTTGAAGAAGGCGTTGAATACGCGCGAGTTCCGAACGTTGCTTTGCCCCTTGCTCTTCAGAAACTGGAAGCTCAACGAGTTTTCCACCAGCGATGGAGACAAATTTGCCTGATCCTATCTCGAGCAGGATGTCTTCGAGACGTCCTTGGTAATTCTGGAGCTCTGCGATGACACTGACTACCTTCTACAACTCGAGAACCCCGTTAGTACTAGTCAACTTCATGATGATGTGCGGGTGGCATGGTCGAAGCTCCCGGCCTGGTGGATAAGGGCTGGGGCGAGAATGATCAACTTACAGCGTGCTCGGTGTCGAGCCCATCCTTTTTCTCTTTGAATTTGAGATCCTGCTTGGCTCTTTCATGGAGGAGATCCATCCTCTCCAGGTCTTCTTTGACTCGAGCGAGCTTAGTTTTGGCCCATTCGCCGTCAAGCTCGGCGATCTCTGCCTTCGTTCTGTCAACCTCACTGAGAAGGGCCCGCTGATGAGCTTTGAGAAGCGCCAAGGTGCCTTGAAGCTGATGCGGGCCTCCAGCGGACGCAGCCTCGGCCTCATCGATGTCCATCATGTCAGTATCGCACACAGCTGACTCGTTGTGCTGGAGTGGTTCAAACGAGGTAGGAATCTCAACTGAGTTCAACACCTCAGGTTCGATAGATTTCTCGTTCTTGACACTGACTAAACCCTCTGACTTAAAGGGCTCGTCGCTCTCCTTCGTGGCTTCAACTGATGGAATGACCTGTTCAAACTCAAATTGGAAATTGATTGGTGTCAAACGTCCCTCGTCTTGCACGATTGGCTGGTCGAATTCATCAAACGCAACGTACTCGGACGGCGAATGATGCCTCTCAGGGATAACGATCTCGAAAGGCCCGAATTGGCGATGTATCCCATAAGAGGGAGGAAATCCATAACTCCTCGTCCTGCCCTGCCAAACTGACATTTTCGTTTTGGCGTCCTTTTTTTCACTGTCCCTTCACTGTTCCCACTCAGTGAATAACTTCCCTTGCCTGCTGAATTTGCCCGCAGAAGCGTACTACTGTTTTCTTCTCTATTTGTGCTCGAGGGCCTTGGAATGAAAGTATTCTCAAAGTCCAACTGCGTCTGGTGCTTGCGATTTTCAGAGGAGCGTTGATGGTGTGTTATGGTGTGACTTGACTCTCTCACGGATGGATGAAGACGCGGGAACGTCTTGTGGCTGGGACATTCTGGCTACTTTATTACTTTCCCTCTTTCTTTCTTGTTTTTTTTTTGGGGAGCAGGGCAAAATATTCACTGTTTGGGCTCGTCAAGAGACATCATGCCTCTTGACAAGGCTGAACTAGCTGTGTACCTGTTTGTGTGTGTGTCAATGTTCAGTGAATGACTGCATGATGAAACATGTGCACGTCCATGAACTGAAAGGAACAATACCATAGTGAGAAATCACTGATTCACAACAGAGTTGAAGAACAGATTAATAGATAGAGAATAGATTTGGGGTATTCGTCACATACTGTCTATGCTATGGCGAGACGCATACTTTTTGAGAACCTGAGATAAATTTGCCAGAAGAGTTTTGGGAATACTGACCTTGTCATTGGAAGAGCGTTTCCCTGTGAGAAGCAATAGTTGATCATATTCCATACTAAAAGACTGTTGGCAGATGAGATTGATATGCACAGGAGGACAAATTGATTGATTCATGCTAGATATGTTTAATAGGTTCGTGTATCGAGCAATATACGGCCATCTGCGCCCCAACGCCCAACGCGTAAACAATATGTCTCCTCCCCGGCGACGAGAAATATAAATATGAAAGAATAAATGTAGTAGTAGTGTAGAAGGGCACGAAAGAAAAATAGAAAAGAAAAAGAAGAGAAAGAGAAAAGGGGGGAATAGAGCGATATATGGAATTAGATTGTGCGCGGTGAAGAAACCGGGGGAGCGCTCAAGTCGACGTTTGGAATCCCAAATTAACCAATCAACAGAAACCGGCCGAATTCCATTTATGCCCTTTTGCGAATTGCCAAACTCCTCGCATGATCATCACTTGTAATGACTCCGTGTTTGCGATTCTGACGGGGGGTTTTTTGGTCGCCAAACTGGAAATCTTGGTAGGCAAATGATGAAAGTGTTTAAAAATAAAAGTATGTTGCACCGCCGAGGGCAGTCATTCCCAAGCCGACCCACCAGATCGACTCGGCGGTGGTTGAGCCCTTTGGCTTTTTCAGCGACATGTACTCAAGGGGAGGCGCCGAATCTCCGAGGGCACGCTTCAGTTTGCTCTTCGAGGTTGACGTGGATTTTGCCCCGCTTGAAGTTGGCGTCGGATTCAAAGTCTGAGTCGGCAGCATCTGAGGGGGGCTGTACACGAGGTACATTGGGTTCACCGGGCTGCCGTCGAATTGATACAAGTTGAGTCGCTGGACGTTGTGGTAGCGATCAAGAACAACTTCATATTTCTGCGTTGTGAGGAATGCAAATGTTAGAAAAAACAAGAGAACCGTAGGCGCAAGCACAGAACAAAAATCCAACAGACTGAATCAACATACCTTGAAGAGCTCGGTTTGGTTATAACGAATGTAAGTAGAATATCCACTGTTGCAAGGATCGGAAAGCAGTTGGCGGCCATCCACGGCGATAGGCGTCAGGATTAAAGATCCATTGTCCACCTTAGTGTACTGTCCATGCTGCCATTGCATGATACCTTTGGGGCAAGAGGGGTTTTGGGCTTCATGGGAGTCAGCCATCAGTTGAGATCAGTGACCACGGGAAGAGTGTCAACGCACGATTCGCAATTGCCCGATAATACGCTTCCTCATACCAGCCGTCATCGGTGAACGAGTATGAAATACCGGTAAGGTCTGGTTCGATCAATCGGTCGCTGACCGGGTTGTAAAATGCCTATATGCGCATATCCTGTCAGTAACTGCACACACTTCAAACTGAATATTCCCAAGAAGCACTCGATCCGTGTCGAAGCGCTTTCACTAAGATTATATCTGCGGGCGGCTCGTTGAGTTTGAATCTGTTCACATACCGGACCAGTGACAACTTTGCCCGATTTCGTTGACCAAGTTCCCGTCAACTGCGAGTCAACGGCGGCTGAGGCCACCGCGACGAGCATCGCTCCTGCGGCCAGGATAGACTTGAACGACCGATGCATGTTGGGCATGCGACAGAGGCTGAATGAGCGTCGTTGAGGTCGGCCGTACAACCGATAAATCCTTTTTTCTAAACGAACGTTGGAGAATAGTTGTGAGAAAGCAGGTTTAGGAATTAGGGATCGGAAGGAGGGCCAAGGGCGATGGTTTCGTTCCTTGGTTAAGATTGGAGGCGAAGATACGGAGAAATGGGGCAACAGTACTTGTCCCATCAAGCGTGGAGGGAAGACGTGGAGCGTACCGGGTACTTTTGAGACGTGAGTTTAGAAGCGGTGCTATTATTATAGACTTTTGCCATCCCACTCGCTGTATTCGTCACCGGGTATCCGCAAAGGGGAAGTCCAGGGGTACACACTCTGGTCTTCTAGACATGACGCAGTGAGAGATCTTATTCATATACACAACAATTCCTCGTCGTTTGATCCTCTCCAAAATCATTTGGATAATCTAGACTGAAAACAAATTATGAATTTTCAACTGCAGCGGATCCAGTATTACATTTCTCGATGCTGCTCTTATGCTTGGAATTTGAAAACAGTTCAAGTGCCTGTATAATTTCCCCCCTGTAATTCGTTAGTGCCTGGTGAGCAAATGCCTAGACCACATTCGGCATTAAATGCAAGATTCTTAGAGGTACTCAGAAGGGTGATCTTTCATAGTACGCAGCAAATGTATCCCAAAGGTTCCCTGATTTTGGACCCTGTTCCGCGGCCACTGCTCCCCACAAGTCATATCCCAGCAACATTCTGATGCACGAGTTGCCCCAGACGTGTAAACGTGGAGATCGTATATCCGTATTGTTGCTGCTATAGTCGACAACTATAATCCCGAGGCAATATCACAAACAACGATTCAGGCTTGCCACTCACAAAACTACCCTTCAAGGGTCTGCCTTCTATCCTATACGCCGTGGGGCTGAAAAGGAAGAGCTCTGCGGTTGCAATTCAGCACATCGCCCACCACAAGAGCTTTGTCAGGTAGCCGCCCGCTTGTACAATGGCAACTCTTAAGATCGCAAAGCGTGAACTGCGCCAGCAGATACGCAAAACCCTCTCCTCACTATCTCCGGAATCTGTTACGAGTCAATGTGTGTAGGTGGAGTACCGACCCAGTCAAAGGCAGCTATGCTAATTTGTATCCAGCCGGTAACGTCTTCAACACGCTCACCCAGTTGCCCGAATACAAATCAGCCAAACGGATCGGTATCTATCTTTCCATGCCCAGTGGTGAAATTGACACTGCACCAATAGTACTTGACGCTTTGCAAGCGGGAAAGACCGTCTTCGTCCCATATACGTATAACCACACGGCACAAAGTGGGCAGACAGTATCTTTAATGGACATGCTTTCATTACACTCCCTCACAGATTACCAGTCACTTCAGCCAGACAACTGGGGTATTCCGACCCCTTCGAAAGACTCAATAGCGGGACGACAAAACTGTCTTGGAGATTTAGGAAGGCTGCCTGCAGATCGGGTTGGAATTGAACAAGGAAAGGGAGGTTTGGATTTCCTAGTTATGCCAGGAATGGCCTTTGATACGAAATTGGGCCGCTTAGGGCATGGAAAAGGATTCTATGACATGTTCTTACAAAAAATGAATGAGAACCAAAAGTCCAAGCTTGGAGAAAATGCGAAGATGCCATTACTGAGTAGGTCACGAAAACTCTCCTTTTGAAAAAATACACTACTAATCATAGTTGCTCGACAAGTCGGCCTATCCCTCAAGGAACAACTGCTGCCCGAGGAACAGGAAGTGCCGAAAGACTCGACTGACTGGCTCCTAGATGGCCTGATTGTCGGTGACGGGAGAGTTCTTGGACCACGTGAACATTGATTTTCTGAGAAAATTTCTTTCAAAGTAATGGCCGACCAGCAAAAAGACCTTTTTCAAGCGCCCGAACGCAGAATATGTCATCCAATTAATCCACCTGGACCCGTGAGAAAGAAGAAAAATATTGCGAAATTCTAGCCTTGTAGACTTTGGATTAAAGAAACATTATCGCCCTTGAGCAATATTTGCCCTAAGCCACCATTAGTGTATTTCGGGGTGAAGGCTGCGCCAGGGTCTGAGTATTACCAAGCTCCCTTCTTGACTCCTCTTCTGATTTTGTCGCCAGCTTCACTTCCACTGCATCATCGATGACGAGGTTCATGAACTCATCGAAACCCTGTGGCCAGACGTTAACATTTGATCGAAGAATGAGCACACCTTTATGAAGAGCCTTACCCGGATCTTTCCTTCTATCCTGATGGCAAGCTGCTCATAGAGCCAGATCGAAACGGTTGAGTGCTGTTGGAGGAGTTTGAAAATGAAGTTGATGGGCGGCAATAGAACCTTGCGCGCACCGCCTCCGCCGCGACCAGACATTGTAAATGGAGTATAGAAGATGTAAGAGCAATAAAAGGTATTAAAAAAAGAGAGATGGAGGTTGGGGCGCAGGACGAGAAGCGGTAACGTTCAATCAGTGGATTTCCTTTGCTTCAAAGTAGCTCTGTTTCATTGATTGTTCGCTCGACGTTTGCGATTGCCGCTTTGTCGTTGCCGGGTAACCGGATGTTTGCCTGTGACCGGTGGGTTTGGCGGGGCGAAGTTTTGGGTAAAGCCGATCGTCATACAACAGCAATAACAATTTCAAACAACGTCCCGAACGTTTGCACAATTTCTTGTGCAATTTCTCATTTCATTGGATTTACTGTCTATTAATCCTCTTTTGATGGTGAACTGTTATTCTTCTCCTGGTTAACCTTGAACTTGCGCATCATTTGTTGTCCCTTTTTCTTTCATTGCAGCCCACTATGGCTACCAATGGAGCTGCTGCGCAAGAGGCGTTTGCGCCTGTATTGACGGCTCTGGCAACAATGCAAGGGAATGTCTCCCGCTCTCAAAAAGCACAAGCACATGAGTTCCTTGAGAAGTTCCAGAAATCAGTAAGCGACCGAGCTCTTTTTTACTTCCAATGCGGCGCAAGTTGACTTACGATGATCGTTAGCCGGAAGCTTGGACTACTACCATTGCCTTGCTGCAATCGACAGACGCATCACCCGAATCGAAGCTGTTTTCAGCTACTACATTGAAGGGAAAAGTAAGTGGGAGCTATCAGCGTCAACTTGCTGGTACTATTAGAGGCTGACAGCTCCCAGATCACGTATGATATAGAGCAGCTCCCGCGCGAGACGCTGCCAGCGCTCCGTGACTCTTTGTTGTCACTTCTTACAAGCTATCGAGCTGGTCCTCGACCAGTACGCATACAACTCTGCGTCTGTCTTGCAAATTTGGCCATATTCATGCTGGAATGGAAAAACGTCTTGCAAACTATCGTCGCGACTCTAGGGACTGAAGCGGAGAATTTGTCCTGTATCCTGGATTTCCTTCGTGTTTTACCAGAAGAAGTTACAGAAGGAAGGAAAATACATTTAACGGTATGCGGGATCAAATTCGGATGACCCTTTACGGAAATATGAATTTCATTCGGTCGGGTTACACAATTCTGACAAGAAGTCTATTCAGGAAGATGAGCTTGCTCAGAGGACAAAGGAGCTGCTCGAAGATAATGCAGGACAGGTGCTAAACCTTCTTGGTCAATATTCACAATCATCCGGTATGCTAATGATTGTCCTGCTTCATCGTTGTCTACGATGAGTATGAGCTGACACAGTTTTATCAGAATCGGCAGCAACGAACCCGCAGCTCCTGGAGTGTATCACGTCATGGCTTCGAGAAGTGCCCATATCCGATATTGTCCAGTCGCCTCTGCTAGACATTGTTGTCAACGCTCTCTCAGTAGATGATTCATTTGAATCAGCAGTAGAATGCATGTGCGCCATTTTCAAAGAGACCCGAGATGTGGATGAGACGCTCGGTGTTATCCAAACGCTTTACCCTCGGGTAGTCGCCCTTCGACCCAAGATCGCGCAGGCCGCTGAAGAGGAGGATCTGGAAATGTTCAAGGGCGTGACTAGACTGTTCGCGGAGGCTGGAGAGGCCTGGGTGGTGCTCATTGCACGTTTGCCCAGTCAGTTCCGAGGCCTCGTTGAGGCCGTTCTTGAGTGCGCTGCACGAGATAAAGATCGGGAAAGCATATCGCTCACCTTCCTCTTTTGGTACGAATTGAAGCAATATCTCACGCTGGAAAAGTACATCCAAGCGCGCATGGAGTATGCCGACATTTACTCAAAGCTCGTCGACATTATGGTCAAACATCTCGAATTTCCTCGACCTGAAGGTGGCAATGACACCGATCTCTTTGATGGTGACCGTGAACAGGAAGAAAAATTCCGGCAATTCCGCCACCAAATGGGAGACGTGCTCAAAGACTGCTGCGAAGTCATTGGCGTTACTGAGTGCTTGGGGAAGGCGTTCCAACTCATCCAACAATGGGTGTCCAAATATGCCTCTCAGGCAACGGATACGAATGTCCCGCATTGGCAGGAGCTGGAGGCGCCCTTGTTCAGTATGAGAGCCATGGGTCGAATGGTTTCTAGTGAGGAGAGCCATGTATTGCCGCAGGTAATGCCGCTTTTGGTGCAAATCCCTTCGCATGAAAAGGTTCGCTTCCAAGCAATCATGGCCCTCGCCCGTTACACTGAATGGACCGCCGAGCACCCCGAATTCTTGGAATCACAACTACAGTATATCATTGCTGGGTTCCAGCACCCCTCCAAGGAAGTTGTCCGCGCCTCAGCCTTGGCTTTGAGGTACTTTTGCAATGATTGCAAGGACCTTCTCAAGGACCATGTCACCCAATTGCAGAGTTTTTATGAATCTGTGATTGACAAGTTGCCGACGGCCAGTCAGGAGGAAGTCACAGAGGGTGTAGCGTCAGTCGTATCTGCGCAGCCTGTCGATAAGGTCTACCAGACATTTAAGCTGTACTGCGACCCTCTTATGACTAGATTAATGCACTTGGCCAACCATGCACATGATGAAAAGGGCAAGCTCGCTGTTGCAGGTATACTCCACACCAGAAATTATTTTGTTCGCGAACTGTCACAATCTAACATCCATCACAGATCATTTGCAACTGATTACCATTTTTGTTCAATGGGTCCAACCATATGTCTCCCCGTCAGAGGCGAATCCAGCAGTAAAATACTGCCAGGAAATCTTCCCCGTGCTTGCTACCATCTCCGACAACTTCACAACCTTTCCACCCATTCTCGAGCGAGTGTGCCGATGCTGGAGGCATATGGTTTTGTCTTACCGGACAGCAATCTCGCCGATGCTGCCGGCTCTCGCAGATAAATTAGCTTCCGGCTTTGCCGCCTCAAAACAAGGTTGCTTCCTTTGGGCAACAGACTCTATTGTTCGCGAATTTGCAGAGGGCGCAGAATTCGTCGATCAAACGACAACAGACGCTATATTCCAATTCTTCGAACAACAAGCCGTCACCTTCTTCCGCGCGCTCAATGACTTGCCGCCCGAGGACCTTCCTGATGGTAAGTCAAAAGGCCCGAGGCTCTTTTAGAAGTGAATAGATTGACTTACGTCTTTGCCAGTCATCGAGGACTTCTTCCGACTCCTCATCGATGCTTTGCTCTACTATCCCTATAAATTCATCCCCTCTGCGCTTACCACCCATATTCTTTCTGCCGCCCTTACTGCTTTGACTTTGCAACAAGTCGAACCGCTTGCAGCCACGTTGCACTTCCTCCGAGACTTGCTCGCATATGGCTCAGAGACACCACCTGGTTCCAGCTTCGACACTGCCGGAAGCACCACCACCAACCCGCCAGAGATTCGTGCCGCTGTCAAGCAGCTTTTCCTCGCACATGGCGATGAAATGGTGAAGAGACTGCTGACAGGCATGATGTTCCATTTCCCCAAGGATTCAATTCCCGATGCTTCAGGTGCCTTGCTCGGTCTGTTTGAGCTCTTGCCCACAGAAGTTGCCATTTGGATCAAACAAACAGTCGAGCTGTTGCCGCAAGGTAGCGTTAGCCCACAAGAGACCGAGCGTCTCATGAATGGAATTTCCCAGTAAGTCCTTCTCCGTTGTCTGGTTACCTCTGAAATATATAAAGTTAACCAGAGCAAAACCACAGGAGGATCCAAAGTGGAGAGCTACGGAAATTGCGAGTCCTCATACAAGGTAAGCAGGTTGCACAGAACTCTTCTGTTCCAATATTTGCCATTCTTGAGTACCACCATGCTAAAACCTTTCTGTTCAGACTTTACCACCTCCTACCGCCGACGTAATGTCGCACCTAGAGAAGGTCTGGGCCGCCTTGCCGCATCACGGTTTTCTTACAGCGGATAAAAGCTGTCCTGGATTATTTCCCGTCATTCTTCCTCTTTTTTTCCTCGACAGCTACACAACCCCCTCGGCTTTTCTCTTGCTTCTTTTGATAATATAATTTACTTTCTAGTAAATTTATTTTATTTTATTGTGTGTGTGTCTGTGTGTGCTTTTTCCCCTCACAGATTTTTCATTGAATGACATTTAAACCTCTTTGCCCTTTCTTTTCCCCATTTCTTTGATAGAAGGTTTTCTTTTCCTTTCCTTTTCCTTTTCCTTTTCATTCTGATTTTATTCTATTTCCCTTTTCCTTTTCCTTCTTATCTTTATTTTGATTCTTCACAAACCCCCACGAGCAAAAAGAGCTTGTACCCTAAAAAACAAACAATCAAACAAACAAAGATGAAATCTTACCTCAGTGGCACTGGCATCCTTGCCACACAAGTCAATAGACGCACTAAAATTGTCCTCTACTTTTTCATGTCCTCTGTGGGAAATTGGCAGAATGACAATGTCTCTATGCTTAGCCACAGCTTATTGCAAACAATGTGATGTGTAGTAACATGTAGTGGAAACCAGAAGAAGCGTATACAGTATGTATTTGATTCATTCATCTTTTTTTTTTTTTGGTCTTTCCTTTTGCGAAGGAAATGGTGGATGTGCTTGTCTATCTGCCTCTCACAACAACAACAACAACAACAACAACAACAACAACAACAACGACAGACAATTCCAATTCCAATTCAGATTCAAACTCCCCACTTCAATGAGAAAAGAGAAGAGATGGGGCGGGAGGAGAGGGGAGGAGAGGGGAGGAGAGGGGAGGAGAGGGGAGGAGAGGGGAGGAGAGGGGAGGAGAGGAGAGGACTACTCGACTACTCGCGCACAGCTCCATATCACATACCATCATGGTATAGCTCATTGATGAGCTATGGCCATGGCTATGGCCCACGTTTATTTCCTCCGTGGGCCTTCCTCCGTGGGCCTTACAAAGAGAGATCCTACGTTATATATATTCAATCCGAGATAGGTAGGTAGGTAGGTAGGGAGGAGAAAGAACAGCGTAGGACTAAATGGGATATGTACTTTGACAGAAAGTAAAGTCGCCAATATAGCTCAGGGACAAAAGGGTTACTACAACAATCACATTCAACAGACGGCAGGGCGACCGAACCAACCAGCGAGCTCATCATACTAGGGGGGAAAAAAAACAACGGTTGTTTTAACTTCCTTACGGTCCAAATAAATAATTGAGAATCCTACAAATCCTACAAATCCTGTTAAAACAGAAAGACCGTAGTCAGTAATAAAGGGATATCTGTACCAAAGTCGTCGAGTCACACATGTCAAAACAAAAATTAATTTCAAACTAATCCCTTTTTCAAGGAAGAAGAAGAAGAAGAAGAAGAAGAAGAAGAAGAAAAGGTTTGAGAAAAAAAGGCAATATTTAAATCCAAGTTTGATTTCAAATCCATTTTGATCGAATCGAATCGAATCGAAAAAAAAGACGAAAGGTAAAATAAACTATAAGTTATAGATAAAAAGGGGAGTGTTTTTAATAAACACAAAAGATGAAGAAAAAGATTGAAGAAAAGAAAAAAAAAAAAAAAAAAAAAAAAAAAAAGAGAGTGGCACACATGGTGCCTAGTAAATCGAACTTGGGGGGAATAAAAGAAGGGAGGGGGGGAAAGGGGACCACCTAAAAAGGTGATGAATTCGGGTACGAACGCAAAAAGGTTCAACCAAAAAAAGTATGAAAGGAAAAAAGAAAAAAAAAAGGGAGGAATTTGAAGTGAGGATGAAATAATCGTCTCTAACTCAGATAAAAAGAAAAAAAGCTCCCGGTATAAGGAGACCCCAAGGATAAAGAATTTCTCCTAGTACCGTCAAAACGCCGTAAGCCTAGAACCCGAACCCTGTGCCATGCGAAGACCCGACTCGACCGAGACTCCAAGAGAAGGAAAACAAGAACCAATTGAAAGAAAAGAATTTTGAACTCCGCCCTCCGGGACTTGCATCATCGAGCCCCTCCTTACACGCCAGAAGGCGATTGTGTCAGATCTGACCCTTTTTCCTCGCCTTTCGTGATGGCCGGTACTGGCGACGAAGCTTTGCCTGAAGTTTCTTCGACAGCAAGCTGCTGAGGCTCCTCCTGCACCGGTGCAAGAGGCTTGGGCCCCTCATCAGGGAGAAGAGACTGACCTTGCGACACGGTCTTGTCTGCGCTGGGTGCCTCTGCTTTACTCCGCCTGCTAACGTAGTCGCTCAAGCTGAGCTTCTTCTTCACAGGACTCGGCTGCACAGAAGCAGCCACTGTTGGAGAGAGAGTAGCAGAGAGCAAGCCAGGTCCAGGACCGAGCGGCGAGTGTGTGGTCGTACTAGTCGTCAACGAAAGTGTCTCACTGAGAGACGGCGAAGTTGGAGAAGTATTAACGCCATGTCCATTCACCGGAACACGGCTGTCCGAGAAGCCTATATCTGTGGCTGCTGAAACGTCCGATTTCGGCGCAGTGGAATCACGGTGCTCGTTTGGCCCTGGCAGCTTCTCGGGCTGCTCTTGTTTGACAATAGACATGGGTGACGATGACTTCGTATCGCCCAGCGCCTCTGACTCACTGTCCTTCATCTCAATATCCTCTGCCACTACTTGCGGACTCCTACTGGAGTCCTTCAGGTTGCTGTCTGGCATGGGACTGTACGGAACCATTTCAGGGGGCTGTGGGCTTTCGGCAACGGAGCGATTGGTGGAATTGGGAGAGGATGACCCTTCTCCTAGTCTGACTCGGTCGGCGTGACAACGCGTCAAAAGCCGTCTCGCCAATGATACATATACCTTTGGCTTGGGCGGTGGTTGGGGAACATCATACCAAACGTCCGACTCAGGATCAGTTTGGATGGCGATGTCGACATAGACCGGGCGCGGCCACAGTAAAGATTGAGTATTATCCGCACGTGGCGACTGTTCCGCCACGGCAGCGTTTGATTGTCTTCGATTTCGAGTCTCGGATTGATTGAAGAACAGATTTCGATCAGTCGATCTCGACTTTTGGGCACCAGAAGACGTAGTTGGCTGCGATGGTGAGGCCTGACGATGGCCTAGTTGTTTCTGTGATGATACATGAGTAAGATTCTTTCTTCCTGACTGACCAAAGAGACGTGGGTATCTTACAGAAGACGAAATGGCAGGCGTATTCAGATTAGACCCACCGCTGTTTCGTTTCTTTCTCCGAAGCGCATTCTGCTGTGCCTCTTGCTCCAGTTGCTCAAAGCTCCTCTCAAGCGCGGCTATCTTTCTCTTCTCACGATCCGATAACTCGGGTCCCGGGCCAGAACTTGGTTCCAGCAAATGAGAGGAAGGCGTCATATCTCGACTTCGAGACTTGCTTGGAACTGAACCGGACGCAGACCGATTGTCGTCGGCATCGTCCTCCGGCACGTTCTCGCTACTCGCCCTACTATTCACGCCTTGCGGGGTACCAGAAGCTTTCCCCTTCTTACCCCGTCTTCCTTTGAGAATTCCAGTCTCTGGGGAAGCAGGCATGCCGCGACGATCAAATCGAGCGAAGGCGCAGGGTCGTGGACCACTACATGCGCAACCACCAAAGTTGGCAAGAAGCGGGCTAACCCAATTAGCAATATAATCATCATCTTCATCAGTAAAACCCTCTTGCTTCACACCCCCATTGATGCTGGGGCGGAGAACCCGATTGATGCATCCGTGAACCTCTTCGTCCAGATCCCAGCCAATCGTAATCTCTGCTCCTGGCTGCATGTCTTCTTTGGCAAACAGGCAAAAGTGATATTCGACGCCGTTGCTAATGAGCGTCTTCATGACTAGGTTCGGCTGGCAACTACGCCGTACGTAGCGACATCGACTGCCCTCCTTCCGACAGTCAATGTGAATGGGCAACTGGGGATGAAAGAAGACAAATGGTTCCGGGTGTCGAAGAGTATGCCAGCGGTTCGCGGGATCATGATAATAATCCTGAAGATGGCCAATCTGTCCCTTGAGCTCACCGACGACAGCGCCGGCCGGGACAAATGATTCCACAGTGAGATATTGCCAAATAGGGTAGGTGCCATGACACGAGAGGCTCGTGTCTCGCTTGAGTCTTTTGGTGAGATCCGGTAGGGGTAGAGATTCAATGGGCCGGTCAATTCGCTGAAAAACGTCCTGTGGCGTTTTGCCTTTGGTCACCTGGGCCAAAGCTGATGGGTCTTTGATCCAGGACGAAAGACTGCCGGTCACGCCAATGTTGGCAAAGAGGTTGGCTTCCATGGCAACGTCTCCCGGATCTTCTCGATGAAGTCGCATAAACTCTTGACTGTATAGTTCGTTCCCTAGGCCATTCGTCGGAGGCACAGCCGCGGGCGACTTGGATGGGCTGCGACCCAAGTGAGTGCTTGAGCCCGTCCGTTTGCGCGACTGCAAGAGGGCGGCGGAAGAAGGGTGCGAACTGCCAGAAAGCGAGGGGCGATGACTCGTTTTAGCCTTCTTTGCCGGCGGCAGATGTTCGCGCGGACTTGCGCTCCTCCTGCTGTCATTCTGCGCGCCATCGAGCCGATCGTGGTTCGACCAACCATTCACGGTCGAGGCGCCTTGACTTTGTTCTCTCGCCTTCTTCCTATTGGTCTTCGTATGCGGTCGCTTCGGCTTCCGGTCGCCCGAATCAATCTGCTCGCGTCGTCTCTTCTGGCGCTCCGTAGCCCGTCGAGTGTCCAGGACCCTCGGCTCACAGTCGACGCAGTTGTGGACGTCGGGAACCTTCTTGGTCGGGTAGTAGCACTCAATGTGTTGCCACGTCTCGCATCCTTCACAGAAGACGGTGTTGCCATCATCATCCTGAAAGCCGCAAATGCACTTGATGGTATAGGGCTCATCTTCCTCTGGCACATTGGCAGAAGATGCCAACCCGCCAGGGGAAAAGGGCGGCGCAGGCGGAAAGGCGACGACCGGATCTAGTGGGGGCGCCGCATGCGGAGAGAGTAAAGAAGGGGTATCGTTCATAATCTGAAACGTAGCCGTAGGTGGCCTGCAATCATGAAGGAAACAAGATTAAAATTTCCTGGGTCGGTGTCGCATGACGGCTGGAGGCACCACCAAACAGTCAACGACTTGTAAAATCCCCAACCAATCAAGCTATTGTAGAAGAAGCGAAGTCCAAACCGCAGAGCGAAAAGTTTACTTCGGACTTTGGTCTGGAAGCTGCGGCGATGCTTGACGGAGAGCGGTCGGCGGGAGCCTGTATCGACTTTCTCGGCGTGACTCCAAGAGCGAGAGGATGCGGCGGGCTCAAGCGGTGGCTCAATGATGGTGGATTCAACAAGCCGCAGAGACGTGAGACAGAGCGGAATAGAGATGAAGCGGCTTCTGCGTAGGCTGAGCCGGATGCTGATAACCAACTGGGCGTGTCCAGTTGGCGATGCGCACGACGACGAGGAGGAGTCTGGTGGGTGGGCGGGGATGTTTAAAGATTGTTGGCGAGATGAGAAGGCGAATCCAGCAATTAATGAAGATTAAAGGAAATAGTTTTGGAGAAGGACAAGACAGCAATGGGTAAGAGAGATAAGAAGCGGAGCTGCGTAAGGTGGCGTGGGTGAGGAGGAAGAGGAAGGAGAAGTCAGTCGAGGGTCGAAGAGAGTGTATGTAGGAGAGAGAGGGAGAGAAGAGAGGGCAAGTCCTGAGGGAGAGTATAGAGCGAAAGCGAGGCGAGACGAGAGAGTGAGAGCGGACGAGATGAGCCAAAGAGAGCCGAAGAGAGTAGAGAGAGTCCGCAAGAAGGGGAGCGAGCGAGCGGGAACGAAAGCGAGATGGTACCGTAAGAGTTACTACTCTCACTCTCCGCTCGCTGCGACCTCACTCCCTCTCAGCGCTCCCTTTTCTCTCTTTCTCTCTTTCTCTGCCTTCTCCTCTCTCTCCCCTGCCCCATTTCTCCCTTCTGTGGACGAGACGCGAGAGAGAGGGACAGATAGACGGACAAAAGTCGACTGGCCAGCTGTAGCCCGAAGAGAAGCGAAGAGCAAATGGGACATGAATTTTTCCCAGAAAAGCCCAAGTTTGGGATTCTACAGAAGGGGGACGAAAGTAATTTGTCCATTTCTAACCCGGCCGCCACTGCCGCTTTGGGATTTAGCGCCGCGACCGTTGCCAGATTGAGGGTCGAAAAAGGACTTGGCCAAAGTCGGTCGCTCTGATGAGGTACTTCCTTTTAAGGTACCCTCAGGCGAAGCTCATATAGTAAAAGGACCACGTCATAAGTATCCGGTTTCAGCATGAACGCGAAGACATGTCATGAACCATGGCTCTGTTGCTGGACGGACTGAAGTTTGGGCGGAAGGAAGTATGACGGTAAGATGGCGCACGGGGTTCGAGCGAAGGTGTAAGAGATAACACTTAAGTGTCGATGACACAGATGACCTGCACGAGAGGTGAAGCTGCTCTGTGTGCGAGAAGGACGTCTCTTCAGTGTTTTTGGATCGCAGGGCTTCGTTGGCCGAGAGACCACCTTGTCGTGGGGTGGGACGATGCACATCCTGCGACTTCAAATCCAAGGGTGAGAGATCCCGTGCGTAGAGCCAGCCCAAGGGGGTGGAAGGTCCATTGTCGGGATATCATCGTCCGGTGTTTAGTATGTCAAATAACTTCTCAGACCGATCCTGCTTCATTATTCTGGTGGACTGGATTATTGCTCAAAGTCTTGAAATGCTGAAATCCCATTGCTGCGTAAGAAGTTGAATCCTGCCTAGATCTTGTTATTAGACGCCGAAGCGAAATGCCGTCTCGTCATGATATACTTGCCATAACCCCTTGACCGATGATGAACTCTCGGCTTCCTTGGATAAGTACTCGGCTTATGACCAAATAGCTGCAGATCATAGCTGTTATCAGTAGATATCAATAGCGACAAAAATCATCAAAAAGGCACCACGATCATTTGCGGAGCGTTACTCGTAAGTGGCGGAGAGGATGGAACGACTCTCTTTTCAACGGTTGACAATCAGGGTATTGTTCTCCAAACGTATGCCAGCCCTTCCCCTTTTAATCCTCTTCCTGGACCTTTTGGGTTTCTCATGTGCCTCTAGACATTGAGCAACGACTTGGTCAGCTGATTTCAAAAGGAACCTTGAACCCTTGCACTTGGGCGGCCGTTCAAGTGACAGCTTATTCGCAATGAAAGCAATGGTTTTATTTAAATTTGTAGAGCAGAGTCTCCCAGTACGGGATGTCGCGCCAGTTCCCCTTTACCAGCAGCTTTCTAGTTCCTCAGGTTGAAAGTCAAGCAAGAGAAATTATCTCGTAGTTGAGGCCATTACAAAGTTGTTATTTTGAATGTTGCAGCCTACCGTTAAATATGCTCTCTTCCTGACGTAAATAATCAGTACATGAAAATAATCAAATATTTGTTCAATATACTACTCTCACGGCTCATCTTATAGTCAAGGGATCGTTTACTGTAGGTAGTGAACAGCATCTATTCCCGTTATCAATGGAAGAAGCAGCTGGCGGATTCAAAATGCACTAGACCCAATTGAGCTCAGTAAAAACCAAGGCCAGACCCTGGTCATTCGCCAACCTCCCCGCCACGATTATCATTCGCCGAACCGACCGGCAGACCGCCCGTCCATATCGCATCATCTGGCTGCATCACCTATCATCGTAAGGTCGGCTCATCAACCCAGAGAGCTGCCTTTGACACAGCTCTACTACTTTTATCTACTACCACCTACGCCTCGAAGCACGAATCAGTGCTTCAACCTGTCATCTCAAGATGAGGATCTCATCGGCCTTAGTTACGCTTGCCTTATCGTCTGTCGTTGCCGCTCGCTCGATCTGGCCGGGAGGCTTGACAGAACAGACTACTCCTAGAATCCAGGGCGACTTGTCTGTTCCTGGTGAAAACCCGTTGGAGTTTTGCCGTGACACTGGAGAGGATATCTTAACTATCGAGCGCGTCAACTTGACTCCCAACCCGCCACTACCGTAAGTCGGGTCTTGACCACGAAAGTTTATATCTCAACTGCTAACCTTGTTTTCCCTCATTTAACAGTGGCCAAACCTTGACCATTGAAGCTGCCGGCGTCTTCAGCGAAGATATTGAAGAGGGGGCCTACGTCAACCTCCAGGTCAAATATGGCCTTATCCGACTGATCAACCAACGCGCCGATCTCTGCGAGCAGATCAAGAATGTCGACCTCGAGTGCCCGATCAAGAAGGGCAAGACGGTTCTGACCAAGGAAGTCGAGCTTCCCAAAGAAATCCCTCCGGTAAGGCATTTGCTGCTCTTTGCGCCAGCTGGGAAGAATTACGCTAATCGTGGTTTCAGGGAAAATACACTGTTTTCGCCGACGTCTACACCGTTGATGACCGGAAGATTACCTGTCTTACCGCAACTGTCGTCTTTCCCCGATGATGGGTCATCCGGTTATTGGATCCCGAATCCTGGACCTGGCGTCTAATCTCAAAGTTGATACGACATTTACGAAGGACGATATGAAGGGGATAGCCACTGTAACATGGTCCCTAATCAGGTGATCAAACACCTGCTGGACATGTAGAATATGTTTTTGTTTTTTTCGCAAATACTGTTTTGTCCAAAGCCCAAACATGACGGCTCATTGCATCTCTTGTCTGCAAACGCACATTGTAACGTCTAAATGGTAGCATAATTGTACTGCATGATATTGTAACGTCCAAACGTTAGTATAATCATAATGCGCATGGATATTTATACGAAGATGACGAAATTACAAAATCCCGCACGCTCATTTCTAACAATCAACTCGAACCCTCTCCCATGAGCAAACTAATGCGGACAAATCCATTCCTCTAAGATATCTACTCTCCAAAAAGCCGTCTTACTCTGCGGAGAACACTGTCTTTCTCCGGATCGTACGGGTGATCCTTTGAGGGTATCTCTAACAGAGCTGGAAATGCAGCAGTATATGTGTCCACGCGATGTCGTATCCGTTCCGCAACCTAAATCCGTGCGGGTTAGCTCGATGCTTCATACGAGCGCAGCTAGTTTCCTTCCTTCCTTGCTTGCTTTCTTTCTTCCTTTGTCTTTTTTTCTTTCCCTCAATAGTATGTATATTCACAAAAACCAGGGTACGCAGGGTAGGGCACAAACATGTTGATTGATGAGCACAATGGCAATATCTTTGCGCTCCTCTGTGAAATTATCAAAGGCGGCTTCGATCGCGGCCGTTTCCGTTTTCTGATCCACGACAAGGAAATTCTTCTGCGAGTCCGGCGGCTGCGTTACATGCTATTTTCCCATCGAAGATTGTAACTTGTTAGCTTTTGATCCTTTCATCCATTATATGTTCTTATCCGCTTTATACGCATATCCGCTTTTTTCAACGCGACATATTTCCAGTGGAACGGTGTCGAAGGATTCAACAGGAAGTAAATGCTTCCCCCTCAAAATTCAACACGCACAAAAAGAAGCGAGAAGGAAAACGAAATGAAAGCAATGAAGATGAAAAGGAGGAAAAAGGGAGAGAACGTACACCAATACCAGCGAGTAAAAGCCCAGTCACGGAATCCTATACATATCCTGTAATCAGCATGCATTCTTTTTTCTTTCCCTTTCTTTTCCCTTCCTCTTGCTTATTTAAACAATCGCGGTCCATGACGTCGAGGTATGTTCATATAGCTTATAGACCGCGAATGACGCTCGCGAGTTGCCAGAGCGCGAGTTGCCAGAGCGCGAATCGCTCTATCCTGATGAGACAAGAGTTGCTGGAGCAAGCGTGTATATCGACCTCGGGCGTGATAGAGGATCATGTAACCGAGGACAGCGGAGTTATTGTGGGAAGGGAATTATACCTCATCGCCAATGACTGCAAGGAATTGGCGGTCCTTGTTGGAGGCAGTTGGTGCCGCCATGATTTGAGGATCTCGAGAGCGCTGGCGTGCAGGAAATTCTCCGCGTGCGATGCCGAAGTGAGTACTCGAAATGGGTCAGGTAGACCTGCGACGATAACGAATGATTGTGTGGCTTACGGTGAGAGAAGGTTGTAGCCTGAGAGTGAGCTGTGGCTGTATTCCTGGGTTTAGATTCTAGTGCAAGTGGTTCATAGAGGTTGTCCGAGCTCCTGCTGCTAACATCACGACTCACCGGGGGGACCCTCGTACGGCGGTTCCCGAAGTCGGGATAAGATAACTGGCTACGGCGGGCACAGTGGTCCATTATTGCTCCGCGACGAACTCGGTTATGAGATCACTGGATTAGCAGAGAAGTTCGGTCCAAGCTATGACTGGGGCTTAACTGAGTTAGAGTTGAGATAAGGGTAGCTCTCAGGCAATGTACGCTTAATTAATTAAAGCGGAACTCTTACTTGGACAAACGTCAACAAGAGGCTTGGAGATATGTCAGCGAGAAGTTTTTCCTCTCGTATATCAAATATTTTATGGGCACGTATTTTGGGTCATTGGAGCCAAATCTAGAATATACTACATTTGAACCGCTGGTATTTACGTATCCCATCGTGAAAAATGGGGACTAGTAACCTATTCACAGTGCCATCTGTACTAATAGCTGCCCCTGGGCATCCATTCGAGGCAACCCTCTACAATTCATCTCTCTTCTGGCTCCCAAGATGGGGGCGAAGGCGATAGAAGCCAATTCCATGGCCAGTAACATTGGCCTTCAAGGTTCCCTGCGGCTGGATCGTCGTGGTGTATTTGCCCAACAATGCGGTCGTATTCTTTGCGAGACCGTCTGCATAGGACAACTTGGTTGCATTGTAGGGCAGGGAAACAGTGCCGTTCTGTAGCGCTGTTCCATTGCTGTTGAGAATGAGGTTTGCGGTGTCATCGCTCATGCGGTCGGCCCAGAGATCATAGACATCCCATGCCTGAGCAGAGTTTGGTTTCCCGCCGGGGCCTTCGTCACGGAAGATGTCTACAAGGGTTGCGTTCATTATCCGTGCGTTATTGCCAGTGTTGAGCAGCGCTACAACATAGTCTCCATAAGCCAATTGACCACTCCACAGCTGAATATCACCTTGGCCGTATTCGTCAACATCCTCGACCGGGTAGCGCCACCGCCGCACGGCGGATGTACTAAGCGGATCTTGGGAGATGGCAATCACGGCAGGATTGGCGAGGATGGAAAAGCTTGACGGCGAGAGGCTTCTTATATCATTGCCCATAATTAATGGTGATTTGACCGCGGCCCACATACTGAAATGGACGACGTATTCCGAATCTGTCATACCCCCGTTTCCAACCTCAAGCACTATGCAATAGTTAGCGGCTGGTATCAACACAGTCGAGTATGGAGAGAACCGTACTGTCAAGGTCATTCCAAGCGCCAGGAATGCCCTTGTCAACAAAAGAAGTAACCTTGCCAAGGATGTTCATTGCTGAACAGTGGAAGCCAGCTAGATCGCAGTTGTAACCCTCATCAGGGCCACAAGGGCATCGAGCATCTGGTCTTTGGAAGGAATCGCCAATGTCTCCAGATATTCTCCAGGAATTGGCCACCGTCTCGGCCCACTTCCATGGGTAATCTTCGCCCCAATTGCACATTGAGTAGAGAATGGGTCGTCCAGTTGAGTTGAGAGCCACACTCATCTTTTTGTATCGGTTATATGTGATGAGTGGGGTTCCCGATTGGCCTTCATTGAAGCAATTATCATACTTTAGGTAGTCCACGCCCCATGAAGCGAATGTCTTTGCGTCGACGTCTTCATGACCCAAAGAACCAGCTATGATTTCGCCATGTCAGCGACGAATAGATCAAGCCAAGGTACTTGAACAATCACTTACCATACTTTCCACATGTAAGACTTCCAGCATCAGAATACATACCAAAGCGCATGCCGCGAGAGTGGATTTGGTCCGCTACATCAGCCATACCATTTCTGGATTCTTCTTTAGCCCAATGATCACAATATTTCAAATTTGGGAAACGGCTTACGGGAAACGGGTGGTGTTATGCTGCAATGAGCCATTCTCCGACCTGCCGGCCGACCAGCAATCGTCAAGGAGGACATAAGTATATCCCAAATCTCTGAAACCAAGACTGACGAGTTTGTCTGCAGCACCGAGAATGAGCTCCTCTGAAACGTCACAGGCAAAAGCATTCCAGTTGTTCTATGTTGCCCAAGTCGTTAGACAGCTGTCAAAACTTCGCGTAGTAGTATAGTTTACCCAGCCCATCTGAGGGGTTCGAGCTAAGCCATTGTCGACCCCAAGTGAAACCCTAACGAAGAATGCCGCCGCAGCGATGGCGGTAGCAGCGATCCGAGCCATAATGATCTTGATTAATGGGAACAAAGCTGTGGATGATCAAGCGTTTGGAGGGGGGTAACAATTAAGCGTAATTTATATTATGCTGGAAGCTCTTCAAAGCGGGATGAGGGTCATAGCGCAACCGTTGTGTCAGCATTCGGAAAAACCTCATATTGGGTGTGAGGTTCTCGGATGCTCCTTGTGTCTACATGGGAATGGTCAGCTTTGTGAAGCTTTTCGTACCAAAGAATCACCGGTGCCTGGATAATTACTGGACCAATCGGGCCATCTAAGCCCGGATAAACACGGGAAATGACGAGGGATCGGCTGTGGGGAGGCGGGGGATGTGGGGACGGAAATTGCCATGTGCGGGGGGGAATTAATCCGTTCATTAAAAGGACGCATGGTTTGGATCGAAAATCCTCCTATCAGAACTCGTCCATCAATCAACATTGCACCTAGTCTTGCCTGAAAGAGCTTGTTTGTGATAGTTCTCATGATTTTTGCTAGAGATATTCCGTATATTAGACCCCAAACTGGAAAATCAAATAATCTCCTCGCCAACCACAGAGCTGTGATTTTTCCGTGTGGAGACCCATAGTTGGGCGTTCCCCACTGTTTTATGCATCTCCAGATAAAGCCACTATTTTGCTCGTTGATGTTGGCCCGAACCCTGTTTTACGTCCATCCGATGTTCCCGCATTGCAGCCTAGCGTGAAAACTAGGTAATATTGCATGTCATGTTGAGATGAGAATCGAGAGCGAGACTCTTAGTCTTTCCTACTTACGCTAGAATGGCATGACTGACGTATGAGAAGACCAAGGCACGCGGTGACGTTCCGGATCTTCCGCGGCTCATAAAATATCGTCCTTCTGCTTTTGGAAAGGGCCTGTAAATCTGACAACAAATGCATAATTCTGTTGATATCAGGTCCAGCGCCAACAACATTATCTGCATGACTCAGTATCTACCCCTGAAAAGCTACCTGGGAATGGTGGGTAAAGGTGGAGCAAAACACTTTGAATTAAGACTATAAACTTTGTTGGTGGTGTAGTCTTTACGACCTGGCCATACTCCTGTCATGGACCTACGAGCATTGTCTACCCTCCGATATCGGTTTATCATGGCAGGTAAATAACTTGTAAATCACTTTATGGTCGCCCGGGCCGAGCCTGTACGCTAGGGGTCCTAATTGGAAGAAAAAAGTATTGATCATGTTACTAGGTAGTGAAAGTATATGGCTATCTGCTGAAATGCAGCCTAAGAAGCCCAGTAGACTTTTTTTTTTCTCCTTTATGTCTTTGCCAAAACACACACACCCACCCAGCGGACCGCCCCTCCCAAGTACCAGAGAGTGTAAAAATGCTTTCCAGGGTTACCTAGGTCCTAGGTTAAACACTAAAGCAATTTCACCTTCTCGGAGCGGGATTGGCAATTATCAATCCAAGAGTCTTCCTGGTCCGGATCCTGGTAAGGGTTGCCGTTGTTCAAGACCAGGTAGCCCGAAGACGCGGGCGTGCCACTGTCAGTATCAAGAACATTGAAGCAATGGACACCGGTATTGGTCCACTCGTCGTTATCCATATCCTTCTCGATTGTGTCGACAACATATGATTTGGAATCGTCGTCATTGATCACGCCTTCGGCTCCTTTGTCCTCATCGTGGTAAAGGTAATCACCATAAAGGCCGTCGTCGTCCGACGCTTCCTGGTTGTCCTGACGTCGTGAGAGGGTCGAGTTGCGAGGGCTGACCGAGAGATGGTGCATGGAAGCACCGCCTTTGGTGGTATGTGGCTGATAGTGGACCTGGAAGCAGCCTGGGTCGAAGCAATCGTTGTATCCTACTAGCAACGGAATGCCGGCATAGTTTTCCTTCATCACTGAAGTTGCCGACTTTCCTTCGATGCGTGGAATGGTGTGAATCATATTTGAAGCAAGCCGGAGATCCATTTCTTGCCGTGCAGCCAGCATAGCATTCGTATTGAAGGCTTTGTAAGCCCCATATACGAGCGACATGACGAGTCCTCCGACCGCTACGGCACAAATCGCTGCTTTGGTAGTCGGCTCGATGTCTGCAGCACAAGCCGTCTCGGCGACCTTCTCGAAACTATTTAAAATGATGCTCAGCAGCCCTATGTTCACACGCTTGACCAATTCACCCTGGTCAAAGTGTTCGGCCACAGTCCCGGCCGCACGAATGTCTAGAGAGGTCGTTGTCGGAGCAGCTATGGCTATATGAGCGATTGATAGGCATAGCAAAGCAACAAGCCCACTGCCAATATGAATTTTATGAGAAAGCATGGTGCAGGCTCTCGTTCGAGCGGCGGTTGGGAAATGTAGGTGGTAAGAATCAATCTTATCAGAATGATGCAGGTGATTGCCTGAACACAGAGCAAAGTGTTTTTCGACCAGCTGCTTGGAAAGAATAAGTTCTGGCACTTCATGCTAGGCAACCTGGAGAGAAACATTGATTAATTATATATTGAACAATTCCAAGACGTTGCATTCCGCGGTTGTATTTACTGCGGGGTTTCAGCGACTCCACTGCGTTTGAGGTATCTTCTCTTCGGGAAGTTTTGAGCAGAACAAGGATTTCGGAAGACGATTCAATACGAGGTTATTAGATTTTGATGGATCGGTCAGTCGATTCTTAGACTAGAGGTGGAAGAGCATGCGATCCAAACTCCTCATATGACAAATATAAGGATTCCTTGAAGATTGAAACCCCATTTGCCAGCAGCCTAAAAAATCTTAGATAATAAGTGGAGTTGTGGGTCAAGCTTCAAGCCTTGACCCCGGAAGTTTTTCGACAATTGCCCTCTGACACAATGTATGGATCCATTCTTTGACTGATGACCATGTCCCAGATGGTGATGCTGGCCGCATGACGAGTGCTTTCAGCCCGGTAATACGATCGGGCTGTTTGGCCCCCACAAACCAACACTGCAGCATAATCCTGGGCGTTTCGGGCCGCTGAGTCGCAACCGAGGAGAATTGTACTCTAGTTAAGAAACCCCCTGTAATCCATCTATTCCGCATGTATGGCATTACCTGCATTGTTCTGCCAAAATCTATTATATAACCGTAATTCTACCGACCTCACCATAAAAGTCTCGGTGACTGGGGTTCCGCTCGTATTGCCCAACCATGATTAATGGAACGGGCTTCTCCGATCCGTCGTTAACTCCAGTTTGCGGTTCCCTCAAGATCCCCCGGAGAATCCTCCGAATTAGCGGCACGGAAACTCCACGGTCCCGCCGATAGACTAAGAAGCATAACTAGACTTCGTTGATCACCTGCCTACTCCGATAATATTTTTTAACGAGAGCAGCCCGAGGTGTTTACTCCCCTCTCTCAGTCAACACAGCCGAATCTCGAGAAGAGAATAACCTTTGCAAGCTTTTGCAGTTATAATCTAATTCATATTGCAAAATATGCTGCGGCTGAGACCTGAGCAATAACATTTGAATGGAGATTTTTACGTCTATATAACACCAAAATGGGGCTAAAATTGCATTTGTGGGGGCGTATTTGGGAGGCACGCTAGGCTATATCCTAGAGAAGTATTCAAACAAAAATGGAAAAGAGGGAATCAAACTAATCTTTCCCAAGGAAGAGCTACCAGTCTCAAAGTCATCCATGCTGGTTTATTCCGTACTTTATGGATGGCTTATGCTCTCTGTACCTCCAAACCCTGAGATCCTTACACTTGCCTTGGAATAAGACCGTGTGATATTCTGCTCTGCAATGTCATGGTCATAGACTCATAATCTACTCATATAATCCCCCTGCATGCATTGAGATAGTCTGCCATATTGTGGGTCGTCTCATTGAGGACTGTATCATTGTGGAAACACTTGCACGGGGGTTGTTCAATGGTAAGACATAACATCTGGTCACTGAGAGAAATCAAAGTCAATACGAGCCTATGTTCCTGAAATCCTGGTTCAACTAGTGACTTGACAGCATTATTAGATTGTAGTTTTGAATAAGCCATCACTGAGCAGCTCAAGCACCTGTCTATGCTACGGCTAGTGGCTTTTGAAGGTGCTAAAGGCAGGGTTAAGGAAAATAATTATTGGTCTGGTTCTGTTGAGAATGAAACTTATCTAAATCATTTCCATTTGTCATAAGCCAACTTGTCGGAGCAGAGATCCATGATAAAGCTGTACTTGATTTCATAGCTAATTACCAGATATGCCAAGAATCCAAGATTGAATGGTGCAAGGAAGCCATTGTCCGGTAACGGACGTAATGATGGTAAGGACATGCATAATAAGCCTGAATTCCTTCCGTCAGAGGACAAGCAGACTTTGCAGGACCGATTCTTATCAATATCATTTAATCCACTGATAAAAAAAAGTCAGTCAGCTGGATTTTCGACAACATTTTATCATTGTCAAATGATCAAATCATTCGAAACCCTTACCGCCCCAAAGTCTACAATCAACAGCGGCTTGAACCCATTGGAATATTCCACTGACGATCTGTCTGCCAGAAAAAGCCTGTGGAAACACTATCAAGCCTTGGTACATTTTGCTTTTGTGTGGCTGTATATCTCTTGTAATATCAAACGAATGAATTGTATATTGCTGAAATCGTATGAAAAGATTCGAGAAAATATATATTTGAAAGTATAGACATAGGATAGGAATTAGAATTATTATCCACTAGAAATGAAGAAGTATTGCAATAAGAACTATTTATGAACAAGTAATATTTTTCTCTTCATCTTGTTGTTTATAATGGAAGGGAGGCTTCAGTTGCCATATAGTTCAGACTTAGCTCACATGGGCGCTAACTGATTCGCTAGCGTCACGTCCTACGCATCGGAAAGCTCCTTCGCCGATGATTATCCGAACAGCTCTTGTTTACACGCAAAACTAAACACTGACATTTGACATGTCAAACGGGTGATACGTCTCTCTTCAGAACCTGCTTCTGCAGCGAGAAAAACAAAGAAAAAATGCCTCGTCTAGTACGGCAGAGGCCTTTGACCGAGCGAATCAAATCCTACTTGAACCCGCTCGATCTCCTACTATGGCTCTCCGAGGAGCTCAACTCCAACGACTGGGAGCAGTTTCAACGGGACTGGGGAATCCCAATAGGGCTTGGGTTGAATATCGTCATGATGATAGCGAAAGCCAACAGTGGAAGCTCCAGTATAGGAACAAGAGCGGACGACGTCTTTGGCGACGATGGGAATGGTAGCGGGTGGCTACGCTGGCTGGTAAATCACCAAAAACCTAACAAAGACGCGATCGATTGCGATGCGATGCGTTGCGTTGCAATGATACATACTGACACGCAATCCAGGCAACCTTCATAGCACATTCTCTCACTCTATTCTCCCTGCTCAACGCCTTCTACACATTCGCTCGCAAACGGCACTACCGCCTGTTCGAATCCCCCATCGACCAAGTGCCCAGCACCCCCTCCGCGCATCGCGTCCGTGTAGATTCGTCTCCAGTCTCGTCATCCCCCTTACGCTTCCTATCGCAAATGATTACCGTCCCTACCGCTGCCTCCCGCGCACATCCAGACGCGACACGCGACGTATGGGAGCTGGCCATATGGGATCCCACACCAATATGCCTGCGCCTCTTCTGCGTCTTCAGCCCGGGCCATGTCCTGATCTACTCTCTTTTCCTACCCGTCGCAGACCACGACCCGAGACCCAGCACGACCGTGCTTACCGCCATGGTTCTCACGGGCCTACTCTCAGCGCAGCTCCTCTTCCTCCAGTCGTTCTTCTCCCAGCAGTCAAAAGACTCCGCGCTCATCCACAAGGAAGTCCTTCACGAATACGACACCAAATTCGTGCACCCGCGCTTGACCCCGCAAGTGCGAGACGTTGGCACCCAGTATACCAGTACTTCCATAGCCACCGACGCCAGTAATTCCAAGTTCAGTATAAAATACGACCTGTACAACAGCGTAGACGCCTCTCCCGCTACCACAATCATCAACCGCGGGTTCCAAACAAACCCGAATCCCAATTACGCCAAGCACGTCGATCCAGACGGCGTCGCCGCCGCCTCATCATCATCATCTTCTTCGACATTTCCACGCAGCTTCACATCAGGCCAGAGAATGGGCGGCTCGTTCGCCACGCCCGGCCGCCCTGGTCCTGGTCGGGACCATCCATCTTCATCCTCTTTTACGCCCATGCGGAATTACAATAGTACCGCGATGCGTCAGCCCCAGTTCCGCCCAGTCCCAAGCGGTGGCGACGGCGGAAGTCTCGGCGTATACTCGCATGCACAGTCTCCGTTGCGGAAATCTGCCGTCACTCAGCATTTGGCGGCCCCTCCTTCTCTCGACGAAAACAGCGGGCTTAATCGGAGTAGAAGTATGCATAATCTGCATCGCTCGAAGCGCGAATCAAGTCCGCTGAAACGCGAATCTAGTCCGTTCTTAATGGATGGACGTGGCCGTTCTGGATCAGGTTCCGGTTCCGGTTCAGGATCCGGCTCAGGATCAGTATCAGGATTAAGTCGGCGATTACGTCTAGATCCGATGCAGGCAAGACGAGAGACTGGGAGGTTTTAGACCTTTGTCTTAGAGTCCGCTAGTACTCCCTCTTCTTTTCCCATTCTTTTTTTTTTTTTTTTTTTTCATTCATGCTTCTTTGCGGCATACATTGTTGACAGACAGACTTGGATGTCTTACAAAGACAAAAGATATACATCTTACTTTTGTATCAATACCTCCTTTTACCATGGGTCTAGGCGCAGTGCGCTTCGGAAGTCGGTCGGATCGTTTTTCTTTTGGCGTTACTGGGCGAATGGGTATAGATGAGCATTCACTTTCACTGGCAAATATATATCAATATACGAAACGAAGATGTTTTGTGAGAAGTCTCATTCCTTTGGTTTATTTTTGATGCTGTATGAGAATCATCTCTTCTCTAGTGCTAACCCTGTCCAACCCTCTCCTTGTGATTTCCCCCTTGATTTCCTCCTACAACTCCTCTGATAGCCTAGGGTTGGACATTCCTTAAAGTCCCAATTCCTCCAAGAATCGCCCAAAACCACCAAATCCAACTCCTAACAATGAATAAGAAGAAATGCAAAAAGTACCGCCAAGCCGTACCACGAGTGGTCCCAGCACACGAGCAGTCCCAATATGAAGACTACCCGGTTCTTATTCGGCACCAGGGTCCGGGACATCCAGTCTGCCAAGTCCGTACTGCTGTTGCCTTCCAGGAATTGTGGAAGACGATGGTGGGGGAATAGGGACGAGACAGCCGAGGGTTGTTGATGTTGATATGGGCGATGGGGATGTGGGCTCATCCCGAGCGCTGTCCTGGGGGTGCCGCTTGCAAGTTGGGTCGTCCAGGCCGCAGGGGGTGGTGGAAAGATCGGCCTGCGCGGGAATTGAAACCCAGGTGGTGGGATTGGCAGCACAGGATGTATTGTTTCCTGTGCTGTCGATGGCAGTGGAAGTGGTTTCCGTGCTGGGACCACTGCCTGGTCGGTACGTGTGGTTGTGGTGGCTCCCCTCTGCCCGCCCAAGTGATGGGGAGGGGAGCGTTTGTTGCTGTCTGGGCTTGGTGCCCAGACCGTGAGCGTGTCGTCGCTCCTCCGTGTTCGAGGCTGACCGGAAGCCTCTAGTGGTGGTTGAAAAGCCTAGAGAAAAGAGTTAGACAACGTCTTGAACGCGTTGGAAATAAATGGGGGGTGTGTGTGGAAGACTGACCCTGGCCTCTTCTCGTGCCGACGTTGCACTTTTTTTGGTGGTCTTGGTTGGGTGGCAGTCTGGTAATATCTGTTGGAGTAATTGTTAGCGTCTAGCTTGTGATTCGGTTTGGAAACGAGAGCAAAATGAACGATGATATAAGAGGGAAGATAATATATATTAGGGAATATGAATAATAGGAAGATGATATACTAAATGTGACTTACCTCGGCGCCGCGCCACCCAGCTTTCAAGTCCTGACAAGGACGAATATTCTTGTTGACGTAGTGTTGAATCCAGGCCATCTTGCTGAAACGTCGAGCTTGCTCTTGAGGATCGAAGACTTTACCAGCAGTCTTCATTTTTTTTTTGTAAAAGGACTTTGCCTTTTTTTCTTAATAAGAGCGTATGGTTGGGTGGATATCGAGGTCCCAGGAGTGGCGGAGATTTGGCAAAATGCAGAGGGGCAGTAGTGCTAGTCGAGCAGTACTGATGTCAATCTGATGGTGTAAAGTAAAGCCGGAAGAGAGTCCTTCGTCGGAGTTTGTCGCAGGGTTTTGCTCGAGAGAGTAGTGCCGGGCTCTTTAATATATTAAAGAGTTGCTGTTTGTAGGAAAGGGCAGTACGGGAGCGAAAAATGCGGTGGATGGTGTGTCGGAGACTAGACCGAGTCTCTGAGGGTATTTTTTGTTTTCTCTTGTACCCGCCAGTGGCAGTGCCAATTTCTTTCAGAGAGGAAAGAAACTATGTTTTTGTAAGAGCGGGAGTGCCGGAGCAGGGAGAGAAACTGAAGTAGAAAGAGGCAGGAGATTGTCTTTCCGAAGATGTCGCTTGCGCTTGCTGATGCTTGTCGCAGGGTAGTGCTGGCTTTCAATAGAAGAAAGAAAAGATGCTTGTAGGAAGAGCAGTACCAAAGAGGCAAGAACGGAAAAGAGTGGAAAAGACAGCTTTGAGAGGCCAAGATGGGAGGTGCGAGTGATGCTAAGGAGGGAAGGAGAAAACTGGCAATCCAGCGACGGGGGGCATGGTTAAATACCCATTTTTCCAAGGCCACAAGGGTGCGCAGAAATCCATGAAAGGTTTAGCAATCATTGCAAATAATTTGTTCAAGTTGAGGGAAATGATGATGTGTTCAAAAGAATGGTATCCAATTTGTGATAGTTTGAGAAGTCAATGTAGCAGAAGAGCGGGTTCGGAGAACCTTTGTGTATAAGTTGTAGAAAAGGCGGTGGTACTAAGCTATATCAAATGATGGTGTATTTGAAGCTATTCAAAATCAGAAATAATGCAAAGAAAAGCCATTCATCATGTGATATGGTCGGGAAAAGTGCAAGGCATAGATTTCTTAGACGTGTGGTAAAAGCAGATTAGACTCGCCTGAAGGAGGGAAACTTGTCAACTTATACTGCGATCAAGCAAAAAGGCGACGTTATGTTGGTTTAGTTTTGAAGACTTCTAGGCCTGTATTGGGTGGGTTTCTTCTTGGGTGTAATTTCCAGATAGGTTGAAGTCTGAAGGAGGAAAGACTGTGTATAATATACCGTTTAGGGCAAGCACGCGGGTGGGATGGGGGTGACGTTGAAGCCAGCGGGGACTAGTGTGGGGGTTTCGCACTAGTCCAGTTTGGCGACCCCGGATTTTCTTCAACTTTGGGGTGTGGGGGAGGAGGGGGGGGGGAGAAAGAAGGACGACGAACAAATCCCCATGAGGGTTGAATTAGACTCTCTTTGACCAATGTGTTGCTGGCATCACTCTGAAAATTGCATTATGCGCAATTACTGCTGTAGAGTCCACGTTGATCCCGGCAATACTTTTCCGTGATCCGTGGATTGAATCACATAGACCCCCACCGAGGGGTATCTCGCGTCAAAACAGCCCGAGAATATCTAGAGTATACGCAGTCGACAACAATCCATGACCATATAATACTCTTCCATCCCAACATGACCAGACTTCTAGTACTCTGTCCGCTTGCACATCAATTACATTATATCCTCTATTGTAAAGACTCAAGTCACCTCAAGGAATCTACATAATATACCTCATTTCTCTTCAATACGTGCCTAAGTTACTTCTGCATATCTAATTCACAATGGTGACAATAACGAATACATACTCCAGGGACATTAGATTCCCAGTATGCTCTTAGTAAGCCCTCGAATTGTAAAAATGTAAGCATCTAACGTACTCTAGACATCCCTCGACAAAACCGGATCCGATGCCATGAACGCAGCAGGCGATTACTCTGCTGCCTACTGCATCATCGAAACCGATTCAAACCACAAGGGTCATGGCATGGTAAGACAACTTCTCTTGGCCGTCATCAAGATTGCTTCCTTTTCTCCTTGGACCTACCACAGCATGATCGGCCATGCATAGAAAAAAAGCCTCTGAGCTGATAACACCTGGATCCTTGAACAGACCTTCACAATTGGTCGCGGCAACGAGCTTGTCTGTGCAGCCATTGAGCTCCTCGCCGAGCGAGTCAAAGGTCAAACACTCGAATCTCTCACTGCCGACTGGGGCAAAACATGGCGCTACCTCGTCTCCGATTCGCAGCTTCGCTGGATCGGCCCAGAAAAGGGCGTCATCCACCTCGCCCTCGGGGCCGTTGTGAATGCACTGTGGGACCTGTGGGCCAAAGTCCTAGGAAAGCCCGTCTGGCGCATCGTGACTGAGATGTCGCCTGAAGAATTCGTTCGCTGCATCGATTTTCGGTACATTACCGACGTGATTACTCCTCAAGAAGCCATCGACATGCTGCGGAAAGCGGAGCCAGGAAAAGAGCAGAGAATTAAAGAAGCAGAACATAACCGCGCCGTTCCCGCGTATACGACTAGTGCAGGATGGCTAGGATACTCGGAAGACCGAATGAAGCGCCTCCTCCAAGAGACGCTGGAGAATGGGTATCGCCATTTCAAGCTAAAAGTCGGCACGAGCCTTGAAGCGGACCGAAAACGTCTAAAAATTGCGCGAGACGTGATCGGATATGACAAAGGAAATGTCCTCATGGTGGACGCAAATCAGGTATGACCTTCATACCTTGCATGCCTAACCTCCAAGTTGTGTTACCATCCAAAATACCATTTGTACCTTTCCCGTCGTTTAGAGATATCTTCCTAGAGCTTGAACTGAAACACTCATGTATCAACAGGTCTGGTCCGTCCCCGAAGCCATCGAATACATGAAAAGCCTGGCTGAATTCCAGCCCTGGTTCATCGAGGAACCAACCTCACCTGACGACGTGCTCGGGCACAAGGCCATCCGGGATGCGCTCAAGCCGTACGGCATCGGCGTAGCCACGGGCGAAATGTGCCAGAATCGTGTGCTGTTTAAGCAACTTTTGTCAATAGGTGCTATTGACGTTTGCCAAATCGATGCCTGCCGTATCGGCGGCGTCAACGAGGTCCTTGCCGTCTTACTCATGGCCAAAAAGTATTACCCCTAATACCCCCTTACCCCCGCTATGCAATGGACATCCTCTTACCCCAGCTGCCTTACGCGATGAACAACGCCCTAATACCCTTCCCGGAAGGAAGCGGATATAATTCAAAGGAGGAGGAAAAAAAAAAAGAATATGACAACTAACGCTTTTTCCTTAATTGCAGATTCAATGTCCCAGTCGTGCCGCATTCTGGGGGCGTCGCTTTACCAGAATACACCCAGCACCTCTCCACGATCAACTACGTCTCCGTATCGGGCAAGCTCTCAGTGCTAGAATACGTCGACCATCTGCATGAACATTTCCTGCATCCCGCGGTGATTCGTGAGGGGTACTATACCACGCCTACGGAGCCCGGGTATAGTGTGGAAATGAAGGCAGAGAGTATGGATCGGTACACGTATCCTGGCGGTGCAGACAGCTGGTGGAGGAGCCCAGAAGCAAAACCTATCATTGAAGGCGAGAAATTATAAATGAGACATATGCTAGAAGATGATATACGACTACCGTTTGACGGCAGTCAATTTGATTCGTCTATACTGAAGATGTTTGGCAATATAAAATGCTCAACGCGGCCAGTGCTCTACCGCGGCGTGAAAATAGCAAATGAAATCTGAGAGTACCGCACATTTTTGATTGATATAGTCCTAACTAGTCGTACAAAATCTTTTTATGGAAAATAAAAGCAAGTGTTTAAATCTCCCTGATCCGAAAGAAAAAAAAAAGAGAATAAGCTGTATCTCCGTAGTCGACATTGAACTAAACGCGCCGTGAGCGATCAAAGCGCTTCTGTAATAACAAAGGCGATACCCGTCACACGAGAAAGGTGCAAATTATGATAATCGATAGAATCGGACAAAGAGGGTTTATGTCGACAGGCCTCTCTTCTCGCTTTCCGAAAAGAAGATGATCATACGCCAGAGTTTCTTCACCAGAGCCTCTGCTTCCTCGTCGAGTGGCTAAAGAACAGAATGAAATGTTAGCAAGCGGTGCAACGAGCTGCAAAATTTATTGACAGGGCATGGAAACGAAGAAAGAAAGGAGATACATAAAAGGAAAACGAAACATAAAGGAAAAACGAAACATAAATGAAAAACAAAACAAAAAGGAAAAAAAAAATGCAGCAATCGCAAGAGACCGGAACGAACGACTTACGCCTTCCAACTGTTCAACGAGCTCCTGAGGACCGCCGCGTTTGCGAATATGTTCCTCGACGACCTCGACCAGCATCTGTTCCTGCACGCCGAGGTACTCGACAATCTTCTTCTCGACAAATGGCCTAAGCTGTTCAGTGAGGACAGATTCATCCACAAACTCCCACTTGACAGGCCAGCTCCAGAGCCCGTCCTTTGTGGTCGGGATGTCTGCAGCCAATTGGCGAACAGCCTGGGTGCGCTCTTCCTCTGTGAGCCCGGCGGCCTCGGCGGCGGAATCGAACGTAATAGGAATAAGCGTGCGCTTGGTGGTGGCGCCGGCTTCTTCTTCGTCCTCGAGCAGGCCTTCGACCTCTGCGACGGTTCGGCGGGGGTGCGCAGCCTGTTGGGCGCGCTGGGCAGCGGCGCCAAGGGAGAGCTTGAAGCGCTGGGGCTCGCGGGGGCGGGTTTGTTGGATGTTGGTGTTGTTGTTATTGTTGTTATTGCGCTCTTCCAGCTCTTCTGCCTGGCGGGCCAGGAACTGATCGGCCATGCCGCGGGCATGCTCTCTCTTCTCCGAGTCGCGGATTCGTTCGCGCTCTTCTGCAGCGCGGTCGCGGTCATCGAGTTCGGCTTCGCGTGTGCGGAAGGCGGCGCGGTTGCGGATCCAGGTGCCGCGATCGGCGTAATATGCTTCCGCCTTGCGAGAGGCCTCCTCGTCGTCGTTCCATTCCCGGAGGCGTTTGGCAATGGCGTCCTTTTCGACCTGCTGCTGGGCGGCTTCGTCCTTGTCGCGAGCCTTTTCACGCTCGACGGCTGCTGTACGACTTCGTTCGCGGTTGAGCCAGCGGCGTTCCTGGTCGAGGTATTGTTTCTCGAGTTCCGCTTGGCGTTTCTCTTCCCGTCTCCGCTCGAGTTCTTCGTCGCTGGCGTCGGAGTCCTCATCTTCCCGGTTTATCCAGCCTGCATCTGCAGCGCCGTTGACGCCGGCACCGTTAACGAACGAGACGTTCTTTTGATAATCACGTCCAAGCTGTTGACCACCTTGCAATCCCTTGGGCCCGAGCGGTGCGCCGTGTACGCCTCGGTCTCTGGGACCGACTGGAATGCCGTTTGCACCGCCGGCTGGCCCACTAGGGGCGCCCGGCGGAGGGGATGCGAGGCGATTTACTCTGGATCCACGTGCCCGCTCCATGGCTTCCATTTCCTCCTCCCGCTTCAAGCGTTCCATATCGCGGCGATTGCTGCGGTCGCGGAAGGCTGCGATTTCTGCTGCTACCGTCTCTCTCAATTCCGGCGGGATATCCGCCAACTCGTCATCCATCGTGAGCGGGATCGTCACCACTTCCCCTTGTGTCCCATCGGGCTTGGTCTCCCCGTTTTGCATAACACTGTCTCCATTGCCGTCGACCGCGGCATTTTCATTCGTTTGAGCCGGTGCAGTAGGATAGAAGAACTCGTTGAGAACATTCGATAGAGTCTCCCGTGCATTATCAAATCGTGCTTGCAAGGCGCTCGGATCTTGTTGACCATTTGTCGCCAGGTGCTCTTCCAAAAAGTTCAATGATTCTTCGTCGATGATAATCTAGAAGATGCTGTTAGTGACTCGTTGATGAGAATATAATCTTTCAAGCATCCTTACCAGCAACTTGCTCTGTTCAATCTCTTCCTTCGGCGTCTGCTCCTGATCAGCAGTACGAGGAGACTGCCGGTTGACAGGGACAATAATGTCCTTTAAGATCTCCACAGCTACCCCCAAGCTTTCAATGTCGTCATATTCGGCGAATCCGAAACGGCACGGCTTGCTGTCAGCATCAGTTGCCCTGGTCCACTTCCGGAGAGGACCCGCAGATCGTAGTATTCTCTCAATGCCCTCATCGCCGTCGACTCCTTCAGTGATACCACCAACAAAGACTGTCCGGACGAGCTCTTCCTTCGTCGGGGGCACGAGAGCCATCATACTCTCCCGAACCGCCTGCCTCTGTTGTTCCATTCCTCCTGCGCCCAAACCAGGCCGTCCAGACATACCTGCGACGTCGGCCGCACTCTCTTTTCTCCCTGGACCGCCAGCCAAAGGAGTCGCCGGCTTTGATGGTCCGGTCGTACCCAGTCGAATGACTGGCGCAGAGAAATTAATGTTTGGCATGTTGGGAGGCGGTTGGAAATTCGGAGGGATGCCACGGCCTCCAGCAGCCTGAGGAGCAGCTGCCGGCGCCATGCCTGGCACTGGTGCAGTTCCTGGAGCCGCGGCCATTCCTGGTGGCGGAGCTGTGGAATTATCACATCAGAAAATGGCCGTTCTAATGTATGAGAATCCAAGACAGAACTTACCCATGCCTGGAGGACCGCCCATGACGGGCGGGGTCCCAGGCTGTCCAGGAAAGCCTGGGAATCCCGGAGGACGACCATAAGCCGGAGGTGCTGCCTGCGCATTAGTGCAAAGTCGAGCGTAAAGGTGAGATTCAGGACTGGTGTTCTCTGCGAAACAAAGTCGCAAAAAATGCTTCAGGTGGAGGGATGCTTACCGCCGTATGGATTGTACATTGCGCTCTCCTAAACAGTATTATTCGACAACAAGAAAGAAATGCTTCTGCGAAACAACAGACTGGCTAAAGTCGCACAAACCCCTAGTGATCTGCTGAATCTTCACACCTCCCTCTTTAATCACAGGGCGTCCTTGAGGTAAAGCCGTTACAAAGTGAAGCTTCGCGCAGCCGCGCTTAGGCGCGAAATGCGAAACCGAAATAGGAAAGGGCCCAAAGGGACTCATCCGCCCAGACGTAGAACCACCCCCAAAAAGTTCATTCTGCGGGTTAAGCCGATTGATCAATCAAATATACTCTTGCGACGATTGAACGCTTTCAACGGTGAGACCCGAAAACCCTTTCTCAGCTCAATTTGGGGTTCTGAGCTCACATTCAGATAACCAGTCTGCGAGATGGAATTGAAGCGGGTTGGAGATGCCCTTTTCCGGGCCAGAGGGTCTCCTCTCTCTGCGCTGCTCACTCCCGCACTTTGCGCTCGATCATCATGGAGAGCTAATATAAATGCCTGGAACCCATTGCGAATCCAAAGCTCTTCCGAAGTCCAGCGCTCTTTCACTAGCAGCTCGCGATGTCTTCAAGAAGGCGGCTCAACTCCCAATGGCCCCGTCGAAACCACCAAAGCAGATGCTGAGAAGAAGTCCGCGGACTCTCCCGAGCCGGCTGGCAAGGAGTCTAGTGAAGACACCATCAACAGTCTTCTCGCTGGCATGACACGGCCGGCTTCAAACACAGCGAAAACAAGCCGTTTCTCCTCTCCAAACGCACAGGCCGCGAATCGACCCGGAAACTCGGCTTCCGATATGAACGCTGCCATGAGCCAGTTTGGCACATCCCCTCGTGGACGCGTGGATACCTCCCGCATGCTTAATCCGTTGCCATCCGATCCTTTCAACCCTATGTCCATCTCCCTCGGCGAGCCGCCGAAGCCGCCTGCCATGCCTCCTCTGCGACTCGGCCCAAGTCTTGGACGGAGCGTCGTCATTGAACCGTCAAGGGGCATCGATTTAGCCCGCGGAATCAGACTTTTGGAATTGAAGTGCAACAGAAATGCCGTTAGGCAGGACCATAATCGACAGCGCTTCCACGAGCGACCGGGCTTGAAGAGAAAGAGACTCGCAACCCAAGTGTGGAGAAGGAAGTTCAAGGAGGGATTCAAAGCTACAGTGAGGAAGGTTCAGGATATGCGCAAGCAGGGATGGTAGAAATGCACGCTTCAGAAATTGATTTATTGGCAACGTGGGCTCCAGAGAAGAATCTGGCTATTTTCGTCAACAGAATCGTTCTACTGCTCTGAGGTCGCAGGGTTATACGCGGCCCCTTAGATGTTTGGTATATGTGTATTATAGAGCCCTATTATTAAAGTTATATGGAGCATTTCAGCGTTTCTGGTTAAGACTATAAGTCGTCCAATGTTCACACTAGACATAATCGCCAAAGTAATCGTGACCTCAAGCCCATCAAGCTTTGGAACGTCTTCTGGAGTTTTGATATTCTCTCCTGTCTGATCTTTCGTTCCAAACGGAGGTAGAGCACGTCAAAATGGTCTCCGATACGTTCAGACGTTGTGGAGTGCAGTATTGACTTCAACCAGCTCCTGGGACTTTCCGAACAACTTTCTATGGCTTTTCAGTGTAGAAAACCTCGAAAATTTCAAGTCGTAACATGCTAGCTTCAGAGAAATATTCAACTTAATTCTAACTAAAAGATATGCTATCTAAGTTGGCCAATATTGTATATAAGTTGATCCAGGTAAAACTAATTACACAAAAGGTTATTCGCCTCGTCATTCTAAATCTTCACCAAAGCTGCTTTGGCGCCAAGTTGGCCTCCGTTGACTGCCGATGGCAGCCTCTTCTTCTGCTTTCCCTATACGTTCTTCTTCCTTGGGCGATATAGGGCTGACAAATTCATCACTCGAGATATGCTTTGCACTACCACCTTCACTTCTCGGCGAAGGGGATGATATTGCATCTGGTCTACCTGCCTTGCTTGCTTGATCCAAATATGCTGGATGAAATGCTGCTGGGTTTGGTACTGGATTTCCAACCCCAGTAGTGGGAGAATCGGGCAGCGGTAAACCATCCGCAGGAGAATTAGCTCGTGGGCGTGGACCAAAGAAATGCGAACCGTTCTTTTCAGTCTCGCTTCCTGGCGACGGTAGTTCTGACGGCACTGATGTATCTACGTACGTACACTAATATCAGCGAGAGAGGGCTCATAGATGGTCGCTTGTGTCACATACCTGCCAACTCATGAACTTGGCTGCTGGCAGCTTCCTGGGGAGGTTCCGCGTCCCTAACCGTGGAGACATCTTCAGTGGTGCTTGTAACAGTCGTCCGCCGGCCAGACGTCTCTTCAGTTGTCGTTACCGTGGGCGCCTTGGCTGGCGGCGTCCCACTCATCCAGCTGAGAATGCGCTGCCGGTTGCTCATCGTACCAGTGCTGCTTCCGTACATTCTCAGGTACCGCCGGCGCCGCCAAAGTAGGATGGCTGTTATGATGGCTATCAAAAAGACAAGGCCAAGAATTACTCCCAGCACGGCCGCAGCCCAACTGGGGACGCCATTATGGGACTTGGACGGCGACGCTATTGTGATGTTTGTATGAGGAGGAGCCGGCGTAGAGGTCTCGTTAATTGATGGGTATGGGTAATACGTGGTGATTGTCTTGGTGTATTTGGTGCTGAACAGACCCGAAAGGTCGCTATTGTCCCAGGCTGCTGGACTCAGTCGTGTAGCACTCCCATTAATGCTATGCAGAGTTAGAGATATCCTGGTACAGACTTGCAGCTTGAAAAACATACTTTCCGCCAATCTGAGCCGTGACGATATCGGGAACCTCGTATTCTGTCCAAACGGAAGGATCATAACTGTCCTGCCACATCAAAGTGTTCAAATTAAAGATCTGGATCACACCGTCTTCTACACAATCTGCATATGTGCCTTCCATCGGTGAGCCCCCAATTACTAACATCTGATCCGGATAAGGCTTCGCACATCGATGGCCTTGCCGGCCATGGGAACCGCTTCCATTGTATGCTTTCACCCAAACGAAAGACGGGACCGAAAGAATATAAACGTCATCAGAAGCGGTTTCGGAATCAGGAAGTCCACTGTAGCCGCCATAGAGGTAGATATTATGGGACGAGCCATCCTTTGCTGAGGCCACAACGGAGCAGGCTTGAGTCAGTTGGGGCGGAATATCGCCGCTAGCGTTTTGTGAAAACCTAGGGAAGATGAGTAAAAAAAATTACATAAAATTTCGAATGTAGAACGTACCATCTCTGAGTATTTACGTCGTAAACTGATATTGTGCTCATAAGTTGTGGACTGATGTATTGCTAATTTCAGGAAATCCATGATTAGATATGATGACAGAATAGGATCCGTAAAACTCACATTCTGAATCTTCTGCGCATCGCTCTCCGCTATAAATGCCCATTCAGGATTCACAACACCTCCTATTGCAAGTAAGACGCCACGATCCGAGACAGGGATCCATGCTAGCTCAGCATTGGCTCTCCCAGATACTTGTGAAGGCAATGTATCGTTCGACCACTTCTCGGCGCGCATGGTTGACATGTCAACTGAAATCAAAGAGTTCGCCGCCACAGTTGCATTGTATTCCCGCCTCCCCAATGTTCTGATCTCTCCCCAGTCTGGCCGTCTCATGCCACTGAAGTAGAAACCCAGGTTTTCTGAGGGGATGTTGACACCCGCCCCGGCAGTGACGTATCTTGTCACATTGGGCGGAAGAGTGCCCTCGTAAAATCCAATGCTCCAAGCTTCTCTCTCTGGACCCCATTGATATCTTTCATATCCCAGTACGTAGCTCTCTGACGGTGGGTTCATACTGTCCGTGTCCCGAAGCAGACCACCGTAAAGATAAAGCTCGCCGTCATTGGCGAACATCATTCCGTCCAAGAACTCGGGAGCAAGGTTATTGCTTGCACCTGCTGTCTTGTTTATCATCTCAAAAGTGTCACTGGCATTATCTGAAGTTTTGAATGGTCGAGAAAAGTTCAGGGTGTAGAATTGCGAAGAATCATCTAATTAGTTCAGCTAATTTTCTCGATCGGAGTGACGTGAGAATACTTTACATTGTTGATCTGGTGCGACGCTTCCATTTGCGAAGCCGCTTAGATAGGATCTAAAGCCTCCATCGATATAGAGGGTATCCCGAATCACTGCCGCTATATATAAAAGATATACTTAGTCTTAGCCCATGCATTCGAGCAACGGAATGCCCTACCCCGAGGTAGCATCCATGAGCACCAAGTTGAATTGATCTGATTCACATCCCAGTCTCGGCGCGCCAAGTTGACGACACCTGTCGATGATGCGGCAGAAATCGCTGTGAAGGACCCAATGAGGACCAAGAAAAACATATCTAATGCCTGGTTCATGACGGGCAGTCAAAGCGAGCACTTATGTGACAGAATGCATCTTCAGCCAAGGAAAGGTTCTTTGCAAGAAGTAGCAGAGATAGAAGAGCAAGGTACACTAGAACAGTAATATCATTTGAACATACTGTATAAAGAGGAACACAAGGCAGTGTGAGCACGCTCCCTACCCTATGCGCCACAGGGAATGGCACTTCGCCGCGAACGAGGCTTCAGCCTCGTTCGATCAATGTCAAGTCTCTATGACTGTGACAGGCTATGAATATCTTCGGGCTTGCATTTGTATGGGTCCAAGCTAGGGGCGTCAAGCAAGGCCGTTTCTTTGTCTTGTACTGCACAAGCATCAAAGTGACAGAGGAGAGCCGGTTGAAGACGCCGAGCGACGACGCATTTCAATAGACTAGAGTATTGCTTGACTCCTTGACCTCTTGGTCATGTGAGGCATTGGGCAAAGAACCCATGTCATGGGGTGAAATGGATCCATTGGTAGCGGCTTGCGTTCATTGAAGCAACGGGATCGGTTCTATCAATTTGGCATCCACCGGCCTTTGAACTTTGGGTGCAGGACACCCACCAAACGGCCAGGGCCGAGACTGATTTGTCCTACGACATGTTCGGACCAATGGATTTGGGTACAAGAAAGAGGAAAGAGGAAAAGAAGAGGAGATAATGATGCTTTGTACCACCACGGTTTCACGCACATCCGGTTTAGGTGCATGTGGCTGTTGATGAACTGATTGGAAGAACTGGAGGTAGTTAACATGTTATCCCGCGAGTATTAATACCTGGCTATGATGTGGCTATACCGCCCACTGATTAACTCACCTAAATGCTTATGGTGGTACAGCTTGTACCGCTATAAGTTACTTGAGCCTGCCCAAGTCAAGAAAGAAGAACCGGATAACTATCATTTGCATCCGCTTGATGCGACACATTCTGCTGCAAGCTCATGCACAACATAATATTATAATGCTGCCTATCTGGACTAATACTTGTGTACACCCTCGTATTATCTGTCGGCATTTCGTATTCCATCATCAACCGATAATGACTTTCATTAATCTCTTGCACCGTACGTAGGTAGGTGGTCGTCTTACCATAGTATACCTTTCTCTTCTTTGACCCTCCTCATTCGGACAAGTTCACGATCAATCTTGGGTTCCCCCTTCTCTCACATGCGGATATAAAGCGCATGGAAGAGACAAAGAAACGGATGGCAAGGCATCTGCTGGCGTAATATTAGCAGTAGAGGTCAATAATGATGATATATCCTCGGCTGCACCAGTCAGTGTGCTGCAACAACCCACACCTTCGCCAGCTTTTCCCGGCACAAACTTTGGAGTTGGGAAGAAAATGGCGTCGCTCTTCCCCCCCGCCCTTACCTTGCATTAAGACAACACCATTTCCCCCGCTCAACGCAGTGTTTATTGGCTCCCAGTTCTAGCGTAAGCTACTACTCACCCACGATGCGGCCAGCGCTCTGCAACTTCCGCCCATCATGCCCGACCCTTTCGATGAGGCTACTACTCCGTAGACGGCTGAGGGTTGGTTATCAAGTCTGTTCGTACATTTACGCCTACGTCTTCTGGGGATTTCTTCGGATCCTCGTCACCAACCATGCTTCAGCCTCTTTCTTCCCACCCCGCTTGTGCGGCTCTGCGGCCTGATCGCCGTGACAGGCACCAGAGTAGCATGCACCTCCTTTCATACTCTAACATGCACACGCAGCACGAGCTTGGTGGCTTTATCTGTGCAACGTTTCGGTCCTGTATACTTGACAGGACACTCTTGGATCATGCTTTTGCTTTCCTTGGCCCATATCAGCTGCGTCACTGCGTGGTATGATTGGTGTCAGTCCCATGTCTGCTCTCACAAGCCATGCTGGTGCTATTGCACCAGGTGGCTGGCCATAGATTCTCAAAGTTGCTTCATTGTCTCTTCACAAGTTCTGCATCATGTTTCTCTGTCCCTTCTGTTCGCTTTGCCCTTCTGAAGCCATGGCATGACGCTTTCTCAACTCCCATTTTTTTCACCAGCACAGAGACACTCGCTTGCCGGTTTTCACTTGTAACTGTTATCTCACTAGATCTATGGAGTTTGAAATTTCTCACAGTTGAACTTATTATGTTGATGGCATTGATGTTTCGAAGCGGCGTTTTACGACTGCACATTGTCTCAGCCTCGAGTTGCCGGCAATTGGCTTGCTTCTCGTGAACCGCGCAAAATTGCAACAAACGAACGACCTGTTCCCACTTATATATTCGATTTCTGTTGACCTTGAACTGGGCGGAGCTCTTTTCGTAGGGCGATTTAGGCATGCGCGGTGCAGTATTGACAATATGGTTCGGGGCCTGCGCCTTGAGAGCCCTTGCCGCCAGCCCTGAAGGCAATTGGACCTTCTCGGTTTCTTCCTCATCTTCTTCTTGGCCGACGGTAATAACCTTTGCTTGCTCGAAGTCGTTTCATTGGGTTTTGACGGGTTTTAGACCTCTGCTCTTCCAACGGAAAGTTCGAGCACGTTTTGCCCTGGCGCAACTGTGACCGAGTAAGTTTTGTCCACATCGGCCATTCAAGGAGAATTGCATTTCTCATTCATACACAGAACATGCTATGAGACAGAGACGGAGACGTTGCCTGTTACATCGACGATATATTGCCAATGCGAAGATGTCAGTCCGATTGTCCAAGATCCGCCTGTGAAATAGGTCACTTAAAGAGACACAGACACCTATAGCGTCCGCAAAACGGAGGCGGCATCACGATGGCTGCATTCCCCAACAATGCAGAACGATTACCGATGTATCCAGCACAACAGTGACAGAAAAGTATGGACATTGCGCGGCACGCCGAGGGGTTGCTGAAGTTCTAGGTCAAAGCTAATATGGATGAAGTTATACTGTAACAGCCACTTCCGAATGCCAGCCAATCACTATTGTGAATAACTAGTAAGTCATCAATTCCAATCCTATTCCGAATTTCGACATATATATAGTACGGTAGAGCTCAATTTCTCGACTTAGCACGGTAACTGTCACTCAAAGTCAGACAATTTCAACAACTATCTCGGACGTCAGCTCTCAAACGTCCTCGTATCCTACGACGACAGCTCCATTTTCTACCACTTCTTCCGGCACAGCTGTCTCAGTTCTACCTTCTCCAAGTAGTGCTGCAAGTTCGACAAGCAGCCTGACTTCTTGCTCCGAGGAATCAACGGCGACGTCTTCCGACTCAGCATCAGACGTGCCATCTTCCAGTTCTTTGCCGACCTATTCTGGCTCTAATATCGTCTCGTCCAGTTCTCAGGTCAGCACAATTTCGACCTCTCCACCTATCTCTCCTGTTTCATCATCATCATCATCATCATCATCATCATCATCAACAACGTTGAGCAGCTCTTTCAGTGGAGGTTCCACCTCCGAAAACGCAACAATACCAAGCAGTGCTTCTTCAACTTCATGTGCAAGCTCGGCATCTGGGACAATCAGCACCATCCCGGTCACTCCAAATAGCTCAACAGCGACGAGCTCTTGCAGCACGTCGGTAGTGTCAGCTTCCACCAACAATTCTATCGTGACCTCCTCAGCCACGATTACCGGGAACGACCTAACCACGACAGTTACAAGTACAAAATTAGATAAGTGAGTCATTGCCATTATATAAGAAAATTTGACTTGATGTTTTTCTTTTCATGGGTGTGGCACGATAGGGTGACAGAACAAAGAAACTTGGAGCATGGTCAATTCCAACTAAAATCTAACATGGCTAGTGTGACATTATCCTATACAAAGACTGTCACGGCAACATACACGTCAATAGGTTTGGATCCCATATCCGCATTCTGGAACGGGCCTAACCTCTGCTGGAATAGTTACGGAAACCACTACCTTGTCCCTGAGTGAAACAAGCAGCATTTATTTGACTGATTAGTATGGAAACATTATCCCCTATTTTTGGTAACCGCCATGGTAATTTAACATGCATCCCAGCAATAAAACTATCACAATTACGGACGTATTGCCCACGACTATCATTATTGACACCCCTGATATCTCCACTACAACTGTGGAAAATGACGTTACTACGACAGACAGCATTTATATCACGGCTTTGCCATCGAATTCGTCATGTCAGTTTATTAATAACATCAAATATATGGTTCAGGGTCCTTTTCTGATTCACTAGTATAGTCACGATCACAGACACCGTCGTGGTATATAGTCAAACCACAATATTAAGTGATTATACAACAATTGAAACGAGCTATTCTACATACAGCTTTATTTCAACTTTTACTAGTACGTATCATCATTCTAATGGTTTGAGCTGAGCGGTCCGCCTTTGTGGCAGTACTGGGCGGATGGCAAGCCCTTGAACCCTAAATATATATGGCATTCAACCTCTTTGTTAGTGCGCCGAAATGCTCTAGCTCACAATTTGCAGCCACTTTCACACAGGCTCAAACACTTCCGGGTTCCACTCTTACATTCTTTTCCGAGTAAGTATCTCGAGGATGGCTTGATATTGTGATTCACCTCTAAAAGCAAGTTAAGGTCGACGACAACTTCGACTGTTACGACGTCTGTCCCTCTCCCGATCACACTTACTGTCAGTAATACGGATTACTCCACCATCAATCAGACGACGACAGAATCGGTCACATATACCGTTTCTCAAGGCTCACTAACCACTGTCACTTCGGAGTAGGAAGCCATACGCCTCCCTTCAAATAAAGACTTTGTTATTAATTTGCTGCAGCATTCTGACTATTGGCACTGTTACAATCACATTACCAACCCCGACAACTGTCACGACTACAATCGCAAATCAAACATTCGATTCTACAGTGACTGCATCGCCAACTGCAGCTGTATCTCTCACCGTCACCACAACAGTGGACGAAACAGACTGGAGTACCCTTGATCAAACTTTCACAGAGTCTATATTATCGACGGTGGCCAGTCCTTCAACTGTCACTACTACAGTCGATAGCACGGAATATGACACCGTAGAGTACACTATTACTCGGAGCTCAACTATTGTTGAGTCTTTAACAGCTACAAATACTTCGCCTACTACAACCACGGCGACGACTACCTTTACTACGACAGCCACCACCACCGATTATGGGATCAGCGACTCAGTCGTAACAGTCACTACAGTTTCAACTATTTCGGAGACATCTGACAGCACCATCACTATTGATAGCACGGAAACTGATATCACTTCTGCCACTATAACGGAATCGACAATATCTACCACTATCTATACAGTCGTCTCAACAGACTATTTGACGGAGGAGCATACTGTTATTAGCACCACCTCTGTGCCTGAGCCGACAAAGACCACAACCGTGTTGATCAGTACTACGGACTTCGAGACCATCGAAGACACTTCGGTGATCTCCTCTGTGCTGACCATCAGTGGGTCACCTACGACTACCACGCTCACGACTGTTGTCACAGATATCGAGGCGATAAATCATACCGTGACTATCACCTCAACGTTGCCAGGCCCATCTGGTTCTCTTGCAACAGCTACAATCACAGAAGACTCCACGGAATTAGAGACACTTGAGCACACGGACACCGTTGAGCAAACTGTGACATTGTCCTCTATTTCCACAATCTCGGCATCTCCGGCCACGATCACCTACACTTTTATGACCGCTTCCGTCGTTACAACTTCTTTAATCTACCTCGCAACATCTACCATAGGCACGACGGAATATATTCCAGTTGATCAGACTCTGACATCAACGGCGCTATCGACTGTCACTGGTTCACTTGTGACAGTCACGTTCATTTACACAACAGTTTCTGTAGTTACAGCAACTGAAACTTACTACAGCACGTCGACCGTAGATTCCATTTCATTACAAACCATCCAGTCCATCATCACTGTTGCTGGTACACCATTGACCACGATAATAACGAGTGGCTTCACGGAGACCTCAACCGTCACGGCTTCGATTCCGATTCCGACTACACTCACTATCGGCAGCACTGCATATGAAACCAGCCACGAAACCATAACCTCTATTCAATCTATAAACGTCCTTTCTCTTTCAACTGTCTCAGAGGTCGTCGTAGCATCTTTTACTGAAACCGTTTCAGCTATCTCAACTGACTACACGACTGTTTTGTCACCTATTACCGTATTGGAAACCTCCATCCTGACATCCACAGGTATGATGCACATATCACACCATAAAAATAGTCATGCTAATGTCCAACCAAGTACAATCAGCTGCATCGGCCATGACCACCACCATAACCGACGTATTGACATCACTTAGTTTTGTTGCGCAAAGCGTTGTTACAACGACCTTGACTTTGAGTTCTCCTACTACAATTTTTAGCTGCTCGAATGGCGTTGTAGGATGTGGAAGTCTTGGTTCAAGTCTCAGCAGCAGTACAATGTTTGACACTGAAATCCCTTACTCAACAGTAACCCTTCCGGGAACAATTGAGACCGTAATATCCGTCTCAGAGCAGACATTATCACCATCAATCGTTAGTCAAGAAGGATCGACCATAGTAATTTCTGCAAGCACAAACTCCATCTACAATACTTTGACTCTCACAGTGCTGCCATCGACTGTCATATCAACATCAACTCCTGATATAGCACCGACGTCAACCACATCAATACAAGAAACGGTCACCCAGACTGAAACAATACAAGCCACGTCAACGGTTTCAGACCAGGTTGCTGGGGCTACTACAACCATTCAGACCACTGTGTTAGACTCAACTGGACTCCCCTCGGAATCCACAGCTGAACAGACGTCGGTATATCAGACACAGACTTCTCTATTAACGAGCTCTGTCTATGGCACATCTAACCCATCTGGCGGCATTTCTACTGCGACTGCAAAAGGTTTGAAGAAAAATGCTTATGTGAGAGGAGTGTTTACAAATTCCAGGTGGCTGACTCAAATTGTGACAGCCTCGTCGTCGTTACTATTAGTCTCTACGGATACTGGTTAGAACTCAAGCCGACCTACTCTCGAAAGATTCACTTATTAATGCTTTGTGTACAGTTCCCCAAAGTGGAGAGACAAGTAATGCGGCAATCCCTGGTAGGAAAAATTGGCGTATATACTGCAAATGAACCTGGCTAATTCTCCAGGAACATCGATAACGGTAACTGAAGCGCAGTCTGTGGGCTCCGAGGGATCTACAACTTTGCTAGAGACGAGCTTGCCAGCTACATCTGGCTTTTTGTCGGGTAGGTTCTTACCTAACTAACAATGTCCATGCTGAAACAGTCGTATACTTAATTTTCCTTGTACCATCTCGCGTCGACATGTCACTGACCGGCCAATATTAGTAGTGGTTCCTCCAAGGTTGACTCAGACAGTATTGACCACTATCACTGTGCCCCCGAGTCCGGCGACGATTACAACCGCAGGAAGCACAGTGTATACTGTAATATCTGGATCGGAATACACATCAACCAGCACACTTACAGTTTCAAGCTCTACAGTGACCTTCGCGGTCTCGCCAACTATTTCTCAGTCGACTTTTACTCTGGGAGCAGAAACAGAAACACTTACTCGGAGCGTAACATCTCCATCGGAACCTGTCATTGTCTTCAGCGGCACGCAAACCCTAGAGACATCCATCCCCGGACTGGGAACCACAACCTTTGCAACGGTTACGCGGCCCATATCAACTACCACTACGATCAAAGGGACTGCAACGACATTCACTTCTCAAAAACCTCTATCTTCAATTGTGGTCTGTCCAAAGCTCTACACGAATACCGCATATAGTCCACCTGGACCTCTTCCCACTGATTACACATGGGGCTGCGCTCCGGGCTATCTATGTCATCCCCCAAAAGAGGGCGGTTGTAATATCTTCGAGGATCTACCAGATCCTGGATACGTTTGCGATCCAGATCGATGCTTACCTGTCACACCTATAAATCCTCCTGAAATATGGGGGCAGCCGGTTGTTTCCAATGAGACCTCAACCTACACGCTGCAAGATGATTACTTCAATCTGGACCCGAGATACTTCGGCCTGGATTTTAATATATTTGTAGAGGATATCGTGGTCGTCGTCTCTGAGTCTTCCAGTCCAAGCACAACCCTACCAAAACATAGAGCTGCACGCCATTTGTCTCACAAACTCCTCCAAAGAGCAGAGGTCTGCCCACAAGCCTGCTATGATGACTGCAGTAAGTCTCTTTCCAAATGACCGCATAAACGCGCGAATAGCTGACTGGTGGCACGAAAAGACGCATGCGGTATTGAAGCTCAGCACGACGGCAAGACCCCCGCTCTCTGCGCCCCTGATAGTGCATTTTCTGCCGCTGTTCAGAACTGCAAGGATTGCATCAGCGTCCACGCCGGTGACAAATCGAGTGCATTCAAAGATGTTGTTCAACCCGATTTTCAGCAATGGCTCGACTACTGCTCCGGTACAGACGTCCAGTCAACAGTCGGCGCAAGTGTCATTGTTGCGCAATCAGAAGTTGCAGGTGCAGCGACAAGCGTCGCCAGCGCAGTTCCCGCAGCTCCTGCGAGTGCACAATCTAAAAGTGAGATAACAGCTGGATCTGCTTCAACACGTACCACAGCTTCAACTAAGATTCCAACTACATCGACATCATTGACGCCCTCACCAAAAGGCCAAGAAACTACAACATCCAGCTCTAGCAAAACAGCTGCTGCGGTATCTTCAGCATTAGAGACCAGTTCAACCTCTGATCATACGACACATCCTTCAACCCAAGCGCATTCTTCTGGGACTACGAGCTCTGCGACCAAAAGTACGCTTCCCGCATCGCAGTTGAGTTCACCAACCGCGTCTACCGGATCGAGTGCATCTGCGACAGGCTCAAGCGGAAAAACCATAGGCGGAAAAACGAATGGCGCAAGCCCTGGCACTAGCCCTTCAAACCCTACGGCTTTCTCCTCAGTCGAATCTGCGGCTGCCTCGCATTCGGCTGCATCGCATTCAGGCTCCGCAATTCCCACGTCTCAAGACGCGACATCGACAGGTCTCTCAGCGCCCTCGCAGCAGCCGTCTGGCAGTGCCGCACAAGCATTACCCCGTCCTCCAGGATATATTTTGGCCATGCTGCTGCTCGCATGGCTTATCAGCATGGTCACCATCTAGAGCACGATGAGATGCAACGCGTTTTCAGTCCTAGACAACAAAACTTTTTGCAAATGTTGAGCCAAATATGATAAATATTCCCCCCAAAAATAAACAAAGTAAAAGTGCGCTGTTTGGATGTGATACTCCCTTGGCATCATCTAATGTTAATACATCTTTGCATGTTGGAATTTATATCTTGTTTTTTTTATATATCGTATGCGAATCTCGGGACAAAATAAATCAAGATTTTGTTAAGCAATTCCAATTTCCTGATGATGTAAGGGTATATGCCGAAAATTCTGCTGGTAGCACAAAAAGAGGCCCAAAATTGAAAATAGATGGGGTCGTAAAATACATGAGCCTTCGCGCTTTGAAGCCTTATCCAAAGCTCACCTCTAAAAAATCCATTTCTCTCTCGTTGAATACCAAAGGGTGGAAAAGATGCTGCACCATATCAAAAACCCTCCGCTTAGCTCAATCGCGCTTTCCAAACCCATTACTCGTTCCCGTACCATTATACACTGTGCTCATACCGTATCCGTAGCCGCCGTACATTCGGCCGACACCGCTACCGCCGAAACCCTCCGCGCCGCCTCCCAGACGCTCACGACCATGGGAGCGCAGACGGCGCGGAAATTCGACGCCACGGAAATACGCGACACAGACGGCTACCGCAGCGCCGGCGCTGAGCAAGCAGTACACGACCGTACTGAGATAGAGATGGCCGCCGACGCCAGACCAGCCGCTCGGCAGGGCCGTATTGGGATACCACCGCACACTGAGTCGCAGCGGGAGCGGGTCGCCGATAATGACCCGAGTGACCCGCGAATGATGAGAGATGGAATACGCGGTAGCGGCGTCAATGGTTCCAGGCGCAACGGATCGCGGGGCTGCGTGGATGAGGATGTTCAGGTTCGTGGCAATGTGGAGGTGTGAGAGTTGCAGCGTGCCCGTCAGTGCGATTATGAGAGGCGTGTATGTATCGTCTGCGGACGAAGTAGATGATGATGATGAGCCACCAGAAGAGGATGAAGAGGATGGGGAGGAGATCTCGCGCTCGCTATCGAGACCGGGCAAGGGCCGCGTGGGGATCCGGCATGTCAGTGGCGCGTCGTTGTGCACGTAGAATTCCAGTTGGTGAAAGAATTCGTCCGTGATGAAGGGGATGGTGCAATTGACCTCTATGAGTTCCTGTGTTAGATTTGTTCGATTGATAGAGCATATCTCGTGTGTTGATGCTGCGGCCTGCTGCCGTCTGCTGCTCTCTCATAGCCGGCCCAGAGACATGAGAGTATTCGCGGGCCGCGAAAAGAAAAGAAAATGAAAGGATGAGTGGGGGTTTAGGTGAACGAGAAGAGGAAAGGGAAGGAGGATTTTCGACTGACCATGCTCCACGCCAAAATAAAGCTCCAGTGGACGTCCGGTTTCATTGCATACTGGTAGGGGAACGTATTGTAGTTGACCTCGGGAGTCAGAGATCTGTCAAGAACAGCGTATCATATATGAATCAGCGGATCCGTTTATTAGGCACTTTTTACGCTCAAAAAGAAACTTCGCAACGACAATTCGATACGGCAATGTTCAATGGCATGAGAGAAAAAATCTTGTTGACACCGCATGGCCGGGGCTCCACTGCCGCGTATTTTTTTGTCTTGTTCAATTTGAGGTTCGAGGGGATGACCGCCAAAGCGTCAACAGGGAGCCGCGGCTTTGGACAATGTATACGTACATGTTCACCAGTATCACTAGAGGAAGAGAAAAGCCGGAATTAGTATGATATTCCAAGGGGGGCCATATTGGGCCACATATCATCAATGCGCCTGGGGCAGAGAATACTGGGACCACTCCTACATTGTTCGATTCAGGCATTCCACCGGAATTGCCTGGCCAGGTGCGTAGACCGTCTTCTTTATTGGCGCAAGAGGCTCTTGGCCAGTAGTGGCACAAGCCAATCTCGCAAGCACGGAGAAGAGGAGGAAAATCCGGCTACAGAGAAGCTGTAATTGACCTCCATGTGAAGAATTGCGCATGACGATATTGTCCGGGCTCTCTCAGGGTCCTACAAAGGAGGAAGAGGAAGCTAAGCTAAGCTGCGGGACGATGCCGATATGAAGATGATGCATTTAGTGACGCAGCCAATTTTAGCAGCAGCATATACGTAAAGGGCCTGTCCCAAGACTCATTGAAGCAGACAATTGAACAACAAGGTTAAAGAGGACTACGACCCAAAAATGCTCGAGCAATCGCCCATTGTTCTTTGACGCGGCCACAACGGTTGTTTGGCTTACGTAATCAGTTTGTTTGAGCGCAATGTTTGAGGACGAAGTTGTTCTGCGGAATAACCTCCAAAAATTAATCGCAGGCATCGTGAGTGCTTTTATTACAATAACTCGCACTGGATTTTTTATCGAAAGGCGGATCTGCATAGATTTATATAAAAGGTATTTAACAACTATAAAATTTTATCATTATAAAAGAGTCTAAGCTATTTAAAGGTCGTCTCATTTTCATTATGAACAAGAGCGGGTATTGTGACGACCACTTTGGAAATATACTTTCACTTCATCAACTCATAACTTAAATGTTAGCCCTCTGCTTGAAGGCGTTGATGAGACCGCTGGTGCTTGCATCGTGAGCAGTAGACTCGCCGGGCTGGTCCAGCTCGGTCAAGATTTTCTCTGTAATCAACGTAGTTAGAATCTGACACTGAAATCGTAAATGAATACACTGGGTTTGACTTACTGGCAAGGACCTTGCCAAGCTCGACACCCCACTGGTCGAAGCTGTTGATGTTCCACACAGCACCCTCAGTGAAGGTCAAGTGCTCATAGTAGGCAATCAGGGCACCAAGGGTACCAGGGGTAATCTTTTGGGCGAGAATAGAGGTTGTGGGGCGGTTGCCCAAGAAGGTCTTGTGGGAGACGAGCTCATCGGGAGCGCCCTCAGCCTTGACCTCCTCGGGGGTCTTTCCAACCATCAAAGCCTCGGACTGAGCAAAGAAGTTGGAGGCAAGCATCCTTGAAGTTGAAAGTTAGTATTGGCCAAATGAACATGGCATTGCTTTTGTGTGTCTTACTTTTGGTGCTTGTTGTTCTCAACGGGGTTGTGGCTTTCAGCAGCCAAGATGAAGTCGGCCGGGATCAGCTTGGTGCCCTGGTGGAGGAGCTGGAAGAAGGAGTGCTGGGCGTTGGTCGCCGGCTCGCCGAAGAGGATGGGGCCGGTGGTGTACTTCACGTAGTCGCCGCTACGAGTGATGGCCTTGCCGTTCGACTCCATGGAAAGCTGCTGAAGGTAGGCAGGGAAGCGGTGAAGGTACTGGTCGAAACTATCAGATGTCACTTGTTAGCATGATACATATTGATCTAGGCGTCAGGGATCCTAGACGTACGGAGCGACAAGGTGCGTCTGGGCGCCGAAGAAGTCGGAGTACCAGACGCTGAGCAGACCGGCAATGACGGGGATGTTCTGCTCCAGAGGAGTCTCCTTGAAGTGCTTGTCCATAGCCTGGGCACCAGCAAGGAACTCATGGAATCGGTCATAACCAATGTACAAGGCGACGCTCAAGCCAATGGCGCTCCAGACACTGTAACGGCCACCAACCCAGCTCTCAAAGCCAAACATGTTGTGCTTGTCAATGCCAAATTTGGTGACCTCTTCCTCATTGGTAGACAAGGCAACGAAGTGCTTGGCAATGAGGGACTCGTCCTTTGCAGACTCAAGGAACCACTTCTTGGCAGTGATGGCGTTGGTGGTAGTCTCAGCGGTGGTGAAGGTCTTGGAGGCGACCAGGAACAGAGTGGTCTCCGGGTCGGAGTGCTTCAAAGCCTCGGCAATGTGAGTGCCGTCAATGTTGGAGACAAAGTGAAGCTTAATGTCAGGGTGGCCATAGGGCTTAAGGGCTTCAGTAACCATGACAGGACCGCTACAAGATTCCAAGCCACAATGTCAGCCAATAGCTAAGATAAAGACACGAAAATAGCAGCAAGAGCTCGAATACGTACAGGTCAGAGCCACCAATACCAATGTTGATGATGGTGTTGATCTTCTTTCCAGTGTAACCCTTCCATTCACCGCTTCTCACTTGCTCGGAGAAGACCTTCATGTGCTCAAGGACGCTGTTGACATCCTCAACGACGCTCTTGCCGTCAACCTGCATGGGCGAGTTGCTGACATTTCGGAGAGCGACGTGGTAGACGGCACGCTTCTCAGTGAAGTTAATCTTGTCACCCGCAAACATCTCATCCCGGAGCTTCTCGACTTGGGCCTCCTTTGCAAGCTGGATCAGGAGCTTGAGCGTCTCCTCAGTGAGGAAGTTCTTCGAGAAATCGAAGAGAATCTCAGAGTTGTCGGCCTCATTCTTGAAAGTGCGGGAGAACTTCTCAAAACGCTGAGGGTCCTTGGCAAAGTAATCCTTGAGGACAATGTTGCGGCCCAAGCTGGCGTGGTGCTCCTGGAGCTGTTGCCAGGCCTTGAGATCGTTGGCTTGAGCGAATCCAGGCATTTTTGTCAACAAATAAAAGCAATTGAGGCAAATGCAAGTACAATTATGAAGAATGAAAGGGACGGGTAGCAAAGGAAAAAGTCAAAATTGATGGCAGGCAATGGATGAAGTTTAGGGGAAAGGAAGTGGTTGTTGCACTTGTGCTGCCGGGGGGACCAGAAGAGGGGTGTTTTGGTGGGAGGAGGGGTGACGTCTCTGGAGGGGGGAAAGGCATTGCTTGTAAGTTAACCAAACGGGCACGGCTTAGGCAAGTAGTGAGGTATAGGTACCTTCGACTAGGCGCAATTAACTGCGTCAGTTGCGGTATTACCGAGTCGCTGCTCTCTCTGATTGGGGCCTCCGTCATCCCTCACCCCACTCAACCACGACCCATCACGACCCATCACGACCCATCACGATGTCGTCTTGTCCAGACCATGGCATGATTACTCACGGCGTGATAAGTTCTGTCGCCGAATTTGGTCGCGTCACAATAACAATTTATTGGACCACGCTTGGCCGCGGAAGTACGCCCCCACCACATATACACTACGGATTGCTGTTGCAATGGGCTGAAATTGTATCCAATAATTGACCCCACGATCCTTCAATAATTTCATATGACAGATCAATAAAAAAATCTTGAAAACCTCAATGATGGCATTCACTCTACGTTGTGATTGATCCCATATGCGCTAAAGTACGTAGCACGCCTCTGAGCAAAATTCAATTTCGGAAAACGATTGAAAAAAACAAATCTCCCATCGCCATGCAGAACAGCCACCAAACCCAAATGAAAGATTGTACGGTCAAGATCAGCTAGGACCAGAATATCCATGCGCATTGCCGACACTGGACCGCAAAATGCCCATCAAGCCCTCACGGTTTCAGTAGCCCGAAACACTACCGAAAGAAGGGTCTTTGACACTACCCCCAGCATCGCCAAGACCAGCAACAGGACGGATGTAGGACCAGCCTTCAAACTGCTGTTGCATATCGGCGGAAAGCACCGGGCCATCGACATAGGAATCTGTGGGAGCTTCCGAGGTAAACTCTCGATCAAAGTTTGCCGTATCAAGTGCGTCAGTCTACGTCCACCGTCAGCATCATTGTCTCGGAATTCGGCAAAAGCGGCACACATACCACGTTCGGCTTAAAGTTTGGTTCATATTTGCGCTGCAAAAGCTTCCTCCAGTCAATGCTGTGGAAGAATTGGTGAGCCTTGATTTCTGCCGCGCCATTCGCACCCATACGAGTAGCCGGGTTTCGATCCAGGAGTTTTGTGAGCAGGTTCTTGGCCGACTCCGGTACGATTTCGGGACCTGGAAAGTGTAGTGGTTCGGTCAAGATCTTCCGATACATCTCATTGGTGTTCTCATCGTAGAATGGCGGTAGACCAGTAAGCATTTCATAGAGAAGCACTCCCAAGGTCCACCAGTCAACGGTCTTGGTGTAACCATGGCCGAGCAGGAGCTCCGGTGCCAGGTATTCGGGCGTGCCGCAGAAAGCTAGACGTAATGAGCGATGAACCGGTTACAAAATATTGAAAACAGATCACAACAACTTACTGTTTGTTCTATCCTCGTCCTTCATATCCAGTTTGCAGAGCCCAAAGTCGCAGAGCGCAATGTGACCAGAGTAGTCCAAAAGGATGTTCTCCGGCTTCAGATCACGATAGATGACGTTGAAGCCATGCAGACATTCTAGAGCGCAGAGAAGCTCGGCGGCGTAGAATCTCGAGCGGTTGACGTCAAATCGCTGCTCCTTTTGCAGGTGGTGGAACAGTTCGCCGCCATTGACGAACGCCAGCACGAGGTAAAGCTTTTCTGGGGATTGGAACGAGAATTTAAGGGGGACGATGAACGGATTGTTGATTTGCGCCAGCACTGAGCGCTCGGCCAAAGTATGAGCAACCTCCGAACGAGAAATGATATGCGCTTTGCGGATCGTCTTCAACGCGTAGATACGATGGGTATCTTTTTTCCTGCAAGGACAATCAGTAGCTGAAGGAGGATGGGAGCTTTGAGAGAAATAAGGAAGGGGGAAAAGTTGCCATACCGAACCTGCATAACCTTGCCAAAGCTACCTTTGCCAACGACCTTGAGCAACTCAAAGTCCTCAATCTTCAACGATCGTTGCCTATTTTCGACAAATTCGACGCCAATTCTGATTGAGCCGGTGCCGTATTGAATATCCAACCAGTCTGCGCCTATTTGACCCAGAGAACGCTCCTGCTGCGCAAAAGCAGCCGCAGCCTTCTCCTTCTCCTTTTTGCTGGCTTTGGGGTCCTCGACGTGCTGCCTAGCTTCTTCAAATCTCGGATGCACTTTAGTAGTTCCAAGGAAGATGTCCTCGTTGCGACCAGCGCCGGGGTTAGCATTGGGGTTTCGGAGAAAGAGTGAGACGGACAGGTCGGTGACGCGAGACACGTCGAATTTGTACGAAGTGTTGTCGCCGGCCCAAAGTGGATTCTGCGGCGTACCGGACACCGAATTGACAAAGACTTGGACTTTGTCAAAGTCGAGGAGGGCATATGGCAAATATTTGGTAGAGTACCGGCCATGATTGGTAGGAGCTGCGTTGATGCCGGCGGTAGCAGACTGCGGACGACCAGCGTACGAGCCTACATTTCCGCCTGGGGTGCGCGAAGAAGAGTTTGGCCGAATGGAGCCCGAAACAAACGAGGATCCTCCAATTGAATGCCGGTTTTGGGTGTTGTAAGTCTCTTCAAATTGCTGGGGCAACGAGAAACCCTTTCCTTCATGTAACGTGACAATGAGAATGCCGGGCTTTACCGGAGGCGGCGGAAGAGACGTATATGATTCTGAGGAATCTAAATACAAGTCAGCACGGACATGCCTCCAAATTAAAAGACTTCTAGGGGCTGACCGATGTCATTCTCCCTACCCTTTGAAGTGTTAGAGCTGGCGGCAGTTGAGCTTGCATCGGACTGAGCCTCCGGAGTAATCGTGGACGTCGATGAAGAGCGGCTAAAGGTGCTAGTGAACGGAGCGAGGTGCGTCTCCTTCAACTCTATATTGTGCATTCAACGTCAGCGAGAGAAGCGCACTGGGTGATGGACTTTGGTTAATTTACTCTTGGTGAGTTTCCACGACATGATGAGCTCTCACGCTCCGGAATTCGACCGTGCAGTGGTTCAGCTGTTAGAGTGTAAGCAAACCTGACATTTGTGCTGCTCAGAACAAGCCAACTCACAGAGTGCTTTGAAGGACCAGGCACGACACAGGCCAGGGACAAATGTGAAATTGAAGAAATGGACCTGTGTCTGCGGGGTGTGCCGGGGCGAGACGAGCAGTGAGGCCCCAAGATGAGGGAATATGGCAGACCAGCCCAGCGTGACGTCAAAGAAAATGGTGTGAATAGCCAGGAATGCCAAAATTCCCTGAAGAACTGTGAATGACAGGATATGAACTCTGTTCAAGGTGCAGGATTGTCAGAAGTTTCGACTTGTAATGTTGATGTGGAGCAATAATAAGTGGTGTTGGTGAACAGGGTCAGCCTCCCTCACTACTGAGCGTACAGTTGGTAGTGCAAATCGTTTGGATGGAAGGGGGATGGCACTGATTCGGCTTGTGTGGGGGTTTAAGTGAGGTGGTCAAAATGAGCCAAGTACTTTAAAGTATTTTTGACAGATTCTCATTGTAAATCCAGGGGACACTTGGGAGAAGCTACTGGACTCTACCTTGGTCCTGTCTATTGTCCGACCCTAAAGGGTCGTAGCGGCCGAGGGAAGGCTGTGCTTCGGCCCGGCAGTTTCACCCTGCACAGGAAAAGGTAATTTTAAAGTATTTTCTAGCTTCATTTCCCACTATCAAATACCCTTAAGGTACTTGCAATTTTTAATTAGCCATCTTACTCCTATCCTTAGTCATCATTTGTGTCTATTCTCGCTTCTGATTGGCTCTTGATTGAACACGCATCCGCAACCAATCTGATCGTCGGATGGTTGACAGTTGACGACGCCGAAGGCCGGGCAATCAAGGACTCCCGATACGCATGCTTGAAGAGGTGTTTATTCAATTACGCCATAAACAAAGAATTGTTTCAATCAACAGGCGACCGCAACCTGAGAAAGAGAAGCTTGCGCCTGTGACTGCAATTCTCATTACTTGCTGACCTCTTTTCTTTCGCAAGAAACTGCGAGTGGAGCATTTGCTCTTCCGAACCTTGTTTATATTATATCATTGATTTCATTCACCTTGACCGTTTGTCCTCTCTTTTTCCTTGTTCCAGGCCGACGCCGGTCAGGGAACTTGCTGGGCAGACTGACCACACAAGCTGGCTTCGGACATGGGTGTTATTAAGAAGAAGACCGCTGCGCGCGGGACAGAGGGCGGCGTGAAATACGTATGCGATGTGTGCTCGGTGGATATTACCTCAACAGTGAGTATCTGGGCTTTGAAATTATCAGTCTTTGCGCCACATGTATGTCAGGCGCATTATTCGAATGGGGCTAATCTGAGGGTAAACTCAGGTTCGAATACGTTGTGCGCATAGCGTTTGCAGTGATTACGACCTATGCGTGGTGTGTTTCTCAAGCGGAGAAGCGTCGCATAACCACGACCCAAGGACACACCCATATCAGGTCATCGAACAACACTCGGTACCAATTTATCAGGAAGATTGGGGTGCAGACGAGGAGCTTCTCCTCTTAGAAGGCGCGGAAACCTACGGGCTGGGATCTTGGGCAGACATTGCGGATCACATTGGGGGGTATCGAACAAAGGACGAGGTCCGAGACCACTACACACAGACCTATATCGAGAGCTCCAAATTCCCGCTCCCAGAGCGAGCCAGTCCCAATGACCGAAGCCTCATCGATTTAACAACGCGCGAAGAGTTCCAGGCGCGGAAAAAGCGGCGAATTGAGGAGCGCAAAGAAGCGGCCAAGGCGGCGGCACCAACAACACCCAAACAAAAGCCAACGAGCAGTGTTCCAGCATGTCACGAAGTCCAGGGTTACATGCCAGGACGACTCGAATTCGAAACTGAATTCATGAACGAAGCCGAGGAGACAGTTCAGCACATGCAATTCGATCCGGGCGACGGCGTCAACCCCAGGACGGGCGAGACGGAGCCCGAGGTTGAGCTCAAATTGACAGTCATGGACATTTACAACTCAAGATTGATACGGCGGACCGAACGCAAGAAGATTATTTTTGAGCACAACCTGCTGGAATATCGCAAAAACACTGCGCTGGACAAGAAACGAACAAAAGAAGAGCGCGACTTGCTAAACAAGGCCAAGCCGTTCGCGCGCATGATGAACCGTCAAGATTTCGATGAGTTCTGCACCGGCCTCGAATACGAATACAACCTGCGTCAAGCCATTGCCCAGCTCCAAGAGTGGCGCAATATGCGCATCGGCGATCTCAAGACCGGCGAGAAATACGAACAGGAGAAACAAGCTCGCGCCCAACGACCCCCCGCCCTCACCGGCGCCTTTGACCGACTAGCCAGCGCTCGCGCCAACAAGGCCACGCCGCCAGTCGAAACGCCCACATCCACAAGCATCCTCACCGCGCCCGAGCTGCCGCTTCGTTTGCAGCAGCAGCAGTCGCAGCAGCATCAGAACCGCGGCGCGCCCGACAAGACCCAGCTCGCCAATGGCTACGCAACCAACGGCGCGACGCCTACTCCCACACCGTCGTCCAACAAGTCACGATACGTCGTCCAGCCACTGAACAACGCTCCTCCGCTGAAACTCAACAGCGAGAACGCGACTGACTTCCACCTCCTGACAAAAGAAGAGCAAGAGCTATGCAGCGTACTCCGAATCTATCCCAAGCCGTATCTGGTCATCAAGGAGCATCTGATGAAGGAAGCAATGAAGCAGGGCGGCAATCTCAAACGCAAAGCCGCCCGAGAAATCTGCAAGGTATTACACACCTGATGTAGCTGACACGTTTTAATGTTTTTCATCCCGTGTTTCTTGTGTTTTTATCCCATGTTTCTTATGTTTTCATCCCATGTTTCCCCTCTCACTAACATGATATCTCCAGATCGACGTCAACAAGAGCGGCAAGATCTTTGAGTTTTTCGTACACAGCGGCTGGATCGGAAAAGCATGATTCTATGATCCTATCCCATCATTCCACCGCTCCATCCCCTAACGTTGTTTTCTCGCCTGTCAAACGGCCATTGAACAGGTCAATGGTTTCCACTTCGCGTTGTAGATTAGCCTGTTATCCCTTTCTCCAATTTTTTTCACGCTGGATGGCGTTTCCCAAGGACATTTACTTTTCCTTTTTTTTCCCTTACTCCTCTTTCTTTGCCCGGGAGACTGATACAATTCTGTACAATTCTAATCTGGAGTTCTTTACTTTTTTGTCTTTTCCTCTTCTGCGGTTTTTTTTTTTTTTTTCTTGAGGGTGTTTATCCTCTTTTTCCAATATTTTTATCCTCGTCTTCCGGTGTTATCCACTGCCTCAGGCGTTTTTCCTCTTTTTCAGTTTTTTATCCTCTTCTACGGCCCGTCTAAAAAACCTTTTCAATTTTTTCTTCTGTAAGTCCGTCAGTGATTCAGCGATCCGGCGATCCGGCGATTCCGTGACTCGGGGATTCGGTCACTCTATGGACATTGGACATTGGACAACGGGCATCGGGCAGCGGACAATGGTGGCGTTACTTAGCGTTTGCTTCCCTTTGCTTCCCTTTGCTTCTCTCTCTCTCTCTCTATGACATCTCTTTGCGTTTCGTCCTTTGTCTCTCACGTAAATACGGACCAGGAACAAGAACAAGAACAAGAATACGAGTTACGAATTAGTTTGATTTTTAACTTTATCCTTTCATCTTCATCTTCATCTTCAATCTTATGTTCAATCTTTCGAGACCCGCTTCATCTATGTACAGTGTCCGTTCATCTGAGGTCCAAGTGAATTGATATGTTAGGTCGCAGGGTCGCCAGGCACAGGTCGCAGGTCAAGGGTCATGCTGTGTGGTTGTGGGGTTATGGGGATGTGATTTCGAGAGGGGGACGGGACGCGGGCGCGGGCGAAGGAGGGGAGAAGAGAAGAGAAGAAAAGAGGAGAAAAGACGGCGTGCGGTGTATCATCATCGCCACCACCACCACCACCAGTCAAGAGTCGTCTAAAATAAGACTCATAAAAGAGCAGAACGACTACTAGTCTCCTCTGGATACTAAAGACCAAGAACAAAACAAATACTCCGTAAGCGAACACATGCAACAGACTACTGGATATCAATCTCTATTTGAAAGAAAGTCTACAGCCGCAATATGCATGATGCGTCCATCACATGTTTAGAAAGCCTCCCAGATATCCTTGACGTAGCCTTCTGTCAGGCGCTCGTCGGATCCGTATCTGTGCGAAGCAATTAATGTTAGCTCTATGTATACGTGCTTCATGTGCGATCGATCAGGGGGTTCTGACGTGCTAGAACTAGGGGATGAGAGGAGTGGGGGGTGATTGTAGACGGGCATACGTGCGTACGGATTAAAAGTATTGGGGGATGAAAAAAAGAAAATGGGGGAAAGAAGAAAAAAGAAAAAGGGGAAACGAAAGGAAAAGAAAAAGAAAAAGGAAAAATAATACACAACAAAAAAGGGCTGGGAGGAGGATGTGTAAAAGAGGATGAAAACACGATAGATAAAAGAACGGATGTTAACCCAATAGATAAAAAAAGAGTGATGAAAACACAATAGTCAAAGGAAAGAAACGAAAATACGCCAGATAAAAAAGAGGAATTGAAATCAATAGATAAGAGGCAGAATGAATTATAGATAAAAAAAAAAAAGAAAGCAAAGAACAGATCGACTCACTTTTCTTGCCATTTTACAAAACCTCCCTGTAGAACATATACCTGCTGTTGCGGCTTCTCCCGGGCTCCCTGGGCTTGCTCGCCGCCCTCTGCCACGACATCTGCTGCGGTCTTGTCGTATCCCATACGACTACGTTCGCGCAGATATCGCAGCGCAGCTCCCGGCCCGCGCTGCTGGCTCAGAGCGCAATGAAACACGACGGTGGGCGTGTCAGCAAGCGTCCGGACCAGCTCGGGTGCGCGATAGTCTAGCGATGAAGACGGTACGTGCTGGCTTCCTAGAATATGGCCGCCAATATGGTCTGTTATGGTGGCAAAGGCAATGGCCTTGGTGCTCCCTTCTTCCGCAATGCGCATGGCAGAACCACAAGGATAGCGATGAACGCTTGTAACCTTCTGACCTGCGGTGGTAGTCACAGCAGCCTCCAGGGTTGAGGGACTCGAGGACGAGCATCCTTGTGGTTCTACCATATCGCGGGGAAAGAAGGGGAGCAGAAACGGCCGAGCAGATTAGCTAAGATTCATCAAAGGAAAGTTCTCACGAAAAAAAAAGAGAGAGAGAGAGAAGGAGAAGAGAAAGGAGAAGTTGAGGTAGAGCCCGTATCAGCGTTAGCAGAGCAGGGAGTGTTGGCAGTGCTGACACTGAAACGGAGACAGAAACAGAAAGAGAAACAGCGCAGTAAAAAACAATGGCAGAGGCATTTGGCGTTTGGCATAGAGATAATTCTGCATGCAGGGTAAGAGATTCTGCAGTCTGTGCACGTTTGCACGGAGGGCATGAGATTGTGTCGAATAAAGTACAGGTACAACAGACGCCAAGCAGTGTAAAGAGGAATCAAACAAGGTGCGCATCGCGGGGTAATGGAAACGGCCGCATGTGCGCCTTTGAGGCTGAAGAGACACTCTCAAGGAATGAGCCCGAGGAGGAGGTAAATGAGGGGTAAGCATCAAACCATGATGCGAGCAAAAATATATTATTAGGACGACCCGGGGTAGGGCAGGCATGGAGATGAGTTTTAGAAAAGAGCATGGGTAGAAAGGTAGAAAGGTAGTCTGCAGTGTGCAGAATGAATTATGCAAGACGGGAAGGGAAAACCATCATGCGGACAAAATACCAAAGCCAGCCGCCAAAGGCGCGCGAAGCACAGCAAAGTAATAATAATAAAAATAATAATAACAAGTTGGTAAGTGCGCATTGCGCATTGCGCAATAATAAGGCATTATTTTCACGTGCAGAAAAGAGAAACAAAACAGGGCGTTTCCTTGTACCGAAAAAGTACCAGGGGACGATTGATGATTGATAATATAGTAAAGTAAGAGAATCTCTTTTTTTGTCACTTACCGGCATCGCGTACATCAATAATTGCAATAGGCGGCTTTGGCGTCGTGAGAAGAATGTTTCGCAGCTGTTCCGCCGTCATGCGTTGCAGGGATCCCACTGTGACCATGGACATCTTGGGCTAAGCCTTGGTTGCTTTTAACTGGGTTGAAATGTCCACGCGGCTCAGCGCGAAAATTGCCCGGGGGAGGGTCGAATGAATGAGAGAAGAAGAAGAGGCAGATCCGGGACAAAGGGCCCGAGTATGGCTAAGACGCAAATATGATGGGGGGAGATTTGAGTGGCTTAGATGCTGGTTTGATGACGTTCTAAATCGTGTGGTTCGAAAGATGATGGCTACTCTAGACCTTTTGGTTGTGTCCTAACGACTCTGAGAGAGTGGGGCTTTTACTGAGGATTTCGTCTGTGTGTTTCGCTGTGTGTGTGTGCGTGTGTGTGTGGAGAGGACAAAGCAGATAAGGGCGCGGATGAAGTAATAATGAACGGCACAGTAATAAGTAATCTTGTGGGTCCCGCACCACGCCTCGGCCCATGGGGCACCACAGCGGGGTAAATTGAAGCTGGAGACAACTTCCATCGTACGGCATGGAGTACTGAACCATGAGACTCAGTGCTTACACTACTCCAGTCCGGGATCCACTTGGGTCTACTGCTGGCCGCAATACGGGGGGCACTATCGTGAGATACACATCACCCCCCGGGGGGGGGGGGGGGGGAAGGGCTCAGAACGCGGCAAGATTCTAGATTGAGGATTATTGATACCTCAACAATGTTTGACAAGTAATTTCGCCATCTCGCCGGTAATTTCCATTGTTGGCAGATAAGATCCGACGTCGGTTTGAGTCATTTCACCGCATAGCTCACACATCATAATGTCAATGGCTTTGGTCCGAGGACTTGAGAGAGTAAAGAAAAATGTTCAATTTGATAAACACGTTGATCTGCCAATTTGTTCCCCAGATCATTCCCAGCCGTAGACCATCGTAAAGTTTCATCGAAAAGTATCAGCGACTTGCGCTTTGGGTTCGCACCAACACCAGTGATGCCCGCGCGCCAAAGCCTGAAAATAAAAATATAAAATAAGAATAAACAGAGAAAGTTAAGAAAGGAAAGGAAAGCGCAAAAGCGTATATATCAGCGCCAGCGATGACTTTATTGTACAGGAAAAGAGTATCCCGTCAAAGGACTCGTTCAAATCTGGGAACGTAATTCATAATCTTGCTTCGGTCTTTGGAGTGGACACTCTCGAGGGCGTTGCTGATCGTTCTTTGGTAAAAGTTAGCCTCAGCAGATGAATGAAGAGGTGGAGTCAATCGTGATGACGAACCTTCTTGGACCTTCAACACAACCTTTTCCACCAATCCAAATAGGGGATGATCCGTCTCAAGACCGGTGATCCGAGCGGTAGCGTCCTTGGCTGAGAATTGCTTCAAAATCTTGGCCAGCTCGGCGCTTTCCTTGTCGCCCTCGACATTCTGGAATAGTAATGTCGCCTCGATAGCACCAAGCAGAGCATCCACTCTCTCGCCGCGCTCAACGAGTTGCGAGGCAGGGTTGATGAAACGTTCCTTGCGGCTTAGCTTTCGCATCGGCTCGCGACCAACGCGTTCCACGAGGTCTTCTAGATGGGGGTTCGAAATGCGTTTGATAATCTTGCGTGCGTATTCGCCTTGCTCTTGCTCGGAGAATTCATGCTTGGCAACAATGAGCCTGCTGGTTTCCGCCAGGACACGCTTGACCATCTGCTTAATCTCAGGGTCATCAAGAGCTTCATTGACAGTGTGGTGACCCCGAACATAGCCAAAATATGCGGCAGTAGCATGACCAGTGTTCACCGTGAACAACTTCCGCTCAATATAGGGATCCAAGGTCTCGACAAACTTGACGCCTTGGATGGGAGGGTGCTGGCCACCCTTGAAAGGGGTGACCTCGATGACCCAGTCGTAGAATTGCTCAATCTTGACGTCCAATGATTGATTGTCTTGAGCTGGAACGATTCGGTCAATGGCCGAGTTGGCAAAAGTGGCTCGTTGATCGATGGTGGCGAGACGGTCCTTGGGCGTGTTCTTCTCATCCTTGATGAATCCAGCAAGCGTGTCGGTCGCACCAATGGCATTTTCGCAAGCGATGACTGCGAGCGGCGCGCCGGAAGTTCGCGCCTCAATGCCCTTGGCAATGACAGGAGCAATGAACTTGAGAATGTTTGGGCCGACTGCGCACGTTACCAGGTCTGCGCTGGCAATCTCCTCGACAACTTGGGCCTCATTCTCCTTGGAGTTGATGGCGCGATAATTTGAGATGGTATATTCGTGCTCCCCGTCGGCGCCAACTTCAACCACCTTGTATGATGATTGACGCTGCAGGGCACCAATAATGGACTCCATGACGTCTGCAAAGACGACTTCATAGCCCGATTTGTGGAGGAACTCGGCAACAAAGCCGCGCCCAATGTTTCCGGCGCCAAAATGTACTGCTTTCTTTCCCATGATGACTGGAGAAATAATGTTGAGAGGATCAAAATAATAATCTCAGTCGATGAGAAAGGACTTGAGGGTAGAAAATCGTGGGAAAGAACAACGATTGTGCGGGTGTATCCCAATGGTGGGGTAGCCTGTTTATATTGTGGGGTAAGGAAGACGTGGAGTTCACAGCAAACGCCACAACGTCAGGAGTGACTTCAGCTAGCAGCTATCGTGAACCACAACAAGTTCCTGCCAGGCGAGGGGGCCGCTTTCGGGTAGATGGAAATTTGCCGGGGCCGAAACTGGGAAGGAAGGAAGAGAGTTGATGATGATAAAATGTATGAACCTTTGAATGCAAAGGAATATATTTGAGTAAAAGAGTTTGGATTGAACCCTTTCTGAGCAGTGGATTGATGATTATTGAAATTTCCTGAATCCATCCTCCACAGCGAAGATGGGTCCTTTTTATCCATCACCAGCCAGCACGCTTTGAATCATTTCCCTCTAACAAATTCTTCAAACAACATACCACCCATTGGTGTGAACCTTCTCAAGGGCTGGATGCGTCAATGTCACGCGGGGGGGGCTTGCGAGCTTCTCAAGCCCCTCCGTTTCAAGGCCGATTGTTAGCTTCTCCTGTGTCATCAGCGCCATGGTTTGTTTAGGTTTGGAATTGCGCGAAAATGCTTTGGGATGGTGGAGGGTGGGATGTTTGGCCACGGACCAAGGCAGTCCAGGCAGCTTGTCATAATCGGGACAAGCAAACAAAAAGTCGGATTAGAGATTAGCGCGGTCCAGCTATCAGTTGGTTTTTTCTGCACGGCTAAGGCTCCCCAAGAGCGGTACGAGGGACCCATAGTTCCTTCTAGGTCCAGCTAGGTGGGATGCGGCAACGAAGGTACTTCTACAGCACTTCATAGCGAGCCCCCTCTAACTGAAAAATCGTGTGAATTGGTTAAGGTGGTAAGGTCCACCAGGCCACCCAATCTCATTCCTTTTAGCGAACCACCGAGCCACCCAGAACCGCCCGGCCTGAATGCGGCAATGACGAGAAGAACAGGCCACGGCTCATCTTTCCTGCCTTTTCCGCCCTGTAGATCTCTGTCAACACTGATTAATTTTCCAAACCAATAACGATCATGTCTTCACTAATCGTACTGAATTTCTAGTTGGGCTTAGTTTTGGGGACGACGAAAGAAAAACAGACGGGCAGCTCCCCGATATCGTCAGGAACGGGTTCGTGCAGCCTCACTCTTCGGCACTACTGATGAAATGCATGCAGAGCATCTCAGCTCTTGCCTCGGCCCCAAGGCAGCATCCATTCGTACCAAGAGCGTATCTCTACCTCATCGTCAAGGAAAAATAAGGATGCCTTGAGCACAGTTCCCCTTGTCCAGGGTTGGCGTAGGGGGATGGCCGAGGGCCTAACAATCTGACCCCATGTCAATCGTTTCGCTGTCGTCACCGTGCCCTCTTCAGGTATCTGTACCTGTCTTTCAACACCTCCCTCAGGTAAAGTAGGCATCACGATCCAAACGTAATCATGAAGAAAGCCTTGGCACTTCAAAAGGGTCTGATGTAAATCCATGTGGCTCAGCATTGCTGATCTCGCATGTTTCCAATGATCGATGCTCCCCGATGATTGCCCACAAACTGTCACCCTGCTGGTAGTGTTCGAGCTTGTATGACATTTGCCATGGGCTTTTTTGACGACATTATGATTTAACCCCTCAAATCACAGGCGACATTTTCTGTCTGACTCAGTAGAACACCATGCAGTGGACTTCTCATCTATCGTGCTCCCAGCCCAGACGCTGCTTTTGGCAAGGCACGCCAAGACAATGGCGCTCGTGGTCAACTCGCGAGTTATAGTATCTCGGGAAACTTCGGCGGGGCATAGGGAGCGTGAGGGGGTTCTCTGCCGTGCGCCGTACGATGTGGCCGAGGGACGATTGTCCCTGTAAAAACAAGAGGCACAGCCAATTATGTTACGATGCATTGATAATTGTAATCTCATAGAATATGCTATCATGCCGAAGGAATTACTTCTTGCCTGAATCGTCGTCATCCTCTGTTTCGTCTTGTTGCTGCAACGATCATTCATGTTCTAGCACAGCGTCATCATCACTAGTGGTGTGTCTCGGTAATTGGGCTGGGGTCTGCGAGGTTCCGGACTGATAACCCATCGCCGATGACCGGGCCTGGATTGGAAGAGCCCCTGAGTCGCAAAGCCAAGAGATGTTGATCGGATCTGATTCGATCCCATCAGAATTGTTCTTCATTCATGACACTGTCAATCGGTTGCTCTTCCCTTACAAACCGTGGCTAATCGTCTCTGCCGCGAAGACCATCGTCTCCGGGGTGTACCTTGGTAGACATGCGCTCATTGGTCCAAAAGGAGTAATGTCATATTCAAAAGATCACTCCACGTGCGATAAAACAGGGGTCCTTTTTTAAGTTGTTTGGGTGAACTTCGGCTTCGAGGCGTTCCACCACGTTACCAATTCACCTTGAACGTAGACAATGAACATGACAGTTTAATTGACTGATTAATCTTACCAAGTCAGCGCTATATCCCAGGCGCACGAACAGGTAAAGAAAAAAAATTTTTCAAAAAAGCCCCCATCATTCGAGAAGCTGTCCTATGTTGGGAAAAGCCTTGTAGATCTCCCTAGTGCCGGCCCATAGAGTCGCGCCACTGGCACATACATCCGTCCATGGTGCTCTCAAACATACGACATGTCAATAGCTCGAGCCCTGTGTGACTCAGCAAATATTGCTCTCATGGTTTCCCAAAAGGCTGGACATCCATCATGTACAATCCACTCAATAACATATCCATAGGAACAACTCCAGGGCTGCCTTCCAATCGCTAACAACGTCCATGAAGGACTAGGGCAAGAGCACGCCAGTCTATCACTTGTGCCAGAAGAGCCATTACGCCATTGCACGGATCCAGATTTTAATGCAAATCGCGCCTAGGTTTCCAGTGCGATGGCTTCCCAGGTTCCGACGCAAGCCAAAGGATAAAAACCGTCCAACCAACTTAATGTATATAAGACCTGGTTTTAATAGGGACAATCGCCTATCATGCATTACCAGAAAGTTAACGCAAACGGGTGGCTGAGGCGGACAGACCGGCATTCGATTGCTGCCCGGGCCGGAATGCCTCTGTTGCATGGCTTGTGCCAAGGGAAATGAATTTGGCCGATTCTTCAAACGATTCGGACTGCGCCACAAGCGAGTATGTTCGACACGCATTTTAAGTCAGGCAACGATGACAGACACTTGCAGTGTCTACCACCACCGCACTCCGAAAAGCTTTCCGCTCGATTTACCGGAACCGTCTGGTCGCGCATCGGCATTTTCCAGATAAAGGCGTTGATGTCCTTGCATCTAGTTAGCGCATTCATTCTCCATTGGTATATGTAACGAAAGTCGCATACCCTTCACGTCAAGTGCCAGATATTTGTACTCGAACTCGTGCTGGCCCGGGCGCTTCGTCATATGGAGGCTCACGACTCCTTTGTCAATTGGGCCTTCGACCTAGATTGAATGTAAGCGGTATGCACAAATCAAATTTGAGCTGATGCAGCGTACATGAAAATGCATCAACAAATGCTCCGTCCCTGTCCGGTCCTTCTGTACAGTTGAACTGGTCATAAAGTCAATATGCGGTCACTGTCTACGAAGCTTATGCCAACCATCTTCACTTACGCAATTGGTCTCGCCATCGCCCAGTTGCTCGTTGTTTGACCCTCACCATGTGCCTTGATTTTCTTGCTGTCGCCAAGCAGCTCCACGCACCGAGAGTCGGCCTTTACTCTGTCAACTGCTCTGTTGAAGTGATTTGTTTTACTCTCCGGAGAAAAGACGTCGGTATAAAGAAAGACTGCAACAGCACCCTGTGCGAGATTATCTTAGCTATTTGCGTATGATTGTCGAAAGTGTGTTGCTTACGGTTCCAACGACACCCGCAATGATCGCTAAGAAATTAATCGACTGCTGAGTAGTTCTTGCTGCCTTTTCGCGTGCTGTCAATTCGCCCCATCGCACCCTGCCATCATCACTGGCAATAGAGACCTGCTTCCGGGACGAGCCACTGCTTCCTCCTAGGCTGCTTTGCGTGGCATAACTCTGGGCAAGGCGGGGACTGTGGCCCAGGGCCAGGCGGGTCTGAATCGTAGAAAGCAGGCGAGGTTGTACTTTCCAAGAGCTGCGGAAAAGACTGCAATATTGTTGAGAGATCATTGTCGTTGTCGGATACGGAAGACAAATTTTGTATAATTCAGTCAAAGGGTCGAGTGCTTGTGTTCTTGATCTGCATGGAGCTTCGGCTTCGATTCGACAGTGGTAGCGGAAAATGGATAGCCTATTCCGGTTAGGCGCAGATTTCTCCAGAGGCGGGTTCCATTTCGGGCCAGGCTGGTGTGTATCTGGCACAACGAACGTCGCGACCGTTCCCCCTACCATCGACGACTTCACCTTCTCAGCATCCCTTGAACCGCTTTACATCTCTGTGACAATCTTGCATAGACACAACTTGATTACTAGGGGCTGATAGGGCCTCATCTGCTGCAATCACTATCCCTCTCACGCTCAAGGGAGCATACTATCCGCCATGGCTACCGCAACGAAATCCCAATCTCATGCACTGTTTCAAAAGTTGAAGACTAAACCTGCGAACAAGGTGAATGGCATAACTCTGGGATTTCTTAGGGTCCCCCCAGACTGACTGACTGATCGCCTGATCCAGGTATGCTTTGATTGCGGCTCCAAGAATCCGACCTGGTCGTCAATCCCTTTTGGCATCTACCTTTGCCTTGATTGCTCCGCAAACCACCGAAACCTTGGAACACATATCTCCTTTGTTCGCTCAACTAACCTTGATCGTATGTCTCTCCTTCTTTGCATTTGAAATTTCTCATGCTTACAACTGGCAAGAATGGTCATGGCACCAACTACGATTCATGAAAGTCGGCGGAAACGAGTCGGCCACAAAGTACTTCCAATCCCACGGCGGGTCTGCTGCGTTGGCCAGCAAAGATTCAAAAGTCAAATACGAGTCAAACGCCGCAACTAAATACAAGGAAGAATTAAGGAAGCGCGTGGAGGCGGACACTCGAGAGTATGACTTGAAGAGACCGAGAAATTGGCCACCAGGCTAACGATTATGTTAGGTATCCTGATGAGGTAGTGATAACGGATATTGCTACTCCAGCTTCGGGCGAAGGGTCCGCAACTCCTTCTGGCGACTCCGGCGACGACTTCTTTTCATCTTGGGATAAACCCGCCATAAAGCGACCCAGCAATCCTCCATCTCGAACTGCGACGCCCCCTGTCGTTAGTCGTACTGCATCTCCTTTCCTCAATCCCGGTGCCAATGGCAACGGCAACCCGCGACCAACCTCACCTCTTGTGTCTTCGGAAACTTCTTCAGCCCCAGCAACCCGGACAACTTCCTCTGCCGCCATCAGAAAGAATACGCCGAGTGGTGGCCCTCGAAAAGCGAATATCCTTGGCGCTAAGAAGACTCAGAAGCTCGGAGCGAAGAAAGTCTCTGGAGCTGAGGCTATCGATTTCGACGCCGCGGAAAAGAAGGCCAAGGAAGAAGCCGAGCGGATCGAGAAGTTGGGCTATGATCCCGAGGCCGAAGCCGCACAAGCTCAAGCCGAGACCAAGACTTCAGCTTCCACAGAAAAGCCGAGTATTGGAAGCCCTGCCCCGATGAGTCCGCCAAGAGGTGGAACCGCGCAGCGTGAGCGAGGCAGTGGAGAAGTTGAGAGGCTTGGCATGGGCATTGGGCGCTTGGGCTTTGGACAAGTGGGAGCAAGCAAGTCTGCCGCTGCACCTAAGAAAATGGGCTTCGGATCTACGGGCTCAAGCAGAGCGACTCCGGCAGGTAAGGAAACTCGTCGCGCCTTGGTCAGGGTTATGTTTCTAACTTGACTTGCAGACGATGAAGACTCAGAAATTACCTCGAAATTTGGCAGCCAGAAGGGCATTTCGTCCGATGAGGTGTTTGGACGTAACCAGTTTGACCCAACGGCTCAGTCGGAAGCTCGTACTCGTCTCCAAGCGTTTGATGGGGCAACGTCAATTTCAAGCAACGCATATTTTGGACGACCCGAAGAAGACGAGGCTGCTGCGGAGGCTGCCGGCAATTACGGCAACCTTGAAGATGCGGCAAAGGATATCATTCGACGTTATGGTATTACGGCTAGCGATGAACTCGAGAGCGTCACGCAGGCGCTCGGCGAGGGCGCGGTTCGATTGCAAGGTTGGTTCTTCCTCTTTTGTTTATTTCCCGTCAACGACAGTCATTCCCATTGCGATTACATTTCTTGGGCAGCTGATACTAATTATCATTTCTTTCTTGTCTTAGGGGCCTTGCGCAACTACTTTAACAGCTAAATTGAGATATCACAATGATACTATGTTTTTTGCAGTATATCATGTTTTTTAAATCCCCTTTTCGCCCTCTACTTCCATGATCCATCCCTCGATGCACCTCATTTTGATATTGATGCCACTGGCAACAAAGTCCCTAATCCACGTACGCCGATTTTACGATCTTGACAAGCTTTTTATTTTAAAATTTTATTTCTATTATAACATGTCCTCCCTTTTTTTCCCCTCCTCTTCACATGAATTGGCGTTTTATCGACGAGTGAAAAGCTTGTTTTTTTTTTTTTAAATCCGAGTGGAAATTCTTGATTATCATTTTCTTGTTTCTTCTGTCATTTACACGTGAATGTTGATCCCCTCCCCCCCATTTTCTAGGAAAATAAAATAGATGCAAAATGTTGATTCGATAAATTTCCATCTTTTCCGCTACATTACTTTGTTACTTTCAGTGGTACATATTCGCGCCAGTGCCAAATCAGCTTTAGTCGGACATCTGAGAAGGTATATACAGCATGTATTATTTCCCTCATTATTTTTTTCTTTCCCGCAAGGTCCTCTATGGCATATATTTGCCAAGTACAACATAAATACATGGGTTGACCATGACATGACATGACAATAGTACAGTGGGTTAAACCGAAATGTGTTTGAATGAAACACAAGAATCAAAAAGGCCGAGAAGATAAAAAGACTGAAACGGATTTCAATCGTGGTAAGCAAAAGAGTTATAATAGATGAACAAAAAATAGAATAAAATAAATAAAGAACAGAAAAAAAAAAAAAAAAAAAAAGAAAAAAAAAAAAAAAAAAAAAAAAAAAAAAAAAAAAAAAAAAAAAAAAAAAAAAAAAAAAAAAAAAAAAAAAAAAAAAAAAAAAAAAAAAAGGATAAGGAGGGCAAAAAGAAAAGGAAAAAGAAAATGGCGATTTTGAGGGATATCAATAAAAGTTAAAAATGCAAAAAACCATAGATCAAAGATATAAATATATAGATCGGGAGATATTCAGCAGTGAAATGTTTTCAAGACGGCACACGGAACATCGCATCTGCCATGCGAACGACTTTTGTCATTTCCGAGACATCATGCACACGAATGATATCTGCGCCTCCCTGGACAGCAGCCGTGACGGCGGCGGCGGTACCCCACGTGCGCTCGCGGGGCTCGTTGACGCCAGTGATTTGGCCAATGAAGCCTTTGCGACTGGTGCCTATGAGCCACGGTAGACCATGGAGGGGTTCGTGGGCACGGAGTTCGGCTAGGCGACGGAGGATTTCTAGATTCCGGGGCTTGTTCTTGGCAAAGCCGATGCCTGGATCAAGAATGATGCGCCAGCGGGGTATGCCTGCTGCTTCGGCGGCAGCGACGCGGGCTGTAAGTTCGTCGGCAATGGTTGGGATCAAGCCCGCGGGGTAGTCGGTGAGGGACGTCATTGTGGCCGGGGTTCCGCGCATGTGCATCAAGCAGATGGTAGCGCCGGCAGAGGCGACAGTGGAAAGCATGGCAGGGTCAAGAAGGCCGGCAGAGACGTCGTTGATCAGGTCGGCGCCTGCCTTGACGGCTTCCTCGGCAACGCGCGCGCGGTAGGTATCGACGCTGATGCAGATTTTTTGGCCTTCTGCGAGTGATCGGATCAGTCGAATAGCTGGGAGGACGCGAGATAGCTCTTCCGCTTCGCCGACGTCTTCGGCGCCTGGCCGCGTTGATTGGCCGCCGAGGTCAAGAATGGTGGCGCCATCGGCGATGAATTGCTTGATTGTGGAGGCAAGTGCTTCGGTGTTGGCAGGGTTATGAAGGCCCCCGTCAGAAAAGGAATCAGGGGTGAGGTTGAGGACGGCCATGATGTGTGTTTTTCGGGTTGGCGTGAGTGCAGTAATGGGGTCGAGAGCTAGACTGAGAGGTGTGATGGTTGAAAGACCCTCGGCGCCAACCTGTAGAGCTCTGAGATGGTGCTGAAATGAGGTTGGTGGCGCTGGGGGCGGTTGCGCTTCGTACGGAATCAGTCTGTTGGGATGTATTAGCAGAGTGTAGTACTTGTGGAAGATTGGGGGACGTGCTCGCATAGAGGCTGGAGCACGAATTGTCGGTCGAGCATTAGCTTGTGGGGGATAATCAGTCTATCATGGTGGATGACTTCGGCGTCATATAAAAGAATGTCCAGATCAATGTTTCGAGGACCTTTGTCGATTACTTTTATTCTACCGAGGTCGTTTTCTATGCTCTGCAGCAAATCAAGAAGGTCCAAGGGCTTCAGGCTGGTTTCAATCTGGAGATGATGTCAGGTATTGTTAGACTGATGTCCAGTGTCGAATAAAAAAAAAAGTTCAATGGCAGGTTGACTTACCTCACAGGCTCCGTTGACAAATCGTGCTTGGTCCAAGACGTACATTGCTTCCGTCTCCCATAGTCCACTGGTACGCACAACCTTGATGCCTCGACGTCGCATTTCCTCGCAGGCCTTCTCGATCATACCCACGCGATCTCCAAGGTTGCTTCCGAGAGCAATTATTGCACGGTGAAGACCTCTGCGATTCAGCTCCGCAATCCTTTTATAGTCTGGTTGCCCATGATCTTCTCGGAACCGTTTGACAACAATCGCGGCGGATTTTGTATCAATTGCAGCATTTGGCCTCCGAAGTCGAATTGACACGGCGTGGAGAAGTGGGCCCGCATTGTATTCATCGCCGATCCGGAAACCCTCGTCAGCTAAATGAGAAGCTAGAGCTTCCACTGATGAGCAGGACGCGATTTTCCCAGCAGTTGCTAAAGCATTTGGAAGTTGCGTGGTTAGCTCGTGGAGATCCGCCTCCAGTGCTTCCAAGTCCTTGTCCTTCAGAGATGCAAACCTCGCAGGTGGTTGATCAAGTAATTCCTGGCATGGTATCTGAGCATACAGATGCACGTCCATCGTAATCTGCTGCTCCTTTGGATATTCAGTGATAGGCGATCCTAATGGGTTTGTAAATTTGAGTCCTTCTGTTGTGCTTTTCAACGATGCCTCTGGAATCCTGGTCGACGCTAAGTCACTCCCATTCAATACACCTGAATTATCGTTTCTCCTTTGCAAGCTCAGTGATCGTCTGGGTGGAATTGTTTCATTGTACGTCCTTTTACTCGTAAATTGAGCTTGTGGTCTAGGCCCAAGTCGCAGAGTCGTGCGAGCTTCAAAGATTGACTGCGAAAGCGAGAGAGCATGCTCTGTGATCTTGCGCGCGAACTGAAGAGGTAGAGTACCAGGGCGAGGGACTTTTTCGCGAAGATACTTTGACACTTTTGCATAATCCACAGGCTCTTTTGGACTGTCTGCAGATGATGAGAGACTGAAATCCGTTTGTAAAAACACATCGACTGTGTCTACGTCTCCTGCATTCTGACGAGAATCTTTCCCGCTTCATTGTTGATTTTCAAATTAGCAGTCGTCCCCCGTGGGTCCAATGTCGATGCTCACACTCACAGTCGAGTTCCTTTTACATGAATCATATCTGCAGTATCCTTGCTCAACGGTGCGACACCATTCAAAGCTTCATCGTCGGAGAGTGAGGACATTGGGCGAAACCTCTGTAGAGGTCGTGCCGGCCAATTGTTTTGGGTGCCACGGAAAAGGCGGAGAGCTGGCCGCCGAAACACGGCAAGCTTTGTCATTGACAGAGGGGAAGTACGACAAGTGAAAAAGCATGTGCCGCCTCCAAATATCAAGTATTACGCTTGGAATTGGGCGGATCTCATCTTTATTGATGTTTCCAGCGTAGATTTTCTCCGAAGCTTTTCTTTCGTCACTCGTATCCGCCCGCGTCTGCAGAACAAACAGGGATGTTGCCCACAGCTTATTTCTAGATTAGATTTTCAATCTGATAAGATCGGATAAGATGAACCTTGACCCCTCCACAGTTTCCCAAAGGTCCTTAGTGCTGGTGACATTTCCTTTCACGGGTATATAAGCGACCGCGAGACTGGTAGAAGTACCTCGGTCGATACTCGTAGCACGAGCCTCGGCTCTCGGAGCAGCAGGGTGCTCGGTGTCTCATTCCCCAGATATTCGACTGTCACTTGACCCCCAATTACCATTACTCCCCAGTATATGAGTCTGGGTTGAAGCAACTTTAGCTAAACAAATCTATTCGTTTTTGATTTCTGTAATTCTCTGAGCTCAGATCCAAGTCTGTGATAGTTCTGCTTCTTTTCCCTTCCAATATAGCAACTTGCCTTTAAGATGGCGTCTCCTCGTGAGTCAGCTTGCCCATACGTGAAGTCACTTCATTCTGACATTCCGAAGAGCAGATTCGCACCCCTGTCACGGATCTCCTCAAAATCAATCACCCAGTTCTACTTGCTGGTATGAACGTTGCTGCCGGTCCAAGATTGGCTGCGGCTGTTACCAATGCTGGAGGACTTGGAGTGATTGGTGGGGTTGGCTATACTCCGGATATGCTTCGGGAACAAATTGCGGAGCTCAAAGGATATTTAAAGGACAAGAATGCCCCATTCGGCGTGGATCTTTTGATCCCGCAAGTTGGTGGTAGTGCGCGAAAGACAAAGTATGTATGACTGTTTCTCTTCCTTTATGAGACAGTCAATACTCACGAACATGCTATGACAGCTATGATTATACAAAGGGAAAACTCGATGAACTAGTGGAAATCATCATCGATAGTGGCGCCAAATTGTTTGTCTCGGCAATTGGAGTGCCGCCAAAACATGTGGTGGATCGTCTTCACAACGCAGGTGTGCTTTATATGAATATGATTGGTCACCCAAAACACGTCAAGAAGTGTTTAGAGGTCGGAGCAGACATTATATGTGCGCAGGGAGGCGAAGGAGGCGGTCATACCGGCCACGTTCCGACGACAGTACTTATACCCACTGTCGCGCAAATGTGTCGGGGAAAGAAGAGCGCATTTACCGGCCAGGATGTCCAGGTCATTGCAGCCGGAGGTCTGTTCAACGGGCAATCATTAGCAGCATCTCTTATGCTTGGTGCTAATGCTGTCTGGATTGGAACTCGATTTGTACTCTCGGAAGAGGCGGGCGCGCCCAAAGCTCATCAGGAAGCTGTCCGAACTGCAGGCTTTGACGACAATGTCCGAACCATCATCTTCACGGTAAGATCACGCACTTACACTCATAGATCAAATGAGCAGTATATTGACTACTATCCATAACAGGGACGCCCATTGCGGGTCAGAAATAATCCATATATACAGAACTGGGAAGAGAAACGAACAGAGGAGATCAAGGAGCTTACTGGCAAAGGAATCATTCCTGTGGAACATGATTTTGAAAAGCTCGGAGATGACATTGACGACGAGACCATGGACAATGCTCGACCATTTTTGATGGGCAAAGCAGCGGCTGTGGTCACTGAGCGGAAGAGTGCAAAGGCCATCGTGGATGAAATGGTCACGGATGCAGTCAAGTGGCTGCAGACCGGTAATAAGATGCTTGCTAAACTTTGAAATGGCCAAGGGAGTTATGAATGAATGATTTTAACATACTATAGCGCTTAAACATAACGGAATATTCCCATAAAATCCTTTCATGTTGAATCGTGATGATATACCACCTATAGGCCACACCTAAAGAGAAGGAAACAACTGCAGATATTTTTATTGAAGGAAGCGCCAGCCAATTCATTTTGTCTCAAAGGCACTCTTCTCCTTCAGCCAATCACCAAACCCCAAAAGTCCCGGATGAATCTTCTTCAGCTCAGCCACATTAGCACCATATCCCTCCTCTCGGAACCATTTGAACATGAGGCCCATCTCTTTGCTCGCCCATGTAATACCTGAGGCGATAATGTCGAATGTAGTGGACATTTCGGCACCGGTTTTGGACTTAAAGATCTCACTGGCTTCAAAGAAGGTGAGGTCATCACCTGCCAGGCTGAGAGCTTTGTTGTGATACTGCTCCGGGTGAATGAACGCCTGCGCAGCAAAGTATCCAATGTCTGCAGTCGAGATGAGCTGCAGTTTCTTGTCGCCAACAGAGACCTTCCACAGAGTTGCAAAGGTCTTGCCCATGAAGCCAGGTGTGTAATTTTCCATGAAGCAAACTGGACGAAGAATCGTGTAGGCCATGCTGGTCCCAGACGATTTAACCTTGTCGAGCAAGTGTCGTTCAATATTATGCTTGGTAATAAAGTGGGGAATGTTTGTCGGGTTCTCGATAGATTTGTCCCCTCCACGATCCACAGAGGAGTAAACAAACTGGTGGACGTTATGCGCAATGGAGCTATCCACTAAGCCCTTTCCTTGCCGTTCTTCACCGACAACGTCTGCGCCGCCCGACCCCACAGACGACTGAACGCTGTACACTCCCCATACAGACTGACTGGTTACTCTTGCAGCAGCTTTGAAGATGGCCTCCGGGTCATTCAAATCGCCCTCGACCAGCTTGATATTCGGAGAACGGTTTGCCAGCGCCTGAGCACCCGAGGAGCTTGCGTTGCGTGTGACAGCCAAGATTGTGAAATCCTTCGCATCTGGGCTCGAGAGCAGAGCATCCACGACAGCTCCTCCCTGCTTTCCAGTCGCGCCAGTTATGAGCAGTACTTTAGACATCTTTTATCGGATATGCGTATGAATGGCAATTGCGATGATGACAAGCCTTCCGGACAATGGAGATCAGGCGAGTCAGTATTTAACTATGTTATATATGAGAAAAGGCACGGACGGTTGCTTCTGGAGACAACATATCTCTCCTCTCTCTCTCTTTTATCTAAATCATGATAGGAGAGGCATTCATTATTAATTAGGCAACATGTGATGCTTCTAGGAGAGGCCTAGGGTGATGATGTAATCGGATTGCTGTTTCCAGGGAGCTCCATCACTGGAATGTTGACGTAGCTATTGCACTGCGATACTTTAATCATCTCCTAACTATATATTTATTATTGTCATAAAAGATTCTATTTCTCAAGAATTAGTTATATATACAGATTTTAGAAGGATCTCAGGATAGGTTTGAGGTGAGGAGAAAGGAGTTTATGTTTTGGCTTCACATGGGGAATATGTTACTGGGAATATCGATGACGTAAGTAGCTACAGCAATGTTTTTGTGAGCTTGGACAAGCATCTTCATTCAACAGCGCAAACCGCAGAAGAGTGAGCTCAACTTTTCACAAGATTCAATCAGATTAGAGTTAGACAGATGATCGAAGTGAAAAAGTGAGAGATACCGCGATTTACAATCATGTGATTCTAAACCCATTGAGAGCTATGTGCTTTTGTGCTACGTAATGTAAATATCAACGATGCCCAAACAGGGCACATGGTTCGCAAACGGTGCCCTTTCGACTTCTTCGCGTCTCGCGCTTTCCTTGGCTTCCCTATCGCAATTGATCGCTTCTTTATGTGAATCTTGGCACAAAGCACGGCTAAGAAGCCTCCTCGTGAAGAAATTGTGTCAGTTGCAAGTTTCCCAATCTGACTTCTGCGGATCCGTACTGGCACGCACTTGTTGCTTGTGTTCGACCCTGTGGTAGGTGTGTATATACTCTGCTTGAGCTCCAGTCTAGATGTTTTCTGACCTTTCAACAGTCTTCCGCTAGATGCTGTAGAGCCATTGTAGCAGGCGGTACCTACTTTCGAAACTGAGGACGATCGCGATAACTGCTGAACCACGAAAGTCTGTCCACGCGAGCTTTCAAATTGATAGCACAGCTTTTAAGGTCACAAAATGGAAGAACCAAAACCAACATATGGGAACGGAAACAATCCGCAGCACCAGCAACCTTATCAACAGCCGTATGAGCAGCAATACCAACAACCGCCGCCTAATTATGGTCAGAATTTTGGGCAGAATGGACCGGCTCCGCCCATCCCAGGAAATAAACCTACCTTTGAGCAGAGCTTCAAGCTCGAAGGACCAAAATGGAACGATGTTTGGGCAGGAATTTTGGTAAGTCAAGCACCTTCACTGCAAGACGCACGGCGATTGATTTGTCAGCACAAATTGTTGTTGACATGTCTCACATTAGTTTCTAATCACATTCGCTGGCTATGTGGCGGTCTCTGGAATTGTATTGCAAGGCTATGCATCCACAAAAGGATACAATGGCGGAAGCATCTACGGTGGAAATAATACCTTTGGTCTCTCGACTAATACACTGGTCCTTTTCGCCTTCGTTTTGGTAGTCGCGCTGGTCCTAAGCCTTGCCTACTTCTTCCTGGCGCGGGCATTTACGAAGCAGTTCATTTGGATTACGGGCATCTTACATATCGTGTTTGGAATAGGCACTGCTATCGTTTACTTTGCTCGACATTACTACTCGGCGGCAATTGTGTTCCTCGTCTTCTCTATCTTCTCAATCATCTGCTTCGTCTCGTGGATCCCGCGAATCCCTTTCAGCGTCGTCATGCTGCAAACTTCTATAGATGTGGCGAGGAAGCATGGGCACGTCTTTCTGGTCAGCCTTATTGGTGGTGTCGTGTCAATTGCGTTCGCTGCGTGGTTCTCGGCCACTTTGGTTGGCGTCTACGTCAAATATATGCCTGGAAACAATCCAGCGTGCACCGAAGGCGCAGGTAACTGCTCGAGTGCAAAGGTCATTGGCTTAACTGTCTTTATTACCTTTGCAGGATACTGGATCACCGAGTGGATTAAAAACACCATGCACACCACCGTCGCGGGTGTATACGGCTCCTGGTACTTCTGCGCTGGTAAGCCAGGCGGGATGCCCAAGGGCAGCACTCGCGGTGCGTTCAGACGCGCGACTACCTACAGCTTTGGAAGCATCAGTCTAGGTAGCCTCTTGGTGGCTCTCATCAATATGCTGCGGCAAGCCGCGTCAATTGCTCAGCGTCAAGAAGCAGCAGAGGGAAACATTGTCGGCAGCATCCTATTCTGCATTCTCGGTTGCTTCATTGGAATCCTCGACTGGGCTGTGCAATTCTTGAATCGCTACGCATTCTCCTACATTGCGCTATATGGAAAAGCTTATATCCCAGCTGCCAAGGATACTTGGGGGTGCGTATCAAATCCCCATTTATGTTCCATCATACTCGTCCCTTGGTGGACCTTTTCCTCTAGTACTTATAGGCTAACCCATTCCCTTTTTTATTACCATTAGACTCATCAAAAACCGCGGCATCGACGCGCTCATCAACGATTGTCTCATTGGGCCCGTCCTCACCATGGGCTCCGCCTTTGTCGCCTACCTATGCTCCTTTCTGGCCTATCTGTACCTGGACTTCACCAAGCCCGCGTACAACCAGGACAACAAATACACGCCTGTTGTCATGGCTTTTGCCTTTCTCATCGGCCTCCAGTCTTGCAATATTTTCATGACACCCATCAGTTCCGGCGTGGATACCATCTTCGTCGCCGCCGCTTGGGATCCGCAAGTCCTCATGAGAGATCACCCTGACTTGTGGGCAAAGATTGTCTCTGTCTATCCGCAAGTGCAGCAAGCTGTGCATGTATGATTTGGAGTATAACCTTTGCTTTCAGTTTTCTCTTTTTTTTTTTTTTTTTTTTTCTTTTTTTTTTCCCCCCTTCTTTTCTGCCCTTTTCTTATTTGAAGCGGGGGAAAGGGGCAGTTTTCTTCTCTTATTACTACTTTAATTCTTTCCTTTCACCTGTTCTATTAAAATTCTTGCTCTCTTGAGCTCAAGATTTCTTTGCTTCTCTTTTGTCTGGTTCGGTCATATGACTAAAGACCGGAGCCTTTGTTTATTCCTTAGTCCTTTTTTTCATTTCTCTTGTCTCTTGGGAACTCGGAATAAATTGGGAAACGTGGAATCCGGTGTTTACGTCGGTATCGATTGTTGGTTGTTGATTATTGGCCCTCTGAGTCGTTTTACAAGGAATTCTAATAATCAAAGTAATAGCAATACCTTTTATCCCTACGTATAGCACTATTGTCTTGACGTCATGTGGCTTATATGCTTAGTGTGTCAGGTAATTACCTTGCAAGAGTTGATGCAGAGATGGGATCATGTAGCTTGTTGAATTTGTCATGAAGACCCTAGCAATACGATTGTTATGCCTAGTAGGATAGCATGTCGAATGTCATTCAATGGATTAAGTGGCTTGTTTTACGTGGTCTTACGATACTATAGTCTATATGATACTAATGAGACTTTGCTTATTAAACTGTTCACTTACATCCGCTCAGCTTCGATGTCCCAGAGGGAGCTCAAGACAAAGAAAAATAAAATATACTTATCTTAAAAATTACCATCTACCTTATAAAGCTTACTGAGAAAGCCATCAGTATAGCAGAACCTACCTCTGCTAATTTAAACCCAGAAAATGATTTGAGAGAAAAAAAAAATCATAAATCCTGGAGGGGGTTCAATGAACTGGGAAGTGTAAATGTACTTAGACCTAAACAACAGAGCGGTGACATGCACATCATCTTGGGAATTACGATACTGCGGTGATATGTAACTTATGGGATGGCTGTCTGCTCCTCGGTTTCAGACTTGATCAGCGGGTAAGAGCATGCATAGAAGAGAAAAAGTCGCGGGAATATTAAAAAAAAAAAAAGAGAAGAGATATACGGGGGGAGCTTCCAGAAATGCAAGCAGCCGTGAATGAGGACCCCCCCCCCCCCAAAAGGGTTCACAGGTCACGAACGAACGAACGAACGAATGAATGAAAAATGCGGGATGCGTCAGGCAACATGACCACCGGGAGCAGGCGCGCGCAAAGTCAAGTCAAGCGTGGCCATGTAATATTAATGGATGATGGGCGATGGGGCCATTAGCCGGTTTCTGGGCTGGAGGTTTTGTTTCGAGAGATACTGCCGGTTTCCCCCACATCTCCGCCAAGTAGATTATGACAGGAAGAGAAAAGCCGGATCAGTGACGATGCGGCATGCTGCCATGATTGCTGGCGACTGCTACCCCCCGGCATCTCCGAGCGGTCAGCTAAAAAAACACTTTACTTATTCGCATCGGATGAGATGCCGCGAGTATCATGGCAGCGATTTGATTTCCAAAATGCTCGCGGGATGACCGCCCGACCCGCTACGCCCAAGCTTCATTGCTCTCGCACGGCAGGACAAGAAAAAGAAGGGGTCCAACGGAGTGGCCGTTCCCTACCGCAGTTCATCGTGAGGCTGTGGCATCCGTGAGCAAAAAAAAAAAAAAAGAAGCTCGTTGAATATTTTTTGGTTCCCAGGGTCAATGCTGTGGATGGGCTACAAAGCAAGGTCCCATGGACGAGGGCATTATTTCCGCATATGACCTCATCTGCAAAGACCAAGTTCCCCGTTCGGCTGATGCAGAAAGAGCAAATGGTATCTGCAGACTAGTGATGTGCATTTCTCATCCCATAGCCTTGGAAAGAAATGATACCTTTTGCGATAATAGCAACCCCTCCAGAGCCCCGAAAAGATGTGCCATCTAGCGAAAAATTGAGTAAAAGAGCTAGATTTGATGGCTGTCGACCAACCCCCGCCACAGCACATGGGCCAACGCCCGCCCGTGCCGTGCTGGGGTGCAAATTCTTCAGAAGATGAGAAAATAAGTTGATTCGAAAAAGCTCATCACGGTCCTATCGGGGACGCCGTCGTCGATGCCGAAAAGTTTGAGCATGGTCCAGGCTCACACGCTGTGTGACGAAAAGGAAAGCTGCAGTGGAGCTTAACGTGACGTCGGGCCGGCAGGCAAGGGTCCCGCAGGTATCCTTGGGCTGCCATTTCAAATCTGAAGATATCACTATTTCAAAAAAAAAAAAAAAAAAAAAAAGAATAAAGAATAAAATAAAAATAAAAAGCCTTCCGAAGAAAAATTCGTGCCTCGCGAGAAAGAAAAAGGTGAAGGAATCGCAGAGAATTGAAAAATTGCCTCAGGTTGCAACAAAATTTTCAGAATATATCAATCGATGACAAAGTGATTAAAAAAACCCCTTAAGCCGAAATTGATTGTATACGGGCCGTTGCTAAATCCTTCAGACCCGGGGCCATGGGAAGCATCTGTTTTGCCGCTCTGCGGGATACACCTTGGCCTTGGCCCTTCTTTTCGTCACGTTGACAGCATGAAGAAAAACTCATGGTAAATTCATCAAAACGTGTCACATGGCATTGCGACAAAAAGGAGAGATGAGATTGGCCGATAAATGTGGATGCCCCAGCGAAGGCAGAAAGGGAACCTGGGAACAGCAAGGAAAAGAACAGAACAAAAGTACTATGGTGGTTGTCGCTCTGCTCTGCTCGGTCACTCTCAGGCAGTGTAACCGCTGTCAGAAATTGCTGCGAATGAGGATTAGAAGAAGGGCTCGGTCTCCCCGAATGAGAACAGTGTCACCTGAGAGGTCATCCTCATGTTTGAGCCTGATCGTGCTCGAGTTCTTTTTGAATGGTTCCATTCCTTTGGTGCCCGCCTCCCCTAGAGTGACTGAGCGTTGAGATAGGGATACAGCTTTTCTTGACAGAGAAAGCCTTGCCAAATGGACTATGACCGTCATTGCAAACTAGAGAAGGAGGGGGGGCCTTGGGGATTATGGGCCACGGACCCGGACAAGAGGGGGCACAACAGGCGTTGCGTCTGAAGCCTCGAGCGGGCCGTCCCGACCGTTTGGGTCCATTCACGTAATGTCTCAGCGCTATGTAGAAGAATTAGCCAGAGAGTCTCGCCCTGGACGAAGCAAGGGCGTAAGTCACCCGTGGCTTTTCTCACTCTGCACTGGCGTGGCGGACACGCAACTTCCCCGTCAGTCCTAGCTAGCAATCATGACAGGATCCCGCCCTTGGCCATGGATGGGTTTCAGAGAAGATGGTAAAAAAGGACGCCCCAAAAAGGCTGATGCGTTCGACTGATACAGCTCTCTCTTCTCACCGCTCAACCTCCCCGCTTTTAGTAGCCGCTGCCATCCCGGTCACCCTTCACCTCATTTGGAAATGATTTGTGGGGATCCAGTCCACCGGGCTTAACCCCAAGGCTGCTGCTGCTTTAGGCTGCCCCCCCTCTCCCTTTCCAACGCTTAAGCTGGCCCTCCCACCTGCAGTATACATTTCATGACCGTCCCAACGTTCGTGGGTCAGCACCATCATGAGGACGAGTGGCTCTCGTATTTGTAGAGGGGCTACTTGGATCGTGCAGCGGGGAAGAGATCTTCGTGAGCCGATAGGCCGGAGTGAGCACCTTTTTGCGAGTTCTGGGACCAAGGCATTCTTCTTTTGAGCCATTCAGGAACCATCTCACCGAATTCCAGTAAGCTGGCCGTGAAAGCTGTATGCACCAAATGAAGTCGAATAGTACCGATCCAATATTCCAGTACAGTGGTTCTTTACCACCCCTTGCGTCAACAGCTCAGAAAAGGATGTGTCTGCTGGCTTGGCCGTAAAGGGCCCCCCACAAGGAACTGCTAACTACTATATCCTTGTTTCAAAAATTAAAAGCGTGAAGCGCGGGAGTTCATGAGTAGCGCTTCTTGAAAGAGCGTCCCTTAGGCTGATCCACGCCCAAGGGGAGTGAGTCCTTTTCCCCGGCACGTCTACTTCCCCCGCATCCACTCGCCGGTCCAAGCTTTTGACTACCTAGTATGGACGTGGCCTTCTCCGGTAGCTCTAGCCAAGACCATGTCAGTAATAACCATCAGATCTCTTTCACCATCTCAGGCCCGAATGCTCGACCCTTGTCTGACTTGTGGGCTGTGGGCTTGATACACCATACGTGACCATCGCTTCTATGCAACCATGTGATCATGATATCTCTATTAAAACCTATTTACATCGAGAGTGCTCAGAAATGTTAAGAGGCCAAGTATGGTCTGATCATGACTCGTCTTAAAACGCAACATGTATGACCAAGCTAATAATGTGGCTTCTCAGCGCTTGATTATCCATGATTGTTCATTTCGTAAAGCGACTATCGCCAGGCAATATTGAAATTAGTATGATGTTCGGTGTTGACAGTGCATGTCGTAATCCGGAGATGGACCACAGGAGAATGATCGTCAGCGACGAATATCATTGGGCCCTAGTACCATTCAGCTCATTCGCCAGTTTTTTCGGTCTCGGTTTGCAATAGTGAACCAAACCAGAATCGACAATTCTCTGGTTGACTTGATAGCGAGAGAAACACGTACGTCAACGCTGGATACGAATCCCCAAAATTATCTGCTGCATAAAATCTCTCAAACCCTCAAAATAGATCAGTGTACAGCTTAATACCCGCCAATTTGCAATCCAGCCCTTTCATAATTTAGCGATAAACATGCTGAGACATGCGCGTTTTGTCTGAAATGCAGGGCATAAAGCACGTTGTTCGAGATCTCATTACGGATTTCCAAATCACCATGTCAATCCCGTCGAAGCTAAGCGTGCAGTCGTATTTTTGGACACGTAACCTTCAGATAGGTAGTTCCACGATAATATTGCAAGCGTCAAACATCGGTTGCTTAACCGGATAGGTCAATCGACTTTGGACGAAACTTCAACCACGAACGACAAAAAGCCTGCCGATATTAGGCGTCAATAATGTGTTCTGAGACATTCGTAAGAGCTTGGCACATTTTGTCCAATCAAGGGCCGTAGATGTCGCGTGCCTCAGATGTGCTGCACGACATTTTGGAATGATGGATCTCGCTGCAGCTTATCATCAGGGGTTGCCGAAGGAGAGGAATGAGTTGTCTAATTTGCATTAGTAAATTCTGGGGTTATCATAGATGGTCGGCGAACCTGGTCACGGTTCACTTGTTCTCCAGCTCGACCAGAGTATGTATCTCCCAGAGATGGGGCAGGCATGAGATACAAGAACTACCTAGCATTCATAAACATAAGGTATGCCTGCCCTTTCTCGCATCAGAATTAATCCCTGCAACCAATCCAAATTGAAATGAAGGCGGACCGATTGAGGTCTTTGTCCAGCTCCGCCAAAGTGTCGTGCAAGTACTCTGGTAGAGCAAGAAAAAATGTGGCAAAACATACACGTTTCCACCTGTGCTTCGCCATGTATTGTAAATGACCAATGAGCTTTTGATGAGGCCGACCATCATGAAAGTAAGGAAAGAAAAGAAGGGAAACAGACTACAAGTATGCCTCGTGGGTGTACCTGAGCCTGAGCTTTCTCTTTTCTTTTTGTTCACGGGATAAAGGCACATAAAAAATTTGAGAATGGTTATCAGGCATGGGAGAAAGCAAGGACCGTAACTAGCCGTCGACCATTCAGTCCTAGCTCTGGCTTTCCGTTGTGGTCAGCTCACCCTAGCCTATTGTCGATGGGCACTTGCCTTAATATTATGAGGCATGATTCTTGTTGCTTGTGGTGGGAAAGGAAGGTCCAAGTTTAACGGTCGTAAAGGCCCAGCAAAAGCGAAAAGCACAAATGATAGTACTGTATTCACTACAACCAATGCTGTAAATTAGTGGGCCGGTCACGCCGCAGCCGAGAGCAGTAGCGACTTTTGCTTTTCAACTTGGTAGAATGAGAACCGCCGGACATGACCGGCTAAAGATGACTAGACACCAGTCCGTCGAGGCACCACCACACTTTTAATCTATTCTGCCGTGGTTGAGTTCCCTTATTTCAACTAACTAGCTCAACCTTTCGGCTCACCGTTTAAACCGTTTCTCGGGACCGACAAATGTCTCTTCGGACCCGACGGGAGGACTTTCCTCTGGCTTAGAGGGCATTAACTCTCTTGCCAGCGTCATGACCAAGTAGATCAATCGGCTTGATTGTCGCTGGAGTGCAAAATACAAAAAAGAATTGTGCAAGGAATAAAGAAGCTGAAAGCCGACGGGGAGACTACTGAGGTCAAAGGGTGTACGAGCCACGAGTAATGACGAGGCAATCAAAGGGTGGCCATCTTTCTCTTCCCTTGATCGGTTTTCGGTAGGCTGAAATTTGGTCTTGGCTGACGGAAGACTTCTGGTTCTAACTGATGCACCTGGCTCGAGCAAATAGTGGGGGCGGGGGGAAAGCACTGAAGGATGTGCAGTAAAGAATAGGATGAGCGAATCCAGGATCACGTTTATTGATGGGGAAAAGTAGGTATTACAGTATTGCACGGTCTCTCGGATATGCCCTTGCCCTGGTAGGGAAAAAATCAGCGAGATGGATGAACTTGGATATGGGAAAGACATGGACGAGAGAATTGAGTGAGTCGAGCCGGGAGCCTCAAATAGGTTGGATGAGGACCTGGAAACGTGACTTCGCTCTCCCTGTCCTGTCCTGTCTTTCCTTGATCCTTTACTTCGTCATGCTGGTGGGCGCCCCCCCATGTCTCTGAAGCCTGTCGTTACTCTAGTCCAGACTGCTCATCACCAATCATTACATGGCTCTCATGTGGGCCTTGCAGCTTGGGATGACATCCCACTTGGTCATGTTATTGCGGTCATCTGAATTGTTCCCTTTGTACGCTATCTTTAGCTCATTCATGGGTAACAGAGATTTGGGGACTTTTGGAGGGCATGAGGAGTTCGTTTCGTAATTTGTCCATGGCTCAAACGCCGAAAGAGCTTGTTGCCGTTGGTGGGCCCAGAATGCACAATTACGAGGTGGGTTGTGCCTGTCGACACCAATATGGAGATAGCTATTCGCTGCTCGGCATTTTGATTGCGCAATCTTGGACCTACTGCTGGTTGTCGGCTTTTGCAAGATTCAGGCGTCCCGAGCACCGCATCTAGTCATGGGCAGGACACGATTAGAGCGCAATTTAGTTTTTTTTTGGCAGGTTCTCTTTGAAGGGGATGCCACTTGGTTCCTGCGTCGGAAAGATATGGCATGTCCGAAGAGGTTCTTTCTTTCCTGATTACTTTCCCCACCCCATCCCCCTCCCTTAACCACGGTCGCTGCCATAACCATGACCGCGGTCGCCGCTGCCGCCTCCGACGGCTCCGAGAAGGTGGGCTAGCGAGAAGCAAAGCTCCCTCCTTGCATTTCCGTTTCGGGCCAGACAATGATAACTTTGCGTGGCCGGGTTGTGTTTCTTGACACGGTCTCAATGACCAAAGTCTATACCAGGTCGTAATGGACGCCGAGCGGCTGGGCAGAACCAAGACCCAGCCGTTGGGTCATGGACTGAACTTTTTAGGGAATCCTCCGTCATGCAGCTTGCCAGCGTAGCCTCATCTGGGACGTGACCCAAGCTCGGGGATTCGATCATGGCCGGGATCGCATGCTTCCCTGGATTCTTGCTTTATGCTCGGCCTCTGCCCTGGAATAATCTACTTTTAACTTGGACTACCTCAGCACAATTGCCTGAGTGGGCCTATAGCAAGATAAGCTATATAATTTGGACGGGGGAGTATTTTTATTTGCTTCTGCATTCGACGACTGTTCCCCTGCATGCGCTCAAAAAGAAGCTGTTCCTCACCATCGACGCTTGATCAGTCTTGCACAAGTTTGCTCTCTGAAAGACCCTTCCTCGTGAGATTGAGATCAACAATCTGCTGTCCTGTTACATAACGACCTCTGCAAGCTTTCTTTTCAGAAAGAAGAGTCAGATCGTCTGGCAGACCCCGATTTTTGGCTGCGAGAATTCTGGCATCAAGCACCGAATCCCATTGCGAACAAGACAGTTGGGCCTCGACTAGATCGCGACCTAGACTCCACACGCCTATCGCCCGGACCATTCTGGCTGAATGAATGCGGCTTTCCAGGAACATACTGCTTGCCGATTAGGAGCTTTGATCATCGATAAACCGGCAATTTCATGAGATAAACAACGCATACCGTACATTTCATCTCAAGGCGGTCAATCTCAACTCGATCATTTCGGCTTACGGCTATTCATTACGGACTCACTGTGCGATCTCGGAGAAAAGTGATTTTTCCGACGTCAAGGGTTGCCGGGGTTCGCTCTGATCTAGCGAACATTTTTCGATCAGTCGCCGGGCCAAGACTTGGCCAGATTACCTGCAGCAACAGGGTTGATTTAATATTCGCCCGAGAATTAGAGATCGCTCAAGGTTAGTATCCCGGCATCGATTCATTTACAAGACCTACACCGCCAATGGGATGGACTGGGGTCCCCTTCTTTCAGGGCAGGGAGGGATGACATTTTGCTGCCAATTACAAGGCCCCGGTCTGCCAATATTGGTCTCATTTCCGTGTCTCAATGTCCTTTCTGCTGCTTGGGAAAGAAGATTGACTAACTAATTCAAAAGATAATTATCATCAGAAAATACCCATCCAACGGGAGTTTTGCCGGAAAAATTCTTTCTTCCACCTTTCTTTCGTCGAAGAAAGCATCGAGCTCGAAAGCAACATCCAGAAATCATCGGTGGTCCATTTTCGGTTTGGCGCCACTGACTAGTCTCAGCTTTACCTAGACCAGATACTTTTAGCGGCCGCTCTTTAGCTGAGGATCCTCCACACGCTTTGACACGCTTGACACGCTAAAAGGCTCGACACGCTCTTAGGAGGTACATCCCGGACCCTCGCCCTTGCTCTCGCGCCGAAGCGAAACCTTTCTTGCGGCATCCTAGGTAGTCCCGTTCGTGGACGCTGGAAATACAGAGGGTATATTTATTACTCTTTTGCTCGGCCAATCACGACTCCAATATTTGTTGGTCTTTTCAATTGTGATTATTACTTTCTCTTGGCCTTTGCTTATATTCATATTCTTTTCCTTCCCAGTTGAAGGCGGTCTAAACTGGCTTGGCGACGACGTGGTAGCAGGACTGGGGACCTGGCCCATCTCTTACACCCCACAGTTTCCAGATCGCAATCCCCCTGACTAAGCGAGCCAACCAATGAACGAGAGTAAGTTGTTTTCTCATGCCCACCGTACCCCTATTGGGTTTTGTGTTGATATTTTGGTTGCGTCGTTCCTTCTCTTTTTACAAATCCTGAAATCAGTCTCGTCACGTTGTCGTTCTGTCACCAGCACGCCTGCATGATCTGCATGTTTTACAACGAGGCTTCAATCGTTCTCGTTTTGTCTGGTTTTATCTTTTTCATCATCTCGCTTTGGCAGAATGGTTGATCACCGAAGGCCGGTGTAACCCATGTCCCGAACTCGGACGACTTGTCGTGCATTCGCCTATGCCGCTGCACTGCCTGGGTCTCGTCTTGAGCTCATTGCACACACCCACCCTTCTGCCTTTCGTTTTCCCCAACCAAGCCTGCCGCCAGTTGTTTAGGCCGACAAGCTAACTTGGGCGCGTTCCGGAACGAAGTGCCGCTGATCCAATTACCTTTGGAGCCCGACTATGCTCTTCCTTCGGAGAACGAATGCATTGACCAGTCCCGCATCTATTCGAGTCTGCCTCCTTTCCCGGATGGGTCAGTAGAAGGACACATCCGGCGCGACGGGTCGCTGGGACACCCGTCGGTGCATCCGCTGTCCCTGTCTGCTGCCAACGGGATTCGTTACATTCCACAACTTCCCGCAGTGCAGGATGTGTCGTAAGTCCTTTTTCTACACTTGCGACTCAAGTACACCTTTTTACTCTTTTGCACCCCATCCTGCTTTTCCCACTCCCGCACCGCCGCACACATTTTTCTTACTGCTTACCCTTTTGTTTCTTCGCTTCGGATGTTTGTCTCGACCCTTTGAACCCCCCTCCCTCTCTCCCAGACCCCAAACACCTCCCCACCCTTCCCAGGCGGGCGGGCCAACCCACGTCTGTGACGCCTCGCAAGAAGATCGTCAGCCTCGGCGTCATCAGGAAAGAGAGAGGATTGAGGCGCGCATGCATTGCGCCGACGGCCTATCTCATTCAGCTTCGTGGTCCACTGTCTCCGCTTTCCCTCGTCACGCGACGATCCTTGGGGACTGTCGCTTTTTCTAGCTACGCATTACCTGCTTACCGCCGCCTGACTGGCTGCCTTGCGGCGGCCGTCTCCAAACATCAGTGATGCTTTTAAACGTTGAAATCCCAGCGGCACCTGCATTAGATGGCTGATCGCAGAATGAGATATCAGTTTTCAACCCAGATCCGGGATCTCGATGAGTCCAGTGAACTCAAGCATTGGGTCCGCTTCGACCAGTCCAAGCTCAGCCGCCTCATCGCTTGCCTTTTCGCCCTTCATGAATGTCTACCAACCAGGGCTGAGTGGTACCAGCAACTACTCGGCCTCACCTTCGGTCTATTCGAACACTCCAAATTATTCGCAATCGTACGCCATGTCTGACGTTCGACCGCGAATATCTTCAATGTATGATCTAATCTTTCATTTTTTTCCCCCTTTCTCTTTCTCTCCCTTTCACCCTTTTGTACTCTGCTACTATCCTCGAGCTCTGCCAATTGTCCTCGACCCCTCAAGCACGCTCTTCCTTTTCTCACTCGCAGTCATTTACCGCTCATGGCTGACGTCACGATCAGACATGGCATTTCCGGAATGCCTCCCCCATCTCGTTCTCCCAGTGCAGGACATGCGGCGTCTCCATCGAGCTTTGCGAGTGCAAGAGATAATTACACCACCTCTACGCCCCATCTGAACCGCCACACGCTGTCTCCTCGACAAACTTCTGAGGTTCTTTATCGTTCCCCTAGGTCGCCTCAGACAAGCACTCCCCGCACGTCTGACCCTGCGATGATGCCTCTCTCGAGCAATGCTGCTAACACCTTTAATGGTGCTACCCCGGCCGGGGCGATAGACACGCCCTCTCAGCTAGGGTTCGCTACGGCCAACCAAAGCCCTCCTTTTGGCGATACTGTCATTCTACACTCGATAACTTCTGTTGATGGTACAGCAGTGACTCCACAAATTCATGCGCGGATTGAAAAAGGTTTCTTTTTTGCGGACCATGATTGGACATGTTACCGGCGGAATTACTTCTCGGTCAATTGCTCATATTCCCTACGGCCGCATTTACCTTCTGTTCCTCTCTTTCTCACTCGTTCTACCAAAACTGGCCCTGAGCCGATCCAAGGATTTGCAATTTCCATTGCGGCTGTCGTGGATGGCCCAGGTGGAAAGTCCATTGAGCTGGTTCAGCACACCCCAAAGAGGGACAAAGCTCCGACCAGCCGGCCTGAGCCTGTGAAAGTGGAACCTAACACTTCTGGAGTGCTTGGCATGTTCCCCAGTTCCGGCAGCCACGCCGGTCTTCCCTTTGCAGCATCACATCTTACCAGCCAGTCGGAGTATGACCAATCATTCACAACGCAACATTCGGCCGCAAATACAAGCGTCAATTTTGAACGCATTCAATTCAAGAATGCGACAGCCAATAATGGAAAGCGCCGCGCCGCTCAGCAATACTACCATTTGATTGTGGAACTCTACGCCGAGGTTCGAGGATCTTTATCATCTGATGCCCAGTTTGTCAAGATTGCAACTCGTATATCTGAAAGAATGGTAGTGCGAGGGAGATCGCCGGGGCATTATTCCGAGGATCGTCGCACCAGCTCGAGCAGTGCCGGACCCGGCGGGGCTAGCGGATCAGGGGATAGCATGGGTGGGTTGAGAAGTACCGCAAACTCGCTGACTGGCTCTCGTGGCCTGAGCACTTCGGCTTCACTTTTCGGCAACTCTGGATCCGTTCCAGGTGGCGGATCATATCGCTCCTATACATCCCCCAGTACGACTGACGGAACGTCTCAGTCGGTCTCCTCCTCTTCTTCCAGCATTGACGTTTCTGCTGAGCATTCTCTGGAGCCAATCATAGCTGGCGAGGATTCTGGAGCGATGGATGATTATACCGGATACCATCTCTACTCCCAAGGCATGTTTGAACCTCCGGCACATCAGCTTCGGGTTCATTCTGTATTCAAGGATGACCGCTTCATTGAACCGTCAGCCGCCCCGTTCGATGGTGAAGCAATCAGAAATCTGGGTCGATTTAGCAGTATTTCTGAGGCGAAGAGATTGGAAAGAGAGGAAACCCTCGCTACCCAGCAGCCTCCAATGTTTGGAAATCCCTGGCCCAATGGAAACATTGGCGAAAGTGGCCGCGGATGCGGGCGACTCCGCGGCGTACAGCCCAGTCGAGGATATTATTCTGATATATCTACGGCATTATAGTTGTCGTGGATCGAAGCTAGCCTTCTGACACTTTTCAATTTGATGACAGACTTGATATTCCTCGCAGAATTCCTCACGCGCTCAATCTCACTTTTTTTATGAGCGCCGTGAAAGCTAGAATTCGTCTGTTAGCATTGAGATCGAATACCGGAGACCCCGTCAAATGCGCAGCGTTGGACTTTACAACGAAAATTCTCATTTTAGTGTGGCAATGATCAAGGCATTGTGCTGATTATTTATTGGCAGCGGGCACAAATTCCTTTGTCTTATCAAACCTTCAATTGTTGCAGTGCTCATACAGTCCCATTTGTCTTTCACTTTGATTGCTTCTCTACTACTTTTCCTCACTGTTTGTTTAGTTTTTATGTATTATTTTTTTCTTGCTTTTACTTTGAGGGAAAAGAGTTACTCGCTGCTCTTTGCCATTTTCCCCACTGATCTGAAGCAATCGCTTTTCGCTGACACGATGTCCCGATTTGGCATCATCCCGAGGGTTGATAGAGCCACCTTCTTTCGAACTCCATCAGTTTTTATTCATGCATGGGCCGCCGCATGCTTGGCATCACTGAACTCGCTGGCAAGACTTCCGATGTCCGAAACTCGCCCGCTCTTTTCATTCTGCATGCCTTGATCTCCCCATTCCGACATTTAAATGAAGTTTGTCCGACCAAGTCTGGAAAAAATGGGGGAACTTAGAAGGATATTTCTTATTTTTGCGAATTGAATTTGAACTTTTTTTTTCCGTTATCTTTCTGTTTCTTTTTCTTTTTTTTTTTTAATTTTTTCTGCTCAAGGATGAAAACAGGGTCCTTGAACCAAATAGCTTGGCGTGAAGGATACTCGGGATTGGCGTTTCGGGTACGGTCACGGGCATGGGCATGGGCATGGGAACCGGAACGGCTACAGGAAATTGGATATGGGTAAAGGGTTTCAGGGTAAAAGGCATGGCCGCATGATGGATGGGCTTTTTTTTGCCCCTTCTCAAAATGATGGGGGAGTATTTATTACGTGGTTATGGGTCTATGATTACAGATTACGATTTTCTATTTCCGAAAGATATCAGATATCTTTTGGGCTTTCTTACTTTTTATACTTTTTTTTATTTTTCTCTATAATTTTCATTTTCTCACTTGATACCGCTTATATTTCTGCGTGTTTTTTTATTTTATTTTATTTCATTTTATTTTATTCATTATATATCTTTTCTGTTTCCTTCCAGCTGCTCTCGAATTACTCTTTCTCTTCCTGTTTCAACGTGTCATGATAAAAATACCACAATCTCGAATGAAATGCATGACTCCTGAGAAGATCGATTTCATATCTCTACAACTATACAGTGGTAGACTGGTGGACCGTAGCTAGATGATGTTACCCGTAACGCTCGAAAAGGAAGCAAAGCAACCTGGCTTTTTTTGTTATCGATGTGCAAACTGATTTGTTGGACCCATGAGGTCTTGGATATATAGTACACTGTACAGTAGTACACTGTACGGCGCATTGATAGGATCGTTTAGATCAAAAGGGCTTACGACCAGCGTCAGGTTTGTGTTGACAGGTTTTTAAAATTACGTGCTGGTTTTTTCCAGGATAAGACGCCGAGCTTGCTTTCGAGGAGCTGCTCGCTCAGTTTCCAGAGCCGGTCTTGGAGCTGAGTATCCTGGCTTCGATCGGAGGGTGTGTCTATTTTGCGATCTGGGACAATCTGTTGCGGTGATAGTGGAGCACCTCCGGTCAGCAGAATTGTGTAGATGAGATTTAGGGTTTTGGAGATGGATACATGGATACATGAACATGGGGAATGGATACCGCAAAGAAAAAGTAAAGGAGTGAAAAGTATATAAAGTCAAGGGCGAAAGAAAGAAAGAAAGAAAGAAAGAGGTGATTTTGCACAAAAGGCAACAACATAAAGCGTTTAGTAAACTTACATATTGTCCCTGAATATTCTCCTTAACGACATCTTCACTTGTTGCAGCGAATAAAGCGCTTCGGCACCCCTTCTTGACAGGGTCCGACATAAATGGCCGGACGGCCGCAACGCCAATCTTGCCCAGCGTGCCATATGCCTCGACAGCTTGGTCCTGCTGGTCAGTGACAATGGCTCCGGGATGCGTAGCATTCATGAATGGTATGCCGCTTCTACTACTGCCGCTGCTGCTGCTGCTGCTGCCGCCACCACCGACTTCTCCTTGCTCCATTCGGCGGAGCAGGGCTTTGACGAACAGCACTTGGGCGAGCTTGGAGCGGCTGTAAAGCGAGGACGCGCCGATGTCTTCTTCATTGATCTCAGACGCAGATGCAAAGGCGGTGGATTTTGGTGCCATCCGGTGCAGTTCTGAGGATTGCACTACGAGGCGCGAGTTTGGTGTCTTTTGAAGGATAGGGAGAACTGTGAGCGCCAGGTGCATTTGCGCTAAGTGATTGACTTGAAAGTGCGAGTCTGTATTGGTAGGTCAGTAAAATTCAGCCAGGAAGAAATATGCCGTGAATGGAATACAGCGTTGATTTGATTATGGGGAGATGGAGAGAGAGGAGAGAAAAAAAAAGAAAGAAAAACAAGAATAAATTGATGGATGGCCGTTGCATAGGCTACTCACCAATGCCGTCGTCAGAATTCTTATAATTTCCCACGCCTTCACCGGCGTTGCAAATGAGCTAGATGAGTACAATTAGAAAATGTAAGAATCCAAGAGATTACAGAACAATGCAGTAAGATACCCAGCTGTGGTTGACTTACTGCATCCATTTGTTCAAGATGCTTCAGGTCTTTGGCGACCTCGTCGGTCTCTTTCAAACTGAGCAGGTTGCAGTTCTTCCACTCGACGAGGTTGGTGTCCCCCCACTTTTTCAGTTCTTGGACAGCGTCCTCGCCGTGTTCTATCTTGTTGGAAAGGAGGAATATCTTGGCCGGGTTATGTTGAAGGAGGTGTGCCACGATTCCGAAACCAATGCCGGCACTACCGCCTGTAACTACATAGACCTAGACATAGAGCCATGGTTAACTTTATAACGATCATCTGTTATTCTTGACTCATGATTCGAACAGTGGACGACATGTATATACCTTGCCAGTGAGGTCGGGCACGTCAGTGTTTGGATCAAATGTGTTTTGGCCCATGGTCGTAAACAAGCCGAGAATCTATCTTGTCCTAAGAGATGAAATGACAAAAGCGTCTATGCAATGAAGGCATTCTACACCAAGCAAAATATATATACATATATATAATTTTGCTTTTTCTGATAGTCACACATCTTCCAACCCATATGTCGTGGTGACGACAAGATAATGTGTCGTCTTTGGGCTCATGACGTAAACACATTGTACATATCCGCAATACTGTTCTATATTCATGCGCAATCATTGCATTCTATAAAAGTATTTATATATCCATTGGCGAATTGCATTTCACATCGACAGGATACTTACGACAACATTTGCGGGTGTGTTTGTTTTTCGGTATCCGCTCGGGCCCAGCGAGGTAAACAAAACGAGCTTCATCTACATCACGTAGAAGGAAATGAACCACACAAGCAAGCCTACAAGGCGAGAGTGTACAAATCATGCTTACATTTTTAAGCTACAAATGGGTCATAAACTCCACCAAAGAAAGCCCGAATGCACGATAAGATGAAAGATCCTAACAAGCCGAGACGATTTTACTGCGATCTCTTCGCAAATTCGACACGGAGGATAAGGTGACCATAACCAACTACACAAATCTGTATTAGCAAATGACGAGTATTAAAAAAGAAGGCCATAATGGTTTGCACTTACAGCCATCCATCTTCTCGCAAGCTCTTGCAGCATCTGTGCGGTCCGCAAAGCTGATGAACGCAAAGCCCTTGGCCCGTCCGGTTTCCCGGTCTTTGGCCAAGAACACTCTTGTGACGCGACCGAATCTCTCGAACATGTCTCGCAGCTCTTGCTCTTCGGCAAACTCGCTGACCTGTAAAGATGAAACGGTCAGTTTCAACATTTTGTAAACCCAGTCTCAACAGAGAACTCACATTGGTAACACGTAGAGTGGCAAGGTCGTCTCTCTCAAACTTGCCGCCCATACGGTCTCCGGTAGCTGCACCTCCTCTTCGCAGGTGCGGCGGAACATAGCTCCCGCCAGCACCTGACAAGCCTCCTGCGGGCTCAGGACCTTCACCTCCACTTCCCAAGTCGCCAGCGCCACCAGCTTCGTCCATTGGAGCCATAGTGTCCTTGAATGGGCATCGAGCTGTGAAATGGTCTCCGCTGCAAATACGACACTTGACCTTCTTGTCCTTGAGTTGCTCCTTCACACTGTTCTTATCCAATTTCTCCTCCTTGGCGTTCGCCTTCCAGTTGATGCTAGGACGGAAAATAATGTTCTCGCCGACACTAGTGGTATCCAGCGAAGGGCCTGCGGCATGGCCCTTTTCGAGGCCAAATTTGGCCCAGCCTTTTCGCTCGGCGACCCGGGGATTGACTCTCTCCTTAATGACTACAGTCTTAATGCGGCGAGTTGTCTTAACCTTTTTGCCATCGTCGTTGTATCGGTAGGTTACGATAGTCTTCGTGCCATCCTTATTCGTCGTGATCTGCTGGGGAGGGAGAACAGAGGGATCGTCGAATTCTTCATCGTCGGCCCAGTCGGCCCGGCTTTGTGCGCACACACGGTCAGCTAGATGTCGTACGCAAGATCTGCTGGAAAATATCATACTTTATATTTTTGGACATCTTTGATCCGAGCAGCGATTATGGGTGCCAGTTCTTGGATGGATAAATGACACGATCGCGAAACGAATCGATGGCTTGCCAAGGGGCGAATTATTGTGTGTGATATTTCTCAAAGTTCGATATCGGGAGGCAAGTTCGTGGGGCGAGAATGGTTTTAACCCAATCGGGTAACGACAGAGCAGTCTACTGGTACTTATGTCGTTGTACCTCCAGCGAAACCCAAGAACAATCGCTTCATCTGCGACCTAGTTATGCGACAATGGCCAAGCACAAGATGGATATACGTCAAGACGAGGTCGAAATTACAGTAGAAAAAAAAGTTAAAATAATTACTAGGTAGATATGATGAAGTTTTTCAACCAAAATATCAATACATAAAGGGCCTGTATTTTCAAGAAGTGAATTCGTGGGGGAGGTGATCATTTGAGCTGAGTTGACCACCGCTCTCCCAATCGATAATAACGCCCCGAGAGCTGGATTCCTTTCAGATAAGTTGTACAGTCCACTTTTGCACCAACCCGACCTGAAAATTAGAAAAAAAGAAAAAAGAGTGGTAGAAATGATCATATGTACTACCAAAAACGAGGCTGAAGATGAGTGACATGGCTGTTGGGGGCGCGCTCCTGCACGGGCACTGATTCCGGGTCCATTTTCGGAATTCAGCATGGTAGAAACTTTGGGAAGAACTTCCTCTCTTGAATATTGACGTAGAATTCAGTAATTCCTTCCTCCGTTCCTACATAACTTTTGTGGATCCCTGTGTTAGCATGATAGGTGGCAACGACGCGGCTTTACAGCACTTACAGTTTTCGGCCATCATCGTCCATCGTTACGCCAGCAGTTCCAACTCCATCAGCGGCGTTCTCACGATGACTTACTGCTCGTCGTAGGAGCCCAAGTTCATATCTTCCAAGACCATCCTCATCCACGGGGCCGCCTCGCGCATGCACATTTCTTAGCCGCTCTCTCCTGGCGGCATCCAACCGCGCCCAGGTGATTTGCCGGCGTTCAAATGTTGCCTCAATGGAGGCTTCTCGCTCACGTCGGAGCCGCGTCGCCGCGTCCGGAAGAGGGCCCGCAGCCATTGCAGCTTCAATCGTACGCCAAGGATCACTTGTTGTTGAAGGCGAGCCTCTTAAGCGACCTTGAGTGGGTGAGATTGTCTGAGTTCGGGAGAGAGGTTCTATAAAACAAATCAGGAGAAAAGTTCTGCATTGCCAGGCGAGATTCGAGCATTTGATGTACCGCCATTGATCAATGGCTATACACGAAAATGTAATAACTCACCAGGTGTTAAAAGCGACGACCCTGATCGATTTTCCCGGCTAGCTGGTGAAGGTAAATAATTGACACTGAAGGGGCTCATTTGTCCATGCTCACGAGCATCTAAACGTTCTCTCGAAGCACGTAATGCATCTAGAAGCTGACGCTCTCTTTCGGTGAATGCGCGTGGCTCGTCATCTGAAGCATGAGGGGCTGCCTGCAGCCGACGACGTACTGGGGATGCTCCGATATAGTCGGCTGCAAAGTTGATGGCAGCGGTCTCGTCGTGGTCATCCAATGCCCTTCGGTAGCGTCTGATAAATTCAGCCTCGCTACTTAATTCCCGTAATTCTGGGTCGAGCAGACTCTCTTCCACATCGGTAATTTCGACAGTCTCAAAATTGTCAGAGTCAATATCCAAATGAATGACCTGGCGCGCATGTAATCCTGTTCGAACGTCTGCTACACATATTCTGCCGTGGTCTTCTGCCCAAATAAGAAGATCCCACGGCTCAGGCGAGAAGCACATGGATCGAACTGCGCCCGCTCGCGTTGGACGCGACGACCGAAGTATCTGCGTGACAGCATCGTCATCCCCTTCTGCACCGTCGATCAGAGTGGAGTCGAATATAGTTACGATTCCATCCTGAGAGCCCACAGCGCAAAGGTGTCCACCTGGAGAAAACGCTGTAGTGAAACAATGTTCAGTCGCTATTCGAAGTTGTGGAGCTGCACAAACTTCCCATTCAAGCTTCTCTACCGCTGATTCAGCATCGTGGCGTTTGGGATTTGACGAATTCGAAACCTTCTTCCGGCGGTAGAAATAGACGGTGGTGGAGTCTCCAACAACCACGAGAAGCTGTCCATCTGGAGACAAAGTAGCGTGGTTTGTAGCGAAGGGCAACTCGAGCGTCGAGAGTATCCGAAATTGAGTCAACGAGAATATGCGAACCGTCTTGTCATTGTTCCTGTAATGTCTCAGCTGTTGTTGCAAGCTAACTTTTTCAAAGGGCTTTACGTGATAATTGCCACTGTCTCCTCGGCCCCAAACTCTTCGTTTGATTTCCACTGATGTAGTGTAACTGAGTTCACGATCAGACCGCCGTGCTCTTCTATTCGCACTTCCGGCTTTCGTCTGGGGAGCTCTCGCGCAATGGCCATAGTTTCTTCCAACAATTCATGAGTTTGCCGCCGTGATTCGGGGTCAAGGTCTGCTGGTAATAGAGCATCCACATCTGCATGGCGACGAGCGGCTGCATCTTCTGTCTCTGTTGCGCGGTCCAACTTCACCGCGGCAAACTGGCCGTTATCCCCTCCTCCCACACATACCCATCCATAGCCAGCTACCAGGCACCTTGGCTCAAACGGCAACACGCCGACAATTTGTCTCTCCCTGGTTTTCGCATGTAAGCAGTAAATTTCCCTCTCCGAAACGTAGTAAATAAGACCCCGATTAGGCGAGCTGATAAAGTGACGAAGTTGCCAGTGACTGCCCGCATAATTTCAGCGCCTGGTCTGTGACTACAAAAGGTCTATGTTCCAGCTTACGGAACTGGTATCTTAATCGGAAAAAAGTATCGTGGAGAGGGCAGGATGAGACTCTCAGTGGGCCGGTAGCTATGGAGCAAAACTAAATTAGAGCCCATTCTGAAAGGGTCTCTTCATGTAAGTGTTGGAATTAACGCACAACGTCTCGTCGGCCGTCATTCTGCCGCAAATAAGTCGAAGCTCAATTGTCCTCGCATCGAGAAGAGATTTGAATAGCTGGTGGCGGATGACACGGGATTCGAATGCGGAAATAATAACACGCTCACGGATGCGACAGTCACGAGAGAGAATGGATGGCTAAATCGAAAGGCTTTCTGGGTTGACCACGCTTGCTTCGAAGCAAATGATAATACTGTCAAGAGTCGCAAGCCATACAAATATCTGTACAATTCAAAAAAGGGAATATCACTGCACATTTGCTCCGAAGTGAAGTCGAGACTACCAGTGACGTCGGCCAACTTCCCCACCCTACCTAGTGAAGCAGCAGCCGCAGCCCTGAGATTCCCATGAGAGACCAGAATCCGAATAGGAAAGGCGGAATGTGGTTAGTTCCGGGCGAGGGGGGGGTTTCCCAATGGACGGAAATTGCCATTATGAGATGCCGGGTAACCTGGCGTTATAGTTCACTTCACCAAGTTTCGACCAACTTCTATCAAAATTGCTCGCCTCCCCCATTTCGGCAATGGATCGGCTAAACGTGCCTTCTCAGTCTCACGCCCCATTCACCCTTTTTGGTGCAATCAGTGCGACGCTAAATCTTTTTCCTGCTCCTGCCGACGACGTCCTCCCATCTCCATCTCTTCTTATCCCATCCACCTTCAATTCTTCCCATCTTCATCCAATTCACCAGCCCTTTGTTTGGTTCTTTCGTTGTTGTTTTTTCTTTGGCTGTGTGGTTTAATTTGGCAAGATGTTGTCGTCAAGACTTTCAAGAGCGGTAAGGATGTTCCGTTATTGCACTGGTGAACTATTGGATTACTGACTTTTCAACGACAGCTCCCCAGGGCCACTCCTGCCCTCCGTCGCGCCTCCGCGCTGAGATCGCCTTTCGGCGCTTCATTTACGCGGTTTAACTCGACTGGCGGCGAGGAAAAGGTTAAAGGCCAAGTCATTGGTATTGATCTTGGTAAGTTCTTGCAAAATTGGTCGCGTTCACAACTCGTTCAGTAATCTAACCAACTCAAAGGTACCACCAACTCGGCTGTCGCCATCATGGAAGGAAAGCAGCCCAAGATCATTGAAAACGTTGAAGGTAGGTGCCACCCTGTCCCCATGATTGATTGCCACCTTCTAACATGACAATTGCAGGTGCTCGGACGACCCCTTCCGTCGTTGCATTCACTCAGGATGGTGAGCGTTTGGTCGGTATTGCCGCCAAGCGTCAAGCTGTTGTTAACCCCGAGAACACCCTTTTCGCTACTAAGCGTCTCATCGGTCGCAAGTTCACCGACCCCGAATGTCAGCGTGATCTCAATGAAGTCCCCTACAAGATCGTTCAGCACACCAACGGTGATGCCTGGGTTGAGGCCCGCGGTCAAAAGTACTCTCCTGCTCAGATCGGTGGTTTCGTTCTGCAGAAGATGAAGGAGACTGCTGAGAACTACCTCAGCAAGCCTATTAAGAATGGTGTTGTCACCGTCCCTGCCTACTTCAACGACTCCCAGCGTCAGGCTACCAAGGACGCGGGTCAGATTGCTGGTCTGAACGTCCTGCGTGTTGTTAACGAGCCTACTGCTGCTGCTCTTGCCTATGGTCTTGAGAAGGAGGACGACCGCATCATCGCCGTCTACGACTTGGGTGGTGGTACTTTCGATATCTCCGTCCTTGAGATTCAGAAGGGTGTCTTCGAGGTCAAGTCCACCAACGGTGATACCCACCTTGGTGGTGAGGACTTTGATATCACTCTCGTCCGTCACTTGGTTCAGCAGTTCAAGAAGGAGGCTGGAATCGACCTCTCCGGTGACCGCATGGCCATTCAGCGTATCCGTGAGGCCGCTGAGAAGGCCAAGATTGAGCTTTCGTCCTCGCTCCAGACCGAGATCAACCTTCCCTTCATTACTGCCGATGCATCTGGCCCCAAGCACATCAACTCCAAGCTTACCCGATCTCAGCTTGAGAACTTGGTGGAGCCTCTCATCAGCCGCACCATCGACCCGGTCCGCAAGGCCCTCAAGGATGCCTCCCTCCAAGCCAAGGACATCCAGGAGGTTATCCTTGTCGGTGGTATGACCCGTATGCCCAAGGTTACCGACTCTGTTAAGGGCATTTTCGGCCGCGACCCCGCCAAGTCTGTCAACCCTGACGAGGCTGTTGCCATCGGTGCTGCTATTCAGGGTGCCGTCCTCGCTGGTGAAGTCATGGATGTCCTTCTTCTCGACGTCACTCCCCTCTCTCTCGGTATCGAGACCCTCGGTGGTGTTTTCACCCGCCTGATCAACCGTAACACTACTATCCCCACCAAGAAGTCTCAGGTCTTCTCTACCGCGGCTGATTTCCAGACCGCTGTCGAGATCAAGGTCTACCAGGGTGAGCGTGAGCTTGTCCGTGACAACAAGCTGCTTGGTAACTTCCAGCTTGTCGGCATCCCTCCTGCCCACCGTGGTGTCCCCCAGGTTGAGGTCACCTTCGACATTGATGCCGACTCTATCGTCCACGTTCACGCCAAGGACAAGTCTACCAACAAGGACCAGTCTATCACCATTGCTTCCGGCTCCGGTCTCTCCGATTCTGAGATCCAGAGCATGGTTGATGACGCCGAGCGTTACGGTGAACAGGACAAGCAGCGCAAGTCTGCTATTGAGGCTGCCAACCGCGCCGACAGCGTCGCCAACGATACCGAGAAGGCCCTGACGGAATTCGAGGACCGTCTTGACAAGACCGAGGCCGACGCCATCCGTGAGAAGATCAGCTCTCTTCGCGAGTTCATTGCCCAGAGCCAGGCTGGCGAGGGCACCGCGACTGCTGAAGACCTCAAGGCTAAGACTGACGAGCTCCAGGTGGCCAGCTTGAACCTTTTCGACAAGATGCACAAGGCTCGCTCTGAGGGCTCTGAGCAGCAGCAGCAGCAAGGCCAGGGCGAGGGTCAGCAGACTGGTGAGGGCGAGAAGAAGCCTTAAATTTGTTCTCTGAGCCCAACAAAAGCGTCTTCCCTTTTTTTAATCGGTCTATTTCTTTTCTTGTGATTAGACATGTTGGCATTGTATTATATTTCATACTCCCTTCAGTAAGCTGTTGTGGAATATTTCATCATTTGTTTTACTATCTTAAGCCTTTTCCTCTCTTCTACCAGGTGTCTTCATAGGTCATAGGCGGGAGTCATCGTGTGCTGGTTATGACAAAGGACGGGCACCTTGTATTAATACAATCGTGATGATTATAATACGCTATTCTCCTCTCATTGAATTTAAAATCTTTGATTCAAAATATTTTTTTGACATTCCATCCATATACAGGGTTCTCACCCATTGAATCTTACATGCTGTGCGTGAGCGCTCCCCTTCGGCCGAGCCAGGAATCAACCCTAAGTACTATCTACGAAGAGATAATAACAAGCTATTGCTCATTTCTTTTGGAAATCACCCATGCTTGGTCCCGTCACCATACTCTCGGTCGACAGCTCTTACTTTAGGAATATATTCATTCAGCCTCTGTCTTTCTTCCGACGTAGCCTCCAGATTGAATGACTTTTCTAACCGGTCAGACAGGGCCAGTCCAAAAGTGGCGTACGCTACTGTGCCCAACCCCAGGAAAGCACGGGCGCGCGGGCTCAATGAGCGGTACCATCTAGGACCAGAAAAAAAAGATCAGTCACCTTGACCATTTTTGGCGCTTTATCAAAGGGATGGCATTTTGTAAATCCCTTCTATTTCGCGCTTTGGGGTGGGGTGGGAGGCGCGGAATATAACTCACTGCCAAAGCGACATTGCTGGAGGCGCAGGCGAGGGGAGATGAGGAGGTGAGGACTGATTTACCTCCCTCGAGCAGCGGCCACCACCAAGGTCGACTGAAAGCCTCTTCAATCTGCAGAGTGAACCCGGAAATAACACTAGCTGGTCAAATAAGGTAGCTTTAATCTATGCGAACAGTTGTGAGGGGAGAAGGGGGGTTGGGCAATGAAAGGCCAGCATGGCAGGGAGACGCAAGGGGCATCACGTGCACCCGTGGGCTGAAAGGCACGAAGGAGACAGCATGTCCAGTTTAATATATATCATGGGCAACCAACAGCATAATGGCCAAATATTCCTGGGATTTCTGCAGCTTCTGTCAAATTCGACGCTGAGATTGCTTTTAGAAAGCTATGCATGAGGAAGCCACTGGGAAAACTGGCCAACATTCAGAGTCTGTCTAGGTATATGCAGTGGTCATGATTTCCGGTCTTCGGCTGGCCAGTTACCGGCTCATAGGTTTGGCATTTGGAAGCGTAATTCTACTCTACTTGTTATTTCGTCATGTGGACATAAATCGGGGAGATCTCCATTTCTATGGACTTGGTAACAATGGGCCAAGAAAAGTCCAATATGCGGCGTTCGAGGATAGCGGAGTTGACTTTGCCGACGTCAAGAGAGCTGAGGAAGTTTTGGGCGTCATGAAGGAGACATTTTGGAAATACAGGTCCAAAGCCTGGGGCCACGACGATATCAAGCCTATCTCTGGAAAGCCGAGAGAAACCAGGTAAGAATACTAGCATATGCACGTCGCAATCAATCCCCCAAAGCAATTGATTTGGAGGCTTAAAGAGCCTAAATGCTGACAATTCAATGTGCCATGCAGGAATGGCTGGGGAGCGTTCATCGTGGACTCTTCAACAACAGTCGCCGTGATGGGTTTATCCGCCGAATTAGAGCTAGAAATAGACCACATCATTGAGAAGATCGATTTCGACAAAGCTCGCGGTCTCGTTGACCCATTCGAGACAACAATACGATATCTCGGTGGCATGATATCTCTCATCGAACTCATCGACGGCGGGGTCGCGCCTGACACGCCTCGAAAGAAACGTGATCGTTTGCTCGACAAGGCTAAGGCGCTGGCTCGAAAGCTGGGCCCGGCTTATGACACTCCGTCGGGACTACCATGGCCGCGTATCGACTTTGAAAATGACTCCCCTGGCGCGGCTCCAAAATATGTCATAGAGGGCCATCCGGCAGTGGCTCCAGCACGAGCAGGGACAAACTATCTTGAAAACCGGGTGCTCAGTCGGCTGACTGGAGACCCCGTCTACACCCTCAATGCAACAAAGGCATGGGGTCCAATGGTCTGGCCCAAAGACCCTGAAGAACTCCCAGGTATAATAGACGCTCCTATCGATATCATCACCGGCAAAGCGGCCGGTCACGACCGGACCTGGGATTCGGGCCATGACAGCTACTACGAGTATCTGATAAAAGCCTACATTATGGCCCCAAACGAGCCGTACGCCGCCACGTACCGAGACCGATGGATTCAGGCCGTGGATTCCCTTCGCAAACACCTGATAAGTAGATCAGCTGCGCCAGGCGGAGGAAAAGGTCATCTCTTTCTCGGGAAGAACAAAGATGGTGTGTACGAAAATGAGATGAGCCACTTGGCTCACTTCGTTCCGGGAAATCTCCTGCTAGGCGGCAAATATCTTGACCGGAAGGATATTGTTGAGCTGGGACTCGAGCTTCTAGAAGGATGCCACCACACATATACTGTGACGCCGACCAAGGTTGGACCAGAGAAGTTCTCCTGGATACCGGAAGAGAGGTCCAAACAGAACGCCTCGGAAACGATGGAGACCGAGATACATCGCAAGCAATGGGAGCAATACGGCTTTTGGGCCAACGAGCCAACCTACAAGCTTCGCCCCGAATACGTCGAAAGCGTCTTCTACGCGTGGCGCCTCACCGGCGACCCCAAATATCGAGAGTGGAATTGGGAAGCCTTCACCGCGATCCGCGACCACTGCCACGCCGCGCACGGTTACAGCGACCTGCGCGACGTCATGAACGCGACTGCACCACAAGGGGATAACAGCGAGAGTTTCTGGACTGCTGAAACGCTCAAGTATCTCTACCTTACTTTTGTCGATCCCTCCCATATGAATCTCGACGAATGGGTGTTTACTACAGAAGCACACCCCGTGCGAATCTCTACTCCAGAAATTCGATAAGGCATATAGAAGCATCTAGATTCTTGGATCGTTTCTTTCTTGCTCTCTTGCCTTCTTGCTTTCTTCCTTCTTTGGTTGCTTGAATTAACATTCTCCAGTGAATTCTTTATTTTTCCTCTCTCCCGTCCCGAGTTTCTTGGATACTTTCTCCTTCATTACCTTCAATATCCTCCATTTTCGTTTCTCCTTTATCCATTCTGGAGTTTACTTGTCATTGGTGTTGGACGTTTGCATCTCTCGCATTATCGGTATGGAATCAGAGACTCTGTTGGAACAGGGTCAAATTGGGTTTGGTCGTTGGTTCACTGATTGTTGGTTTTATTTTTAAAAACTTCTTTTCCTCCCTTTTCGTTTTCTGTTTCCTTTTTTCACTTGGGGTCTCACAACGGTATGGGTTGGAATGATGAAATGATTATCGTCACCGGTAGTATTCAGTATCTATCTGTCTACCTAGGTAGGCAGTCAAATCGCAATGAGAAGATTCGTCTACGGTCGTCATAATCAACGCCGTGCAAACAGTGATGGTACTGTCCATAGTAAGACCTCTCCTCCTGATCTTAGTAACAGTCTCTTCCGCACCGGCGCCGCCTCCCATGCTCATGCCCCAGCACTTTCCGACTATGAGCTTGGAACGCTTTTCCCGGGATCATCTTTAATCTCACTTCCGTGATCCTCAGAGGACCCGGAGAATATGTGTGCCGGAGAAACTATTCCCTTTCCCATTGGGACCGTCTCCTTGGTGTCCCACGGGCAATTAGAAGCATCTGATATCCGGCCTCTCCACAGATGTACTTTTGATTGGGGAGGATAATCCACATTCTACAGCAACCATTCGACATTGAACCGCACGTGATACTGAGAATAGATATCTCTGACAAGATTCTACGATACTCTGTAATTGAAGATCGCAGTAAGATTGTTTCCTAGGAAGATTTCTCTAATTTACAAACAAAAGTCTTTACACCATCTGCTGCGGATTGAAACGACGTGCACCTATTGGAAAAGGGAGTTCCAGCTCCTGCCTACGCACCATCATGCTAAAACAACCAATCCGTGGTCTGCCACGCCACAGGGGGGGGGTGGACTTCAACTGTTAGAAAGGCGATGCGATGCGAAAGACGAAAAACGAACCTCACGACAGAATAAAAACCACAAAGGGCAATAGACATGCGGAGACAGTATGGATAAGACGATGCAATGTAATGGCACGCTGAAGACAATATATGGTTCTCTCTACAATGCGCCACACAGTAGGGGTTATAAAAAAGAAAAGAAGGAGAAGAAGAAGAATCTATCTAAACGGAAATGCCGAAATGGGGGAACAAAGAAATGAATGTTATGTACAAAGTAGAAGAGAAATGAAAATTAAATAATATTGAAACGTTGCAATGTGCTGTATTCGAGGCTTGCTTCTCGCTGGATCCGCATTGCGTGCACGAATATATTAAAGCTGATAAGCAAGACCCTAAGCCATTAAGCAACTCTTATTGCAGATGGATGACAGAGAGAGTAGCAATATCTTCCCAAAGGTCCGGTATCCTAAATACCTTTGGTATCATATCCAAATGGGATGATGACAGCTTAAGGATGATATTGATAGAAGTTGGCGCAAGCAATGCTGTAGATGCCGCTGGATGAAAGATTCACGCAACTCGACTTCATGAGACGAGTCAACAAAAGTGCCGAAATGGGTAACTGCGATGCGGTTCGTAACATTTGCCGTAAATTATGTGAGGGGCGGTACCCCTAGTTACCCGTTTTCGGATAGGAAGCGTGAACCGTATGGTGGGTACCGCTCAGAGAGGTTCATCGAAATAGAGGAAACAAGAGACAGAGAGTGGTTTCCAAACGTAGAAAATAATTGACAGCCTTAAGGTTTTGAAAGCTGCTCCTTTCGGAAGAAGAGGAAGAAGCCAGCACAGATTATGAGCTGGAAGATGAGTGCCACCCAGAAATATGGCTGCTTAAGACCATCGGTAATGGAACCAGAGAAATCAGGGAAAACACCACCAGGGCCAATCTGATCCGGTGCTGTGGCACGGGCCAAGATGGTTGCGATAGAGCCGAGGACTTGAGCCGCAATGAGGGTGAAGGCAATATGGATACGTGTAAGGGTCTGGAGCAGAATCATACCAAAGCCGACTCCTTGGATTGCATCGAGGGTACCCAGCCAAAGCCAAATCGACCGGCCAACAAGCGCGCCGGCAACAGGTCCACCTGCCCATGGGACATATTGACCAATGTTGGAAATGCCCCATAGCATTTGGCACCAACGAGGGGCACCAAGGCCGATGGCAAAGACTGGGAGAATCCAGGAGTGGTCTTTGGAGAGTACACTGAAGAACCAGAGGAAGGCAGCCCAGGCACCGATAAAGAAGGCAGCCACAAGTACAATGATCTGCCAGGCTTTTGCATGATTACTTGACCACAGATACAACCAGTTGCGACCATATGGAGCAGAAAGCCAGTAATTCTGAAGGATGACCGTGACGAAGAACCACTATATAGTCTGTCAGGGGCCAATTCATGTGACATCAACAAGAAATAAACACGTACCAAAATGATTCGTCGTCGGAACAAGGTCATATAGAATGACGGCACTTTTCCGGGAACTTGTCGGTAATAGTCGGGCAGGCCAACAAATAGCAACCAGCCTATAACCCACATGAAACAGGCAATAGGCACAGTGATAGCAGTCATCTTCCAAGTGATTGAAATGGGACTTGCTTCCGTGACACCCATGTCGGTAAGCTTGGTGAGATACGATCCCCAGAACCACAGCGCAACAATATAAATCTGTTGAGTGCCCTGGACAGCACAAGCTCGGAAAACCCATGATTTGACGGGAGCGCCACCTAGAAGAGTAAGTACTTGGAGAACATGCCGCAGCGAGATGTATTCTTACCTTCGTCGCCAAAGTTCAAAGCAAAGAAAATAGATCCACTTGAAGATGCAACCGCATACATGCCAGTCCCAACATTTTGAACCCATCCACGGCCGGCTACATGGTGGACAAATGGCGCCATACCAATAAGGAAAAAGGCTGCGCCGTAGAAGAGGAACGGAATTGAAAGAACATAGACCGACTTCAATCTTCGGAAAAGAATCCACCAGATGACCGACGTTGCCAGGTATATGCTGGCGATGACATATAGCTTCTCCGCAGACTCTCCGACTTGACCTGTAAGGAGAGTAATCTGATACGAATTGGCAGCAATGATTTGTCCCTGGATTATATTAGCTGGGTAGATTTCCATTGAGCATAAGATTGCCTCACAAGTGCAATAAAGAAGGAGTACACTGGCCAATCTCCAATCCGGAATTGCAAGTATTTCTTCAATCCGGACGGCGGAACGTAGTCTTGTCCAAGCAAGAACTCATTCTTGACCGATTCATCGTGGCTGTCACTGCTATTGTTGTGCTCTGCGTCCAGATCTTCGTTGAAGATCGAGCCTGTAGGGCTAGGTTGCCGTTTCATCCTGAAAACTGAGGGCGCAGGAGTAGAGCCTCGTCCTAGTCGTGCATCGCGGAATTTGTCGAACCATTTTTTCTCACTTTTGACGAGATAATCCTCAATGCACATCACATCTTCAGAGTTCTTGCCATCAAGTGCTTCTAGCCTCTTTTCAAATGCTTTATAGTATTCGCCATTTGAGTCAGTGAAGAAAGGATCCACCTTTTGTAGTTTGAAGTCCTTTTTATCGCCCACCACTTCAGAAAGACTGAGTACAGATGCACTGCTAAGCCGGTTCTCTTGACGAGCAAAAGGGGACACAGGTGCGAGCAATCCATCCTCGGGGCCGAGTGAATGAGGGCCGGGGGAAACTGCACCAGGCGTACCAGGCAAGGACGGCGGTTCTTCTTCAAATTCATGATCTTGTCGAGGATATGACAATCCATGGCTGACCGGGGAGAGGCCGGGAGAGTATGCTTCACCCATCGCTCGACCAGCTTGAGCTTGCTCAGCAGTAACAGTGTACTCGTCACCATATTGAGAGATAATGTCGTCCTCTTCGCTTTCATCTTCGACTTCTGACACAGCAACCCCAATAGGACCGCTTTTGCTGCGCCGACGCTTTTCTCGATTGTTGTGTCCCGGTCCAGATCTAATGCCAAGAGATAACTTTCGGCTCAAACCAGGGCCAGGCACCGGTGGTTGTTCCTCTGCGCCCGGACTCGGGGAGCGGAAAAAGCTGCTGGAATTCCTATGTAACCATGAAGCTCGAGGAGGGCCGACGATGCTAACGGGACGGCTAGCGACCGTAGGGAGCGTGAGCTCGCTGCCAAATTGATGATTGTATGCCATCGGAGACGGCGGTCTTGTAGAAGATCCACTTTTGGAAGCTTCCTTGTTGTGAACTCGGATGGCATTGCCCTGCAGAGTCTCAAGGTCTTCAATCCATTGCTGGACAGGGAATCGCTGCTTGGCGGACCGAGCTCTCATCATGGCTCTTGTCTCTGTCTTGGATGCCAGAGCACCTTCAATGGCTTGTTTGAATTGGTGGATCAAATGTGTAGTCGTGGTAGATTCAACTGTATACCACCAGCCAGGCATTTGTCCCAGACCTCCAACCCTCGCACCGACACCAAGGGCTCCTTTACGGCCGAATTCAACAGCGACAAGTCCGAAAGGTTCGTCTCGAGAAGGAATAAGTGCAAATTCTGCTCCACTGAAAATGTATGGTGGAAGGGCAGTAAATTCTGGCCTGGAAAAGACTCTTCCAGGGTACAGTTCCATCATCTTGCCAAGCTTCAAGGCAGCAAACTTTCCGTAGAGATCAATGACAGGGCCAACACAGATTAGTTGAACCTTAGGGTGAGCTTCAAGAACGGCCGGGAAAACATCAGCAATAAGATCGACACCCTTCTGGGTGGACCAACGGCCAACAAACACAAATAGCTCGGCATTTGGATCCACATTAAGTCCTGCCCATTCTTGTGCTTGGCGCCGGAGGTCACCACGAGAGCCTTCATATTCCGGATCAATTCGGATGTCATCGCCTCGCTGCGCCTCGTTCCTATCCCATTCTGCAGTATCTGAAGGATCAGGGTTTGGAAGTTGGCCAACCTTGGTGAGCCCCCAGAAGATAGGATAACGTGCATATGATCGCTTTCCATATTTCTTTGACACTCCAACAGCGCCGAAACCCTTTTGGTGGACTCGAAGATAGCTGGCACCTGCGTGAAGCAAGTTGAAGACTTCACCAAACTGGACATATTTCTTGACAATGCTCGGGTCAAGATTATAGACAGCACAAACTTCTGCCCGCTCTTTGTTTGAGCGCATGGGCCACAATCCTTGAAATTCTGCATTGTGAAGAGAAAGACAGCAGGGAATCGTATTCGGCAGGAGGTGCAAAGGCGCAACTGCACCGTGGTAGTCGTTGATATGGTATAAATCGATGGGGAATCGCTTGATGGTCTCCGCAATGCAGGCATTCCAAGCGGAATAGTACACGGCACTGTCGAGATCGTCCATTCGTGGCGGGTAAGGCTCGGCCTGAGATTGCTGCCTGAAGACAGGCGCATCCAACAGGACGTAGGTGATATTATGCAACTGATGATATTGGACTTGAACCTCATAGGGTTTACCCAGGATAGTGACCACCATTGGTTCAGCCGGCGTATCAATGGGATAATCAATTCCGCCCACGCAAGGAACGACCCAGATAAGGTCCTGATGACCAAGATTCTTGCCCATGAGCTGTGCCATGACACCCAAACCACCGATTTTGATCTTAATCTTCCAATCTTCGATATCGTATTCCATTGTGGCAATCAGCACCATCCGTCTCTTCGTCGATGCACCCGCAGCGCCAACGGCGGCGGTGTCAAGAACGTTAGTCGAGCTATTCATCGCGCGACCGAGCTTCAAAAGCGGTCCCGACGCATTATCTGGCACAGCTGAGAATCCCGACCGAGCAAACTTGCGACGTAGAGCTAAGGGTATCAACTCTCTCTTCTGACTGACACCAACTTGATTAAATTTGACTTGGTAGAAAGACTTCATGAAAGCCCAAATAGCCAACGCTCCGGTAATGACTGGCACGAACCAAAGTAGGAAAAACAAAATCATCTGATGCCATCGGTTACCGGACGGCGTTAGCGTGTATGTATAGTCGCCATCATTAACGGAGATCTTGTATGACAGATATGGCGAAGGGGGATATTCTGAGACATTCAGGAAGTTGCCAGCAAGCGAAGATGGCGGCATCCGGTCCAGAACGCTATCACCATCCACGTCACCAAAAACCCAGGTTTGGTCCGGCTGGCCATCAGGATTCATTCCCCAAACATTGACTTGGAAAGTAGCAGGCCATTCAGTCATGAGGTTAAAGTCCCACATACCATTGCCCCGCCAAGTCATAGTATTCGGTACACCAGAATCGAAGCCGTATTGATTGAAGGCACCATGCAAGAACAGATGTGGGAATCGCTTTGGAGATTGGGCCACAGCATCGGCATGCTGGAAGGCGTCACTGCTACCTGCCAAGCGGCTGTAATAATGGACGATGACATGGTCGCCCTTCCAAGCCTGTCGCTTCGCACCCGACCAATGCTGAGGTTCCAGAGTTGTATTTCCGCCTTTGTATTCTGTCCAATTGGAGAAAGAGGTTCCCCAATTCAGTGAATAGCGGAACATATCAGCGCCGGCAGCTTTGTGCGACAAGTAGAGTGTACCATCAGATTCCTTGTGTAACAGAGCCTGCGTATAGTTTGCCAACGTAGGGAAAACGATTGGATTATCGTCCTGGCCGGTTCGGAAAAGAAGCCGATCGACAGCATCGGTGACATTGCCTGCCTGCGAGGTGGCATTGTTGAGTGTGACTGCATGTATACCATTTGAAACATTGATGAGAGTACCCTTCCAGGTCCAGGTGGTAGGAATCCCACCAACATACGTCGTATTAACCGCCGAGATAGTCTGGCACTTGACGCTGTTCTTGTCCAAAGACGGCGTTGTGTCATCCTCGGTTGACGAGTTAAAGCTTATGGAATTGGTCACTGAATCACAGTCCATCGGTGTCGAGAAATGGAATTCCACATTGATTGATTCCTGCTTCCCTGGCGCAACAGTTGACTTCAGACGCGCGTCGTGTCCGGGAACAAATCCGGTGAGCATAGGCGGAGGTTCAACAAACTTGTCCTTGGGGACATAGGCGCGGAATGAATAAGCCTCCATTGTGAGAGATCCATAGCAGCCATTGACCTTTTTTGATTTGGTGAATGCTAGGAGAATTGTCAGCAAATTGTGCTGCGGCGTTAATGTTTAATTCTGAGATGGGACTTACTCCAGTTCTGCGGCGAGTCAACCAGCTCAAACTCATCAAAAGGGTAAAAGAGGTTCTTGACAGTCGTGCCAGTGACGAAAGGTGCTATAAGCGCCGTATCATTGCTCTTACAATCAAAGACGTAATTGTGCGTTCTGTTCATGTTTGAATAGAGAAGCCAAACAGACTGGTTGCCTTGACCGACATCATCGAAGTCTTGGACGCCGTCCCATATGGACCGAAGCACACTCCACATGCCTGTTTCCGTTGGTGTTCCATTACTACCAGGGTAGTAGACGTTTTCAGTAAAGTTGGAAAGCTGTTGCAGGTAGTAACCATCATTCAACGCCGGAAAGTTGGAGCGCATGTGGTACATGCTCTTCATGATATTGCGGATTGGGTGCGTAGGATCACGGTGATCGAGACTGACAGTTGGATCGTGACAGCCATCGGTAGCGCTGTCGACTGGGAATCGGTAGTACTGCCCAGAGCCAATTTCGTAGCATCCATGGATCTGCCATGCGCGTGCAGGAGACATTGCTTGACGGCCGAAAAGATAGTTGGAGGCGGTGTTGTCAAGGATATAGAATGCTTGTTCTTCTCCCCAAAGAACCAAAGGTATTCCAGGCATGTGCAAGGTGGTGATGAACAATCCAAGGAGCATCCTCTCCGTGCCATTTGCAATCGCAGGCCATCGGAAAACGTCCTGATTAGTTGCACCATACATATGGCGGGGGTCGAATAATCCCGTGCTTGGGTTGACCAAATCGTTTGTGAGGAGCATGTATTCCCACATTTCAACCCAATTAGGAGGCGTGTCATAGCCAGATTCAAGGTTACCGTCCATTCTGCGCAAAGTCAGCACTGCCCTTTCAGGGGAAAAGAAAAGAGAGGGAGATTATGTTGTAAAGTGGAGGGGGGGATAAGGCAAAGGGTTTCAGGTAAATGGAAATCAGCTAGATGGACGACTTACCCTAGGAATCGGGTGAGTGTTCTATACACCGTATAATGGAACGCAGCAGCATCCAAGGCATTTTCGCCATGATCACGGAGGAAGAATGACTCCGAGGAGTTGTTCGTCATAGTGACCGCTGTGAGGTTGCTCGAGGGGGTCATATCAGGCTGGCGGCCACGACCCAAGTAGATGGATCCAAAGACGTTTCCACCCGTAATCTCACCGGGCATAAAAAAGTTATGCTTTCCGTATCTGGCCGCACAGTCGCGAATATATGCATTGAATTGTGCCATGGCGTCCACCGTAACCTGGGTTGCCTTATCGAACCGATAGCCGTCAACATCGAGCATTGCAATTGCCAAGCAGGAGAAATGTTGAATCTTTTCGAGCACTTCGGGGTCCCATTCTCGGAGTCGATCTTGAACCGAAGCAAATTTTGACAATTGACGTTGCCAATCTGGAAAGACACCAAAAGCCTCGGTATCGCCAAACTGCTCGGAGTGTCAGCCAACCAGCTACCAACTTGTACCAAGGCAGAAGAGACAGAAAGGCCCTACCTGATCAAATTCGCCATTATAGCACCCTTTCAATTGATCAGTCACATCGGATCCTACAGGGTAACCGGTCTCGAGCCAGAACCGTGGAAACTGGCAATTGTCTTGCCAGGTGTTTGAGAAGTTAAAGTCGCGGTATATCCGGTCTGTCTTCCATTCCACCTTGTGCCCTTTGAGGGTGAAGGGTGCGGTGGCGTTAAGATAGCCTTTGAAACCAATCAGGTCGCCCAGCCTAATTTACAACATTCAGTATATAACGAGACAAGATCGGTGGGCTGTTATCTAACTCACGTGCCGAAAGTATTATCCAAGATGACATACATCCCACGCTTGTGGATCTCGGCGACGGCTTGGCGCCACACATCGATGGTTCCCAAGTGATGGTCCAAAAGTGTCAAGTCCAGCGGCTAGCAGCATTCGTCAGTCTTCCTCTCTCTTGTTACGAGCTCAACCAGGAGCCAGTGCATACCGAGTACCCGTCAGCGCCCCAAGGCTGATTGATAAATGGAGAACCGGCAATGTAGATACCCTATTCAATGGTCAGTCATTGACGAACGCTCTCGCACAATGTAGGGGCATAGATTAAGAAATAAGAGACGCGAATACTGACCTTCATCCCCATTCCGCGCAAATAGTCAAGGCTGTCCACCAAGCCAGCCAGATCTCCACCATGGCGGAGCTGGTTGCCCATAATATCGTGCTCAAAGTAGGTGCCATTGGCATCATCATTGGTTGGATCGCCATTCACGAACCTGTCAGGGAAAACGGTATAGAAAGGGAAACGCCAACTGTCAGGCGACGGCGTGTAGGAGTGGCCGGTCCATTCTCCCCAGTAATCAACAGGATTCGTCGCGGATTGATTCTGGTTCAGATTCCACGGGATCTGCTCTGAATCATAACGAAGTCCCGAGACAATCGAGGCAGTCAGTAGCACCCAGAGGCCAGCCGCAGGAAAGCCCAGCATCCTGCGAAGCCGGCCGGCGTTCGCGTGGCCGTCGGTGGAATTGACGGACTTGCCTGCGCTGAGAAGCTCAACAGATAAGAAGCCGCCACTGCGGCGAGAGGACCGTGTGCGGCTCTAGAAGTTGAGCAGCGAGGAAAGATCGAAAACCCTTTGCAAGGAGAGCCGCGATATCAAACGAATGTAGTTTTAACAGTTGACACGATTGTGGTGAGGCTCAACTCAACCGCCGATGGACATGTAAAGTGAGGGACGAAGGGGAGGAGCTGCGAGATAACCCCGTTGGAGAGGATTTTCGAAAGCAGCCCCCAGTTTGGTGGACCGGGTCGGGGGTCAAATCGCGGCAGTGCCAAAATACTGATTAGATCGAGCGAGAATTAGGCTTCCCCCTTTTAGCAAGCAGCAGTGCTAACGGCTACGACAGAACAGGGAGAGCTCAGGGGAAAAGTGACAACCATGACGATACCAAACTCTGGTGGGTAAAGAGTGGTGTCCTGTGTAGATAACAGATCCTTGACACTGTTTACCTCCTAGGCGCGTCAGGATGGTGAAAAAGTTGACCAGCACCGCAAAAGTTCCCACCGAAGTAGATCCTTTACCCAGTGTAAGAGTGAAGATCAGCGGTATCCGGACACTTCGACTGCGGGTCATCAACCACGGTCGAAAAGACGAATCGTCTTGGCTGTCAGCCTAGGGCGGTGGGTGAAAAGACAGTGCGCGCGTGTGCCTGGACCCATATTGATCAGTACCAGCGCCTGCAGGCCTCCCAATAAGCCACTTACTCTGTACTCCGCTTTTGCTTGAAGCGATGCAAAAGCGTCAGATGTACTGTACCTTTTTCATGGTAAGAAGAGCCCCCCTTTTGGCCATTCACCACTGGTGGCAGCCTCTGCTGGAAGATAGCCCATGTACCCATTTCAAAGGTTCAGCCAATCACTGAGAGGCTGGCTTCACCTACAGCAGTGTACCAAATCACTACTGTGTGTGCGGATGAGCACAAGAACGCATGGGGGGCGAGTGTGTGGAACAAAATGTCCAGCCACAAGGTAAGTGTGTATCGAGTAGGTAGGTGGACCCTGTTTATCTCCTTACTACGGTACGCTTGCACCGCACCAAATTGTTGGCGTGAATTGGGCCCGCTCTCATTCGGCCCCATGAGGTCTGCCATCGCTCTTCAGCCCAGTCAGACTCTGTTTATTAGAGATTCTTAGTCATAGTCTAAAAAAAATCCATACTCACAAGTCGGTCTGCCTTGAGAAAAGTCAAACTTATTCATTTGTGCTGGTGGTAGGACGAATTGATGTAGCCGAACGAATCACCATGAAAGAGTACAGAGTAGATGGCGCGGCATCTCCTTGGACGCGACATGTCAACCACAGGTCACTCTGGGTAATTTCTTTTCTCTTTTCTTTTTTTCCCCTTCGACTCGGCCGTTCCTGACGGGGTTGACCAATCAGTTACCAGAGCCCCTTTCGCGTGCTGACGAAACAGTCACGTGATCTGGTTTTGAGTTGGTCTGGCGGCTTTTTCTTTTCTAGTTTCCCCGAGCGGACGATATGACCGAGCAGTCGAACCAATGGACCAGGCGGTCAGGGCTGTGGGAACTAAGAATCCCTCGCCTGCAGTGCCGTTCGAAGCCTTTTTGCCCATCTCAGCCAAAATAATGCCATTCTCCCCTCGTCCGTAGCGAAAAAGTTTGAGTCTTGGCACGCGATACCGCTTAGTGGGAAAGACCGTCGGACATGAAAGTGCTCTGTATTTACACTTTCCTGTACGGCACTGCAGTACAGGGTTTACTCGTAGAACTCGCCCGCATTGTATGGAGTAGCGGGGCTCTGTCGAATGTGTTCCGTAGGCTGAAGTACCGAAGTGAAGCAATTTCACGTTAAACAATGACTCCGAGGCACGGTGCCACAAGTGCCTCCTTTTCTTTAGGTAGTCAACAGATGAATATGCCTCCCTACGACAGGTGGACATTTGGCTTCCCCGCCTCATTCCAGGCATCATTAATTGCGAGACGTAGTGTGGAAACTAAAACCTCCTGGAATTCATACTTTAAATTAGAAGTTGCCCTGCACAATACCGAAACTTTGACGAGAGCACAAGGTGGTCGATGCAAAGTCTAACGTAGTACTCTATAGAAACAACTTTTCAGCTCAGAAAAGGGGAAGGCCGTTCAGATTTTGAGTCTTAATGCTCAAAGTCGTAGTGCACAGAAACTTTTCAACTATTCTGAAGATCATGTCCAATACTCGTAATACAGGGTGAAATTCATCGTCTACGTTCCCAGTCAAATTTGTCAGAGAGAAGAAAAGTGGCTCGGGAATAGGTCGGATGTTATCCGGGCATATCATACAAATTAAACTTAATATGAACTTGTTCAGGAGCACTGCTGGTTGACATAAAAGAGCAATTCTCATGGACACGGTGGCTTAAGCAATCATGAGTTTGGTGGAGAAGCCGTTGGCTTAATATCGATTAAAACCTTGGCCCGAAATCGTGCCGATTTGTTTTCTTTAGCCACTGAGAGCAAAACCCTTTTTTAACTTACAGTAGTCTCGGGTCAGGAGAATTAATTGGACGGAGGGGAAACGAGGGGTTCCATCCTGAAATAAGCGACGCCGACCGGACGCTACAGCGGTTGGTTTCCAAGTGATTCTACCAAAAGAAAGGGATCTCAACTCTTCTAGAATGATAATGATCATGGCAAGTTATCCATTGCCCTCGCGCTGGTTCCCCACTCCTAAAATTGTGTTGTACAGCACTGTGGGCAGGACAGAGTCATGTCAGTTCACTCTGCTCTCATATCAGGTCGCAGTAAATGCCACGTACAGCTACCGGCCCTGAGCGCCCGAGCCATTGGTGTAACTCCAAGCGGTCCAAGCGATGCATATTCAGACGGAAATTCATAAATCCATATGACAACAAAAATTACGGAATATTTCATTCGCTGCTTCCATGGACACTTCTGGCACGTGCTCACGAATCTTCCATACTGTATTCTCCGTTGATTTAGCATATTACGGAGTTAATACAAAGTGGGGTGCTTGTTTGCCACAGCAGAATCCGCTCTACCAAAAGCTTGCAGCCTCAGGGGGCGAATACGAGATGATCCCTGACGATTGCTTCTCACGACGATTCCCTACCGACGGTTCCTGTTCCTGGTTTCTGCAGCCAAGGCGATTGCCGCAGCTGCGATAAGCGAACGGAGATACCAGCCCCTTTTTCTGTTGTCAACGTTGGTTGGTTGTCGACTCCGTCCTGTGCTCTTCTTCAGCACAGTGCTGTGGAGGAGCAGGACTGCAAACGAACCATATTCCACAAAGGATGTGTACACATATTAAACTTTCCAATCGTAGACCCATGCTCTGGCTGACAAATCTCCGTGCTTGAAATTATTATTGCTAAGGCAAGTGTAAAAGGAAGTCTCATAAGAATCCACCAGTAATTCGCAATCGCCGGGAAGTAAAACCACAGACGTCAGATCCCTGCATAACCTGAAATTAAAGAAAAAAAAATTTCCCTGTTTGAATCAAATATTCCAGAACGGAAAAGCCCAACCTGCAAACCCCATCGATGCATAGAATATTCCTTGGGTGGTTCCACGCTTTACCACTCAAGGGGCTCGTTCTTCACCTCGCCCCGGTTCGTCTTTGGGACAGGCACAGCTTCAACTCTGACCGGACCCTTGCGACGAAGGTATCCGGTACCATCGAGCCATGGAGTCTCAATAGTCCGCTGGCGCTCAAATTGGCGAATCTTGCTTTCATGTTGCATGGTCAAGCCAATGTCGTCAAGGCCGTTAACCAAGCAATGCTTGCGGAACTCCTCCACATCAAAGTCGGTGAGCTTGTTGCCCTGAGCATCGTTGATGCGCTGGTTAGGAAGGTCAATCTCCAGTTCCTTGCCAGCTTCAGCTTCGGCAGCAATCTTCTTCAAAATCGATTGATCAGAAATGATGATTGGGAGCATTCCATTCTTGAAAGTGTTATTGAAGAAAATGTCTGCATAGCTTGGTGCAATTATGCATTTGATACCGAAGTCGAGAAGGGCCCACGGTGCGTGTTCTCTTGAGCTTCCACAACCAAAGTTAGGGCCAGTGACGACGAGAATTTTACTCTGGCGGTAGGGTTCCTTGTTCAGGACAAAATCAGACTTTTCTGAACCGTCAGGATTGTAACGGAGTTCATTGAACAAGGCAGAGCCCAGTCCAGTCCGCTTAATCGTTTTCAAAAACTGCTTGGGAATGATCGCGTCGGTGTCCACGTTTGAACGATCCATAGGTGCCGCAATACCTTTTAGGGTCGTGAACTTTGGCAGGCCCGCAGATGAAATCGACGGCCCATGTTTCCCAGTTTCCTCGTCTTCGGGCATGTCAAGGATGCGATCCAGATCCGCATCAGTTTCCAGGTCCTCTTCTTCTGGAGCAATATCAATCCTAGGGGAGCCTTTAGCAGGAGTTGGGTTTTGGCTAGTCAACTTCCTGACATCAGTAAGTTTGCCAACGATAGCTGCAGCTGCCGCCATAACTGGAGAAACGAGGTGAGTACGGCCACCAGCACCTTGACGACCCTCAAAATTCCGATTAGATGTGCTAGCGCAGCGTTCTTGTGGAGATAGGATATCGGGATTCATGCCAAGGCACATCGAGCAGCCGGCTTCTCTCCATTCGAAACCGGCGTCTTCAAAGATCTTGTCCAACCCCTCAGCCTCGGCTTGGGTCTTCACAAGACCTGAACCAGGAACAACCATGGCACGCTTGATGTGGGCCGCGATCTTCCTGCCTTCCACCACCTGGGCAGCAGCCCGGAGATCCTCAATTCGTGCATTTGTGCACGAACCAATAAAGACCTTATCCAGAACTATGTCCTGCATCGGTGTGCCAGCCGTCAAACCCATGTATTCGAGGGCTCTCTTGCAACTAAGCTTTTTCGATTCGTCGGAGAAATCGTCAGGCCCAGGTACCACACCTGTGATAGGGACCACATCCTGAGGAGAAGTACCCCAAGTAACGGTCGGTGCGATATCCTTTGCGTCGATGAAAACGTCGACATCGTAGGCTGCTCCCTCATCAGACTTGAGGCTGGACCAGTATTTGACGGCCTTCTTCCACTCGGGACTATCATATTTTGGCGCTAAAGGTCGGCCTTGGAGATAGTCAAAGGTGATCTGGTCAGGAGCGATCATGCCAGCGCGAGCACCAGCTTCAATTGACATGTTGCAGATGGACATGCGAGCCTCCATGCTCAGACCGCGAATGGCAGAGCCGCAAAACTCGATAACAGCTCCGGTGCCGCCGGCGGTACCGATCACACCAATAGCGTGAAGAATGATGTCCTTGCTGCTAACACCTGGAGCCAGCTCGCCATCCACCTGTATCCGCATGTTCTTGCTGCGCTTTGTAATCAGGGTTTGCGTAGCGAGGACGTGTTCCACTTCACTGGTTCCAATACCAAAGGCAAGGGCACCGAATGCACCATGGGTGGATGTGTGGCTGTCGCCGCAAACAACTGTGGTGCCTGGGAGAGTGAAACCCTGTTCAGGTCCAATGATATGCACGATACCCTGACGTTTGTCTCCCAAACCAAAATATGTAAGACCAAACTCTTTGACGTTATCCTCCAAGGTCAGACATTGTGTCCTTGAGTCGGCTTCTTGCACAAAGGTCCCAACATCTTTGAATGCTTTGCGAGAGCTTGTAGGCACATTCTAAAGCCATCCGTCAGCGGAAAAAATAGTGAAAAAAAGCCAGTCCAGTTAGATTCTTACATGATCTGTTGTGACTAAAGTGCAGTCTGGTCGTCGAACTGGTCGTTGAGCATTCCGAAGACCTTCAAACGCTTGCTGTTTCACATGTCAGGCTTGCATATTGAATTCTGGATCAAACCAAACTTACTGGAGATGTAACTTCATGAACGAGATGACGATCTGCACACTTTTAGTAAATAATTATTGCGAATATGAGATTATCGTGAATTACCAATGTAAAGCAAAATAGTTCCATCCTCGGCCTCATTGACAATGTGATCTCGGAAGACCTTGTCATAGAGAGTCTGAGGCTTTTTCTCTGCAGACGGCATCCTGAACTTCGGTTTCTGACAAAATAATAAAGACCCAATTTGACGAAGAACGCCAACAAAATATTATGGATAGGTAAGAAAAGTTAGGAGTCTTTCGTATTATGAGGTCGCAGAGCATTCGAAGAACTTCGTGGGGCAAGCCGACATCGGGAGCGTCACCGGAATCAGCCTTATTCTGATTGGCCACAAATTCTCCAGGCTTTTCCTCCGACATCGGAGCCACACCCCGGCATAAGGCATGGTACAGCAAAAGCAATGGGGGGTTTCAGCTTCATTAGTACAGAGTATTGTGAGCGAATTCCCGGCCGATGGACGAGTCTGAATCATCCTCCGAATTCTGATTTCGACAGATCAGGAAGGAGGAATTTCAAAGCGCCGCAACAACCAATAGCCATCGCACAATACAAAGTCCGATTTATCGCACAAAAAACGATAAGCCAGAAATACCTTATCACTAATGATAAAGCTGTGAAACTCTCCGGTTATCGCATGACTTACAGACGTCATACCATGGCCAGCAATACACGAATATGAAAGCACAGCCCGACAAACAACAGACAAAGAGATCTTCTCCACTGTCCATATCTAGCATCTTGAACCTTTTCTATCTATTTACTGAGTCATTTCTAAAGCACGCAAATTCGAATCTAAATATAATCTTTCATTTCAATCCCCGATGTATAAGTCAACCAGCCAGTCCTCATACCGTCAGGTTATCTTGCCGGAATATCAACAACGCAAATTTGTGCCTCACTAACAATCCCAGCAGACCAACCACTGTCTGCATGGCTGTGATCCCCATTGCCAGTCGATCTTCTCGCATGGGACCAAACCACACGAGCCATAAATTCAATATGGTGAAATTGGTGCAGCTGACAATCTGTCCCTGAGGGTTCTTTTCGATCCTCAGGAGGCCAATCTTGTGCAGGATATTGAGGGCAATATCAACCAGTGGCTTCGGAGGCTGCTTGAACTGGGCAGTCGACGGTTCAAGGAGGCCGGTACGGGCATTGAAATGTGGGAGTCGATGACGGGGGCAGGGAACGAGACCGAATAATTGAGGCGCCGAATATAGAAAATTGAAGATTTGAGGGACAAACAGAAGGAGTAAAGTCTTACTGAAGTGCCCAAGGATTCCAACGACAGCAAAAACCATTCCGGCAAAATAGCAATAGGTATCTCCGACAAACACTCTTGCAGGGTACCAATTGTGTTTCCATAGGGCCAGTGAAACGCCAATGAATGGCAATAAAAAGTAGAGCGAGAAGAGATGTGAGTCCGTCGCAGGATGCGGACGGGCGTTGATTGGAATAAGATAAAGGACGTCATTGAGAGCAATGAGCACAGCGATGACGAGAGACTGGGAAACTTCGATGCCGTTAATGCCCGCGAGAATATTTATACTGTTTGGGCAAAATATCGTTACGCTGGCCATATATCCATAGTATAGCCAGCCGAGGTCGAAAATCTCTCCCAGGTATGACTGTAAAGGCACCGGAACGACGACTTTGGTCACACCAAAGTCGACAAAGTATACAATGAGCATGGGGATCGCTGCAAAAGCAGGGATGAACAATTTATGTCGCCATCGGATATCGAACAGGTCATCGCCAACTCCTAGGAGCACAACCGATTGAAGCGATAAGATGGCAGATAGATATGACGCGAGCTAGAAACAAATTTGTTAGTTATGCATAATGATATGTTTCCAACTTTCTTACCTTGCTGTGAGGGAAGCGGTGGAGAAGTCTTCCAGTCTCCACCTGATTTAATTCAAACATTACATCTTTGTTGCCGCCACCTGACGTGGCAGCCACAATATATTTATAGAATGGAAATGGGATGAAAATAATTATTGCCAAAATATATACGACTGCACATATGGCGCCCATGGTTTCCGGGCTGTGAGATACCAGTAAATTAGCCGTTCACGCCACTACCTATAAGAAGGACGGACACATACATTTCAATTTGCTTCGCCTTCGACATGTCCTTGCCTTTTAGCCCAACCCTCATGAAAGTAGGCCCGAGCCAACGAATGAGACAGAAGCTAAACGCAAATGCCAACCCACTGAGAGCTAACGAGACGATTAGGGGCTCGCCCTCGCCGTGAAAGGTATTGGCCAGGATACCGGTACATGCTGCAGACAGAGAAAACAGAGCCCATGACTCCGTTTTGCTCAAAATTGCAGACATGGCGTTGATGGCGACGCAGGGCGGAGGGTTTGAATTGCCGTCGCAAACGTGGCCTCCCCGAAGTAAACTCTCGGCCATTTAGACGCTTCAAATGCCATGACGCGGATCCCATAACCTTACCCTGCATTGCAGGGCATATCGGATAAGCAAAGGACGCGAATCCACGTGACGTATGCCTTAACTTAAGTGGTAAGTTTCCTGAAGAATGGACTAACTGTATTCAGATAGTGACGCCTCGGCTTTGTGAACGGTGCTCACGATACTACCAAACAAGCAGTGTTGTTGATATCAACGTCTTTGATCCAGGTCAATTCGGGGAACTTTAATACCTCAGTACCCCTTCATTAGTTGCTAGGATTTCCTTCCATTCTTCGTCATCTCGAAGTTATCTCTGTTCGAAATCTTGAAGTCGCGACGATTTTTGTCGCCTGTTGTACCTTTTTTTGTCACCGCTTTCGTCCAATGGATTCCACCAACGGCTTTCAAGTGTTTGAGCATGGGCATCAAGATGTTGTTCAGGCAGCGGACTATAATTTCTATGGCAATCGCTTAGTGACTGCATCTTCTGATCATCGTCTGAAAGTTTGGGACTTGCATGACGGAGAATGGGAACTGACGGACACTTGGAGAGGCCACGATGCCGAAATCATGGACGTAAGTTTATCGAGGTTATCAATCATGCTTTGCGTTCGATGAATCTATTTGGAATCTCACTTTCTGGACTTTTGCTGCCATTTTAATTTTTGAAATGAAGCATAAAAAGAACGTGCAGTTGTCTACCAAATGTCTGAAATTCACATCAAAGATGATTTGCGCTGAAACATTGACAGGTGAAATGGAATGGGCCGGTAATGGGCCAGGTCTTGGGAAGTGTTGGCGAAGATGGGAAGTTCAAACTTTGGGAAGAAGACGTTGCGGAGCCACCTAACTCGGGAAGACGTTTCAAATGCATATATTCTCACACGTCCCCCACACATGTACCATACTCTTCCTTGGACATGAAAAATCAGAGTCTTGATACGTTTGTTGCGCTGATTTCTCGGGACGGTCACTTGACCGTTTATGAGCCGTCTGATCCTGATTCTCTCAGAAATTGGCAGCCACTTGATTCGCTTCAGGTGTGTCCCAATCCGTCAAGGGGAGAAGAAACTGGATTCAAAGTCCGTTTCCACAAAGATCCCCTACCTTGCTTCACAGCAGTCATGGCCGGTTTAGGGGAAAGGTCTCTGTCTTTGGTTGTAGGCGCCATGGATACGGTGAAAGTGTTGCGCACAAATCGATATAATCAATTCTACACGGCCGCCGAACTCAAAGGTCACAGAAGCCTAGTACGAGATGTGAGCTGGGCGCGTGGCTCCGTGCGAGGGTCAGATATTATTGCCACCGCTTGCAAGGATGGCTTCGTTCGCATTTTTGAACTTACAACACCATCCCCTACTGGCCGCCCACTAGTGTCTACGGACTATGTCTCTCCTCCTCGTTCTGCTTCCGAGACAGCCAACACTTCTACACCCCTTCGGGGAGGACGCAATGCGCCATCTGGAATTGGTGCTGGGCTAGCTGGCGCTCTACGAGCGAACGGGGGCAGTCGCGAAAATGACGGCGACTCGAGTCAGGTCAAGCATGTGGTAAGAGAAGTAGCATCACTCGCTGCTCACCAAGAGGGAGTTTGGAGAGTTGCATTTAATATGACAGGTATAGACTTGTTCTTGCGATGGTGTTGTTTGTTTCGGCTAATGTGGGGCTTAAGGAGATATGCTTGCTACTATGGGCGACGACGGCAGGCTCAAAACCTGGAAGCGTGCTATTACTGGCGAGTGGGTTGAGTATGCCGAAATTGGCCCCGAAGAAATGAGGTTTGTTTTACTCTTCACTCGTGGACACTTTCAAGATTTTGCTGACAGCAGTCATTTAAGCTGAACTATCTGTCTAAAATGGACATTTTTATCATTCGCACCGATAGTATGCCATTAGATTGGCCGCCAATTTTTCTTTGAGCACACGCTCGTCTCGAATGGAATCTCGACTTGTGGGCGGTTTTTCACTCAATAATTGGATGGGACGGGTTCAATTCACTCCTGTCTTTTCGGTCTAGTAGACATAAAGCTGGACCTACGGATGCCGCGGAGGATTTACAAAGCAAATGAGAGTTGTGTATGGGCATCAGATTTCGCGCCGAGAGGATGAGTTCTAGTTACAAAGAGGAACTCCAAGGCCAAATCATCACAGGGAAAAGAGACGCTCGGAATTGGTTCGCTTTCAAAAATTGCGCCGCTGTTATTCTACCTTTCATCACTCCAACACTCGGTCACTGTCGGGGCCCCTGAATTATGTCAATAGCCGAACACCAAATTTCGTTTGCTAACATACCAGAAGAGCCAAACCCTTGAACCAACTTCATCCGTGATGTCAACCCAGTCGTGTTGACTATTAAGCCGTCTAATACCCTGATAGTACCTGACACCCTGCTCGGTTCTGCGGATTTCAAGGTGCACACCCTCTATTTCGTCCTCTGGTGGGCTTCGTTTGCGATATCGATTCACAAGTGTAGTCGATTCGTTGATGTGGTGCATCGATATGGACCGCATCTCCTTGGCATGCTTCTCTCGTCGGCGACTCTTGGAGATGGCACAGAACTCTATCGATTGGTCAGAAGAGTTAGATCTCCTTTCAGACGCGAGATTCTTTCAGTCGATGTTGAAGTGGATTGGGAGAAGAATCACAGATCCTCACTTACTCTTCACCTTGGCACAACGATGCTTAATCTTCGTTGCCTTCCCTGAAATCTTCCTCCATGATCGCTTCAAAGGGTTCCGACTTCGCTCCTCCAACCTCGTTACATCTCCTGACCTCATGACGAGGTCATCGCTTTCTTCATGCGGCGAATCGGGTAGCCAATATTCCACCAATGGCAGGTCGGGCTCAAAAGGATATGTCAGGGCAACAGCTAGGTCACTTTGCCACGGCTGCGGAGAAGGGCGTCTTGGAAGAAGGTCAATTTCCGCTTCCATATCCCAAAATCGCGGCACGATTGGCTGTCTCGTTTGCCAAGGCTGCGGCAAAGGGCCCCTCGGAATAAGGTTAATATCCGCTTCTATCTCCCAGTACAGTGGTAGGATTGGTTGTCTAATTGGCCAGGGCCATCTTCCCGTGCCGCTTAGGTGCGCAAAGTTTTCTGGCCCTGAGAACGTCGTATAGGCCACGGCATCCAGCTCATGAAGCGGCGTAAAGGGTTCCGTCGTGACTTCATCATACCTCGTGCAGAGGCTCGGGTCTCCGGAAAAGTAATAGGGAGCGCACATTGATAAGCGTGTGCCGTATGGGGAGTACAGGCACATGCCTTTACCGGAGTTACAATGAGATGAGAGAAGGGTTTGGATCTCGAGTGGTATCGGAACCTGGAACAGCAGCTAAAACAGTGCGATTTCGAGGAAGGAAAGGAAAAGGGGAAAACTTGCTTTCTTCCCTCACATTTTATAGGAGGATCCATTAGAGGGATCTATCAGAGCTCTGGTCGCTCAGCCTGCACCGGCAAAGGAACACGTATTGAGTCTCTGTAGAGGGCATAGAACAAGTCGACAAACCGAAGAAATTTATTTCTTCTTCCATTCGGACATTGCCAAAAAGGGGCAAGAATGTGTGCAGCATGATAGACGATTTCTGCTTTTGTCCAAGATGCATTCTAAATTACTGGCGAGGCCATAGCCATACAATTAACCCCTGAATGTTGGCCTTTTATTTTTATTTCTATTTTTACTATTTTATTATTTTTTTTCCAACGGGTGTCTCGTGATACTGCACCCCATTAGGGACAAGCTTTGTTGAACATATCTGCTTCTGTTATAGCTTTGCACAGTTGCTTTCGTTATTGTAATGGGTCTTGTAGAATTTGGACAACGTGGCAGATCAATAGCGATTTCGATGCGCCATGTTGAAATAACTTGTGTCCCGTGGTATTTGCCTGGCTGCTCCAAATGAGACTAGTATGTGATGCCTTAAGACTTCAACAGTTCTGCCTAATTAGGACAATGCTTTATTTCATCAAACATCGTCTGAAAATGAAGGATTGGAAACGGGATGGTATATATGTGTAAGTGTCTGGCAAGACCTATCTTTATTTTTAAATCTATATGCAAAATCTTTGTACGCAACTCTAAACATTGTAGTTGTCAGTTTTTGAAAGGACTACTTTTGAAAGTGATGACCCTGAAATACAGCTGGTTTCTTTTCCCAAGTATCAAGGTATACATAATTTGGAAAGGACTTGCAAAAGAAAGAAAAAAATAAATAAATTTAGGCTTTACATCTGAATGAGGAGGACGTGTTGCTATTCTAATCGAAAGATATAAAGTTGGTGACGTCCCGTGGCATCATGTTGCAATCTTTCTTATCAGGATCAACAGCGCCTTATCTCTTCGCTAAGCACACCCATTTAGGGAAAGTTGTTTTGGCCCCTCGCAAGCAAGTCATCGCCGCTGTCCATGCGGTTTGTCTGCAGCTGCCCCGCATCGGCCGGCCATCCACCCACCCCTCACCAACTTTCTTCTATAGCTCATGACTCGATCAGGTATTCAGTCACGTTCCGGGTGTCTACCAGTCTATGACTAGTCGACTATTGCCCGAAAGCCAGAGCTACTCCGGTAGTTGCATGGTGCAGCGTCCTGCGATAATGCAGCGAAGTGTGTGCCCACTCCTTTTTGAAGATCAGGCGGCATAGCCATGCTTTCCGAGGTCTCAGAGAACTACGTGCCAAGATCAAGCGCATCATCTGTGTCTGGCCAAGTAGGTGCCGCGGGAGAGCACAAATTTCTGGTTTTTATGATCGCGGATCAAACCGTATAGTTATCAAACCTGCATGCTCGAGCCAAGGTTTGGGACCCAGTTGATCGGTGCATGGCCCACAGCGGTTCGGTTTAGCTGCTTCACCCCCACCCTCCCATAAAGCATGCTTCCCGGTCCGGGCGGACAAACCTTATATGCACATCCCATATAGCCCCCCTGCTCTTTGCCTCCCACCGTGACTTTGTTTCTCAGACTCGTTTTGCGTGTTGTGGTCCTCCTTTGTGACTCAAAATATATAAGATAAAGACTTGCTGCTCATTGGCAGTATTTATTTCTGGAGGTTGCTGTCCTCGATCCTTAGGGGTCATTTGCACAGCATATAAGCTCTTTTTGAAGCTCCAGGACCTGCAGGCGTTCACAGTTGATTCTCTCAGCCATTTGTTTTGCTTTTCAAAGCGTCCACGTACCTTATTTTGTCCGCAGAGCAAAATAAAACATCCAGCATGACGTGTGATATTACAAACACGCCATGGGCGACCGATCAGCTTCCTCGATATTCGAGGGACCCAGAGACGAGCTCGATCTTGTCCGAAGCTCCCTCTTATCACACGTCGATGGTGCTTCCCCCTCCGCCACCGTTCTCCGTGGCAGTCTCCAGTCGTAACCGGACCGCTTCAACCACAGCAACGGGACTCCCAAGCCTCGACGAGGTGTCTGCCTTCTCCTCCAGGGCGCGGAACCGGGGTGGCAGAAGGGCATCCGATTTCGATGGACATACATATGCTATCAGTCCCTGGTCATCCACGCAGACTAGCCATCAGGCAAAGCACTATCATGCAGTCGCGAGGCGCCGAGCTGCAGCGAACGATTCATTTTCAATGGTGGCGTCCGCCATGTCGACCGTTCTAAATAGTGCCAATTCGCAGAATGCTCCTGGAGCTTCAGCGGCATCTAACTCCGCAATGCCACCGGATACCTCCTCTCCATCCTCCGCCTCACTCAGCCCCTCGTCATCTTCGTCTGATGCATCATCGACCAACTTGATCCCTTCTGATGAGTCGAGCACCGCAGCATCTACACCGAGCGCAGATGACGAGCTAGAGAGCTGGTTGGAAGACCCGGGCTTAGTCGGGCAGGAGGCAGCAGATCGAGCACGTAAACAGCGCCTGTATATCCGTAGCTGTCGCGAGGAACAGGAGAACTGCGCTCTCCGTCAGGAGAACAAGTCCTGGGATTTCATGCTTGGCCAGATGTCGGACTGGCAGGAACGGCAGCGCAGCTGGGCCAAGTTTCGCGACGAAGTTCGTGGGACGCGTCTCCTTGGGCGCCGCCTCGGACTGCGGAAATGAAATGAACATGTCATGGGTTTCGTTTGTTTTGGGATGGCTTTTGATGGTTTAACGCGCTTCTTCACGGCGCTGGTACGCTGAGGCTTTGGTTAGTTTTCCGTTTTGAGAGGCATCCTTGAAATGGTATTCACTCCATGTGTCCTTTGTTTGAAATGATCCGGCGTTGATGTAGTCGTCGTCTTCCTCTTCTCGTATTACATGACTTTCACTCTTGCTGTTTCTCTCTATTATTTATCTCGACCAGCAGAATCTTCCAGCAATGATGTTGGGAAAATAACAGTGCTGGTTTGATGTGGCGTAGGGCGTTGGCGTTGCTGGTATCATGAGCTTGAACCCGACTTTCCTGGGGTTATGAAGCTGAGCATCTCCTTTGGAATAGGCGTGCTGTAGACGCCCCGAGAATGAGCGGACGGAGAGCTAAGCAACAGACTCTACTTCTCCCCTTATTATTGTAGCAAATTAAAGATCATTATTTATACTCCGTCACTTTGTTGGTTTTGTGCCGTCAGACGTGAGGCAGAAATTCAGTATTGAGAAAGGCTCCAGGCTGCAGGGTTCGGTTATATATTTTGAACATATTTCGTGCTGGGCCGACGACCAGCAAATATATTTGAATACTCACTTATCTACACCATCTTTTGTTATATATCAATCTTATAGTCTCAAAGACCTAAGTTGGCTTGCTAGGAATTCCAAACCCGACACACCACAGTGAGGTCAGGAGCAGCGTAAAATGGGCTAAGCAAGGTGCTAATAATTATTTTCTTTTCAAAGTGATCAACAGACGTCTAGCAACTAGATTACAGAACTCTTTGCCGGCCCTTCGTACCGTCGAGACGTGGGAAATAAGACTAGGTGAACAACTAAAAAGAAGCGCAAAGTATGAATAGTTTATGATTCCTCTTCCTCTGCTTCGGCCTCCTGCTGAATATCAGCCTCAGCCTGCTCTTCAACCTTTTCCTCAACGCCATTCGTGTCCTCGGTAGCATGTGGCTCAGTAGCGTCACCGCCGGCAGTTGCGCTGTCTGCTTCCGGCTCACCTTCGCCCACGACATCAACGTCGATCAAGTTCTGCGCGGATGGGCCTCGCTTTTCAAGCTCAAGATATCCATTCCATTCTGGGAAAAGCTCGTCATCAGCGCCATCAGCACCCGGAGGCATGGCAATCATTCGGCTGATCTTGCCCTTGGATTCGGCTTCAAGGGTCTTCTTCCATTGCGTAGCTACTTGCGGAGCTTTGCTCGGCTTATAGGTCTGAGCAAACAAGACGGCCTCGGCGACTCTATTGGTACGGAGGAGTAGATCTATACAGCCTTCGATGTCGCCAATCTGCCACAAGCAAGAGAATGCAATGTTATTGGAATTTGTGGCAGACGCTTGCTCAGCCAGCCGGCGAAGTGCAGCAACGTTGGCAGTGGAAGAATGAAGGAGGAGAAGCGATCCCAAGTCTTTGGCATGCGTGAAGCATTCTTCCGCAAGAGCAAGATCCCAACCTGCCAAAGCAGCATCACCAATGATCTTCCATTTATGCTCCACGTCAGCCTGGCGAGCAATTTCAAGAGCAATGTCATGGCGACCCAGACCAAGAGCAAGGTCGAATTTTTGTTCGGAATCAGTAGCAACCTCCAGGGCCAGCTCCTTGTAGTTCTGGCCCTCGAGGAAGCGAGCGACCTTGTTTCTCTGCTCCTCAGGAATATCCGCTAGGATCTCATTTGCTGCATCCATATCACCTCTGAGCACTAGCGTTTGATACTCCACCACGGAGAGTGATAATGAGTAAGAGATGACATTGACATCTTTGTCTGCAACATAGACTCTTCCATCTCGGGGTAGGTAACCCAAAATATACATTGGCTGATCAAAGTGTGAAATGGTGTATGTTTGATCACCGACAAGATAGTTTAGGCGGTTGGTAGAGTTAGAGTAGATAAAGCAGTCGCCAACCCACTCTCCCGTTCGGACACTACCATTCATTAGACGACAAATTAAATGAGAGCGAAGAGTAATTGAAAGGGGCTTACGTTTCGTTAATATCAGTGACAACCTCGATGGCTGACTCTACACCATCTTCCTCAACCTCACCAGCATTCACAGCAGCAATATAATTTTCTCTCGAATAGCGTAGGACGTAGAAGGTGTCCTCGCAAGCAAGGACCACGAGTTCTCCACTTTCGGACCAGTATACCTGCACAAATACTGAGCACAGAACCGCCGATATATACCAGGGGGTCAACTTACGTTCTTGGGTTCGACCTCAATTCTTCGAACCAAGCCCCCGGTTTCCCAATCGAAGAGCCCGATTCCACCTTGGCCCTTTACACCGAGCAAAACTCCGCCAGCGAGACCTTCAGCTTGGAAGCCAACGTCGAGCCCGCCTCCCTTTTCTTTGAAATTTCTGAATATCCGAACGCTCGTGGTCGACTCTCTGATTGCATAATCATTGCTGTTGTCCTTGGAACCCCAGGCAAAATCTAGAGCAGAGCCGAAAGCTTTGTTTCGCCACGCAAGAGCTGTATAGATGATATACTCGCCGTCGCCGCAAACTGATACGAAACGGCCATTGGGTGAGTGGAGAAGTGACTGAGGGTAAACTTCACATGATCCGAGATCCTTGGCCGGTAAGGTCAAAGGTGCGCCATCCTGAAGGGTTGCATCTGTAGAATCCTCAAAGTAAGCCCCGTCACAGGCCAAAAAAAAGCCAAAACTTACCTCCACCCTTGATCACGGCTGATAGCACCTCATTGTGCTTGGCCCAAATGAGCTTTCCAGAGCTGTCCATGGAAACAGCCGGTTCCTCCCGCCCCATTTTTACCACTACAGCACCATCATCGAAACCTATCGCGATGCCCTGGTTACCGCGCTGGTAGCTGACGCACCATGCTCGCTCCAGACCATATGAAATGGACTGCTCGAGTCTGTAAGTATTTGCGTGCCATATCTTCACAGTTCCATCCTCAGATCCGGAGATAATGATTGGAAGCTCCGGATGATAGCATGCAAAGGAGACGTTTGTTAAATGGCCTTCTAGAGTCGCAATGAGCGACTTTGTAGTGTAGTCCCAAACTTTCACCGTTCGATCGTCCGAAGTTGTCAGCAGGTAAGGCTTGTCCGACTGAGGATAATAATCGACATAATTGACCCCCTTAGTCTCATGCGCCTCCAAGGTGAAGTTCGCCGAGGATGATCCCAAATTCCATATCTTAACCGTCCGGTCCAAACAGGCGGATGCAAAGGTATTGGTATCTTTAGGGTTTATAGCCAGTCCCATAACGTAGTGGCTATGACCTTCGAAAACGCGGACACATTTCCATCCCCTCTCCCAATCCCACAATTTGATGGTCATGTCATCGGACGCGGTCAGCACGAAGGGCTGGGTAGGATGGACTACGATCGCTCGAATGTAATCGGGATGAGCTTCAAAGGAGGTAATTTTCTCCGACGTATTGTAATTGTACACGCGAAGCTGGAAGTCGTCCGAGCCGCATACAATCCAGTTTTTACGTGCAATGAAGCGACCTGCTCGGACCGGAACGTCCGTAAGCTCAAAGGTCTTTACAATAGCCTGCTCTCACCAATTAGCTTTATCTTTTTCCTAGCCATCTGAGGGAATTTTCGAGACGAACCTGCGTCTCGTAAGACCAGATATACACATGGCCTATAGATCAAAGTCGGCGCACGTCAGTCGGCAGCCCCAAGTCCAATCTCATTCTACTTCCAGACACGTACCACTGTATAAGGTAGTCAAGATCTATATGCGCATTAGCAAAAATCGCTTTGCAGTCAATATTTACAGAAAGTACATACCCATGGCTCGGTGGGATGAAAATCAATGCCCTTGACTCTCTCCGATCTGGCAAAAAGTTGCCTCTGTTCGATAATTGCGTTAGGCTTCATGATCCCCTTTCACATAGACCGTCTACAGCGTCCGGCGCCTGACACGCAGCCTTGGGAGAGAACCGCACCTTTATGTCTAACCGCATCTTGGCGGGTTGCTAAATGCAAGGGACCGAGAGGTGACCTTCTCAGGCCAGATTAGGCCAGGACGTGTTGCTCGAGCTCAGGGCGGTAGTGTGAAGGTAGCGCTTCAGCGAAACGATGATTATCGACTTGATAGCTGGATTTTCGACATGCGCCAAACACACCTAGATAAAAGAGCATGAGAATTAACGTCGCATCTTCCCCAATCGTGTAATGGTAACCTACTGCTCCTCTCCAGTTCACCTGTGCTGCAGTCAATCGTGTCGGGTTACGAATAGCTGGTCGGCAGGGAGCAGTACGACTACGGGCATCCAAGTCAGGTTTAGCGCGTTTGGGAGTCTACAGGTGGCCGTTTCGTTCTGGGCCGAAGTAGCTGCCCTGACTACGTTAGTCGAGGAATCCACATATGCAATTGCGTAGCAAACGAGGGAAAGGGCTGAGCTCTGCTGAAGAGTTCAGGATTAATATAATAAATTGATATATTTGATTTATGTGGATAGGAGATAAGAATAGATTCCAACCAACGGTACTGTACCCTTCAAACAATCCAAGTATGATACATGAAAGGGGCCTGAGTTACTAGGACCACATGTCTAACATCTGACGAAAAACAGAGCCAGGTGATCAAACCATAATCATGGTCAACCCTCCCAGGGAGAAGAAATTAATTTTTTAAAGAAGGTTTGAACCATAAAAAGAAAAAGAAATGGATGCCGATTGAATACTAAAGCAAAAAGATGACGCCCCATTGACACCCTCTTTCTTGGACTGAAAAGAATATGTACCCTCAGGCATTCCATTACGATCTCTATGTTGGCTTTCCCATTTGGTTTTTGCATCGAGAAGTGCTCAAGTCATATAAAAAGCTTCGATTAGGATTGCGTATTATTATTATTGGGTGAATATGCTGAGGTTATTGACATTCGTGGTAGCTCATTAGTGGTAGAGGGCCCAGATGATTCCGTACGATCTGTTCCACTGCTCATCCTTAGTTTGCTCGGGTCAATTGACGTCCCAATTTCGGCCAGGTCCAGATTGGATGCATCAGAATCCCACGCTGACGTCTCATGATGTAACTCTGTCGTCTGCCGGACAGGAGACCCAAGTCTGGCTCGAGACCTACGGCCACAGAACAAGATCTGAAGGTGATTGTTTGCCCAGCCCACGAGACGTTTAGCACTATTGAAAATCTGAGGGGCGAAGTACATGAGAAGTCCAGCTATTATGATGAAGACAATGATGAAAAGAAGGTCAATGAACACTTTCACGCCGGCGTGATCATCACTGAGCCGAGGATAAAGCCAGGGAAAGAGAGAACGGGGAATCATCGACGGGGGTCGAAGCCCAAAGCGAGACATATGGCGAGAGCTCTCTGCAGCCAATGATTGTGGACGTTGCTGGAACGGGTATGTATACATTTTGGGTTTCTGCGCCAATCCAATTTTTGAACGTGTGTGAGATTTGAGGCCCCCGGACGGGCAATCTTCCAAGGAAAAGCTGTTCAGGGATGAAGTGATAGCAATTTTGGATCAATTCAAGAGAAGAACAAACATGAGATTAGAGAGGAGATAGAAAGTAATTTGAGGGAAACGAACGAACGGCCGGCCTTTGGCCTTTAAAAGACAAATGTCTCGATTGATGAGGAATGAAAAATGTGTCCTCAAGTGAGTCTGCACGGCAAATGAAAAGGAGATGGCTAACGCTGTCAAAATCGTGGTGATATAAAAAGACATAACTGTCAATCTCCATCCAGACCAGCTATACCAAGCGGACTGAAGACCATACCGAATGCAGGGAACACAATGCTTTGGAAGTTCTCATGATATTGAAAGCGCCGTTCTAACCATCTCACGGCATTACCCCAGCCGTCTCTGGGTAAGTTTGTTGCGTACATACAACAGCAAAGAAGTTTGCCCACGCAGTTTTGAAACCACCAATGCGATTTAGGAATGAAGAAAAGGTATCTTAATGCGACACATAAAGACAGATGAAAAATGAGTCTGGATGGCAGCATGATGAGCAACAAGGGAGAAAGAAAAGTTCAGCACATTGAAATTCGAACAGAATTCTTGGATTAAACAGAGTCGCGGTGAGGATTGCTACGTAGTAGGTAAGTAAAGAGTATTGAACTTTTCTGTATCCTACTACAAGGTAGGTAGGTTGGTAGCAAAATTACGAGCGGAAACTCGGGTGTTTCGTTTGCAATTGAACCACCCGCTAAGCCGAAGTCATCGGTCGCTTGTTTCTTAACTCAAAGAGGCCTGTGACAGCTTAGTCACCATTACCTATTCAAAAAATACTAGCCCTGCCAAACCCAAATGTATGTCGCCGCCTCCCCGGACGTATCCCCGGAGGGAGACAGCAAATATCATTTGGGCTTCACATTTAATTTTCTCTAATTTTCCCCAGTCATATCAAAAATTAATGGTCTTCCGGTCCCTTGGAACTGCTCAATGAGTCTTGAGGACTTCGTGAACGTATTATTTATGCAAAATATAACCGCAAGGGCTACGACCATTGTTTTGCCCCCAGCTACCCGATGCCACCGCTGATCCCTGAGATCGATGCAAGCACAACCGCAAAGCAAAAGATCACATACTCAAGATTCAGATATCATGCATGAAAAAGATGTTCTTCCGCATCAATTTTTAAAAGAGGCATGGTTACATTGACCAGCCGGCGCTTATGCAACAAAAGAATGAACACTTGAAACCGCGCTTCCCAAGGGTATCTTGAAACCCAACCAGCAAGGTGTGCCAAACATCCAACCACTGAGCTTCCTCAGTCGTTCAGAAGAGCATTGATTTTCAACATACTCTCACTGGTGCTGTTACGCCTACCAGACGAATGCTCGTGAGTCAGCTTTTGCCACTCTTCTGCAAGATCCTGAGCCATTGTCGGTTCGATCCTTTCCATGATCTCTGTGACGGGCTGATTTGTGGTTAGCCGTCCACATGCTTTCAGAAGCTCTTCATCATCGCACTCCCGGGATGGCACATTGAATCGCGCATGCTCCCCTGGGATACCAAGTCCACAGCCGCGGACTGTCTTGAGAAACATATGCAGGAGTGGCCTGCAAATTTTGAACCCCGCACCGGCCTGATCAAATGCTTCCAAACAAAACCCAATTAGGTCAGAAGTAACAGCGCTCTCAGGATCATAGCGCAGGATAATCTCCGAGAAGTTGAGGAGGCAAAAGGAATGGACAGGAAGCTGATAACGGCTTGAGTACTGGCTCGCATATGATGCGGCAAGGTCGAGACCCGCTCTGGCGTGGTCCAGGAGGAAACGTTGAAGCTGTTCACGAAACTGGAGAATGAATTTTTCACATGTCGACAATGGGTGGAAAAGATGAATGATGCCAGCATGGAATTCCATACTTTTAACGGGTCAGAATGGCCTCAGCTATGGTTGGACAGGGTACAACGTACTGCAGGAGAAGGACATGGGGTAGCTGTGCAGACGCAGGATTGCCTCGAACCAGTACTGGAGGTAATGATGTCTTCCAGGACAAGAACTCTCGATAAATCTGCATCAGCGATCTGGCTGAGATATTTCCATCGCTTCCGCAAAATAAGTTGACGGTCTTCTGGACAAGAGTATACAATTTAGCGCGCTCTCTTGCGGTCTCCATTTCGAAACTGGGTATGTCGGCGGCTTCGCGGTCATTTTCAGTACGATAAAACTTCCACAAAGTAGGAGGTACGTCGGGTTCGCCATCGGGGAAAGGGGCCGCCTTGTTGTTCACGGGAGGAGTGGATATTTGGTAGGTAAACCAAGCCCATGTGCTGTTTCAATTAGCTGATAAGCTTCTGAACCAGGCAAACGGAAAACGAAATTCAAAAAGGATCCCACAAAAGAGACGAGAAAGTCCAGAAATGCAGAATACCTGGCCAATCAATACTTACGCATCGAGTGTCTCAATACCCTGGAGATAGATCCTCTGAGCCTCCAATGGCGCATTTGACAGAACCACGCTATTGATTGAGTCCGCAGCAAGTCTAAGGTAGGGCCACGCTCTGGCTCCGCTGCCGATAGAGAGTTCGACAAGGAACATGATAGCCAAGGCCTGAAAAGTCGGGAAGCTGGACTGCCCTTCTCTCCGGATAGCTGTTTCAGCTTGTTCCAAAAACTCCTGGGCTAGGGACAGGGCCGGGACATCCTCATGCTCGTCAAAGATGACGCACGACATTGCACAAAGGGCGTTTACTAGAGAACTCGAGCAATACTTTGTGTCGCCACTGTGAAAGCTCTCGAGAAAAAGCGCCTCGCTGAAAAACATATGGACGGGATGTATCCAAGTGAAATAGAGTGCCAGCAGATGCTGTACTAATCTCTGGTCAGTTGTGACCGCAGTCCATTTTTCTATGAGGTCAACAGAGATGGGAAGCTCAAAATAGTCTGGGCTTGCTTGTCCGGATCTTTTGAGAGCTTCGATCAGTTTGCGCTCTGAGGTCGGGGAGAGCATGTCCACGTCGTCCACAACGGGCCGACCAAGCCAGTGTGAGATTTGCCGATATGTTTGCCCTTCTTTGAGGCGACGAATTATCTCGTCGCCTTGACCATTGGCCCGAAGCGCAGCCAAAATCGATTCAATTCTCGCTGCCTTTTCTTTGTAGTCATCATGTCTGACGCGCATCCCTTCATATTTGTCCTGCAGCTCCTCGTTCGTTCCTTGCAAGCCAGTATTTTGTTCCTCGAGGTCTTTGACCATGCGTATTAGATCCTCTTTTGCTGTTTTCACGTTCACGTCGTAATGGCATGTTTCTGAAATGTCCCGGCTCACGCATCGGGCGCATGGCTCTTCGCCGTCACACTAAACGCTCAGCATCAGCAAGTTAGCAAATCACTCTCAGGTTCTCAATAAGTTGCATTGAGTTTTTGTGGCTCTGCCATACCATATAATATTCAAGTCTGGACCAATATCATTTAAGCTAGTAAGGCAAGAAAAAAAAAAGGGTCATCAAGGAATGAAACGAGCTAAAAAAAAAAAAAAAAAAAAAAAAGAATATCTTCTCCTCAACAAGAACTTGTCTTATAGGGTCGATGCAGAGAAAGTGTGCGACCTCTGATGAGGGAGGTCAGGCAGAGCAGAACGTCGACCTTATAGAAGCAGACACAAGAGGAACAGGAAGAACGCAGACAAAGTGCCATTCAACGCTACCTTTGCTCTAGATCGCTTGCAGTTCACACAAGCATTGCGTGTGACATGGGCCGGAGTTCGTCGCCTTTTCTCACCTGCGGATCTCCCAGTAGCTTCGCTCGATTCGCTCTGGTTATTGCCAGGATCGAAACTGCTTCGTCCAGGCTCTGAGGGACGGATAGCCCTGTAGCCTGACATTGAAAGATTACGATCAAATCAAGGGTCCTTTTCCTCTGAGACAAATAAGGGTATAATGATCCAAGAGACAACACGGCTGGTGTTCGGTAACCTTGTTGTCATGTTCGAAGCATCGTGTCAGGTTCGACAACGAAGAGGAATATGGGCATATACGGAGATTCGGAGGAGCTTCTGAAAGCCAGCAATAAAAGATCAGATCCAATTGGCGGGCTTGATGGCGAACTTGGATGGCTAGCTTTTTTAATTTCCCCACTAATAAATCTCAGCCTTCCATGTCAGCCATGCGGGCAGACTAAGCCAGCCTAAATATCAATATTTATTATCGTCTGATTTGCTGGAGTGTGAGGGGCGTGTATTCCAAGATTTAAAGATCACAAGGGAGGGAAAACAATCTTGTCGGGGAAGCGGTCAGTCTGTCCTTTCGCCCTAACCACTAGGGAGGCGTCGTGGCACGCGGGCTAATAGCGCTTAAGATGGCGCTCTCAGTCTGAGGTTTTCGGTGGAGTACGGAGTAAGGGAAAGACCGTTTCCCATATCCCATTGATTGGGAGGAAGGAACGGGTAAAGGTCCTGACTCGTACAGAAAGAGGCAGAATGGGTAGCCAATGGGGTTTCCCCTACCTAAAGGCTATGTAGCGTCACGGACCTAGACCAACCCCTAGGGGCGACGGGGGCTCTTTTCCCACTCAATTGGCAACGATTACTTTTCAAGCCTTCTATAAGGGGAATTTTGGGCTTCGAACACCAGATTCCTCGGCACCTGGGAACGGAAACCCTTACCAACCTAGGTCTCTTATCTAAATCGGTACGTTCGAGATCTTTGTGGTCGATATTTCTGGATGTCTCACGCGAAGATCCTCGGAATTAGTACATACTGAAAAATAGTTCAAAACTGACAGGTGGCGACTGGTTCACTGCACGGTCCTCTGTGCTTTATTCAACCGTTTTCTTCACAGAAACAACATTAGATGCAAATTACGAATCATCTACGCAATTCGAAGAATGGAATCGCCCCAAAATGATATCAGGGCAATGCAGGGAATCGGCCGATCCCAAGGATCGAGAGGCTTTATTATGGGAGGTTTTGTCTAATTGGGAATTTCTGATTTCGAGGGTCCCTGTACCTTCCGGAGACGTAACGTACATTCGTCTCACGTCCATTCCACCCAATTGGTTCGACCTTTTGCTCCGGATACGCTTCCCAATGCCGGATCAAACGGCTTTTGAACCGTCTTGGAAACGTAACAAACCCATGGCAACCCGTTTTTCTGTTTTCCCAGAGAAGAAGGCTAAGAGAAAATCCGAGATGGGGATTCGCTGTTCTGCTTTTAAGCTATTATGGAGGAGGCATGGCTGAGGGCACATGCTTAACGGACAATTTTTGCCACTCTTTCAGGCAGTGTGGAGACAAAATACTCTCAAGAGAGGTTAGGCTGTCTCGTGTGGACAGTTCTCTCTACCCAGTACGAGTCCACACACACAAGGTACAGTTCAAGTTTCATCTTGTTTAGTGCAGAATGACATCTACACAGGACCGATTTAACTCCTCTCAGGAATCAGAGCTCCCGCAGCTGACAGTGGTGGGGAAAACTAGTCATGCTTGAATATCCAATTAAAGAGAATAAGATTCCCCTGCCTTTAATGCTGACTATACTTTGTCCGGAGAAAAGAGGTGTAGCTAAAACTACCTAGGTTTCCCAGCGGAAGAGGCTTTGACCGGGAAGTTCAGCCGGGCCAGCCCATCAATGACATGATGGGTCGGAGAAGCCATCCAATGCCCAATAGTAGGCTTTTTTTTTTCCATTTCAACCTTATGTCTTTGTGGCAATCGACCATGCCCTCGTGATATGTTCTTTCCAAGGTTTGTCTGGTCGGGTTCGTTCCCGGTAAATACTATTATGATCTTCTTCTTATTATTATTATTATTTTCTTTAAAGAAGAATCTTTCAAATAATAAACGATTCAGAGAGGAATTCCTGCCTGTCGATTCTCGTTTCCCCTCGGGTGCCTTGCACCGGCCAATTCGCCGGACCAATCGCAGTACAGTGAGCATTCAAATGTGGTTACTCCGTACTCCTTTTCCCATCCATGCTGTTATGCGTCATTAACCGAAAAAAAAGAGCCCCCAAAAATCGTCTTCATGTTTGCTGGGTGTACTCTGTATTTACCTACCTACCTACTACCTAATACCTATAGGTTGTGCTAAGGAACTTGGGTCTCCCGTCCGTGTCTTATGGGTTTACTGTAAGTATGACAAGTGCCCAAACCCTTACTCGTATTTTATTTTCCAATTTGATTTTATGTCGTTTACGTTTTTCTGCTCAATTTTCAGAGCGAACTCATACACGTAGCATAAAAGTAGCCCCAGCTAGGACCCGACTCCGTATGGATCCTCCCCTGGAGCCTAAAGACACGGGGAGACGGGAACCCTTGACGGGGGGGGCGCAGAAAGGTTCAACACGGACCCTCGGGGACACTTCTCCGGCAAACAAAAAATCGTCATATTTCCCGCTAATTTCCTTTTCCGGGCATTCGCGCACCCCTTGGTTCCCCTCTTTCATCCCAGGGAAAAGTGCCACAGTGGCTAACCAGTGGATGGGAGGCTGGTTCCGAAGCTTTCGTTCCTCGTCCTGCTCCTCCCCCTAAGTTGACCCGCTAATACTATATAGGAAATTACCTCACGGCGGCACCGGGCACGGAGCCCGGCTCCGCAAAAGTGGGGTGGAGTTTGTTGTAGAGAACTCTGACGTCGGAACATCCGATCTGATCTCCTCCCATCGACTCTGCGTTTACGTGATTTTACATTACTATTCAGTCTCTTTTCGTTCTGTCTATCCACCTTTATTTCTTTTCATCTATCTAGGTACATTTCTTTCTTCTTCTTCTTCTTCTTCTTCTTCTTCTTCTTCTTCTCTCTCACGTTTCCTTCGGGCTTTTTTTTTTTTTTCCGCTAAACAACCTTTTTCCTGGTGTCTTTCTCGGGTTTCCTTTTGTCTCTTTTTTTTTTTTTTTTTTTGATAGAAAAATGCATATTAAATTATATATGCGGTTATACCAACGTAGAAAAATAAAAGAGACCGATTATAGAAGATAAGTACAATACAAAACACAATGATTAAAGGGAAACAGTCAGACAGTCACTCAAATAAGCACATGTCACGTACCCATTACGATCCTCACAACGGATATATATCCCGGAATGCTCGCCTCTGCACATCTGCACAGAGCTCCACCATCCAACATCCCGTCCTACATCCTACGTCCTACCTCCAGTCCTCAATATCCCAATGTCCACTGTTCCGGCGGCCGGCGGCTCGCACTCCAGCGTCCCCGACGAATAAAGTTCCCGGAGTAGGCGCGTATGGTAATCTGACACCAGTTTAACAAGTTTACATCCTACATCCTACATCCTACATCCTACAACCCTACAACCTTACAACCTTACAACCTACATTATTCAAACCTTACAGGGTATCACGGGGTATTTGCTAGAGGGCGAAATGAAAATGAAAATGGAAATGAAAATGGAAATGGATGTGGCAAGTATGATTCACGTCTACGTACCATCCTATATACAACGATCAAGTCATACACAAGAAATGAATAAAAATAATCAAATTAAAAAAAATAATAAAATAAGAACGGAAACGGGTATTACTTCCGGCCCGGATAACTTACCCGTCAACAGTCATAACTGACAGTCACACTCACATTCAAAAGGAAACATGCAGGTCGCATGACATGAGATGATATGAGTTGATATGATATGATATGATGTGGCAGCGATGACGTACAGTCTACGTGTAGGTTGTATGTGTAGGGGAAACAGACTGACATGTTTTGCGCGGACTTGTCCTCCGGGGGTAAAAGAATGAGGTGGACCAAAAGGAGACAAAGATGTGGTGGACTAACAAGGAGACGAAAATGAAATGGACGAAAAAGGAGACAAAGATGAGACGAATAACAAAAGAGACAGGGATTGGAACTCAAAACGGAAGCGAAAAAAGACTTGGAAATTTCTAGCATCGAACAACGAGGAATATGGATATGGTCACGATACTTTTATATAAATTATATTTGATTTTCGTTTTACTCATTTAATGCTACTTCGCACAAGCTACATGCCATGTGTTATGCGACAGGCTATACGGAACATGATACATGCTAGAGTTTTGGGGTTTCAAAAAGAATATAGAGCAAAAGAATGCTCCCAAAAGGTTTACTTGCTGATGCCTAGTTCCTTGTAAAAGGCCTCGGTGCTGGGCTTCCGGCCAAGGAAGTCGATGAGGGTCTGCATCTCTTCCTGACTGCCGCCACGTTCGAGGACGGTGTGGCGGTACCGACGGCCCTCCTTTGCGTTCATTGGGTTCGACTTGAAGACGGTGTAGAACATGTCTGTGGAGTAAACTTGCGAGCTGTGGGGAGGGGATAGAAACGGGTTAGCGAAGTTGGGCTACTTTACTAGAACGCGGGGGAATGGGGTAGGGCGGAGCGGGGCGCGCGTTAAGAAAGAAGCGGGCAATCAGAAAGTCGAGAAGGAAGGATTGGATGGGATCAAAGGACAGTGGAGGATTGACTCACCTGAGGTAGCCATAATATCCGGCATCGTACCCGCCAATCAGATGGCCAAAGGTAGCCTGACCGTGACCCCAGTCGTTTGGCGCACCCAGGACCTCCGGGCCGTCGATCAAGCTAATCTCCTTGCGGAGAGTGTTATACTTCTCCGAGACCTTGAGCTTCTCCACGGCCTCGTGGTCCTCGGGCTCATGCACGGTCATGTCGAAGATGCCAAAGTGAAGCTGGCGGAGGTTGAATAACGCATCGTTGACGTGCTTAGTATCGATGAGCTTTTTGATGAGCTCGTCCGGAAGACGCTCCGACGGCTTCTCGGTGCCGGCCGGAGCGGATTCCATGTATGCCTGCATGTACTCGCCCGACAATGACGAGTAATGCCGACTGAGTGACTTCAACTGCGAGGGTGTCCAGCACCAGTTCTCAAGCATTTGGCTGGGAGCCTCGACAAAGTCTCGCACCGTGTTTGTTCCGTGGAAGCGGGAGTAGATGGTGCGGCCAACAAGGTCATGGATACCGTGACCGAGCTCGTGGAAGAGGGTAACAACCTCCTCGTGCTTCAGCAGACTTGGTTTCTTAGGCGTCGGCTTCGAGAAGTTGCACACCAGTGCCGTGGCTGGGTAGCGCCGCTTGCCGTTCTCATCAATGAAACCCTGGATTTTGCAATCTTACGTTAGCATTTTGGCGACTTTTGAAAGAACACATATACTGTAGTCAAAAGCTATAGAATCACGAACCGGTTGGAGGTTGAAGTTGGCGGCGTGACCGTACTTGCCCTCACGAGGGAAAAGGTCGAGGTAGAGGTAGCCCGAAAACTTGCCGCCTTCACCCTCGTCATCCCATACGCTGAAGACTTGCACATCCTCGTGCCAGACAATGTCGGAACCCTTGCCAGTCTCTGAAATCGCATCCCGCTCCTTGCCAGTGAGTTCGACAAAGACGAGACCGAAAATCTCTTCGAAAATCTGGAGCATGCCGCGAATCGTAGTCTGCAATGGGAAATACTCGGCAATCTTCTGGTGATCGAGGGAATACTGCTGCTCGACCAATAATCTGTCATAAAAGCGGTGATCCCAGAGATAGTAGTTGCCATCGTAAGCTTTGTCAAGACCGCGATTTTTAAGGTCCTCCTTTTTCAGACTCTTGAGATTGTCAATCTCGGATTTGCCGCCGGCCGTGAGTCGGGTGCGCAAATCACCCAAGAACTCGTCAACCGTCTCAGGCGTCTTCGCCATCTTGTCTTCGATTCTAAAGGCTGCATGGTTAGGGTAACCGAGCAATCGAGCCGCCTCGTCACGCAAGATTATGGCCTCACGGAACAGCGGCACGTTCTGATTGCACTTGTTCTCATTGTTTATGAAGACCTTCTTTCGAACGTCTGCATTCTTGGCATACTTCAAGGTCGGGAAAAGGTCCGGGTACTTGAACGTCAGCCAAACCTTGCCGGCATTCTCGCCCTCGCCCTTCTTCAGATTAGACACAATATCCTCTGGGACACCGTCCAATTCTTCAGGCGTAAACCAAATACCGCCCGTCTCTTCATTCAGGTTCTTCTGGAAGATGATGCTAAGCTGGCTTAGCCGCATCTTGATCTCCTTGAATCTATCACGCTTCGGGCCGGCAGGGAGCCCAAGCCCATTCCGAATGTAGCTCTTGTGCTCCTTCTCGAGCAGACGCTGGGATTCAGGATCCAGCTTCTCGCCCTTCTTCAGCGCAGCATCGACCAGCTTGAAAATATCCTCACGCATCGCCGACTCAATTGAGAACTCATCCAAGAGCTTCTCAGCTTCAGTGGATGCATCTCGCAAGCCTTGGTCCGTCGACACGGCCTGGTAGAAACCGATAATGTTCGATTCGAGCGCCATAGTATTCTCATCGTGCGCCATGGGCACCAGCACATTTTTAAAAGTTGCATTGCCCTCGTTGAGATCTGCCGCAAGCTTGTCCTGAAGGCCGCGAGACTTGGCAATGAGTCTCTTGGTATCTTCAACCAAGGATTTCGGGGTTGCCGTGAACTTTGGGGGTGCCTGCGGAGGCGACCGGTAAGCCTGAGCAGCCATACTCGCGTTGGTAAGTGGCCGTGATGACCAGCTCTGGGGTCGAGTAAATTGAGGCCTGAGCTGTCCGAGGAGCAATGAGACTCGTGGCGCGACTCTCGACGGAAACGCCACGATGAAGTAGAGTGCGACGAAAATGAAAAGAACGATGAAGAATAATCTAAAGATTCGATGAGTAGCCACGTTGACGACCCTCTTCAGAGGAAGTCCGAATCCAGAAATCTTTTTATAAATGATTGATATATAGAAAGAATGGCAGATTTGAAATGTATTGTTTTGGCATCAACATTGACCCCTCAAGAGAGCTGCAGGAGTAGCTCAGCTGTACTTCTCATACGACGTATGACAACCATCGGCGTTGCAAAAGACCGAGCGCTTAACCCGTTGCTTACCCGGCAATTCGTCCATCGTCATAGGAACGGCGGAATAATCCGAAAAAGGGTCTTTGAACGAGCAAATGCTCAACCAGCTGCTGAACTTGCGCAAACACATTTGTCGGTCATTCCGAAAAATATCATCGAACCAAATACTAGCGCGGGGGTTTACAAATTGCTCCTTGCGATCACGTTTCGACAACAATGTCAACCCAAGAGGGACCGGCCTCGCCCTCTCATGCAATCAACACCTACCATTGCATCTGCAGCCAAACTCTTCTCGCGACAACATATAACCTCTCAGACCTTCCTCGACGGCAACATTCTGGACTCGATAAAGCCTTGATACTTCCTCTGAAATCTCTCAATGCGGACGCGACGAGCAATCCTAAGTCTTCAGGTATAGCGGCGGCCGAGGCTGGAACCGCAGGTGATGCGGAAGGCGAGGATGAGGAGGATGACAAGCAGTCGGGAGATACTCAGAGCGTGTTTGTCAATACCGTGATCTCACCCAAGGCGCTCGTGGTGCGCCGCGAAGATGGCTTCGAGAAGCGGGTGCTGTACCGCTGCGGTCGCTGCAGAGTTGCTGTGGGATATGTGCTAGAGGGCGAACGAAAAGTGGTATACCTTCTTCCCGAGGGCTTAGTAAGGACCAAAGAGATGCTGGAAGAGAAAGGCCCCGCGAATGAGATAGAAAAGATGATTCCTCTGATAGCTTGATGGCATTTGGTCCATATTGGCCAGGTAGACAAACGGACTAGGAAAAGCGATCGGAAAGAAGCAGCTTTTCCCAGAACATCTGCGTCCTCTATAGGATTTATAAACATCTGTTGATTGGGAGTTATGGGCAGGATATCATACAAGGTCTTTTCTGGCGTAACGAACGACCTACTAGCAAGGCGCTTCAGGAGTTCTTATGATTTGCATTAGGCGTAGGCCATCTTCAAGCATATCACCAATGAAAGAAGAGAAAGCCAAGTCATTTGGAATTCAAGCTGCTTTGGGCTAGAGCTAGGAAAAAGGGCAAATGACCCTTATCTACAGAAGTTGTGAGGTGGACTGTAACCATGATATTATGCGACCGCTATGTATCCAGACACCGGCGGCCACGAAAAGAGACCGCTCTGACTGAAAAGAAACCCAAACCCAACAAAAACCTTTCAAAGTAATTCGTTTCAGAATCGCTTTCGTGAGTTGCGTATTCCGTGTGAAGCAATAAACGTGTTTGGTCGAACTGAATGATGCGTATCAAAGTATTTCCCACAAAGTGGCTAGGAAGGATGCGAATCGAGAATTGCAAATTGACGGACCCTTATCGTCTCATCTCGAGAGGAGAATAGGCCTACTTCCGTGGAGCCTCAAAATGTGATTATTGATAAAATCATAGGCGTTGCATTTAGTTTGCGAGAATGGTCCGGACAAGATCTATCATTCCGTCAGCATTTTGAAATCAAATTTAGGAGCTCGACCGGACGATCTTACCGACGTAGTTGACATTGTCGCCAGTGGTATCAACACCCTTCAGAAGTTCGTTAACTTCCTCTTCAGTCATCTTCTCGCCCAAATTCATCAAAACTAAAGGAGCATCAGCCTCTCTGGTCCGAGAAAAGCCTGCCACGGCCATTCGAGCAAAGTGGGGGGCTCCGCAATGATTCCGCCCTTTATCCAGGAGAACATACTGTACTTGAGCTGTCCGACAGCGATATATCCAGTCAGGTCTTTATCAAAGACCTGGAAACCGCGACAATACTCCTCGGGCTCGCCCGGGTCGCGGAAACCGCCAGGCCGGTTGAGGAGCTTCACAAACGACTCATAGTCAACTAATTGGCGGAGTGCGTTAGTCGATCATCTCGATAGGCAATATATTCGCGCGCCAGAGCAAGGAGGTCCATTCACTTACAATCGCCTCCAGCAGCTTGTTCGAGCTCAGAAACCTCCGCGAGAGTCGGATTCTGACCGCATGCGCGGAGGAGGTCGCCGAGAGACTCGAGGGCAACCTGGCCGTTGCCGCGCTTATCGAAGAGCGCAAAGGCTTCCTTGTAGTTGGCAGAAGACTGATCGAGTGAGTGTGCGTTCGACATGTTTGATGAAATGGATTGAGAATCCCAAGTAAAGCAAAGCGAAGCAAATGTAGAAGGATTCGAATCAAGAAGGAGAAGTGTCCCGCTGTGAAGAGCTTATGGAAGAGCGTGCAAGGGCCTTTGCGATTGGGAATAGAAGACGTAGAGCAAGGAGACAGAGTTGATGATCGTGCAGATTTCAAAATGTTGAAGAGATGCAGAATCAAATGTAAACCAGCCAGAGACGCATGCGCAGTATTATTGATCGCTGTTTGGGAATCCTGTTGTTGGCGCGGCCTGCTTTGGTTCCAACTTCCCCCAAGGGAAGTCGGTCGCCCAGATCGGGAAGGAGCGGCCGGGCCGACGCCAGGGTCCCTCAAACGACTCCCATTTTTTGCGTGCGAGTAGAGTACGGGCAGAGAACAGGGCAGAGACGTACCATAGTTCTTGCAGGTGGACACGATATGTGATAAAAGACAATGGGGCGTCTGTGCTAGGATTGTTGGAATGCAGATTGAACGTGTGCTTGAAGGACGACAGCAGAGTGGTTAGTGTAGACGATTGATGAGTAGTAATAGTAATGTGGAGAGACTGCTGTGTTTACCCACTTCTTGTCGAGGGGCTTTGGGCCGTGCTGAAGTTATCACCGATCCCTGGTCATTGTGGCTTGGTTGCTATGGCACCCACAGAACGATCAACAACATCACAAAGTTCCGCTCCTGCACTATCCGCCTAGGGATGTCAATCACATGTATACTCCGAAATTGTACAAAGATAAAAATGAGATTGGCAGACTCTCATAATTCGTATCGAATCTTAAATCGATTGAGAAAGATAAACCCGCATTATTTTTGTAATCAGTCACGACAATAAGATTAAAAAACATGCCAAGGAATTGCAGGACATCTCGCACAGCTGTATGGACGGGGATCCATTATCAGGATTAGATCTTAATCTATATACGCAAATAGTGCTGTAGAAATTCAGATTCTCCGCGCTGTTCGGACAAGTGGGGAGCTACCCCAAGCTTCTTCTAGCTCGTCATTCTCATCAGATTCAGCTTCGACCTCAAGTCCAGGCAAGAAACCATCTCTTATCGGCGAGATTGTGGGGCTGACTGCAATTTTCGGCCTGCTTTTGAATACGCTGGCATACTCTGCTTCCGCACTAAACAATTCCTCTCGGGGGGTAGATGCCCTGGATGCATCACCTTTGCCGGAAGCTTTCAATGGAGTCTCAAATGGATTGTTAGGAAGTAGGTTTGCCGTTATTGCTTCGTTCCCATCGTCAGACCTTTGCAGAGAAGATGCGCTCGACATTGATTTCCGTGTCCGATCGGCCAGGGAAAGTTTCTGGTCTGTTTCATCCGAGGATTGAATATGCTCCTGGTGAGCGTCCTCGATGTTAATCTCGGGCGGTTGGTCCTTCACCATTTCTTCCATGAATCCCAAGTTTGAAAATCGCAAAGACATTCGCGCACGCTCAGCGAGGGGTCGTTGTGGCTTGACGGGCGAAGGCTCAGCATTTGCTATCGAGAAAACGATCTTTTCTGCAATCATATCCTCTTCGCTGAGCCCAATTGAATGTCTCGCGCCCTGTGACTGCCTCCGTTGTAGATCGTGCTCATTGTTGATACGTGCACTTTGCTCATTGCTCATTTCAACGCTAGTATCGATATTGGCTCCATCATCGTCTAATTCTGCCGTAGGACTCATGTGAGAATAATCTTTAACAGGAACTGATGGTTGCTCAGATGAGGGTTCGGGCTCTTCCAAATTGGTCGCGCCAATTTCAACATCGCTTTCGCCCCTCCCTGGAATGTGTCCGGAGCCAAGTGGCTTGTCGACACTGTCAGCGTCCAGACCAAACCGCTCAGGATTTTCATGTTGCTTTTCTGTTTCTTTTGCGAGAGCAATTGTCGCTGATAATGAATGTCCATGTCGAGCACTCTGTATAGGTTTTGCCTTCCTTTTTGCCTTTCCAACATTCTCCAACTCTGAAATTAGCTTTTGCGTCATGTTCTGATAGTCGAAAGCAGCATGCGAGGAAGGATCAAATTTCACCGCGGCAGAAGAATGATGCGGAACATTTCCAGTTGTATACAATCCGTTGAGTTTACCCGGCACAAGGTCGGTGTGTTCTGAGAACCGTAACGACAGAATATTCTGCTTCTTCTTTTCTTGTTTGGACATGTCCACTTGACGGCTCTCATCGCGTTTGAGGAAATTTTCGCGGAACAACTTCCACCGATGAAGTCGCAACCGCTGCTCCGTTACACGTGCATTGAGATCTTCCAGTAGTCCTGTAGTAGCTCCTGATTTCAGATCTTTCATTGTCCCTTCCTTGACCTTGGCCGAGATCTCATGGAATGGCAAGGCCAGAAGAGGATCAGCAGCTCCTGTCCCTTCGCCCTCCACTAAGAGCTTTAGCCATTGAGGATCGCCCAACCAGTTTGCTCTCAGTTCTGATTTCAACATTTCAACTTCGGCATCGCTCAGCTCCTGATGTGAACTCTCCTTCAATTCTTTTTCAGCCTTTTCTCTTTGCTCGTCGATCTGTTCCTGCTTTGCTCTGAGTATGGCGCTGAATTCGGCATATCTGGTCGCAACATTTTGCTTTCTTTGCAAAGCAGCAACTAGGCTCCCTCTGTGGGCAATGGTAAGCGGCAACAGAAGCTTTTGATCCTTAGCGGACATGTAAGATGTTGTTGAGAGCTTCATCATGAGGCTTGATACACCGTCCGGAATCTTTTCGCTCAGGATGACTTTTTTGAGTACGGCGGCGGAAAAGATCATGAGGACTTCCTCCAGTTTCTCGCCCTTACATTCGTCCAGCATGGTCTTTCGAAGGACTGTATCCCGTCCAAGGATACCATCTTTCTTGAGATCATTGAGGGCACGGAATAGCGCCGCGCGAAGGTTCAGCGACTGCAAAGGCTCAAGAGGCGGAAAGAATGGCCGCAGTTTCTGAACATTACGGCATTAGTTGTTTGGACACCCAGAGAGTAATGTTGATTTGTATGTTTCAAAATAGCAGTACATACATTTTTCGTTTCTATAGGATTCCAGATCTCAAAAAGTCGGAATAAAGCCCATTCTACGCTGGAGATTCGCGCCTTTTGGTTCTGGAGAGCAATCTTGGTAGAAAAGGTCTGTGGGGTGATTGATGGCCAGTCTGAACGCAAATGCAAGTCGAGTAGACGCAAATTTGTCAGAAAGAGATTGATGTTTGAAGGGATGTGTTCTGGTGCAGGCTGGGAGGTATTTGGACCCCTGCTGATCTGCGGTGGCCTAATGGTTGCTGCGGTCCTTGAAGACATGGCGGAGGAAAGCAATGTAAACAAGGTATATTTAATTTTGCAGTGTTTTGTAAAGTTTGTTGTGCATTACGTCGCACAGAGCATGGCTTGATGATAGATAAGCTTCATGTGCTTGTCGCGAGTTTGGGAAAACCCCACGTGAAGCGGTGAGTGGAACGTTTGATAAAACAAGCTGGTGATTGGACGATTGTTGTTGTGGGCGATGTTGACAGCGTAATTCTGCCGCGACACACCGCCTCCGTGTTTGACGGGAACCAGAGAGACAAACGACGCTGGAGAGCCGAGATGCCCCGCCGCCTGCTTGATAAATGCGCATGACCATGCATGTTCCCACTCTTCTTCATCTTCTCGACCTTTCTCCTTTATTCTCTCAAGTGACTCTGAGGGTATTCTTTGTAAATATATCTGGAGTTCTGAAATCTCCAATTCTCTAGCCTTTTGATTTCTTTCATTTTGAACCTTTCACTCTGATCTACCATTCACTTTCGATATGGTCTCAGCCGCTCCCACGAACGGTGCTCCAGGTGAGCTCATTCCTATAAATTCATGCTTTGGTATCATAGAATTTGTCAATTGACACAAAACCTTCTACAGTCTCCGAAGCAGCCACCATGACTCCCCCTTCGTCGCAAGAGCAGCAGTGGTCTGTAGACTCAGGTTCGTACAGATACCGGGCCCATTAAAATCCCGCATTGCGGCATTCCAAACGCGACTGACGAATATACTTACTAGTTGTATCGACATTGTCCACGCCATTGGAGGCAAACACGACCTCTCCTGTCCCATTTTTCCACCTTCTAGAGCGGCTCAAGACGACTAAGCGAGAAGGATGGCGACGATTCAATATCAACCACGGCGAATCCATCTCGGACCACATGTACCGAATGTCGCTGCTCACAATGTTTGCTCCCCCTTCGCTGGCCTCTCGTATTGACGTGCAGCGCTGCACGCGCATGGCGCTCGTTCACGACATGGCGGAGGCCCTGGTCGGCGATATTACTCCTGTTGACGGCGTGCCCAAGGCGGAGAAGTCGCGCCGCGAGGCCGAGACTATGGATTTCATCTGCAAATCGCTTCTTGGCAGAGTGCCAAGCGCTGGGACTGGGGAGCAGATTCGTGCTATTTGGCAGGAATACGAGGACGGCGAGACGCTCGAATCTAAATACGTCCACGATATCGATAAGGTCGAGCTTCTCCTGCAGATGGTGGAATATGAGCGCGCACACGAGGGCGCCATTGACTTGCAGGAGTTCTCGTATGTCGCCACTCGTATAGTGCTACCTGAAGTTAAGGCCTGGGCCGAGGACATTCTCCGAGAGAGAGAGGTGTTTTGGGAGGGTATCGGTAGAAAGCACAAAGCTGGTCTCAGCGACAAATTGAAGTCCCAGCAGGACGAGTATTACAGCAGCGGTCCATCGGCAGCCAAGCCTTGAGGGCTCTCGCTCAGCATACATTTCTTTCGATTTCTCATGAGCATGCATTGCTTCTGAACTCCGTCTCACCTTTGTGTTTTTTTCTTCTTCTTTTCCTTACTGGCTGGCGGGTCGTGAATCATACCCTATTCACTTGGCATTAAGCTGTGCGTTAATGACATTATGAGCATGGGCTGGAGCGGTATTTGCATATTAGAAGGAGCTTTTTTTCAGGAATAATATGCATTTTGCAATTTGAATTCAGATTATTTCTAATACTCAAGAAAAAGTGAAACAAAACCTTGGAAAAGGTCTCAAGTCGTAAATGCATTCTCTAATCTACCTTGACTATAGTGCCCGCAAGACGCCTAGAACCATGACTATATTCAAAAAAAGGAGCAGCAGATCGTCCTATCCCCATAAATAACCAGCATTCAGCCGCAAATACAGGATTAAATCAATTAATCGGTTTCCTCTGTCAGGGACTCTGATTCAGCAAATTCAGCCATCCGCGCGCGCTGGCCCATATCCGTTAAATTTTCCTGAATCATGTGCAGGCCCCCTTTACGGTTGAAGAAGTCCTCTGTAACAATACCCCGAACCTCGCCCGGATTGACCCGGTCCATCGACTCGCCACGCGAAGACTTTGAGCGGATCAGCTCTCGCACTGGCCCCATCGCAGCATCTCTGCACGCTTCCTTGATGTCGCTTCCCGACATGCCGGCAGTCGCGCGGACCAAAAGGTCCAAATCAAATCGATCCTTGTCCACCTTGGTGTCCTCAAGCACAAGTTGGAAGATACGGCGGCGTTGGTGTGCAGATGGAAGGGAAACAGGGAACTTTTTCGGCATACGGCGAAGAATGGCCTCGTCAATATCCTGGATGCGATTGGTGGCGCCGAGGATCAGGATGCGGGCAGGATGTCCGGATGCACTGGCGGATGTTAACCCATCCCAGTGTGTCATAAACCTGGATGGGAAAAAAAAATTAGTAAGGGGGGTTTCCAGGGAATAGAACGCTTGCTGAAGGAATGGGGGAGCATGACGTACTCTGCTTTAACCATGCCGCTGGCCTCATGTTCGCCGCTTCTGCGCGTTCCCAGCACAGCATCAATCTCGTCAATGAAAACAATGGCTGGTTGAAGCTTTCTCGCCAGCGAGAAAACTGCATTAACCAACTTGTTTGAATCTCCGTACCACTTCTCCGTCAAGGTGGAAATATGTAAGTTGATGAAGCAAGCACCGCTTTCGCGGGCAAGGGCCTTTGCCAACATGGTCTTTCCACATCCTGGGGGCCCGTACAGCAGCACGCCAGAAGGCGCCGAAAGTAGCGAAGAAGTGTGCGAATATAGATGCGGGAGGGTGAGGGGGTAAATGACGGATTCTTTGAGTTCCTCAATGATGTCGTCGAGACCGCCAATATCTTAAAAAGAGAGTTAGAACAAGACACATTCAGCCTTGACCCATCCGGCCGCCTCAGAAAAACTTACCCTCAAATGTTACTGCGATGTCGTCTGGTGCCACCAAGTCCATCGCAATCGTTTGCTCATACTGATTGAGCACTAGGTCTTCTTTGCGGGGCCGTCGCGCCTCCTCCTCGTTGGACCGGGATTTCTCCTTTGACGGACCATCCAGTCTCCGCAAGGCGGCGGTTGATGCTGCTGCTTTTCGCTTTGCTTCCTCCTTCTGATCGGACTCTGGGTCAAGGCGCGAAAGGATATATCTAACAACATAGTATGTTGAGACCTGCTGTACTAGAGATCAGCAATGGACATTGGGCTAATGGCGATCATTTGAGCTGAAGAGCAGAGAAGTATGATTCAAGAGCGCTTCCACTTTAACAACACATACCGCAGCAGCAATTAAGATGAGATCCTGGAAGAGCTGAAACTTCCGCCCAGGACCTTGACCAGGGGCCATGGTTAGTCAATGGGACGATGGAAACCGCAAGGACAGGTTTGGCCGGAAAAGTGAAGAAAAGCTGAAAATCAATTGACGTATAAAGCCGGGTCACAAAAGATCGAGGCTGAGGTTTCAGAAAATATGACAGAAACACAAATAGCACTATTATATACTCCAGAGGAGCATTGCTGGTGTTCGAGGACGGCGGTGAGTTGTATGCTTCTCGACAGATAATGATGCGCCACATGAAGAGGCTCAGTATGTGGCTCCTCCGTGGCTGATCAAGTGGCTCGTGCACAAGGGTCGATCCGAGGTTCAGCTTCTATTGGCGGATCAAGCGAAGCGCTGTAGCAAAATGTCGTGTCACGTGGAAGCGCGATTCGGTGCCCCAAACACGTCGGAGGCTCGCCATCGAGTAAACAAATCTCCCCCCTCCCAAAAGCAACCCTGGTTTCCCGATCTGACATCAATAATTTACAAGGGCTATCGCACAAAAGCCAGCGACGACGTATTCGATTAATCTCGTAATCAGAATCGAGGAGAAGACAGTCAGAAATGCCGCCTAAGCGTAAAGGACCTGCGACATTGGCAAACATGGTCGACTCTGGCTCCGACGGAGAGCCCGAGCCAAGCAGCCAAATGTTGACACCGCCCTCGGCCGGCGAGAACGGAGAACCTCCAGCGAAAAGGGCACGGGGACGCCCAAAGGGCTCTGCAATAAAGAGTACAAAAGCTAAGGAGCCTGCGCAATCCGCGACAAGATCTTCTGGCCGAAAAGCAGCGCCCGCGAAACCTGAGCCCGCTACCAAAGGTGCAGCTTCACGCTCCAAATCTGAGAAAACAGTTCCAGCCAAAAGGAAACTTACTGCTCAATCTAAAGATCTCGAGATCAATGTGGAAAAAGAGACTGCCAAAAAGGAAATTCCGGAATCGCAACCTCTGCCAGTTACTGTCCCTGAAGATTCATTCGTGTCGGACGGCGAGGATGATATTTCGGCCCCCATGTCGCAGTATCCGCCTGCACACAGCAGAATCTCGCCAGCTAAGTCACGCGATATCATGGTGCCTCCGCGAAGAGGCAGAAATGGATCCGAGGCCGAGCCGCACGGAGGGGACCCAGCATTGAGACGAAAGTTGGGAGATATGACAAAGAAGTACGAGAATCTGGATTTCAAGTACCGCGCTCTGAGAGACTTGGGTATAAAAGAGGCGGAGGCAAACTTTGATAAATATAAGAAACAAACGGATGAGCGGCACAAAGGTACGCTGAAGTTTGAAGTAGATAATGAATAGAGAACTAACTGCTCCAAAGCCGCAAACCAGCTTATCGGATCTCTTAAGGAACAGTTGGCCACGCAGACAACATTAGGACAAAAGTCAAAGACGCTACAGAAGCAATTGGATGAACGAGACGCGGAGCTGGACAAGCTCCGGGCCAAGGTCAACCAACTATCGTCTTCGCTCGCAGAAGCTCAGAGGGAAACTAAGGCAATCTCGACAAAACTCGCAGCTACCCGCACCGCTGCTTCAACTGTTCAGAGCGCAGACGTTAAAGTTCCCGGCAGCGCAATCAAGGGCGGCGCGCAAGCTCGAACGATTATGATGGGCAGCGCTGAGGCAGCAGCAGCCGCTCAAAAGGCGCAGCTCAAAGAGGATCTGTACAGTGATCTTACTGGTTTGATTCTTCGCGGCGTGCAGAGGGAGCACGATGCCGACATCTATGACTGCATTCAGACCGGTCGCAATGGCAGTAAGTTTTATGATTATTTGGCCTCTCAGGGCGAGATGCTAAGTCAAGTCACAGCGCTGCATTTCAAATTAGAAGTTGCCATTCACGGCGAAAGCTACGAAACTACCGAGTTCCAGTATATACCATTACTTGATGCAAACAGAGACCGGGACCTCCTTGAACTTCTCCCCGATTATCTTAGCGAAGAGATTACTTTCCCAAGGTCACAGGCTGGCCGATTTTACGCCAAGATTGTCGAGACTCTGACGCGACGAATCATTGAAGAATGAATGGATAAGCTTGGAGCGAACGCGATTTGATTTTGGACGTTGGCACGCTGGGAGTTGGTGGCGTCTTGGACGATATCCCTGGGGTTCTTTTGTTAGGAAGCGACAGGACTGTATGTCAAGCCGGGCGTTGGTAAGCCTCGACGGAGTTTTCTTTGAGCGGCTTGCAAGTTTTTTTTTATATGTTGTTAATGAACGACTGTGCCGTTTTTCTTCTCCTCTTCTATTCCTTTTTGTGTTCTTGGTTTAGATATCTCAGCGTATTATATGTATCTTGCAAAGAGGAATGGATGCCCATGTCATTTCAAACGACAGCTCATTTCATTGGGCTGCAAGAACTTGCAGTGCCACCGTCAATGGGAGTAATGTCTCCGTCACGGCTTCTGGGCCGGGTTGTGAGCTCACGTAGCCTTCGTAGACCTGCTTATATGTCTGCTGAGGAGGTGATTTTTCTGACGCTCCTGGGGCTTGCTCGTAGATGGGGATCAGCTTGGCATGAGCATAATCGAGCTCCATGCCTTCAAAGACGATGCCTGCGCGTGGCACATGCAGCTTGCGCCTCAAAAGAGCAGCCACGTCGTACAGAGCATCCACGAGTGCTCGATACTCGGCGTCAGGTAGAGCAAATATATCGCTATCCAGATGTTTGCGGGGGATCAATACCGTGAAGCCAGGAGTATTGCCAAAGGGAGTTAGGAAGGCTACATGCGAGGGGCTCTGCCACAACCGCCATTGTTCTTCTTCGCCTCTCACGATACGGGCAAAGAGGTGCTTATCAGCGCTGTCCCCATGAAACGTCGCATCAATAGGATCGATGCCGTCTGGAGAGCTTGTGATCCTCGCTTGTACCGCAGACAGGTCTCCTGGCTTGATGCGGGCAGCACTTCGCGAAGTAATGTAGCCTGGATAGACGTCTCTGCATTCCTCCAGCTCGTCGCACGTTACAGGCTGCCACGTGCCGTCCAGTCCGTGCAGAGGGATGAGTTGCAGCTGGTCATCGGCGGTCGTTACCAATGCCACCCGGACTGCCTTTGTCGCGATTTTGAGTAACGACGCTGCAACTTTGGCTGCAGAGAAGATGCGAAGCCACCTGTCACGCTCCAACTGCCAGAGTTGTGCGCCATCGTTGATACACAGGACCGTTTCGCCTGGCGTGCTAGGGTGGCGGGACAAGGATGCAGTGAGGCCTGCCAACGGATCCTCATAAAAGGGAGGCGGGCCGCCGGGCGGGTAGTCTGTCGCAGCTTGACCAGTGAGTGAAACACTCCTGATCTGACGAGACATATTTGGAATGCAGTGAATATTTAATTTAGATGGCTGGATATTTTCATCGAAGAGGATACATTGTAGACGGGGGCATGATAGACTCTTAAGTTATACAGAGTGGATAACTGAATTATGTTTTACGGGATAAGGATGCTGTAGTTTGTTATACAATCCGTAGATCTGCCCGCTCTGACCGCCCTCGGCAAGAGATTGATTGGCGTCATGTTGGGGATGTACCATGGTAAATCCTACAGAGATCCTCGTAGAGAGCGATACAAAACTAACACGACTTGGTCATAGTATGGTGAGCTTCTTTCGTATCTTTCTATCATAATATCGATAATCCATTTTGGTCCGTCAGAGGACGAAGGGTGGGGAACATGATTGCTTCTCTTGCATCCCTGAGTCGGAATAAGTCGTGCTTGATTGACAAAAATAGCGAGGCTGGGTCGTATCTTATAGGATGACTTTTAGTTCTTTTCATGCACCTCGATGGAGACACATCAATGGTTCGTGGTCGCATGTGGAGTCGATGCCGTAAATGTCCCATTGCAGCAAACGGAGACGACGACGACGACGAGGATTGATCAGGCAAGAGCAGATCCCCCTCTTTTTTTGAACAGATCTGAGCTGTCGCATGGAGAGCCCCTGAATTGGATTGTCCTTTTTCTTCTTCTGATCTCTTCGCTCTGACGCTTTGACTCTCTTTCGTTCTCCTTCATCCTCTTTCTCCTCCGTCTCTCTCTCTTACTCATTACGGTGCACAATCGCTCGTTCAACTTGAGCAATAGTCCAACTACTCTGACTATCTATCGTCACTCGTTGTGGATTTTTTATCTCTGCATTATTTGAAACCGTCTTGCTCCCCAGCCATCTTCTGTATTGGGTGGTTATACTCTGCCTTGATTTTGATTTCAATTTTAGAGGTGAGTTGAGTGGAACCTTTTGTCTCTCTCTCTGATTCTGCTTCCGCCCCAGCCACCTGCACGAGAAAAAAAGTTGGTGATAGTAATCTCCGAAACACCCCTGGAGCTCAAGTCTCCCAACCACCCCCAATATTAATCCACGTTTTGGATGAGGAAGCACACGAAACCCACCCCATCCCACACAGACGACTGGCTGTCCAAGTCGAATTGATTGGAAGCCAATTAATTCACTGATCAATCAATTGCCATTCTTTTTTTTTTTTTTACCCACCACACACTTGTCGCACTCACTCCACACACACACACACACGCACACACGCACACACACACCACCCACCCACCCCGAAACGAACAAAATAGAATTAACACCAGCCTCCTCTTGTCCAGACGAGCGAGAGCCGATTAGAAAAGCCCTTTATCCGTAGTTGCTCGCTCGGCAGACTTGTCCATATCTTTTGATCTCTTCCTCTTCTTCTTTTTCCCTTTTATCATGTGGCTTCGTCGACTATCCAGAGGCCAAAAAGGCGAGTCTGACGATTTCGATTCCCCGACCTACATTGACCAGATGGACTCGCGTCGTTCAGATCCAAAGAAGTCAACTCAGTACAGCAGCCTCCCGAATACTCCTGCGGCGGCCCCTCACGACATTCCTTACCGCAATACCTCTCAGGGTCCGTCCGACGCCTCCTACGCTCAACGTCCTCACTCGGTCGACTACGCTGGCATCATGGAGAAGCCGTCGCTCACTTCGACGCCCTCCAAGGGCGCCGGTCCTGCCCAGGCCATGCCCGACTTGCTCACTCAGGCTTTCAATGCCGCCGTTCGTCCTTATACGGACAAGGTGGAGCAGCTTGAGACCCAGGTTGCCGACATGCAACTCTGGATCGAACAGCTGGAGACTCAGCGATCTGAGATTCTCTCTTGGATTGACAAGCGCGGCTTCCGACCTGGTATGTTCTTTTCACAACCTTTCCCAAGTACCGCCGACATGACGAGAACAATTGAACTAATTTCACTTGACTCAGACGTTCCCCCATCCATTGCCAAGGTCATGGACGCCCAGCCCGAAGCCGCTCAGACCCTCAACTACCAGCTTGACCGCAAGATTTCCATGGTCGACTTGGACCTCCACCGTCTGCAGGATGACCTGAATGATTCGAGTGGCGCCTCATACATTGCCGCTCAGGCCATGACCAAGTTCCTGCCCGACATTGACCGTCTGTCTGGCCTGTCGCGGGGCTCGCGCTTTGCCTTTGACCTGCTCATCAAGCTCGCGGGCAACCTCAACTCGCACGGCGGCCTCGATGCGTCTGACGGCTCCCAGGAGACCCGTCGTGCCTTTTACGAGAAGCTCGACCTGTCCATGCTCGACGTGGTCCGTCGCCGTCTTGACGACACCAACGAGGACTGGCCCGTCGTCCGCGACGTCAAGCGCATCGAGAAGACCGCGGCCTATCTCCGCAACTATGGCATCGAGCCTTACTTTCCCCGCTCGCTCGAGCTCATGCGTCGCGAGATGGATGCCCGCAGTGGTGGTAGTGGAGCCGGTTCCCTTTAAAATGACCATCCCATTCATCCTTTATGATTGCAACCTCACATCTCACGAATTCCCCTGACCCTTCTCATCATCTATTCTCATATTCCCTCCATCATATTCCTGGCCACGGTAATGACCATAGTCCAATGGCCAAGGCACTGGTCTCTTACACTACGCCGTTACGAATCTTCTTTTCTCTTACACTCTACCTTAGACGCACATTTTCCTTTTCCTTTTCCTTTCCTTTTCTTTCCTTTTCCTCTCAAATCTCTTTGTATTCCTTTTTTCCTGAAAGATATCCGCTGTTCTTGACATTTCCACATTTCATCCTATTCTCCATCCGATAATGTAATTCTCCCCTATAAAATGCTCGTTTGCGCACCTTGTTTACTTCCTTGCGCACGTTGTCTACTACCCCGATGCTAGACTTCATCTTCTGCATCTCCCGTCTGATACCAAATCGAAAAACGGACGAACAAAGGTCGGCATAGAGCAACGATTATGGAAATGCTTTGTTACATACATTTTTTTTTTCCAACGAGCACATGATTACAATTTACAATTTACGAATTTTTTTCAACATGGGATCATCTACATATGTCGTGTCCGTAGCTATCTGGCTTGTGCGTGCCATGCAAGTCTTACACATGTCCAACATATGTCAAACATACCATCCTTGTCCTGCATACAGATCTACTCGCGCTCCAACCAGTTCCCTGACCTAGACACACGGGATTCACATCCTACAAGTCATTGTAGACACGGACAAGAGAAAAGAACCAACCAAAAAAAATAGACGTTCAAATCAGTGGTTTTTTTTTGGGGTGGGATATACTAGCAGTAAAAGATACAGAGATGCAGTGACGATACAGTACAATACAATACAATAAATATAACTAAAATAAAAAAAAAAAATCAAACACCGGAATATCAAAGTGACACTACATCTACTACGACGTCGCATGGCCATTCGTATTCGCCATTGTAGACGCTCCACGACCTGAACCCGTCAGTGTCACGGCCGGGGCCGGGTTGGCCGGCGAGACTGATCCTGACGAGGGATTACGCGGCGATGCAGACTCAGAGGACGGGTCCGAAGCTGAAGCTGACGCCTCCGCCTCTGCCGAGGACGACGAACTCTCCTCCTCCGACGACAACGAGGGCGCAGGCGACGGGGCAATGACGCCAGCGACTTCATCGACGAGTTCGTCCATGATTCTATCCACTGCCAATTCCTTTTGCTCTTCTTTCCTCCCCTCTTTCCTTATCTTCTTCTCCTCCTCCTCTGCCGCGACACCGACACGGACACCGGCTCCGGCAGCCTCAAGAGCTTCAACGCCGACATCGACAACCTCGACGCCCGCGACAAAAACTTCCGAGACGAGCTCCAGGCCGGCGACAAAGACGCAGAAGAGGCTGGCGATGCAAAAGTGGGAAATCGACGTGCCGATATCGAGCCAGGAGCCCTCGTCACGGACGAGGAAGAAGAAGTTGAGCGTTAGGACGTCAGACAGGGCAATGACGATCATGAAGAGGGCGGACGGGGCGACGTGGATGCGGCGATTGAGGATGCCGAGGTTGGCGGAGATGAGAGCGAAGGGGATCATGATTTTGAGAAGGAGGAGGGCGCCCTGTGAGAAGGGGTTGAAGACGGGGATCAGGCGGTAGACGCTGTCGAGCGAAAAGGAGGAGATGCTTGCAATGTTGCCGGTAGAGAAGAAGGCGGATTGTAAGAGGAAGAAGAAGAAGAGGGAGATGCGAGCGTCGGACAGGACGAGAGGTCGGTAGGGTGAGGAGGAGGAGGAGGAGGAGGAGGAGGAGGAGGAGGAGGGTGATGATGAGGAAGACGAAGAAGTAGGGGGGGTGGGGGTGGTGGTAGAGGTGGATGGAGATTTCGAGGTTGGAGACAAAGAGGAGGATACAGGGTGAGATTTATGAGAATGCGAGTGGGAGTGGTGGGAATGAGAATGGGAGTGAGAGTGGGAGTGAGAGTGGGCGCGTGTAGTAAACACATAAATGTGATGTTCTAATCGGACCCAGGTGAGAAGAATGGTGCAAAATGCAAAATAAAACAGTCCCTCATAGGAAATGGTCAAGATGATAAACACGGGTGAAAAGGCGAGGAATATGATGACCATGCGGTGGAGATAGTGGCTGTTTGGTCGCAGACCGTGGAGGAACGGAACGATGAACGATGCGACTGTTGAATCTCAAGTCAGTGGTGGTCCAGCTATTGAGGGCTCAGAAGGGGAATACCTAAAACGACCCAGCCAACTATCTGCGTGCCCACGGGCAGACCTTGCTTGGCCTGAAGTGAAGTCACGCTGGATTTTGTTACAATCATTGCTAACGCGACAAGACCGATCTGACAATGGTCAAGTTAGGAACCGGACCAACAACTGGAAGAGCATCATAATTTTTGATTAACACCATACCTGAACGCCGACAATGGATCGAGACATGACATCGGCAGACGGCTTGCCATGCGCAGTCTTTGCTGGATGTGATTGAGCAAGGATGGTCTTCTCGAACAAGAGGTATAGCACTCCAACAGCAACCATGAGGAAGCCACCAAATAAACTAGGGCTATCAGTCAGCAAATATATGGACAATCGAGACGAGAAGCTTACATCAAGTTGATATCCTCAATTTTTACGACTGGCAGCAGAGTAAATGTGCTCATGAGTATACACGCCACAGCCCAAGTTGCCACGGTAAGCTTCTCTTTGCGAACAAACTCCCAACCGTAAAAGGCCGGCCAAAATGCGGCAAGAAGAAAGCAAACCGTGTACACTTCACGATAGAAATAACTCTGGACCTGTTTTCAAATGAGAAGTCAACGACCCTGCGCAATTAATACTGGTTCTTCATAGCTTACCAGTCCTTCCAATAATCCAAGAAATGCCAACGTGTTAAAACATAGTTTGATATACGCCCCAGCTCCGTGGATATTGCGTAAAAGTGCGTCCTTGCCGGCTTTTATAGCGCTTCTTCTCGCCACTACCTCTTCCCAGAAGAACACCGGGAAAATAGCATAGGCATAATATGTCCACGGAGAGCGCTGAATGTACATTGACGAGTACAACGCTACGAGTATCGAAACAAAAAAGGCAACGCTCACGGCTGTTCGGCAAGTTTCTGCTCCGCCTTGAAGAACATGCCAATCGATAAGTGTGACAATGGCAAAGGACATCCAACCAAGGTATCCCATCGTGACGAGAGCCCTGAGGAACAGCCAGTCGTATGTTTGCAGATACCGAAGCCCTTCCAAACCAAGTTTCATCAGCTCGGAGCTTTTGGCAATGGCAACATTGTATTGCTGGTTGTCAATCAGGCCTCTGATGTCGGCGACCCGATGCTCGACCGAATGTTCCTCATCTCCCAAAGGAGCAAAAGGGCGGAATTGAAGCGCTACTGTACGCTTATGCTCTTCTTTGACTCTGTACATTTCGAGGATACCCCGCGCGTTGACCAAGGCGGCTTCTGCCTTTTCTTCTGGACCAGCATCCAGATACTGAAGAGGCAATTCTCCAACCGAATTGACCGGAAATTCCAGGCCAGCGAGGTAGGCCATAAGCGCAGCCACATCTGCCTGAGCCACATCGTTTCGCTGAACCTGGTCGAAACCCCAGTCGGAGGAGAATCCATCCTCATGACCGGAAGCAAGCATACCCGGCGTGACAACTGGCGGTGCAACTCCAGAACCCCACGCAATCAACGGTGTCCGAGTATTGTCTGGATGGCCGTCGCCGTGACTACCCAGATCACTCATCCCATGGTCTGCGGTAAAGACGAATGCAGTTTTGTCGTCCTTGTAGAATTCTTGAATCAAATTGGTAACTTCTTCGACGCCTTGGTCCACAATCTGAATGTTGCGCAGATATTCTCGAGAGTACGGTCGGTAGCCATGTCCGGTCGTATCTAACCCAAGAAGATGGAGGAAGAAGACCAACTTATCCTCGCGCAGCGCGGCGTCTAGAGTCGCATTCGTTGCCGCAGAAGCGAACAATTCTTTGACCCTATCAAAGACCCATGTGTCGAGTGCTGTGGCATCTATTATGCACCAAATGAGCGAATACTCTTCTTATACAAGAATACAATCCTGGTTCCTCACCCTGAGTAAAGTCTTCTGCTTCTTCGCTATACGTGTCTGCGTCAACCCGTCCTTCCACTGCTCCTTCTTTGAACATGGGCAGAATGTCCGGGCTTCCCCAGCTCCACGTATGTCTGCTCCGGTTGAATACGCTGTCAAAGTTGACAGGATTGAGTTTCCATCCGGTGGTGACTGCCGATACATCCTCGTATAGTCCTGCTATAAGGGCCACATGTCCAGGTCTCGATTCTGTCGGCACACGCGTATGGGAAACGCCAAATGTTCCGTGTCCAAGGACTCTGGAGCGAAGAAAGGGAGCAAGCGGTCGAGGTTCGAGGGCTGAAGGGTCGGCATCTTCAAGGGCTGAGGGGTCAGGAAACGATTGGAAAGCTTTGTCCGCGCGGAGACCGTCACCTAAAAGCTTCGCAGTTAGGCCATCACCAACTTCATAATTTGAAATGCAAATGAAAAAGACAAATACAGCAAAGACCGAGGGACCTTTAGCGCAAGAATGCAGAGACAATTGACACGATGTCTCCTTTCGCTCGCGGAACGTTTGCGCTTACGCCTTGAGTTTCGTACATCTCGGCGCAAAGGCCCCGCGCAGCCAATCTGTACAGCGCCAATGGCTCTGTTGCACGTAAAGGCACAACATTGGCAGACTATTGTCTTTCTACGCCAATCGCAGCATGCCACCATGATCCCAAGTGTGTACTAACCAACAACCAGCACTAATCTCCTCGCCGGTGCTTCCCGCCCCTCTGGCCGCTCTACACCGAATTCTTTCATCCCGCTCACGATTGGACTGACGAAATAAATATCAAATATCGAGTAAAGATATATTAGGTGGAAGATGACTGCAATGAGCATAAAACCGAAGCGATTGAGTCGGCGCTGCGGCCGTGGCTGGCGCCGAGCCTTCGTCGGTGATGATATTGATGTGGCCATGGTCGCAGTTGCTGCGTAAAATTCTCCGTGACCGATTCTAATGTGAGAAATAATTGGATGCCCTGATCAAAGCAAGCTGGAGAGTCCAAAAATTAGAGGAAATAAAAATCCGCTGTAAACGTCGTCCCCAACGGTCCCCTTACACATCACCCACCACAGCTCCGTCGGTCAAGAAGAGAAAGGAAATTGAGTCGAATGACTTGTGCTAATTGAAGTTGTTGAGAAGCTTTAATAAGATCATCTCTGCTGATAATGTTTCGTCTATTAGAGAAGGAAGTCAATACTTCTAACTGGTATGCTTTCGGAACCCTGGTGGTGACGGTGGAGACTCGGAGCTTAGGAAGTTATTATTGATCCCAGACGTAAACGGACGAGAGTGAACCCCAGTCTGGTCTGTGCGCTTCTAGTCTAGCCTGCAAACCATAACTAACACCAGTTAACTACTACTAACTATTATACTACGGGGGGCTGGGATGATGGCAGTTGAGCCTGTACGTTCGCCCACGTGGGCCCTTCCTGCGCTTTACCCCTGAAATGGCCCCAATGTCCTTGGAAGCTGACGACTGCTGTCATATTATCTCTCCTAGCTGACGTAGGATCATCAGTCTGTCAATCATTTTCAGGTAACGGAGAGAAATAATCATCTCTGGTGTGAATCTTCATATTTCCTTTTCCAGTTATACCTAAAATATTATATTTGTATAGAATGAGACCGCCTTAAAAATTAGGGAACCCTGTGTGGATTTTCTTTCCCGTTGAACCGCTTGAAATGCGAAACCCATCTAGGAAGAAAATGTCCACCCAACTTAAAATAAACGGTCACATATGCATAGGATCTAAGTGACGCTGCAGGTCGAAGAAAATGAGATACTCTCCAAACACCGAGGTGAAATAAGGCAGGACTGAAAAACAATTCGACGCAAAGCTTGATGGATGGAAATAGAATGTTGACGTCCCAAAAACTGTTTGCGCACCATGGGAATCAAGAAGGGAAAAAAGCCGTGGGAAATCTATACGCCGAACACGCCAGTGTGGTGTCGCTCAATCCTCCTTTTTCCTGTCTGCTACCTGACGTAACCGACCTCGTGGTGGCGCTTCTTGTGCGGAAGCAGAGGCGGCACTCCGTAGCTCCACAGCTGGAGTTGCTTGGCATATCTCCACCGAATGGTTGCCATTATCGTCTTCCTCGATTGTATTTACAGAAGATGCATTGCTTAGCTCAATTAGATCTCCGAGTTCCGGACGTGCAGTGCCAGGAGGCTCGACAAAAGAGGCCGCGCGAGTAGCCATTTTTCGCACCCACCCTTCAATTGCAGATCCCACGTTCTCAATGCCATTAAGTGGAGAGGTTGCCGTATGAGGGTCAAATGGAGAACCCGGCGCCATGTTAGGCAGATGCGCCGCAAAGAGTTTGTTTAACGGGTCCTGCGCCGGTCCAGGTGTGGTGACGTCCTTTCCTAGTGTGCCTACTCCGCCGGGTCCTTGCAAATTAGGCGGAAAGTATGAAATTGACGGAGTTCGTGATATCTTTCTTATTGGAGGGGCATTTGATACAGTAGCATTCGCGTGACCGAGACGTGGGAGATCGAGGGAAGTAGATGGCGTATCAAGATCAGAATAGGACACGGATTTCCGTCGGCTGGGAGGGAAGAACCCTAAGGTTTTGCGCGACATGCGAGCAATTTCGGTGGGGCCAGGATGGCCATCTATTTGCACCCAGGATTCATGAATCCATGGAGAATCTTCCCGGCGGTCTAGCGTTTGAGCGGACGCAACGGAGGTTGTCTCGGATGCTGGCGGAGGCTGTCGAGGAGTATCGTTCCGAGAGCCTGCTACATTGCTCCCACTAGTAGATACAAGCTCTTGGTCCATCGGTATCAAATCTCCGAGCAAAGCAGTTGACTCAGAAGGGCTCGGAACCGGGCGACCTTTCACCCTGCAGGCGTCAACTGGCAAAACCACCGTATTTCGGGTCTGAATGCTGTCGTTGGGCCAAAATCGATTGGCTCTGCGAAAGACGGGCGCTTGACAGTCATACTTAATCAACACACCTGCCAAGGTGTCCTGCGGTTGAACATGATGAATATAAACTAGAGCATCTCTGTCTTCCTGCTCCATTGGCGGAACAGAAGCAGACCCTCGGTCGTCTGAAGAACGCCGTTTGAAATTTCCCATCGTATCAGGGAGTACATGCTGATTAGCAGAAAGCATGTATTCTCTTCGCTTCACGCGAACTGCCTCCTCTCGATCCTGTCGAGTCCCTGTCCCAACAAAGCTTCGGTCCGGGGCTTCTGGGCCCCATTTTGACGGCGGAGCGCTGTACCCAATGCGCGCACGCGCAAAGTCTTTTCTCCGCCGAGAGGACGGTGCTGGAGATCCCACTGGTGAAGCTGTTCCACTGCGCAGTGCATCGCTCCCTAGCACATTGGAGGCGATACCTTGCAGCTTGGTCCACGACTGCTCCCAGATCCCCGAAGTCCGCATAGGCGAAGCGCTAAATGCTCTGAGCCCACTTGATCTGGCTTCATCCCTACTGCCTCTGCTCCCTACATCCACAGAGTGTCCGAGCTTCCCCGTAGAGCCGATTCGAGGCAGGTGTTGACCAGGAATCGGTGATGCGGCTCGCGAGGGGTCGGCAGAGTTAAAGTATGACCCAAACCGAGAACTAGCTGCACTGCTATCTGGTGTCGAGTCATCAAACCCAAGCTCGCCATCCATACTTAATCCTGTATTCATCGTGCTATTCCGGAAGCGGGGCCGCATCGTAGACGCTGTGCGGGCAGTCGAGGAGTTGATCCCGCCTGAAGGGGCTGTCCGGGAAGCTGAAGCGCGGCTAACGACGGTGGAAGCATGATGGCTGGAAGAGCTTGGGTTCAAAGTAGAAGTTTCACTGTTCATGGTCGGGGGCAGGCCGACAATGATGCCAGATCAACTCCGGATGGCATATAGGCGTTCGGTGGTATCGGGATTGCTCGTGACCGTGGCCGTGCTGGTCGCGGCGGGGGTATACGCTGACGCAGATGCTAACCAGGACTCTGCAAGGCGATCGATAATGGAAGGAAATGTTGCTTTCAGCATTGCCTGCTAATTTAGTAGATTGAAAGCTGAACTGCTCTTTGTGTCATTCAGTTAGGCAAGGGTCGGGTCGGCATTATCAAGGGCGTCCGTAGAGATCAGCTGTTGGTATGGACGAGCTGGATAGGAGGGCGTCCCATTAACGATGTCATGTCCCCCGTCCCAAGGCTCGATTCGAGTAAAGGCGAGGCAACGGGAAAGGTACCGAGACCTCCGGCAAGCGACCACGCTACGCATTTTAGTCTGCGGAGGAGCTCCCCGGACCGTACCGGTACCACATGACGACAGCAACCCTCGCGGCATTAAATTATCACGCATCAACAGCACCGCGCAATGGGTTCATACGATAGCATAATTGAGTGACTGATTAAGCATCTGGAGCGCCAGTGTATCCTGGCACATTTCGGGCGAATGGCAAGTAAATATAAGCAATAAGTTACTGTATTTGATATAGCTCCCAAGCAATCAAAAGCTCAATATATCCTTTGCAACGCGTTGTCTCCTTCCCGCCGCTGTGTGTAGCAAAACAAGCAATAGATCAATAGACAATGACGCGCATATTCTCACTTATGCAAAAAAAAGAGCAAGCTGGCACATCCTATCGATGTAGCGAATAAAGCAATTGGTCGCCGCCATATCCAGTCCAGACCCGAAACAAACCGTTGACGCCCTCTAGAAGTACCTTGATAAGGGGAATAGCCAGCCCCAAACTCCTTTGCGTCAAATGCAAAATAAAATATGCAATAGTAAATCTGCACGTGGCACTCACAGAGTAGCTCCCATGCCGTTCAAGTCTCCATTGATACCAAGGAAATGGAACCTATGAATGAATGATAATCAGCTCTTTGGTACCTAGATAGGGAAGATAGCACCACAAAAACGCGGTAAAGACAAGAAACTTACCAGTCTTCAACGTTCAGTGTAGCTGGGACACCAACCCCTGCAGCAGAAGAACCCGTGCTCCACGAATCGTCTGGGCTTGCGCCCGGATTTTCACCCATTACTCCGTCATAACCCGGCGGCCACGCTTGACTAGACATGGTAGAAGCTGCGCCTGCGTTAAATCCATGCAGTCCTTGCAAAGACGAGCCCGCTTGTCCTTGCATCGGAATGGGAACGGCGCCTGGCTGCGGAGTTTGCTGATGGTGGGGCTGCATGACAGGAGTCTGTATGGAGCCAGGCTGCGTCTGAGATAGTTGCGGATCAATGATAGGATTGACCTGAGGCGAAAATTGTGAGAGGGAAATGTTGGATTCCGCGGGGAAAAGCTGATCTGGCTGAAAGTTCTCCCACAGACTCTGAGAGATAGGTGGCGAGTTGCGGGTAACTAGGTAAAGATCGGGAGGGGTGGGTGGGATGGAATAGGACGGGTTGAACGGAGTTGGAGGTCTGGTGTTGGTTGCAGACGTGCCGCCACCCATGAATGTATCGCCGCCCTGGCGGATGTGTGATGCCGTTTGCGGTGGAGCAGCCATTGACAGAGGGTTCTGGTGCTGTGGCTGCGGCTGTGCTTGTTGCTGCTGAGAAGGTTCGCGAGAAGATACCATGGTCGGCGACTGAGGCCGAGATCGCTCATAGGATACTTGTGGCGCTGGAGGACCATTACCAAAGCCCAGTTCCATATCATCAAATTTCCGCTTTGGCTGGTTCTCCCGTCTCCAGAGGGGCGAAGGTTCTTGCTTGGACGATCGGGAGTGCCTTTTCCCTGCCGCCTTCTGCAGTCGTTCCTCCAGGACCTTGTTCCCAAGAATGGATTCAAAAAGGGTTTTAACCATTTTTGCTACCAACCAGACTTTGGAAACTTCACCCAAGGCATTGAGGCATGTAGTGATTTTCTCTCTCGTTGCAGCCTTCACAGTGGGGATCGGCGAGCGCATCTGATACACATGCATGATCAAAGCCGAGAAGAGACTGTAGACACTGGGAAGGGGTTTTAGCAAGGAGCAGCGGTGGCATAGTCAGGGTCGAACTCACAGGAAAGCAGGGGTAAACCGAAGCTCGTCATGAGCCTGCAAGTCTTCTACAATTGCGGTAATCATGCAAGCGGCCTGAAAAGCAATATTACGAGAAGGGTAGACCGACTCTGGAGGCATCGCTTGGGCCCCTTGTGGTGCTGGAGCAATGTGTACGCGATGCAAGAGGCATAAGGTGGTGCTGCAGCGAACGGTTAGCTTCATGGAAGAGGAGCTTTAAGGCACAAACGTACTAATAGGTAGAATGCAGGAGGGCAGACCAAAACTGGTGGCGCGATCGTTCCCACAGGATTTCCTTGGGACAATTCTGCAACCAGTCGGCCAGTGCCATGTCACTGTGGGTAAGATCCATTGCGTGTTGGCGGCGGAGTTTGGATCCTACTGAATATTGCTGAGCCAGCACAAGACCCATGATCTCACACAGCTTGACATATTGCAAGAAAAACTGAACATGTAGTTTGTTTGGAGGATATTCGGCCGGTCCATCCGAGTCGTCTTCGACGAAATCATCTTCGGAGATCATCTCAACGTCAGTGTCATCGGTATTGATACCGACTGGTCGACCGAGCGCGACCGCGACAGATCGATCTCGTGTGAAGAGTGTCCACCAGATTCTTCTCCACAATCGTTTATCCGCTTTGCTCAGCTGCGAGCCCTCGACGCTAGATGGTAATTGCAGAGTCAGATCTAACATCTGAAGAAGAGGATGGTTGTTTTATCCGCGGAACGCCTGAGGCTCACCTCCTATGCATGCCAGAACCCTGTGCAATGATAATTGCGGCGCGGGTCCAATAGAAGACGTTTTTGGTTACGTCTGAACCAATGTTAGCGGTTAGAGTAGGAATTTTCGTGGGCCCAGATGACGACTGCGTCTCACCCTCAGGACCTTCCCAGTACCAGCCCATCAAGACCAAAGCCTGGATGATTGTGACGCGATCATCTTCGTAATTGGCATCGTAAAGTGCCTTTGCTCGCTTGTAAAAAGTCATGGCTGCAGGCGTGGTGGAGCCATTGGCGTCCATTAGTTGAGGGTTTGTGCATACTCGAGACCCAGCAAGGAGAACGGCCTGCAAAAGTAAAAGCGATGGCGGGTTCTTAGGATCACGATATCGTTTCATAAATCGACTGCGGTTGATCACCGGGGCCACGGGAGCAATCCACCGGAAGAAGGACTCAACTAGATCATCGCACAGTGCTCTAGGGGGGAGCAGGAACGCGCCGCGTTGATGCAAAATGTCAATCTCCAGCTGATCTAGCTCTGTCGCCCGTGATTTTGAGCCCCGGACATTCTCCGGCAGCGGATAATGCACCACATCTGTCGTGCCATGCCGGTCATGAACGAGAAGGGTCAAATTGGACGACTCTCCCAGATAGGCAACTCGGCCAGCTTCCTTGATGGGTGCACGAGCAAACTTGGGCTTCATAAGCTCAGCATAGGTATTGGCTGTCACGGCCTGCTGCGCAACCTGATTTTGAGTAAGGTGAGTCGAAGGAGTACCATCCGACGCATGGAAGCCTGTGGTTCGATTGTCAAGAAACGAGGTCACAGAGGGCGAGGCACTCGCAGGCGGGGTATTCTGCACCGAATCGGCGCGGTCGCTACTCGACATGATTCACGTAAGCCATGATCGAATGCTCTAGAGCTGTTGAAGCAAATTTTACCTATCCGATTCTTTCGCTTTCCCCGGTGCCCTTTTGCGCTTCGGTGTCGGGATCCTGCATTCGATGGAGAAAGCCACGCAGTTGGTGCATGGCACTCCCAAGCTCGCAGCGTCGCATCGGACCTTGAAAAACCATCAGCTTTCCAACAACAATTCTCGGAAGGTTTGCGGTCGGTCCAGCAATGAGAAATAAGTATTCACCTTTCGCGCATGGCAAGTCTATCGAAAGCGGATTTAAAAAAGTTAGTCACAAGTCTTTCCTATGCCGAGGCAAGTCGGATCGCGCCGAGGCCAAAACATACCTCGCAAGCTCTTGAGGCGCGTTGTCTATTGAAGACAGAGTGAAATGGTTAGTCACAAATCCATCATGACATGTCATTTTCGTAAAAAGTAAGAAATTCCACACGAAAGGAGCGCTCACCGCCTGAAGCTTGTATGACCGCCGGAGTTGATGTGGGTATTGGAGCCCGTGCTGACTTGAGGCGAAGTAGCTTGGGGATGAACTGAAGTATTGTTTTGAGGAGTTGCGGAATTCAGATTCTCTGTCGCCATAATGTCGACGCCGACCAGAGTCGACCGGGCTCCAATACGAAATTTCGAAAGACGGCTGGAGAGACGCTTTGCGGATGGAAAGTATGTAATATCGAATTTGAAAGGTGTGTGACCGCCCAGCGTCAGGCCTTCATCGCAATGCGGCAACGTTAAGGTTTAAGGTAATGGGGCATGGCATGCACTGGACAGCCGGAAGCGAGATGGTCCCGAGCGGTCCCCCAGTTCCGGGGCGGTGTTGCGGTCATCGATTGGTTGCCGACCATTTGTATCCGCTGGTACCGCCACTTGATGTTAATTCCCTACCTAGTCTCCAAGTCACCTCTCGACGACCCCCTTTTGGCTTCTGTGGGTTTATGTCCATGAAGATGTACAAAAGGACCAAACAAAGTCAAGGCTGTAATCCCTTCTTGTTTTGTCCATTATTTCCCGAGCACGATCAAACAAGTGGTTTGGAACACATTTCTTCCCCTAGCTAATCAGTATCAGCTGATGTAATATACGTTTCATGCATAAGGCCTGACCAACGACAAGGGTCTCATCCTTCGAAAAAGCGAGATTTGAACTGCGTTTGCTTTCACTTGTCAGGAAACATGGGCGCAGACATTCGCAATGGAAGAGATTGCACAAGACTATACGCAACTCGATGGACTACTTGATGATGCATTCGGCCATTAAACTGGGTCGACACCTTTTCCAAATCCAAGCTCAGTTTGGGTTTTTAGCGGTGCATTGGTCTATTTAGGGTCGTTGAGGATGTTTCAACATGCTGCAGCTGCAAGAAAGTATGTTGATATCTGTCTTTGTTTGGTATTCTGTGTACTTCAGACATTTTGCAGCTGAATTTGCCCATGAGCGTGGATAAGAGTCATTCACATGCATTTCTTCTGTTTCAGGTTGGTTGATTTGTTGGTGGAACGTATATACCCAGAGTGTCGGGCCGATCACCACTCTCAATACCGACCAGATGAATCCAGCAATCAGTCACTAGCTGTGTCAGTTCAAGAGCAGATCGAAATCGTGATTCATATTCATGGCGCCAGCTTCATCTCCCTTTTCTAGAGGATCTCCGCAAGGTTTGCCGTCGTGTAGAAGTCTTGGGCTCGTCATATACTTCCAATTCTACCTCGTCATCCTCTTCTTCATCCGCCTCTTGTCCCTCGAAGTAGTGGCTGCGTACCGCTCTTTGGCTCCTCTCCGCTGCCTTTCGGGTCGGCATGGCCCTTGTTCTCTTTGGGGTTTCAGAATGCGAAGGGCCGCTGAACGAAGATGATTGAGATTCAAGATATTTTCGACCAGGATCAGTTCTTTTGAGTTTTCCTCCTTTGCCTGCCTTGCTATTAGAAGATTTGAGGGTTTCCGGTAGCGGTGATAGTTCATTGGAACTTTCAAATTCAACTTCCTTCTCAGATATTGAAGCATATTTGGCACTCTCATGATCGCTGCTTGCGTATTCACACTCCTCGCCATCTGCCAGCTGATAAGTATCTTGTAGAGATATGGGTGCTCGGAAAGTAGAATCTTCAGCAACCGTGGAGAATTTTTTCGGGTCTTCCTCATCACCTTCAATCAAAAAACCGCCGCCACCATGAATTTCGTTTCCAGTTTCGTCGTGTAGTAAGAAGCCACCTGCACCGGCAAATTCATCTGCGCCAGGCTCGGGCTCCCTTGTTACAGGAGCTTGGTGAGTTGTGTCATCTATAGTACCTTTGGTTTTGGACTTGTTCCGGTTCGTAAAAGGATTGAGCTCATCCTTGACATGAGCATCATCACCGCCATACTCATCCCGAACCCTGGCGAAAATCCGCAATCCCATGAGAAGTTTTCTCCACAATGACAGTGTCAGCTTGGCCCTCTTGTCATCTTCTTTCCGCTTTTTCTCAGCTTCAGCAATTTCCCAAGCATCAATAACCATATCTTCGTTCTCGGCCGCAACAACTACTCCTGTGATCACAGGAACTGCACGTTGGTTTCCAAACTCGAATCCAGTGACAGCTTCAGCGAAATCAATACCCAAATTTCTGCATACTCTCGCAGTGCCTCTAAGTGGAATATGGACAGCTCCTTTGGGGACCATTGACGGAACATAGCAGTCCATATTTCCAAATGCATTCTTGGGAATGATCCCATTTTCAATGGGCGGCGGAATAATCCATTCCGTTTGGTTTCGAGAATACAAACCTTGCTTCATTTTCTCTCCGCCACCGCGCTCGGCCTCCTCGATTTCGCGTTTGCGAATCAAAGTGACCGCACGCATTGGAACAAGCTTTAAAGGATGCTCCCCGGGTTTTACTCGTCGACCCTCTTTATGCCAGCTTTCACTGGTCTTGCAGGTGACAACATCCTTTCTCCGAAATACTTTTTCCTCTTTTGACTTCTCGCCTTTCCCAGTCGTAAATGTCTTCACGTGACGCGCTCGAGGTAACAATGCTTCTTCCCTTCGCAAATGCCTCTCCAGCACAAATTCCGCAGAATTTTTGTATCCTTGTAATGTCTCTTCGCCCGCAGGCTTATTCGCCTTATGGATATTGGCGGGTTTGAGTTCGTTTTCTTCCTCCAGGTCATCCACAGCAGTCCGGTCCTTGGCATCTTTGGCATAGAGGCGCATAACCGTTTTAAACCAGTCGCGCTCTTCGTGCCTCTTAATCTTGCCGCTTGCGTTATAAACAGGAACTTTTTCCACAGGCAGTCTTACTCCCTTTGTTTTCCCAGGCCACTGTCGACGTTTGAGATACCGTACTGTCACATCCTTGGCAGTACCGTCAGCCGAAAAGGCCACAACGTACGCCAGGACCTGCTTAGCCTTTTCTGCTCTTGCACCTCGAGGTTCGAAGGAGGCGAATAAATCAGGTGTAGATGCAATTGTTGAGATAACGAGGGGGTCAACCGCGAGAAACCGAGTGGTTACCGGAGAGTATACTTCGGTCCAATAGATTGGGAACTGCAGGTCTTTATCCACTGATCTTCCAATTGGTCTCTGCGGTGTAGATGTTACTTGATCGATCTCTGAGTCAATATCACTCGGCGGACTAGAGAGGTCACTCGAGTTCTCTGACAGAGATATTGGGGCGTCCTGGGTGCCTCGCAAAATTCTCTTTCGACCCACTAGGGTGGATTTCTGGGACAGCTGGGCTGTGTTTACAGGTACATTGTAATCTTCGAGATGAGAGTCTCCATCTGATGCACTTTCGTCTTCAAACGTGTCCGACGGCCGGTCAGTCATCTTTGATGATGCTCGGGAGGATCTCTGGCCGCTTTTCGAGCTCGCCATTTCTCCTTTCGACCACCCGAATCCGATTGGTTGCAAGCTCGACACAAGCCTTGCATCAAGTCCTAAGCCTCGCAATAGTGCGGTAAAGAGCTGAGCGCCAAGGTCTCGACTTCCTTCACAGAATTTTGCTCTTTCTCGAAACTCTTTGATGCCCATGATTCTCTCGCCATGGATTTCTAGATTATGAGGTTCATTCTTGAACGACGCAAGCTCTGACTCAACCACAGCAAGAGGCTTGTAACCTTGCTTTCGAAGTCCAGGAGTGACAACCTTGAAGCGCTTCTTCCAAAACGCACACAAGACCCTCATAAATCGGATAAGCGGATCGCCATGACTCGTATCAGGAACCCCTTTCTCTAGCCTCTTCGCACCATCGCCCCAATCCCTTTGGCTTTGTCCCTTAGACCTCTCCCCTGCCGCGGCTTTCTTCCCTGTCGAACGTTTCGCAGTCTTCCGCTGAGGCTCTTGTACCGGTAATCCAGATGCTAGTCTCCATTTTTGGTGCGCCTCCACGATACTTGGAGGCAACTGCCCGACTAAAGTATTTTGCACTTCTTCGTCGCACATCCAAGCATTTCTAGCTAGATTGTGAAACAGCAGGAGTTGCACATGCATGCAGTGAGTGCGTATTCGTATCTGTCGTTCAATCTTGCTGGGGCCTTTTTTCTGTCTTGTGTCTGTGAATGACTCAACCGGTCTGTTGTCCTTATCAAGTGTAAGCTCGAGGTCTCCAGAGGGTTCAATGGCAGAAGTTTGCGGAGTAGGTTGGTCCACCGCCATGGCATCTTCCCAATCCATATCCTCATCACTACCGTCACTTTCGCCGGCGCCTGCTCCATCAAGCTTGCGACGCTTTGCGGAGTGTGTCCCGTCTTGGGCATCGTCAAATTCCGCGCTGCTGACTTCGCTCAGAGAGGACGAGTCGCTCTCATCTTGCAGGCTGTCGAGGTAAGCTTTGTTGTCCTCTACAGTTCTTGTTCTCCCACGTCCCGCGTCTAGGGTGTCAAACAGCGTTGGCCTTGGTCGACTGGGCTTAGGAGTAGAGCCGCCTGCGGCAGGAGCATTGGATGGTGAGTGCCGTCGCTTGTTTGGCACAAATGGTGGCATTTTTAAATGAGAGATGTAACTTTCAGTTATTATATCATCGAATGTAATGATTACTAGCGATCATGGTACCGATTTTAATTACATTAGGGGTGAAGCATTGTCGACGATAAAGGGTTTTGGAGGTAGGACTACACGATAAGTCGTTAACGTCACCGAATAACGGCCATCCAGACAAAGTTTCTTAGTTCCCTCGGCCTAACCACCTCCCTTTCGTACCTGCGCCATAAGGAGAAAGACCTCGGCAACAAGCGAAGATCTCTAAAACTATTCCACAGCCTTGATCGAGAGGCTGTCATGTTTACCTATAGGTCCAGTGCTCTTACTCTGTAGCCGACATTATATAATTTATCTCATTCATATATTTATGCGTATGTATCAATTAATAATCTTAAGTGGTTGATATGCCACTGTTGTTAGGGGGTTTTTTTTTTTTTTTTTTTTTCCTGAGTTCATTAGTTTAATTAATTCCTAGCTTCTGTAATCTAATATTTATCATTACGATTCTTATATCTTTCGAGGCTATACTATTTGTTATCGAGACACCATCTAAATATGCGTTAAACGCCTGTTGACCATACGAGATGCTACTTCTTGCGGGCTAAAAGCAAACCAGTGCCAAATTCCAGAAAGATGTCTTTCTCATCGTCCAACCCTCTCTCCGCCGCCTTCATCTCGTCTGCCATCTCATCAAACACGTCCCCGGGCCCACCAGCATCGCGGCGAGTCAAGTTCGGATGAGCTTGTTGCCACTCATGAAAAGCACTCCAGGTTCTCGCGTATTCTAAAAACTGGGGCAATGTCATTTTCTTATCCAAAAACAACGTTCCTTCTCCTGACTTTGGGCCCTGTACTCCAGGCTCATACTCTATGCGCTGGATATCCTGCCATTGAGATGGCGGCGGTTGAATGTCTCGTAACTTGTTTTGCACGATTGATCGCCCTGGCTGGGACCAATAATCTCCAAGATATTTTCCACCTGATCCGTATGCGTACCGGTCGACAATCTTAGTCGCTTCCGGAAATTCAACGAGCACTGGATCTTTATAACCCCAAAAAGCCAAAGTTGCGCCAGGCCTAAGTATTCTCTGCAGTTCAGCGAATAGCTTTGGGTAATTAAACCAATGAGCTGCTTGGCCGGCAACAACCATGTCGACAGAGTTGTCCGCTAGGAACGGGAGTGACTCCGCAGAAGCAGCACGGTAGCTGACGTTTGGATATTTATCCGCCGGGGTTCCAGATTCTGCCTGCTTGATCATGCCATCTGATGGGTCTGCGCCTACTAATTGATCAAACTCCTTGGATAAAGCGCGCGTGACAAGTCCATGTCCACATCCGAGATCCAGACACAGCCTCTTCGGTCCTTGGTGGTAGGCGAGGATCTTTTCGTAGAGAGAAACCGGATACACTGGGCGAACAGCAGCATAGGAAGCATAGGAAAACGTGCTTTTGCTGTTTTCGGTTGATCAATAGCTAGATTGGATCGAAATTTGGTTGACAGGAACATACGCGAATGTCGCCATAATTAAAATTTCTTCAATAATCAATCCAGCTTTTGTGAATTGCAGAGTTGAAAGAACAAACAGATAAAGCCGAGCAAAAGTGACCAATTTAAAGGCTAATTTCGGACAATGGACTTTCGTAGATGATTAGGTGCGGGGATTTTCAGCTTGAAGCTCTAGGACCTCGGTGATAAGATGGTTTCTCCGGTGTCGGCATTCGGCTTGAGGCGGTTAGCTATCGATTAATACTGGTGAACGATGGCGTCATCTAAGGGCTCAAAACATTACGAAGTACACCAGAATCTGTCCTCTGATTCTAATTTCTGAAGGTGCAATCACGCCAAAAAAAAAACCGTTCGCAATATTCAATTTGAAATAGCCATGGAGGCTGCAGTCAAGACCTTCTTTTCTTCACCGTATTTTGCGGTCGTTGGGGCGAGCCAAAATCCCGCAAAGTTTGGTCACAAAGGTACTTCGGAGCAAGGAAGCATTGCTTTGAAGTAAATCAGCTGCTGATTAAACATCGTAGTGTTTGCCTGGTATGTAGCGCATTCTCTGCCGGCATCACCAATCAACCCTACCTCTCCAGCCATCGACCTGGCAAGTACTTCTCATCCCACCGTTGCCTCCGTCTCCGCTCTCCCGTCGCCAGAGCAGACGTCGATTTCGATAATTACTCCACCTGCTGTCACAATAAAAGTATTGGAGGAAGCAAAGGCTGCCGGTGTTCCCGCAGTGTGGCTGCAGCCGGGAACTTTTGATGACAAGGTACTGAACTTTGCAAAGAAGGAGTTTCAGGCCGCTGTTGGAGGGGATGGCGGCTGGGGGTCTGAAGGCTGGTGTGTTTTGGTGGACGGAGAATGGGGTTTAGAGCTCGCCGGCAGAAACTGGAAGAAACAAAGGATTTAAGTATAATACTTTCAGGGCAAGAGGAAGGCTTACACCATGATGATGAATGCGAGAGCAAGTCATTGCCTTGCTCAATGATAACGACTTCTTATGCAAGGCTGAAAGGGTTGGGTTATTCTCTCATTTTATGAGTTAACATGTTTGGAGACGGTATTTTTGATTTAATTCATGAATGGAAATTTAGTAATTGGATTAATTCACTAAATACATGTCTGGAATATGGGTAAACATCAGTTCCTCGCTTGAAATTCACGAGATATCTGAAGTGAAGAAAAGTAGATATAAAATCGGAAGAGTCATGCATCTCTTGCCTTACATAGTACTATTCCCTGCGTCTATATAATCCAGGGAGAATCCCTGCTTCACAAAAACCCAATATCCTTAAGGCAGAAACCCCCATAGCTCTCCGAGCCGACAACATCCCGCCGCAATTGTTTGAACCCCATGACAGGGTGGTTGCCTAAGCGACAAGTCTGATCCCCCAGCCACCTCAGCGACCTTATCGGTTCCGTCCAGCCACAACTGGCACCTTAAATCTTCTTCCATCGCGCCTTCTTAGGTCCGCGCCAGAACCTCAAAGCTGTGCGTGGTGCTTGTCCGAAAGACGGTCCTTCATTCTTTAATTTTCATGATGCTTGTTTAGACACGGGGTTTTTGCGCTGAAAAGCGCCCTCGCGTTGGAGACAGAACTTCACTCAGCTCCGTTCGCCTTATCTCTCATTGTGCTTCGCTCACCGCCAGATCATCGACGGTCTTATGTAACAATGTCCTCCTCTTTTCGCATACAGCAGGCCCCAGAGCCGACGACACTGAATAATTCTCTGTTCTGGAAAAAGTCTGAGATGTCTTTTCACCAAAATCATCAGACACACTCGAACTTATTCCAAGTGCCTCAGACACCGTCTGCATCTTCATCACAATGCTACTCTATGCCCCTTGGTTCCGACAACCGGCCGTCCATCTCGTTGCTTCAGGATAGGGAACGCTTCGCGGACTTTAAGTCTTTTCGGGGCTCTCCAACCTCGAGCCCAGAAAGCTCGATGACTAGCTCAAGCGATGTCATCAGCCCACCTCCTTTGGTAAATCTGAAATATGACCTGGCAGGTGGTCTGGAGACTCCCTCTGGAAAATACGGCCTCATGACGGAGGAAGATGCCGAAAGTAATCAATACGACATCTCCTTCCGTCGGGGACGTGGAAACGCTGGACTTTTCGCTGATCCCTACAAGGCGTCTATGGGCGAATACTTTCCCCCGCTCCCTTCAGCACTGGCTCAGGAGGGCAATGGAAGGAAGCGCACCCATTCAGAGATCGAAGACTCCAGTGGTGGCAGCTGGGGAAGCTTTGTTTTCAACATTGTGGGTGGTGTTGCTGGGAGATTATGGGATCTATGCGCTCGCACGAACCCTTTTCGCGGATTCCACTCAGGTGTTGCAAGTGGCCATTCTATTACACGACCTCGGCAGGGTTCGATGAGTATGGGGGGCTCATGGTATTACGTTCATGACACCGATATGCAGGATGCAGGAAGCTCTTCGCCGCAACCCTTGCCCCAAACGAAAAGTCTGCAGTACGAACCGCATCGGAATCATCAGCAAAGCAACACGACAGAGAGGCCAAGTAAACGTCAGCAAACTAGAAAGGCAACTGAAAATAATCTTTCCGCGAGCTGGGTTATGGTGTCTTCTTCGAATAAGGAGCCGTCAAGTAGCTACGCCTCCATTGCTACGCCCTCGCGGAAACCTGCTTTGCAAACCGTTGATAGCAGAGCTCGGCGACCGTCCCTTGCAAAGCTCTCCTCGAACTCGTCATGCAGGCCGCTTTTCCCTGCCAGACGCCCCTCGTTTGTATCACAAGCTAGCGCCCCCGCTTCTATGTCCGCGTCTTCCGCCTCAGTTGCATCTCCGCGCTCATACGATATATCTCATACTGCTGGTCCGGCGCGATCAACGCGATCAACTTCAGGTACAAGCGCCTCTAAGCATGCCAACAAACATTTCCTCCCGGAGACACAACGATATGCGGCCAAGCGGCGAAAACAAGAAAGAGAGTTAAATACAAGTTTTCGCAACATGAACCGACAGCTTCGATCCATGATCACTGAAGGGAAAGAAGCTTTGGCATCCTTTCCTTAACGGCGATAGTACCGAACTCTATTGGACGATTTCCCTTTTGTCTTTTTCTCCTTGGCAGTGCTTTTGCACATCACTTTTTCTTCATCTCTCCCATCCACTCACGCATGGCTTTGGCACTACTGTGCGCAGCCCGAAACACTTAGACGACCAGATTGTATTAGCGTTGGATGACACGAATTGGATTACCACACGCAGTGTGCAGACGCCATTGCGCTGGCCCGAATAATGAGGCTTAATGACTAGACGACTTACGTTCTCTTTCTGATTCATCGATACCTTGCAAGAAGTCGGCGCCCTCACCGAGAGCACCACGAGGATTGTATGCATGATCTGCAATTTCTGCTGCACGTTTTTTGAAAGACTGTTATCCGCACAAGTTAGTTTTTGTTAGTTTTCACTGTCACGTTGGAAAGAAAAAAATTGAGAAAATTCATTTGGACACTGACCTCGGTTAATACATCAACAATTTCCTCGTCCTCGAAAAGATCTAAAATGCGCGTGCCAAGCCGGTAAAAGTGCGGTGCTTGACCTCTAAGATCCACGCTCCGGGGTGATGCCTTGAGCGCATTAAGCACCCGCTGAGAAAGCGCATCTGGAATGTCCAACGTAATTGGTGCCGAATTGCCCAAGCTGAGAAGAATTGTTAGACTCAACGTAAACAAGACGTGATTCTTGAATATCAAGAACCATCTGTGTAGGCGCAATCATTGCTCTACCTTACTGCCAGCATCTCCGCAAGCCACAGTGGTAGCTCGCACCGTGTGCCTTGTTTCATCTGCGCAACATTGCCTCGTTAGTTCACTCTTTTTCTTTCTTATTTAGTTTTTCACTCCAATCTGGTGGCTGTTGTTTTCATAACCCAACAAACGCCTTCATGGCAGCAGATGAGGCAAAGATTGAATAAACTCACATCTCCACCCGCATTGCCGCTGAGATATCCTAGCCCTGGCACACTCAGCTCAAATGTACACGGCACTTTCTAATGCAATAGTCAGCTATCCAAAGGGATCCAAGCAATGTGTCACATGGAAGAAGTAGTAGGTATAGTCCTGACCTGAGAATCGGTGAGAATTGAATCAATGTCGTAGTATGACCCCATTTTTATAAGAAGAGCTTCAAGGGTACAAAGTCTCTTGGAGATGATGGAATAGAGAATTGTTGTTGGCTTTCCTTTGCGTATCGGTTTATCCGTGGGGTTTATCGTCTGTCGCGTTTCTCGTGTAAAGTGTTGACGCCAATCTACGCGTTAGAGTACAAAGTACGTAGTACGTCCCGAGGTCGTAAGCAAATTGTGCGCAACTGGTCTTAAAAGCTCAACGTATATCTCTGCCTCGCCGAGTCAAGTGTCGTAGAAGCATAACATGCTTCCCTCGTTCCTATCTTCTGTCTTTTTGAAGAGTAGTTATACAAATATTGCAAGTGCCTTTTTTTTTAGAACAGTCAGATGATCTCATTACCTAAATAGCTATAATGTGGCTACTTATTATATAATTACTAACAAATGGCAAACCCCTCGTAACTATGTTATTCTAATGGGCCTTTTTGGTATGGGAAACTACGGCGCTGGGTCGTGTCTACCTAGGGTTTTGGCATAATCTCCGCCACAGTTTGCAATTTATGGCGTATTCTCTCTGTATGTGACAAGAGCTTGTTGGTTCTCTGCTGTAATGCTTAGCTCTCGGGAATAACCAGAACCGGATAACGCTAGCGAAACAATCCACTGACGTCGTCTCTGTTGTACCTATATCGGACCTTTCGGAATTCCAGATACAACAACAAACCGAAAAGCAAACGCCAAAGCTCCTTCAAAAGAGACTCCTTTCCGACTTCTACTGCTGGCCTGGGTCCTTTCATCTACAATGTCGCCTCTTACCACAAGGCCGATCCACTTTGGGACCTTTTTGGTCAATTCCCAAGTACGCCTAGCCACCAACCATTTCCACCCCCAAATCTCCATGAGTTTGACCTGACGCCTTTCAGGTCTTCCATCTCACACCGTTATCATATGCATTGGTCAATCTCAAGCCAATTCTCCCTGGACACGTTCTAGTTTCTCCTCTGCGCGTGGTTCCACGAGTTGCGGACCTTACACAAGCCGAAGCAGCCGACCTTTTCTTGACCGTTCAGCGCGTGAGCCGCATGGTGGAGCGAGTCTTTCGGGCGTCCAGCATAAACATCGCCATCCAAGATGGTGTCGATGCCGGCCAGAGTATACCTCATGTCCATGCGCATATCATCCCTCGGCAGCGCGCGGATCTAGATTCCAGAGGGGGTGGGGATGCTATCTACCGCTTGTTGGAAAGCGAAGAGGGAGACGTGGGCAAACATCAGTCAGAACAACAGAAGTACCGTGAGAGGGCGAAGTTTCCTGCTGTCGATGCCGATGAAAACCGAAAACCGCGGTCTGAGGAGGAGATGAGAAAAGAGGCGGAGTGGCTGGCATCTGAGATGCAGAAGGAACAAGAGTCATAAAAAAAATCACAAAGGATTCAAATCTGCTCTATGGTGTTTTTGGGAGGCCTACGAAGCGCCTAAGAGACCTGCCAGAGGCTCCCAGATGCCCGCATGCTACTTTTGCAACGACGGCTAGCTTGCGACCAGCAACCATCGGCGCATTACCCTGCCATACTTCTCTTCAAAAATAAGAATCAAGTCGAGATTAATACCGACATATGATAGATACCCTAATACGGATCGGAGGTCGTTTCACATCTACTACCTAGTGGGTAGTCTGCGCATATTCCCATGGCCTACATTGATCCTCCGATCAGGCGCAAAAAGAGAGGATGATGGTGTAAATAGACTTTAGGGACGCTGACCTTCTAGACATAGACATTACGCCTTGTCACAAAAGAAATGTCAAGTTTTTCATACATCCATATATCCTTCAATTTGGTTGAATATTCTTTTTCACCAAATAAATATTTTCTGTTGGTGGTGATCTTGTCATGACCGGTTTGGCCACCATATACTGTCCCAAAGTCCTCACCCTATCACTCATTCTATTCCCCACCTAGCGTGAGAACATCGAAATTACGTTTAATTTCATAAAGAGAAGAGTTTCAACTGAATTGTTTATCCAGTTGACTTGCTATCATTTCATCTCGTAATAATCAGTTATTTCGGGGACATCGTCTGTGCACGTGACTTGATGTACATATGGATTGTGATTGGCGGATGAAGACGTAATTCCAGTGGCGGCAGGAAACCATGGCGAGACAGCCAATCAGAATGAGTCAATGGTCGATAACCCTCCGCTCTCGCTTTGGATTCCACTGGACGAATGGCTCATAGGAAACCTGGGGTATCTCAAAGTCAGCTTGACCCCGAGTGATGGATCATCGCATCTCTTAAACTATTCAGTCCAATCGAATCAATTGTTCCACCTTACGTACCATTCCGTCATTTTCTGATCAAAGAAGGAAAATACAAGACCGAGGGCTCATCACAAGAGCCCAAACATTTTCTCCCAAAAGACTTCTGAAGAGTCATAAATTTCATATCTCCGTTCATACAGTTCCAGAGCCATGTCCTCTGCCTCGTCCTCCTCGTCTGCTCCTGGAAGCTCGGCTGCTTCGACGGGCAAGACGAGCATGCTCAGCAAAGCCTTCTCCAAGGTCGACCTTGACGGTCACGATCTCCCGCCTTCACCCGCTCCCTCTAGTCCGCACAATGGTCGAAAGTATGCGTTGGCCACGGAGCTAGTTTACACTGAGAGCAATGACCAGTACAATGCCAGCAGTGTTCCCATTTACCAGGTAGATCCCACACTCTTTGATTCAAATGAATGTTTTCGCATCTGCAGAAATTGACATGTATGCTACGTTAGACTGCAACATTCAAGCAGACTTCTGGCGGCGGAGGCGGCGAGTATGATTACACTCGTTCCGGAAACCCTACCCGCTCCCATTTGGAGCGCCATCTCGCAAAGATCATGTCCGCTAATCGCGCTCTTGCTGTTTCCTCGGGAATGGGCGCTCTGGATGTCATCACCCGTCTGCTTCGTCCTGGTGACGAGGTTGTGACCGGCGATGACCTGTACGGCGGTACTAATCGTCTACTGAAATATCTTGCAACCAATGGCGATATTACCGTCCACCACGTTGACACTACCAACCCCGACAAGGTCCAGGAGGTTCTTGGCCCGAAGACCGCCATGGTTCTTCTGGAAACTCCCACGAACCCGCTGATCAAGATTGTGGATATTTCCACGATTGCGTCTCTCGCTCACGCCGCCAACCCTAAGGCTCTTGTTGCCGTTGACAACACCATGCTCTCACCTATGCTTCTTAACCCGCTCGACATTGGCGCCGACATTGTGTACGAGAGTGGAACGAAATACCTGTCTGGTCACCACGATCTCATGGCTGGTGTGATTGCAGTCCAAGACCCCGCCATTGGCGACAAACTCTTCTTCACCATCAACGCTTCCGGCTGCGGCCTCTCTCCATTCGACTCCTGGCTACTGCTCCGTGGTATCAAGACCCTCGGTGTTCGCATGGAGAAGCAGCAATCCAACGCGCAACGTATTGCCGAGTTCCTCGAGTCCCACGGTTTCAAAGTCCGCTATCCCGGTCTTCGCTCACACCCGCAGTACGACCTGCACTGGTCCATGGCGCGCGGCGCAGGCGCTGTGCTGTCATTTGAGACCGGCGACGTCCAGGTCAGCGAGCGTATTGTCGAGTCTGCCCGCCTCTGGGGCATCAGTGTCAGCTTCGGCTGTGTCAACAGTTTGATTAGCATGCCTTGCCGTATGAGCCATGCTAGTATTGACGCCAAGACTCGGGCAGAGCGACAGATGCCTGAAGACATTATCCGGTTGTGCGTCGGTATCGAGGACGTTGACGATCTCATTGATGACTTGAGCCGCGCGGTAAGTTTATCTATCTTCACATCACTGGCTGCTAGTGATTAAAAAGGAAAAAAAAACTAACTTTCTTCCTTTAGCTCGTACAAGCCGGTGCGGTTAACGTCACGCTCAATGGATTTCATGCCCTCAATGCCCCTGGCCAGACGGTCGGATCATCATAGTGTGATACCCGTCCGCTAGCATATCTCCTCCTCTAGGGTTGGTTCTTCGAACTTTATCACGCTGCCAAGTGCGGCTCGTTTCGGCTTCAAAACATATTTTTATCTTATTCTTTAGCGGCGTCTGGCATGGGTTGCAACAATTCTAGCATTGGAACATTTGATTCATACACAATTCTGTCTTGTACATTTTATATACCATATTCGAAAAGTAGAGATTAGCACCAAGTGCGCAAAAATTCACATGAAATCACTCGATTCTGAAAAAATGGCAATACAGTGCCAGTATGACGCTGAATTATGGGTCTATTTGCGTATCTGGATATGCAATGCACCAATATGCTAGAATGTAATACTACAAATGAACAATATAAATCGAGAACCCAACTTAAAGAGGATCGAAGGATTTTTTCTGAAACCTTCCCTCTTCCAAAGCCCTTTCCGTATCGTTGAAACATGAACCCGAAAAGTCAAATAACGCAGTCAAGTATTCTGCTGTACAAGATCCAAGACCCGCCCCTCCCCATTTCAAATCATTCCTCCTCCCCACCGGAGAAGAGAAGAAAAAAAAAAAAAAAAACCGGGAGGGAGCATAGCTTTAAACAGACATCTTCATAGCAATACCTTTATGCGGCGAATACCCCTTGACTTCAAAATCTTCTACTCGCCACCCATCAATACTACCTCCCTTTTCACGCTTGATGTCGAGCGTCGGGAACTCGCGCGGGTCTCGCTGGAGCTGCTCCGTCAGCGCGTCAACATGGTCGAGATACACGTGCGCATCGCCCATTGTGTGTGTAAACGTGCCGGGAACCAGATCGCACACGTGGGCAAGCATGTGCGTGAGCAGCGCGTACGAAGCAATGTTGAAGGGAACGCCGAGACCCATGTCGCACGAGCGCTGGTATAATTGGCAATGAAGCACGCCGCGTTCTTCTTTTCGATTCTGAGACTCTTGAGCCGTCTTTGAGGGCTCATCCTGGGTCTGCGGCACCGGCACCGGCACAGGCACAGGCGTGCTCGTTCCTGAACCTGGAGTCGGCGTCTCGGCTGGATGATGATGATGATGCTGCTGCTGCTGCTGCTGTGGTAATTGGTGTGCAGTTTCCGTTGAAACTCGAGTTACATCAGCTGACGTAGTTGTTGCAGTCTGTCTCCGCCGAGCACCCGCGGCAGGTCGTTTCGACGGAAACGAGACATAAAACTGCGCAAACATATGGCAAGGAGGGAGCGCCATCTTTTTGATATCCGCGGGGTTCCACGCGCTTAGGATGATCCGACGGTCATACGGCCGATTCTTTAACTTGTCAATTACTTCTGCGAGCTGGTCGACGCCCTGGCCCGTATAATCGGCGCGTGCGTCGACGTATTCGGCGCCAAAATGGCGCCATTGGAAGCCATATACGGGACCCAGGTCGCCGACTTCGCGGTGCGAAAGCCCCACGCTGTCGAGAAATTCGCGGCTCCCGTTGCCGTCCCAGATCCGGATCCCTTGCTCCGAGAGTGGCACGGAGGATGTGCAGCCGGACACGAACCAGAGGAGTTCAGCGATGACGGCGCGGAGAAAGACGCGTTTGGTGGTCAGGAGGGGGAGGATTGGCGTGTAGGATTGCGCATCGGTGTCGGAGGCTGCATCTCTGGGCGAGGAAGAAGACTGGGAGGGCTGCGCAGTAGATGTAGATGTAGTAGAGGGATCTGATGTAGACGAGGTTGAAGAGGAAGAGGCGGAGGGTTTGGACAGGGAGAAGCGCAGCGGAGGAGGGGCAAAGAGGGAGTATGTTCCTGTTCCGGTCCTGCGAGAAATGAATTTAAATAGTTAGTGATTATGTATGTTTTGTAAAGAGTAGGTGAAAGTAAAGATGACAATGGAGGAGGCCATTATCGTACCGGTCAGGACGATGCTCGCCGTTGTCGAGAATGTTGCGGATCAAGTCCAGATATTGATATTCCTCGTGCGCATGGTGTGCGTCAGAGGCGAGAGATACGATGCCGCCTTTGAGTGATGCAGGGTCTTGTTGGTGAGCAGATGAGCTCTGAGGGTCTGACGAAACTGCTGATGGAGACATCTTGTGGGTGGGAAAGCCGTTTGTCTCTCCTCTCTGCGTTTGATTTTGCAAAATATGTTTGGTTGTAAGGACCTGCGCAGTGCAACTATCATCTGTATCGCGTAGCGTATCGCGAATCGCGGAGCGCGGGGCAGACGCGTAAATTGGAAATCGCGTGGCGTGGTGCGCTTGTCGTTTGCGACTACCACCTGTATTTGCCGCCGCGCGGTGCAATGCTTTTATCAATGCAGATGTCTCTATTAACTAGGAATTGAATAAATTATTTAGACTTTTATTTGTTTCACTGTCCATTTTGAGGGGCTTGGAATTAGAAGGTCGGTCAGTGTCAAAATCGAAGCAACTGTGTATGACGTCTACGATTCAGCGATTCGTCCTTGCCATGTGACGGTAAACCAAATATCTTCAAACACAACAACATAATGCGCATTTCAATCGTGGATATCAGGATGTGAATGACGGTCTTCACATTTACACTAGGTAGAAAGCTGACGGGGTTGCTGTCCAGCGCTCTCGCAATGTAAACATCTACGGCTCAATTGTCTTCCACTTAGAGCCGATTTGCAATAGTATACTACAGACCCAAATGAAAGAGAAAGTAAATGCATCATCCAATCTAAAGCCGTATATCATGCTCAAGCAATGTCTTGCTTTTGCAAATGGTGTACCCGAACCAACGCCAACGCTCATGCAATCTCAAAAGTTCAGAAAAATCATATCTCAATCAGATCCGGCACAGCAGGCCCAACGCCTCGAAGCAAAACGGCCGTATTTCCACTGACAAAAGCTTCGCCCAGCTTCTCACTAAACTCCAGTAACCTGCCGCCTTCCACATGATACACGCGAAGTTTCTCCTCTTCTCCGCCGCCCCTATTGTTCACATTCTGCACTTGCAGTCCCTTCGCCGCCTCGTCTAGCATTCTGCCCACGCTCCATTCCTTGTTATAAAAGAACTTGCCCGCAGGAAACTTGGATGTCGTAGTCTCCTTCTCCCCTTCGATATGAAGATAGACGCGTTTTTCTGACGGTATTTTCTGGTCGCCCTTGGCGTCCTTCTTGAGCTTATTAAGTTCCACGATCCTTGCTGCATTGCTCGACGGCTTCTTGGGCAGGACAGTCTTGCGCTTTTCCTTCATTGCGGCGCTGAATTTGGCAAAAGCTGAGAGCGCCTTTTCCTTCTGCGCCTGAGCGTCAAATCGCGCGGGACGAGCACCCAGTGGAATCAGATTAGAACAGTCGTGCTCTTCCCGTAAGCGGTGTTTTAGACAGTATTGCCTGTTGCAGTTGGTGCATTGTACGCCGGGGTTTCGGATATTGTCGATTTTCGTCTTGCACTCTGGATGCGCACATTTCGCGTGCACGGGCGACGGTGAAGGCGAAGGGCTGCTTGAGGATATACTTGCGCCGAGGTTCTTTTCTCGACGCGCAGCAGCCCATGCTCCTGCGTTGCGGCATTTGTGTGCGGTTTCCGTTCGATGATCAAGACAGAAAGTACTTGAAACGGTGTTAGTTTGGACATAAGAGGAAAAGTCAAAGCGGCGCAGAAGACAAAACTTACTCTCGACAGCTCTCGCATCGAAACGGTAGAAAGTCAAGCTGATTACAGTACTGATATTTGCAATGCGCGCCAATCGCATCCACATCGCCTTTCTCCATGGTGGTATAGCTCTGGGGTTCGGTCGCCCCCGATACTGATGGTGATGCCATGACGAGGTATACCTTCTTGATTTAAATATCTAGACAATGCCAAATAGTGAAGATCTAGGTACGCAAAATTGTAAAGAGAGCGATTTCGCTGCTCAGGCAGCTTTGTGCTTCGTCAGCGCCGAGACATACGACAGAAGCGTCCAGCGACATCTCGAAGGCGTAGAGCATGATTATCTTATCAATCAAGCGCCGTCGAAAGCTAAGCTATATTAGGATTAGCTCAAGAATCTTATGCATCTCCGATAGAAAACTCCCAAAAGAAGTAAAAAAAGCAAGAGCTAACCTACTTTGGCTCCTCCAGCCTTTTTGCTCCTTGGGGGTGAACCCTGGTTATTCCTCATCGGGGAAAACGCGCATGGTTCCCCGCCTTGCCCCGAAGCCCCGTCCCGCGTAGTACTGTTTACCCAAGTATCAATTGCCGCGGCTAAGGCGTGTGCTTTCTCAATTCGCCCCTGTTCTTCTTATTACTGTTTCGGTTTCTTTGCGGTCGTATGGCTGGAAATATTGCATTTTCAAAGGCGTATTCTGTTTACCTTATATATTTTGTGATTTTCACGCTAGCTTTTGTGGGGATTGGAGGTTCCATTTGTTGTTGAAGTGAAAGACCACCATCAATCCCGATCAGCCCTTGCGTGCCAAGAAACCTTTTGTTAAGAGCCTTTCAAGTTCTCTCCTCGTCTGTTTCTTCCCGCTATGCATTATATATGAGTTTTCAAATTCTATCAATCATTTTCAACACCTTTACCTACAATTTTGCAGCAGAATTAAGATCGTCCTTTCGCATTGGTGCCTTTTCTCCGCATAATTATTATTCTAGCGTGACTCTGGTGTTTAACCGCCCGGTCTGATCTTAGGTTGATCATCGTCTTGTTTTCGGACTTTGCGAGAGCAAGTTGAAGAGATCGTTTCGACTGATCAGACTCAACGACTGGGACGAAACTACGCATCTCCTTTGGAAATTGAAATACCGACAAAATGCTGGCTCAGACAATTACTCAACAGTCTCTTCGGCGGATGGCCATACAGCGCCCTCTTGCCATGCCCATGGCCAAATTTGCTAGCCCAGCCGCCATCGCCACCAACAGCCAGCTCATGCAGACGAGACCGGTTGCTACGCGAAACATAAAGCCTGAAGAAGGCTACAAGATACTCGTCGAGCAACGCAAGAATCGCCCCGTCGCCCCACATCTTACCATCTACAAACCTCAAATGACCTCTATCGGCTCTGGTCTCACTCGTATCACTGGCGCTGTCCTTAGTGGTGGTTTTTATATTTTTGGCGCTGCTTATCTTGCTGCTCCCTTGGTGGGCTGGCACCTCGAGTCTGCCAGCCTTGCTGCGGCATTTGGCTCTCTTCCCGTCATTGCAAAGGTCCTGATCAAAAGCGTTGCGGCCTTCCCTTTCACTTATCATTGTATCAATGGGGTTCGACACTTGATATGGGATATGGGCAAGTCGTTCACCAACCGGCAGATTCAGATTGGCGGCTGGGCTGCCTTTGGTCTTTCCGGAATCAGCGCGGTTTATCTGGCACTTGCGTGGTAAAGGAGCAATGACTCATTGCCGGACAGTGCCTGTTGGAAGATCATTGCAGTAGTTGAAAGGCTCAGCCGACCCACGGTTCGATTGGGTCAACATGTTACTACAGATGCTCACACCGTTCACAATCAGGGGTTCAGCACCTTGGATATAGCTCAAAACAGATTTTATTGGTTCAATTGACATTTGTTCTTCGATAGCGGCATTCGGCTAGCTAACAAGAATATAAATCAATTGACGATCACAGCGGAGCCTGCGTTGGGCTTATTATATAACGTAAGGAACCGCAAAGTGTGTTTACTAGTTGTACTGATTCGCTGCTGGCTGATAGATCGGCACCTGGGCAAACTAAGTAGTCGATATGTGGCAGGTCTAAGATGTTTGCTTGGAGATATATATATATATATATATATATATATATTGTACAGACTAGTATCTGGATGATGTACTCGAATTATGTTGATGAGGACAGGATACAGTTAAGGCAGTTGGAGCGAGAGCCAACATGCCACTACAAGCCACTGTCAGTGGTTAGTTGGTAGTTAATACAGTAGGGACCATCTTAAGCATTTACCGAAAGATTCCCCTCTATTTTCACTTCGTTCTTCGCTCGGTTAGCACCTGTTCAGAGAGAGTGGGCATATCATTCGTGGATTTGTACGATGTTACAAGTCTTTTATACTGATACTGGCATTGCTCTACTGAATGCTATTATCGCTCCTAAATTTCCCGTACAATTGCGTAGACAAACACGACATTTTCACCCTGCAGGCGTTTGCAGTGCCATGTCCCTAATTTTTCCCCCCGACTCTGCATGGCCACTACCCTGAAGACCCTTGTGGATCACCCGGTTATCAATTGAGTTAGCACTTGATTCGTTATCAGATACGGAGCAACGCCCGTACGTAGAAACTCCCGTCATTCCATTGCGCAATAGGAGAGCAGAGTGAGACACAAGAGACCAAAGAGACCCTAGGGACCCTGACCAAAGGGACCAAGTTTTCCCGTAGCAGCTCTCCTCGGACGGGTTGACCACTCAGTACTGTGCGTATCTGCGGGCCAAGGAGAGGGGGCCTCGGGGGCAGACTATCCACTTCTCCCACTCAGTTATCGCCATGCATGACCCAGGCCCGCTTTTCATCGGGATCGCATGGCAATCATACCAAACCCCTTGATCTCTTGAATTGTTTATACGATAAACCCGTGTTCTGCATTTCCCTTTAATTGCACCTCTTCTTCTTTGAAGTCACCCTATGCATATCCATATATTGCTTCAAAGTGACACAATTTCTTGCTTTTCAGCTGAGGAAGAAAAGATGGAAATTGTTTGTTCGGGTACTCCATATGAAGTATGTTATATCGCCCATCGCCCCTTATCGGTGACAATTGCAATTTAGCTCTACAATCTGTGAAAGAATCACGTCTATCAGATGAAATGAAATAACTAATGTTGAATTAGATTGGTCTTCACCATGGCCAAAAGGCCCAGGTGCAGATCCGGCGCTGCATAGCATTCTATGTGAATTTATTCCGAGAGACGTCGAAATTGGAATGGGCAGAAGTCTGTAAGGTAGCGCTGAAGTTTCTCCCCTCCCTGGAGAGCAAATGGCCAGAATATGTGGAGGAGATACGAGGTAGCGTCTCTCTTGAATCCCCCCCCCCGAATTTTGTTTTGTGGCGTAATGGCAAAATCTAACTAAATGGTAATGGGATCAGGAGTATCAAAGGGCGCAGGATTTGACTTTCCCACGATCCTGGCGCTCAATGTGCGGACAGAAATTGCATACGGTCTTTTCAATGATGGTTGCACTGCACTCTCGTGGAAGACAGATGGAGCTAATGGAGCCAGCTTTCTTGCTCAGAATTGGGACGTAAGTTGATAAGAAGCCTCCCTGTTAGACACTTGCTATCACCAGCAACGTGCTACTTTTTTTTGAAAGTCATTGTCACAAAAACATAAAGCTTAGGTTTAGTAGTGGCAGCATGAACAAAAGGAGAACCTTGTCTCTCTACGCATTCACCAGCCGCCAAAACCAACGATTACCATGATCACTGAAGCAGGAATTATTGGCAAGATTGGGTTAAATTCGGCCGGTGTAGGTGTGACTCTGAACGCCATCAAAGCCGCTGGTGTGGATTATGATCGATTGCCAGTACACTTGTCACTACGGAGGGTTTTGGACAGTCCGAGCCGGGATGAGGCGGTTGCTGCGCTGGGAAATGCAGGCGTCTCTTCTGCCTGCCATCTTCTAGTTGCAGATTCAAGCGGCGGTCTGGGACTCGAATGCAGCTCAACTGATATTGTTGCACTTCGTATGGAAGATGGGAAAGTGACACATACAAACCACTATCTTGCGAGCCACGGCATTGTCCAAGATATGCTTTGGCTGCCAGACTCACCGTTCAGATTGGCACGCATTAGGGAATTGGTGGCGGAAGCGGAGGCCAAGGGAGAGGGGCCAACGACGAAGAATCTGGGCGAAATGTTTAAAGATGAAAAGAACTATCCGGGCTCAATCTGTAGAGCCGAAGCCCCGGGAAGCACTGTAGCCACGCTTTTCAACATTGTCATGGATCTCAAGGCGAAGATGGCGACTGTGCAGATAGGCCGTCCTATACATTCCGAGGGCGTGTTGTTACTAGACCCGACTACATGAAGTCGGTCAGGCGGTCCATGAACTCGATGATTCATTCTGGCTTTCTCGGCTCGTAGTAGCAACCGGTATTATTTTTCGGACACATGGAAACAATGAAATGATTTCATAGCGAACATGAGCAGGTATGCAATTCTTGAATGCAAAGGTTGAGGATCTGGATATATACTGCCGCCAATGAATATCGCATTTCTATCCTCTGCATGGCCTCTACCGCGCCACGCTCAACAATCTTCCAGGGAGAAAACAATAAAGATCGCCGTAATTTAGTGCTTAGCCGTGCCAGAAGCCTCCGCATTCTTGATGAACTCCCTATAAAATTCGATATTAGAGACTGCATTACTCAATTGGTCGGATTGCTTCGTCTATGCGCCTTACTGGATGAAGTTCTCCTCGTCCTTGCTCGTTGCGTTGATCGGGGGGCCCTGCTCCTTGGACTTCTTCTCACCACCGGTAGCGAGGAAGCTGATACCAGCCATCGATCCGAGGGTGATCATGGCAAGCTATGATACACCAATTGTTAGCCAAATTATCTCTTTATCATCCCAATTGCGGTTCCAAGACAGGAGACGGAGTGGGTTTGATCGGTCGGCTGAGTCGACCGGCAGCAGGCGACGTACAACGTGGGAGCCGACTTGGCGACCGGCAATGGTGTATTGGGCAACCATCTTGAATGTGAGACAGGAGATGACGTCCTCGTGGGGGAGATGGAGGAGACTGAGATGCGCGAATTGGAAGACGGGATAGCGATGGATTGGCGTTGAGCAGCTCCTCCGAGGCTTGGGGAACGTCGGCAAAGCTCTGTGCCTGCCCTGGTGTGGCTGGTGATGATCATGCTGACTAATCATTAGACCCCGCAAAGCCACAGCTATGATGTCTCTCTGATTGATTCTCCGTCCCGCCGAACCCCAGATTACTGCTGAGCTCCGAGAAGAGAAAGAGAATTGCGTACAACATCTCACCTTTGCCTTATTCTCGTTTTTAGATCTTTTTACTTGCACTACACCTATACATCATAATAGAAACTAAGAAAAAATGGCACGAGAAGACGGCACGGACGACATCCCCCGGGAGAGAAACGAACCTCGTCCCGACTTCAGTCAACCCGTACCTCGGAAGAAGCTGCCCAAGTCGCTACAGAAAATAATAGACAATGAGGACAAACAGATTGGGCACATTTACGAGGGAACGTATGTTTTTATTCCTCTCTCGCTTCTCTTTGAATAGATTATACTTCTACTCTTTCCTTTGCTCGACATCCAATGTATCCTAAACCTATTGCTGACACGCCCGCCTTCGAACACAGTGCTGCAGAATCCACTGATAGCAACATCCGTTACGCAGCATACGCCACAAGGATTCGAACAATCCTCTTAAGCGCACACCGCTATGTCGCATACACGTCAGATATCGGAGAGAGCTTCCGACCTGTCGCTCACCCGTATCTCGTCAAAGGCGCATACGGCATCTCCTGGGCGTATCTTGCCGGCGATGTCGCCCATGAAGGATACAAAGCTTACCTCCGCAACCAGCGCGCTCTACACCCCGAAACGCCTGATGAGGGTCCGCTCTCGGACCAAAAACAGAATGTCGAAGGTATCACGACATCGCTCGGCCCTGGACTTACGGATATCACTCTAGGAGCCCAGGGCCCTACCAAGATCCCGTGGATCGATGACTATCGGACCGTCATGGCCCAGCGGGCCATTTTCCAGAGCGTTGCTAGTATGGGGTTGCCGGCGTTTACCATTCACAGCGTGGTGAGGTACTCGGGCCGAGCGCTGAAGAATGCGAAGAATACGAAAATCAGGACGTACGGGCCTATTGGCGTAAGTGTACCCTTTTATTGGTGTGTTTGTGAAACCTGAAGCTAAGTGTGTTTTTTTTTCTGTAGCTTGGTTTGGCTGTTGTCCCCTTCCTACCGTTCATTTTCGACAAGCCGGTCGAAGAGGCTGTCGAATGGACATTCCACAAGGCATTCTCTATGTATAGCGGCGAAGAAGCAGTCAATGCAAGGGCCGAGGCGGACCGGACGAAGCTGTTAATTCAAGAAGGAAAGCAAGGCGTGAGTAAAGAGAAGGAGTTGTAGAGCACTTTAGAAGCGACACATAGAAGAAGCGATGTGATAGATAACCCGGCGAGGTGTAATTATGTGGGGTTCGATTTTGTGTTTCAACGATAAAGCGACTTCGGCTTTGCTAATCTCTTTCTTGTCTGTAAAGCCTGTAATAATTACTCTCCTCTGTCTATAAAATGTACGATGACATTCCTCTCATTAGGTAGCCGGTTGCCATTCTGAGAACATGATATACGCCAAGTGATATATGTCAAATTTCTCTAACCAGCTCGCTGCCCATGGACTACAGGGAAGGAGAACGCCAAATCAAGACTTTTAATAGATATATTCATTACAAAGAGTCTATAGGGTATTATACTTTTTAAGACGCCTGCTCATCTTCAGCGTCAACAAAGAGATTCGACGCCCTCATCGCGAGAGAAAAAAAAAGAAATAAAGTTGAAAGACAGTTCAAAGAGCAGAACACGAGGATAAAAATAAACTTAAAACCGACAAATAGACATCCGATCTGTCCAGCAGCGGATACCCCAAAGTCAAAACAATGATAAACGCGGAGGATTGACCAACTTTTCAGACGCTTATTAAATCCCGCCCAACAATCGGTATAGCCTCTTAAGCCTTTCCTTTTTACCCGTTCCATTCTCTATTCCACCCGCGCCATCAGCTTCCTCCTCAAATCCGCATTGACAACCCCGCCGACTCCAAAGGCCGGCACAATACGACACATGCGCGCAATGCTACTTGTGAGCCAATCCTGACGGATCTTGCTCCAGCGCTGAGACCAGCTCAACGCCTTGGCACCCAGGCCGCCAGCACCGTTCGGCCGATTGAACAGATCCAGACCGAGCAAATGGATTGGCGTGCTGACCAATTGGCATGCTGCCGGGGTGATAAACTGCGCCGCGGTCGCGCGGCTCATGACCTTTTCGACCTCATCTGTCATGGGCAACAGCGGCGCCAGTTTCGGGGGTAGATTGAAGCTTGCGAAAATGGTAAGACAGTCGCGGATGGCGAAAAGGGCAATGGACGCTGGTGGCACGGGCCGAGCAGCACCACCCCCGCCGCTGGATCCAAACATTTGCGCAAATCGTGAGTCCTTGTATAAGCAGATGCCCATGTTTGCGACGGTGGTTGCTAGGAATTTGGGCATGCCGCTGGACGTCGCCGACGCCGCGGAGCCATTGGATACAGATGTTGCGGTGTCGACAGAGTTGGCGGTCAGGTATGTTCCAAAATAGACGAGCTAGGGAGTCGCGTGAAATGTCAGAATATATCGTATAGAGAAATACTGAGTGGTGAGGTATCATGTGATGGAGTTTTCATTTGACCAATTGTTCTTGATTTGAAGAATGCAGGAAGATCAATATGATGAAATGGGGGAATTGAGACGGTACGGCATAAGAAGGTGTTGCAACGTACATATATTAATCCGAATGGCTTGGAGAATATAAACTTGTGTGGTCGAAGAAGTGCATGTTTCAGCTGCTGTCCGACACTTGAGAGCAGGGTGGTATGTCCGGCCGACTTTTCTATAATGGCTCTGTAATTATCAGAAAAGAAGAATAATCAGTTAGCCAAGCTCATCATCAAAAACAATTCTATGGAATTATTGTGAAATGGTTGTTTTCATTGCATGCTGTGCTCTGTTGTCGTCGTGTGGTTATGAAATCAGAAGAATCGGCGGATTCGGGGCCAAACGTACCGATCAATCACGATAATGGCCGGTGCGACAAGAACACTTGCAGTGCTTGCAGATGCAACGTCCGCGGCAAGACGCAGGCCCAGATTACTCGTGTTCCAACGAGACGCAGCATCATGATGTTGCTGCTGCCGCTGGCCGTGCTCGAATTGTGCCGTCAGAGGCCTTGTCAGCGCGGCCTTGTCGTCCATACTCAAATGTCCCTATCCAAGTTGTCGTCCACTTTGGTCGGAGAAACCTGCTGGGGAAGCCCGGAGACAATCGGGAGTGGGAGATTCTCCGTGCGCCGCGCGGGAGACCGACCGGAAAAACAGGGATGTGTGAGTAATACGCAGCTGATGCGACGTATTAATTCTTTCCACCGGTTGGATGCGCGAAGAAAGAAAGAGAGTGGGAGAGAATCTTTTGGAGAAATCAAATGTCTAGTAAAAGCATTGGAAGAAGAGAGCAAATAATAATACGAAATAAGAGCAACAATGCTCGGGATTACGCCCGAATGATGACTCTTGTGTGTTTTGGGGGTTGGAAAACTTTGCCTTATCGCGTAGGAGAGATTGCAATGTCTTAACTGGATTCAGGTCAAATCAAGGGGATGCTGACCCGAAGTCCGGTCTCGGCCTCGGGAGTGGATCCGACAACGCCGAAAGTCTACCTGCTGGCACGAGTTATGGCATGTTGAACTTTGACACGACAGGCATACCATTGCATTGCAACGAAACGATGAATTAAACAGTACGGAGTACACGGTGAAAGTATATTTGGTTTCTCTGGTCGTTCTTTCGGCTTTAGAATGATATACGAGACATAATTCGTAATTCGGTGTAGATATAAAACTGGAATTTGTTTATATAGGGTATATCCAGGCCATATGCTTAAACAAAAGAGTATATCTCAATACAACAATTCGATAGAGTACAGTAGCTCTATATGAATCAAAAGAAGAAGCATCCGTCCAATGCTAGACATGCTTCATAAATGCATTTTCCCAAAATTTGACACCTTCAACGCTCTCCTCCCGGCATAACGCGCCTCGCTCTTCTGCCATTTCCAACTCCTCCGTCGCAACGCCAACACTCCATCCAAATCGCTCAGCTGTCTCGGAGGCAGTGACACCTCTACCAAACAGCTGCCTGTCCCATTGAAGCTCAGGTGAGAATGCATCAAGAGCAGATTGGTGGAGCCATGCAACGATACTGTCGATAATCTTGTCGTCGTTCCAGTCTCGCCCTTGCACTACCAGCAACCCACTTCGGAACGTCCGTAGCCGTACGGGCAACTTGAGCTTTTCCCACAGCTGGGCAGCCTTTTCAAAGTCCAGAGGGCTGACCAATTCTACTCCGCCTCGAGCGCGGTTGAAAAGGGCCCACAGGTCCACGAGACTCATCATGCCCCCTTCGCGTCGTAACACTCCTCTCGCATCATCCGTGAGAAACTCGGCTAGGTTCCTTGATAGTTCAGAAATGTATAAAGATTCTGAATTGCTGCCAGACCCCAGCATATCTCTAGTCGTGACCAGGCCGAGGGCGCTCGCAGATTGAGAGAGGAGAGCATCCGCTTCCGATGAATTTGTGTCGTTCGAACTCCGTGCTTGCGAAGCAAATGACTCTGCCAACGCCACAATTTCTTTAGCCGATGTCATCAAAGCCTCCAAATCTTCAAAAGCATTCCCAATAACCAGTTCGTTATTCTTGCGGATTTCTTGGCCACGTCTTTCCAGAGCCGCAATCCCCACATTCCTTTGCACTGCAGGCGGAAAGGTTCTGCCTGATGGCTCCGCTGCGCCCTCTTCTGCGCGATGAACCGGCCTAGGTATTGGCGGCGCCCCTTGTAATAGCCATTTGCGTTGTACCATGGCGCTCTTGAGCCGCTCCAAGAATATTTTTTCCCCTCCCGCACGAAATGAGAATTTGATGCTGTCTGCCGATGTGCCTATTTTTGTGCTTCCTGGCTTGAGCGATGGTCCGGGCGAGTCAACGCGAACAGGGCCATCCTCCAACAACGATTGTGTTGTTGTATGCACCGACACAAGGGACGCGCCGCATATTTCGCAATTCACGAGGGATGGGTGGTTATGAAATGTACACCGCGGGCAAGCGATAGCGGAGTGGGAGTTTGAATACGAAGGTGAATCCCCTGTCCGAGCATCCCTCAGAACTGGAGCCGGTGCCCCTATAGATGTTTCCAACGCTGGAGCAGCCTGGGACGCTGGTGTCTGTGAGTTAAGTGATGACCGATTTGATGCGCTTGCAATGGCTGCTTTGATAACATGTAGAAGCGGAGGCTTGATCCCACATGCAAGACATGGCGGAAGCGGCGTATGGATGTTCGCGATTGCTGGATCGAAATTAGATGGAACAGGATTCGAGAAGGAACAGATGGGACAGATCCAGGTCGCATTGCTGACTGAGGGAGGCGGTGGCGGCGGTGGCCGGAGCGAAGAGTCACTGCGGGAGACTGGGCTTGCTGAAGCGCTTCTAAAAGGAAGGTTGGCGGTTGGCGACTGGGCGTACTGTGTTGCTAATCTAGAGGGTTTGAGGTGTAGAGTTATTTTTGGAGAAGACTTAAGGAACCCGGCCTATAGTAGACCACATGAATATATGTCGCTTCTCATCAGCTTCTGTCTCTAACGTACGTAGAACTCAAAGCGATCAACATCTTTCAGCTGAATTCCCACAGAATACTTTCGTGGTTCCTCATTATCGACATAACAGGCTCGGTGCGAGGTTAGATAGGCATGGCCATTTTGATAGGCGGAAAGTTTGTATTTTCTATCAATACGTCAGCTCCCTATCTATACCAAGCATCCGATATTTATGCTTAAGTTCGGGGAACCCGGTGGCCAAGCAAAGCGTACCCCTCGTATAAACCGACAGAGTCCTGGACAAACAGCAGTGTCTCATCAGGTAGTAAAGACGGCCGCAATGCGGTAGTCAGGTCAATTTGTTGGAATGTCATTCAGTCATCCGGCTGATCTGGGCTACGTTGATTGTAAGGATGTAGATGTAAACTGGCAAATGGTCTGAAGCAATGCGCGATCTGAGCGGTGATAGCTCATGACGCCGATGTTGTGATAGAGACCCTTATCAACATTAACAGGGTAACAGTCTGGGATGGAATGACGATCACTTTCCCATAATAATTGATCTTGAAAAGGTTTAGCTCAAGTACAGAGTAGGTGCTGTGCAGTCAAATTACCTTATGTAATCAACTCTGCGGCCATTTATCCGCTGGCTGAAATTGGTGACTGCCTTTCATCGCCCGCTGGTCTGACACCGGATCACTTATCATCATATTTCAGCTCGACAGCCTTTCCATATTTGTTTTCTATTCTGATATCTTCACTTCTAAAAGTATTTGCTCTCTTTATTTAACTGATAATTCTTATTGCGTGCATCGCCAACCGGCTCACTTCTCGAGACTTCTCATTTGCCTGCGTGATCACTCGTCGCGCCGCCGTGGCGATTAGTTGAACGGATCACAAAATGTCCAGTACGTCTAGCCATTTTTCCTGCCTGTAACCTTACACTGACTTTTCTTTCTAGCGCATACAGCATACACGGCTGTGGCCGCACGTAAAAGCCTGAATCGTCCAGCTATGCAGTCACATGTACGGCATTTTCCCCTTGGCAATGCGAAGACCACTCCTGCTCATCAACATTCACAGACACCTAACGGTAAAATGGCCGCAAGTAATGAGAGTCAAACGACGACCAAAACAAAAAAGATAGACTGGCCGATGGGAGTTCGGCTGTATGTACAACGATCCTTTGTCCCAGAGAATAACATTCCCGGCATTGAAAAGACGGATATGGAAAAGAAGTTGAAAGAGGTCATAACCCAAGCCGCTGAGCACGACACTTTGAACTCGATCGACTGGGACACACTACCGTTGCCGCAGCAAATGATACAGAGTGAGAGGGCAAAGCTAGCCTCGTCATCAGCGGCGCCTCACTGGAGCCAGAGCTTTTCTGCTCTGTTCGTAAAAGACTCCGAAAAAGAGAAAACTTCAAAGAAGCGGAAATCGGCCGAAACGACAACATTACCAGTTGCGCAGGAAAGCTTGCCCCCCTGGCGTAAGACTAACGCTCGTAACAATGCCTTTGAAGATCGTATTTCGCACCCTAAGGTACCATCAGTTGACAGGGGTGATAAGCGCCAGCGCAAATTCGAGGAAGATTTTAGCCGGAACGATCCAAGTAAGTCTGACATTAATCTGGAAAAACGAAGGCGGCGTTTTGAAGGCGTACGACTTGGCGCCGAATATACTCGAGCCTCCAGCCGTGAGGACTCTGCGACGTCAGAAGGAGAGGCAGGACCAGTCGTCGGGCGATGCCAGCAGCTCGAAAAAAAATATTTCAGACTTACTGCTGCCCCCAACCCGGACAGCGTGCGACCTCTTGATGTCTTGGAACGGACACTTGAAATGTTGAAAAGGAAATGGCGGAAGGAGAACAACTATTCTTATATTTGCGACCAGTTCAAATCACTTCGGCAAGATCTTACTGTTCAGCATATTAAGAATGAATTCACAGTCAAGGTCTATGAGATTCACGCGAGGATTGCCTTGGAGAAGGGGGATATTGGTGAGTATAATCAGTGCCAGACACAACTGCGAGGATTGTATGCGCAAAACCTCGGCGGTAATCCGGTAGAGTTCAAGGCATACCGTATACTTTATTTTATTCATACTTGTAACCGGACCGATATGAATGAGGTCCTGGCAGATCTAACCGCAACAGAGAAGCAACAACCGGCCATCAAGCATGCTCTAGATGTCCGCTCGGCCTTGGCGTTGGGGAACTATCATCGGTTCTTTCAATTATATCTCAACACACCAAACATGGGCGCTTACCTGATGGACATGTTCATTGTTCGCGAGCGTCTCTTGGCTCTGGCCAATATCTGTAAAGCGTAAGGAGCTGTCCCCTTCCACAGAAGTGAATTGTTTGCGCTAACATGTACTTGTGCGGCAGTTATCGACCTGACGTCAAACTCCGATTCATTACTGAAGAACTTGGTTTTGAGTCCGACGGCGAGACTGTGCAATTCTTCGTAGAACACGACGCCCAGCATCTATTAGAAGAGCGAGAAGACGGTGTTCGCTTGCTAACAGGCAAAGCTGGCGCACTCTTTGAAGTTGCAAAAAGTGTTGCATTCAAGCGAGTTGATATCAAGGGCCAGATCTGAGCTCCAGCTACCTCTCTTTGATCATTGGACCCTGCCAGGATACACGATCGCCTCCCATTTTCTTTTCGCCTTTCTAACTTGCACCGGATACCCGCTTTCCACCGTCAGTATGATTTTATAATTCTCGATGCGTTTCTCGCCGGTCTCTCGTGAAATTCAAAGCCCAACTGTCTGTCAATTGAAGGGGTCAGTCACGAACGCCTTTGCTCTAAACTCACTACCTTTTTTTCGAGACGTTCCCGTTCTTATCCCCTTCCTTGCCTTTTCAAATTATCCTGCCGCAATCGATCACGCAACCTCGAGCGACGAGCATTTCTATAATCGATGATATAGTCATTCGCCTGATACTATCGCGCCGATCCTAAACAGCCACCTTCAGATTAGATATCATTAACATCCTCAGTATACGCTTGCCATTTTCGTCTTGGCGTCATCATCACAGTTGGGATATGTGTCTGGTCTTCTTTGCTTTCATTCCCTTTACCGCTTGCCTTGTTCTTTATGGCGTTCGATTGTGCAAGAGATGTAATGTCGCGATTGTTGCATGCTAGAAAAATGAAAGACAAAGAGAATCTGCAGTATTCATTTCCCCTAGCATATACTAAGGGACGTAATGATTGATTGAGGTCAAAATTTGATTTTGGCTGCACTTGCTAGAGATATTGCACTAAGCCATTGAGCCTGAATAAAAGCATAAGCAACACACCTGGTAAATTGCTATCTGGTAATTTTATCCCTGGAAACTGTCACTCATCCAAAGGGGTGAAATTGCTCCACAATCAATCAATAATGACGCGTGTGCAACTGCAGTCGAAACTGTTGACCGGGCTACATCCTTACCGGAAACCAAAAGGAAAACGACCGCTTCCTAGTGCTTGGTTGGAATCATGATCATAATAATGAAACGAGCGACTCATGCTTTGAGGTTTGCCGCCTGCCCATGCTCACCCTTGTCTGTGGTGAGATCGGTACACATGGGGAAATGTAGTCGAACTTACGGGACCCACGACACGCAATTTCATGTTATAGCATGACTGAGAGCTCGCATCATCGGATATTTGCTGTATAGATAATTCGGAGTCCGTGACTTCTATCACATCTACGGCATTGGATGACCGTGGGTGCCTCATTTGCTTTTGATTCCTCAGCTGATGAAAGGTTCAAATCCCGGAGTCTAATTCTTTGTCTACGAAGACCCTGTCAACTTGGCTGACCAAATAGAAAAGGTTGCGGGACGGCAAATAACGAGTTTCTCTCTATTATTATCATTGACGATATGAGCCCAATAGATTGAGCTTTACGACGAGTTCAAAGTCTTCTCCTCCAAATCGGGACGGCATATTAGAAGTCTTTATGGTATTACCTGGACCTGTGGTAACTGCATGATCTACCGATAGAATTAGGGTAGTATTCCGCAAGGGCCACCAAAGACCACGCGACAAGGATCAACTACTCCGTTTATTCTACCGATTTTCGTCCTTGCTTGCTGCTGGCTTGATTGCATCTGCATGTTCTGAGCACCAATACAAAAGGTCACTCGTTTTAGAGGAGTTATTCGCGATCGAGGCGGCGCCCAAGCCAAAGGTTGTCGAAAGAGGAGCGCCCGACAGCGATAGGATAATCACAAGCGCCTAGCCACCACTACGTACTTCTACCCATTATTGCGAACAAGAACAACCTTGCCGGTTCTCTCTGGTTGTCCGCTATCGATTATCGAATCGAGCGACCGGTCCACCCGTCAAGCCGTCAAAGAAGCCTTGACCAGGAGATAGCGGGGCAGAGACGGGCCATTCTAACCAGAATCTCACCAACCAGACCCCTCTATCGTTCACACGCGAGACGCCCTAACTTTCATTGTCCAAGGAATCTGGCAGTCCGGCCAGATTACTACTGCAATATCGGCCATTGCGCGCTTCATTCTTTGACGTGCGTGCCCGTTTTCCATACCTCCCACGCTCCTGGCAACCTTTTTTGGGACTTTGAACTGGCGAGAAAGCAAAAATTGATTCATTCGGCTTCTAACTGAGAGGCAACTCTGTACTTGGAAAAGAAGGGAAAACGCTCGTCGCTTCTCCCCCATTGCTTCTCGCAACACCTCCCTTCTAAGGGGCCTAAACTTCCCTGTATCGACCGAGGCTCGGCTCTGATCGGCCCTGACTCCACCATCTTCAACGGGGGTCAGCCCCAAGACCGCGACATTTTGGATCTTGAGCGACCAAGCGCCGCTTGCGATAGATAAATCATGAGTGTGGGTTTTTTGCCTTTTTACAGATGAAGATGACCCCAAGAGCATCTAGCTAACAGAGGATCTGTTTGCGCAGCGAATCTTCCATCGGCGGTCGAAGCAGGCCGAACGCCCAATCTCAAAACCCCACCATATCTCGATACCATCCAAATCTGCCATTGCAATTCTTCCTCCCAAAAAGGTACGTTAGCTTTTTTCGCCTTCATGTTGACCCGATTGCGTTCAGCGGAGAAATGAGGCTGCCCTGGCGGTCTACTCTTCACTGGTCGCAAGTCGCCAAACAAACAATGGCCTCGGAGCCGCTTAGCTGACATTCCTGCCATGCAAACAGGTCATCAGGGCCATAGACGACTATGAACCTCAACTGCACCGGTCTTGGGAATCGGCATCCGACCAAACGATGCGATACCGTCGGCCGGACGAATTCCTGAGTTTTTCAAAAGGAGATTATTTCCATGTAATTAATCGCGAGAATGATGAGGAGTGGTATGAGGCCTGCAACCCCGCCATTGCAGGAGCCCAGGGGTTTGTCCCCGTTGAACTATTTGAAACCGTCGGAAAGAACGCCAGAGATAGCGGTGGCTCGGTCAACCAGCAAAGGATCCCCGACCATGACTCGGGTTATTCGGATCAGTCTGCGGGAAGAGCCAGCGTGTCGGGAGGAATAGATAAGGCTGGGCGTCGATTAACCAAGTCTGGGCCCTCAATTTATGGCGTTGTGCTTTACGATTTTGTGGCCGAGCGGCCGGATGAATTGGCAGCCAAGGAAAAGGAGTCGATTATCATTATTGCCCAATCGAACCCGGAATGGTTTGTGGCCAAGCCGATTGGGAGACTCGGCGGTCCGGGTCTGATCCCGGTGGCATTTGTCGAAATTTATGACTCCAACACACACCAGCCAGTGGGTGATGCCCAGGAGGCCGTTCGAATCGCGCGTATTCCTTCGGTTGAAGAATGGAAGAAGATGGCTGCCGAGTATAAGAACAGCAGTATCTCCCTAGGCCGGCTTGAGGCCGCCAACCTGTATGGCATGCAGCCGGCCGGGGGCGGTGGAGCCAACCACGCCCGAGGACAGAGTGTTGCAAGCGTACACAACAATTACGGCTATGTAGGTCATCTTGCGAGGGAGATTTGGTATTGCGCCATCACTTGAGTCCAACGCTAATAGAGTCCATGCACAAATTCAGGAGCACAATTATCATCAGCGAAGTATCAGCGTTGGCGGAATACCACACGACACTCGATATGTCCAAGAATCTGCACCGCAAATGCTAGCACCTGTTTACGCTTCCGTGCCTCGATACTGCTCCGCCGCCGAGAGCTACTGGTTTGTGGTCGACGTAGTCATGGAGGATGATAGCCATTGGGAATTATGCCGCTATTACTCCGATTTTTATGACTTTCAAATTCAGCTGCTCAGCAAATACCCCGTGGAAGCCGGAAACGCTGTCAACCCCGAGACACCTACAGCGGAACCAATTCGCACAATCCCATACATGCCTGGACCGGTGAAGATGGTCACCGAACAAATCACAAAGGGGAGACGAGAAAATCTAGACCATTATGTCAAGGCTCTCCTCAACCTACCACAGCATATTGTCAAGGACCCCTTGGTGAAGAAATTCTTCGCTCCCCGAAGAGGCGATATTCAAGTCGATCCGTACCGATTATCTGATGCATCGGAAGAGTCCTCCTTTGACCTCTCTCAAGCGGGCTCGCTGCAATCGTCACAGAACAATCTCAACGAACCAGGATACGGACAAGGCCTGTCAGCCCCGCCCCCGACTTATGGCGCATACCACATGGACAATACTCAATCCGTCTACACTGGCGTTGCCCAGCCGCAACAATACCATCACCCGTCGGATATACGGCCAGATATGCTTCGCCAGAACAGCGCTTTCACGCAAGACTCGCACGGCTCGCAAAGCGTTTTCCACGACCAACCTACCTCGTCCGCTCTGAAAATCAAGTTGCGCCGTAACTCTGAAGTCATTGTTCTCCGGACGACGAAGGATATCACCTATCAGGACCTCCTCGAAAAGACTGTTGATCGCTTCGAACTAGACCGCGGTGTTGCGCCTGAACTCAACTATCGTTTGGAAATAGAGCCCCAAGTCACCGAGCAAGGTCGTCTTGAGGATAACTGCATCTATCCGTCCCTCGATAACGATGAGCAATTACAGGAAGTATTACATTCGCTACCAAAGGATGCGAAGCTGCAGGTATACGTCAATGCGCGAGACCGTTTACCTGCGGCAGATGTACATGGTGCAAGATAAATGCCGAGGGAGGGTCACAGACGATTGTTGTTCTCTCGCTCACCCTCCTTGGACTACCATTTTCCTTGTCTTTGTTCCGGATTTTCCTACGTACGAAACGGTGTGGTTCTCTTATGCGCTTTTGCATATTTGAGTTCCGGGTTGATCTATTACCTCTGTGTACCACGTTTCCGATCTAATTTCATTTCCTTGAATAACGTATTGGCATGAGCACGCTTTCTTTTGTCATCTTTTCCAAGTCTGACCATACCATTTCTCATCATTTCCCATCATGCCATTGAATGAAGCGACGCATTTAATTTATTGTTCTTATTTTATCACAGATCCCTTTCATTTTCTCATTTGTCCATTTCTAACGGTTGGGTATGTCTTCACGAGTCATATATTCGATTGGCTTCTAAGGCACATTCCTGGTTATCTGGTGCCCTTCCAATAGTTTTTCGTCTCCATTTTAATCTTATTGTATTCCCCCATGACCGTTTCTTATTCTTTTCAGATTTCATTCACCTCACCTGTATTTCCATCCCATTCGTACTCTCACTTGTTTGACTTTTCTTCTATTTCTTTTGGCAACGCATTACCCTCCATTTACTGTGCTTTTATTTCATACATTTCAGTCTCATTATTTCTCATGTGCAATGTGCCATGCGCGACGTGCAATGTGTTATGTGTATCTCAGTTCCATCCGCTTTTCGTGTTTTCTTTATATTATTTCCATACAGTGTATGTCATCTTTTCTTTGCAATATTCCCGTTTTCCCTTCTCTTTTTTATTACCTTTGTACGCCGCAACGTCGACCATTACTAAAATGTCTTCAATGTAATTACCATTGGAAAAGATGATTCAATGAGAATATAGTCGGATGGGAAAAGATGACTTGCGTTTGGTCTCGACTTTTTTTACCGTTACGCAATGCAGACTTACAATTTGCTTCATGAGATGAATTTAGACTATAACCAATAATTGGCTTGAAGTCTGTCTGATAAGTGATGGGTTTATGATTGTATGAATGTTGCAGAATGCTTATCATTACGATTCTAAGGTGAGATCTATGGATATAAGACACGTTGCTATCTTGTTTCCCGTATCTTAATGGCAAATAGAGAGAAATAGTTGCGGGATCATTATTATTCGCATCATGTCCTCGCATATCTAACTAAGCAGAAAAAGAAAAGGTAATAAAAGAAATAAGATTTTGTTTAACACCTTTGTGCACAAGACATGCAATGCTAATGACAAAGTCAAAATTTGTCGAGCAGAGTATTATCTACTGAGCATGCTGTGCCCCCAGGATGGCGGGCAGCACATAACATTGCACGTTAACGTCTAATCGATGACAAAGGAACGACATCATCAATGGAAGATTCATCCATTCATTCTCAACTCCCAAGTCAAATCCAGATCGAATCTGACCCCACTACACGCAAGCCTCCACAGGGCCAATTTCCCAAATAGACCAAGAACGACGACAGATGATGATAAGACCACAAGAGGACCAATATCGTCATAATCGCATTATCTTGGAATGGCATAGAATGATGGAAGAATGGACGACACCCCACCGTGAGTCAAACGAGGTTGAATCTGGCCATACATGTCCATATAATAAGACACATATGAGAACTCTCGCAGTGTAGGATAGGTAGTGAGTAATTGCCAGTCACAGACTAGACCTGTCTTGCTAACCATACTGCCTTCATGGTCTAATAGTGGAGTAACTTGTGTCGCTTCCACCAGCCGACCCCGCGTTGCCTCTTGCGCTCGGGTCCCACCTTTATCTTACTTGTGCTTGTCCCACCCCCAGCCTGGGGAAATCGTCACTTTACCCAAAAGCGGACTGGGACCTGAATGAGCTGATTTACAACTCGAGGCCTCCTCCATCATCTTTCAAGCCTCATTTTTTCTTTTTCTTCAAACTCTTTCTCAGGTACACATGAACTTGGTTACTTCTTCGTCGCTAAACCTCATCGATTGCGATTAATTTGTTGGTGAGTGACGTTATTGTTTCTCCATGTCGCCGATTATATATCAGTTGCACAGGGAGAGGGGTATACTCGCCCATTTGGGTAATATTCCCCTCCACTGCACACCGCCGGCAGCTGTCTCCGATGAGCAACAAGAAAGATGCATGCAGCCGGCGAGTAGCTTTTCTTGAGTGCACGTCACAGGTTGGCAGGCTTCGATATTGATGTGGTTTTGGATTATGCTGATTTGTATCATTTGCTTGCTCGTAAAATGATGCTAATTGTTGCAGTTTTCTTGTAGAAAGAGCATGCAACTGTCCTGATAAATCATCCCGCCATCATGTTGCCTCCATCGTTGCCGAGCGGGCAGCAGCGAGTCCTTTCCACGGCGACCATTCGCGCAGTGCATCATGCTTCGGCTGGTTCTGCGTTCGTTCTCTGCAGCCATAAGCTGGATCTACTCGTCCATCGGCGTCGTCTGAGAAACTCCCCTCACCCTCATCATCAACAGCAGTGTCATCATTTTTGGTTCGATCGCCGGCGCTTGTGGTCGTCATATCTAGGCAATGATGTACAGAAGCATCTTGAAAGGCGCCACCGCGCTCTGCGGCACAAATATGCCAAGGCGATGCTGAGGCGGTCACTGTGGGACAGACAAAGCCAACTCGATGGTCAAAATACCCACCTTTCACTCTGGGGATGGCGTGCGGCAAGTTCGTGGGGCAAGCATTGTGGACGGTGGGGTCAATATAAGTCTTCTTCTGATTCCCAGGGAAATGCCGAAAAGGGTTCGGATAAGCATTCCCGTTCTGAGTCGAGACATGAGCAGATGCGGAGGCGCATTGAAGAGGTGAAGAAACTAGTTGAAGAAGATCCCTTTGGTGCCATCTTTGGAAGGCACGCTGATCCAGAATCTGGCTTTCCGAAATCGAAATCACATTCCCATTGGTCGCCATTGCAGTGGCTGCGCCGCGATACCTCTGACGCTCATCGGAATAGTCAAGATATCATTGATGCGGTTGCGCGACGGAGCGACCAAGCTTCTTCCACAAAAGTGCCAAATCCCCCAGAGACATCTGCGACAGAGGAGTACGAATTTGACCCTATTTCCATGCGTAAAGTTCCCAAGCGGCCCAACAAAGGCGAAGACACGAATTCGACCGACGTGTCTTACGATATTCCGGTGAAGAAGTTTCGAGGCTATCGGGAACAACAGATCCCTCAGACCCAGGCATCTGCTGGAGAGACCAGTTCAGATTTCCGTTCGTCACACGAGGGTACACCGGCTGCGCAAGATGGTGATCAGTTGCCAAAAAAGGACAACGTGCCTGAGTACCGTCCACGAGAACCGACCGATACTCGACCCAAATTCTCTCCTGAATCGAGAAAAACAAGTGATATTGCCAAGGAGACTAGAGACGATGTCGATCTTCTTCGTGCAAGTGACGTTCGTGCCGCGGCTGGTCGAACAAAGCAGTCACAGGCCGAGTCTCCGGAGAAAAAGCGTGCCACGCGGCGCCGTCTTGATGCGGAATTCTCCAAAGAGCAAGATCTTAGTCAGAAAGCCGCGGAGCAGGCGGCCATGAAGGACGCTGCAAAGCGAGGTCGAACACCTCCTGGTCGGGATAATTCTGAGGAGGCCCGTAAGAGGGCAGCATCTGGCGCAAATGTGAAGAGTCCGAGGGCTGAAGATAGGACCAAGCCGGCCATCGATGTATGGGGTTACAGTCTTGCGCCCAGAGGCCTTGAGACATCGTATGCTGAAGAGGTTGAAAGGCGCGTCCAAATTGGTGAACTCGAATATATGAGAGAGCTCGAGGCCAGAGAAAGAGCTGAGCCAGACGGATACGATACTGAACCCATGGGCCTTCAGACCTCATTCGAAGAGGAGCAACGGCAAGGCTATGTGGACCCAAGGGAACTCGAAGCGGTTGCCCGTGAAAAGGAAGTCGATGCATACAGCAAGAAGCCAATGGGCCTGGAGACCTCGTATGAGAACGAAGTCCGAGAGTATCCTGAAGGATGGCCGGCAGAAGGGGCCAATGGCAATGAAGCCGAGATTTATAGGAAAGATCCTATGGACCTTGAAACCTCGTATGAGGAAGAGCTCAGAGCGCTAAAGGCGGCTTCGGATGGGAAAGAAACAAAACTCGACTTTGATGGATACATTGGAGAGCCAACAGAACTGGAAACCACTGTAGAAGAAAACTTTCGGGCCATCACCAACCCATCGTTGAAGAGAAAGGACATACCGCGGAGAGATGACGGTTATAGCAAAGAGCCAATGGGCTTGGAGACATCGTATATGGAAGAACTGGCAGGAACTGCCCGTCACGAATCGGCCCAGCAGAAACTCAGAAAGGAGCAGCAGGAAATGCTTGAGAAAGAACTGAGTGTGTACGATGAGGGGCTGGAAAAGTCGTATCAAAAGGAACAAGAAGCCGATGAAAGTCAGTCTCGAAACGCCACCTCAAATGGCCAACCCGAACGGGTGCAAAGTGAAGGAGATTTGGCCGGCAACGTGGCTGAGTTTGCTTCCCGAGATCGATGGTACAAACAAGCAGCACCACACTCTAGCATGCCCGAGTTTGAGAAATATGCCAGCACTGAAATACCCGATGGTCATCTCGATGCCAATCTAAAGGAGTTGTACCAGGGTATTTCCGAATCGTATGACGCTGCTTCCCATCAGAGAAAACAAGACGACGTTGGTACTCGAAACGCGGAACTTGACTCTGCTCTGGAACAGTATGAAGACAAACTTGGCCCGCAAGCCTACCACTTCACTACCGGTCAAGATTCCTTGGAGGAAGAACTCGCTTTCAGGACAAGACTCCAGCAGGTCTCCGCAAGTCCTTCAAAGCCCACTGCCTCATCCCCAAACGAGCCTCTCTACGATTCGTTTGAATACCCATCTCGAGACCCGGATCCCCTTGCTCTTCGTCTGGAGGAAGCTGAACAGCGTCTTCACGAAGAGGTCAGAGAAAACAACGACTTTCTCTACGATCTTCAAAACGAGATTAGCAAATCGGAAGACACTCTAACATCTCATTTCCCTTCCACCCTCTTCTCCACAGACAACATGGGCATTCGCCCTTCCCGACTTAATAAACTCCAGCACGAGCTGGAGATTCATGATCTCCATCTCCGATTAGCGGAAATGCAAATCGAGCGAGCCGGCACCATTCTACGTGGCCATCCAGTTGCAACGGCAACCTCGACGTCGTATACCGCAGCCCCTCAGCACCTTCCTCAGCCCTCCGAACAGCACCCGCAGTCCCACGAGCGGGGTCTGCCTACGCTTTACAAAGTTCTAGCTTATGACCGTTCTTCCAAGACTGTAGTTCTCGCAACGACCACGTCTTCAACCGCCTCGGCTCAGGCTGAGCCATCACTCACTCCGTCTGCAGCCCTCGCGAAGCTGGAATCTCCGGCCCGGTTCCTCGCCCATTTCCCTGCTCTCCAAGCCGAGGGCTACGAAATCGTGTCGGGAAGCGGAGACGTGCTCGTCTTCAAGAAAGTCCGAGAGACCGAATCCGAAGCTGCAACGAGCCAGGGCATCGACGATCAATTTGCAGGATTCAGTCTCACCGACTATGAACTTGTTTCAACCCAACCCGGTGGCAGGACGAAATCTGACATTCAATATGAAGTCTACCCGCGCCAAATCAATCCCATCGATGGCACTACTACCACTCCGCAGACGGGCAATTTTGCTTCCCCTACGGGTTTTGTGAATCACGATGCGTTTGATCCGCTCGAGATTGACGCGCGCGAGTATGAGCTGGAGATGAGAGAAGAGGCTATGAGGAAGTTTGCTGAAAATGCGACAAAGAGAGCCGAAGCAATCAATCTCGCCGAAGTCGAGCCCAAGGAGCAAACACAGCAGGATAATTCCGCCAAGAGTTCTGCTATTGACAAAGAGTCGAAAACGACTGGAAGTGCTTCAGCAGAGGAAGAGCCGTTCAGCAAGAAACTTGCGCGAGGTGCTATCATCACTACTGTTGCAGCAGGAGTTACTTATGCCGCCGGTGTAGTCACCGAATTGTGGCGCACTGGTGGATTCTAGTCTGCTTGTTTGAAGATCCTGGCTGCAACACAATCACAGTGACTGTACCTGCAGTACTTTAAGCATACGAGAGTGCCTGCTCTAGCACACAAGATATTCAAACACACGAATACGCACGAATTAACGCATGGCATGGATAGGATACATGGTAGGATGTGAATTGGAGTAACACGAGAAATATGGCAACAGGACCTTCGGACATGGATCTTTTTTTACTCTATTTTTCTTTTCCTTCATTTTATTTCTTCTTCTTTTTCTTTGAAATCATGTAAATCTAGCGCTCTACAATATCAATCTCCCAACCCACTAGCACCTCTTTTCCCCACTCCTCGTCAGGCATACTCTCTGCCTGTCTTGCCTCTCCACTTTTTTTTTCCTTTCCTTTTCTATTTTTTCTCTCCTTTCTTTTACCTTTCTTTTATCTTTTTTTAATTCTCAATTTCCTCAAAGGATCATGTTGCATTGATTTGCATTTCCTCTCTACTATCAATATGATTATAAATATCATCAATATCATCAATATCAAAATTGACGAAATACGTTATTGAAACTAATAGTATACACTATCACTGTTACCGTCACGGAAGCATATAACTTCATGCTCTTTCTTAGTATGGTATTGGATTCTATCTCGAGGTATATATGTAATCTATCGTTCCACAGGTATATATGTCCCACTTACAACCCAAAACGGGGGACACAGTAATGATGCCAAAAATGATGACAAGAGTGGGTGACAAAAGTGATGACAAGAAAGGGTGACCAAAGTAACAAGAAAGGTGTTACAAAAAAGAAAAAAAAGAAAATCCACAAAAATCTCTTACAAAAAGGCTTGATGCTCAATGCTCGCTGCTCGCTGTTCGCTGTTCGCTACCGCACTACCCAACTTCACTGAATCACTGCTTCAGCGCTTCAGCGCGCCCATTATCATTTTCCGCCTCCCCGCTCCAGTCCTCTCTGGTATGCATATCCTCTGCGCCGCCACCACTTGGACCTACTTTCTTCTTTATCTTATCATCATCGTCGGGTTTTGCTCCTCCTCCTAGGTGTGCTTTGCCCTGGTCAGAAAAGGCGAGATCGGCGTCCTTGGCAGGGCTGCTCAAGTCGCGCTCGACCCAATCTTTGCTTCCCATTTCAGTCAAGCGGCTGAGGGCACGGGCGAAAGCGAAGCGCTCCTCGTCGCCGGTGAAGAGGTGGCTGTTCTGAAGGACGTCCATGTTGTGGCTCGTGCCGAGGTCGTCGAGGAGGTGCATCATCGCGGAGGTGTCGTCCGTGTCGGTGTCGGTGTCATTATTGACGTCCTGTGGTTTCGTCGCCGACGAAGAGGAGGAAGAGGAGGAAGAGGAGAATGGAGAGGATGGAGAGGGGGAAGAGGGGGAGGGGGATGTATTAACGCCTTCGTGCTGTTGTTGTTGGCGCAGTGCGTCGGCGAGTTCTTCTTTGGATAGGAAGAGGTGGGTTAGAGGCACGGCGGTGGTGAGGACGAGTTTGGCCTGCGATTGAGATGGGTGGTTAGTTGGACGGTGCCTGGAGAGGTAGAAAGTGGAATAGATAAGGGGGAAGGAGAACAAGAAGAGAGAGAAAAGAGAACGTACCCTACTCTCATATACGGTATCGATAAAGGTGATGAATCGTCGGGCGAGGTCTCTCTCGCGATGCGTCATGCCAGGGACGTCGGTCACGATAAATGCCTGGTACCGACGCATGAGCTCCAAGTAATCGGCCGCGCTCTTGGGCTGGCGGATGAGTTCGTCAAAGGTAAAGACGGCGGCGTTGCCGCTGACGCGGGGCACGTGGAGATTCCGGCCCCAGATGCGATGCGTGGCCGGGTGCGGGGGATCGTTTTGAAGATCGCCGAGGAAATTGAACCATCGGTCTGCGTGGACCTGAGCGTTTCCGTCAAGCGGGAAATGATAAACGCCTGATGGCGGACGAGGGACTTTGCGGTAGTCGGTGGGTGAATCGAGGTTGATGACCTCGAGTTGGGTCTTGAGGAGGGTGATGCAGGGGATAAAGGACTCGCGCTGGACGCCATTCTTGTACAGTTCGTCTGGGTGTCTGTTTGATGTGGTTACGAGGACGACGCCGTGGGACATGAGGGCTTCTAAAAGTCTATTGTTGGGTATCAAAAGGAATTTACAGTTAGCCATGACGAGCTCTGTTGATGATACGTTGTATTTGGAGACCAGAGGGCACTCACCTCCGCAGAATCATGGCGTCGGCCACGTCGGTGCATTGGAATTCGTCAAAGCAGAATACTCGTCCTTGCTCGGCCAAGTCTGCGGCAACGAAAGGAACGGCGTCAACGTCGTTGCCGTACTTCATCTTCATAAGGTGAAGACGCTTGTGCACGTCTTGCATGAAATTGTTGAAGTGGATGCGCGATTTCGAGGTGATGTTAGGTGGTAAAGTATCGTGGAATAGGTCCATCATCATTGTCTTGCCGCTACCGACATCGCCATACATGTAGAGTCCCTTGGGCAGGTCAGGGGGTATTTGTGTCTTATGCGCCTTGGAGGAGCTCGAGAAGAGTGATCCGAGAATGGATTTCTTGCGCGGTTGTAAAGATTCAATTGTGGGATGTTCGACTGGCGCGGGATTGTACCCCTTGAGGGTCTCGTGGAGGGTTTGGAGGTGCTTGATGACCCCTAATTCTCATTGTTAGAGAGAAGCCGACCAACACTGCATGAGCGGAAGTGTGCCAAGGACGAACCTCTCTGGTGATCATCATCTTTGAGCCTGCCTTGCGCTACTCGTCTTTCATATTCTGCGAGCGGTCCCGTGCTTGGATCATCTTTGACGCGATTGTCGATTAGCAGTGTTTTTGCGTTGCAGTTATCTAATTAAAGGAGTCAAACCACTGCTCACTGTCGCCAACCCTCGCAGAGGCGTTTTTGGAATGGTCCTGCCATTGTACGCGCTGGGAAAGCTAACACGCGCATGCGCTGCCCTGTACGCTAACGGTCGTGATCTTTGAAAGGCATGTGTAGTCCTCAATTGGTGAGCGTTTAAGCAGCGAGTGCAGACTGTCCGCTTCGTCCCTCTTGAGGCATTTGTCGGCAACGAGAGACGCAGGGCCGAGCCTCTCGCTGAATGGGCGACATTCATTCCGGGGCACTCTTTGGAAAAGCGTTTATTCAAGTCACCGCCTAATCGTGTTGTGAAATCCAAGAAGCATTTCTGGCAGTTCAAAAAAGGATGGAAGGAGACGAGGACAACCGACAGAAATATTCTTGAGCTGGCGGTCATAAAGATCAGCAATGACGCTGCGGCACGAGCGGTGATAAGATTAGATTCCCGTTCGGGTAAATCGATAAACTTCTGCCTCGGCATCGGTTTAGATACCCGTCACCCGTCAGGCCCGTCCAGCAGGATGGTCACCATCAACATTGAGAGCCACAGCATAAACTCAAAAGAGAGGAATAGGTTCATCATTGTCAAAGGTTGGTTCGATTCAATTTTAATTGATGTGCACAATGGTGCGCAGTGTAATCTCCCCGAGGGGGTGGACTTGCAATATTATGGGCAGTAAATGCATTGTTTTTTATTTTCAAATTTAAAAAATTAAATCAGTTTATCACCAAAATCATTATTCGACTGAAGAAATTAGGTTGAGAAGGACCTCGACTCGAAAGTAGATTATATTTAATGGTTATATTTTCTGATATTTGTCGACATTATATTGCTTTGCTTTATCTGATACCGTGATTCTTTGGCTTAATTATATCAAAAGGGTTAGTGAACGTACTGTTTTTCAACCACAATACAATCCGATTTCCAGACCAGCCAAGCATGTGTCTCTGATGAACACATTCCGACCTGCTGCGCAGTCTTTGGTCTCCCGGGCAAAATGAATTCCAGATCGAGAGCAAATGGCCGGTATTCACGGAATCCAGATGTGGCTGTGAACCAACATCTATGAGGACAGAGACTTAAGGTAAGTTAGTGTTGTTGGAACACAGGAATAATGCGTCATGTCACATTCAGGTATTCGGCATCCAATGATGACTGGAAGACAATGACCTGAGTCATCATCTTCATGTTCACATTGGACGAGACAAGAGGTTCAGGCTGGACCATAGCAGCAATAATAATCGCTGCCATGAGAGACTTGGCTGAAACCGGGTGAGAGATGTTGTCCCTGATGGCGGCGCCCCTTCATCTCTCTTATGCTGCCTATTGCGGATGGCTTAACTAATGCTCCTTTGTACTTTGGACGATAGCAGTTTTGAGTACGTGGAGATACGAAGCGATAGCGCGACACGGGATAATTTAGTCGTGTTTGTCAGTTACTAGAATAGCTCTTGCCAATTTACGGGATTGAGCAGGCATTTGTCTTCCCGGCAATAGTAAATCTATCCGATGATTTCTTTAACGTCATCCAGATTATTCACAATCAGTCAGATGTTTGCTATTCAAACATGTCTTTTCATATCGGCATTATGAAAGATCAACCTCAGCGACACCACCTGCAGGGTACTCGTACTGACACGGGCCCTGACACCCTGTACAAGTGCTGTACGAGGGCCGCTGCATGGCAGCTACGCTTTACGCCGTCTGTCGCCCTAATACCCTTGGTCTCTTTTGCTCCTGGCGATCATTGTTTGCAGCATCAGGTACCTTCGTACATGATTCTCTGATTCGACCACGTCCAAGAAAACACCTGGTCCGACCAGGTCTGGCCTGCCGTTGACGATCGCTTAATATTAATGGAAAACAGAGAAGGAGCCCGCTTGCTTTTGGGCGGATCAAGCGCCTGACCGTTAACCTAGGCGCAAAACTAAAGGAGTCGTGATTACGCCCTAGGCCTGTCGATCCTTGTACCGAAAGTGAGAGGGACAAAAATAATTCCACAACCACAGAAGAGACGGAAAAAAAAAAAAACAGATCAAAGACAGAGCTATTCCATCGAGCGAGAGAAATTGACACATCATCTCGGAACATTGTCCGACGAGATAGGGAGGTTCATGGAGACTCGCATGATCGATAATATCTTCTCATTCATTAGGGTGCGGCCTGTTTACGTTTTGACTACAAGACGCAATCTGTACATGCATGTGAGGAAGGGGGGGGGGGCGAAAAGTGCCTTGGAGGGCAAGGAAGGGAGGGGCTCGAACCATTTGCAGATGAGCGAAAGAGGGCCCTTGCGTGCGACAACTGAGTCCCACTGCCCCGATATGGAAACAAGAGGATGTATGGACGCGGGACGAGCAAATCGTTGTGCGAGGTGAGCCGTGGACATGGACCACAAAGACAGCTTTACGGAAAAGCGACAACTGACACTGGGTTCGGGAAGCTTCTCAACCCGTAACCCATCTAGGCTTGCCTTCTTGAGCGGCACGACCGTTCATGACTTGTTAAAAAGGCTGATTGCTTGATTGCGAGATACGAAAAGTAAAGCAAATAGTGTCGTCGCCAGTTGCATGTTGGGCTTGGTGTGGCTGTAAGCCACTCATTTAGAAATGCCAAAAATGCCTGTCAGGTGAGGAAGCCATGTCAAAGACACACCAAAGGCGACATTATTGGGGGTAACCTTTTCATGAGATTGAGAGGATGTAGCTCTACTCAGCACCATCGAGAGAGACGATCGAAGTATTTGTATTCGCGTCCTCCAGCTCAGCGACCAGCATCCGGGATGCTAGGCTGCATGATATAGGTGGGTATCAGGTACCTGAGACAGGCTGACCAGAAGGTGCTCCAGATGAGGTGCAGATCAGGTACTGGTACGTGAACCATCAATTAAGTAGACGCTAACGTGTGGAAATGTTTGGACATCACTAATCGCACTAAACTAGGGGAAATTGCTTAAAGCAGCAAAGGCATAGATTGTCTGGAAAAGAAACGAGACACTAATTATTATTGACACTTGATTTGGAACTATCGACACTACGCCAGGCACACCACATGGCCACCACCACCATGACCATCCACCCACTCTCGTGTATGCATGATGCCCTTTGACCGTAGTACTGTAATGAATCCCCTGGATAGATCCACTACAGCTCTCCTGCTGCAATTACCAAATCTTACCACTCCGTTCCCTGGTCCTTCTCCCCATCCTCTTTCCCTTCTCCCCGTCACAAGGCTTCCCCAATGCGTCGCGTCTCGTCGTTGGCTCGGCGTGCGCTCGATATTATTTCTAACATACTTCCTTGCGAAAAGAGGCATCACTGTCAAACGGAAGGGAATGCGAGAAGAAGAAACGATTTCTAAAACTGCTTGTTCGCCTGCTTGCCCTGGGTTGACATACTGTATTGAATCTTTCTTTATCAATCTCCAGTTTATCCGTTTATTCTCACCAACCCCCGGAAAACACCAAAGACCCCCAGCGGTAAAAGCTACCCGAACTAAAGGTAGTCGGCTACTATTCACCCCAAGTCGATCCTTTCATCTCTCCGTGTCTCCCCCCCAAGCCCCCCATCACCAACTCCAGTAACAACCTACTAACTAACTGGCTCTCCTCCGTCCTTTGTACCCTCTTCCCTTCCTTTACCCTCCCTCTTTTGCTCCTCTTCTCCCTCTCTTCCCCTTCTTCTTCTTCCTCCCCATCTCAGCCTTTTGCACCCCTCCGCTTCGTACCCTTCTTTTTTTCCCTTTTTTTTTCTTCTTCCATTCCCCCTCACACTCGCTCATCATAGTATTTTGTTGTTTTCATTTTTCTTTGATTTTCGCCGACCGTATTTAGCCCGTCAAGTCAATCGAGACGACAACGTACGCTCGCGTTGCCTTTTTCGTCGATCCACCAAAGGCACGCTGCATTCTCCCGTCTTTGCGGTCGACTCATTCCTCACCATCCTCTTTCGGCAATTCGCACCCTTTTTGCGACGCCTTCACTCGTTTTCTCGTCGGTTTCTTTCCCACGTTGAACACGTTCAATCTCACGCTCCTTTTACTTGATTTTGTTTCGCTCTTGCCAGCCTCGCGCTTGTCCTTCTTGACCGCTTTCGAACGCTTCCGTTGCCAGAATCGGTCCTGCTTCAGAGACCCGCACACGTCAAATCACCCGCCCAACGATCGTTCTACTCGACCCCAATTCGTGCCAGCCCCCCATCTCCTCGCGTTTCAGGTTTTGGACTGCGCCAAGGCTCTCTTCGTCTTTCTTCGTGACGCCAAAGTTGAGGAGGAAAAACAACAACACTTGTGGACCTCCTTTTCGATCGGTTTGTCAATTAAAACAAGGTCGAAATTGTACGACATTTGCTCTCCGTCTCTCATTTCCCCACGAGCCACTCGGAACACTCGTGTGGAGGAGACAAAGCCCAAGTAGGCTTGCAATCGACACACCTGGACAAAGAGACATCAAAACCCCGGTTCAAGTGCTGGTGTCTCCTTTTCATTGAACGCCGGGAGCGCCCTCCCAACTCTTTCACACGCCGACAACGACGTCACAACAGGTTCGATGAACTTCGTCGCCCTCCAGTGACAGAAGCCATCAACTCAGGCCAACGCTGGACAGTTGGTCGATCTACTCGTTCTTCGGAGTGTCGACGACCGGCTGGTTCTTGTTGACGACCTCTGTTGTCATCCGCTCATTAATCCCAAGTGTCTTTTACTTTTGCGTTGTGCTCCGGTCCGAACAAAGGATCCCAACTGTACGTCGATTCAAGTTTCTCCCGCAAAGTTTGAACAATGTGCTGTCAATTGGCTCTGAATCGCTACATGGACTTCAAGTATATGGCATCAAAAGTGCTAACTAGACTTCATCAGGACCTCGCTTCATAACGACTTTACCCTGTCAATTACACTCGTTATAATCCTTTTCAACTGTAGGAGACTCTCGTTTCCCCTTCTTTTCCCGGGAGTCCACTGACCCGAGGAAAAAGCCACGTATTGCATCTTCGAGAACGCATCCACACATCTAGGTCACGTTTACCAGCAGATTCGCGCCTTCCGATGATTCGAGATAATCTCAAAATGCGCACTTCAATCGCTCTTTGGGCTCTGTCCCTCGTGTCTCTTAACGGTCCGACCTTCACGACCGCAGAGGCGGCCCCGGCACCGAAGCCTGCTGCGGTTGATGCACCTCGTTTCTATTTTCCACGCGTCATCCAGCGCCAAGTCTTCTCCAACACCACAAGCTCATCCGAACCTTCGTCGACTGATCTCCT